GGGTGAGTTGGAATGAGTGGTAAGAAAATGGAGGGTGCGCGGTTACCCTTGTGCGCGGTTACCATTTTCTGAGCTTACATTGCAGTTGTACCTTGTGTTCAAGGTTCAAAAGGCCAACAATCAAACGAGGTTCAACACGCATGTTCCGAAGTCTGTACTGGTAAGCATCACGTTACGTGGAGGCCTAGGCAGAAAGGAGCATCGTTGGCCGATGAATCGACCGCGACATTCGGTCCATCGGCGATGCATCACGTTGTCCAGAAGGCACGAGACCCAAACTTTTTTGCTGGACGCCTGTGTTTTCACAACACCCCGAAAATTATATTGTGAAGCCAGACACTAGTGGTGAGCAGAGTGCACCGGTAATAAAGTACGCTTTCGTGGTGTGATCATCATCATGATCTCGATTGTAGATATGGGCATGGTCGTGCCTCTGCATCGTGGGCATTAGTCGGGGTTGTTGCTTGACTGCAAGTGGACAACCACCGATGGCTTTTTCTTGGTGTTCGAGAGGGGTTCAGAAATAGCAGATTATTGGTGGCGCTTGGGGCGGCGAGATGATCCTGGTCAGGCTTGCAACCTCGATCACCAGTTCTCCCCACACGGGCTATTACTCTTTTCAACATGTGTAAATGTGGGTTGCTGTACTTGATGTTGAATGCAGCACTAAAAAGCAAAATTCTGAGACGTGCATGGTCCTACATCACTCATGTGCTAGCATTACATCGTGTCCTTATCTCTAAGTCGCCGGAGCCCGACTGACCTCTTGTTGATGTTGACAACGACCGCCTTGTAGGTTGCTTAGTGCCTGAATCGCTTTTCGCAGGAGTCTAAGTAAGAACATCAAAGGATTGAAAACATTTCCCAATCAGCCGAAGAGTTAAGCAATGTACTTGTACTTGAGGTATGCGATTGTCACGATGCGCAGGAAACAGAAGTTGATGCAGAGAAGAAGCGATTCTCGCCGATGCACGTGGTAAGGTTTGAGCCTCTTAGGCTTGTGAGATGTTCTGCATGAAACAGCAAGCATCGTGTCTGCTGCGGGGTTCCCGAAATTGCAGATTGTATTCGAGCTGCATTTCCTAAGGAGAATGTGTGGTGTTGCGCCTGCTTTCACCTCGTTTTCTGTTTGCAACACAGCTAGGACAAAATCTGCTGTGGTGTTAGCGAACACCAATACGACCGGGCATGCGCCGAGTCATGAATATCGTGGCCGTTGTGCTAGGAACTCGGTTGCGCAAGAACATTTCATCGTAGCGTTTCATCGAGGAGACGTTTCATGATAGTGTCGTTGATCAAGGCAGGTACCAAGTGTATACTCTTTCAATGCCGATCGTATGTAGTGGCTCAATGACCCACAACCCAGTCGTTCTTTCTCTTTCAAATTCGCGGTCGAGGCGGCGCATTCTGAGCCATGTCAGGTATGAAGGCGGTGTGTCGTGGCAACCCAACTTCTTTGAGACCGTAAGAACCAAGCTATATCGGCTCGATTGTCTTTGCTCAGCCGGCATACTTGGACGTGGGCGAGCATCCTCTGTAGCAAGGAAGAGTACTCTGCGGAGTTAGAACTTCGTCGTTGGCTGCAAGCAAGAGACAGAGGACGCTCCTGCGACGACGAAACAACATTGCTTATGAACAACGATACCTAATTTCAGGAGCGGATTAGCATCTGCATACGGAAGCATGGGGTGCATCCGCCCGAAGCACTACGCGCTTGGGGCGGATAGGATGTGCTTGGGCATCAATGCGGTGTCCCAGAATCTCAGCGTCTGCAGAAGTATCGATTGCATGAGTCTTTGCAATATACATGTTGATATGGTGTCAATGAGTAGTAGGAAGCAGCAGCGATGAGGGTTGATGACGAAAGATGCCAAGCCTGCTGGGAAGCGCTTTCCGCGATAATTCGGAATTTCTGCGACGCTCTTGCTTGTCTATCCCTCTATCCCCTCAGTATCACAATCACTGCGCGATTCATGTCCTGTGCAATTAATCTACTACGGGTAAAGTTACAATTGCAAACTGAGCGGATTCTGCCGCGTCTACAATTACGATCTGCATGCCCAATCGAAGCGCTACCAATATGCAAGTCATTTGTCCCCACGGTTCATGCACTTCGAATTGCGCAAGAAAGTCGGTGAGGGAGATTGACATATCAGAAACTCTGCACGAGGCAGCGGGCCGTAGCGACGAGATCGCACATCATTGACAGGGGTAATGAGTTTACCTCGACTTCATGATGGACCTCGTTTCCAACCTCGTCGTCAAGTCTGCTTCGTTATGGTGCCGTTGTTCTGCGTCGCTGAGTATTAATGCTCGCAGGTCGTGCCCCTAGTTTGGTAAGGCACTTGCTACTCGTCTACGTGAGCGCGCCACTCATGCGACTGATCGCTCTAGACACCATGGGCAGAACTTGTACAGACCAACACCCCAGGCGATTGTGTGTGCTCCTTCTCAGTGGTAACAGAACTTACACTAAAACATCGCCAAGTTGCAAACTCACTATATTGTAAGTCGATCTTTCACTCCAACTTGTGTGTTGAGCGGCCAATGAAAGAGTCAAAGCACGGTGGCCCTTACGACCATTTGTGAGATTGATCTATTCAACCCCGCTTGTGCACTGATGGTCACATGGTCGATCGCTTGTGAACGACACCTTGAGAACCCTGGCTCGAGTTCGTGGAGGTAAGGTGCGGAATAGGTGTCGTGTGCACCGTAATCACTACTGACCTTCTCGTTCATGTAATGCAAGTCATCATTCCTCCACGCCTGTTCACAAGAGATTGACATACACCTCGCCAGCCCATGTTGAGCGTGCAGCATTAGCCGCCGATCCGTTGGTTCTGGTGTGCTGGTTTAGTTGGGACAACTTTGCCACAATCCCTACCATTCTTCCTGCAACCCCCACCACAACCCTCTGTCTGGCAGAGCTGACACAAAGTTTAAGAGAGAAATCGCCCTGACCCCACCAGAGAGATGATCCGATGGTTCTTGGGTCGGTGACTTCTTTCTTGCGCATATTCCTCTGACCAGGTCAACGAATCACTGGGCAAAAGATCAAAGACCTGGCCAGCTATTGCAACGATGTCAGCTGGGTAATCTTTTCTCAGTCGCTTGATTATGCTCTACTAATCTGATGGGATGGCTCACAAATTACTTGGGTTCCAAGGTCATACGCACACGAAGGTCTTTACATGTGCTTTCGAAAGCGACACGCCTGTCGTGACCTTCTTGCTCTACATCATACATATTTGCTCGTATCTTATCAACAAGAGCGAGATAAGTTGTCATCGTAGTAGGGAAAACAACAGTCTATTGATACCTGTTTCAGCCCTCGATCATAGTTCGGTAAGCTTTCTGTGCTTGTGCCTATTATCGAGTGAAGTTTCATGTCGACCTACGGTTCCTTGTACCTCAAAAGTCTGATGAGTGCACTGGCAGCCTGCAAACTATAGGCCAGCACATACAGAGCGAAAGAGAGCATGGGAGAGAGAAGACAACAACAGCTATGGAACTGCAAGAATCCGTATGGCAGACGGGAACAAATATCCTCGCGATACCACTATGTTTTCAACTGTCGCAACATCACGCCACTCAAGAGATACTCCTTTTCGAACAGGGTCTACTGTGCCACAAAGTTTCTATCTTCTGAATGTTGTTGTATGAGATGCTAGTGCCTCGATGATATTCCAGCCATACTCGATGCGTTCTACTCAGACGAGCACTCAAGATTGCTGGCATAGTAGAACCCGACAGTGGCCGCTCTTGTCCATCAGAGTCACGCAACCTTAACGTGACTGCAACGAGTATACGTGATTGTATGCGACGATGTGAAACGTGGTGTGTAATCAAGCTCGCTGTTCTGTAGGGTAGATGGTGTGATCGGAGCATGATTGATGAGCGGAAATAGTGCTTAAAATAGAGGCAGACATGGCCGCTGCCTTATGACGGTAAGAATTTGCTTGGCGGGACAATTACTTGCGCCTCTGTCGCGTTGTAGAGCAGGTGCGTTCCTGGTAAAACCATCATCGTTGATGCATGACGGCGACCAATCGACATTGGTTGCAGGGTGATGAACATGCTCTAGGAAGCATACACAGACCAGCGACACGAAAGCTACGACATTGAACTCGGCGGCATCGGCCACGACGGACTCCTCGATACCGACCTCCGCTGCAGTCAATCAGACAATCCTACAACCATCAATGAACTCCCAAATCCATCTCGATCCCTCTCTGAGGTCCAATCCTTTGTCGTCGCCAGCACGAACTACGTCCCAGCATTATCCCGACGCCGTCCAGCAGGTCTACTCCCCAGTACAACCATCACCGAACAACTCTTATCAAAGCATTCACACACCAAACTATTATGGCAATCAACCCACTCATGACAGTCCCGATGATCACAGTCCAGGAGCACATCCCTCAGCCGGTCAAAATCCGGACGACCTGAAACGTCCTCGTGCCTGTGAGGCATGTCGCCAACTCAAGGTCAAATGCGAGATCGACGACAATAGCCCAAATGGAAGTTGCAAGAGATGCGCCAAAGCTCACAGGCAATGCATCATCACTCTGCCAAGCCGTAAGAGGCAGAAAAAGACTGATAGTCGCGTCGCTGAGCTTGAGAAGAAGATTGATGCTTTAACCGCCACTCTAGCTGCACGGGGAGGTGCTGAGGATATTGCTCTAGATCCCGCCATTGCACAGCAACAATACCAGCACCAACCTCCGATCTACAACAATCAATGGAACGGCCCCGTTCCTCCCATCCCGCCATCCCCTTCCAATCCAATCCAAGTTGCTGGAATAAAGAGAAAGTCAATAGACACCTTCGGACCCTTCGGCGATGAGCTTCACAGACCACAACAAGCTATGAAAAGAGAGCCTTCGATTGGACCTGCACATCTAGCTGTAGGTGACGCCAGACAATCACGAGCCGGTTCTGAGCCGCCTTCGCGAGACTTGGTTGATCGAGGCCTCATCGACACCAAAACTGCTTACAGATGCTTCGATCGCTACCACAAGGACATGTCCTACAGGCTACCAGTGGTGATATTTCCCTCCGACACCAAAGCTGAGGACATCCGTAAGATAAAGCCCACCCTATTTCACGCCATTGTCGCCGTCGCAAGTGGTACTATCAGGCCCGACTTACAGTCAAAGCTCATTAGCGATGCCACCAGAATACTGGCTGAACGCATTGTCTATACGGGTGAGAAGTCCATGGAACTGGTGCAGGCTATTCAAATCATGACTGTCTTCTACCAGCCGCCTGAACGATACGAGGAGTTGAACTTCAACCAGCTCATTCATATTGCTGCGGTCATGGCTTTGGATATCGGTATGGGTAAAAGAACAAGAAAGAGTGCTCCCATCATCTTCAAAGGATTTATGGAAAGGAGTAAAGTATTGCCTGACCCAAATGCAGCTGAGACAAGACGATGCTGGCTCGGTTGCTACTATATGTGTTCTAAGTGAGTCCTCTCTAGCCCCTGTCAAACCACATAACTGACCTAGTTAAGCTCTGCCATGTCGCTACGACGACCTCTCCTAGTCCGATGGTCACCTTACGCCGACGAGTGTCTCGAGATCCTCAGAACTGCTCCCGATGCTCTACCATCCGACAAGTGGCTGTGTCATATCGTGAAAGCCCAGCACATCGCTGAAATGATCGGGACTGAATTTGCTATGGACGACCCAGCAAAAGAAATTCGTGTCACGGACTTGAACGTACAATTTCACCTTCGCGGCCTCGAACAAGAATTGGAGAAATGGCACAAAGAGGGTGAAGACTTCATGACTAGCCCAATCATGAGACACACAAAAGCAATCATCAACTTGTATATGCACGAGATTGCAATGCATAATGAGCACAACATTGACGACTTCCGACCTCCTTACCACTCTACACCCATAGAAGGACCACCTGATCCCGACTCTGTCACACCAATACACATCGACTCCCTCACAAAATGCCTGCACTCTGCCCACGAAGCTTTTGATGCTTTCCTCTCAATGGACATTGATTTCCTCCGCTCTTTGCCGACACATTTCTTCGTGCGGAACTCTTACGCAGCCGTTGCCCTGATCAAGCTCTACACTGCCTGCGCCGCCAAAGAATCCAAGATGGGCGCGATTTTCCAACCTGCCGAGCTCAAAGTCGATTACTACCTCGACGGCCTCATCTCCACCCTTATGAAAGTGGCAGAAGGCGGCATGTCCCGCGTCGCATACAAATTCAGCATAATCTTTCAAATGTTGCGAAACTGGCACCTAAAGCGTACAGAAGCTCCAAGCGGTCGCGGTAGCAGAGAGCACTCCCAACCACGAATGCCACCGAAGGCCGTGGCTGCTTCGAGAACACCCGTGTACCACCCACCTCTCCCTCGTCCAAACGAGCCACAGCAGAAGAATCAGTCACAGGCACAAATCTGGCCACACCAAGCTCAAGCACACGCTCAGGCCCCAATACATCCCAGTCATTCCCAGTCTCAATCTCAGCCTCAAGGCCCTTCCCGCAACGGCCTCCAGATGCTCTCCGATGCAGCCATGAACCCCCGACCAATGCCCGGTCCACCCACCCAGCAAAGTCCCTGGCTCTCCTCGCCACAACAACAACAACAACAACAAGGTATGCAGCAGAACCAACAGCCACCTCAACTTCCGACAAACATGTCCCAGCAAATGTCTGGCGATCCCAACGCGGGAGGTGTACCCATGGCCATCGATCCGATGATGGCTGCTGCGTATGGGATGCCGCCTGATCAAATGTCTTTACTGGACTTTACGAGTGATGAACTTATGGCTTATGGATTTGGGGATGAGTTTTTGGCCATGAATTTTGGGTTTGATCAGGGCGGTGGGTGGGCTATATGAGTATTGAGAGGTCGAGTGCGAGAGAATACGTAGGGTGAAGGGTTTGAGGTTATTCTCGTCTTTCACTGGCAGTGAGTTTGACCTCCGACGTACTGCCGCCTGTCCGCAAGGATTATTGAGAACAATGCTACGAAGTGCTAATGTGCAATGAAATTCGAGCCCTGTAGAACAGATATTTTTGATACCAGCTCTTTTTTCGCTGTGCTGTTCGCAGTCTTCGATGCTGATAGTAGAGATTGACAACAGGCTAACAGCTAGTGACCACATGCTGTGTAATAGACCGTGAAAAAAGGCGTTGCTCCCGACGTGTTGGACGATGATGGGATGGTGAAATAGCAATTTTATTCATTTCTTCGAAACTACACTTGACCAAGCCAGGCGCGCAAGGCTTAATGCTCCACTGTGGTTAATGATTTGATATCGCATAATGTATAGCTTCCGGGCGGGCTAAGGTCATAGGTTGTGTGAATGGACCAAGCCGTGAGATGGTCGTCCGCTTTGTGTCAATGGTTCACCACGAGAATCACAGCCAGTTCCTAGGAGGATCTTTGCTTTGGGTATGCCTTTTTCGCTCGGTATTTGATAGGCTACTGTCCACGTCTTCCTGGGCCGGGTTGGAGGACCGCCTCGTGGGGATACAACACTTCTTAGATCAAGTCTGTGGATGTGGGTATTCCAGAAGGTTCAAGATGGTGGTCATCGATATTTTTTCAGGTTTGGTTCGTGTTCGAAAATGGCTTCCGCGCTGTGATGGTTATGCTATAGTGAACAACGTCAGCTGCCTTGTTCCACCCTTGCAATTTTATAATGACATACCAAGGAGAATACCAGTGCTCATCGAGTTGTGCCAGCTCGTTTATCGCTTTCTCACACATATCATTGACTTGGTCTGCCGTCATCTATACGAGCTTGTCAGTATCCTTCCAGCATAGTCGCCTACCTACTCACGTTCATATGCCTGATACATGGTTGAAGGATCCACCCTTGTATCCCAGACTCATAATATCTTTGAAATATACGACCACTTTCATGACCTTTTAAATCAGTTGCCGGGTTCGGCCAAGGCGACCAGGGAACTTTGTCAATGCGTTCCTGGACCTCCACAAATCCAGCCTCTTCGATTAGCCTTTTCATGTTCGTAGCGAGATTATAGTCTCTTCCCATGGCCCGCTCGAGAGCAGGCCGAAGATTACAGACGGCTCTGACAGCGCTGTCTTCACGATAAATGCCATCGTCGCAGCTACAGTATGGTACTACCTCTGTCTCTTCGAGGTAACCGCCTGGCTTGAGGTGCCTAAAACTCAAGTCAGCATACCTGTGAAAAGATGTAGACAAGCCAGTAATAAGACCATATTTCCAATCTGGCGGCAAGATAGATACTCACTCGAAGCATTGCTTGTAGAACTCGGGATAGTTCTGGCTCCCAGCCATTAAACCTCTAGCGTAAACAAAATCGAGCTTTCCATGAACTTCTGTGATCTCGTCCAGGATCCAGCTATCGTTGTAGGACTGTAAGATGAATGATAAGTTTTCGCGCCCCTCGGTATCAGGGATGAACTGATCGAAGCCAGTGACTTGTGCCTCAGGGAAGAGATCTGCCATATTACGGGCCCACAGACCGTGCATACCACATCTCACATCGAGCACGTTCCGTAGGTCTTCTATTGGTGCTGTATAGAGTTTGTTGTCGTATAGATGGAGCATCAACAGGTGCAGGACTCTTTCGTTTCGAGAGGCCAGTTCGTCACCTCTCGCAAAGGGTTGGGAGCCATAACGATAATTGGGAAATCGACGACCATACTCGTAAACAAGGTCAGCATGAGTGGAGGCTAATGACCAAGCTGATCGATAGTCGACATCCTCATCTAAACTGTCCCTGGACTGTTGTTCCATTCTCTGTCATGTGACTCGTTGGACGGCAGGGAAAGATTTGAGACTCGATGAGAGCTATAAGCAATTCTGTTATGGAAGCATTGCATTAAATCTCCAGATGCCTGCTATTATGCAGCAATATGATAAATGAAGGAGATAGTGACAACAGTACTTGAGCAGTATCAGAGGTGGGATAGACGTTAGAAAAAATCGCTTTGAGAAACAAATGGCGAAACGAGGTTTACCTGATCCATCGCAGACGGATATGTGGAAAAGGAGGACTTATTTCGAGCAAGAGGCAACCATCCAGAATGATATCGGCATGTCCGGTGCCGATCCGTAAAATAGAGTATGAAAGCAAACTCAGAAGGCACGAGCTCGTAGTGCCTCTGATAACACATAAGGTATCCGAGTGAAAAGCTTGTCAAGTCATTGATGTAGTATGCGAGTACCGTAGTTGGTAGACCTCAGCTAGCCCCGACTGTGACATTACTCGCTTAGCACAAATCGTCGAAATAAAACTCGACAGACGTGTTCAATCGTAGCCAGTCGCGGGAGCGGATGAGGCAGTCAAGACTAAGTGTATGACGAGCAAGAATGTTTGCTGTCTGGCTGTTTGATGATACCTTAGCTCGAGTTTGAGCCCACGTAGCACTACTCGAGTATCGAAACCCTGCCTGTGAACCAACGAAAGGGGTCCACGACTCAGTATTACACAAGAAATCTGACCTGGCAAACGAGAATCTGAGCCGAAATGGTGGGACACTTTACCTGACAGAACCTCAATGCTGGATACCATGCACGTTATGCTCGGCGGCCAACGTTTCTTTCGGAACAAGCTGACCAGTAAGGCATATGATAGAAGTCTTCCAGCATTAACTCTTGGAACGTGGGAACGTGGATGGTGAGCTGCCCCACATGGCGTGACGCATAGTGGATAGGTATTCTTCCTTCATCCAGTATCCCCGTTGAGCTTGAAAATAGTGTGAATGAGAGCGTCGATGTTCAGTGCAGTGTTGATCAGCACGGAGAAGACAGGCAACTGGAGTGCGCGATCGCCGTCGCAGTGCCAATAACTTCTTGGTGTCGATCAGATGCCAGCAAAGCATGCTCCTCATGAGCGTACCGATCCGGCCTCGAGAAGTCTCGACAAGCTTGAGCTAAAGCAGTATGGCGTAACTCCCAGTGTCCGGTGCTCTGGGATGACGCCTGCAGTGACCTGCCGATCGTTAACCCCACAACCACTTTGTTGGGTCGAGGACTGCATTGTTCCAACTCCCTACCAACCCGGTAAATGGCTTGGGACGCCAAAGGAGGCGGCTTAGACTGAGATCCGAACGAGCCATACAGATGTTGACAAGTGTCTAGATCAATGCAACAATCAAAATGAAGTATGAGTTGCAATGATTCGAAAACTGTGTTCGTCTATTTGCTCTTTCAGGAAGTGGGCTTCGATCTATCATCAGCAGTTGCTCTAAGCAATTAATTTCCGAGCTCAACCGGAAGGTACAACCCAAACCCAACGCCTTCACTTTTTCCAGATCGTTCCTTGCTCGCCAGCATTATCATTATCTATGTCGATCTTGTTTGAGCATACCTGATGCTATCCATACTCCCGACCTTTCAAACACACTGAACGATTTTAAGCCTCGCCTTTGGCAGGCGCCGCTCCAGACTTGGCTCGTTTCCACAAGCACACGCTACTAACGCTGGACAAGAAAAACAAGATACTGGCAGAGCGTTAGTCACAGCGTTCAAGACTCGACATGATGCAACTTACCAGAGAGCAATGCTCATCCCCCAAATACTCTTCATCTGCAAGCAAGTCGATTTACTCGTTCCAATCCAATTTGAATAGTTGATCTTTCCACCCTCGTTAACTAAGCTGTTGCTGAGAGCGGAAGCGAATGAGTAAGCACTTGAGGCGCTGCTGTTGAGGTCGCCAATGACATTGCAATTGAGAAATGAAAGTGGCTTGCCGACCACAGCAGCAACCACGATAAGCGCGATGAGAAAGAGTGCGTCGATAATTGCGTTGATGAGGTAAGGAAGCAGGTTGTCGAGGAAAAGAATGACTGTGATGGCGCAGTAAAGTACGGCAATGCAGACCTGGAGCCTTGGTGTTAGCATTCGACCACAAGAAATAAGGTGATGTACTTACAATGCTGAGAGTACCAAGCAATACCTCAGGTGGATTGATATTTGCTGAAATCATCTCAGCGATGAAGTTGGAAGCCATTCCAATGACCGCAATCATCGACGCCGCCTGAGCATATCGAGAGAGCACGAGTGTAGCACCGAGAGCGCCCTGGTTTCCCAACATGATGAACGAGCGGTAGTGATGTCTAATGGTATCTTAGGGAATTCTGCTTGAGCTTCGAAAGAATGAATAGGCCAAATGAAATGTGCTTTGTGTCGAGGGATTGACGAAGACTCTGCTTGCTGTCGTATAATGCTCGTCAAGAGCTGCGAATTTATGCTGGTATCGCTGAACGCCTGTATGGTAGAGAGAGAGGAAGGACAACAACAAGACAGCTAGCTGAGACAATAACCCAAAACTGAAATATAGACGCAAGGAAATATTGAATAGCAATGATATCGTCGTAGTTTGATAGTCGAGCCTGTACTCACATCGACTCTCGACCTGTCTTATACCTCGTACCCTCATACCCAAAGACCCCATCCACATCGGACTGCACTGCCATCTTTAACCTCCATCAGTCTCAGACTGTCACCCAAGCACCGACACCGACATGGCGCACAAAGAGCCTCAAAAGCCTGCGGCTAAAAGTCACCACTCACCTGACAATACAGCCATGCGGAGTATCTAGTATAAACACCAGCAAAGAGCATTCTATTTAGGGCGCACAAGGCAACAGTCCACAATAGAACAGAACCTGTCGAAGACATAGCAACGAGAAGAGGAACGAGTGGTCAAGAATGAATGTTTCAGAAATACTGTAACTTCGACTGGGTTTGAAACGCCAAGACCAGCGTTTGAGGCAGGTACCGCGTTGTACTATTTCCTAACTTAAGCGCTCCGTATCCCCCAAGCGCCCAACTTAGGCCGTTCAAGCCAAATTGCAAGAAGAAGCATTGGTAAATGAGAACTCTATGTCTAAGGAATGCAAACGTACAAAGCTTTTCCCGTCCCGCAAGTCCAGCTCCTCCTTGTTCCAAGTTTCAGAATATTATGGAGATAGCTTGAAGTAGGCAAGGCACTGACACAAGCAGTTCCTGCGTCTTGTTCCCCCCTAACCACAACTCAAGACTTCTTAGTATACAATCGAGCCGCGATGTTCATACTCCATAATTCCTGGAATAGCAACTTGGCTGCATATGGCAAATAAACCTGCGAGATCTTGTTCTTGTTGTTACAATTCTTGCATTCAAAGGTGTTCTTCTTCAATTTTGCGATCACAGTCATCAGGCCGCAGATATCGCAGACGTGGACTCTGAAAGGATCGGACACATCGAAGAGTCTCTCTTTCATGAACGAACTGGCACCGTGTGCGATCATGCAATCACGCTCCATTTCTCCGAAACGAAGACCACCGTCTCGTGCTCGACCCTCCATAGGCTGTCGAGTAAGAATTTGAGTGGGTCCTCGAGCTCGGGAGTGAATCTTGTCGTCGACCATGTGGCGCAGACGCTGGTAGTAAGTAGGGCCAAAGAAGACTTGAGCAACCAACTTGCGTCCAGTGTGTCCGTTGTACATGACTTCGAAGCCACGACTGTGGTATCCCATGGATCGTAGAAGTTCCGATATCTGAGTTACAGTGACGCTGGTAAAGGGCGTAGCGTCGCCTTCTTCGCCCTTCAAGCTAGCTACTTTTGACAAAAGACATTCGATCAGATGAGCAATAGTCATTCGAGAAGGAATGGCATGAGGATTAATGATGATATCAGGGGTAATACCATTGCGCGAGAATGGCATATCTTCCTGACGATAGGTAATACCGATAGTACCTTTTTGACCGTGTCGCGAGGCGAACTTGTCTCCGATCTGGGGAACTTTGGTGTTTCGAACGCGAACCTTCACAAATTTCTGGAGGTCGGCATTCTGTGTGAGCATAACAGCATCGACCACGCCAGACTCTGTAGACCTAAGTGGTATGGAGACATCACGCTTGACGTGAGTCTTCTGTCGCTGACCGAGCTCTTCAGCATCTGGTGCCATTGGTGCAGTCTTACCCATGATGATGTCTTCGCCAACTACTCGAACGCCTGGAGAGATAATGCCATCTTCGTCGAGCTTGTCATAGGTGCCGTGCTTAAGTCGCAGTGTGTCTTGTCTTGTAGGCTTCTCGAACTTCTCGAATACATTTTGCCCGACAGACTTCTCCTGTTCTTGGTATACACGGTAGAACAAGGATCTGAATAGACCGCGATCAATCGAGCTCTGGTTCATAATTACCGAATCTTCTTGGTTGTAGCCTGAATAGCAAGCAATGGCGACAATAGCGTTTTGACCGGCAGGCAGTTCTCTGAATTTGAGATAGTTCATAGCCTGGGTTCTTGCTAGCGGTTTTTGAGGATAATAGAGAATGTTGGCCATGGTCTCCATGCGCTGGTCGAAATTGGTGAGGAAAATGCCCATTGCTTGCTTGCCCATGGCTGACTGATAGGTATTACGAGGCGACTGGTTGTGATCGGGGAAAGGTATGATACTGGCACAAACACCAAGAATCATGCTCGGATGAATTTCACAGTGAGTGAATATCTTTGCACTTGGTGCAAGAGGAACCTCGTTCCGGCGCAAAGGATCGTTATCCTGCTCGATGATATAACCCTCTGCTCGGGCGGCAGCGTCTGCTAGGTTCTCAGGAGTCATCACGATCATAGCTTGCTCTTCCTCCTCGGCATCCAGGTATTCTATGGCACCCTTCGCCACCAAGTGAAACCAGTTGAAGGGTGGTTGGTTTTCGCGCCGGGCTTCCAAAGGATTCTCGATCAACCAATTGTCGGCCTTGATTGCGTCCACGTCTTTGCGGGTGACTATAAGCTTACCAGTATTCCCTTCATGGGCCGTCTCGATTGTGAACAAGGGTCTGCAGAGTCTCCCAACATCACCACTCAGGCGAAACTCCTTCTCACGAATGTCCCATACCAGACTGTAATCCCACTCCAGCGTTCCATTACGTCGAAGTCTTTTCATTGTGTTCACGAGTGGCGTTGGATCACCTGTAACGACAGCAAACCAAACACCGTTCACGAATATTTTGGTCACGTCGGGGTAAATACGAGGTTCCCATTCTTCAAGCGCGGTCGGGCCTGTGCTGTGGTCGAAGATCCAGGCTTCAAGTGCGGGACCATTGGCTCGGCCGGAAGAGACTAGCGACATCAAAGCCACATTCTTGACTAGACCACAAGCTTGGCCTTCAGGAGTCTCAGCTGGACAGACGTAACCCCAGTGAGTGTTGTGCAGTTGACGTGGTTTTGCGATTTTGCCTTCGCGGCCGATAGGAGCGTTGGTCCTTCGCATGTGCGAAAGAGTGGCAGCAAAGGTATATCTACTCAAGACTTGCGACACACCAGCTTTAGCTTTGTCAAGTCTCTTTTGATCACCCCAATTGCCTGTAGCGAGAGAATATTTGAGCCCATTTGTGAGGATAGCTGGCTTGAAACCTGCTTTGAGACTGATAGGATGACCATCCTGAACCTTCTTCTCCATATACCTCTGAAGATCCTTGCAAGCCTTGTCAAGCTGTTGGCGATACAAGGTCGTCATAAGAGGACCAGGAAGATCGATTCGTTTCTTGCCTAGATGATCACGGTCATCTGGCTCGGTTCGGTTCAAAGCACACTTGAGCATACGCGAGACCATGTAACCCAGAAAGAAGGCTTTTCGTGTGGTTGCATCCGCAGTCTGGCCGATATGAGGCAAGAATTCCTTGGTTAAGATATCGATGGCTACCTTTTGACGATCCGAGGAACGTAGTCCGCTGTTGTTGCTTCGCTTAGCAATGTAGTCGCGTGCGACGTCGGCACTCTGAATGACCTGACCTTCCTGAATTGAGCCCATAAGCTTGTCAACCATCTCTTTATCTCTGTGATCGAAGCATATCTTCTCGAGGATATCTTGATCGGACATGACGTCCAAAGCACGGAAGACGATGGTAAGTGGAATGTCCTCTTTTACGTAGGGAAGTTGCACTCTGATAGGACCATCGATCTTGGTGCCGTCAGGACCGTCACCTTTGCGGAACAACTTCACAGTACACTGCGACATTATCCTATTTCCTTTGTCGATGACGCTTCGAATTTCAGCGAGATGAGTGAAGGCTGAAGTTGATGGTTTCTGGAAGACCTGGACAATGTTGCCAGCGCTTCTTTCCTGCGCAATCAAAACCTTCTCGGATCCATTAATGATGAAGTAGCCACCTTGGTCGTAAGGACATTCACCCCAAGCAAAGAGCTCGTCCTCTGTAGGAAACATATCGGGCTGGACCAAATGGCATGCAGAGCTCTTGACCATGATTGGGACATTACCAACGAAGATATCTTGACTGGGTTCGTGAGCCCCCTCTTCCCTGCTCTCTCTCCAGTACAGGACCTGACCTGAATCGTCCATGCTGCTGTCATCGATTGATTGCACATCCCACGGCTTCGCTTTTGCTAAATGGGTCTTTCGTTCCATGGTACAGAAGATAGGAGCAGCATATGTAAGACTCCTTAATCTCGCCTCGTGAGGCATCATGTTACTAATTTCGCCATCACCCTCAGTGTAGCTTGGTCTCGAGATAGTGACACCACCGAATATGATTTCATGTCGCTTGATGACTACAGGATTGGGATCGTCTTCGTCAGCGATGTTTTCTGTCTGATCCACAGTGATTCTGCCTTTCTCATTAAAAAGGTCCTGGATGCTGACAGTAAGGAAGTCGTTGAAAGAGTCGATTTGTAATGCGCAAAGATTTTTTTGGTGGAAGAAGGAGGTGACTACTTCCCAGCAATCCTCCTCGCTCAATGTCTGATCGTCGCTATATTCAGCAACTTCGCCGTCTCCGTATACACCATCTACATCATACTCCGCCATCGTGATCGCCTAGGAAGGTGGACTTGAGTTCGAAAGGGGAGGAAGGGAGATCGCAGAAGGCAATGCAAGCGCTTGGCCTGCACCAGGCAGTCGTCGCGTGGCTCTGAGATATCAGCTAAGACTTCAGGACGCTTGACTTGAAGCGACAATACGATTAGGGAATATCAAAAGGTGTACAGCGACAAAGGTCGAGAAGGTTGAGCGAAGAAGACGTGAATTGCGCTTTGAAAGTTGTGAATTCGCAAGACAGGCGCAAGTACAACGCGGTAGGAATGCGCTAACTTCTCACGTGACAGAAAAGTGTGGAACAACCTACCTAGTACGAGTACCTTTTGCGAGTAGTAAACACACTTCACTTTCAATAACTCTGGGGTATCATGGTAAACAATCAAGAAGCGCTTGCAGCATATCCTTCGTTGACTCCGCGTCAGCATTTCCTTCCAAATCGATGCCATCCAATTGCTCCCGTAAACTCACTCGAAGCTTGGCCATTCCACCTGTGTCCTTCGAAATGCTCGCTAATATGTACTTCCTAGCGCCATCGTCTTCTGCTATCAGCCACGCAAGGATTATGTCTAGTGTCTGCAACGGAAAGAGCCCAGCATCCATCCTTCGAGACAAGTATTCATTTTCAGTATCCTCCACATCTTCAGGCGAAAGACTTTTCTTTTCCTGCTCAATTTGTTCTTCGGCTGCGGCTAGTCTGTCCGAGTATCCCTTGCGCAGTTCTAGAAGTCTATTGCACTTCTCATAGTCTTTCTCAACAAACTTAGCAAGGAGTCGGATGCGTGAAGCAGAACCTGGGGGTAACAAGCGCAGTAGCGAGGATAGTATGCCAATGAGATGCTCTATTGATTCCCGCTCAAGCTTCTTGCTTTTCATCAGTGCTGTGAATACCTGCTTGAGACCACCAGCGTCCACTAGTCGCTCGTACACTGGTCCCCCACTGAACCCATCCGCTGCATGGTCAAGCACTCTTAGAGCTCCATGCTTGGAGAACTTACCGTCTTTCAGCATGATCAGGCAAAGCTCCATGCCCTCTTTTTGGATGAATTCATCACGACCTGAGGCGTGTTTGACAAGGGTGACGAGACAATCGAATAGGTTGCCTGCGAATTCCTCTTCATCAGAATCCTTTTCCGGGTCACGACTTCTCCACGCACTCAGCAGCTCAAGAATTGTGTCGACCGCATCCAGCTTGACGAGCCGTTCAATGTTTTTTACATCTGTTTGTGCAAGAATGACCAGAATCTCGGCGGCATACTGGCGATTCTGACCCACTTTGTTGGACGCAGACTCATCAGATTGCTTAATGCGTTGTAGTAGCCACTTAAGAAACTTTGCATTCGCTCCGATTTTCTCGGCATTTGCAGTATCGGACAAGAGAGACTCGATGACACTCAGCACATGATAGACTCCTGCATTGTCACTCTCAGTTTTTTCGTCGAGACGATTAAGATTGCTGACTAACAAACCTATAAGGTCCGCCTTGAGCATGCTCTTCACAAGCACGGACCAGTCGTCTGCTGATGCACCAGAGTCCTCGTCAATCAAGTCTGCGATAACCTCTGTAGCTGCAATGGCAATGTCGGTGTTGTCATGAGCTAGCAAGCCAACGAGACTGTCACTACAACCAGATCTCACAAAGTCCTTGTACAGGTCAGAGTGCTCGGAAAGTAAGGAGAGGCTCTTAATTTCCGAGTCAAGATCGGCTTCACTCGACATGAACTTGGTAGGATCGTCCTCGTATTTCGCGCGCAACTCGGCGTTCTTGTTAGTCTTGCGCTCGAAGTTGAGGGCCGTACGTTTCAGCCAGACCAAATTGATCTCCTCCTCAACGTCGTCGTCCTCATTTTGTTCAATGTAATCTAGCACGTCGTTTTCTTTCTTGGAAACACCACCACCAAAAAAGCGTCCTTCTTCATCGTCCTCTACTTCCTCGTCAATGTCGTCTTCTGGCGGAAGTGCTGGTCCTGCCACCTGCTCTTCCTCAGGCTCATCCTGTACAAATGCGGTCTTTGAGCCGTTAGGTGAGCTGGTATTGGGAGTGCCTCTAGGTGAGTCGACCTCGCTATGTTTGGCAGCTTTCTTGCTTGCAGTTCGTGTAAATGAAGTGGTGGGATCGTTCAATTTGCGCTTGAGTGAGCTGGTAGGAGGTGGTAGAGTGTTGATGGAAGCCATTGACTGTTTTCATCAAGACATGGATTTGCCTCCTAGTCGAAGTCTCTTTCCCGTAACCCAAAGCTGCTGAAACAGTTGCAGTTTGTCACAGCTTTCGAAAGTTGGTATCCGGAAGTTGGTATTCGAAGTAAATGTCGAAAAACATGCAAACATGCAAACATGACAAACATTGAGCCGTGATGTACCTGGTGCATACCGAGTGCTGCTTTTGAAGATTCACCATCACCTTACGTTACTACTGGTTCGTCTGCGCATCGATATTCCAGCTCCGAAACATCAGACTCTTTTCAACTGAAGTTGTTGTTTCGCGCCAGATACAAAACATCTTTAACCTCCCCTTACGCGTTCGTTGAGGTCGCCAACTCCTTTGTACCACCCATCAATATGCCCCCAAAAAGAATTCAAGTTCAGCCAGCTAGGCGACAACCTAAAGAAGAAGGATATATTTCGACTATCTACAATACTTTGACAAACGAGGATAATGCCAGCGTGGTGATCAGTGTTGCTATGTTTGGAGTACGTCCACAATTCTAAGCTCAGTCGCCGTGATGGGGCACTCTCTCTCATAGATAACACGAACGAAACTAATTGGTGTGATCAGGCAGCTGTAACCTTCTTCAACTCGAGCTGGGCCGACTTTCTTCTACCGGATTTCTAGATGCGACTGCCACAATGCTCAAAAATACTGTATATCACTATAAAACGACTGCGCTCTACTGTGTTACGTTAAGCTGGCTCGGTCTGGCGCGGGATTAAATATATAATACATGATGTTTGTGCACAGGAGAGCAACATTCTATGGATGCAAAACAGGCAGTATGGTGGCTAAAAGTCCATCAATTCGACTTCGGAATGTGTTGTAAAGTTCAGCCATGATCAACAAGAAATTCATCTGAAGCAGGCGCGATCCATTCTACCAGGGCTGAGTTGTGACTACGGAAAGAGCAGGTTCCTTCACGGGTATACTCCTGGTTTGTTCGACGAAAGTACAGGCAGCCACTACTCAGGCGAGCTGAAAGCACCATTATGAATGTCAGCACAGGAGCTGGTTCTGAACATGCTTAACGAAAGAAAAAGAACTATTGTCCAGTCTCTGCTACCTAAGACGATCTCATGGCAGTCGCTGATAACTTTGTCAGATTTATATAAGTACAAGCCTGCTAAGATGATATAGACATTACAAACGTCCTTTTGCACATGTTATGCTCACTCCATTCTATACGAGGTCGATCTGTACGAGGCACTGCGAGGTTCCAGGAGTACCCAAGATCTCGTTCTCTACGAGCGTCCGATTTCGTGTATTACTAACCAACAGGACATTCAGGTGGTACAGTATCGCTGAGATCGTGCTCACGATCACAGACAAGCGAGTCGACAGGCGCCTGCAACAACAAGCATTTTCGTCCACCAATCACACTTCGGACAGTCCCGGCAATTGCTCGCATTTGCGCACACACTAGCCCAGGATCGCTGAAAGTTTTTGCGACTTATCAACGAGACCAACCTCTTTCAGCGCCTTATCGCAGTCTGCAAACTCGCAACTCGTTTTTTTACAAAATCACATCGTGCTTCTTGTTTCTCTCTCTCCTACCATCGATGTTCTAGCTGACAGTCACAAAGTACTGACGACCGTGCAAGCAGCCAGTATCGATATCCAACACCAGAACCGAGGCCGAATCATTGACACAACAAAGACTGCATCATTGGCCAACAAGCACGATTTATCCACGGAAGCATCTCCACACGACCCTGCTCGTTGCCGCCATTTACACCATACGCTTTTTGCGGGCTCTTGTCGATCTTATTTGACGTGCAACTACTGGAAGCTAATACGTGTGAACTCTAATTGACAACATCTGACACGCTTCACTCGCACCAGTGGCGGGCTCATTCAAGCCTGCCTGTTCTCGTCTTCAACATGTCCCTCGCTCGAGTCTCTTCCATCGACGGTTTTGAGCGTCATGATAATGAATCCAACGTCTCTTCAATAAGACGGCTCAGCTTCAGCCCAATGGGAGACCCCAATAGTCCTCGACCACCTTCCGACAGAAAACCGAGCGTTGTTCCAACTCTCCAATTCCTCGAAGTGCCAAAGGCAAAGAGGATTCTTCAAGTCGTGCTTGCAATCATCTACTGTCTGTTCGCAGCTGGCATTGTCTTTGGCTATGCTGCTATCAAGCCCGTTCTCATCGATGAAGGCGTCTACAAGAATTACTGCACAGAGGAAGAGCTGAAGCAGGGCACAAGACCATGTTACCAACAGGAGATTCGGCTGAACTTGATGTTCACCGTTGCTGCTGTTTCTACGAATGTAGCAGCCCTACCAATTGGGACTGTCCTTGACACCTATGGGCCACGTGTCTGTGGTATCATCGGCAGTGTCTTGTTAACTATCGGTGCCCTCCTCTTCAGTTTCGCTCCTCGACTGCCTGGCGATGCCTACATCCCAGGCTACCTCTTCCTAGCACTCGGCGGTCCCTTCATTTTCATCTCCTCTTTTCAGCTGTCCAACACCTTCCCTCAGCGATCTGGTTTGATCTTAGCTCTGCTGACTGGTGCCTTTGATTCGTCCTCCGCCCTCTTCCTTATCTTTCGACTGATTTACGAGGCCACCGATGGCAAGCTTAACACAGAAAAGTTGTTTCTCATCTATCTGGTCGTTCCACTGTTCATTCTGATTGTCCAGCTCTTTGTCATGCCAATAGAGTCTTACAAATCAGTCAGCGAGGTCATTGAGGAAGTAGAACACGAGGCAGTGGTGCCTACACCACCCGAGTACAATGAAGAAGAACGCGAAATTGTACGGGAGAGGAGGGACAGCATAGCGACCGAAGTCCAGTCACTTCTCGACAAAGGTTCGAACAGGAAGCGTGAGGCACGTGAAGACAAGAAGAACAGTAGAAGTGGTGTATGGGGAGCACTACATGGTCGCACAGCATGGGAACAGATGAAGACCTGGTGGTTCGTCCTGATCACATTGTTCACCGTCGTGCAAATGACTCGCATCAACTATTTTGTCGCTACTATTCGCTCCCAAGAAAGGTGGCTTCTTGGCTCGGAGAAAAGAGCAAAGGTCGTCAACGACTTTTTCGACGTTGCTTTACCGCTCGGTGGTGTTCTTTCGATCCCCTTCATCGGCACCATCCTGGATAATACATCAACACCGTTCGCCTTGGGCACTTTGGTGTTCTTCGCCACTATCATTGGCATTCTTGGTTGTTTACCTTACATGTGGGCTGCCATCGGTAACGTATGCCTCTTTGTGGTGTATCGCCCATTCTACTATACCGCAGTGTCGGACTACTCTGCCAAAGTATTTGGCTTCCAGACGTTCGGAAAGGTTTATGGCCTCATTATTTGCTTAGCTGGGCTGTTCAACTTTCTGCAGAGCCCGCTGGACGCTTTGACTCACGTTGCGTTTGATCTAAACCCAATCCCTATCAATTTAGTACTGCTAGGTCTAGCAGTTCTTGTTGGCACGTCTTTGGTTACGTACACGGCTCTCAAAAGTAGGAATATGAAAAGAGATCATCTGGAGCAGGAAGCTGAAGACGCGACGGAGAGTCAGATACCTAGTGTCAACGCAAACTCATATGGAACTCAACAGTAGTGCAGCTGCGGTTCGAAAGGAGTTTTTAGAGGGACGATGATTGTGGTGGTTATTTATCTCGCATCTTAGCACGGTGTTCAAGGCGATCTGAATTGATTTGTACATATTCTGCTACCAAATTTTCTGATATAGTCAAAAACAATCTTTATTCCCGCAACTGTTACATCAAGACAAATACAATCCTGGCGTTGAGCCAGCACTCGTTGTGTTAGTTGGGACGCTGTCCTTGATTTCGCAGGCCATGCTCGATGATGAACAGCGAAGGTATAAAATCAGCGATTTGAGGACCTTAAGGATAACATATACATGTACCTTCTCTCTCACGCACCTGCCGCTGGCTCAACCTCTACCCGTCCTTCTATTTGCACGAAGTAGATTGTGCAACGGTCTTGCCCTCTCAACACAACGGTCTGATATCTATGAGCTTCCGTCACATCCCAGCTGGATTACCACGTCTTATTTGAGAATTCCTAGCCTACTTTGACAAAGAGCAATGCAGCCGATATGTTCATCCACGCCATGAGGCCTTCCACGCTAGAAACACCTCTTTCTCCTCCAACACTGTCATGGTGACCATCATCGTGGTCGGTTATCACCAGATACCGAATCTCGTCTACCTCCGTTGTCCTTCGAGTCGACCCTAATCAGCACTAACCCCATTTCGTCCCTCGAGTATCCAGAAACTCAAATCACAAATCCTCCATCTTCCACACTTCTTGCAACCTTCCTTTCTGGCGCGGGGCTGGCCAGATCTTCGAGGAGAAGAGCATGACATGACGCAAAACCCATTTTCCTCGTTCCAAAAACACACGAAGGCCCGGCTATGACTGTCTGATCTCATTTACATGCTCGATCTCAGCTATACCGCAAGCTCGCAATTGGTTGCCAGACAGCTAAAGGCGCGATGCGGCTCTCCATTGGTTTCCACTCGAAGTGACTGCTACATGATGGACCGAGATACTGCTTCCAAATACTATGCAGGTAAGAGAGGATGTGAGAGGTCGAGGGACGGCCAGATCAGATCTCACTTTTAGGTATCAGAGTCATGGTCAACTTATCTTTCCATGTGCATCATTGAATCCATAACACATCTCATCTAACCGCAGATACATAAACACTGATCTGTCTCATCTCCCTGCTCCCTCCCTATGATTCCTCAAACATACGTACAGCCAATCAACCGAACCTTACTACCACCACTCACACTCAAAATGTCACAAACCTTCCGAGGCCACTGCCACTGCAAAGCCGTTGAATGGCAAGTCGAGCTCCCTTCCGACTCCCAATCCCACATCCTCTGCCATTGCGAGGCCTGCAAGCTCCAGTCCGGCGGTGAATTTACCCTCAACCAGCTCGCTCCCAAGGATGCCTTCAAGCTCACCAAGGGCGACTTGAAGGTGTACACCTACAAGGGCGACTCGGGCAACCCAGTCGACTGCTACTTCTGCGCCAACTGCACAAGTTCGCCATATCATCATCAGGTAAGCAGAAGCAAAATCAACCTAAAAGCAAATGTGAAAAAGAGGATATGTGCTAACTCGCGCCACAGCACGCACTTGGCGACAAGATCGTCGTACGAACAATGCTCCTCCACGGATCCAAGGACTGGGGAACACCAGCTTTGGAGATCTTTGGCAAGGATAAGCTGAACTGGCAGCCACAGACTGCGAAGGATATCCTCCCTGCTGGACCATAAAAGAGGACGGGACGACAGCTTGGAGAAAGATAGAAGGAGGTGAGGTACTACGTAATGCGATGGAAAGAGCAGGCTCTAGCTAGAAAAGCTGATTAGATAGCAGAATACAGAGTCTTTGCAACACAGCACATAGAAGCAATCTTAGCTTCAATCTCCTTACACCTCCCATACTGTGAGCTTCTCGTTTGTCCTGGCCCTTACCACGAGCAATACCTGCATGACTGCGCATGTACCACGGACACATCCAAAGGGGGTCAATGCCGGATTATCATTGCAGGCTCAGACCTGATTCCAGGTAGGGCTTGAGTATAGGACAAACCAGAGTATTCATCGTGCACCACGTTTCTACTTCCAAGCAAGCAGAGCATCCGATGTGCTTCCTCTCTACTGACCGTTCGTCAAATTCTTTAGCAAAATACTAATAAGCCTTCTCACTCTCACCCTCCTCCACCTGCATCAAATTCTCAACCTTGATATGCGCATACCCAACCCCATTACTCTCCAACGCATCCACAACCCTCCTCATCGCCGCCAACGTCTTCTCCTCCTGTAACCGCCACGGCACACCCCCAACAACCTGCACCGCACACGGCAACCCCTCCATGGCCTCACTGTCATAATACTTGTACGCACCCGCCATGACGCCATTCGTCGCCCTGAAGTCCGCAGGGAGCTTGTCAAGAACTTTGTCAACTTTCGTAACCGGGATGACGCCAGCGGTATAGTCGAGCAGATTGAAGAGGAAGGTATAGCCGCAGGAACTGACGGCGTCGTGCATGCCGTTGTGGGGCAGGGCGGGCGTGGCGTTGACGGGGGTGAGAATCAGGTCGAAGGATTGTTCGGGTTTGGAGAGCCAGTCGAACCAGGTTGAGCGGAAGGCTTCGCGTTTGGCGACCCACTGCCAGTTCTCTTGGGCGGAGAGGTGTTTGAAGTTTTGGAGGAGGCTGGCCCAGATGGGGTCGCGGCGGACGTAGCGGACCCAGAGGTAGTGGATGTAGCGGAATAGGCTGGGGAGTCTGGAAGCGTAGAAGTAGAGTTGGCGGGCACCGCTGTCGTTCCATTCGCCTGTGCGGAAGAAGGACTTGTATGTCTTGCCGCCGTCGGAGCAGAGTAGGGTCGAAGCAATGCGGAGCGCGTCGAGGGGTTTGTGGTTTTCGGAAAACTTGTCTTGGGTGATTTCTACTATGGTGTGGCCTGACGCTCTAAGGGCAGAAATTGTGAGCTCGAGACCACGAGCGATGGCAGGAGAGGGCGGCACAACGCCGTCAGAGCGCATGACACCGACGCGCAGAGTCTCTTTGTTCATCGTCTCGTCGTAGGCGTCCTGTCGCCAGTAGAGGTTTGGGTGGCAGGTATAGTCGAATTGCCATGGCTTCATGCTGATGAAAGACTTGGTGAAATAGGTCAGATCGTCTAGGGTGCGTGCCATGGGCGAGAAAACAGATGGAATACCTTCTTGACCAGGCATGGAGGTATTCATGCCCATCTTAGGCCAACGACCAGTTGAGCAGCGCAGAGAGAATATGCCGGACCAAGCAGCAGGAGCACGTACACTTCCCGCAACATCTGAACCGATGCCGATACGAGAGCCGTTCATGGCCAATATAGCACCCTCACCGCCAGTGCTGCCACCAGGCGAGTACTTGGGGTTGTGCGGGTTGCGACATACACCCCAGACATCGTTTGTGGACTCGAAAGACAGCAGAGTAATTGGAAGTGCAGTCTTGACATGTGGTATTGCGCCCGCGCTCTTTAGCAACCTGACCAGAGAGCCATCTTGTGCATACGGCTGATTCACGTATTTTGAGTAACCAACCGAGACGTCAAAGCCACCGACTGCGATGCTGTCTTTGAGCGAGACAGGAATGCCTGCCAAAGGTCCGTCGAGGTTGATCTCGCCTTTCTTGATCCATTCTTCAGCATCTGGCAGCATCAACTCAGTCACACAGTTGGTCTTCTTGTGTGCAAATGCAGCTGTCTTGCCATATGCATGAAGAATCTCAACTGGGGAGGTGCGCTTGTCTTTGACGTCCTGTACAAGAGCCTCGATGGGCCTGTACAATATAGCGACTTGACTTGGAGTGAGGCGACCGCGATAGGGTGCTGGGAGGGAAGCAAAGCGCTCTTCACGCTGTTTCTGCTTGAACGAGCTGCATGCTGGTCAATCCAGAGTCCTGGCTGTTCGAGGCAGCTCTATCTGAGCCTGTACGACTTCCTGGGGTTTACATACCATGCTTGTAAGTGCTCGAAATAGTCGAACGGTGGCAGCATCTTCACCTATATCGAGCTGATCGTGCATATGACCATGTCTGGTCGATCACACACACATTCAGAGCTCAACTATCTTCCACTATTCACAGCAGAGCGATGAGATAAAGGTAGGGCGCACAACTGCTGAAGCATGCCTACATCATTGGAGAAGGCCGCCCAACAGTGCAAGTCCGAAAGCTTCCTCAGGGAGCAGACCCTCTATTAGCCGTGCCTCCAATCACCAACAAGCAGCACTGGGAACAGGTGTTTCCCGCGACCACCTTTTTGAGCAGTTGCAAGCGAAGGTGGAAAAGAGTTCGTGGCCGCCTAAGGCACCAAAGTAGGACACGATCTCAACACCCAGGCCTCTTCAAAACCCTAAATCACATGAGTATCACATCAAGACAGACCTTCGTACCGTACAGCGACGATCTGGTACTAACGCCCACGTTCGCAAGGACACCATGTGTTACACAAGGATCGCGACTATCAGTGGGCCAAAGTGGAAGTGAGGCTTGACACATCAGCAGGATCTTCAGGGTCCAGGTACGTTTTTGGTGCGAATGGCGCGGAGATGTCAATGAAACTCGATATCTTTGTGATATGACCTTGGTGGTGGTGTGACAGATGTCGATCGTGTCAATGCAGTGTCACAGCTCCAGAGAAGTGCTCAGACAGCCCTGACATGGAACGCTCAAGAGATAGGTGAATGATTTTAGTTGGATATTTACCTAGTGCTGCGAAGAGCCCTAGCAAAAGAACTATTGACATAAGGGTATCATTTAACCAAAAATAGTGCAGACCGACCGAGCAACATGCGCTCAGATCCCCACCCATGTACAATCGTGAAACCCTGGTAGATGTTCGTCGATATCGACCCGTCGCATATTCAATATCGCTTGATCAAAGTCGTGTGGAAATTCATACGCTAACTTTTCCCCGAAGATATCGTGAACTGAGCTGAAGCTTGCGAGGTATTTTTCCTTATAGAGAAGATGTGACACCCTGGTAGGGGTACTGATGATTTGGCAGAGGTTGTGGCATGGAACCTGGAACAAGGTTGGGATCGAACTGGTGTGGAAGTGGGTAATGCCCATTGCCTTGATCATAATCAAGATGGCCGAATGGATGAACAGGATAACCATGTGTGGAGGAGTCGGATCGTTGCGGTAGCCATGGCTCGGACGCTCGCCTTAGGAGACCTGGTGCTGGGACTACAGGAAAATACGGCGTAGCATCCGCCGATAATGCTTCGTGATGAGATTGAGCACCAGGCGAGATCACCATGTTCGGTCCAAGTGTTTGGCTCCTTCCTGTCACAGATAGCGGTATGTACGTAGGTCTCATGTCTGAGTTTGATGCCATTTCTTGCTGTGGACTTATCACAGGAGGCCGTAGAATCGTGTTCGCATATGTGTCGTCTTGCCTTGGTGATACCATTGCACGAGGAGTATTGTTCAATTGCGGGTCTCTAGATGAGTGCGGTAGCGGAGGTGAGAATGGATTTTGAGCATACACAGCTGTCCGAGGCTGATCGCTTACTTGCTGGTTGACACTGTTGAAGTATGTAGCATCAAAGTGATGAGGGATCATGTGTCCCGGTTCACTGGTATCTGCATATAGGCCCTCGTTGTAACCGTGTGCGATGTAGTAGCTCTCGGGCGGAATCAGAGGTGGACGTATGTCGTGAAATGGCATCAAACCGTGTACAAGTGGGTTGTGATGGGTTTCAAAGTTCTGCTCCAGCGCCGGATACTGAGAGGTGGTTTCAGTAAAGCTGGTGTTCGTGCTAGATATGTAAGGTGTGAGGTCTTCGAACCCTGGATGAGCCTCAGTGTGATGTACTTCGGGCATCGTGCTTAAGACAAAAACACCCGGGCCTCGTGAGCCCCTGCTTCCTGCAGTGGTAGGAGCAACACTTAACGCCACGCCATCACTAGTGTCTCCAACTCGTCTTCTTTTCACGGGCTTCGGTGTCGATGACGAAGAGTCTGTGACACTTCCTGTACTCTGCCTCCGTCTGCTGTGTGGCATATGGTTGCTAGACGACATCGGCGGCTCCGCGTGCACAGTGCTATCTGCTGATGTTGAGTTGCTCTCAGACCGCTTCAACACCATAGTCTTCCTGTTGTTAGCACTGACAAGCGAACCTCTGCTTGGCTCGCACGCGTCAAGGATTGCAATGGCCTTGTCAAATATTGGACTAGAAGGATTGAGTACCCTCAAGTCAAGAAAACGTTGTCGCAGTCGCGAGAGCATTGCCCTGACATCTTCCATGTTGTCTGTAGCATCTTTGGCTTTCTTGTAGCTATCACCTGCTTTACTTTTAATGTTCTTGTCGCTTAGATGACCAATGCCAAGGGTCGTGACAGCAATCAAAGCGCCATGGAGCCGAAACCAAGATCGAGCACTCTGTTCCGCGTCAATGTCACAGAGTCGATCAAATGCTTGCAACGCAAGCTTGGCATGCTTGTTCACCAGTTTGGTATAACTGCTCCTCTTTGATTGTGTCTGAAGGCCCATGTCGTGTATAATGTCTGATGCTCCACTGCCTGCAGGCGGGACTAGACGTCCTTGTGCCGAGTAGAAGGCAGCAGCACTAGCAATCCTGCAGTTCATAACCATGAGGATCAGATTTGACCTCAACTTAAGTGCTTCCCTATCTGCTGTTTCGCTGCCATTCTTGTATGTTGCAACCCTCTCGACAGGGGTTACAGGTTCGCCTTGCCTGAAGAGGTGGGCAAAGCGCAGAAACTCCCACACGCCAGCCTCATCTGTGGTGTCGACCTCCAAAATCCTCTGCATGGTCGTGAGCACTTCAATCTTGAGGGCTACAAGATTACCTTGTGATTTGCAGAATTCAATCTTCCGAGATAGGAATGTCGATTTGTCCCAAGTCGATGGTCGTGGCTGGCTACCAAGAAAGAAGCCCAAGGTACTGTCCAAGTCAACCAACTCAAGACACAGGAGGTTGATTTGTTCGGAGAGATGTGCATCGGGACGGAAACCTCGAAGGAGAGTGTTCTGTGCATACACTGCGCAAACTTAACAATAAGTCGAAGATCAAGACCTCAACGGTTGCACTTACTCTCCCAACCCTGAATTTTGGCAAGCAATGACGGCAACGCCTCCCAGGCTGCACGTAGATGGCCACTATTCACAAGCTGTAGTAGCTCGTCCAGACTTGCCTTCCACACATCGACATTGGATTGGCCCTCCTGCCTCGACTGTACATTTACACGCAGAGCAGATGGCCCAGAAACGCTCGATGTGACGTTGTTCATGTCATTCTCCATGACAAGACTCTGCAATTCCCTCCAACCAGTCAACAAAAACTCCACGTCTGTTCTAGCCCTGTTCTTCATTTGCTTGACCCTAGCAAACTAATATTGTCAGCTTTATTCATGAAAAAGTGATAAGAACTTTTGTACCTCCTCAACGGTGCCACAAAGTGACATCTTCTGGAATATCGTATCTGTTGATTCCGTCGCGACAGCCGTTATGCTCGATAATAGCTCTGTTCGGCCGTTGTGTCGCGGGTCTCGATCTTCTTGCTCTGCTGAGACGTCTGAGGAAACGCTTTCGCCATCTCGTCTTCTCTTTTTGGTCTGGTTTGCTGCACGAGCGGCAGCCAGATTCTGAGCTTTCTGATTGTATTCACACGTTTTGGCCTTCTTCTCCGTCCGACAAGCGCCGCAGGGCATTCCTCCATCACACTGCAGGATCTTAGCATCTGTTTGCGATCATACTTATGTACAACAGGTCTACCTTTGTCTTGGAGCGCTTGCATGGGATACAAGCACCGTGCCGCTTCGTGGCCTTAGGCTTCTGGGCTTGGTGCTCCCCTTTGGTGGCGTTCAGATCCAGGGGGATGTTCATCGTGCGTATATAGAATGAAATTTCGTATCGCCGTATTGTAACATTTGGGTCGAAGAGCGAGCTCGAGGATATTGAGTGGCACAAGTTGAGAAATAATGGTAGGCTGTTCCAGAAGGCGTGTTTTTTGTATTTGCAACTATACCTGAAAGTCCAGTATAGGATAGGAGGCGCAGCGATAGAGTCTTTCAAGAAGACTGAAAAATTGTTTGAGCGGTGAAGATTCAGTCATTGACTCCAACCAGTCTAAGAGAATAACCTGAGGTTCGTAGGAGCGCACCTGCAGTCAATGTGCGCACGGACGTCGCCATCAACTAGGACCAGCCAGCGATAGTTATTCGAGAGAATTTTCGACGGTCCCCCTGGGCGGTCAGCGATATCCAACCACTATCTTGGGCACAGTCTTCAGATGTATCAGTCAACTAATAGACAGCTGGTATAAGGCTCGTGAAACTTGGCGCCTCACTCGATGGAAGGCCTGGCAAGATGTCAGGGAAGCGCTGTCGATCACTACTAGAAATTCCAAAGGGACATGCTCTGATGATGACACGACAGAGTTATAGGAACAGAACGATCTAGCATGCCTAGTATGTGTTTGAAACAGGGCCGCTATCAGGAGTACGATCTCTTGACCATGCCCATTAGAGCAGAGATCCGGCAACACAAACCTAGATACGCATCTCGAGACGAGTTGAAGAAAGTACTCGTATAGTACGCCTTCGAAATCGGGTTTAATGGATCCATATCCAGGATGAGGCTTGCACACCTTTCGACCATTGGCACCGGGCAACTGGCCGTCCCAGACACTTGGGTCGATCGTTGAGAGTGTTGCACAGAGGGGGCCATCACGAAGCCACAATGTCTGATTGACGCTCGTAGCACGCTAGAGACCGACTCATAGCGTATCAAGCTGAATCTAGGCTCATATTGGTGCAATGTGCCAAGTTGTATGGTGCACAGGCGAGGTCCGTGCGCTCTGTCCAAATGTAGATGGGCTTGCTGCGAGTGCTGACGGGGCCTCGGAAATACGAGAGAGCGGCTAAAGTGCTGTACGCACCAAGAAGTGACGAGAATCATGAATTGGGTAGAGATTGAGAACAGGCGAGCAATAGCCTACGATTGACGAGCGTACAAGGATCTTCAATGCAGCCGCAGTGTGTATCGGCCCACACCACGCCGCGACGCTACTGCGAGGATCTGAGCACTAAGTGAGGGAGGATCTCATCCGCGAAAGCCTCCAATCTTCTTTGGGTCGACATGGTGTTATCTTGTGCTTGGAACAAACCCCGTCCGCACCTCCATGTCGACAGATCGACTCAATGAGTGCCTCTATAGCCGAAATTCACCTCAACGAGCGCAGCAGATGACGCCATTCCGTAGCTCGACATATCGCAGTATTCAACTCTGCTTAGTGAAGATGAACTGGTTGGGGCCTATGAGCATAGCTAGTTGATGCTTCATTGTCCTTTTAGGTGGAACTGGACGGACTTTCTCTTCCCAAACAATACGTAGCCACCTTCACCTAACCGAAATCTGTCACTTAGTCCTTCCTTTTCGAGCTGGCTACATTATGGATCTCGGCTATCGTGCGCCTCAGTGGTGAACTCGCATATTACGGAATGGAAAGGACGCCAAAGGGACGATGTGCGACATGTCCGACGTTCCGGAGAGTTCGCAGACTACACGTCGCACTGTCATTCACCCGCCATCAGATGTCTGCAATGTGCAAAACACATGTGACCTGAGGAAGGTTGGCGGTGTCGATCCTCTCAGAAACCTCGTGTTACCGAGCATTGTCGGCCACGTGAATACATTGTCGATCCCAACGTGGTGCTGTACGAGTATCTTACTGCTTTGCTTGGACATGATCTGCAATAATGAAGGGAGGGGATTTTGAAGGTGAATCTTTTCTATGGCATCTCTCGACGACCACCCCAAATGTGATGGATGTGGAAACTGTTTTAACAAAAATGTTGTCATGCTTGGCAGCTAGACTTCGTAGCTGCGGCCTTGTGAACGACGGCGAGTGTCTAATGCGCTGTGGTAAAGCTAACCAATCAGCTAAACGCTAGCTTGAATCGAAATCAATACAGCTGATTCGCTTACCGCATTTATTGATTAGCCTTATTATCAAGGTCTTCAAAACTGGTGCGCCATGTTGCATACAGACATGCTCACATCGGAATTAGTAGCCGAGGACGCAGCAGATGGGAATAAGGACGGTGGATATGCCTACCCGCACTATAACCAAAGAGTATTGATCTGGATTGAAGAAGACATCGAAGAATGGGTCATGCAATGGTTACGACACTGGCAGAATTCGATCGTCTTGCGCTATGTCATCGAACTACCGTATCTGATACCTGAGCGGCCATCGAATCCTGTTGGTATTGATCTTGGTTGTATGGCGTATCCGAGGGAGGGCCGATCGCTATACCATAGATGGCCTTTTCTCGATAGTCAATCCGTGTCAATTTGACTGGCAGGTGCTGTCGAAATTTCCCCTTGTTTTCGTATCGCCCTGGAGATGGTTCTAGGTAGATAGGATGGTTGTATCGTGCAAGTGTTGCACGCGTGTATCCTTCACTTGCCTGAGACAGGCCGACTTGCAAAGGATTCTCTACAAGAACATCCCAGACAGGAGGCAACGATGCTTCATTGAAGTGAAAGGCTCTGAAGAGTGCGAGCAATACCCATTGCGAAACAGCCGATGTCTGAGTTCGTGATAGTTCGATCATGTCTAATGTCTCGATATAGGTTGATAGCTTTGACGTTGCAAAAGGGTATTCAGCATCAGGACTGTTCGAGCCTGACGAACCGTGGGCTGCCGTTGCTTCAGCCTTAAGGTATGCATCCACCTGATACTGGTTGAGGAGATCGTAAAACCGTCTCAGGGGATTGGTACACCATGACATTTGAGCCATGCCAAGTGTGACGTGACGCGCTGGCCTAAGGCTGCTTCCAGGTATTGGAGCAATGTAACCTTCATGCGGTCCCAGGGTGTTTAGCCTTTCCAAGGGAAAAGCATGGTGACACTCTTGAGCTCTATAAATGATTGGAACCTCACGGCGTCGAGCCCAATAACCAAAAGCTTCCGCACACAAAAGCATTGACGAACCCACAATATCATACTTAATACCCTGTTCTTCATATGTTTCCGTAGTTGTAGAAGTCAACGTGCTGACCTGAATTGTTGGATCGCCATAGCAATGCTCGCTTCTGAAGAGCCTGTCATAGCTTCGGTCAGCAAAACTCACATCACTCACAAACAGACTAGTGGATCCTCGTGTGAATTTTGGCATTTTGAGACGATCTGGTTGTTCCTCCAACCGGGACACCCAACGAGCTGACAATAAGTCTTGCAATAGATGAAATGTATCATTATGGGTTTTGAGTAGCTTTGCTTGTTTTTGATGGTACGCTGCCGTTTCGAGCTTCTTTCGAATATCTTCGCCTTCACGTTTCCCTCGAGCAGCCTTATGGCCTACTAACATACTGTGTTTGCTGGTGGAAGTTGGATTGAAGCTTTCCGCAAGCCGATGATTGTCAATTTTCACTATATTTCGCAAGAGACCAGGAGTCATCTTGACATCTTTGATACTGCCGTTACGATGGAGTAAGGTACTGCATGTCAACACTTGGGATGGTCGGTTAGGGCTGATACACAACCTGTCCGTGATCTCAATGGGAAAGTAAGGCTCCATGAGACCACCTGGATTGTAGTACGCTGAGGTCGCATATTCAGCCCTCTCAAAGAAGGGATGATTGATGGGGATAAAGGCTGAGGGATGAGCTATGTGAATGTGAAGCCAGTAATGGTCGGGATGCTCGGAGGAAGGCTCGACAGAAATGGCATCGTCAACAACCCGAGTCTCGGCACTATCGATGCAGAAGGCTAACATGTCGCCCCAGTCGTGCCGAAGGTCAGCCATGGTATCAGCAAAGGGTGGTATGTGTGGATGCAAGTCGTTGAGATTGAGCTGCGAGAGCGCATTTTGTTCCTTGTCTTTCAACTGGTTTGCCTTCAGGTTCAACCCCGAAAAATGTTCAGGCAGAGTGACCTTGTAATTGTCCGTCTGATACCACGGGTCCAAACAGCCAATCTCTTGTAGGAAAAGACTGCCACTTCTTCTGTCCAGCTCGAAAGCCGGATAAGCACCGACAGCCCTCAAGATGAGCGAGCAGATCGAATTCGTCCGACTCGAAGCTTGATGTTTTGCGATCCAAGGTCTTTTTATGTAGGCATTCCACAAGACTTCGATGATTTTCCGGTCGTTAGTATCGAACTCTTCACCCGTACTTCTGCGTTCCACCACACCAGATCCGGGCACTGCGTCCTTGAGAGTTGGGCTCAGCACACCGAAGGAGGTAGGAACGCGCAGCTTACGACTTCTCGAAATGAGTCTTCGGGCTTTGCTGATGAACTGTGTCAGAGGGTTGTTCCTCAATTCTTGGTAAACTTCTTTGCCTGCTGCGGCTTGAGCCGCAGCTTCTTGATAAGCACGAGCCCACTCCGTCACGTCTTTATTAGCATTCCACATACGGCGTGGGACAAGCATCATCGAAGTGCTGTCCTTGTATTGTCTTGCAAGGAAGCGCTCATCTTCTACCAGTTTGTCATACAAAAACATGTGAGTACCGGGGCTCAGAGCCTCCAGATCTTTTCTGAGGAAGTTGCTCGCAAGCTCTTGTAAAGTCAAGTGTTTGAAGCTTGTCTCGTCAGCAGACTGATTGTAGACGTTGTCAAGCAAGTCTGCGTAGTCTCGTCTGCATCGTTCTATTTCCTTGCCGAGCAATGTAAACTTTCTCAACAATCCAGCAGATAAGTGTGGTGGCACTTCACCAGATGCGTGTTGATAGACTTCACTCCCAGACTCGGCCTGCGTGCGCTGGACAGGCTTGACTGGCATGATGTTCCTGATCGGAGCCATTTCCTCCTCAGTAGCGAAATTAGGTATCGTATAGCCGGTAAAGAGAGCCTGTGTGTCAACAAACCACGAACCGCTTTGAAGAAGATACTGGTGCTGAGCTTCAGTCTGACCGAGACATATAGCCAATTGAGCACGTAATTTGTTGGATTTCATGATAAATAGATCGCCCGGCCTTCTAAATCTCATCGCACCTTGAGTTGAAATATCATCGTCCTCATCTTGACCATTGTGCTCGGTATCCAATGCTTCTTCTGCCGGTTCCACGTCCCCGGTTGAATCGTCACGAGCAAACAGAGAATTTGGCAGTATGACACTTCGGCCTGTCTGGAGTACTTCCGAGGGTGCATTGCTTTTAATGGTTTCCTGGTAATCCGAACTCCACTGCCGAAGATATTCGCGCACATTGTTAGATTTCCCAAACAGGTCCGCAACCGCAGGGAGAGGTGTATCCTCAAGAGGTGAGGCTGCGCTGCCTAAGTAGGTCTGAATTCCTTGAGGTGCAGTTGTGCCATGTGTGAAGGGCCGAGTTTGCGAGTGCGAAGTGAGTCGTGACCCTCGTTCTCTACTTGACAGTTTCAAGACATTTGACGAGAGTCGAAGGCTTCGGATGCTACAGAAGGGACATGTGTATGTGTTCGTGAGTCGATCACTAAATGTACGTGCTCGAAGATATCGAAGGCTATCTCGAGAAAGCATAGTCAGTGCAAAGCTCAGGTCGACAAAGCGTCGAACAGCGATGATGACACCGCAGACTCACTCAAGTGATGATCTGTCAGTCCTAGCTTCTGTTCAGAAGCAGATGGTATCCGTCGTGGTGCGCATATCGATGGCGAACAGCCATACCGAGAGTATTCGATTCTCGAACTGGACTCCACTACAACAACTTTACACGTCTGGCAGGACCCGTGGATCTACTCGTCGCAGTTGCCCTGTTTGGATTCTGCTTCAGGCAGCAAGAACGAGTGCCTGTTTTGTCCTAAGTGACTGGGACTGGAGAAGCTACACTCTTGTTTGCGTCTTTACAAAGTCAAGTTTCTCAGAACTGCTGTAGGACTTGTCAACATGCCTATCAATCAGCCAGCCAACCAGATCAAGCTGACAAATGTGTCGTTGGTGAGATACAAGAAGGGCAAGAAGAGATTCGAGTTGGCATGCTACAAGAACAAACTACTTGAATATCGTTCGGGTAATGAAACAGATTTAGACAATGTGCTGCAAATTCCCACAATCTTTCTGAATGCGTCAAAAGGTGAGACTGCACCCAATGCTGAGTTGCTGAAAGCCTGGCCACAGCTGGCCGAGGAGCAAGAATCTAGCCATACCGCCTCGAAAAGTAAAGGTGGGAAGAAGGGAGGAAAGAAGGCTCAAGCCGACAACGACGCCGAGAAGACATGGAAGGACGCTATCATAGAAGAAATCCTCAAGAAAGGTGAGATACAGGTCAATGCCAATGAGAGGAAAGAGCTGCTCGATCGTATGGAGCGCGAAATCGTCGAGGAAGTAGCTCAGCGCCTAGTCGACCCACAAACAAAGAGAGTTTACACGACTGGCATGATCAAGAAAGGATTGGACGTCTTGTCCAAGCAGGGCGGCCATGCACCTGCGGCTGATTCTTTACCACATAAGCTAGGTAAATTGAATCTGGAAGAGTACCCGAAGAAAGGTGGGTCAATATCAAAAGAGTCACAGAATACGAGTGGTGTTGGGACACCCAACACGGACGCTGGTGAAGCGGAGGGAGAGCATAGCTCAAAAGGTCGGGAGAAGAAGGGCGATCTGCCCATGTGGACAGGCGTTGTAACATCGAAATCCGTCAAACAGCAAGCCTTGGATGCTATACGTGCTCTGATAGCATGGCAACCAATTCCTGTGATGCGTGCTCGTATGAGGTTGAGGATCACTTGTCCAACCAGCCTTGCTAAGCAAGCTGCAAGATCCAAAGCAAGCACCGAAGGAAGTGCTGACAACAGCGAAGGAAAAGGCACCATTCAGGACCGTCTGCTTTCTTTCGTTGAAGATGTCGAAAGCCAGGACGTGGTCGGCGAAGAGTGGGAGGTGATTGGCTTCGTCGAGCCAGGTGCATTTAAGGACCTAGGGGAATTTTGCTCGGCTGAGACGAAGGGGCTCGGAAAGGTTGAGATATTAGACATGGCTGTTGTTCACTCCGATGACTGAGTCCGCCAGCCAAGAAGCATCATTAGTATTTGTCTCCAATAGTTCACCTTTGAGCCATTTTCTGACGGCAGACCTAAGATACAGACGTGACAAACAGCGAAAAAGGCTGGCATCTCCTACTTTGAAAGCAGTATTTAAGCATAAAGAGCAGCATCCTACATGGACACCTTGAAGTGAATGGCATCGGATACCGAGAATTGCAGAATTGCGTTCGCTGTACGTTGTCGTGCTCGTTCACGTTTGCCTCAATCGTATGCCTAGGGGCTCTCGATACAGAAAATTGCTCACTATATTTTGGTTTTGAATTGAGGAGCATTTCTGGAAACGAATTGTCCACTAATCCTTCCATTTCTCAACTGCCTTGTTGTACTAGACAACTGCAAGGTCGAAGATTGAGGACGTCATGAAACAGTGCAATGTAGAAACTCGGACATCTGATAACAACACAGGTTCATGAACACAACTAGTTGAAAATCAGAAATGTCGACCGACCTCGCATTCTTTCAGGAATAGGTTTCAAGCTCCAAAAATAGGCATGTCTTGTTTCATTCAAGGATCAGGCTTGGCAGTTGGGGCGTGCCCCGTCCGCGAAATGATCCGTGAGCACGGCACCACCAAAGCTGCAACACACAAGCTTTTTGGCGACGGGCATCAGAACAATTGGGACCATGATGGCAGCTGTAATGGGACTTTTGGCACCAGGCAGGGACACGCGATCAACTCTTGTGATCAGTCGCACTCGCAACTACGATTTTCAAACTGAAGACTTGCTTGCCCAGAGCTTTTCACGTTCAACGCTTCTTGGCCTTTCAGGCTACGGGTACAGGCAGATTCACGCTACGAGTCAGTCGTCGGGCCTTCAGTGTGAGTCTCCTCTTCTTGCGAAGATGCCATTTGATAAGAGGCGCCTCATTCACCTCTTCTGAAATTTCCAGCTGAATGAAATGCACGAACCTCTTGAGCCACCTGCCAAGTCGAGCCAAACTCAAATTTCGACCGCTGATTCGCTCCAGCAGGAACTCTGGAGTAATAGTCGATATTTAGCGTAGATCAGCCTTTTTGAGCGGGCAGGTGGATTTGGCCTAAATCCCCCGATCGTCTCCAGAAGATCCTCTTCGACAAGCATCAACTCTGCCTTGCGCAGTTTGTATTTTGATTACTGCTGACACAAATCGCCATTTACTTTTCGAGCTTCACTCTTTCAATAACTGATCTTTCGCCACGAAACACACGTTCGCTTCATACCAGCAAGTATCAGGTTTGACGACTGCGAGCCTGGTCTCTCCTCAGCCGCAGATCCACATTCTAGAACCTACACGTTTCAGCTTCCCACCGTCCGTTTCGAGCATTTCACGCCAAATTCGAACCGGCACAACACAAGTGTGCGCGCAGAAACGATTCCTCAAGTCGCTAGAACAGCGCACTGACTCAGCACCTACTTGCTTTCCTGGCTGATTGACAGAGCCTCCGGATTCACAAGGAGCTCTCGACTTAATCGCGCTCCCATTCAGGAGCACCTCTACCGCCAAAATTCCTCTCAATAGGCAGAATCGATCATCCCTCCTCGGAGGTGCAGGGAGTTCCTCCTATCAACCGCTTGAAGGTGGTTACCACGAAAGAGAAGGGTACGACCCATCAGCCTCAAATCCTCGAGGCAAGATGGGTTCCTTGCGAACATCCAAATGGGTGTGGGCTTTTGTGTTGACGTCGCTCACACAAGCTGCTGTCGTGCTTGCGCTTGAAGTGTAGGTTTGGTATCTCATGACAGCGACAACTAGCTGACCACAATGCTAGATATGTTTTTATACGATTTCAACTCGACGTTGATGCAAAAGACGATGATGACTCCAGCGACCCATCCACAACCATCCCAACATTCCTTGCTCTTTACATTTTCGCTTTCTTCTATCAGCTCTTACTCGTCTGGGATGCTCTGCGAATGAAGAATACTATTCAGATTATTGGTCTCGTCGGTCTAAACGTTGGTCTATTGATCTACGGAGCTGTGCAGGTCGATCAATTGCACGATGCCGTAGACATACTGGAGAGGGAGAAAGAGCTGGTGCAGGGCTCAAGCACATGGACTATTTCCAAACCTATGGTTATTGCGATACCTGCTATCCTGGCTGCCTTCACTTTCGTCTTGGCTTTGGAAGCATACAAACTCTACAACGAATTTGCATGGACCATCTACAAGCACATTTCAGCCGACCTGCGCATGAAGCGCCGTTACTTGACATACCAGATCTACATCGCCCTTCTCAAATTCGACTTCTTCTTCTGCCTGGGTTTTTTAATCCAGTTCGTAATCATTGTCCAAGGCCGAAACGATATTGAACGATGGGTTACAGCTGCCGCCATTCCTGTTGCGATCATCATCATGTTCGCCGCCTTCTGGTTTACTAGACGAGAAAACCTGGTCGGAACCATCGCCGTCATCCTCTTCTACTTCGGTGGACTGGGCTATTTCTGCTACAAATTGGTCCGAATGTATATGGAGGCGACAGACGACCCATATTTGGCGGCACGGAAAGAATTGGCGACCTTCGCTGTGTTGACAATCGCTCTGCTAATCTGCACAATTGTGGTTGGATGCATGTGCGCACACAACTATCGTAAAGGTCTGAAGCCATATCTCATGCATACCAACACCAACGCTGTGGTCAGTCCGAACCGAACCGACTTCGACAACGAACATGGCCAGCCAACATCCTACAACCAGTCATACTATATGACAGGGCAGCATCAGCAATCAGCCGGAAAGCCTCTTGCGCCAACAAGGATGGAAATTGACTAAGGAGCCAATCTTCTCAACTTGGATGTATATAGTGAAAAATTAACGAAGCCAGCGTTTTGAACAGATACAAACGCTCGCTGAGGATGCTGAGATGGACTCTTTTTCTTTTTTACTGATGACGATATTCAAAACTTTGACTTTGTTATGGGAGCGGGCGTTGGATATAGTGACTACTCGGTACAGCGAGCTCTTATTCATCACATAGGTTATGCCTCCTTCGAGCAGATCAATCTATCTCTCAACAAATTGCGTGCGAAACGTCCATCACCTTCACTGACACATGCATACTCGCTTAGAGAACATCTGTATATTCTTTTGTGCCACGCATGAATCTGTGATCCACCGTGGTCTCACTCCATCAAATTACAGATTCGAGCGTATAAAACTGCAGGTTTTTATTCAGATACCAACCCATTCATGTAAAAGTTCTTAGCAATCTATAACCCGGAAGCAGGTTCAGAGCAATGTAGGCTGAAACAACAAAATCCATGTATTGCATTGCTTGCTAAGCAGCACTGCTCTAATCATCGCGATACCATGCCGGCGCCGTGCAAAGCGATCGTCCCGATATACGCCGCGCCCCAAAAAGATATCAGACGACAGAAATCCAACCAATCTAGCAGATATGACTTGAAGATGTTTATGAAATGAATACACCAAACCGCGTATATGATTCTTAAATCAAACCCGACTCGATCCTGATCTCTCATCTCCCACCCCTCAACGAGCGTCCAACACTCCTCTTCAACGACCCAGCTCTCGCTTTCAGATTCGCCACGGCGACCGCGCGGGTACTGTTGTTGTTCTTGTCGTCGTCTGTGGCCGTGCGATCTCCCTCCTCTTCGTCGTTACTGTCCTGATTTTCGTCGTGCGAAATCAAAGCCATCTGGCTACTCGCACTGACAACTCTTTGACTTTCTCGCCTTTGTTTCTTCAGTGCAGAGATCGAGGAAGGGGTTGAGGTAGTGATGCTCTTCTTCAAACTTTTACTACCACTGGATCTCTGACTTAGCATTCGTTTGAGTTTACTCGGTCGACGAGTCAATGCGCCATCGTCGCTCATGTTGCCAAATTCTTTTTCTTCTTGTTGGATTTCAGTCTCGACGATCTCAACTACTGGAGGTTTTGTCTTGGTTTTGTTCACTTTTGGCTCGGGCTCGACGTATGCCCATCCCTTGGGTAATTTCGGTTTCTGCTTCTCGTCAAGTTTCCGCTTTTTGTCTTTGTTGCTGAGGAGGCCGGTAGTTTCTTCTAGAAACTCGCCTAGTTTCCTCTTTGCACCAGCGAGTTTACTCTCTTTCTCCTTTTGTAGTTCTTTCAGCATGGCGTCTTTGGGTTTCGGGCCCAGGACGCCACGGCAGTTCTCGCTACCACATCTGCAGACTTGGACGTTTTTCTGGCTGTAGGGGTCGAAGTTGTAGTCGTAGGTAAGTTCTTCGCCGGTCATGATGCCGCGATCACCAGCGAAGAGGGCCATGCGTGGTTTGCCGGAGACGGTCCATTTTTCCATGCGGCAGTTGGGGGCGCAGGAGTGGTTGACGAAGCGGGCGAGGGAGCCGCGGGTGGCGTCGATGATCATGTTTTGATCAAAGGCCATGAGGTAGTAGCACTGTGAGGGTGTGTTTTAGTAAGCTTGTTTGCTGTAGGGGGGGTCATCCTGTCTTACCTCGTTCTCCTTGTATACAGTCCTCATACGATTCTCACACTCTTCTTGGGTGACGATCTCCCCTGTGTACTCGACGATGATCTGTCCAGGCTCAAAACACCTGTTGGCTCTAACACCATAGCCACGTCCATCACTTGTTCGTACCACCTCGACGCCAACATTGTATTTGCCGCCTTTCTTGACACGAGCTTTTAGTCCCTCGAACGCCCTGTTGCCGCATTGCTCGGCTGTCAAATTGCAATTTCGATTGTCACACTCGTAGTACATGAAACGGTTCATGCAGTTGTTGTCGCATCTTGTATCAGCAGAGCACATACAAGTCGAGTGCTCCGAGAAGACATTGTGGCGCCACTGATCCGCTGCATTGCCAATGAAGACATTGTGGTTAATCTTGCGGTAGGCTTCTGGCTGTGGATGGCCGGCTGGCAGAGGCGAGAAGACGTCAAAAGGGAGTTTGAAATCGCGGCCGAGATCAAGAAGGCGCTCGCCTGCAAACATGGGTAGTGGCAGCACGTAGTTGTCCTTATCGGACAGGTTAGTTGTGGTCTGGGGAGTAGTAGAGACGGATTTGCGTTTATTCTTAGGCTCAGAAGTAATGTTGCGAGTTTGTCCAGCGTACAGGCCGGAGGTGAGCCACTTCTTGTCCTTGGCTGTACGTGAGCGCATGTCACGGTTTGTAGTTGAGAGAGACACGTCGTCAACATCTTGTGCACGGGTAGAGGTCGAACCACCTTTGCGCACTTTCTTCGATTCAGGCTCATGCTCGTCTAGCACACTCAAATCGTCCTGCTTGTGTTTCTGTGACGCAACATCTCTGCCACGTTTGCCTAGGACAGTCGAGGTGACAGCAGACATGACCTCTGTAGCTTTAGTCATAAGTAGGGAAGCCCTCGAGGATCGTCTGGTGGCATTCATGTCTGCGGTCTTCCGCCTTTGCTCCCATTTCCTCTGCTTCTCTTCCTGCTTAGCGTGTCTGGCTTCCTGTTGCTGTCTGTCCTCTTTCGGTTCGACTTCTGGCTCAGCTGCTGCTACCGTGACTGTGGAGCTAGTCTCGGAAGGAACTTCGTCCTCCTTGTCGTCCTTCTGGTCCTCGAAATGTACGCCCATGTCCCAGTCCATGTCTAACGTGCTGATACCATGTTTCAGCAGGGAGGTCGTGCTCACATTGACCTCTTCGGGCACGAGAGTCTCTCCACTGATGTTCCGCTGCTTCTCGCTACTTGCGTCCCTTGTGGGAGCGACGACGGTATTCTTCTTGCTAGCACTCCTTCGCGCGCTCGATACGCGTTTCGAACGGCTGCGAACAGGGCTTTGCATCTTAGGTGTGCTACAGCCTTGACTCGACGCGTCTGTCGCGCTTTCCGAGGGTGTAGGTAGTGGCATGTGTGTTCGTTGTTCGGTAGAGACATTAACGACGATTGTATCGCCTTCTGACTCCGAGGCGTCCGGGGTAGGAGCCTGCATAGACGTACGAGGCATCATGCTTGATCTCTTCTGTGCCTGTGCACCAAAGGCGAGGGTGCTTTGGCGAAGAGGCATGTTGTATGCCGTGACCCGAACGCGTTGCTTCTCGGGCGAGGGTACTTCTTGCTGCTGTGCTATGTTCTCGAAGCGATTTCTGAGGCTGTTGACAGATGGCATGACTATATCATGACAGGGACGACACAGTAGTCTGCGGAAAATGCATTTCCAGGAAGTGTGGCAGTGGACGTGCAGAGGTTATGTATCTAGGTCGCTTGAGCGAACCGCGTCTACAGATGGACACTCCATGTACGCACCACGACTCCACTAATAAGAGAGTGGCCCGTGTCATACCTGGCCACCCTCGCAACAACATTGCTGCACGGTCGGCACCACTGCACCAACAAATCTCCGGGTCAACCATATTGAACGAAATCAAGATTAGGAAGTATGTAATATACGTCGCTCGAACGCATAACAATCGTACTGTACATGTCCTTGTACATCAACTGGGCTCTTTCTTGGATATCCTTCCTGTTGGTCCTTCAAAACCCTTTTGTCCTTTGACCGGCTTCATCTCAACGTCTCCGTTCCGGGCTTGCTGTGTCGTGCGAGCACGATGTCCTCGAACAGTGCCATATCGTTGATCACCACTCTGATACTCCTTCTTAAAATGCATATAGGTAGGTGGCCGTGGCCGACCAAGTACAGCAATCCAGTTTTTGATTAGATTGCCTTGGTTGAAAGGTCGATGTCTGTCCACCTTCTTGAACCGTCTGGATGCTAAATACTCACGGGTCGTTTCTCCACGACCTGTAAGCATAAGATGGTAGCCCCACAAGCAGATGGGATACACCAACACCAGGAAACCATATATGAACATGGCAAACGGGACCCGATTAGAATTTATTGCTGACGTGAAAGAGACCTGCTCCTGATCTGAATAGGCGATTACCTGGCCTAGACTGCCAAACATGAGCAGCAACGAAAGTACAGTTCCCGAGCTGACAAAAGCGAAAAAGTAGCGGTAGTTGCGTCTTCCGACACAATTATTCAGCCAGACGCAATGGTGATCGAGTGTCTCGATACAATTGTCACAGACTCGGCAATGATAGCACCGTGGCGGTCGCCAAATATTGCATGTCTTGCAGTATTTGACTGGTACGTCCATGGCGGCAGTATGTGAAGTGGCTAACCGAACCATCACCCAATCATTAGTTGGAGGGCCAATTGCCAGGGGATCATCGTTAGGAGGAAACGCTTGAATATGACGTGGAAAAATCTAGAAAATGTCAGCTTGAAGTCGTCATTGATATGTCTTCACTCACACCAGGATCCGTTATAGATCCATGAATAAAAGAGGAGAAACAGATGAAAAAAATATAAGCGAAGACAATGGGTATAGCTGGCGAAACATGATGCCACAGCCACGAAGCCCTGCCAATATTAGTGATGAGCCAAGATCGGCGTTATGCAGGTACTCACGAGAAAATAAAGAACAAGATAGTTGGGAAAAGGATCAAAATGCCAGTGAGGATATTCACAGGACGATCCCTAGCATTTTGCAGTCGACCGCCAAGCCAAAAGACGTTATTACCCTCGAAATACTCGTAGTTCTTGCCCATTGCGCTTTGCTGAGCAGCAAGATGCTTTTGCTGTAGATCGTGCATACGTCCATCATATCGCGGAGAATTATCGATCGAACGTAATTGTTGGTGAGTGGGCGGGATGATCTGTTTGCTCCCTATGCTAAAACCAGATCTGAACGATGCAGGGGAGTGTAGAGGTTTCTCCTTCTGGTTGCCAACACCCAAATTGTGGCCGAGGTTTAGGGGAGCAGGAATCGACTTCTTCTCAGGCGAATGTGATCGAAAGTACTCGTGATCAGCCTCAGACTGTGCCTGGTGGGAGTTGGCTTCGTAGTCGTTTGGCACTTCGGACTCTGTGTAAGCCGTAGTGACTGAGTTTGTTGCACGGTGCTGTCTGGGCAGAGAAGCATATGGCCCCGTCCTATTCGAGCGCATACTTTGTGTGTCATCGTCGACAGTCACGTTTGTCAAGCCTGTTTGTGGGCGTTGTACCGACTGTTTTCGAGCCGCTCTTGCAGCTCGTAAGTTGTCCTGACGCTGCTGTTGTAGTCTTGAAGAGCTCATAGGCCTCAGAAAGCCCTGAGCAGTAAGTGATGGAACATGAGTCCTGCTGGTTGTACTCTCCGGACTTTGGGGTCTACTAGTCGCACTGGTCGAGGATGGTGGAGGCGGGCTGCGCAAGGACCTGTTTGTTGGATTCGTTACACCTCTGAAATGTGAATATCCGTGGGGAGATGCAGGTGGACCTGGAGTTGTCGACCTTGCCCGATCGCTCGATGGTGGTAAAGGAGGAAGGCCATCGTCGGATATGGCAGAAGATATCTCACTTCTTGCAGTGTCTGGACGACGGGCCATCGATACGGCTTGTATCTGTACACTTCACAAACCAAATTACTTGGTTAATGTCATCTGTGGTACATGATGCATGGTGTGGTTCCCTGTGTAGGCCGTAGTTCTGTCTTCTACTTGAACTTGTGTTCGTAACGGTAAACGAGTGTGTAACAGCAGATATACGATATCTTTTATGTTCGCAGTAGGTGTGTTCGTGCAATCAGACGTGAAATGGGCTTTGAAGTACTGCAGGTCGTCGCAGCCAAATCGAGGCAGTCGCGAATTAGAGGTGGGTCCTAGGGGAAGTTAAAGCCTGAACGGTTCGGGAAGATGCCTCTGAACGGGGATCGCGCATGAGCCTTGTTTGGGGTATCGCAGCCTCGTGTCTTCTGAAGCTCGACTTGACGTATCTTCGATCATACCACACCTTTGCACCTACATCAACCAACACAACCAGTTCGACCACAATGTTTCGCGCTACACGAGCCCTCCAAGCCGGTTCTATGTTCCGTGCTACCGCTGTCCGCCGCGCTGGCGTTATCGAGCAGGTCAAGATGGGCTTGCAGTCGAGTGAGAAAGGAAGCGGAAAGGATGCTGTGTTGAAGAAGGGTGCCAAAAGAGATCCTGAGCTATACGTACGATATTGAGGTCACGACTTGCGGACTTGGACTGACGGAAGGACAACAGATTCTGCTTGGCATCATGTCTGGTGCTTTTGCGCTGGCCGGATTCTACTTTGGTCGAAAGCCAACTTCAGCTACCTCCGAGGCCGAGGTGTCAGTAGCTAACAGCTCGATGCCTTGGGAAGTTGACCACGACGATGAGGACCACAGCAAGCACTTTAAATACCAATATCATCCTAAGGGAGACAAGAATGCTCAGCCAAAGAACGCTCCAAGTGCGTTGAACACAGTCATTGTGCCAAACGTAACGTTGCCAAGGGTCAGTTCCCTACACATGATTCACATTATAGTGCTGACCGAATCTCTAGGAGCTACACGATATGTTCAACAAATGGGGTAAGGATGGTTACTGAATGAACCCGGTCATGCCCTCTCGGGTGTGAAAGTGGTAGAAGACTCTGCATCAAGGTCCTTCTGTGATGAAGTCTGCCTCTAGATAGGCGCGATGATTGTACAGCGATCAACTTTTCTTGCACGTCTAGACAATCAATATGATTTCGTTCTTGCTAACAAACGTATCTTTGTGAAGCGAATATAGAGCGCCCACGTTGCTAGTAGTGGCATGACCATTCGGGCATCCTCGGGCGTGCTCATGCCGCTAGCTTCGAGTTTGTTGGTCGATCTGGTCTACCGTAGCCGTGTTGTTCAGTTTCTTCCTGGCACAATCGCTATGTCGACCCCAGATTACGACTAGTCTGTCTAGAGTCATCTCTCTTTGAGGAGATCTTTGTGGACAAGGAACTATTGGGCTGTCTGCCTAGTCACTACAGAAGCCAGCCAGATGGCAAGTTTCAACCACCAAAGAGACCTCCGACTCCTACAATCAATACTACAGGCGCCTACAAGCGCAAGAACCGCGCAGGCTCGTGCAACGACGGTTCGCAGCAGCTCAATATGTAGGGCGGATCAACCTTCAGTAAGACGTTTCTCCATCTTGCAGCGGCCGGCTCCCAACTATCCAGGCCATGTGCCATTGACGAGCATTGAGCGTATTGGTCTGGCAGTGGGTAGCGCTGTTGCATCTCTTGCCAATCCTCGTCGAGGAGACATGATCGCCGCCCTCGGTGAAGCAACAGCTCAGCCTTTCTTCATCCGACGCCTGCGAGACCGCATGCTCGCAGATCCCGCTGGTCGACGTATTCTCCGCGACCGACCACGAATAACCTCAAAGACCATGTCACTCGAGAAACTGCGCCAGTTACCTGCGAGCACGGTCGGAAGAACATATGCGGAATGGTTAGATCGTGAGGGCGTGACACCAGACAAAAGGGACCAAGTGAAGTACATTGATGACGAAGAGGAGGCATATGTCATGCAGCGGTACCGCGAAAGCCACGATTTCTACCATGCTTTAACTGGCCTGCCGATTTTTGTGGAAGGTGAAGTTGGGCTGAAAGCTTTTGAATTTGCGAATACTGGTCTTCCCATGACTGGTCTGAGTTTGGCTGCGATACTACGACTGAAGCCTGCGGAGCGGAGGAGAATGTTCGAAACATACCTACCTTGGGCTTTCGCAAACGGTTGGAAGTCCAAAGATGTGATTAACGTGTATTGGGAAGAGGAGTTGGAGACTGATGTTGAAGATCTGAGGAAGAGGCTAGGTATCGAGAGGCCACCAGATCTGCGTGCAACCAGGCGCAAGATCCGAGAAGACAGGAAAGCGGCCAAGGAGGCCAAGCAGACAGTTGGCGTGGACGGTGTGATCCTGTGAAAAGAAAAGGCAATGCTGATGCCGGGTATCATGGAACAAAGATCGTGGTAACTGCCAATTCTTCAGACGTCGTTCAACAGGTCGTCCAAATCGTCTTCGTCGTCCCAGGTCGTCCTGCGCACTACCTTTGCACTCTTGATATTCTTGCCAGTCTGCTCTTCGTGCTCGGTCAAAGAGGTCAGCAACTGCTTCAGTTGATCCTCTGTAACCTTGGATCTTAGCTGTCCTGATCGTGCCAGCATGATCAATCTCTCTTCAACTTCTTTGGCGCGTGATTCTTTAACCATGCGTATTCGGCCCAGTCTGTCTGCAGCTTCTGGTTCGAGGATTTGGTTTAGGATTGATGCTCGTTGCTCTTCTTGTTGCTTGCGCTGGTCATCCTCTCCTGCGGTCCCTCCACCATTTGCACCATTCGATTGACTTGCGCCTTGCTGTTTCAGTTGTGCCAGTCGTGCAGCACGGATCTACCTGTTGTTAGCACATTACGACGTAAAGTCGATGCGAGGCTTGATACCTGTGCTAATTCATCATCCGCCATATTGCAGTATTGGACTGTGACTCCAGAACACGAAAGTTGCAAATAATTGTATCGCAGTTTGTGAACAGAACTCTTTGGTGGGGTTTAGGCTTCACGCTCCAGGCGATTAATTGAAGGTGGAGCCCCAACTCGTGGTGATTTAGGCGAAAGTGTTTTTAGGCGCTCAGGTCCCCAATTTCTCGGCTTGCCTAGTTCTCGCCATTGATGGTCACTCGATATTCAGAGCACCAGTTCCTCCGACGCACTTGATGATGCTCTGATCTGCTACGTCCACCCCGTCTACTTTTCAACAGCTCATCATGTTTGCTTACTTGAGACACTCGTGTTGAATGGCGCGCATGAACTTCTCGTGACCTGATGACCTAACACAACCTCCACTTCCAACGTGTCTATTGTGCCCAGAGCCGATTTGCTTGTTGGAGAACCACTTCCACCTCAATTGCCAAAGCGACGGTCACGACTGCATGACCGCCTGACTGCATCACCTCACAAAAGGTCAGGTCCTCCTCGTACGAGTGCTCGTGCTTCAATCCGAACCTAGCACCTGTCATACAGTGATCCGCTTGCTGTATGTTTACTTCCGTCCACCATGGCGCCTTCTTAGGCTCATCGCTACCTCCTCCTCCCATGTCTCCCACTCGTTCAGTATCTCAAGGACCTCCAGACATGTTGCAGAAGTCAACCTTGACAAAATCGAAATCCACTAACTCTCTACGGACGAAAGCAGCTCTACAGGCAGCAGAAGCACAATCGCTTCGTGATGCTGAGAGCTCGTTTCACACTATTCGGGATCCACGGATGGCAAGCACTTTGGATCTGTCGAGAGCTTCGTCAACCTCTCGAAGCGCCGAGAAGGACGAAGTTGCGGTACTGAGTGATAAGCTGATCGCAGCCATCAATCACCAGCAAAACTTGGATGACAACTTGGCCCAAACGCGCCATGAACTTGAGTCAGCAAATGCTAAATCGACACAGTTGGAAGCAAAGATCAAGGAATACGAGTCACAAATATCGAACAGACAGAGTGTACAGGAAGAGATTGAGAGGCTGCGTACGACTACGGAAGAAATAAGAAAGCAGAATGAAGCTCTGTCGCAGGAGAAAAGGTCATTACAATCAGAAATGGAGAACCTATCCGCGTCTTTGTTCGAGGAAGCCAACAAAATGGTCGCCTCGGCCAATGAGCAGAGGGCTGCTACTGAGAAGAAGAATCAACAATTGCGAGATCAGATAAGAGACGGAGAAGCTGTTATTGCCTCACAGATCGAGCAATTGGCACAGCTGAAGCTACTAATGCAAGATATTGGCAACGAGCACCGTAAAGAGCTGGCCGATTCACCCAGTCGCGTCAGTATGACCCCAGCAAGTCCTCAGCCTCTACGGGACGAGAATCTAGCACGGTTGCTAGAAGCTATGAATCTTGAACCTGTAACACCGGATCACCCAGAAATCGCACCAAGTCCTTCCACACAATTAACTCATCTCATCAAGCCGCAGTGTCGGACGGATGTTCCGACTTACGAAGATTTCAAGAATATGGTGTCCACTTCGAATCCCCGATCCCACACTCCTTCACATGCGGCCTCTAGAGCGGGCTCTGGTTCTTATGGAGGACTAAGTGGGCTTGGTCTTGGTGGTTTGTCGCAAAACAATTCCTCGAGTCCGAACCTATCCACACAAAATACCTCATCAAAGTTAACACCCTCACCAGGTCTACCAGGCTCTTTCTCGCCTGCACCGGATCAGAGAGGACCGCAGCCCTTGAAAGATACGCGATTTTTCAAACGATTAATGGTGGAGGACATCGAGCCAACACTCAGATTAGATCTATCGCCTACAGTATCCTGGTTGCAGAGACGAAGCATTCTAGCAGCTGTTGCTGACAGCAGTTTAATCGTTGAACCAATACCTGACGCTTCGCAGAAACTATACGGGAAATACACATCCTGTTCGGTTTGTGGTGAAGCCAGACGTGAAGGCCAGAATCCTCGAACGCATGCTATGCGGACAAGAGAGGGTGAAGGCGCCAACAAATGGGCAGTCTGTCAGTTATGCTTGGAGAAGGTTCGTGCAGTGGGTGACTTGATTGGGTACGTTCGCATGGTAAGAGATGGAGTAGTCAAAATTGCAGATCTAAGGGACGAAGAAGAGGCTTGGGAGGAGATAATCAGACTCCGAGAAAGACTTTTCTGGGCCCGACTAGCAGGTGGTGTCGTACCAGCCTTCATAGTAAACAACAAATCTACACCTGCGACAACGAAATTAGAGCGTCCAGGGCTCGGTCACACCACCAGCGAACAATCTAATAAAGAGAATGAAAATTCTGGCTTCAAAACACCTGATACAGGTTCAAGAAGAACGAGCGAAGAAGACTCAATCCAGAATGGCGAATCGACCCTCCATGTATCTAAGCACAATCACGACGCGTACAACCAGAACCAGCAAATCAACCTCCAGCCAGGTCTCGATGGTAACGAAGGCCTGACCACATTCGAAAACGCACGGGAGAAGGCACTTGAGAATAACGCGCGGCACGGCCCTAGTTCTGTGCCTGGTACACCGCCGCGTGGACATTCAAAGCGTGAGAGTTCAGGGAGTGCAAGCGGATTTCCTCGGATCAGTATTCCTAAGATGCCGAATCTGCCACAAGGGTTCTGGCAGGGTGAGGTCAATACTCTGCACTGATGAGCTCATCCCACTGTGACATGTGATTGATGACAACAGCTCAGGAGGTGTGTACAGTCAGTCATGGACGGCTCGCTTCTATCGTTGAGGAAGAAGGAGGCAGCGTAGCGTAAGATACCCAATCAAAAGAGAATGTTTTTTGGCAACAGACACGCACTGGACAAGTGTATAAGCAGTACAGGCAGAGTATAATAGCCCGGAGAAGATGAACATGTACCAATATCCTGGATAATGATTGTAATATAATGTTAGTATTTACCTAGATCGGCAAATTGCAACTACGCACATGTACAAAGAGAACATCCACGTTTTCCATGTAGAGGAAGTATTCAGTAAATGTAGAGATGTGGTCCCGATTCCAACACTTTGTTGCTGGAGAGCGCGCGAAGCAAAGATGAGGTCAAATTTATTCTCGGGTTTTCATATTTTACTCGTTATTGACCACAACAACAGCCTCTCTATTACACTTCTACAATGCGCTGCACATGTAGCTGTGGATACATCACCCGACTATAAGTGTCATATTATGTCAAGGAGGGTGTTATGAGTCTTTCCATGCAACTGAATCTTGGTATGTCAAGGAAGATCGAGATTTAGGAACAGGCAAGACAACAAACATGTGCCAAGTATACTCAGAATCAATTTCGTATGGGTGATGGGTGTACCTAGCTATTTGTGCTATGATAGAGTGTCGGTTTCATCTGCAAAAGAAGTCGCCAAAGCTCTGTAAGCTCATACGGTCAAGAACAGCTAACTAGCGAAGAATATGGATTGACATTGCTTTCTCCTCCTTTTCAATTTCCACGTTCTGAATATCAAGGCAATAGTGTTGATAATCTCTCACAGCTTTCATCCAGATCCTTGCATAGATTGTGCAGCTCTGACCATGACCCGCTCTCCGATTCCGACTTGGCTTTGGAGGAAACGCTGGCGGCTTTCATTGGTAATTCGAATGTTGGAACAGACATACAGCTCGTAGCGGCGTCGACCTCGGCATACAGATCATCGGAGCTGCTGGCAATAGTTGGGAAGCTCTCTTTAGCAGGCAAGGAGGGGAGTGGTAGTGACGACAGCACGGGCAGATCCTTCTTGGCCGACGTGATGGGCTTAAAGTCGACCATCGATGACTTTCCGGACAAGCTAGACATATCGATTTTTGGTGGCTCCGGCATTTCTGTCACAGAGAAGACCTGGAAGTCGTTTGAGTGAAGGACATTACCCCACGAACCATGATTGTCGAAGATGGACATGTCAATAGGAACTTCAGGAATCAGGGTCATGCCAACTTGCATGTGGTTCTGTGTGTTTTGCATTTGTCGAGCAGCCGCGTGGGTGGGCATGTCTTTACGTGTTTGTTGTGGCTGACGTTGAGGTTGGGCTTGTTGGAGAGGTTGCTGTTGTGGCTGTGATTGCTGTTGCTGCGAGGCCTGGTTGTTGCTTGTAGCACCACCAGCTTGGCTTAGCTCTTGTAGGAACCCTGAGAAGGACTGCGAGGACAAGAGCATGCGTGTAAGGTCGGTCAGGCGTTGATTCTCTTCCGTGAGTTGTCTGTTCTCGACACGTAGTTCGTTGGCTTCTTGTGCTTTGGCAGCAAGTTCGCCCTCAAGCTGATTAATGTATTCTGGGTAATGGGTTAGCGAGGTAATCTAAATATGGCAAGCCGAGAACTTACCCTTTCTGCGTGACCTGAATGCACGAGCCGACACCTTGTTTCGAAGTTGACGGCGCTCCTTGCTGGAAAGCTTCTTGCCTTCTTCACTATTGAGGAGTCTCTCATCATCATCCATGTCATCTTCATCCTTCTTGATACGTGGCATATTCGAACTGCCGGTCGAAGGCGAGTCTGCATCATCTGCGGATGCATTGCTGCTCTGTCGCATACGATCAAGCAATCTGGAAATGGTTTCTTCGCGATGAGGATCCTTGACAACTGGCGACTTAGGTGCGGATGTAGGTAAAGGCTTTTGGCCAGGTGGCAGTTGTCTCTGCTCTTGTTCTTTCTGTGCCTGTTGCATCTTTGCTTGGTTGGCTTGTTGAGTATGCATACCAGGATAGATTCTGGGAGGAATATGGGTGGCTGGTGAAATGCTATTGGAGCCTTCAGCACCATAGAACATGCTTGGTACATCAGCTGGGGAGCCTGTCTCGACATCCATCTCGGGGAAGTCGTATGCTTGAGGCCGATTGAAGTCGAACTCGTCGAGGTTTGTAAGAGGGATATTTAGGGTGTCTGTAGGAACGATGAAGCCGTGATTGCTTGGTCGATAGTGCAGACCTGATGCCTGGTTGATCGCTAGGGTGTTTGCATATCCTCCCATAGGGAGACCTGTCTGCTGCCGGTGTGAATCATACTGATAACTTGGTGCTGAGAATGCGTCGCTGTTCGAGGTGAAATTCGATGATTGGTGAAGCAGTGCCGGGACTGGCTTCACATCTGTTGACGAAGACATTGAGGTCTGATCACTGTGGTCGTAATTGAGGAAGGCATCGAGGTCGGTATCGAAAGGGTTATTCACTAGTTGTGACATGGTATTGAAAGACAAGCAGTGATGAATCGATGGATCCGGGTTTGCGTGGCCTGTTTTCCTACTTTGGTGCCTCCAAATCGTGGTGGCCTAAAAATAGGTTGACTCAATTTCTGGCTCCGTTGGATGTGCTGCTCTGTTTACTCTGGTGGCTCAGTACAAGGCGTCGAGTATAATGTTGTTGGTGACAGCGAGTGTGAATAGAGAATGGTGCTGGCGAGATTGACAGAGAGTTTGTTGCTACAGAGTAGAAGTTGGCACAGGGTGAGCAAGGGATTGAATGGCTATTGGAAGAACGGCGGCAGTTGTGAAGCACCGACTCTGGTACGGATACCAAGCCTAGCCAAGTATGGCCACGAGAACAAGGATGTAGAGCCGGGACGTTGATCGAGAAGCTCAAACGAAACTCACAATTGATTGGAGGCGTCGATGGCTGTGTCGGCTTTGGCGGCTTTCCAAAACAGCTCACATTGGTTGCTGCCTCAAAGATGCGTGAAGGGACACGTAATGGTTAAACTCAGACCCAGTTTTCTAGTCAATAGGAATGTCCATCGCCTTGCCCCAACCTGAATTCCTTCGGCTTCGGTCGCGTAGCCAAGTCTTCCATCTGGGCATCAGCCACAGTTCGCATTTCTAATAAAAGCCAGCAGATGTCAGGTTACTCGCTACGAATTCGACGTTCAAATCCATCTACTTGGGTGCAGCAACCATGGCTGCTGTTCTGCTGTTTGAAGTTGCAACTCCGAATAGCAGCCATCTGTTGAGCCGGAGAGTGGCACAATTTTTCTGATGTAATGTTTCACGATGTTGCAGTCTTTGTCTCCAGAGGCTTCCTTACCTAAAGAAATCCGTTCCAGAAGGCTCAACATCGGCAAAAGTTAATGCCGGCAGAGGAAAATGCTGCAAGTGACGTGATTGGAAAGTCTCATGCGGATAGAGTGTACTGTTGCGCGAGATCATGTACGATATTTCATGCAGTTCGTGTAGTCATCGCCATTGAATAGCCATCGTCTTGCCCAGTTCCGCACAAACTGTGGCAGTTCTGGGCAATTTTGACCTTCCGCGGCTTCCTGATCGTCGTATTTGCTTCAAAGTCCCAAACATAATTCTGTCCTTGATGTCATCTTACCTGACAACTCTTGTTTAGGCACAGCATTTCCTCTCGGCAGGCTCGGCACCGCATTACTGGACCTCATCCCGTCCTTGGCCATCCACAAAAAGCTCACAGGGCTGATACTGCTAAGGATTTCAAGTTCCAGCGCACGCCTTGTGTTTCGCTTGGCCCTGTCGAATGAAGAGGGGGAACGAGGGAGAGTGCTCGCCAAAACTTCTTTTCTCCCGCTCGTCATTCCATAGCCATGCCGCACGTGGTGGTGCTGAGAATCGGAATTAGAATGGTCTGATGGCCAAGCAGGAAGCCGAGCGAGCATTTGCGATCTCCATTTACACGAACGCGATAGAAGAACTTAAAATTCAGTAATGAGGCTCTGCGGTGAGGAGTTGCTCCTTCTGCTACCATGCGTGTCGATATAACGTCAAGAGCGTCAAGCAACTTCAAGTCCCTGACCTGAATCATGGAGTGCAGGATTTTCAGTCTGCTGCTCGAAGTCTGTGCTTCTTCAGGATCTGTACATGGCTTAGCTCATGTCAGCCTGGTAGAAGCTCAATTGCAATATAACCTGGTTGGGTCTTGACAACAGGTACCCAGCGTAAAATTCCTCAACCTCGTTGCACGCGATCGGTATCTTGCACCCGTCGTGCTTCTCCTACCATTCGAGTTCCCCACGTGGTAGAGTGGTTCTGTGTAGATGCCATGTGCAGAGGTCGCTGATATAATGTATACACTAACCGAAAGAAGAAGATGCCTCGGCAGTCACTTTCGTCGTTCACTCCAATGTCCGTCAACACCAAGCTTCGAGCAGGTAGACTTCTGACAGTAGTGGTGTTGCCTTAGCATAAAGCGAGAGACCCTGTATAGAGTTGCCGGCTAGACCAAGTCACTGCAACGTAACAACTCTACTATCTCGAATCGGCTCCGCGATCTCCTCGAAACATAAATCCAAGTCTATGTCTACAGCAGTGTAGGCTGCTTCGCAAGAACTGTCTGCCGTGTTCAGCACAACAATCAACATGTCCAGATCAACGCTGATAAAACCACCGAGCACTCTCGAACATCACTCGCCCATCGAGAATGCGCTACAACTCCTCCCACTAACGGACATCGGACCAGACATCTTCACGAACGCCCGTCCGCTGTGGCATCCTCCTGGTGCTCGCGGTATATTCGGCGGCGCCGCCATAGCGCAATGTCTCTCAGCCGCACAGTTCACCATCCCCGCGAGCGACTACACAGTCCATAGCATGCACTGCTACTTCGTGCTTGCAGGAAACAGCGAGATACCAATATTGTACCATGTTGAAAGAGTCAGGGATGGCAAGAGCTTCATTACACGGACTGTGCAGGCGAGGCAAAGAGGGAGATGTATCTTTACTACAACGATCAGTTTCATGCGTACTGGGTCTGGTGGTAGTGTCACAGTAGATCATGCGAGGCAGAAGCCGAGCCATGAAGAGTGCCCTCCCCCGCCAGATGGAGAGATTGAGCTTACTGGTCTGAGGGATAGCGATACACCGTTCGAGAGCGTAAGATGCGCAGTGAAACAGGGCAACACGAGACAACCCCAGGACAAGATTTTGCGACAATGGATAAGGGCAAGAGGCAAGATTAGTGATTGCCCGCCGAATGTCAGGGAAGACGAGATCTTGAGAGGAAAACGACTGAACCAACCTGGTGACAACCATCAAGCCCACCTCAGTGCGTTAGCATACATGTCGGATTCCTACTTCATCGGCACTGTTGCACGTGTACACAACCTGATGCGCTTCGCGAACAAGCGAAATATAGAAAGAACGCTAAAAGGCTTTTCAGGCAGCGAAGCTGAAAAGCAGGAGATGAGAACATATCTGGAACGTATTGCGAAGGAAGAAGCTGAAGAGAATGATGGCATCAAGCCTGACGATCGACGTATTGGTATGATGGTCAGCCTTGATCATAGTATATTCTTCCACAATCCAAGAGACTTTAGAGCCGATGAGTGGCTATTGACCGAGATGGAAAGTCCTTGGGCTGGAGATGGTAGGGGTCTTGTGGTACAGAGAATTTGGTCGAAGTGTGGTACTTTGATCGCGACGTGTACTCAGGAAGGTTGTGTCAGATTGCAGCAGGAGAAGGAGATCAAGCTGTGAGAAGTTGGTAGGGACTCGTGTTTCGTGCTTGTTTGTTCTTGATAGCCGCTAAGTCATGGAACGGTTTCTTCGATCCCTATTGCTCCAATAACACATGTTCCAGCAAGTACGATTTTTTCTGAGCCATCTGTTCAAGATGCGCCTCGATATTAATATAGTTAGATCCGAACCACGTCTTACAAATCTTGTTGCTTCCGGCCATGGGTTCGTATGTATGGTCGACGGCTCAAGATTTTCCAGCAAGGCTTGTCGTACCTTGCCCTAATCACGACCAAACAATACAACTGCTCGTGTAGCCATCCTGCCCAACCAGCCAAATAGTGGCTCAACCTTCTAGATTGATTCCTCTACCAAATCGAGCGTAGAGATGAGCTTTCAACGAGTCCATACCCTCCTTCATCGACGACAACTCATCCTCAAGCCTCGTCACCTCTTCCTCGGTCTCTCCAGTCGAAGTCTCAAGGAGTTTCTGTGCTATTGGAAGCTTTACAGCGTAGAATGTGTCGCCAACCTTGTACTGAATGGGCTCATCTTCGTCTGCTAACTCGAGCTCGGTGGTGATTTCTTCGAGGTCTTCCTTTTCTTTCTGCACGGTTTCTGGTCAGCTTGGCACGCTTGAAATCTTGTGCTATGGCATTATTTTGTGTATCTCCAGAAATTTTGCTTGATTCGGACGTCAAGCCAAACAGCGAGAACTCTTCGAAAATCTTCACATAGAATGCAGAACCAAATCCTTACCTTTTTACTTTCGAGTTCCTCTTCAAGAGCCTTGCTTCGATTGTGTAAGCGGGAAAACTCGTTAATCTTGTCTTGATCCTCCTTCGTCACTTCATTTTCTGTCGTTTCTGATTCTTCCTCTTTAGTGAGCTATCAAGTTAGTTGGCTGAAAACTGGAATGCAGGAACATGAGTTATGGAAAGTCCATCGCACCCGAACGCGCTCATTGATGAAAAATTGAGGGTCGCGACTCTCTATTCGTCTACACTTACAACACGTCGTGAGAGCATCATCTTGGCTGAGGTCTTATTTAGTCGGCAAGACAATATCAGAACAAATTTCGCGTCAATCGATGATACTTAGATATGATCAGAAAGTACTACTCGCGTATCCCATCATTTAGACCTAGCCCTATCGATCACGTGGTTCTTGCCATTCAGCAAAAGGTAGTTGAGAGTTTACAATTTTGACCTGCTTCACCTGGAGGAACGGCAATCTATCACCCTCGCGGTTGGATGTCCATCACGAGATGGCCCAATAGATAATGGAAGGTGAAACCACACTACAACCAGTGCTTCTTGGCAGTCGGCCTGCTCCGTGATGAACACAGCAGCTTATCAACGAAGTTGTTCATCGAGGTAGATCTTACATGCCATCGTTACAGACTGGTCTCCATCGAACAAGCTTATTTTACACTTCTCGGTGTACCCAGCATGCCTCACTCCACGACAGGGTCAATAAGTATACGCGATGAAGTCAAAGCTAACCAGGAAGTCCTTCGATCTCGATTAGCAGGAGCTATTTCTGAGCCACCCTCTGGTATCGATGTCGATTCCCTTCCGTCCGTGCCTCTGATTGATCTTGCATCGTCGTTCTCTGCTAGTGCTGTAGACAGACAGAAGGTTGCAGCACAAATACGTGAAGCATGCACAACATCAGGATTCTTCCAGATCTCCAACCACGGGATTGATGACGCTGCGATTGACGGCATTCTCGAACAGGCAGAGAAGTTCTTCCACGAATTGACGCCGGCTCAAAAGGATGCATTGAACATCAGACACAATCAACTTTTCCGTGGTTACGAATCAGGAAGTGACACTTACGTTAATCCCGATGATAATACTCCAGCAGAGGTCGAAACCAAAGAAGGCTTCAACTGGGGATACGAGCCTACGCTCGATCCGACGTCCCCACACAGTGACGAGTATGTCGAGTTAGACGGCCAGCCACCGTCTGCGCCTGATCGATGCAACGTTTGGCCCGACGCATCGGTGTTGCCTGACTTCAAACCAACGATTGCGACGTATTATGCACAAGTCTTACAGCTCGCTCGTCATCTTTTCCGCCTCTTTGCGCTGAGTCTTGACCTCGAAGAGACCTACTTCGACAGCCTGACGACTCACCCTGGTGGTATTGGTCGATTGCTATACTATCCGCCACAGTCAGCCGAACAAATGAAGCACAGAGCTCAGAAACTAGGTCTAGGAGCCCACACCGATTATGAATGTTTTACCCTACTTCTTTCAACTTCCCATCCTGGCCTCGAGATCCTCTTCCCACCTTCCGAGCTGACAGGAAACAAGCCGATCTGGCGTCCGTGCCCCATCCGACCAGGTACTCTTACAGTCAATATCGCGGACTTTTTGATGCGCTGGACGAACAACGTGTACAAGAGCACGATCCACAGGGTAGTATCACGACCAATAAAAGCCGACGATGGGACAATAAGGGGATCAGAAGCACGATACAGCGTGCCATTCTTCTTCAGTATCAATTACGATGCAGATGTTCAACCACTACCAGAACATGCTGTTGGAATCGGCAAGTTTCAGAATATGAAGGCTGGACAGTATGTCCTCGAGAGATTAAGGGCAACTGTATAGACCTATATGAGTACACAGCCACAAGATACCAGCTTCGAGCGATCGTCGCTTTCGTTGGGTGAAAGTGCGACGAGAGACTATCTGACGAAAAGTTGCAACCAGGTATGAAGCTGAGATCTTCCACTGTCGTGGTTCAAATTCGTAATGACTGCATCTTGTTACTGCTAGAGGATACTCATTCCTTCTTAAAAGCATTATTGTGATCAGGTTGCGTCGTAGTGAAGCCGCCACCTCGAAGCTTAGAGCCTGTCTACTACAGAAAGAGTCACATCTCACCGCTAAGGACATGCACACATGTCTTGAGTGAAGGGACTGCACTTAATCTTTTCCTCAGATCGTGGACGCAAATACGCGTATCAAGCCGCGTATTCTCGGGTGAACTAGAAAACCCGCCAAGTGCAGTGCAATGCGGTTGCTGCGACTTCCGGCTTCCAAGCCCCCAAGCCCTCCGCCTGCTCAAGGAATCGCGAATAAGGTTTTGGTTCAAGTTCTGGTCGATCTTGCCAACACTTTGCCATGTCTATGACCACTGCCTTGTGCTCAGTCAACATGTTCTTCGCGACAATATCGTCCTTCTCAACCGGAGCATTATCTTGCATACGTTACCATCTCAGATGAATAGCTATACAATAGCAAAGTAACATTCGACTGCATATTGAGAGTCAGGAGCGTTCTCCGTCACAACGTCGCCATCGTCTGTGTCACTGACAACGCCTCGAGTGCTTGGCCATAACAAACAAAAACGATACCCATCATGTCGCACGCACGAGCGACTGCGAATGATAAACCCGAACCTTTCCCAACGCTTTCCCCTGTGGCCTCAAGCAACGTTGACCCAATCGAGTCGTCCGCAATCCACCAGAATGTGCCACAGCATCGGGGAACATCATCTGCGCACCAAGGGCGGAAGAGCAGCACTCGAAAGTCCAGGACCTCTTCTCTACTACAAAGTATGCTCGAAAGCAGCCCTCCTTTAGGAGCATGGCAGGCAATCGGCCAGGATACAGCCAAGGGTCCTACTATTCCAGATATCCGACGTGGTAGCTACTCCGCAGAAGGATGGTCACACGAAGGTCAGCTGGAACAAAGAAATCACAAGCCACACGACATCCATAGAAGGAGACTGAGTCGAGCCAGCTCAAGTCAGGACGGTAGCAGTATCAGCCAGACAACACCTGCTACCCTCAATCCTCGAGCCGTTGTAGAAGAGACAACGGAACCAGGTTTACCTGCGGAAAAGAGAGACGTTGAATACCTGGATCTTTCAAAGGAAGACGGTCTTTTGGTCGCGCCCCGCCCTCCTGTCGGCCCTAATGAAGAGGGTGAATATCCAAATGGCTATCGTTTTCCTAAAAAGCATACTTGGAGTCAGTCCTGCGCTATTTACGGCCGTGCGTTCTGGAAATTCTTTCTTACGGTCAAAGGCTTCTTGCTTACTATCTATGGTCTCAACGTGGTGGCTTGGGGTGCCATGATCTTCTTCCTACTCATCCCTGGCGCTACTCCGGCAATGTGCAAAAGCTATCCAGATTGTGACGACAAAAGATACTCAGCTCGTCAACTCTGGATCGAGTACTGCAGTCAGATTCTCACTGCCTTGTTCTGTGTTACTGCTTTTGGCTTGTTGCCGTGGCGACTGAGGGATTTCTACTACATGATTAAATACCAAGCATTTGGTGACTACAGCGCGCTTCGAAAGTTAGCTGGATTCTATCGTAGCTGGTACAGACTGCCCGGCTCAGAAAAGTTGCCTGAACTACTTGGTCCGCCACAGGAGCCAGCAGATCTGCAGGCTAAGAGTCTCTTCTCGCTCAAACAGTGGCACAAACAAGCACAAGAGCATGACGCTGAGAAATTCAATGTGATTGATGACGAGATAACTGCGCTCAATGCTAATCCAGCAGTACCTTTGCCAGTGTGGTCCATGCCGCCTGCGCCACTTACTGGTATTCGTGCTCGACCCACAAAGTTCAAGGCTCTAGCATGGATTATATGGATGTATATCTGGAACACTCTTTTCCAAGTCGGCCTTTGCGTTGTCATGTGGGGCTATAACAGGTTTGAAAGAAATACGGGCTATTTCACAGCACTAACGGCATTGTTTATTGTGCTAGGCTGTGGAACAGGAATTGTGGCCGGCATCATTACAGGCAGAGAAGGCAAGGCTGTCAAAGGGACCGAAGGTATACCTGTCAAGGACTATGACGTACCAGAAACTTCCCAAGATTACCAGCAACGAATAGCGAAGAAGAACAAAAAGGAGAAGCGAAAGCAGGGAGATGGAGCTGTCGTACACACGACCAAGGGCTAATTTATCCCGATGCTCGCTCAATATTATTTTTCTTGATTCATTTTAGGCGATCAAATACTTCTTCAAGGTCATTCACGAGTTGTTGTCCTACACTATTTTCGATCGTGTCGAGGTGCGAGTCAACTTCCGCGTCCAATGCTTGGTTCCTCGGCAGAGCACCCCGGCACTGACGCTTTGACCACAGTACCTAATGCTTCTCTTCTGCCTGATTTGGTGGTACCTAGACGGCACAAAACTGTATACTGAATGCTGTTCAACCATCTGCGATCACATACCACTCTTGTACTCGGCGGGACTGGGGCAGGAGGGGCGTGGAGACGGCAGCTGCACCTTTCCAAAGATCCAGGCCTCTGAAGCTGAATTATCTCGGAGTCGCGAGACGTCACCCTTCACTTACGAACTGGATTGCGAGGTGTCATACCAATTACAGCTCATGTCTGGTCTGCTCGGCGACATCTTCCAGGGACCGAGTATGTGTTCGGATTCGATCTTGGACAAACCATAAACATAGACTGATGTACCATGCGACCATTATTCATTGTCTTCACTTCCTTTGTCCAAATGCAGACCCGGAATTTGGCGTCCATTTCGAAACTTCCTTCTCCGACTGCTAACCATCCACTCACTATCCAGCCAGAATGGTTGCACTCTACTCGAGAGGGACCTCGAGTTTGTGTCCTGGAACGTCTCAAGGCACTGAAGTCTCAGGCTATCAGATATACTGCGGCTCAGTAGTCGATCCAGATGATGCTGCTGACACCATCCTCCCAGCGAAAGCGGACGTAGAGACCTTCGAAGGATGTCTAGATCTATGCAAGAACAATAAGGAATGTACCGGGCTGTCGTATATCGAGGCTTCGACAACATGTTATCTGCACAAAGGTTCGCACAAATCAGCGGTTAAAAGAGATGGTTGGAATGGAGCTATGAGAGTGAAGACGCTGGGAGCTCCGACGAGCGTAAGCGGAACCAGCACCACCAGTGGCACGGCTACAGCTACTATCACGGCTTCGAGCACTACCTCCAGCACTTCCAACACTAGCACATCCACCTCGACAACATCGAGTACTGCGCAAAAAAACACCTCCCCATCCTCCAATCACAACACATCATCTGCTCTGCGTAACGGCGCCACAGCAGGAATAGTACTGGGCGTATTAGCACTGCTGGCACTTGTCTTCCTCCTAGGTTTCTTCAAGCTACGAAAGGGTCAGCGCAGGCATTCGTCTGATACTAGAACTTTGCCGTCCCATGTCAGGTCATCGAGGAACAATCCAGGCTGGATACCAGGACTTCTGAAAAAGAAGCAACCGCGACCGATGAGTAAACTTCGTGCACAGTTACTTGCTGAAAGAAGAGAAGGGAGGAATGACTTTGAGGAGATTAAGATTGATCACTCTATCGGCAGGTCTGAGCTGCCGTAGAAGTTGAAACGGACTGCAGACTTTCGTCTACAGCAGGTGTACAGAATTACATATTTCCTTCGTTGTTGCCAGTTGCATAATGGTGCATCGGAATGTTCCAAACACACAGAGGCATTGGCACATAATCCAAGAACGAAGTGTTTGCCCTCTGCTAAGTCCAACACAGGTTCTCGAAAACCCCATTTCCGTTGTGCTGACCATCATCCACGAGTACTCCTAAGTAAACTACCCAACCAGGAATCTGAGGTCATGCTTGAGCTGAATTGCACAGCTTGTTCGACAGACGGCCTCGCACGAGGGAGAGTCTGGAATGGAAAGATAACACGGAAGGACAAAGACGCGTCCAAATTGAGTTTACTGGACCTCGGTTGTGAATAACGATGAAGCTTTTGTGACAATACAGGCTCAGTAGCGACTGTATACGCACATATCTGAATTAAATAGTGTTAGACTAATCATAGATATAGATTCTGATACTAACCAGAGCTGATCCATGTAGATGTGCTGCCTTCTCTAACTCTTCGAAGCTGCAAAGCATCCTAACCTCGAGTGAGAAGAAGGAAGACAGATTCTACTAAGACTTCTCTCCAAGACCTGACTTTGAGCCTCCGTCGCCTAAGAAAGACACAAAAAGCACATCATTAGTGAACAAGGTCACAAAAACAATGCCCATCAAATCACCACACCCCGACATTTCCATCCCAAAATGCAACATCCTCAGCTACATCTTCGCCTCCAACCGCCACGCCACCTCCACAACCCCCCTATGGATCGACGCCTCCAACCCCTCCCACTCCCTCAGCCTGGCACAAATGCTCCTCCTTGTAAAACGGTTCGCCGTCGGCCTCGAAAAACTAGACATTCCCACTGGCGCCGCGGTCATGGTCTTCAGCCCGAATCACATTTACGTGCCCATGGTGTACTTGGGCGCCGCGGGGAGCAAGCGTGCGTTCACCGGTGCGAACCCGATATACACGGTGAATGAGGTTACGTACCAGATGAAGGTTTTGGGGGCGGCGATGGTGCTGATTCATCCGAGTTTGATGGAGACGGGGTTGAAGGCCGCGAGGGAGTCGGGGATACCCGAGGAGCGGACTTTTGTGTTTTCGGATGGGGTTGGGGAGGCTGTGCAGAGGGTTAGGGATTGGAGGGAGATGCTTGCTTCGGAAGATGAGGCGCGGGACTGGCGGTGGGATGAGTTGGGGGGTGATGCGGCGGAAGACACGATTGCGTGTATTAACTTTTCTTCTGGGACTACGGGGCTTCCGAAGGGGGTGTGCATAAGTCATCGGAACTTGATAGCGAACGCTTCACAGGCTATAGTCTGCAAGTTTTCTGGCACCGATCGTTCAGAACAGAATCCCGGCTCGGAAACATGGTTGGCCTTCTTGCCTTTGTACCACGCATACTCACAGCTTTGGACGATTAACATTGCAGCCCGGCTTGGTTACAAGGTGTACATACAGCAGAAATTCATATTCGAGGAGTTCTTGCAATTCGTCGAGAAGTACAAGGTTGACGCAGTGCAAGCTGTGCCGCCGCTGCTGATCATGCTGACCAAGCGGCCAGAGGTCAAAAAGTACGACATCAGCAGTTTGAAGCATATTCTAGTTGGAGCTGCACCTACTAGCCGCGAGCTTCAGGCGGAGGTGTCCAGGAAATTCAACTTGAAAGTAGGTCAGGGGTACGGCATGACTGAAACGACATGTCTGGCGATCATTGCTCCATATGGCGACGAAGACGACGGTACCGGTACTATTGGCTTATTAGCACCAAATACTGACGCAAAGTTGGTTGACGACGAGGGCAAAGAAGTAAATGGGGAAGGACAAAGAGGAGAACTGTGTGTCAGGGGACCACAGATGCTGATGAGGTACTGGAAGAATGAGGCTGCGACGAATGAGAGCATGGATACAGACAAATTCTTCCATACCGGCGACGTAGCAATCTGGAAGAAAGACGGCCGAGGGCGGCAAACATGGTGGATAGTCGATCGCAAGAAGGAACTAATCAAGGTAAAGGGGTTGCAGGTAGCTCCTGCCGAGTTAGAGGCAGTTTTGCTGGAATGTCCTGACGTGGCGGATGCTGCTGTGGTCGGGATTAGGTACGAAGAGGATGGTGAAGAGTGGCCAAGAGCCTATGTTGTATTGCAGGATGAGGCCAAGAACGGTGGCCGAGTCGGCGAGCGGGAGATACAACAATTCGTCTCATCACGAGTGTCAAAGCACAAATGGCTGGAAGGTGGTGTCAAGTTGATCGACGAGGTTCCGAAGCTACCATCTGGGAAGATCATGAGGAAAGTGATGAAAGACATGGCCAAACAGGATGCTATAGACATGAAGAGTCGTAAGGTAAAGGCGAAATTATGATTGCCACTGATATGCTTTATAGGATAGGCGTGTCGTGTTTGAAGACTGTTGGTAGAATATTAGATATCTTATGACGCTGGCTCATCACATCTCATGTGTCGGTCGGTACGCCTCCATCCTGACCACGATGCCGGTACGCGAGTATAGAAGCTGTAGCGATATAGCACAGTGGCACATTCGTATGTCCAAGAAGGCAAAACATTTCCTTCATCAATCGTTCCTCGTCAGGTCGTAATATAGCTCAGATAGGTATGCAGTTCGAGACTGAATTTCCAATATCGACCGGTGCAGCAAGAACACGCTTTCCCGTTTCTGTAGCGCAACAACAGCAAAGCAGCGAGGCAGGCCAGCAGACGATCTATGGCGAACATCAGCTTGCAGATCGACTTGGCACAAATTTTGAACTCACCGCACAAGCCACGGTGACTAAGAATCCAAGTGTGGGCCCGACGACCTGAAAGAAGTCAGGATTACTAGTTGCTTAGCGAAACAGACTTCGTGGTGATTACCTTGCAGTGACACGGGTTCTGGTCAGTTCCGCATTGGAAACAGATAATTGGGAGAGGCAGGCAATCCATGTTGCGGAAGGTGGAATTAAGTCAAGCGTGTAGCGTACAATTTTTCCTATAGCCTGATGGTAAATGTTGCGACCGACAAATTGACAATGAACGACGAGAGACTAAAGAGCTTGTTTTCCTTGACAATAGCTTACATTAAAGATAAATGGGTTGGGGAAAGAAAGGTTGGCGATGTAAGACAACGTCCGCACGAGATGACGTGTGCAGCTTCCGAGATGCCGCGACTGCTTACGACGAAGACGGCATCATCAGGTCAGACCATCAAAGGGGAAAGCCTCAAGGTAAATGGTATCGAGAGGGCCTTTTTCCTGTAATAACTTGTACTTTCATCGGACGAGACGCTGCGACCATCATTCTCATGTGGACGCGTATTTACAAGCGACTACCACGAAATGCCCAAGCTCTCGACAGTGCCCATGTGCTTCTCTCTCACACAAATGACCACGATCCCAGCTCTGTACTGCAGGCACAAGACTAAAAGGTCGTGATGGCTCGCAATCTTGCAGCAGAAGCTTGTTGCGTGAGAGAGCTAGTCGGTGCTAGGACTTCGAAAGCATGCGGTACACCTGGCCACTGGAGAATGTCAGTTTGAAAGAAAAGAAACCCATCAAAGAGTGTAAATGCGAGTGTTGGACTGGTATGAAAGCTAGAACACTTACGAGGTGCAGTTCAACATCGACACCAGCTTCGATCAACCGTTTCGCATAATCCGTGTCTTCGTCTCGGAAGAGGTCCAGCGTTCCGCAGTCAATGTAAGTCGATGGCAGACCAGCCAGGTCCTTTGCGTAAGTTGGTGAAGCATAGTGAGATACGTCGCCCGATTCCAACCTATCACCCAATAGTGCTCCCCAGCCCGTCAAGTTGGCTTCTTCATTCCAGACAAGCCATTTCGACAAGGCTGGGACTGGTCTCGTGTTTTTATAGTCAAGCATTGGGTAAACCAAGATTTGCTTGGCAAGAGGAGGACTCAGGTTCCTGTCCCTAGCCATAAGAGCAAGTCCGGCCGCGATGCCTCCTCCGGCGGATTCGCCCTGTCAGATATTAGCCCAGGAAGCCCTTTCGATCAAATGGGTAGACAATTCTTGGTGCGAACCAGTGCGTGTCTATGCGGGTACTTACCATGACGCAGAGCCTTGACGTATCAACATTGTGCTCGGCAGCATGTTCATGCAACCATAACAAAGCAGCATAGCAATCTTCGACAAGGCCAGTATGCTGCTGTTCAGGTGCCAATCGATATTCAACATCAAACGTGGGGATACCGGTCGTTGAGACCAGAAGATCTAGGGATTTAGTGAAGGTGGAAGTTGTGCCGGCGATCATACCACCTCCGTGGGCGTGGAGGATAGCTGGCGTTGGTTTACTCGCGTCGACTCCCTGCTTTGCCTTCTTCCAAACAGAGATCTCGACGCCATCGTGAGATTTGAGCTTGTACTCGGTTTTAACGACATCTGGCGCATCCGGAAACCCTGCCATCAATGCTCCGAATCCTACCTCTGTCGCTGCTCTTCGAGCTTGCCAGTCATGGACAGCAGGTTGAGGCGCTTGGGCCATCATAGCGAGGATAGGGCCAGCCAACCTCTCAAACTCGGCGTCAAATTTGAGTGCCATGGTTTTCGAGCCGGTAGAGGTTGAGTATCGTTTGTTGGTTCTGTGTCAGATTTGGTAGCTAGCTCTTATATACCAGGACGAAAGACTCGTCCAAGCTCTGTCTCGGCCGTTGACTGTTTAAGTAGCGCGTAGAGCGTCAGGCCAGCAGCACAAGTGTGCAGTCTGCTGAGCAAGCCAATCCTGATCCGTTACAAGTGTACTTGGCCAACGAGGTACATCTAGAATCATGCTTGTTGACCTCTCGTTGCGCAACAATTTCGTCCGAGGCAGTGCGATACCGCCCCAAACCGGTGTTTGTTACATCTCCGTTCCCCAAGAACGAGGGTAAGCATACCGTGCGGAGAAAGGAGTTACTGAGTCGCGAGATTAAGCGAAGTCAGAGTAACATTGCTAAACGAGGGGAGTGAGAGCTTTTGGTTGGTACCTCGAGTATTCTTGGAACCTGTAGCGGAATATAGCACATAATCCCGTCAGCAACATCGCAACGCTTGAGCGGAGGCCAAGTCAAGTCTCTCGGATTTGCCATGCTCTGGCATCTGATCAGATTCAACAGTCTCTCGTCGTAGCTGATCTCTTAAGACGCGACCAACCGAGTGGATTAAGAGAGTGGCCGCTGATTGCTTGGCTGGGCGTGCTCTTTAACCACGAACGAGCGAGCGCTCTTGCCAACGCGAAATTTTTTATGCAGACAATTCGCAATTACCGAAGGCATGCAAGATAGTTGAGGTGTTACTGTGTATTTGCAGCGGTATATCACATCATGCGAGAGACAGGTACATCTGTGCTAGCAAGTCCAGACATTCGCTGAAGTGCCTTGTACCATGAAGCAATTACCGCGAAGCTCTCTCGCTGCTCTGTCCGACCAAACATCCTACTCACTCATACATCCTCCAAGATAGCTCCTACACCCTCTTCACTCCCACACCATCTCTCCTCCCAATCCATCCATCCCACCCCATCCCATCAAAAACGCCAACCTCATAAAAAGTGGCCCATAACTAGGCCCCCACGTCATCCAATCCTCCTTCCTCCCCAAATCCCACTCCCAGCCCCATGGCCCAAGCCCCACCTCCCGCCTCGCAACATAAAGCGCCCACAAGTGTCCAACGTCCACAATAACAATACTCAGGATCAACCACCATCAGATCCGCCTGTCGGAATTGAATGATTCGAGACGTAAGACAATGGCTTCGAGGAAGGTCAGTTGGAGGTAGTAGGATGCTAGGTTTGTGAGCGAGAGTTGTGTGTATGGCAATATTGGTGGGGTGGAAGATGACGGAGTCGGGAGGACGATGGAGAAGTATTTTTGTGGCTGGAAGTGGCAGAGGTAGACGCCGCCGAGGGCGGAGATGGGCTCTAGGTAGTGGAAGAGGAGGAGGTAGGTGCAGTGTGGGCCTACACGATTGGCGACGCGGGTCTGTTTTGACATTGTTCGTAGGACGCGACTGGAGATGAGCAGTGTGGTCGAATGTCTGTGTCTTAGTTCTAGGTGTGCTTTGCAGATCGGCTGACGTCGAACTGGTATGCGATCACCACCAAAGAACTGAGTGTTACTCGAGCACTTGGATGTTGATTAGCATCGGATCACATAGAAATAACATAGAAACCATAAGAGTTTCTTGTGGTGGGGTAACGAGGGTTGGAGAGGTTGAACGCCATGCTGTGTGCAACTCTGACAGTCGAGGATTGAGTATGGACCTTTTCAAGAACCCGACAATTTATTAGATCCTGCTTGAGTATGACCAAATCTCATCATTTCAGACCTCCTGACAGGAGAATACTCTGTCCTGTCAGATAACCAGTCTTACACAGCATGGTGACCACATTAGCCGTCTCCTGTGGTGTTCCTAGTCGCCCGACTGGAATATTCTTCACATCTCCCGGCGTCCCTACCAGAAAGCCTGCATTTGGTATCATACCTGTTTCTCCAATCATGGCAGGCGCGACATTGTTTACAGTGATTCCATCTTTCGCCAATTTCAACGACAGATTGCGCATCATCCCATCCAAGCCGGCCTTACTCGCAGCGTAATGACACCCATTGATACCACCACCGATAGCTGCGATGCTGGACATGAGAATGATACGACCCCATTTCTGCTGTGCCATGTGTGGTACGGCTAGTTTGCAAAGGACGAAGGATGCGCGCAGGTTCACTTGAATCGTGTAGTCCCACTCACTGATTGGTATATCGACGATGTTCGGTATCCTCTTTCCATAGCCTGCGTTGCTGATCAAGACATCTGGTCCATGTCCGTGTATCTGTTCCATCTCTTCAAATAGCTTGGTCATGTCTTCGTCTGATGCCATGTCGACTTTATGTGAGGAGAATTTGCGCGTGCTGTCTTGCGCTTGTAATTCAGATATCAGAGCATCGACTGGAGCTTTGTTGGACGAATAGGTAAGCGCTAGATTCGCACCATGCAGGAAAAGGTCGCGCGCGCAGCCAGCGCCAATCCTAAAGTTCTGTCAGTAACTCAGACGTGCAGTGACCAGTACGAACCTACCCTCCTGACGCGCCTGTTACTAATACTAGACGTCCTCTCAGTTCGTTATCCACTGGCACAGGCTGTCCAGCCTGCACCTCTGTGATCACGGGTTCGAGAGACATATTGTGAGATTGTCCCTGCAAATGGTCTGATACTGACTGTAGCCGGCCAGCTGTTATGGTCGAGGTCATAGAATGCTTCGAAGCTGCTGGCGCATTCGAGAATGGGACGTAGAGATATTCTTCCTCGCGGACTCAAATAGTTATGGACTGGGACCTTGGTAAACGCGGGGAGAAGACCCGGAGGTCACTCCGCACGCTTCAGATCGGTTATCTGATTTCATTTGCCGACATATAGACGGCAGGAGCTGTGATTGCGGGTTCTCCGTGCTCCTACTAGATGAATGACCATGGTCAGAAAAGGAGATTACCATTCAAATCGAGCTGAAAATGGGCCACTGAGTTTTGAGCTTGCCAATTCATTGTGTCCGGTGATGGCATGAAATGAGCTGGGTTCTGGTATGAATTCATGCCCATGAAGGCGACCTGATTCGGCATAGGGTCACCAGACACAAAATCACCGACAGCCTCAAGATCCAGCCATGAGAAATCAGCCGGGCTGTATTGCATGTACCCACCAGCATCCATCCTGATCGAGCCAGTGCTAGACAATTGGCTGTCTGATCGGGCCGCTGGTGATCGCATGGGATGATATGGCTGTCCGAGCTTGAGTGGTCGCATCCAGAGCAGCTCTAATAAGCGAGCATATCGTGAACCTGCATGATGTGGAGACAAAGAGGCTTGTCTCAGTACGTCGATGCACGAGTAGATCAAGGTGCAGACGGCCCTTTGCTCTTGGTCATTGAGTACACCAAATGATCTTGCCTTGTACAAGAAGACTGCTGAATAGATCGTGTATAGGTAGAAGCGTAATGGCATATACCGGAGATGTCTCGTTGGATCGACTTGTGTTGCGAGCATGTTCAAAAACTGTTTGGCAGCGGCCACACTACCCCAGATAAACCGAGCATCCGGCATGGCCCCAACGTTGCTGAAAACCTGTCTCAAGTGTTCTCGAAGTGGCTTGTCCTTTTTCTTCTTCGAAATAGCCTGTGAGATTTGTGCTTGAAAGACGAAGGCGTTTGTGTATAGTCGCAGGTATTGGTACGACATATCGAGGGTGATTTTGATGTGCTGTGAGCACTGTATGTTCCCCCAGGTCATCTGCCATCTGTCAATTGCGGTGCGAAAGTCGTCGACATATTTCACATAATCGCCCAGGAGCATCATTTGGTTGCTGCTTCTCATTCCAGAATAAAGCACATCGTGAACGTTGGAGAACAACTGCGTCAGGTCCAATTGAGCCTGAAACACTTTAGCATAGTCCTCGTCACCGTCGAATTGCGGCTGTAGAGTGGGAAAATCTCTAGTTGATAGCCCAGTCATAGGACCAGGACCTCTCGACCAGAAGGCTCTGCCAATACGCACTGATATGAGTCTGTCTGACACATAGCAATTTGCCCAGGCGAACCTCTTCCGTGCGTCGATTTTTGCTTCCTCATCGGATTCTTGTCGAAAAGCAGTTCTGTCGAGGCTCAAGAAATAGCCAGTACGCAAGGCCATACCGACATGCATCCAGGCCGATCTGTCCTCCTCGCCTCTCCCAATAACTTCAATGTTATTCCTCAGGCCAGGAGGTTCCCACTCAGCAAGCAACAGGAGTGCTTCGACAGCCTCGACGTCACAATCATGACCAGCAGCTACACCAGAAACCAGATCGTGCATGTATCTGGATATGGACTGGTGGATATGTGGTTGATCAACGAGGTCATTCGACGCTATGGTAAGAACTGCCGTCAGTAAGTGCTTGTCTGAAATTGCGAATTGATCCAGCGCGTCTTTCCCAAAATATGACCGCGGAACCAGCGGCAGATAGCAATGGTAATTCTGGTAATATTGCTGCACAAGAGTGTGTACGATCTCAGCCGTCAAGTAACCTTCGCGAACAAGCCGATATGTTGCAAGACCAGTATGCGTCACACCAGCTGATCCTCTGGCAGCTCTTGTCGCTGCAGTTTCTCCTTGGTTGGTATGTAGCACTCCATTTGCGGCAGCATTGGAAGCAGTCTGTGTGGCGATAGGACCATCTTTCGCAACGTCTCTCAGTAACTGCCAGGCGTCTGAAGGGTTTCTCGGGATTGTACTGTCTATGGGTGAGTCGTCATCAGAGTCATGGTTGTCCGGTGGGTTCGGCGTCAGACTAGAGATCGGTTCGAGGACGGATGAGTCTATAGGCGTCTCAGGTGACTGTAAATGAGATGTGGAAGTAGGTAGTGCATGTTGAGCATCCACTGAGACTGATGCCAGGCTATGGATCGGGGTCGTGGTGGTTGTCAACAACGTCTTCTTTCTGACTCGACTTCCACCCCGATTCGAGCTTGCAAGGATGCATTCTCGGTTCTCTTTGCGACATCTGCCACATGGCGGTTGACCGCCAGAAGCTTCCCTGTAACACAGTCAGTCGCTACAAGGTATCGCCACTGGAGTAACCATGTCGGCAATGGTCAATATGAGGATTGCTTGTCGACGAGCAGTAGCCGTTGATTCTCTAGGCATGGGTAGGCACGTCAGTCGCCGATGTGAGTGCCCCGTGCATGCCCGGAAATGCCTATAGGCCCCGCTCTCCACATTCCAATGGCGAAGGTCCAGTAGGCAAGAAGGACTTACAGATCACAACGGCTTTTGCGAGCTCTACAAAATGTACAAGCGCGCGACACTCTTTTCACTGGTGGTGCATTCTTGTCATCAGCCATGCTGGTTGTTGGCGTCTGCCATGTGCGAAGGTAGCAGTCATGATGATGAGGAAGACAAACAGGGATGGTTCACCAGGCGGTGGTCAACTAATTTTTTGCGTCCCGGTTTACCCCAGATTATTTCTCCGGGGCTCTCAGGCACTACTGCTTTATACACGTCCCGACGAGCAAGATTTCAGGTACGCGCCTAGGAATACACGAGCTCGACTACAACCGTTCTGGACATCTATATTGTGCGTCAAGAAGAAGGTAAAGCCGGTAGACGCGATCCACCATGGCATTGACTATGTATAGGTGGAAGATGTGGAGGCCACCCTTCACACAGACGAACTGCTGCGACAAGTAACTCGAGGCTGTGCCAGAAAAATGCACAAGGACTGGTCGGCTTTTATTCAATACCATGTTCGCGGTAACCACGTTGTAGTTCCTGTATTCTCTCGGGCTTCCTATGCTAGGATCTGTCGGATATCTCTTTGAGACGTCTCTTCGTGGGTCTTGTTCAACTTCCAGGCTGGCAGCGATATGGTTCCCATATCTTCTGCATGCAAAGTCTCAGTCTTCATGAAAGAGACACATATGCTGGTTGCTATATTCTTGTCATATTCTCCGTAGACGCGTATAAGCTAGTAGAAGAAACCAATGATCTTGCCTGAGACGTGTTTTCTTCTTGCCTCCTCATGATCCATAATGCCAGAACTGGTGGTTAGGACGATGTAACCGAATTGACGAGACGGTAATAGCTTGACAACCCACTTCTCGAGGTCTCGGAGCTGGACGTTGTATCGTGGGGAGATAACACCAGTCTTGTTGAGTCGGCCGTTGAGCTGAATGACGATCTTGCCAGAGCGGTGGTCGTCAACTTCCTCGAACTCGCCGATGTAGCCTGAATCGAGGTAATTAGCAATTGCGCCTGTAAAACCTCCAATTACGCAAATTAACAGTATGTGGTGTTGCGGGCAAATAAACGTGTACCAGACATGGGGACAGAGAAAGGCAATGTGTAAGAATGACCGCAATAGGTGAATTTTTCTTTCGAGCACTTAAAGGGTAGATGCCGTTGGGTATGAATTTCGAAACGTCCACCTAGTTATCAGCCCGATTGTGTTGTCGTCACGCGACCTTCCAGCTCTTTCCCACAACAAAGATTTTAGGAACAATATTTCACATACCGTGCTTCTGCATGACAGTAAGGAATTTGGTGATGACCTTGGAGCTAGGTCGGATCATGACCTGTCGCTTGCCAGCCTTTTCGGCATTGTTGATGCTCTTGAGGCAATCGTTAAGAACGGAAGTTCGGACCATCTTGACGGCTGTAAAAAGGTCTTGAGTTCTCGCGACAAGGAAAAAGGTCGAGAGGTACTGCGGAAGGAGATGTTAGCCTTTTAAACCTGAAGAGTGCGCAGTGAAGCGGTCTTCAGGTTGCTGAAGAGAAAAGGGTGTCGCCAGCCGCTGCGACAATCATTCTACCAGATATCGCATGACTGACGACTCCTGATCTCAGGCTCACTGAAGAGGCGGCTTGTCGACATACCTCTTTGTGTGGTCGAAGCGAGTTGATGGGTGTGTTTCTGTTCCTCAAAGATGCGCTTGTGGGAAGAGCAAATCGAGCTGCATTAAAATCTTGGCAGTCTAGCAGTGCAGAGGCTAGACCGTTTTCCGCTTAATCTCGTCCTAATGCCTTAGGCACTCAAAGGCATCTTCTTCCTGTATATGATCTGTGTTTGTTGTCTGTTATAACTCATTCCACTCCTGGGACACACTTCTCAATTTTGACTGACATAGGTGCGGGATGTTGCCCAACGTCTGTCCTACAAACGAAGGGATTTACTTGTACTTCGAACAATAACGAAAAGGAGGCAATACAGCTATGCATGATCCTAATACTTTTCACACTTCTACATCAGCGTCCCTGCGTCGACGTTCTCCTTTTAGGTGTCGGGAACAGTGAATAATGCAAGTTGCTGTCTACCTCCATCACACTCCTCGACCTCGGCGCCATCTCGTACTTCTCAGACGCGTGTTCTCGTTCTTCCGAGATCCTGCCCAAGATTGTCGTAGGCGTCGTTGGTGTAGATGGTACGTTTTCGTACAGATACACTTTCCCGAGAACCGGTCCTGCCTTAAGGTCTAGTGACTTAGGACGCTGTTGTCGTTGCTTTTCTAGATCAGGCAATACCTGTGCTTGGTCATGACTCTGTTCCTGAGGCTCGTGCTTCCTACGCCATTTCATAATGGCGAAGATGGGCAATGCTAACAGCACTATACCGACGACTACAGCGATCGCAATGCCTGCCTTCGTGCCACCTCCAGTGGATTGCATAGACGTCTGATTTGAGCTTGAGGTTGAGCTGGGAGTGGAGTTAGGTTCCAGAGCAGCGGAAGTCCCAATTGTACCGATAGGCGACGAGGCCGAACTGGAAGAAAGTGAGGAGAAAGAAGATGTTGCAGATGTCCGACCTGTGCTTGAAATTGCCCCTGAAATTGCGCTTGAAATTGTTACAGCTGCGAGCGATGTTGGTGTCGTTACGGCTGTCGCTGACGATGCCATGGCTGAGGTTGTCGTGCTTTTCACCATCGTTATGGATGTAATCTGAATGATCTGTCAATCGTAGCCCATCAGCGCTCTGCTGTGTGCTCACCTGTGAAGGAAGTACAATACTATAAGTTGTGGTCATGATGTGTGTAGAGCTAGGCACTGAAGTTGCAGAGCTTGAACATATCGTAGTTGTCTGACCATTGGCCACGAGGGTACTACATGATGCTACATCATATGTAGACGTGACGGCACCGACCACAGAGCTTGTCGTAGATAGCGAAGTTGCTGTCGATATGAGATCAATATCAATATCAATATCAGTCGGCGTACTGCTTTGCGCCAATATGGTCCGAAAGAGTGCCGTCAACACCAATGAGAAGAGCATCTCAATCAAACAACAACGACTTTACACCATATGAATGCTGAAGATGCGCAGAAATTCCATTGACCTGAACACCAACAAGATCACCTCCTCGCAGAGAACGCATCGAAAACATTATCGACCCTGGCAACGATGACAATCCAGGCTCGAAAAGTCAAAACTTACCTTTGTAGTGATCTCAAGCTACTCTCCCTGCAACTTCGATCACGCATGCTGTGCCGGAGGACGCCCAAGAGCGTTTGTCACTGACACGTCAGAGGCAGAGAGCTCTGCTTGAGCTTTTGGTGAGTGAAGGGAGATCTAATCTGCCAGAGAAAGAACGGGTTGTCGATCAACCAATGACATACCTGCCCAGCGGACGCGATCTGGCGTTGAGTTTGCGCTTCGTGCCGTGAGCTCCACACGTGATCGAGAGTCGTCGATATTTGAGATTACGAACTCATCTGTCTACCCATTTGAAATAAGTTCAGATGCTTGCAGACAGGTTCCAAGCAATGAATGTGGTCAGGGGTCTGCGCTCCACCATTAGAGAGCACGTTCATCGTTGTTCTACTCAAAAACGAGTGGCCACTTTGGGCATAGACCTTTGACAGTCGTCTGTCGTCTGTAATGATATACAGACAGAAGGTAAGGAAAAGGAAGGAGGAAAGGTAGAAAAGATCAAGATCGCATATATTCCAGTGTCATATACTAAAAATTTGGGTATCATATAGAAGCTGCCACCATCCATCCCATATGTGCACGAAGCAAGATCTCGATATCAACGCTGAACGCCATACCACGCTATGCTATGCCGCAACCCATGTAAATGCTCAACGCTGATGTCCATCCCGTCGCTATGCAGTGTCGGCTAAACAAGAATCTATGCCTCCAAGAGAAAATCGCCCATCTTGCAATTCGTTTCTTCATATATACCATTTTTCACGTGTTCCACCTATATATCCCATATACCGAAGTTATCGTTTCAGCTCTTCAGCAATCAGCTTCTGGCACAGCTTCTGGCACGATGACAAATGCATTCCGCGCCTTCAATCTGTACACTGCTTCAACTCGACTGCATCGCACTTCTCTCTCCCTGATTGTCGGGAAATCACTGCTCGCTGGCAGTATAGTGACTTCGGACCGTTTAGCAGCAGACCGAGTGACGGTCTGAAATCTTGTCTCGATAAGAGTTGAATACTGTGTCTCAAGCTGAGTCACCGTGCTGGCAGGACCAGAGGCTGTTGTCGTGACGGTCACTGCATTGGCATTTGAGATCGCAGTTGCGGTGTTTTGATTCTGAGTGGTAGAGCTGGTGCTGCTGACAGATGAAGGCTGTGAGTCGCCCGCAGCACCTGTTCCTTGTGGAAGTGGTGCGGAGGTCGGACCAATTGGGCTGACGACTGGTCGCGATCGTGTCCTACCATTGCCGTTGTTGTTGTTGTTGCCACCATTGTTAGCTGCACTTGTTTGTGGTGATGGTATAGCTGATGATGCCGCCTCCAACTTAGAGGTTGTGATGACAGGAGTAGTGCTTGCAGCTGTCTTGGAGACACCTGATGGACTTCCAGCCGCGACGGTCGAAGCCGGACCCGAAGCTGGGCCTGAAGCTGGACCTGAAGCGGCGGCTGTCCCAGTTGGCTGACCAGGAAATGGTATAAACTCACCAACCACAGCTGTGGGATTGGCAATATCTGCAAATTGTTTTGCAACAGCTGCATTACCAAGATCTTGTTGCACAAACTTTGCCGCTGCAGCTTTCTGCTGTGGACCACCTGTCCCACCAGATGTACCGCCAATATCAACGCCTGCGCCATTTGTGATGTCCACATCCATACAGGTTGTGTAGATTTCTTGCTGCCCGTTTGGCGTTTCTGGAGTCCCGGGCAATGTGGGCCAATCCCAAACCCAGTATAATGTGTACGGCTTTCCCGAAGGTGCAGTTGCAGGGAGCTGAATATCGGTCTGACACCACAGGTTTACGCCCATAAGCGTGTTCACCTGGAAAGGGAACGATTTCTGTCTCTGCACGGAGATCGGACCGTCATTGACTTGATAGCACTGGCCATCATCATAGTTCTGTGTTGAGAGCAGGACACCACGTCCATCACCGCCCTTGCCGTCAGGAGTCCAAACCCTGTGGATGCTCATCAGCTTGTCATCGGACGAGGGTTGTGTAGTACCATAGACATAGACTGCGCCACTACCCTTTGGCTTCCCTTTCGGGTTGTCTGGGAAAGTAACGTGACCATTCTCTTGGTATCGTAATGCAACGTTGGCGCCTGCTGCTGCCTGCAGCCTCGGCGAGCCGGTCGTCTGTGTTTGAGTCGATTGCTGTTGCATACATATAGGAACGTTGGCATCGACCTTGGTGATCCTGTGAACAATAGCGTCTTCGACAAAACCGGGTCCTCGCACTTGGTTGGCTCGCGGATATCCAGGCTGTCCAACGAAGGTACCATTAGTCCCTATGACCATGAGCTGCTCGATCCAGCTATGAGCATATGTTGTTGAGGAGAATGCGCCCAATATAAGGGCTGTATAGCTGTACTTCATCTTGCCTGAAGGTGAAGTCGGTGTGTAGAATGAGCGACTTCTCTTCGATTCCGGCCAGCGAAATGAGGTGCTTTAAATGAATGTAGTCGATTGATTTAATTGTATCGTCTTGAAAGGTTGGAGAAATTTGTGTAGCTGATCTGTTTGGAAGTGAAATTACCTAAGTAAGAATAAGGCTTCAAGTAGTGGGGATGTCTTTAAGAAGAAAGAATGGAGGGTCCAGCCCAGGTGAAGTTGAACAATGCCAATGGCGTGAGTCAAGAACAATATGTCTTTGTGTTAAAGAATGGCAACCATGTGGCTAAATTGGGAAAGTGAAGAACAATGGTAAGATGGTACAACCTGACATAGGTGCACAGCACAGCACATACTAGACTTGCTAGTAACGTTCTGGAAAGCTCACGTACAACGTGGCGTAGAGGACGAGTCTGACTTATTAAGTAAGTAGACGCAGTCGCAGACCACAAGGTGCGTTTGCATTTTTCTTTGAGTAGTCATCCTGTTCATGTATCAGAACGCGCTCGAAGTGGTATGAGATTAGCCAGGGATGCTGATCTTGAGGACAAGTCAGTAGAGATAGGGTGTCGATTCATGAGCTGCAGTGAAACTTAGGCACACGAATACCTGGGTATCAGGTGAAGAATAGAATTGCTGTGAGTTTAGATCTCGTTGCAAGGCTATAGGCGGGCGATTGCCAGCCAATACTTACTCACAGGGTACACACCCATGGTTCAAACTGGAGTCTGAGCTGTAGAGTGGACCTGTTTCAAGTTCGATTCTCTACTGCCTCGTGGCCGGACAAAATTGTGGCTCAACCCACAAAGGATGTGGCTGGTAGTGACAAGAGACACGTACTGTTCTTCTCTGTCACCTTCTCAAATTCGTGGTTCTGTAGTTCCACTGAATCGTTTTGTCGGATTCTTGTCACTAAACTCACCACGAACGGTAATGTTGAGGCTGACTTCATGCTGAACGTTCTTCGAACGTTCAATCAACAACTAGATTGCAGGTAGCTCTTCAGGATACCAAGTGTGCAACATGGGCATGTCGAGGGGGTTCTGTTCTGACATACAATCATTGGTGTTGGGCGCTTCTTTTGAAGTGAAGACCGTAGAGGAGAAAGGAAAAGAGTAAGCTTGAAGTCTACAGACACGCTAAGACGAAACCGATTTAGCTTGTTTCAGAAGCTGTCCTCGCCCAGGTTTCGGAACGGAGCAAGCGGACAGCAAGTCGTGCAATGGTTGGACTTCGGAGGATATTCTCAGGACGATCTTAGACGCCAATTAATATTTGTGCCTCACTAGATCTTGTGTCACTGGCGCGAGCCGCAGAAATATACGGATCTTGGATGGCAACCTTCTCGCGTAAGCACATCCTGGTTGTCCCAGGAAGATTATGAGGGGCTAGAAGAGTCTAGAGGCTGAAGATGTGCACAGTTGACTTGCCAACAGCAAGCGCCGATGGCCTCTTCTTGATCTCTCGTTGTCGCGTGACTGTGCAGATGTGGTGACTCTTCGCTCGTCCCCGCTGAGCCCGTAGTCACGCGTAGACACTGCCATGCAAGACAGCGACGAGACGTCGGCCACCTAAAGACTTACGAAGGGCCGGCACAAACTGCAACATAACGCAAGCTGAAAGTGAGGTATCTGAGCCAGAGATGTTCTCCTTGGAAGAGTGTGCACACCCACCACTCCAGACGAAACAATAACTCTCCAAAAGGCGTGTTAAGGGTCTCCGTGACCAGGACCACCCCTGCTGTAGAAAAATCGTAGTCACAGGTTTCTCCCTAACCCTTTGTACTTGATGTTCCGTTGTCGGGAGTGGTTACACAAAGGCTAAGCAGCACCTGACCCTCGTCTCAGAGCGCTTCGACTCATCTCGGTCACAGTCTAGACTCATTGATGCTTGCTCTCCTCCGCCAACCACGTCTTGAAATCCATCATGTTCGGGTTCAGTCTCTTGCACTTCTCCAAATCAGCACCGTACCCTTCCTCCTCGAACCACCTGAACATTATCCCAACATCAGAGACCATCCACTTCAGAAAGCTCACGATAAACCAGTAGGACTGAATCATCGGCCGTCCCTTCGCCTGCCACATAGCCTCGTCTCCTTCCGCCTGAGTGATTTCGTCGCCTGCGACACTAATAGCTTTATTCTTGAAGTCCTCGCTGTCAGGTTCGCTCAGAGCTTTGGCCGCCATAATTCCAATGTCCCTCGTAGATACTAGCTGCAGCTTCTTCGAGCCCATCTGTGCCCATGCTGCGGCAAAGATTCGTCCTATTATGCCCGGCATGTAATTGTCCATGAACGCAACTGGTCGCAGTATGGTATAGCTCATTTGGCTCGCATTGCTCTTTTCCCTGATGTACAATTCGATGTCATGCTTGGTAATGAAATGTGGTGTTGGTGTTGGGTTGCTCCAGCTCTTCTCATCTCCACCACGGTCAACACTGCTGAACACGAAATGCTTGACGCCGTTCTCGAGCGCTGCATCGAACATGGCTCTGCCCTGGGCTACCTCTTTGTCCACAACTCCGGGCTGAAGCTTCTTCATGCTCGGCATCGTGACGAGGAAAACAGCCCATACTGAATCTTTTCCACCCGCGGCCTCGAAGATCGCAGGGACATTCTCAAGATTGCCTTCGATGATCTTGACTTTTGGGTTCTCTGCCAACTTCTGTGCAGAGGTCGAAGTCGACTTTCGGGTTAGGATGAGGATCTCGTGTGGGAAGGACGGTGGTTGTGCGAGTAGAGCTCGAACCACTGCGCCTCCTTGTTTGCCTGTTGCACCGGTGACGAGAATGCGTCGCACGTCGGAAGTGGTCATGTCTGCTGCCTGATTCAAAAACGTTGAGGGATCTAAGAAATTGATAGTATGAAGGGCGGTCAAGCACAACGGACGGAAGAGGAAACGTGTAAACAGATTCGAGGAACGATTAGCTGCTTGTGAACGCCATCACGATGTCCGCAACTCTAAGTGAAACACAATTGATTTCGTGCATAAACGCTTCGGACATGTAGCATTAATCCTGACATCATGGACAGAGAACGGAGATGAGCTCTAATGGCACGATCAAAGCTGGTATTGGGGTCTCAAGACAGTGAGAAAGTGCTCATGATGAGCTTCAAGTTTATCATGCTTGGATCAGATTCATATATCGTTCTGAGTTATAAAAGCTTCGAAGTGAGTCTCGCGTAGAAACGAAGCTCGAAAGTGGCTGCATCGAATCTCCGATAAACTATGCTGCTTTGAGATATTCAGAGGCACGTTGATTTCAAACAACAGAAGTTGCAATAACTGCTATTATGAACTTATTCCACGAGCGGCCCGGCATGTAACGATTCGAGCAATGGGAACAATCTTTTGGAGAAGCAATATACCAAGTTCGTATTTGTTTCAAATCTGGCGGCACTATGTTCAACGTATATGGGTATCAGGAGAAATCAACGAATTCACTGTTCAACGCCTCCATCAGTATCATTTCGACATCAAGAACTTCACACCACGTCCTCTTGCTCTCCACTTCTCAATACCACCGTGGGCAACCCACGACATCAAGTTCTTGCACTGGCTTACATCGAATGTTTCGAGAACTTTGCAGCCGTCAACTACACCGTCAACGCCCATGCCAGTAACACGCACACACCCACGAACGGCAAGATGCTGCATATTTGTGAGATGATTGCCAATCGACCTCAAGGAAGCATCGGAGATTGCCGAGCCGCAAAAGGACATGTCGAGGCTTTCCAGATTAGAGCAGCCTAGAGCGATAACTTCTGTCGAGGTATCAGAAAGTGCGCAGCAGAAGGACAGATCCAGATAACGTAATGCGGCGCCAGCTGCCGTCGTCAAGTAGATGATGGCTTGGTCAGAAAGGTAAGTACAGTCCGCTAAAACCAATTTTCGCAGTTTCGTAAATTTGATATTCGAGGAGTTCTGCCCCCAATAGCCAAATCCCACGTCTGTAATTGTTGTGCACCTCGTTAGGTCAAGAAACTCAAGACGGCTTGCAGCGTGCATCGCAAGATGGTGCATCGTGCGATCGGTGACATGCTTGCAATAGCTGAGTGTAAGATGACTGAGGTTGGGGCAGCCGATGACCGTGCCTGGAGGCGGCATTGGTGGTGTATTGCCATTGACATTGTTGCCATTCAGCTTGTTAGTCCGAATCACTGGCCGTCCTCTCATGCTTGAATGTCTTCCCAAAGCTGTTTGCGCTGGAGGATGCTGTGGGACAACCCAGCCTACCACACGCGCAAGAAGTGTGTCGCTGACTTTGCGGCAATTGCTCAGGTCAACGCTGACGAGGCCCTTTGCCTTACTGGACATCTCAAGTATGGCATTGGCCGTCACGTCCCAGACACTCTTCATCTTCCAACATGTAACGTTCTGCCCGCATTTATCTGCAAGTGCTGAAAAACCTTCGTCGGACACATGAAAACAGTTACAAATATCAATGGTACGCGGGCGAGTGCCTACGAAGGGGCATATTTGCTTGATGATAACCTGGTCATTGAGGCAACGATTGTAGCGCGCCAAGTCTAGGTGTGTCACAAGCTTGTCGGACTTCAGTAACAGGTTCTGCCAGTGTAGACTTATTACCTGCAAATTCATTAGTTCGTGCAGCTCGAAATGCTGAAACACAAGCACTAAAATTTCATCGGGTATGGACCCACGATTCTCACCATCAGTGAGCCGCATAGTTATTTGCGGACGTTTTGCGCCAGCGAACGGATCCGAGAATGGAAAATATTGGCCACCACTTCCTTCTGCTAGAGGAGAAGGTGTGGCTACCGCGGAGCTCTGTGTTGAGGGCGATGATGGTTGAGATGACCTTGGCGAGGACTTTGGCGAGGGTCTTGGTGAGCGCCTTGGTTTTGTGGATGGTTTGGGAACAGGCTCATCGGGAGGTGGAGGGGCCAGGGAACCTCTTCTTGAGCGCGATCGCACATTTTCCAGCCCGATGCTCGAGAAGGGATCCGGATCAGATGGCTCTGCAGGTGTTGGATCGTCAGACTGCAGAGGCTGCACAGGAGCGGCAATCTCGGCATCGCTGAATGTTACTCGTGCTGGTCTAGCCAGCTTCTTTGCTAACTTCTTCTCATCATCCAGCTCGAGCTCAATCAAGCTTGGTGGTTGGTAAACATCTTTCATTTCCACATCATCCCTGGAGGCTGTCTTTAGTCTTGACAGTGCAGTCTGTTCAATCTGGGCTCGCAGTAAAGGTGGACATCGATTCCAAAACTCTGCCAATACCTTCTCTGGGATCATTAGACACTCCACCTGTGTGACTGACCTGACTGTAGCCGTCCGACGAGGAGCCAAGTCCAGGCTTACTACCTCTCCAAAATACTGACCTGCTCGTAGACGTGCTTTGACGACTGGTGGTAAAGGAAGTGATCTCTTACGATCATTCTGAGTCTCCTGCTCGCCGATCACTTCCACTTCACCATGCACTATGAAATAGACTTCTCGCCCCGTGTTATTCTGCTTGATGATATCTACAAATGGCGGAAAGGCACGTGGTTGAGCATTCAATCCCAAGAAATGGAGGGGTTCAGCTGGAAGGTTTGCGAACAAAGGTAATTCTTTCAGCAGAGCTCGCACATTGACCAAGCCGAACCCCAAAGCGCTTGCAGGCGACACATCACCGACGCCAGGACTGGGGGACTTTCGCCGCTTGTTGTTGGTTTCAGAGACGTCGGTCTGCATTTCTTCCTCCTCCTCTTCTCTCGTCCTCTTAGACCCTCTTCGTTCTGAAGTTGGAGAGCTAACAGGACCTGGTGCTTGTCGCTTCTTCTTTTCCAGTATTGCAAGGCGTTCTAGCGCTTCTTCTCTTACTGCTCTCTCTACCTCCGGAAACTTTGGGAGAATGCGCTTGAGATCTTCCTTCTTCAGCTGTAAGCTAAGACATCTTGTTCGAGCAATGACTGTAGCGGTTCTCGGCCGGTCCATGAGTATACCAATCTCGCCAACAAAAGAGCCAGCTTTTAGTTCTGCATACGTGCTTTCGCCATCTCTTGAACAGACTGCAACTGCGCCTCTCACGATCCAGTACATCGCCTTGGCAACATCTCCTTCTGTCATAAGATAGTCGTTGGGAGCATACATTTGTGGTTTCAGGACGAGACCGACCTCGTACAGAAAGCTATCTGGTGCGGACTGGAAGAGTGGAAAGGCTCGAATACGTTCGATCAAGTCAAGTGGCATGCCTTGAATCTGAGAAGTAGCGAGAGGTGACTGCCTGGCAGGTCTGCTTGGGTTTATCTGGTGGTCGAAGCTGCGGACCAATGTAACTTCTGCAGAGGGAGGTGTCGGTACACGACCAGCGTACGGCGAGGGAGCCCGCCCATGATGTCGTCGCATATTTATTCTATCTGACAAAGATCCTTTATTTTTCTCGCACAGTTGACCCAGGACAACCCGCTGACCTCATTTTCCGGTTAGATGGTTCCCACTATGCGGGCGAGTTCGTGATTGATTGCTTGCAGGCAAGCCTGCAACGTTCTGAAGGTAACCTTCTCATCCACCAGTTGTTTGTCGACTTCGAGCCTCAACAAACGCAAGTATCCATGAGATGACGGGCGCACGCTTCTGGCAATTTGATCGTCGATAAATACCTTTTCTGTAACGCGATTGGACCTTGACAGCCGTGGTTGTTGCTACTCTTCGTGCGGGACGTCAATCTGAGGACTTTGTGAAGCTACAAAGACCAAGATCTAATAGTTTCGCAATATCGTTCAGCCGAGTAGATTCGTTGTTGAGAACGTGTGAGAGAATAGTTATCAATACAGGTGTACCGTATACAGCACTCCAAGTTGTCAAAGACAAACAACCACCAATCGACGACCTTGTCTTTAGGTTCGCAGCGTCGCGTAGGTTATCGAGAGGAGCTGAACCAGTGGCAGGTGCGGATACTGGCAGTCACTATGATCTGAAATCCTTCGGGAGAAAGAGACCTGCTTGAATGGGGATCGCACCTGAATCGACGACGTCGTGTCTACGATGCCCCACCTGTCGCAGTTGGAGCACGAGCGTTTTAAGGATGGAGTTCGGCACCATCCAGACTAAGCTCATCGCCTTCGGGGGCCAGTCGAAGAATTTCCCAGGCTTCCATGGTGGAGTGAAAGACGGGATCGCGTATGATCCTCCACTCCACACCTTTGGCCATGAACTGCAAGATTAGTATCAGATACAAAAGCACGAGTATGCTATTCTCTGGATCTTGATCAGCATATGGCCGAAGTCCAGACTTATAAAGACTCAAACAGCTGTCTTGATGTATGCACAGTGTACTAAGGCAGGCGATGAATTCAGTGCCAAATAATTCACTTGTTTAACATGGCATTGATAACTATCAACAGAGACTGAATGATCAAAATCCGTCAGGTATGCAAAAAGGGTATCTGTAATATATCGGGTGATACATGCCCAAGGCGCCACGCAAATCTAAAGTTTTCGTTAATCGTCGTAGAGTTCGTAATATCCTCAAGCACAGTCATCGTGCTTCAGCTTTCTTCTCTTCAAAGAAAATCCTCATTCCCTCGTGATCCATATCGGTAGCAACAAGTTTGGCTTTCTCAAAGGTTTTGGCGCCAGCGTAAACCTGCTCTCGTACCATGTATGGATTTACTTCAGGACTGGTAACATTACCCATGAGCACTCGGGATTGACCATGAGCCTCGATCATGCCATACTTGTTTCCCCGTGGCTGGGTATAACCTTGTGGTCGGTAATCGTAGTGGGCGCCGTAGTGATAATGGTCACCATATGTAGAGCCATAACCTGAGTCTTGTGGCATGGGTCGTTGTTGTTGGTAATGATGAGTTCGAGGCATCTGCACAGGCGGCAATGGTCGTTGCCGTTGTGGGGGTGACTGTGGTTCTGGCTGTGGCCGTTGCTGTTGTGGTCCAGGGTTTTGCTGCAACATATGCAATAAGCGTTGAACCGTAGGGTCTTGCCAATCAATTGTATTCTGCGATGAATTTGACATAGGGTATGCAGGAGTGTCCAACATTGGAGCAGGTGATTGGTAGATGCCTCGAAAAGGGACCATGTCCTGAGGTGGAGGCGAGGTCATTGGTGAGCGCATTGATGAAGAGCCAGTGGAATCTTGTGCATGCATACTGTTGTTCTGGCTGTGTGGTGGTGTGGGAGGCTGACCAGGAACCGGTCGCTGTGGTTTTGGAGTATGCATCATGGTGTAAAAGGTATGCAAGACAGCAAACTGCAAGTATAAATATATCTGGGCGAATTGATGGGAAAGAGAGAACACAGTAGCTGGGTAATGAGGAACGATGAAGGAGAGACAGAGGCTCGAGTTTATGAGCCGTCAAGCGCTTGGTGCTGGAGGACGCGATTCTACTCACAGCCCACTGGCTTGGCTCAAATTGTGCCAGCGTCATGGCATACGACTGCACTGCAGTACTATGTCTAAACCACTGAAGGCCAGTTCTCAGGAGTAGTGTCGCCATTTTCGCGCATTCAACTTCCAAGACTTCGCGTGATAGGTCCAAAGACGTTGCTTCGTCACGCGCGACGAAGACCAAGACACCGCACCCCACCATTGAGGATGGTTTTCCTGCTGCTCGAGAGTTGCCTGATGCACTCTAGTGGGGCATCCGTCTCAAGCTGTCAGCTCTTCGGGATCTGGATCGTCTGGCTCAGTTCGTGTCGAGGATTGCATAGCGAACACAGTATGATTGAAGCATCAGTCTCCCACGATGCCCTTCCAGGAACGAAAAATTCTTGTTGTCATGCACCGGTATGTCTGCTTGATATATAGACATGTTCAGGAACTTCTGTGGTGCTGTTCTGTGCCCTGGACGGCAAACGTAGGCAGTGCCAAATTCACCGAGGCGGACAGTTCAAGCCACAGCCCGGGGCTTTTTGTCAGGCAAGCAGGGGCATTGACATCCACAATTTCGTGTAAAGTCCAAAGTGCAATCGATCGTCATCCGGTTTCGCAGAGCCTCAATCATGGTTGAATGACCGTTTCTCAGGGCAGAACGTGCATAGTTCAATATGTCTATCAGGACACAAAGTTCCGTTCGAAAATCATCTATCCTGATATTTTGTGACAAATTCGAGCTTATGGCGAGGCTGCAGCCATGCTCTGGGTCTTCTGTAAGGTAGACTTGAGCTCGCAAAATAATGATCGGAGCTCGGTGAAATCCTTGTTGATGCGGTACTCAGTTGTTCTGTCTGAAATAAGCACCAGGTCTTTCCCTACGAGCAAACTGCCTAGTCTAGCTTCCTCGTAGAGAGCAGACCACTCTATCCGACAGCTCTGGCATAGAGTGGCCATAAACGGCAAAGCATATCCAATTGGGCAGCCTTGCAAGGGTGCTTTGACTGAATGACTGTCTTAGAGCCACACTTCAATTTGCAAAGAGATGTGAAAGTGTCAATGGCGGTCGATCTCGTGATCTACACAATGAATTTTGTTCACATGCGTAATCTCGAAACTTCTCGCAAATCACCTTAATTACTAGAAAGAGTTGCACAAGATGTTCCACGTAGCAAGCACTGAGTATCTCTGATTCTCAGTTCATGGTACTTTGGTACCTGGCAGAAGAGCATAACACATCAGCCACTAAGCTGCATAATCGAACCAAGAGTCTTCTGTTCTCTTCGCATAACCCCCTTCGAACGAGGAACGGTTGACTGAAACCAAGTGAGGAACACCCATGACCCGGAGACCTTTTTTGTGGACTTCAACAAGGTTGGAAGGACTTCGAAGATGTCAAAGCCTGCAGCCAAAAAAAAAACATATGATCAAGTTTAGCTTGCATTCCCGAAAGATCCAAGGCTTGCTCATAGACATGAGCTTGTGCTTGCTCAAATCAACCCGCCTTTCGTTCTCGAGCGTGGCGTAGACTGGTTCGATTTGTGCTCATCAAGGTGCTCGGAGACCAGAAGGTATGACAATACGGTGTCCTCGATTGCAAGGCAGACAAGCTAATGATAATGTCTGCTTTGCATCACACTAGTTACCACTGATTTGCGGTATGTACCTTGCGATTTGTCGTTAGATGAGGTTGCCTGTCTTTACTAGAGGTATTCTGCGGCGAAAGTGCTCACTGAAGTCAAGGCATGTATCAAGAGTCCCATGCAGAAGCAGCCTTGACTAGCTTGTTGAAACTGATATCGGGAGTGTTAGATTGTCCTTAGACTGGAATTCCGGTCTTGGTGCGGTCTAGTGTTCGTTTTAAGACCGAATCAATGTACCATGGACGGTCGCCTCGCAGAGCTGCTAGCAGGTCCTGCATCAAGCCATAAGGCACAGCATATCGCACAGCAAACCTTGTCATTCTCATAGCAGCAAACCGATCGAGGTTGTTCCACCAGCCATGCAGGCCAGACAGAGCCACGGCGGCTGAAACTGTGTTTAGAAAGTCTCTTTGACCTTTTCTCTCTTCCTCTCCTCGTCTTCTGAATACCGTTCCACGAGCCCTATCCAGACCTTCTTCGATCACAACGAACAAGGCAGCCCAGCCTGCGAAACGTGCTCCGGTCTTGACACCTTCAGTCACACCTCCAATGATGGCGTGGTAGTTTCGTGATCTTCCATACAGGTACCATCCAGCTTTACTTATAGGCATGTAGTGAGCATTCTCGGCACGATAGCGCATAGCAGCAATTCTCGAACCATTTGCAGAACCTAGCGCCAGTCCTGTAACAAACGAAACAGTACTGAGCAGTGCAAGTCGACCGACAGGGTTGAGACCTAGGCGCTGAGGCTGTCGAACGTAGTCTTTGAGAGCAGCATCGGGTTCGGCAGTCATGATCGGTTTAGATGGCTGAGTGTGCTTCTCCTCCCATTGCTTCCTGGACTGTTCAAGCTGAGCAGGAGATAGCTCTTTGCCTTTCCATCCTGGATTAGCCGCATCTTCGTGCGTCGACGAGAATGGCCACATGGTCTTATCTATCGTGATTTGACATGCTTGATCGCCGGACTACGAGACGTCCATATAGCAGATGAGCATTTGGACGATTGTGAGAATGTACAATGCTCCATCCGCAGTCTCCATATTTGTGACGTTTGCACACGAACCACTTTACACGTCTTACGAAGCGCAAGACGCGTTGAGAAGAGCCCCACTGCCGAACATTCTTCGTACAGTATAGAGAGCCTCGAGTGTAAGTTTGATGCCAACCACGTCGAGTATAGGCGCAAGAGAACATTACTTCGACACTCAAATCTACTCTTCCTCTGGTATCACTGAGCACTGCAACTTCAACCATTTAACTTTGTGAAAGAAAACCATGTCTACCTTGAACCTTGACACAGACACTTCTTTCACACCAGCTCACCTTACCTTGTTCTTGAAATGTGGAAAGTCAACGATTGTACTGTCCGTACTTCCCTCACAGTCTCTCACAGAAGTAAAATCTTCACTACTTTCCATCTTGGAGTCCCTCAACACCACCAACTTCCCTGGCACAACGACACCACTGCCATCCGATCCCGAAGATCTCGAGCTAGGTATCACGAAAGAGCGTCGGACCGGTCGAGACGCATCGAAAGGATGGATCAACGTCGAAGACGCCTCGAGTCTTGTGGCAGCCTCGAATGCAAAAGCTGGCAAGAGGAAAACCACACCAGCCGCAAGTGGCCCAATCGAAACGATTGGCGATCTAGAACTGAGAGACGGAAGTTATATCGCTTACAGGCTGAGAAGAACTGTGGATGATTTGATGGACGAGGACGTTGAGGAGGAGCCTGCTTGGAATGTGGTTGTACCGAGCTACGACGATGAGGAGATGGAGGTCGATGGAGCTGTTCCTCCTGCGGACGGGCGCATGGAGGATGAGGACGATGAGGAGGACATCCCCGTACCGGTTCCGAGAAACAATTTGGCAAGATGAGGATATACTGTAGTGGTCAAGGCAGCTTGCGCTGGTTGATACTGCCAGTCTGGACTAGAGCAGCCAGCGTTCCTCGCACTACAGCTCGGACGTCTGATCTTGGAGCATTTACAAGGAGCGGAGGTCGATATGCATAATTCAAGAAAACGTGAGGTCGGATTGTCCGTGATCCGTGGGACACTTCGAGCCCCGTCACAACGCACTCACATGGAAGGACGGCGGGTCAAAGCCACAAGAGCTTCTAGCTTCGAATTCAAATGGCAGAGATTATCACCATCGCTCCAGTAATAGCAAGCTCGATTACCCTGCTACGTCGGGACGGTCGGTAATAACAGTTAAGAGATACTAATTCCTACACAGTCTCGTGGACTACCAGATGGTAGTTTTGACAATCTACAGTGCAAGCTCGTCCCCGAAGATTTCATCGACTGAGCTGAGGATGTGAGTCGGCACAGAGACAGTGAGTGCTAATTTTCAGATTACAAGTCGTTCGGTACTCAGCACAGAAGATTCGGCGTACTGTACGCGCATTGTGAGGTCTTAGAGCTGTTACAAGATCGAATGATCTGTTTCAGTTTACATATTTTCTCTCGTTCTTCGAGCTTTTGCTAAAATAAAGACAAGGACTCAAGAAACGCTTTAACGAGCATGATCAATTCCACCTCGCTTACTGCGATGTCATGTCATGTTCCGGATCTCTATCACAAACAGCAAATCATTGCTCCTCAGAATTAATGCTCTCCAACAGTCTGCTGCTTCTCCTCTCCTCAGGAGATGATCGAGGTATTATAGTTATGGTTCCCAGAGATCTGTCCGACAAGCTTCCCCAGCGAATGACCCTGCACATGCTCAAAATAGAGGTATCCAGAAAGTAGAGTTCTGATTTCGTCGACGGTTACCAGCGGACCACAGATTTGCAAAGTAAGCTGCAGACTCTGCTGCGTGAACCACTCTATAACCTCACCGTCAGCAGAGAATATCTGATCGTTTTCGCGTGCTGCGAGATATCCGATGTGGCTCATCCAGAGCCAGAGAGCCGGGTCGATCTTCTTAATCGGTTGCTGACCACAGTTGGCTGAGGTTTTCCCGTTCTTGCACTGTGTCACCGATGAGCGTGCAGCTAGCATTGAATGGCGTAACTGTGCAGCAAGACGTGGAACGTCAGTCCTACCGATTCGACGTGCGGGCGTCGATGTGGCCAGGAGTAGTAGTATGACCAGGGCACGGCGGACAGGTTCTTCCACGCTCGACCCTGTAATGTCCAGGGATTGTAACCTATGCATTGTGGCATGTAAGCGGCGCTTCACGATCCAGTTATATCCGGTGGTAGCTGAAGCATAGTCAATCTGGCTGAAGTGTGAGGAGGCGTGGAGAGTGTTGAGACAGCTCTCGATAATTGTGCGGACATCACTGTCAGGAGAGACTAGTCTGAGGAGTCTGCTGCCCACTTCTGGTGGAGGCGGTTTTGGTGACAATTCAGCTTTATTCCGTCGCTCTAGGACCTTCATAGCGGATGATGGTATCTTGTGAGGACCTAGTGGAAGCTCCGGTTCCCAACTGAGTTGGAGCAGTGGCTTCTCATCAATATCGATGGCAAGAAAGATATCCTCGCTGCTGATGACCTCGACGTTATGTCGTTCACTACCATCTCGCGGTCTTAGACTGCTCCAATTCCGCGCAATATAAGCGAAGTGTATCCTCGCAGCTGTATGGTTTCCATTGAGCCACTCACACATGGCGAGCCGAAATATGTCGACAAAAGCATAAGGATCAACTTCATCTCCGTTAGCCTCCAAATGCTCCCTGATCAATTTCGTGGCTATATAGGAGTAGTGCTCTGGGCTCTGATCGTGCGGCAGCACAAGTCCTGCTGTCTTTCTTTGCTGTGCAGTTGCCATTGCCAGGAAAGCCGCCGAATGCATTCTGTCAGTCAACACGACCATGAAGATCCTTCGAATACCTTCGTGAATGGCGAATTCTGTGATCGATGAAGAGACTGCCCATCGCAGATGCCTTGACAGAACATCTCGTAAGGCAGAGGTAATAGGCACTACTGTCGTATTGAAGGGATCAGCAACATCACCTGGTCTGCTAGCAAGGCTGAAAACAGGATCTAGCCAATTGACACGTTCTCTTGGAGGTGACTCTTGTTTGATAACAGTATCTTGTGGGACCGATCGAGGCGTCCTTTGGACGGCAGAAGCAGTAGATGAACTGCGTCTTGGAGTCGAAGGCCTGCGTGGTGACTTTGAAAGCTTCTGCTCGAATGAGTCTCTACTTGGACTTCTGCTGTACTCGAAGATATCCTCATTCAGTGAATCCTCCGATGGTGACGGTGTCGACGTATCTGAGCTATCTGATCTCACAAATGCTCTATACCAGTTTCTTCTTGGACCCGAAGATTTCCAGAAGCGTTGCTGTTGGACGTGCTTGTTAACCTTTGAAGCTAAAGCTGCCTCACTACCAGTATTTCGGGACAGGCTAGGTGAGTTAGAGTCCTTGTTAATGAATAGGAAGCCTCTGGAAGCCATTGCGGCTGACTGCAAACAACGTTGTGTGCATTGCCTGAATTCCAGCCTCATTGAATCCTTCCGAAGATCAGGATGCTTGGTGATAAGTAGTCATGGTGTACACAACTCGACATATGCGTTCAAGTTTCCGTGAACACTTCGTCTGGCTTGTCTCTCGCTTGGCTAGCTCCATGCCAGTAGAATGAGCCATGGAACCCGAACCGTGATTTGAGATACAGTCAAATCAGCATCTCCAGCCGCAAAGGGGCCGCGACAGCGCGATCACCGACTGCTTGTATACACGCGACGTAAGCGGGGGACTTCAATGATGCCCAGCGTCATCTGATTTCTAATCCTGCCAATGAAGCACAATAGTAAGGAAGAACTTGCCTGAGAGGTGTTAGTGACTGGACGCCTTAAAATGTGGCAGCTTCAGCCCTACAAGGTACTGGGAACATCATCACTACCACCTAGTACAAAAGGACTCTGCTTGGCCTCTATTGAACTCAATTCTTTCGCCCGAAACGTGGAGTTCATCGCAAACCATCTAAAGACCCAGCACAAGCAAGAGTGTTTTGATCTTCAGTTCAGTAAGGATCGTCGCTCGTGTCCAAAATATGCACATCCGGTCCTAGCTGCATTAGGTTGCAAAGTATACACCGACTCTTAAGAGCTCGCTAAACCCTCATGTTGCACATATTTAGGCGACTACGACGACGGAAACAACGGTCAACCAAGTGCTCTAGCGTAAATCGATTAGAACTCGACTATACCACAAATTGATAATGCCATGCACCATTATTCAGGTTGCAGTACACGGTATAGGCTGACGGATGCTCGAGCAGCAACGATAATGAAAGAAGCGTCGGGCAGCACGACATATTATTCAACCGGACCTCGAAGGACTCCTGGCGAGGGTGCTAGTGTCGTTGCCTAGGGCTTGAATCGCTGAAGACGTACAATATTGCTGACAGATGAAGAGTCAACGCGCGCAATCTAAGCACACTTGATCCCATCAACGACACAGCAAACCACCCGGTGAGTCAATCCTGGCTCTATGCGGCGAGATACCACGATGGTCTAGAGAAGCAAGAACCACATGGAATGACTTCTTGCCAGTAGATCTGCTTGCTGTATTGAGAACAGTGCCGACACAATCCTTTCCTACGTGGAGACGGCAAGAACGAGATAGCATGTGTTCACTCAAGCCCGTTCCCTATAGCCACGACATCAAGTGCGACCCATATCGCCACCTCGGACAGCACACCAGTCTCGCTGTCGCACGCGAAATCCACGGCAGAAGCGACTTCGTCACAACGGTCGCTATCCTTGATATGTAATCGTGTGCTATCGCAGTACAAGCCTCAAGATTGCCAGAGTAGAAGCTTCATTCCACCAGTATCGTGGCGTGGCATTTACGCGGGCTCCAGGTGCCATAAGACCACGACTGTGGACCCACTAGAACACAGTACTGCCGGAGAACGACAAGACCAGGTAAGCACTTTCATAGTCCTTCTTTCGCAAGCATGTCTGCAATGTGCAGGTAAAAAGCGATGGCATCGAAATCCTGTTTGACAAGTCCCATCCTGCTTGCTAGGCGTTTGATACGATTTGTCCAGTTGATCAGGTCGAGATGCGTGACACCCATCAAAGTCCCTTTGTATCCTTCAGTGCCCCATCTGCTGCTTGAAACACTAACCAGTCCACTATCAACACATCAGCACGAACGTCGTGATCAGGTGATCGGATGGGAGACTTACTCGTTGGGACCCTCAAGCTCATACATGAGGTCGTGGCTAATGCGAAACACCGAGAATACGTGCGGTTTCGCGCTTGCACCGTAGCTGAAATACCGTACGGCGTCGTTGTCGACAACTCTGGGGTTGAAGTCTTCACATACGTATCGCCGACTCAGCTGAGCGAAAGCACCTGTACCAATCTTCATACGTGCAAGGACTGCATACAATCGAGGAAGATAGTCCGGACCGATTTCGCGAAGAATGATATCCGCTGCTGAACTGCCACGGTGAGGTGTCGCAACTGTGGTCAAGGACTTGATCTGAAATTCTTGAGGCTGAATCTTGCTTATTAAATATCTTGAGTCAAGACCTCCCATACTGTGGGCTACGATATTGACATCCTTGCCAGCAGCCTTTGTTTTGATCTGCTCATGGAGTACCTTTGCGCGCTCCTCGATACTGCCGGTTGAAGGCACAGCTGTGGTGATAACATCGATGCCGTTCTGACGATAAGCGTCAGAGATGCCGCGCCAATACTGAATACCCGGCAGAAGTTTACCAGCTAGCCGTAGCTCTTCAAAGCCCATCAAGCCATGAGCGAGCACAATCGCGTTCTTGGGCGTGTCGTAGTGATCCTGGAACTTGGCAAAATCATCTTTGATAGTATAGCCTAAGTCGGGCATCTTAGGATCGATAGGCATGTCTTCTGCGCCATCTTGAGGGTCGGGCCAGCTGCTGCCACTTGCACAACGTTTGAAGTCAAGCACATAGGCAGAAGCTCTACCGCGTCGTGATAGCAAAAGAGCATGCGGTGGCGTGCGAAACAGCCATCGCATGCCAGCAAGAAAGTCTGGAACGTGGTTTGATAGGATTCTTAGTGACTGTCTACAAGTAGATATTGTCACGTTGACATATCGAGTTGTTGCAGAGTCTACGATCGTGAGGATGGAACAATAGCTTCAGATAACTGGTTTGGCCTTTTGCACTCAAGCTGCCTCTCCACGTCATTCTTTGGCGTCAGGTGTCAAGGCAGCAAGTACTCCTTCAGTCACTAGTATTATACACGCATCTCAGCTCCAGCAGACTCCAGACCTAGCAGCATGTGATCTAATGACAGAATAAGTCGGTGTATTATTGATCGCTTGTTCCTCCTCCCATGTAACTCGTAACGAAGTTCTTCAACCTTGTGCTTGCTGTTGGAGACATGCTTTTGGCGCTATCCTGATCCGACGGTTGAGCTATAGCATATTTCTTCTCAGAGTTATGCTTCTTGGAGGCCACCTAGTCCTCCTTTGACACCTTGCTTGGAACTTCGGGATGCGGCGTGGTTACGACCTTAAGCAGGTCATCGACCACTTTGGAGCCCTTCTCATCTCCGGCCTTCTTGATGCCTTCGAGCTGCTTCTCTGCTTCCTGGTTGGCGTCCTCCTCGGCCTTCTTGTTACCACTCCCTTGCTGATATCGTCAGTATCGGCCTAGTTTGGGAGGCGATGGACATACCTCGGACTCGTATTTCTTGTATTCTTCCTCCTTCTTCTGGCGGTACTCGTCTATTTCTTTCTGTGCTTCTGACTTTGCATCTTTTACTCGCTTCGTCCTGTCTAAAGAAATAATGTGTTAGGAAGAATAGCTGTGAGTAGCTATTGGCCTGCCTTACATTCTCTGGCTGTAAGACACTCATTAGCCAGATTACTTCTGTAGCAGCTATTCACTCACCTCTCTGGACGATCTTTTGTGCTTCCTTCTCTGCCTGTAAAGGTTAGTCGCTAGTCTGTCTGGACCAAAGGCAGTATCGTACGTCAAGCAGTGTCTGGATCCCAGCCGAATTCTGAGCAGACTATTTGCTTATCAGTGTTGACTCGTATAATTAAGCAGTTGCTTCCCAGACCATGTCGATTATGCTATCTTGTTGCGCCCTTTGTTATGACAAGTAATGGAGCAGCAGATGAGTCGAGACAGGCGTGATATATCGAAAGCAGCTCGAGCTACAACAGCAGTATGGTAGACTTGAAGAAGGCGCCCAGGAAATGCTGTTGCGGCAGGTACGAGACCCACCTTGACGTCGATCCAACGCGACTTCCATGTGCTGGCGCATAAACATTTTTGGAGATCAATTGCCTTCCCTTTCTCAACACTACGAACTTACCTTTTCATCACTCCGGGACATTGCGGTCATCTAGCCATGTCTACAGCTTCCAAGATAACCTTAGCCGCCACTCTGACAGGCACGGTTGGTATTGTTGCTTTTGTGCACTGGGCTCAAAGGGCAGAGAAGGCGGCCATGCATGCTGGAGTGATTCGGGACGAAGAGAATCAGCGACGGAAGAAGGCTGAACAGGATGAGCGAAGGATCGACTTTGAGATGCAGCGGCAGCTTGAGCAGGAATACAAGAAAACACAATCTGTTCATGACAGTACTGCTGGATGATCATCGATCACTTTCGAGGACTTCTATGGAGAGATATCACTACCCGAACCTCGAAAATACCTCCTTCTGAGCCACAGCATACTCTTTCTCTATCGTCTCACGCCTTCTCTCCGATCGCACCTCGATCCTACATTGGAAAGGTTTTGCACATACCAAGAATCCTTCGCTGTATCCTGTCTGTGGATCTGTGTCAGGAAGTACAATATCACCCGAGTCATTCGTGCCGGGTGAGAACTCAAAAGCCCACAATAGCTTTGAGATTGCGAGAAAGAGGTTGCGTTCCGCTAAATGTATACCTGGACAAAGACGCCGTCCTGACCCATACCCATAGTGGTCGCGCTCGTTCTCATCAGTGGCAGCCGCAAGCACGGGTGCTAGAGCTGTTACTCCTTTGTAATGATCTGGATCAAATACGTCAGGGGTTTTGAAGCGACTCTCATCGTGGTGAATGCCCCACGCATTGATGAAAACGATCGAGCCTTTCGGCAGCTTATACCCGTCGATCCAGTCTGAGCTGATTAGCATACACGATCATTTCAAGAACACACGGACACCTACCGTCTTCAGTCAGCGCGTGAGGAAATGCCAAAGGCACAACCGGTCTCCATCTCATTGCCTCCTTGACTGTCGCTGCTATATAGGGCAGCTTGTCGTAATCCTCCCAGGTTGGTGACCGATCTTCGCCCAACACAGCGTCTATCTCCGCCCAAGCTTTTTGTTGCACTTCAGGCCACCTTACAAAAGCTTGAATAGCTGCAATAATGATACTAGAGCTAGTATCACTGGCTCCCTCCATCATCGTCCCGCCAAGGAACCACGTCTGGTGTCGTGTCAGTTCCAGTTTTTCGGTTTGATCTAGGACCCGATCCATAAAGGAACCTTGGGTGCCCGTCTTCTCTCTACGTGCTTCCAGTCGCTGAAGCATATCACTGTATAAACCATTCATCTCATCCCCGACATTGGATGCCCGACTCCGCCATCGACCGAACAAAGATTCTGGCACATAGTGCAGGAAGGGAAAGATGTCGACTGGTGGAGTATTTCCTGGTTCCATGACAACAGACCAATTCTCCATCAAATCATACAATCTTGTCATATGCAGAGTGTCGATTGTGGGAGATCTGATCCCCCAAATAGTGCTGCAAGCAATACTATTCGAGAATCGCTTTGGATGCATCATGTGGTCTTGTGGGCTGTGCATCATATCGTATAAAAACTGAACAGCTTCCGCGTTCTGGACTGGCAGATGATCTTTGTCGACGATGGACTCCTTAAAGAATTGGTTGATCTGCTTTCTGTACTGCTGCCATACTCGACCATAATGACATATGAGGACATGATCGCCTCCAGTGATCAAATTGTGGCTCACATATGAGTGAGGTCGGTCGCTATAGATCGAGCTCCGCTTGTCGATAAGCTGCTTGACGTACTTTCGGTCTGTCAGGACGATAGCTGTGCCAGGGCCAAGCTTCAGGCTAAAGATTCCTCCGTACTGCTTTGCCCATTCCGTGAAGGTCAAATAAGAGCCTTTGGTAGGGATCTGATGCAGGTTGCCAATGATCGGTAACTAACTTCCGTGAGCATTCCTGCGTGAAGAGCTATGATTGCACCATACATACAGTCGGAGGACCAGGAGGCAGCGTCTTCTGTCGCTTACCCACGAAAAGAACAGCATAGATGAGCAATAGGGCTGCAGAGACCACCGGCACAAGCACGAACAGAGGAAGCATATTTGCTGGTATCGTTCTTTACCTATCAGAACTTGGTTGCGTCAAGACACACAACGATAACACGCAGTAGACCTTGAAACCCACAGTACATATACCCAATGCTCTCTATACACACCTCAGTATCGTTGCACACATCCGTAACTCATCCCGATACTTGTGGTCTTCCCCGCAAAGCATATTTTGAATCCGGGGTAATTACTGATAAATAAAATAGTTCGTCCGAGCCAAGATATGACCTGAACATCCCCATACCCGATTGGTGCCATCGATGTGTGTATCCCGTTCTCATGCTTTGACAAGCTCTGTAAGGTACTCTACGTATAGCCCTTACCTTTCTTTGGCCAGAAGGAGGGCTGGAGTGCTCATTCAGACACAAGATCGACAATTCTGAAGGTCGATGTCGAATGGGCACAGGGATAACAGAGTTTCGCTTACTCACTCATGCACTCACTCACTCACTCACTCACTCACTAAAAGTGCGGAGAAATTTCCAGTATCTGGAAAACAGTATGATCTCAGTATAAGGGTACGTTGTCAGGGGCCCTGGAAGGCCAGATAGGGGTCAATGGGTGTATTATACTAAAGCTAGAGAGCCTCTCAGGTGCTGGGAGGCACGGTAGCTATGTATTTTCTCTCGTCTAGATTGGCCAAGTGAAACAGGGCAATCTGGGCGTCTGACACTCAACAGCCTACTTGGAATAACGCACACAGCTAGTAATACGTAATGTCCTCTATACCAATACTCACTATTCTCGCACCACCAAAAAAGGCTTTTCATCAAAACGTGTAGGCGCGTGCAACTTCAATTTCATTCTCATCCACAGACAAAGGCTTTCTGTATCCAACCGTCGCACCCCGTGCCCGTCCTGCCGTCGATCGAGGCACTGGCTCATCATGAGTCGAAGAACCAAAAGCTTCGAAGAAATAATGTCCCACATCGTATAGCCCGCTGAATGCGCCTTCCAAAATGTTGGAGCTTGTATGTTGTGATTTCCGCCTGTTGTCCTCCTAGAACCCAAAGACAGGCGCTTTCACGAGCACGTTAACGCCTCCTGTGCCTGCACCTCCACTGGTTCCGCTAGCAGCAGCGACGCCTGGACCTGCGCTGATAGCTCCAGCTTGTTGGGCGCTCTTGGTGTCGCCTTTGTCGCCACCATTACCATTACCACTTTGTGAACCTTCCTGCAGTTTCAAAGATTTCCCTCTGACTTCTACAGCGAGGAAGACGGCGAACCGAATCTTGCCTTCTTTTTGACCACGAACCATGGCATCGAAGTTCCATGCGTGGTCGTCTTCTTTGTTTTTGTCTCCATCCCCCTTTGAAAGGAGGTCGGTTTGACTCGGACCACGACCAGAAGAGGCTGACGGTGTTTTCTTGTTGCTTACAAGACCGCCTGAGAAGCCTCCAGAAAAGAAGCCTTTAGCTTTGTGCTTGGAGTCTTTGGAGCCTGTACTTGTAATAGTGTTGTTAGAAGAGGTGGCAGCTGCTCTGACACCTTCTCGAATTTGTTCTTGGACATCAACGTCGTTCTCCGAATTCATGCTCCTGGCTGTATCATCGTCGTCGATGGTTTCTTCGTAATCCTCTCTGTTGGGAGCACTACCTGGCTGTACAAGTGGGGTCATTCCAGTCTCAAGTTTCATGAATGTCTCATTCATAGGAGTGCCAGGGTAGTAGTAATCTATGCAGATATCTCGACTCTCGAGTGGTAAGTTGGCTGAGATAGAGAGTGCTTGTGCGACAATCGGCTGCAGATAGCCCTCCAGATTGGGTGGTGCTGGTACATTGAGCAGGGAATGCAGGTACGCGCAGAGCTCATCAGCCAACCTGCGTGACAAGGCTTCAGTGTGAGCTTCGCTTTGTCGACTGTGGAGTACTTCAGACAGAGCTTCACACGTTGTCAGGCGCCATGTTGTGACTTTGGTCAACAAGTCATCACGCTGTTCTTCTGTAAGTACCGATGGAGAACGGCGAAGAGCACGATCCATACTCTTCAACTCGTGGCTGAGTCGTTCGTCAATGCCAGGATGGAAGACGGTCTGGAAGATGTGTTCAAATAGCCAGCGCGATATGCAGGCTCGACCAACAGCAGTCATTTCTTTTGTGCCTGTTGCGCATGCATCACGATTGCAGGCAGGAGCAAGCCAGTTCGGCAGTCGGCGCCAGTCTTTGCGAATGTTGAAGGCGAGATTTTGAATAGCACCACTCAGTCTCTCGAAGCGATTGGCGTACTGTGCATCGTCCAGAGACGTCTTTGACATGGACAGCCGCTGATTAGCAACCACGTTCTGAAGCTGTGTGACTTGTGCCTCGCGGTCGAAGTAGTATCTCTTGACCTTCGAGTATTTAGCCTGCAGCTCTTCGTAGCGCTGCAGCAATGTCTGGTGATCAAGTGTTTGTGCATCGTCTCTTCCTCTTGGTGGAGGGGTACTCCTTCCTTGATCATTGGCAGTAGCAGTAGACATCCTGGCCCTTGGATCTTGCACTTGGTATCTCAGATCTTGCTCTTCCATGCGCGAGTCTCGCTGTTGTCTATCTCGATCACGGTTTGGCATTCCTCGTTCCTGCAAGGATTGGTTGTCTCCGTGTGTTTGCTGCGACTGGTGTGGGGTTTGAGCTTGGACCTGTTGAGACTGCGTTTGCTGGTTTGCGGCTTGTTGCGCAGCCTGGTACGTCTGTGCGGCTTGTACCGAGTATCGAGGAGGGTTCGATGTAGGTTTCCGGGAAGCTAATTGTGACGGGGCTCCTAGTGGGGAAGGCGGACCTAAAGAGGATTGGGAAGGGGGCCGAAGTGACTGATCGGGCTCGAATAAGGCCGATGGTTGGTCACGAATAGGTTGACTGGTATAGGCAAAGTGATCCTTGCGAACGTCCGTAGAAAGGTCAATGTGAGGCTGAGAGACGTTTGGTTGATGGTAGAGGTGCTGTTGTTGATATTGTTGGGCTTGAGGCGGAGCAGGAAACTGTGGTGCGTCTTCCTCGTATTGAATTGAAGGCCTTCGTTCCTGCTGCGAGGGAGGTGCGTACTGACTGTTCGGTCGAGGTCGGTAATATTGTTCGTATCGGGTTTGTTCTTCCTCGCGAACGTCTTCCTGTGACGGGGCCTGAAAGCTCTGACTTTGATATGTACCGATCGACTCAGAAAGGCTTTGCTGAGGAGATTGAGGAACCTGTGGACTGGCTTGGGTGTTTTGTAGGCCTGATGGGGAGGTAGGGGCTGGCTGTCGCTTGTTCAGGATCGAGCTGTGCCGACTGAGACGGCTAGATTCGCTGGAAGTATCTCTTCCCTCTTTTTTCTCCTTGCTACCACCGAACAGACTTCGTATACCGCTGTTTCTAGACTTTTTCTCCTCCTTCTCCTTTGCCCCACTAGTCCGTAGCCTGGTAGAAGGTTCAAATTGAGTGGGGCCTGCAGATGAGTCGTTCTCAGCAATAGATTGCTGCTGTAGAGTAGGGTTGACGAGGCTGATCGTCGGACGCTGCTGCTGCTGCTGGAGTTGCTGCTGCTCGGCGTATATAGTCGGCTGGTGTGTAGACGACGACCGACTTAGGTGCGTAGGGTTGTCGTTGTAGTACCTCTCGTCCTGAGGGGCTTGTTGGCTCGAATGAATAGTATACGTCTGCTCTTGCGCAGGTCGGTATATGCCACTACCGCGTTGGCCTGGCTGCGACTGTTGGTATAGCGGACCTTCGACTTCGGAGTGTTGTGCCTGTTGGGACAATGGTTGCTGTGGACGTGATGGTTCGCGTAAGTTGGGTGAGCGATCGCGAGTTTGATTTTGGATCTTGTCTAGCGACGCCGAACTTTTGTTAGAACGATTAAAGAAACGAGACATTGAGCCTTGTTGCTAATAGGGCAAGCAATCACATGGGATGCTCATTCGTTGACATGTAGCATCGTTCCAGTGGCAGCAGTGAGCACAATGCTAATCGCAAGCCAAGTCAGAAGCTGAGACCTAGGGACGGCAGGAGAAAGCAGAGACAGGCCCAAACACACACTTTCAGCCCACTCTCAATGCTCCAAGAATAGGATCACAGATCTCTATGTAGCCAAGTTGTCATGTTACGGTGCCGTGCAAAGATGCGGCAGCTAACCGGCCCTCTAACTACTGTAGTACTGTCCACCCTATCCAAGAACTTCCACTCGTGGCACAAAAAAAGGTACCCATAACTTAAGCTGACTCAATCTTTGTATCTCGTTGCCAGTGCTTCTTTAGCTGGTACAAAGACATTTGCACGAACACACTGTACTTGACATCATGCGGCCTGCATGCAGAGGCTCGCTACATGCTAATGGATCCTTCAGGATAGGTGTTGTGGTCTTTACCAAGCTTTACGTGCCACAATTGCTCCTCGATGCGCAGCACTACTCTATCGAGCAATCCTTGCACGGTGGGACGTCCCGATGCTGTGACATCTGAGTGGTGGTTACCCTTCAAGTGGTTTGATAGTAGGTAAGTCCTAACTATTAGATGTGGTTACGATTGGTGCCTCAACGATTAGTGGCTGTATTACCTTGTGAGGACGCACACTACGCTTTCGAATACCTAAGTACAGAAGAGCCTTTTGTTGAGGAGTTTAGAAGAGACCCACTTGGACTACGACGCCTGAAAAGGACGATTGTGGATCAGGGTACCAGCTCAGGTGTAGCCAGCATCGGAAGATCGGTGTCAGAACAGGGATTCAATGAGCTTGATACTCTTATCCACATACACAATCCTTGCGAACGGTACTGCTGTTGTATACACGCCAGTACCGTACAGCCCACTATATAGAAGTGATCACAACGCACACGATGTATTAGGTCACACGTATAGATTCCTGAATGATTGCGAGGAGGCTGATCTGCAATATTCTGCAAGACGCTTTATAGGTTTTATTATCAGCAGGAAAATTCCGCGTGGGTACAGTACGGTTCATGTCTAGTATGACTATATGAGAAAAAGCGAGTTAGCCGTCACAGGGCAAATCGTCGTGAAAAGGTATGTTGTCAAACCTGGGTCTTGGGTGGAGTTTATCCAGCAACGGATCAGGCCAGAACTGGACGATATTCTCTGCCTCCTTCGGATCAGAAAACACACTATACGCCCACTCGTGAAGGAAAGTGGTAATGTAGTCCACGGCCATGAGGTCGAGGGCCGTCGTATCCACACCATGGTATTTCAGCTCAAGACTTTCTTTAAATCTTTCTGCTATTCCACTTTCAGATGGCCACTGGGTTGGCCAATTGTTCTTGACTCCAAACACTGTGCGTTGTGCTGTCGTAAGCTCGTTCAAATGACCCAAGTCCTGGTAGAGGTCGAACCTAATCACAACCTGACCCAAGTCGAATTGTTCTACACGAACTTTGACGTCAGTTGAGCAACAAGAACACTTGAAGAGTATAGGGCACGTCCAACAATAGGTTGGAGCCGCTTCCTCGGAGGTTGAAAACAATCTCTTGCTATTCTGCATGGCATGATGCACGGCTGCACTCCAAACCGGTGATAGTGGCATTGCGTGACATTTCTCCATCGTCTGCCTGAAATCTTGTAGTCCCGGGAGATCAGGATAAAGTTCCAGCCTCACAGGCCAACGCTGGGTACGCCGAAGCATTAGTGAATCACCAACGATCTTCAATCTCGTCTCGTTCATTGACTCGAAGTGAGACTTCCCACATCTGTGAACAAACATGCTCTTAGGAACGCCATAATTAGGGCCAAGGAGCGTGTGTCTAAGGATTAGTCGTCGCTCTGGTTCAAACAGTTCCTGAAAGCCCTCTTCACAGTCGTGATAGCAAACGATCAGCGAGCCATGAGACCGCTTTGCATTGGTACACAGAGGACAAAGATGCCGCGAGTGTCCCCGCCATTTGTATAGACGTTCATGAGTAGGACACGAGAGCATATCGGGAAGGTCGCGCTCCAAAAGAACTAGAACGCGGGCCTCGCGACCATTATGCTTTGGAGTTGGCTTGTAGGTTTTGAACAGAAGTTCGTAAAGTCGATGGCAGGTCAAGCTCAGAGCTATCCCATTCTCGTATTTCAGCTGCGATACGATGATCAAGAGGACTTCAGTTGGCAAATCCAGTAATCTCGATCGTGGACGGCTCGCGATGACGTGAGATTGAGCTTTCAACAATCTCGTATTCTCACAGAGCAAGCTCCAGAGACGCTGTATTGTACTCATCGCTCGAGTAGTTATGAGAAAAAGAGTCTCATGGAAGCAGGTTGCGGGTGGTAGAGCCCAGAAGACATCTAGGTAGTTACGGCCACGCACAGAGTGCTATTGAACTGGCACTGGTAGAATTAATGGTGTTCCGTAGCTTTGTTATTCGCCTGCAAGTTGACCAAGATTTTTCCAACATCATGACGCTGCGAACAATCCCTAGACATGGTGCGTGTGTTCAGCGCAACCCTCAAGAACCTTTGGAAACTCGAATGATTCGAGTAGCCGTTACCAGAGAGACATAGTGTTTACGAGATATACTACTCGTGGACAGCGACAGTGCTTGGCACTCGTCAGCAAGATGGGCGATCGTGCTTCCGGGCTTCAGCACGAACTCTGAGAGCCACGATGCAATATGACTATCAGTGGCCAAGTCTCAGTCAAGGCGACGCTTGCTTACATTTTGAGGTTTGAGTCTTCCGTGTTGCCTTAATGTTATTTGATTTCGAAATGCTTTCCCCTGGAGAGGCGGAGAGGTCGGCAAGAGTCAAGTTTGACATAAACGATCGACATTATCTTGTATCTTGCTTCGCCACCCACGAAGCCTTTCGCACCACCCTAGGCCAAAGCTTGACAAGCAGAAACTCTAGTGCTTGTTTTCGCTGGTGATGCAAGCATTGATGGATCCGCAGCCACGGGACGCTGTATCTACCGGATGAGTATCTCCCTACCACAATCGGTGAGCGTGCACCTCATTGTATGAGTGCACACATTGGCTTCTCAATGACGTTGTTGCTAGAGAGCTAATGCCGTGGTGTTGAGGTGATGTTTGGCTGCGATGATCTGTGCGTTATAGATAGTCGCTGGTGCCAAAGCGGCTCACTCATGGCTTCTGCATTATTGCGAATGTGTTAATTCTACTGCCAGCTGTACCACGCTCAGAAACCCGAACAAGGTCACCTCATTTCGATCATGGCTCTTGGCCGCCCAGAAACTCGTTCACGGTCCCCTACTCTGCGAGCCTCACGCGACAATGACTATGACCCAGAGAAATTGCCAGAGTCCATGCAGGCAGACCAAGATGTGGTCCGAGCCAAGGAGAAGAGAAGATCCAAGGGATGGCAAGACCAGGACCAAGATGATCCATTTGGCGACGAAGCTGATGGGGACGTGAAGTACCGCACATTGAGCTGGTGGCAGTGCGCTGTCATTGTGATCGCGGAAACGATTTCACTAGGTGTGTTATCGCTGCCGAGTGTTCTAGCTGAGATCGGTATGATTGGAGGCGCCATTCTGATTGTCGGATTGGGTGTCGTTGCAACATACACTGGCTATGTTTTGGGGTAAGTGCAACAAATCCAGCACGTGGTAATTGAGTGTCTAAGGAAACAGGCAATATAAGATGGCAAATCCATGGATTCACAACATGGCTGATGCATTTTGGGTTCTCTTCAGACCTCTTGGTCCTAAAGCTGCTGTGATCGGACGAGAAATCGGGGGAGTTGCTCAAACCATTTTTCTGATCTTCGGTGCAGCATCTCATCTACTGTCCTGGACGATATGTCTCAATACCATCACCAACTCAGCGGCGTGCACTCTAGTCTGGGGTGTAGTTGGATTAATACTGTTCTGGGTCTGTACATTACCAAGGACTCTGGCCAAGGTTTCCTGGTTGAGCGTGGTCAGCTGCCTATCTATCCTGACAGCAGTAACGGTTACTATGATCGCACTGGGTGTACTGAACCCAAGTAATGGTCAATACCTGGGGACCACTCCGCCAGGCACGCCTTTTCGTTCCGTTTTTCTATCTGTCACAAACATTGTGTTTGCATACGCGTAAGTTTTCCCCTTGTCATGTCGTTCGTGATGTACCGGCTGTGTCGTTGGCAGTGTTCCCCCGGAGATCTACTATACTGTAACTTGACACTCTGCTGACTTTACCCAGAGGACATCTTGCCTTCTTCAGCTTTATCTCCGAGATGCGAGAGCCGAAGGACTTTACCAGAGCGCTCATAGTGCTTCAAGTGAGCGATACGACCGTCTACCTCATCGTGGCCATGGTATGCTACGCCTACGCCGGAAACGAAGTCCTCTCTCCAGCGTTAGGCAGTCCTGGAGGTGTTCTAGCAAAGATCGGCTGGGGTGTCGCGATCCCTACCATCGTTGTCGCAGGCGTGATCTATGCACACGTAGGTTCAAAGTATGTCTACGTGAGAATCTTCCGAGGAACTCGCCACATGAGCAAAAACACGTGGCTCTCTATCGGAACTTGGATGGGTATCACTCTTACATTTTGGGTTATCGCATGGGTCATTGCCGAAAGCATACCAAATTTCAACAACTTGCTAGCTCTCATCTCTAGCTTATTTGCAAGTTGGTTCACTTACGGGTTGAGCGGCATCTTCTGGCTGTTCCTCAACTTTGGAGGATACACGAAGAACTGGAAAAAGATGGCACTGACATTTGTTAATATCACTCTTGTGTGTATAGGCGCCTTCATCTGTATTGCTGGGCTGTATGCTAGCGGCACTGCAATTTCGGGAGGGAGTGGAAGTGAGAGTGGAGGTAGTTGGACATGCGCAAGCAATGGGCAGTAGGTATCATACCAACGAATGTGACATTTGTACCGGTTCGGAACACTATCGCAGAAGTTTTCGAAATACCCTCTCACCCTGTTCGTGCTTTGTACACCTCGCTACCCAATGCATGTTCCTGCTCTTCTTGCGACTGCACGCGAGTTTCCTCTATACGAGAGCGAGCCAGTATGAACACACTAGACGTATTGGGTTTAGTGGCTACTCGAGGACATTTGTCACGTCACCACTCTTGACAAGAACTTCCCGTCTCATTCACGCTCAATGAATTGTGTGTCGTCAGCCAGTATGCAATCTGTATCAACAGGTCTAAATCCTGTCTTCCAGGCATCATAGCGACGTGTTTTCTGTAGGCAACCCCTCACTTACACACCATACAGAAAGTGGCGAAAAGACGCTTCTGGCACGTTCGAGTCGAGGCCTCGTAAGCCAATTCGTCGCCCGGTAAGTACCTTGCCAATCAGCCACCACGAAACGCCTCTGCCTGTTCGTGACCTTTTGTATAATATCCTGCTTGTGGCTTGACTCTCCTTGACATTGTTTCTTCCACTATACACCACAACACATTCTTGTCAAGATGCCTTCAGTATACTATCTCAATCCTCCCCCAAACCCTTTCTGGTCTTTCGTGAATGACTTGGATTCTCACCCTTTCTTCGGTGGTTTCCCCGAGCATGTTCGCAATGGTGGCCCACCAGCACCTCCTCCACCACGAAGATCAGCTTGGGCTCGTCCTGAGCGTGGCACTCCTGCACCACCACCTCAACCTCCAATGAGTGAGGCAGCAAAGGGAAAGCAGCCGACTGTCGAGGACGATCCTCCCATAGTCGATCCCAGCACTATCAAGCCTGAGACAAAGAAGCCGGAAGAGACCCAACTTCCATTCCACGGCCGTAGAGCTCGCTTCGGACGCCCAGATCGACCAGATCGACCAGATCGTGAGGAGCGTGAAGAACGTCGACAGCGAGGTCACCCTTGTGGCCGGCGCAACCGCGGATTTGGAGGATGGGGCGGTCCTCCTCCATTTATGTTCGGCCATCCATTCGCAGGTCCACCGCCAGAACATCGAGGTCCTCCCGGCCCCCCAGGCGAGGGTCCTCACCATCATCCCTCTGACCACTCTCACCATCGTCGTCGTTCACCACACCGTCCTCGACGAGAACTCGGTCAGCGAGACTTCGACCTTGGCGGATTCCTCAACAACCTCGGTGACAGACTCGGCGTCGACCTCTCTGGTGCAGCAGAAGGTCTAGGACTGACTACTGATCGCTTCAGTGCTCCTAAGTCTGGCGAAGATGTGAACTTCGAGCCAAAGACCGACATCTTTGAGAATGCAGACGCCTACATCATGCACTGCAGTCTTCCTGGCTGCCGAAAGGAAGACGTGGGAGTCGACTACGACGGAGAGAATAGCCTTTTGCGAATCACAGGTGTCTCACACAAGCCTGGAGTCGACGAGAGCATGATGAAGCAGCTGGTCGTCGATGGACGAAATCGTGAAACTGGTGTCTTTGAGAAGGTCATTCGATTAGGCACTAAGCGAGACCCAGCAAACGTGGATGTTCAAGCCATTTCAGCCAAGATGGATGCTGGAATCCTGGTCGTCAAAGTGCCAAAGACTGAGGCTGCTCCTCAGAAGCGCGAAGTGCCCATCACTACTGACCCTGTTGCTGAGGGTAAAGCTGACTACGAAGACGACTACTCCGAGAAGCCAGTCTTGTTCGATGCATCCGAGCAGGCGAGTATCGCTGGCACTGAGCCTGCTGACGCGCCAAAGCGCGAGGAGATCAACTTGGTCGATATGCAGGACAGCCAATACAAGGAGAAGAACGAGCCTCATGCCCAAGACACCAAGCCTACCACCAAGGCTGAAGAATCTAAGCAGGAGACTAAGAACACTCAAGCTGAACATCATGCACAGGAGCTTCCAGCCTATGCCGCTGAGGAGCCATACGATGATGATGACGAAGAGCCAGAGGAAGATTGGGAGAAGTTCTCCGATGCCAGTGGTGAGGGTGAGTTTATCAAAATCAATGTCAACTAGGGTTTGGATTGAAGATGCAATATGACGGAATGGGAGGATTTCAGGTATATGTGGGGGAATGAAATATATAGGTCAAATTTATAGTGGAAAAAATAGGTATATGAATTTGGGAGTAGATGATCTTTCACCTCTTTGTTTTTTTTCTCGAAAGCTATTCGTGAAAGTACGATGCTGGTTTACCATCTCACACGGTTCTGTAAAAGTTTTGAATGAGTAACAAACTGCATCCCATTGATATGAGAGACACTACCTGCCTCTCGTATATGTGTTGCTTGAGACTCATCAAATGACATTCTTCAACTCCTGACCCGCCAAGAACCGCCTCAAATTATACGCAATAAGCTCTTCAGCACCCTGCGGTCGACCTCCAGCAGCATGCGGACTGACAATCGTGTTCTTCGTCTTATAGAACCTATGTCCTTCTGGCAGTGGCTCCTTCTCAAACACATCGAGCGCCGCACCGCCTATGCTGCCGTTGTCCAGTGCTTCGGCGAGTGCGTCCTCGTCGATGGAAGTGCCTCGACCAACATTGACGACCCAAGCGTGGTTGGGTAGGAGTTTCAGACGTTCTGCGTTGAGTGCGTGTTTTGTGGCTTCACTGCCAGGTAGAATCATGACGAGCGCGTCAGTTTCAGACAGGACTTTTTGCAGGGAGTCCTCGGAAACGACTTCGACGCCGTTGCGCACACCACTGGATCGAGCGATACCTTTGACGCTGGCTCCTAACCCGACCAAGCTGGGCGTCAACATTTTGGCGATGTTGCCGAAGCCCCAGATAGTGATGTTGGCTCCTCGTAAACTGGTGAACTTGCCTTTTGGTCGGTCAGGTTGTGGACCGCCGAGGTGGCCTGGCCATTTACCTTGGAGCTGGTACTCCTTCATCTCGTCTAGTCGTCGGGCAGCGCAGAGAAGTAGTGCAAGGGTATGCTCGGCCACTGTGTGATCGTGGAGTCCCGAGCCAGTACATACTGTGATCTTTGAGGCGTCGAAGCCGGCATTGAGAACGTCGTTGGGACCGGCGGCGAGAGATTGGATCCATTTGAGGTTGGTCATGCGCTTTGCAGCTTCGGATAGGTTATCGGGACTATTGGACCAGGTCACTAGGATCTCGGCGTCGAGGAGATCGTCGGGTATTGGCTTTTTGGCATCGTACACGTGTAGGGTGGGCGCAAAGCCTTTGAGGCTATCTACGTCGAGTACAATAGACGTTGGGTACAGGAGCTTCATGTTGCTTGTTTTCACTCGAGACGAGACTAATCACTGTTCTGTCGTTCTGAGTCGAAGGACAGGTATGAGAGAGTATTCGCCCACTCTTATCTCGACCAGCTTTCACATTCGATATTCGTGGTGGTCAGGCCTGCTTTCCTAACACGATTGGCAGGCCGCTTTGATAGCCGACGACTGCCGGTATTGCTCCACGACTTGGACAGGTCACCGTGAGGAGACCAGAGATCAAACTCTTCGTCGCTTTGAGGTTGCCCGCTCACCTTTTCCATTTAAAGTAAGCGAGTCCATCACGCGAACGGACGTAAGTATTGAGTCTGCTTATAGACACGAGATCTTCGTCGTTGTAAGGGCCTCTAAAAGGTTCTCACTTGAAATCAGTCACAGTTGCAAAGAGTAAGAAAGCGAAAAGCGCGAACAAACCAATTCTATTGAGTTTCAGGCATGAGTGTGCCTTCCTAGATCCCAAGTTTACCCGATTTTGTCCCTGATCTAGGTGCCCTGGGGGGTGGCAAGGTGGGTCCAGGTGCTGAAGATTACAGCAGCGAGCAATCAGTGGTAGGAACTCGAGGTCAGCAGTCACCAGAGGAAGGCAAGAGTAACATCGCAATATATATGCTAACTGTTGATTATCATTCCTGTATCTGCACTGCTCCGTAGAGGGAAAGAGTTTCATCCAATATGCAGTTACAATCACAATTGCTTCGCTAAACCAATCAAACAAGGTCATCATTCGTAAGTGGTTCCAGAGTTTTTGTCTAAACACTGGCTGACTTTGTGACACAACCGTCACTGAAATCTCCTGGCATGAAAGTGCTGCTCCTCGTCCCCTCTCCTATATTCAGGCGCATCATCACCTTCATCTTGATGAATCTCACCATAGCCATTCTTCCTATTCTGAAAATCCGAGAACGATATAGTCGGTGTCCTCTGAGCATTACCAACCAGGCTAGCCCCGTCATGCTCTTGCTGGACCATCTGTGGTGAACCGTGACCATTTTGCGTCGTGTTTCGCCGCAGCTCGTAGCTCGAGTCTTCATCCGTAAGTTCACGCTCTTCTTCCTCCACGATCGGAGGAGACTTTAGAGCTGTAGTGTCGTGGGAGCTCATCCTGCTCAGCCGTCGCTCTTCAATGACAGTATAGTGCTTTTCGGCAATTGCTTTGAGCACATTGTCAATAATGATGACAATCAGGAACGTCAGTGAGACAATTGGAATCAGCAGGTAAGAAAAGGTGTATCGAAAGGTGTCGTGATCGCCTTCCTTTTCCTTCAATGGAGAGATAATCATCAGAGGCAAGCCCATGCCAGCAAGAATTCGGAAACCAATGCTCGCCCATTCGGTCTTGGTCTTCTTCTGTCGACCAAACCAGTATAGAAGCGCAAAAACGAAGAGTAGCGCACCGGCCGAGCAATAGAAATACATCAGTGTAAACTTGTAACCGTCTTCGTAAAGCTCGACCTTTTGGTCATACTCCTTCGTCTTCTTAAGTTTGTGATTTGGCCCTTCTGCTCCGAAATTTTGATAGATGAAATACTGAAAGTAGTTGCTCATCTTCTCCAGGATTACTTTAACCTCAGCTGCCCAATCATCCGAGCCAAAGGACGCTTTAGGTTTAGATAATTTGGCTAAATCTTCATTAAATTTCGTGGTACTGTAGTAGTCTTCAGTTAGGCTTTTGTAGTAGTACTGGGTACTGGTCTCCCAGTAAGTCTTGTTGACCTGAGCCACAAACTCTTCAAGGCTCGCAAAGTCCTTTTTGGCCACCGGATTGCGGATTGGGTTTGTTGCACTGGGAAGCGAATCTTCTGTAATCCACCCGATTGCGTTACGGCATGCGTTCCAGATGAGAAGAGCAGTGGACCCTTCGACCGTAAGAAGGATACAGACATGAGCCGGGAAGTGGAACAATGTCCACAGCTGTTGGCCGATCGTACCGAATCGATGGTGATCGACATTGTCGAAGTACAGGACATAGATGAGGTAGATCAACAAGACAGCAAAGGTAATGATGCCAGTTTCTTCCCATAAATGGACCGACGTACCTTGAATGGCATATGAAACTGATTTGATCAGACCAATGATGCCTTCGCCCATGATGATTAGTGAAAGCAGTCCGACACGTTCGACAAGGTGAGTATGCTTGAAGGACAGGACCCGCCAAACCATGCTGATCGTAATGACTCCTACAGCTTCGACGCAAATAAAAATATACCATAACCGAACCTTGGATGCACCCTCAGTGCCCGCGATAGACATGTTCGTACGGTCCATTATGAATGTGGCCAAGAATCCTGCAGCTGCGGCAACGTAGACGAACATGGTTGCCATCATTGGGACAAGAGTTTTGTCAAAAGCCCGAACGAAATAGAGCACAACAGCGTATTGGATGATCCAGAGTATTCGACAGCCGAACATCAGTAGTGCAATGCCATGAAAGGCCCGTGTTGTTCCACCGGACAGAATCGAGTCGTAGAGAGAGCTCAGTCCGACCAAGGAGACCATAATGCCAAAAGCGATGAATTTGCAGATTCTCGTGAAAACACTGTCGACGTAGAATCGAACGTCAAACATGGCGACGTGGAACCAGGTCGTCCAGAGAATGGCGAAAAAACCGAGGTAGTTTGATAGCGCTGTGAGTTTCAGGTTAGCAAGATCTCGGTTTGCGCATTTTGAATTCGGAACTCACACTGTGCATCAACATGTGCCGATTTTGTCGTAAACACAGCCAGGTTACCAACGAAGAATAAATCGAAGAACAATTCCAAAGTACTAGCTTCATGCTGTTTTCGGAAGATTCGATGAGCCAGTGCCGATTCTGACTGCTCGGCCTCGTATTGTGCTACCGTGGTCGTCCTCTGCACACCATTTCCTGACCTCTTTTTCTTCGCAATCCATTTCAAAGCCTCGGGGTCAACAGGTGATGCCAAGAATGGAAGTGGTTTGTGTCTTGGATGCTCTGCGTGGCTGCCTTTGTGCTGAAGTTTCGAAACAGAAGCACGCGTCACTGTTGCCTCTTGAGATGTTGTTCTAGTGATCGACTTGCCAAGTGACCAACCCATACTTGTGACCTTCGTTCCCTCGTCTCCTCAACAGAACGGGAAGGCTGTGCCAAAGATAGTACAACAAAGCTTGGAGGCGATATGAAGGTCGAGGAGAAAACAAGGCCTCACAGTAGATCCTCGAGGTATAAAAGGATCGAGTGGTCTTGGTCGGAGCTTAGCAACAGTAGACGATTGATTGACGACAACGTGTTTTGGTGTAAATGTCAAACTGTAGCCAGCCACAATGGACTTTAGTGTGGTTAGATCGCTGAAGCTGAAAGCACGTGCACCTGCGTGTACATGGGGTGGGAAGGGCTTTCCGTGATCTCGAGACGACCTAGATATATACCACTGAGCAACAACAACAGACACCTTCAACGACTAAAAGCAATTGATAATGAATTTTCCAAATCCACAAGGACTCACGAGAAGATGGACAAAGCAAGGCCATCAGTGCCGAGCAATACGAGCCCAAAAGTCATGGCGAAGTCAGTAGACCGCTAGCTGCGGCTGCTGTCGAAGTGGCAGATTTCTGGACCCAGGAGTGCACGAGGAGAATGGGCCATGGCACGCCTCGAAGGATGCTTGAAGTGCTTAGCATGTATCTAGTCCAGATTGGATTGATGACCCTAGAGCTTATTTTTCAGCTCTGCTGTACCCCACTAAGAAGGAAAAAGCGGACTGGTCAGAAGGACTTGTGCAAGCGAGCGGTAGCCTCGTTTCGGCATGGCTTGATATCAAGACTTCTTCATGACGGTCACGTTAGAAGGATAAGATTCGTTGCGATGAATCTATCAAAGCAAAGGTTACGCCAAGTCGAGAGTGAGCTTCAACCACATGGGCACACTAGTAGCTCGTTTAATGTGGAGAGGCTAAGGAGCTGAGCAGTTGTGCATAGATTACTGTATGTCGAGGGGCTCTGGCTAAAGATCGGCAGCTAACGTTTGGTACAGAATCGTAGTGGTAGAAGCAGTTTTGATATTTTTTTCTCTTACAACACCTAAACTTGTTGCAGGGTCGTTGGGCCCTATACATAGATCAGGGTTCATGTAGCCAACAATGCCTACTGGACCTCCACGAACTTGTGGGACGAGAATGCATTCCTCCTGTACAGCATCATTGAGGTTTAGTGAACGAGAAAGAATAGCCGACATCATGCAGCGTGGCTGGAGCCTGGACTGCCTTCGTAACGACGGATATCTACCTGTTCTACACAACTGTGTACATGTACTACTAGAATCCGTAACCAATCCATGTCTTGCAGGGCGGGGTTGCCTTTACAGGAACGATCTTAGTTGAGTTGTGCGCGGCCTTGATAGGACGGCTGAAGGATGCGGCGAAAACAGGCTGGATCAAAAACCTACATCTTGATATGATTCGGAGAGGTCAGACAAAGTCTTATCTGTAAACATTTTAGAGCGACAGCTGCTCTCAGCAAGATTGTCAGGCGATCCTGCTCACATCGTCGGCTGACAAGTCACTGCAGGCTTGAACAACTGCGCAGAGGCTTTACTTTGTATGGGCACGTTATCCTGTCGAATCAATTACGATGAGCAACATGGACCATATCGTTGTAATCGTACTCAAATATCAGCAGGTGAGGTTTGATCTTGTCTTATGCAGAGTCGCAATGACTTCAGCATCCAGCTCAAGATCAATCGATAGATAGCGAGAGACCGAGCGAGGCGAAAGACTGCTCTTTAAGTAGGAAGGCTCAAAGATGGCACGAGAATCGCACTTCAAGGTAACTTGAATTAGGCAGATCGATTCATATATTTTGCTGCTCAATACGCGACTCTTGTCCGCATATCAGAGATTTTTCTTTCGACCTCTCGAACTGATCGATCAAGTGGACCAGCTATGATCTCCTTCTTCTCATGCGGTAACAAGAAATACGTCTCGCACAGATCCCCATCAATGGTGCCTTTCGAAGGAGCATAATAAGACCTGTATGCCAAGTGGTCACGCCCAAGTAGTGGCGGATTGTGTTCTGTAGCAAGCTGCTTCTCAAGCTCTTGGAAAAAATCCACATCCTCACGGCTAACAAATGGTACGAGCATTCCAAGAGTACCTTGTAGGCCCGTCCAGAATACCACGTCTCTCCCTCCATTCACGAGGTTTGTCTTCTGCACGCTCGTCGAGATGTCGCCAGTAAAGTAATGCGTCATGAGGTTCAGGCGGGCGGGTGCGCCATTTAGATATCCTTTCTCGTGCAGAAGATGTGCACCAGAATTGTCCTCATCCGCCTCTTCTGAAGCCTTAGGAGGACACCGTACGAGCCACATGTTTCCGAATTTGTCTCCGCCTGCTACTGTTTCATAGTCGACCATCGCAGCCGACGTTGTCCAGCGTGCGACCATATCGTCTGCGAAAGGAATAAGCTTGTTGTCTTGGAACTTGTAGACCACAAACGAAACACTCTCCTGTACATCACTGACAATGATTCGGTTACCTTGTGTTGCAAGTCCAACGATGATGTTGGGTAGAGTTTGTACCTGGCATTTGCGAAGCATTTGTTTCATGCCCAAATCGTAGATACGGAGGTCAGATCCACATCCAGCAAGCAAACGTCCTTGGAAAGGTAGCAGCGCTGTCGGAGGGTGGTCAATCTTGGTCTTGTGGATGAATTCTAGTTCACGGCCTTCCTCGTGAAATCTGTATACGTGAAGAAAGCCTGCACTGTACGAGCGTGGGCTCACTTTTAGATCTTTAGCTGTACCTATGACCAAGAAGGTCTCGTCATCCTGCCCAGAAAATGGAGCCGCTGCGATGCTCGTAGCACACTCATTGTCCTCAAGTTCCAGGCTAAAGATGACTGATTTTGCAGTCACTGGGTCAATTACTTGGACGCACGACGCCCAATGTTCGGTGCCATGTGGATTCCCAAACTGATCAGGAGGTAATATTGTGGCGTCGCCATTGACTGCAGGTGTTTCATTGATGAGCTTACTCCGTGTGGAGGAGGCCAGCGTATTGTTGTCTGACTCGATCACGTAGAAGAGATTGTGTTCGGGATGTTTGACGAATTTTCTTGGTGTGTACGGTAGAGGTATACTTTCTTGGAGCAAGTTACGTGAGATATCTTCGACTGAAAAAATCCTATAGACAATCAATTCTTGCTCAGGAAAAGGTTCTTGATGTTGTAAGTAAACATGTTGGGTTTCTCAGTAGGAACAATTGGAATAAAACATATGTTCTGCAGTAATCCTTGGATTCTAAGCAAGAGCATAGTTTTTGTCATCATGAAAAGAGGCTTGGGAGATGGGTGTGAAGGACATACCTTAAGTTTTGCTCCTGTATTCCTACTATGCCTTCGGGACATTGCTCACTACTAAATGTCCAGGCGTGTCTTAACTCAGGATAGTCAAGCGGTGTCAGCATGAAACCTTTGGTCTGAGGGTCAGTGTAGCCTAGCCAAGCTCGGGTACTTGCTGCCAGAATACAATTTTGACCTGCGACAGAAACACGGAAAAGTTTAGCCGGTTTCAATCCCAGGAAACGTGTGCGAACGTCGGATAGTTCGCCAGTGATCTCGTCGAGAACGGTGCGAAGGTAGACGCCTGAATAGAGGCCAATATGTAGATAAAGTGTTGTGCCGCCAGATGTTGCGTCGACCATAGGCATAATAGCAAGAGAAGAAGGTGGAGAGGTTAACGCCTGGACAGACTTGTTCTCCAGGGTCGAATCAGGGTCAAGGCTGAGGATTCGGACTGTTGAGTCATCACATCCTACTGCAAGGAACGAGCTGCGAACACGACCTTCTGGCACATCTCCCAGACCAAGACAGGTCACGGTACCAGTCATCTCTCTTCGTTCGTCATACTCGTTCAGAGAGCCGTCGGTGTCCATTTCGAAGTAGACAATCTCACCAGAACTTAGAGCCACCGCGATTTGTCTCTCATTTGTGGCTGCAGCGACAATGGATCTGTGCTGTGGCGCAGGCCATTCATTGACGCGTTTATCTGCTCGAATATGCCGTATACCCTTTGGATGAACTTGTACAAGAGCATCTTCGCCCAGCTGTTGCACAGCTAACGTTGGTGCAGTCGATAGGAAGCCAGTATCTGTGACTTCTTCGACAGTTTCGCCAATGCTCAGGACGAGTGTGCCCGAAGCGAAGGACAAAACAATGTAAGCATCATGCTTGTCTGCTCGTGTCAATTTGGTGGTCCAGACAGCCTGTGGTTTATCCGGCAGTTCTGATTCAACAAGTTCTGACACAGAAAGGCCGTGACGAAGAGTCTTGAAACTGCTTCTTGCACCAGCACCACAAATAGTGTATATCTGAGGAGCCCCATCTTCGTCGAGCAGATTTGTGACCTTGGACTCCATCAAAGGATTCATTGATTCAATACTCTGCACAAGTGCAAGGTTTAGCAATGGTCGTGGGTGGAAATATGCAGGGCTGTACGGCTCTAAAGGATCTGAGGGGTAGTCCTCGCTCGAGAATTCCGTCTCATCATCATCGTCGCCCAGTTTCTCAAATTGGTAAAACTGGTGATTTCCGCGTTCAGCGGCAACGAAGAGAAAGCCACTCTTCAGGATGTGTAAGCTATTAGCGACTGGTACACTGTCGAAGTATTTGATCTTCAGTGCTTTCACCTCACCGGTCGGCTGGCCGTTGTCGTCCTCTGCCATATCGATTGATGCTTTGAAGAGGTCGCCGTCCCCAGTCTGCAGAAGCAAAAAGAACTGGTTGCGTATCTTGTGCATGATACCAGCGACTATAGTTCTCTTGCGCTCGGGGTTCTCGAGGACACCTCTTCTTCTTGGAATCGGCACTCGGTGAGCATCCTGATTGTTGTGTCGATAGGTGATAGTATCTACTCCACAGACCAAGACACCACTTGGACCATCAGATCCGCCAGGAACCTGGAACAACCTTGTTGCAGATCGATCCACTGTTTCTGACCACTTTCTGACAACGTGATTGAGACCCAAATCTAGTTCGTAGTACACTAACTGCTTTTCTACATCCTCAAATGCTTGTCCGCTGGGATCTTGGTCGGACTCGGAGTAATCGACTTCGATGGCTGCGAAGACAGGGTTCTCATAACCAACGTCGAGTGCTATTAGGTCGAAGACGAGAAGGCCAGGCTTATGAGCTTCGAGCGGCGATGAGATGGTGAGCGCAGCTTGGGCATTTCGATTGAGGACATAGACGATCTTGTTCTTCTCAACAGAAGCGATCAGGCAAGCTCTTCCTTTGGGATCAACTGCAAGATACTGACCAGGGATTACTCTTCTCACACCCGATTTGCCAAAAGTCTCGAGATGGACGCGGCTGAAGCGATTCGTATCCTTCAGGTATTCCAAAATAGTAATTCTTCCCGAGTCTGAGCCCACAATTATATAGTCTTTTGAGCCGCCGGCTAATCGGAAGGCAGCTAAAGTTCGTACAATGCCGAAGCAATCTTGGGTAAATAGAGGTGAGATCTTCCCTTGCGTTGGATCAGGCCTGTGAATTGTAAGCTTGGACCCAGATGCCGTGACAATTTGTTGTTCTCTTGTACCGGCAAACTGACCCAATACTGCAGCCGTGATATCTGAGGGTGGCTGCAGCGTTAAGCTATACATGAACATTGAGCTCGTTGTCGCCATGGTGAATAGCAGGTTTTGACCAAACTGCTTCAACTCGAATCACGTCTAACCACGACAGACTTGGCTGTTCCCGATTGCTGACCACTGAGGGCAAAACAAAGCAATAGCTCAGGACACCACCAACGCCTGCGCCAGGGTATCAAGGATTGGAGGAGACTCGAGAACGTGTATACCAAAGCGATTGAAGATTGTTCGGACATTTTGCGATCCAGCACGCTAGAGTTGATGCCTGAGGCCAGAGTGCTGATATTGCTAAATTAAACTCTAGCCGCCTCGTGACGTAGATCCGCGCCAGAAGATTCCGACCAGCGTTTGTCGCAGGCAGGTGCGATTCATGGTTTTATTACATGGCAATTGCTGTTGCATGCCCCTCCAATAGATTGGTTATATTCATTCACAATTTTCATACTCGACATACACTAATCAAATAGCGAGATCCTTTCTGTCCATCAGAAATCTACTTGGTCCTGTTCAACCTTCGAGAGCCAATTGGACAACCCCACAGATTGCGCATAGAGATACCTAGCATAAACGATCCCACGATCAGTTGAATCAAGTCGTTTCAAGAAGATGGCAGACAATACGACGGCCGAAGATACGGTGGTCACCTTCAACGTCAAGGCTTCGAGTGCACCTAAAGTCACAGTGTCTCTACCACTTACCACAACCGTAGCAGATCTTAAGACCAAGCTGGCCGAACCTGATATGGCAAATGTCCCAGCGTCGTCGCAAAGATTGATATACAGTGGGAAAGTGTTGAAGGACCACGAAACGTTAGGTGCTCACAACGTGAAAGAAGGAAACACAATGCATCTGGTACGAAGCGCTGCCAGCAATCAGAGACAGAACCCAGCGAGTCAAAGCACTCCGGCTGATACCGGCTCGACCACGACCACTGCTCCTGCTGCCAATGTACCTCAAAACTTTGCTGCTGGTACAGGAAACGATCCTCTGGTTGGTCTGACCGGCGCTAGATATGCTGGCTTTGCTGGCCTACCTAGTTTACAAGAACTAGCGAACCCACCTTCCCCAGAAGAGATGATGCGACGTCTACAGGACCCGAACTTTGCACAGATGATGAACGAAGCTCTATCCAACCCACAGATGATCGATATGATGATAAATTCTAGTCCGCAGTTAAGAGCTATGGGTCCTCAAGCAAGACAGTGGCTGCAATCGGACTATTTCAGAAGGATGCTGACAAACCCCGATACTATGAGACAGATGATCGAGATGCAGCGTATGATGGGTGGTTCTGGTGCATTTGGTATGGGCGGAGGTTCAGAAGCCTTCCCAATGCCTGGCGCAACAAACACTACCGAGGGTCAAGATCAAAACCAAACACATAACCAAGGTCAAGGCCAAGGCCAAGGCCAACAGCAACAGAATCCATTTGCTGGTATGCTCGGCGGAGGAATGAACCCTTTCATGTTTATGCCTCCTCCTCCTCCTGCCGGCCAGGATCGATCCGCCGATCCTTCGAACAACGCGGATACACAAGCATTTAACCCCTTTGCTGCACTTTTCAATCCAGCTCCTGCTCAGACACAACCTGGGCAGCAACAGCCCGGTCAGACAGGATCCGATTCGAACAACTCTTCGCAGCAGCCCAACCCCTTCGCGGCTAATCCTTTGATGGCCGGTATGATGAACAACCCACAGATGCAGCAAATGATGAACAATCCCGAGATGCTGCAGAACGCTATGCAGATGATGTTAGGAGGCGGGGCAGGTGCAGGTGGTCTAGGAAATTTCGGCAACTTTGGAGGGCCACCGGACAATCGAGCCCCAGAAGAGCGGTATGCAACCCAGTTAGGTCAACTGAACGAGATGGGCTTCTACAACTTCGACCAGAACATACAGGCTCTATCCAGAAGTGGTGGGGATGTCAACGGAGCTTTGGAATGGCTGTTTTCTCAGCCACCAAGCTGAACAAGTCAACGAGATGAAGCAGAGTGTCTTATGTCTATATTTGCAACAAGATGTTTTTGTGAGCGGTAGCAGCATGCTTCGTCTTTATGATTTGACAGCGAAAAGCACCGAAGTAGTAGAGGGGTTGAATCATTTATTGTCTGCTCCTTCCTCGCTGTGTCACGACCACAATTCATAGCTTTCAAAGACTTGTAAAAAGCTTGCTGTTGAGTCGTTCGGACCTCTTGCAGCCAGGTAAGTACGTGCTGAGAGACTCAATTTTTCGTCTTGCCTTGCGACAAGTGTTGATTTAGAATACTAACAGTCTTCTGTGATGTTGCAGTGGAAGCAATTTCTGTGCTTGAACTTGTTGTCCAGATCTTGATGGGATGACTCGCGCACTAACATGTTGCGGTTCGCAAGTCTTATCAGTTACCTCCGTCCATGTACACGTCTCAAGTACATCCAGCACATGAACAAGACGTCATTAACCTTCGTCAACGTGGCTGTGGGCAAGAGGATGCAGATGAAGGCAAGGAGCAGAAGCGTTCCATTGCTGGGTTGAAGCCTCGTGAGACCTGCAAACGCTGCTTCAAGGTAGTCAAGACGATCGAGAGACAGAGTACTTCGTGTACGATGAACGTGAAGGAGAACGATAGGTAGGAGATATTGGAGAAGACTGAGTAACCTGAGTAATTTGGCTGTGACACTCTCAACATTGAGCTCAAGGTTAGGCATGTCCGGTAGGAGCCTGTGTGTTTGTTGATGTGAATTGGTGGGAGATGCAGTATGACCGTGAGTATGGTAGGGGGAGTGGGAGGATCAACGATGAATACGTTACCTGGTACCAGAAACATCATTTTTGTGGATCGAATGAGCTAGTATATTGAAGTGTACTCTGGTCTACACCTGTCGATTGCTGGAGTTTCATCATGGATGATCGTGGTGAGGCTGGATTTTTCTCGATAGAACTAAGACTGTAGCAATATCGCAGGCTCCTTTGTCGTGGTGTCTTCATGCTTGTGTTGTTTCCGTTCTGGAAACTCATGTCTAAGACAGCCACAGTAACCACCAGTGCTCAAAAGCGTGTTGATGTTTCATACATGTACTAGATAGAGCGAATTGCTGCTCACCTGTTTGTTCCTGTTTGTTCCTGTTTGTTCCTGTTTGTTCCTGTTTGTTCCTGTTTGTTTCTGGCGTCCACAGTGTATATGAGACAACACAACCTCTTCATAGACCTGGTTGCTTTCCCACATTCTCGGATTGGCAGTAAATTTCTTTCGCCTCATTTTGATAATATCTCTTCGTGACTGATTAGTGTTTAACGAAACTTAGGCAGCCTCGGTCTGCTGGTTTGCAACATCTGTGTGTGCTGTCATTCCCTAAGTCAGGGTAGGCATAAGCTGCTCTCCTACTGAACGGAGCAGTTCCCACGGGTATTCAGCTCTTGCGTCTTCAGCACTCGTAAGTCAAAGCCGGCAGGACGCATCGCTGCGAACTGGACACCTGCATCAGTGCTATATACTATGGATGTACAGTGATTGCACTGTTCGACAGTATGTGCCAGCACTTATTTGAAAGCAGGTGGCACTTCATCAACAACACCAAGAAACGAAATGATCATATATGCGTGCACGAACTAAGTCCTGTATCCATTTAGGTTACAGTCCTTGCGGATTAATGTAATGTTGCAGACATTGTAAGCTGCCTCGATAGAGTGATTTGGTTTTCCTGCTTTCTCGACCCATTGTGTCGTATTCATGGCTGAACCCGCATACTCAAAGCACGCCACAGCACCGCAAGCCTATTCAACCAAGGCTGGTCTGGTTGACCAGCTGAATCTCGCCGCGACTGCGCCACATAACGAGCAGCTGAAACTCAGATGCCAATTTCACTATTCCCGAAATAGGTTCTTGGCATGCTTAGCTTTCACAGCTCCCTGCAATTCGATCCCGCCAAGTCTCCCGGCGCTCTTTTGTTGTTTGAAATCAACACCAGAGTCACACTTTGGGACCCCGTGGAGTTGCTACAGCTGGTTGTTCGTGTTGCACAAGCCTCGTGGACAAGAGTTTCATTTGACGCATGACATCGTCTGTTTCCACGATGGATCCAGGCTCCTCCTGCGACCGGTGTGCCTCGTTCACAATGGTCACCTACTACTCACATATGCGATCAGTGAGGGCGCTGCATATTGCTCACCTGCCTTGAGGTGTGACCGTCGTTTCAGCACTTTCAAATTGATACTTCTCACTGCCATACTTCTCTGTGTATATTCTGCTTACTCTTTGATTTCTTTATTCTTTCTAGGTCTCAGCTTTTGTTTCTCTAGGTCCTTAGCTGGGAGTCGTTTCACCGATGTCAATACTTCTAGGTGTTGCAGCCTTGACGGCCACTGCTATTGCGCAGAGCTCAAGCTGTCCAGCAGGCTCATTGCCTGCAAACCAGAGGCTTGAATGGACTCCTTGTCCTGTCAACGCCTACGGCGAGGACGGACAGCCATATTATGCACCAACACTCGAATGCTCAACCATTGACGTGCCACTTGATTATACAAACAGTGGCTCGGAAATCCTGACACTCCCACTTGTTCGAGTACCGTCCAACAGCTCGACACCACTCAACAGGACGATCATTTTCAATCCTGGTGGCCCAGGAGCGAGTGGTATTGACAGTCTGATAGGTTTCGCAGATGATCTGCAGGCGTAAGAACACAAATGACTGACAATTCGAACTCCTGCTAACGTATGATGTGTAGAGTATCTGGTGGAGGATATCATCTTGTTTCCTTCGATCCTCGAGGCGTGGGTCTGACGTATCCATATCTTTGCCCGATCGCAGATGTGGCCATACCCTATTCCTCTCGTCCTATCACTGACCCCAACGGACTCAATGCAACATACTACGCCAATGCCATTCAAGGCGAGCTCTGCGCGCAATCTCCTTATGCAGAACAGGGACAGTTTCTCGGAACAGCCTTTGTGGCAAGAGACATTGATGCTATTGCGCAGGCAATTGGAGAAGATGGGAGAATAAGATACTGGGGCATGAGTTATGGCACTTTGCTGGGCTCGACTATTGCGGCGATGTTCCCGGACAAAATCGATCGCATGGTTTTGGATGGCAACATTAATCCTACCGACTACTACCACGGCCTTGGTGATGAAGCGGCCGACGACGTTGACCGAGAACTCGCATTCTTCTTCGATTCATGTGCTCAAGCTGGGCCTGATTATTGTCCTCTTTCGGGCCCACAATCGACCGGACCTGTCTTGCAAGCTGTCTTCTACGACTTTCTGAATGGTATAAATAACGGCACGTATGCTCTACGAGATAGAAATGGTGTTCGAATCTCCTACAAGCGCATAAAGAGTTCACTCTTCTCGTACCTCTACAGTGCGGCTAATTTCCCTGATCTGGCTGCCTCAATTTTCAATCTTTACCTGGCTACGCAGCCAGGTACGTCATCTACTTCAGGCAAGAGACAGGAGCAGCAAGAGTTCAATGTCACGGAACGGCTTGGTCTTGCTCAGTATCCTAACGTTCTTACAGCCATAACTTGCGGAGAATGGGATGAGATTCCAGCTGGCGACCTCAATGATTTTCGAGAACTCGTCAGCATATACGAAGAAAGAAGTACTTTCGGAGGAGATCAGCTCATAGGTATCGTCTTCGCATGCGCAACGTGGAATGTGACGGCGAGGGAGAGATTTGGTGGTGAATTCCAGAATATCAGGACAGGCGCACCGATCCTGTTTGTCAATTCAGACAAGGACCCTGTAACACCTCTGATCTCTGCACAGAACTCAAGTTCGGGTTTCGTGGACAGCAGAGTGCTACAACACACAGGCGCTGGTCATTGTTCGACCGCACACCCATCCAACTGTGTGCAGGAAAAGATCAGATCTTACTGGCAAACTGGAACTATCCCTGACGTTAGTGAGATATGCCAGCCAAACGTCGCAAATCCCTTGGTGGAAGATGTTCGCACTCCGATCAATGTCACGGACCGTACCAACCAGACAACCACCAACGAGGATGAAGAGCGCTTCAGCAGGGCGGTATCACACCTGGCAGATCTGCTAGGTTCGAGCAAGACATCATCATTCGAGTTTCCAACGGAAATCCTGGAACGTGCTAAGACGAAGAGAAGCATCAGCGCGCCTCTGTTCGGTCGACAAGCAACAGCAAGTGCTTCTTGTACCTCGATGACCGCCGTACCGTCATCACCGCCTATCACGGGTGGGAGCTCTTCGAGTGCTACCAGTGCAGCTGGCAGATTGCCTACTGCCTCAGGTGGTCTTGTCCTCAGCGTGCTGCTCGGAGCATTATGTATATTCATGTAAATGGACAGCTAACGTAGTGTTGTATAAAATACTAAAGCTACATACTCTTCTAAACATTCTGGTCTTATCTCTCCTTCTACGTTACTCAAAATCTACTGTCTCAATGTCAAAGGCGCTGCCCATCTGCTGCGTACCACATTTTTTAAGATAGTACACCGTGCCCCGTGCCTGTTTGCCATACGAGCTGAGGAGCAAACCTGATGCCTGAGGCACGAGGTCGTGTTCATAACGCGCCTTCCCCTCTGGCGTCCTTTTGTTCTACTCAGGCTGACCTTCGAGAAAGATGTGAGTGTGTTCGCAACTATCAGCTCTTGCACATCTTCGCCTTCTAGTAATCAGCTGAACGCTATAGACTATGTTCTTCTGCACGACCGTTGCCCGCGAGAACACCGGCAATTCTGAGGAGGAAAAGCAAAATATGCACAGATCATTAAAATACAGTTGAAGAAGAGATGGGTTGAACATGATCAACGGCTGTTCTGTCGCTCATACATCATGTTTGTTCTCGAGATACTCGCTCCAGTGGTCTGGAATCGCAGCACTTCGATTTCTCTTCAATTCCGCCTGTACGCCCCAGCAGAATTCTCGCCGGCCTCGTCGTAAGATGGTCTCGACCTGTAGACGCCTCAAGTCTGCTTTGTTCTGGCTTATCTTCTCCGAGGTCTCACCTTCCACATCGAAGCATTCCCCGACCCCTATGTCACACAATGCTTGCAGACCAGCCGCAAGATTGTACTCTTCGCTCTCGGCGCCACTCATATCAGCTTGCGAATCTGACACAAGCTCCTCGAGCCAAGACAAAACACGCTTGTTAACCTTGTCGACGAAGTCCTGGTATTCAAGGTCAGCCTGTTGTTGATGTCTCACTAGCTCTTCCTGAGTGGCATATTCTATGTTTCTGTCGTAACCATAGTCTCTTTGCTCCGGTGCTTGAAAGTGCGTCCAGTCGAAGACATTCTGGCTTGCAGTTCCCACAACTGCTTGTACTGATATTTGTTCTGTCTGCACATTTTTCTGGTCTAAGTGCGTTGATTTCTCAGCAGGTGCATAGTCGGAATCCTCATCCACAGCTATATCCAGAGGATCATCTGCCCAGATAACGCTCCCATTGCGAATTGGCACCCCACGGAGTGTCAGTTCTTCACCCAGCAGGAGGATTTGCTCTGTCAGACTGTCGACCTCGGTTCTCTTCGCCGCTGTATCGGGCGACTTCTCTAGGTCTGTCTTCTGGATTTTCAGGGTTGAGAAATCTTCCATCAGGTTGGTAGTCTGATCGTACCAACCCACATCCGCCACTGCTGTGATGTTCTCATCATGTTCTGGTTCTTCCGTTAGCATCTCTTCTAAGCCAGCACATTCCTGTTCGATAAGGTCAAGCTGTTCAGAAGTGAGCATTTTTTCCGTGAATAGGCTTGATGTTTCAAGTTTCGCGCTGGTACATTTTTGCCAAGGTCCATGATGCGCTTGCTGTATGATTTGATCAACTAGATCATCGACTTCCTTCAGCAAGTCATCTCTGGCCTTGCGAGACGTTCCGATGGTTGTATCGACGGTATCGCTGGTCAGATGAAGACATTGCAAGCGAGTCTGTAGCACAGGTATGTTCTTCCTGTCTTCTGGCTCTGCGTCAGGCGCCTCGCAGTAGTCTATCATTTCTTGTGTCTTAGTCGTGGCGTGGAGGACTCTCTTCTTGTGGTCACCTAAAGTGGTCGCCGTCAATGTGAGACGCTTCTCTGCAGCTTGCAGTTTTGTTCTGGTGTCCGCTAGCCTTTCAACGAGCTCGCGCATCTCTCGCCATCTCTGCGTCTTTTGACACAACAGCAAGCTTGTCGTGCCAGCAATGACTCCCAGGAAAGACTGCATGACTTTTTGCGACAATCTGCCCGAAGCTTGATGTTGCAGCGTGCCTCTGGACTGGGTGCTCGAAAATCCTTCGGTGAGTTGAAGCTCGTGATAGCGCAGGGGGAGCACTTATGCAGGTGATGTTCGGCATATTGCTGACAATGGCAGAACCTTCTTTGTTCTGTCGTTAGTTACTCGATATGTCATGCGTTGTCTCGTTGAGCCAAAATTAACCCTCAACTTCCTCAGTGACTCAATATAGTTACTTTTGGATTTTACTCAGACACAATGGTTCTGCAATGCACCGGTGCTAAGTGCAAGTACTTGAAGAAAGATCATCAGACTACCTGCTCTATATCTCAGGAAGACTTGACGTCGAATAAAAGCAGTTCGACCACAAACTAAATATGAATGTACAGGGTACATCTTTTGCCCCACGAGGCAACCGTCAACGTGTACCACAATCTCAAACACCCTCACGTCTGGGAGTCGGTGTCCCACCTAGCGCTCGCGGATCCTTATTAGCAAAGACGTTACATTCGAATCATGTCTCTCGTCAAGCCTCAACTGCCGCAGGTTGCGATCCACCGCAAGCATCGAACAATGGAACACTTGCACATCAAGTGAAAGTTGCTGACAGTGACCCGGAATCCTGGCAGGCCGGGACGCACATGTCTGTAGCCACTGCTCAACGACCCTTAGGACCATCAGCATATAAGCTTGGCCAGATCCTGGTCATTCCACATATTAAACCAGCCCTAGATCCTCATCAGAAAGATCATTCGGATGTTCGAGTCTACACAAAGAAGGTCGGGTTCGTTTGTCCAAAACCACGATTCGCTGCCGTTGTCGCAATCTATCCAACTCGAATGGTTGTACTCCCAATGTACAGTTCCAATGGGAACGGACTCAAACACAAGCCTGATGAATACAAGCTAACGGCTCTGTCAGTTTGGGTTCCCCTGACTTCTGATGATGAAATGCGTAAGCAGCTAACCGAAGATGCACTAAAAGCAGTGGCTCCGAAGCCATTCACAGCAGGTTCACATATTAACTTGAACGACCCTTGGACTGTCAACTACGCAGGCAAAATCCAGCAATGGGGCCAACTTGATGAGGCAAGCACGAAAAGGCTCCTGGAGAGATATCAAATTGCTTTCAATATGGCGACTGCTCCTGTTGTCCAGCAAGCATCATTTTTCAAGAATCAGATTCAGAGACTTAGAAGTCTTCCGGCTGGGACGGTTACAGCTGCTGGTACGCAATTTACGGAAGCACCTCGTCCGACGCCTACTACACTTTCGTATGCATCAATGGCCAGTGGCCCTGCGAAAAGGTGAGTGAGGACATCGCCGGGTACAGAAACACGGCAGGTCAGCCCGATCACAATGATGTGTAAATAGCCCAAAAAGTTAAGTCGTCTCCAAAGAGTATGTTGAATTTGAACTTCTGCAGTAGATTTCACTTTGATTAGTTAAGCATGCAATTAGTTGGAATGACCTTGACCAGCCAAGAGAATGTTCAATGAGAGAGCGTCCAACAATTACTCACTCACTTATACCATATTATATGGCAAACTTTAACGAGTTGCAGCAATCAGAAAGATATCAAAATTTTGGTATAGTCATGGTTCAGAAGAGGTCTTGTACTCGTACTGGTTGATAGCTAATAATCCATTTCTACGTCTTCACCCCAATCGCACGGCACAGCAAAATCAGGATCACTCTCAAGCTCTGCCTGCGTAAGGCTGCAGAACTTTCTCTCCGCCTGATTGAGCAGGGTTTCGACTTGCAGGCGCCTTATATTCACGTCGCTCTTGCTTGGGTTATCTGTCGCGAGTTCGGCTTCCATATCGAAACATTCTCCTACCTCGATATCGGGAAGTTGTTCGACTCCGACAGGAAGGCTCTCGTCAACATCATCGTCATGTTCATCGATATGCATCTCTGGTTCTGCTGCGGCGGTCTGCATCCAGGTCTGAACACGCTGGTTGTTCCTGAAAATAAATTCTTGAAAGTCACGGTCGATTTGTTCCTGCCGCTCCTTTGCTTCGGCTTCCATGACCCACTCTTGTGGGGCTTCGTTGTATCCATAATCTCTTTCTTCTGGTGCTTCGAAATTGGCCCAATCAAAGACGTACTGGCTCGGTGTACCTGCCACTGCTCGTGCTGATGCGGGTTGCGCTATCTGCTCGTCTGTCAGCCAGTGTTCTTCATCTATAGGTTCCTCATTGTAAAAGGCATACGCTGATTCTTCGTCTTCGACGTGCCGAACAAACTCTCCATTACGGACTGGGATGCCACGGAGAGTGAGTTGTTCTCCTAACTCGAAGATCTCTTTATCGTGAGCAGCAATTTCGGCTTGTCTAGTCGAGGCATCTGTCGATTCCTCAAGCTGTCTCTTCTTTTCCTTCAAATCAAGGAATCCAAGCTTCAGGCGGTTTGTCTTGTCGCCTTCACCTTCCTCATCCTCCGCTTCCTCCTCGACTTGTTCACCGCCCGCCATGAATTCATCAAAATCCGCACCATCGGCCTCGAGCTTGTCCAGCCATTCTGGAAGGTATAAGTCTTCGGTAATTTGAGAAACAGCAGAGGATGTCTCTGTGCAAGGCTCGGCTGCCGTTTGCATTTGTCGCAGAATTTGGTCGAACAGCTCATTATACTGGGTCAACAAGACTTCTTTAGTAGTCGCTAGCACTTTTAACTCGGTCTCAATTGCTCCCTGTGCCTTCTCGAGGTGTCGTAATCTTGTGACGAGTTCGGGGATGTCTGCAGCATCCTCCGCTGATCGGCAGCAGAAATTCAGCATTTCTTGGGTCTTTGCGGCAACTTGCTCGACTCGTACCCTATGTGGTTCAAGGATTACTTTTCTCTGTGAGTGCCGTGCTGCAGCGGCATCGACTCTCTGCTTGGCTTTATACAGCTCGCCAACGAGGCCATACACCTTTCGTTGTCGCTCTCCGTCACGCCACAGCAATGTCATGCCTGTCGTACCTGCGACGAAGCTGAGAAAGAGAGCAATGCGGGTCGCTTGATTGTCCATGATCGCAGCAATGACTAAGTTGTGCTTCCGGAATTTAACAGATAGCTTCGACAGTAGAATGCCAATTGTAATGCTTGCGAATCTGGGCTGATTGACCTAATATGTGGACGACCAACAATGAGGTTACGGTTTATGCATGCAGTCCCTGCTGATACACAACAAAGGGATATGTCACTCTGGCTCTAGGACGAAACAATGAGCACCAAGCGTCTGATTCCAGCCAGGAATAGTGAACCATGTCTTGTTCATTGTGCTGGGCTCTCTTTGTTGCACATGGTTGCGAGACAGGGAATATCGAGGACAATAAAATCTCGATTGAGACTTATACCCAGGATTTGCAGCACCAGTCTTGTTTCAGGTGAGTCGATATTTATTATTGCAAATACAATCATGGCTACCCCAGGAAACGTCGGCTTTGGTCGTAGAGTACGAAATCGCACCGACCAAACAACCTGGAGGACACCATCAGCGGCGCCGACTAATGCCACGCTTCTGACTACAACACTCAACAAGAATACCGCTCACGCTGCGAGACAAGCTCCAAGCCGAGTGGGAACTGGTTTCCCGTCGGCCCTTGTCGACGGTATGGCCACCTTTGAGCTCAATGGCGATCTTAATTATGCCATGTCCTGCCAGGCTGGGAGTAATTTCACCAATCGAACATTCTACCCGACGAAAGCCGAGAACTGGCGAGTCGGCCAGGTTGTGAATTTTCAGCATATCGTGCCGGCGCTTGATCCTAATCAAACAGGCTGGAACAAATATCGAGTCAAGACCGAGATTGGACCCATCTGTCCAAAACCCCGATATGCAGTAATTGTCAAGATCTACAAGACAAGGATGATTGTGCTTCCTATCTACAGCTGTGATAAGAAAGGCATCTCGAATAAAAGTGTTCAGTACAAGGCGACTGCATTCTCCGTCTGGAACCCTATGGACAACGACGAAGAATACCGCTCCAAGCTGACTAAAGACCCACTAAAGATCTCAGGCGAGAAGAGTTTCTCCCCTGGATCCCACATTAATCTCAATGAGCCGTGCAGCGTTGGGTATGCATGGAGACTAACAAAGATTGATATGCTCGACGAAGAAAGCACGAAAAGACTTGTGACATGGTACAATATCGGCCAAAGCATGGCTGATCAACCCATTAACACGCAAGAGCGCTGGTTCGAACAAGAAGTCGAGAAGGCCAAGAACCCGAAGCAGGTAGGTACTGAGGGATGGAAGGAAGCACCAGCTCCTCCACTGTTTGCGGGTTCCTACGCAAGCAAAGCCACTGCCGCAAGTCGATGGAGGAGGTAAGTTCCCGGCTTGATACAGATTATCAGTAAGTACTGCGATGAAGTGCTGACTAACGAAAACGACGACCGTCTCTGTTACGCTCTCAGTAAATCTCGAAATATGTGATATCGAAGATGATTTCGATGTCGTAAACCTTGTAAGTACATACTAAATGTGCTTCTAAGCAGTTTTGCAATGATTGCTCCTTGCTATGTACTCAAGCTTCGCTCCCAGGGCTGCTTCAGGCTATCAATTTCAGAGGAGGAGTATTTCAAATTGAAGATGTATCAGACCTTAACCTACTTTCCCTTCCGGTGCATACCCCCAATCTGACTCAAAACGTCCCCAGCCTCCATTCTCCAGCTCGTCCATCATAGCCAACCAATGCACAACTAGATCATATCCGCCATCTCTAGGGATCTGCCCAGCAGCAACCGTGCCTCCCATAGCCACATTCAACAAGATCGTGAAGTCCCTTAGTGGTCTCGTACCACCAGGTACTGTTGCCTTCATGACCGGTCTACCATCAATATACCAGATCATCCTGCCCTGACCAGCCTGCCCACCAGGCTGATCCCAAGCAAAATCATACCGAATAGGCGTAGTCGGCATGTGATCCAGCTGCGTCTGTTGCGTAATATGCTTGTTCCAATCTTCACCAGTATAAGTACCCCAATGCAAACACGAATGGTTCTTCCTCTCCCCATTCCACGTCTCCATGATATCTACCTCGCCATCTCCGGGCCATGCAAAGGGCTCAAACGGCAATAACCAAAACGCAGGCCAGATCCCAGAAGCACATGGACTGGTAAGCACTGCACTGAGTACGCCTCGATCTCTGGCGAGTCTTTGGCGTGAAACCAGTCTTGCGGAAGTGTATTTTTGGCTCGGGTCAGGTGCGTTGTTGTTGGCGATGGCGCGGACGATCAATTTTCGGTCATTTGTGTAGAAGCAGTTTTCGGGGTTGCCTGTGTAGAATTCGAGTTCGTTGTTGCCCCAGCCGTTGTTGTTGCCTTGTTTAGGTTCCCATTCTGCCTCGATGGGTATATTTGGGTCGAAGTTTGCTTGCCAGTAGATCGTGTTTATAGGTTGTTGAGGTTGCTGGTTGTACTGAGGTGCTGCAGATGCGCGGTTGTATTGCGGCTGTTGCTGCTGTTGCTGTTGCTGAGGATAGTATTGTTGTTGGGCTTGCGGCTGTTGTGAGTGGTTTCCAGGTAAGATATTGTGTTCGGCATTGAATTTGTCCCATTCTCCTTTGAATCTTTTGAGCTGATCTTTCCAGGACATCTCTGACAAATGACTGCTAAAAATCGCAAAAGAGCGTGATCAGTGTTGCAGTTCGACAAAGAATCTAGGAATCACAAATCGCATTATCTAGTAAGAGTGGTTGAGTTGTAATCGTTTACGTTGAGGCTGGGCATCCACGTTCAAGACTCGACACGATTCATCCGAAAACAACTCCACTTGGTCCCTGTTGCATGATATGCTATTTGGTCATCTTCGTATCTGTGATACTGAAGCACATAGCCAATATAATTTTTACAGCTATCAAGGTGATCGCGACAGCTTTCGCTGATTTCGACCGGCATATAATGAGGGCAATAACGGTATATCTCTTTAACGAGGTCGTTCCTGGCGGAAAGAGACGACATACACCCAATGTCCTGGAATAAGAACGACGATCTACGAGGTTCAAGAGCAGAAGAGCACTGACAACTTTGGTATATCTCTTTCGAGCTGGAGCAGGAACCTAAATTACGAGGATGGCAGGTTCGACTCAGTTCGGGTGGAGGGTTCGTTGCGTTGGCACACGTTAAGGTTACAGCTCGAGCCAAGAGTGAAGGCTGCCCAGTGGCTGACTTCGGCATAGGATGCAAGTGTTCTTCCTCGAACGCTGAATTATTGGAGGACAGTCATCTTGCTTGTCTTCCGCATGAGACCTTAAGAGCTTGCGGCCAGGAGGCTACGTCGGAAACAGTTCAAGCTTTGAGCTGCTGCTAGCGCAAGTGCAGCAGTGTTGGTTCGAGGGCGCCTTGTGTCGCTCGCGGACATAGCATCACGTTTGCGATACATCCAAGGTGATACATGGCGCTGTCTCAGTCACAGGTACGCGGTCGATGTCTTTGCCGACAGAATTGTGATACCTGGTACGTCCATGACAACATGGGACGCCGAAGAGGCCGCGGAGAGAGTGTTGCAATGCCTGGTGATCGATGACCTTCTGCATCGAACGACCGACGCGGGCATTCAAGAGGGACTCAATGCGTTTGCGAAATGCCTTATGACTAGGAATCAGCTAACATCAAGCTGGAAGATATGAGTAGGGCTATTGCACGCTGCTAAGGCTCGACGACGAAACATAGATAAAAGTTACAGACAGATATGATATTGTCCACTTGACCCAACATGTGTTTACCTTGGTTTTGTCCTCGCTTTCCGTACTCGAGATGCAGGTGGTGCAAGAGTCCTGGTCGCAGTGCTACTCCCTGGTACCTTGCCGACAGCTAAGTTGTCAATTAATGCCTGAATCCTGTTTTGTCTGGCAGCTAGACTTGCGAGCTCAACTTTGAGTAATACCAGGTACCTCTCACTCTTGCCCAAAGTGTCGAAAAATGACTTCGCAGCTGCATTGGCATCAAGTGCAGCTTGGAAGTCCGCCGGGACTGTCATGTTAGTAGGAGCAGAGTAAGCCCTCCCCCATCGCCCATCCGCCTTTGCCGCATCTATAGCTGCTTGTCCAGCAGGCCTCATTCGTCCTTCTTCAATCAGACGCTCTGCCAGTTTCACGTTTATCTGACTCCATGTACTCTTAGGACGTCGCGGCGTATACCGTGCAAGGTAGTAATCTGGTTCCTCTGGACATGAATTACCTTGTCCGTTGATCCAGCCGAAGCACAGCGCGACTTCTAGTGCCTCGGTAGTCGAAATGGATGGGATACTGGAGGACTTTTTGACGTGCTTAAGGTGGAGGCCGGGTATGGTCGCGTGGTGCTCTTCGAGATAGGACTCAAAGGCAGCGGCATTCGGGAAAGGTAGGATGGGAAGATCGTTTGGGGTCTGGGCTACGCGCTTCGATCGAGAAGTAAATGTAGTAGCCTGGCTCGATACCGGGTTCTTGGGTTTCGAAGCTGTTCTGGGCTTGTTAGTAGACCTGGCTCTGGCCCGAGTAACGGCCATCGTGTGGAAGTCGCGTGCGAATCTGCGACACAGGATAATGGGAGTCAATTTCAGTAGGAAAGGTTTGTCACCTTTGACGAGGATGAGCATGTGTCAGCAAGTTTCAACAATGGGCATTTTGTTGATAAGCAGAGTATGAGAATCAGAGTAGTATGGGAACGGTTCTTAAGCTGCTCGAGCTCTCAAGCGCGACGAGGGTCTACCGCACTACCACAAGTGTAACAGATTGTCATCGCACTCTCTCGAGGTGTTTCATTTGACGTGTCGCGTAGTCTGCATGCCGTCTGCCCTTCAGAATCATCTTTCAGGTATGAGCATTTGTACGTTCAGCCAAAAGCAGACGAAAATGCCTAATGGAAGAGATTGATGTATCTCAATGCCAAAGACGACCTGCTCCGGGTATTGTCTTCGACCACAACACTTGCCGGCTGAGAGCGGCGGGAAACACGTCTACTACGGCAACAATCTGTCGTAAATTTCTTCTTGAGCCAAAGTCGTGCCGAATTTGGACTACTGCGAATCAGAAGATTTGAAATGACGTAGTAGACAACCGAGGCGACCTTCGAGACCCTTCGCTCCTGCTCGTTCAAATGCGCAGCATCAAACTTATAAGCATAACACCTTCGTCTCGTATAGTAGTGGTTATATTGCAAACCTCATCTTTTGTCACTCAAAATCCTCGCCATCGAAACATTCTACAAAGTGGCACAGCCATTCAACAAGTCAGCACTACTCGTTCTCATAGTCGCATTCACAATCATGGCTTTCCAGATGCCTACCTTTTTGACACGCCTCATGCGTCCATTCACTACATCAATGTCGCGACCACTCGTACCCGATTCTTTGGCGGCAAAGAACTTTCCAGAAGGTAGTGAGCGCGCCATCGTTGCTGGTGGCTGCTTCTGGGGTCTTGAAGAGCTATACCGCAAGGATTGGGAAGGCAAGGGCATGCTCGACTGTAGAGTAGGTTACACTGGTGGTCAGACCGAAGCACCAGACTACAGAAGTGTATGCTCTGGCAGGACAGGTCATGCTGAGAGCTTACTGCTTGTCTACAACCCTCAGCAGGTGACATATAAACAGCTGATGGAATACTTCTTTAAGATGCACGATCCAACCACATTAAATAGACAGGGTGCCGATACAGGTACTCAGTACAGGTCTGCCATCTTCTACGTCAACGACGAACAAAAGAAAATTGCAGAGGAGATCAAGGAGAAGGTGGGCAAGGAATGGTATAAGGGCAAGCCGATATCGACTGAGATTAGAGCTGCTACGAAGTGGTATGACGCTGAGGATTACCATCAGGATTACTTGAAGAAGGAGCCTTTTGGCTATCACTGCCCAGCACATTTCGTCAGGAAGTTACCACCTTTGAGCTCATAGCGGAGAGCCTGGAAGTTTGGAGGTGGTAATGGTTGTATAGTAATATCATAGCTTTGAGCCTGCTTGATTGTACTCGGGCAGTTTATATGACAAACTCTGAAACCCTGTCTCTCTTCCATCTGCATTACAGATATTCCTTGCCTCACTACTATAGTCAAAACTATCGGCTTGCTGCGTGGTAGATTTGTCCTTCGAGCAACGGTCAGTTAGTCGCCTAACTTTCCTGTAGAGTTTGCCCTTTTTGTGATTCACGACGTGGGGAGTCATACGCGGTCCAACAATTTCATATAGTGCACTGAGGGTATAATTTGCTAGGCTAGGTTCACTCGTGCCAGACCGTGATATAGAAGTCAGACAAGTCTGCGAAACCTGGCTGAATTCCCCTCGTGCAAAGACTCAGTACCTCTTCGACCATGGCCGAGGACTTGACGGCGCAAGTCCTCAGCGCCGTAAACAGCGCCAATGGTCCAGTCTTGACCTCGAAAGCATTTCCAGACGCCGAATTCAACACGATCAAGTCAGCCATTGACAAGCTACGATCTCGTGGATACCTAGAAGCAAAACAAGTGGACCGTCTCGAGCTTGTGCCTACAGAAGAAGGCACAGCCATTGTACAACATGGCAGCCAGGAAGCACGAGTGTACAACGCAATAAAGGAGAAGGGAAAGGTACCTGTGAAAGAATTACCTTCTCTGATCGGAGATGCCAACGTCGCAAAGTTCGGCCAGATGGCTGCATTCAGAAACAAATGGGTAAAAAAGGACGGTGATATGCTAGTACCCCTGGTCGACTCGATAAAAGATGTGACTGGAGACCAACTGAAAGAGATTGCGGATAAGAAGACTTTGTCTGATTCCAAAGCAGCAGCGGACCTGAAGAAAAGAAAGCTGGTTACAGAACGAAAAGTTGTGACTTTCGAGATACAAAAAGGACCAAACTTCTCGACGGAGTTTGTGAAAGAACAGACAGACTTGACTGCAGAAATGCTTGCAGATGGTTCTTGGGAAACGATTAAGCTAAAACCATACAACTTCAAAGCAAAAGGTGCTCCAACACCATCAGGAGCACTACACCCTTTGAATAAAGTGCGGCAAGAGTTCCGGGAGATCTTCTTCGAGATGGGCTTCGAGGAGATGCCAACCAACAAGTTTGTTGAAACTGGGTTCTGGAACTTCGACGCCCTTTTTGTGCCGCAACAGCATCCAGCACGAGATCAACAAGATACTTTCTTTATTTCAGACCCTCCCAAAGCAGACCCGCCAAGAGAAGATCCTCCTTCACAAGTTTTAGAACAGTTATCGTTGTCAGATCCTAACCATCCAGATGCCTCGATAAATCCTTCGCAGAGACAACAGAACGGCCCGAAGGTAGATTATCAGCAATATTGGGAGAACGTCCAAGCAGTACATCAAGACGGCAAATATGGCTCAACAGGTTACAAATACCCGTGGTCGAAAGACGAGTCGTTAAAACTGGTACTCAGGACACATACCACGGCCATCTCAACGTACATGTTGAAAAAGCTAGCTGAGAATCCTAGACCAATACGATACTTCTCTATAGATCGAGTCTTTAGAAATGAGACTGTCGATGCTACACATTTGGCAGAGTTTCACCAAGTCGAGGGTGTGATAGCAGATTGGGGCTTGACTCTTGGAGGCCTGATAGGCTTCATGGAGGTCTTCTTTGCCAAAATGGGCATCACGGACTTGCGATTCAAACCTGCGTACAACCCTTACACCGAGCCGTCAATGGAAATCTTTTCTTATCACAAAGGTTTAGGGAAGTGGGTCGAAATTGGCAATTCCGGAATGTTCAGACCTGAGATGTTAGAGCCTATGGGTCTGCCAAAGGATATGAGGATATACGGTTGGGGCCTGTCCTTGGAACGTCCGACCATGATTAAGTGAGTCAACCTTGTCATTCATGTCTTAACGAGTCTAACAATGCTACAGATATGGCGTGTCGAACATTCGTGAACTGCTCGGTCACAAAGTTGACCTTAACTTCATTGAGACTAACCCTGCAGTGCGTCTCAACAAGGCCTAAAAGATTGCAACCTTATTTATGACGTGAGCACCACAACCCAGACATACAGCTCGCAAGTATTCGCGGCCGTGCCAATCCCTTCAAAAAGCTGCTGACGAAGCGTGCCAACGTTCTCAACCCGGGCCTCACGACCACAAACATACGGCTACTTACTTGTCGTTGGGCTCTCAAAAAGTCGGTTCGTTCCGCCACCTTTGAGTCCAGCACTCCGAATTTTACGTGTATGGAGGAAGCAATAGCGAGCGGCCGTTTACGCGAAGAGATCACTGACTATCTTCCGTGTCGTCGAGCAATTCCGCACGAAGCGTTATCACGGTAAATCATAGACTTACGATACCCATTTGACTATGTCTCCGGACGCACAATATGAAAGATCCAGAGCTTCGAAAAGTGCATCTGGCACAAGTTTCTCCATACTCGATTGACGTTCAGCTTGTTGTCTACTACAATCCTGCTAACTGACCGGCACCTCAAGGCTTCTTCAACTTTACTCAATAGATGAAGAGGTAGAGATTACTTCGTACTTCATAGCCGAAAATTAGCATGTAATGCACTAACCGTCTCTGATGAGCTGCAGGTCCAGAGAATACGGGCTGGAGCACAGATACGGGCGGAACATTTCTTGGACACCTGAAGCGGTTGATAAGCAGGAGAAAATGATGGGCATTGTCCTGTGATGCGATCGTGAAATTGGAGTGTAGCCACTGCCTTGCACGCGCATAATTTGTTGCTCGCAACTCTCCTAACATCGTAATTTCTTGAATTTGTATTTTCTTCGCATCTATGCCACTGCCGTGATTTAGAGCAAGTCATAATTTTGTAGGAGTGTCTCTGGTCCTCTGGAAATAGCAACTTCACCTTTGAATAACCACGGAGATCTCTTGGGGCACCGAGCAGAGTCCGTTTCCTCGGTCAGAGAAGGCCACATAGCTCTCTGTCCTGATCTCAGACACTCATCTGCCACGTAATCGCGTTCGTTTCGTGTTTCCAGTCGACTTCTCGATCATCGCATGGCATACACGATCCGCGTTCTCCATCCCCTTTCCCTTCTCTCTCACTCAATCCCAAACAACATCTATCTCGTCTGCTGTCCGCTCCAGACACTCTTCAAGAACCCATCCCTCTGAGCCAGTCTGTTCATCGAATCGTCGCTCTCAGCCCGTGATCGCACAAAGCCGCAGAGGGCATAGGTCTGGTTCTCGCCTGTGTATCGGCCGTTCTCGTCGACTTTGCCAACGGAGATTTGGACTGAGGCGTGGTCTTTGGCTTTGATGATGCGGTTGGTTGCGCTGCATTTGCGGGGGACGTAGCTGATTGACCGTTAGTGATTTGTGGAAACTTGGGAGGTACAGCTCTCGAGAAGACATTGTGCGTATGGTAAAAGTTGTCGCAATGGTACGGATGTATTGGTGGTCTCTGTGGACTTACAGATCGACAATCTCTCCCTTCTCGTTCTCCATTTTGGCTGTGTTTGCGGGTAGGTTTACTTGGTGTCTTCGAAGGTAGTTTGAGAGTGTATGGATGTCGCAAGCAGTTCAGTCGTACGTGTAACTCTTGGTGGGTTGATACAGACAAGCGGGAAATTTGGGAAGTGCGGTCCCGTCGCCAAGAGTTTGGGTGCCTGAGGCAGATAGACGCTGCCTCCTGCTCCTTCCTTTTGATCAACTACAAACTCCGGAAAAGTACGTTCGAGTTTATGAAAGGGTTCTCTCGCATAGCAGTTTGTTCTGGTCTGAACGACTAAGTACTAATTGCAACTTGCTTCTCACCAGGATATTACCATGCAGTCCAGATGATGCCTCATCACTCCCTGAGTGTTTCTCCGAGGAACACAATTTCGCTTGCCTTATGAGAGCACAAGCCGCAGTCCTCGATGTTGTGACTATGCCACACACTGGTGTTTCAGTGCTTCGCGTACTCTGTGGATACAAGCCATGTAGCACTCAGTGTCGATACTCACACTGGAGCTTCTGCCCATCGCCCAATCGTCCACACAATGCCTCACGGATTCACCCACTGACTGCCAATCCATGACTTCCATGTCTAACGCTGACTCATCGTCTAACTGCCTTTTGCTTGTGATCTTCGCGTTCAGATCTGCCATGTTACGGCATCTCAGAGCTAGCAAGGACCTAAACTCTTCAGCGCCATGTTGTTGTGGCGAGTTGATCTTTATGGTAGGTGGGTCGAGCTGAGAAGACTCGGGCTTTCAGTATCAGGCGAGCGTGCTAGAAACTGGTGAAACTGGTGAAACTGGTGAAACTGGTGAAACTGGTGAAACTGGTGAAACTGCTGCATGAAAGAAGAAAATGGGAAGGATGAATTGGCCGGAGCAGAAAGTTCAGAAAGAATGACACTCGATTCCAAAGTTGTCTAGAGGGCATGACTCTGTATAAACACGTACTGAAACATTGACTCGATTCTAAAAATGTCGTTGCCACGACTTTTTAACTCAAGCAGAATCTGCATTATCGGTACTGCAAGTAGCTAATCATCTATGGGCTATGCTGTTTTTGACTAAGGAGGACGTACTCTACCTGACTTCCTCTTTCTCCGCTGCCCTACAGTAGTAAATGTTTCTCTCGGCTTCTCCCAGTACCTAGATCGTACTCGGTTCCTGTCCATCGCAGATTGCCATGTTCGTCAATCTGGAATCTCTGGATGAGACTGCGTTCGCCTTTCAGTTCAGCCAGCCATGTACCATTCTCTAGGCTAGTAGCCATCTCCCGAAGATATTGTCCCGTAAAGTTCCAATCGATCTGAGGGGCTGAATCTGCAACTGGAGCTTTTTGTGAGTTCATCTTGTGCAAATATTCTTCTGTGGCTTCTTGCTTGGCAAACTCCTGTATCAGAGGGTTTCCCACTTCCACATTGTGCGAAGGGGAAATTTGGTCAATGGCGTTTCATGAGTATCGAGACTTGCGAATGGGGGATACAAGCCCGCGTGTCTGTAAAAACAGCGCGAGGGTCATCATAAGCGATTGCGCGACACTGTAGTAACATAGTCATAGTCAGCGCTGTGTTTGATTTCATGCGAACCTCGAAACTTGTTCCTTTCTCATACTCACATTCTTCTGGGAGAAACCCATCAAGCAAGACAGCTGTCTCCATGTGTCGGCACAGGTAGAACCTGAAAAGACGCGTGAGCAGCGTTTTGGAAACCTCGTCTAAGTCTAGGGCATTGATGCGCCTACGAAAATCTGCCAAGTAATCGAGATGACTGCGGGATTCACCAGCAAGCCTCATTGTAGGAATTCTCAGAGCTTTCGTTGCTTCAGTTGAGAAGCAATCCGTCACTGCTGCTCTGATTAGAGCACTTCGTATGCTTAGGTCTGCCACACGAGTCCTCAATAGCGCGACGAAGACGATAAGACAACTCGCTATCCTCATTACTTGTCTGACTCTTTCAGTGTCCAGAAGACGAACAAGCCCGTCAGATAACGAGTCGGCTTGAGCTTGAAGACTGTGAAGCAAGTTCAACTGTGCAGGCAGGTTGATCGAGATCACTGGCCCAAGTTGAAACAGAACTGGGAACTGCCTCCGAGCAGTCTCAACCTGATAGGTCGCGTCCTCGAGGTTTTGCGCGAAACGCTTACTGACGTTCTTCAGACGTACGAACTGTGCTGATGAATACGGTACGAAGCTGAGGATATTGAGTAGTATCTCATCAGGCACTGTGTTAATGCCAGTGGTTGCTGATTTGAAAGGCCCTTCATGAAGAAGAAGGTAGGCTTCTTGAGACTCAAGGTTTGCTTGGTTGACTGTATTTCCAATTTGTGTAAAGACTTGGATCTTTGAGTAGTGTACTGACTTTTGGCGGAGGTTGAGTGATGGCATTAGGCAGCCTCGGAAAGGTGGAATGGTTTGTACGAGGTCTATGCGGGCCAGCCTCAAACCACGAGAATGTTTGTAAAGTGACTGCAAGTGATGTATAGCTCTATAGAAGGGGGCAACCTATACCCAGCAATCGTGAGCATAACGTACTGGAAGCTGGTCGTTCTTCTTTAGAATTGGTGGGAAGCCCAATATGCTCTAGGGATACCTGAGGATATGTCGACACGCTTGAGATACACCACCTTCCCTCCCTCCAATTCTTCTTGGGCACATCCTTTTTGAACGCGTTGAGCCAAATCCCTCAGACTCTCTCCTGCACATTTCCAGCAGGCCAGGTTCTGAAAAACAGTACAGTCATCCCCGGTTTCAGCAGACTCTAAGATTTCCAGCCAGATCAGCAGCTCTCGATTTTCTAACAGTTGGCGAGAGACCACAACTTCACCCCGGTGCTCTTCGACACCACCCGAGTCTTGTAATCGTGCCGCAAGATCCCAACAACTCAGGAGGCAACATTGCAAGCCATTCAGGTACCCTAGTTGAGTGGCGGGGTTTGTTGCTGCTAGAGGTATGCCAAAGACCCTAAGAATGGTATGGCGGAAAGTGACCATATGAAACTTCATACGCATCATGAGGTCGATCCTGCTATCTTCAGAAGCAAAAATGTCGGCGAAGTCGTGGACGACATCCTCACACAGAATAGCAGCCTCAAGCGCACGCATCCGTATCACTTGATTCACGTCACCTATCACGATAGACACTGCCCTAAGTTTGTCTTCATGTTCATCTGTAACCTGTCCTGTTAGAATTGGCATCTCGAATTTGGCAAACGAGCCTTCGACCTCTTGCAGGAACTCGGTAGTACGTAGCATTGTGAGGCGAAGAGCCATGGCAATATCCGTCCGCAACAGCCTGGCCGTTGTCACTGTCAGTGCACAATTTTGTACGGAGTCTTTGCTGAGTAGGCTACAGAAGTACCGTAACAAGTGAATGCCAGACCACAGGTAAAGCTTCATTGTGTCACCATCGTCTTCTCGGCTGAGCTTCTCAAAAACTTCGTCGACGGACTGCTGCTTGACAGCAAGACCATACATAACGGCAGGATCCGGTGTCTTCTGAAAATCTTCGATGGCAGCAAGAATTGGGAATTGCTGTCGAGCAACCTCGATCCGGAAGGAACGTTGGTTGACGATGTCCTGCAATCGACGACAGACATTGCTGAGATCCGAATATTGTTCAGCTGAACAAGGAACGAAGCTGAGGATCTTGGTGAGTAGTTCGTCAGGTAGGGATTGAGGTCTCTCCCGTGGAGGGCATTAGCCATGATCAATTCTGGTGGTATATGGTCAATCGTTTTGGTAGCACTTAATTGTAGTGGAGGTCGTTGGTGCAGATTGCTTGGTGGATTTGACCGTATCTGTAGAACGTCAGGAAATGATCGAAGACGAACTGATCCGCAGATAGACAGGTATTCGATCTGTATAGATGATAGAGATAGCTGCTGCACTTTGATTAGAAGTAAGGTATTGATCTCGCAGCCGGCCGACACAGTCGCTGAAGTGACAGTGGGTCCATGTCTGTATAGCTGTAAGTGAAGCATTCTTGAAACAATTCCTGACACTTGATCACATCGATTCAGGCTCACTTTCACTTCTCAATTCGACAACACGAAAATTGTCACTGCACCCTTCATAATTGCTAACAAAGATTGCACTTCAGCTCTATATATACCTGCTTGAGATGGCCAGCCATCTCAAGCTGGCCATCTCAAGCAGGCTTAGGCTCGTTGCATTGTCAAAGAAAATCAATCTCACATTCGCGTAACGTTTCAAAAACTGAGCGGAACCCGCAGTTATCATGGTCAAGCAAACGTGCAAGAAGAAAGTCAGGATCGATGGTAATTGAACTCAACACGCGTCGCGCCTTCCACGCTCAGTTCCTACAGTACGCGACATTCCTCGATGATGTGGGTATGGCATCCTTGAGGGGCTCTGCCGGGCCACTGGGTCGTGTCTGCTGTTTTGGTCGCCGGAACACTGCTGACGAGAGTGAAGGAACGTGTGCATGTAAACAGCGTCACTGCTTGTACCCTCCTCACGACGATCCGCGGGAGAAGACTCCCGGCGAAGCACGAGGTACCTAGCAGGAACAATGATGGCTGCTTCGCTTGACCGTACTTGGGCCCATTTCATACTACGACGTGGATGATCCCTCACGAATGCCGACGTTGTGGTACATTGACAAGAACGAGCTTTTGCTTAGGCGAGAACTATATGTATGGACATGCAATGCCATTCAATTTTCCGGACATCCAATATGCTATGTAAAAGATTCGCACGCTAAATGCACACTTCATTTGTGTCCGCACAAAATAATATGTAAATGTCGTTGCTTCGTGATATCCAAGCCAAAGTCTTCGTGTTCAAACATCGTCATGGAAAATTATCTTATTCTTCATTGTGTTTCCTTCTCTTGTCGCCGCTCGGTATATACATCCCTCAGTCTCTGAACCGACTCCAGCGCTGACTTCCATCTGGTGTGACTGCACTACTACCATTCCAGGCTGGAGACCAAGACGAATTCGAGCTCAGAACTGGTGCTTGTTGTGCTTGTTGAGTCTCCTGGGTCGGTCGACTTGGCTGATAGCCATACTCGACAGTGCTCAACCGCGGTATTTGTGCTTCATGTGGACTGTATCGAATGTTGTCGCTAGCGCGGTGTTGGCTCACAAAGCCGACACTCCCCGGCCGTTCGATTGATGCTCTAGGGGGTCTGTTCTCTACCTCGTCTGAAGGTGGCTCGTCCGTATAGCTGGATGCATCTGATATAGCTGCGGAATGCCTCCTGTTCTGTTGAATGGACGACGTCCGCGTAAAGGGTAGACGTTGCTGACCGGATGTCGAATAGTTTGAGTCCCTGTTCGAACGAGTAGGGCTATCTAATCTTGCTGTAGTTCGACTTGGCGACTGCAACTCTCCTTGCCAGGAAGCAGGGCTGGAACCTCTGCGTGAACTTTTGCGAGGAACAGGAGGCACTGGTGGGACATCCTCGTCAACAGGTGGAGGTAGCCTGCGCGAGGCCTCGGAACCGACTCGACTTGGTAGCTCAATACCACCCACTGAATCGATATAAGGTAGTGCAGGGGCTTGAGCCGGTGCTCTTGGAATCGGGCTCATCCACGATTCTCCAGCTGTCGAGAACGAAACAGCGTCGTCCTCGTGTGTCCTGCGTCGCTCCAAAGTGCGGCGCGCAGCTGCATTACCCTCTGGCGCTTGCACGGAGTCCCTGTAAGTGAGCTCCTCCCCAGCTCCCTCCTCATCCACAGGAGGCGGAAATGTACCTGGAGGCGCTTTTGCACTTCTTACGACCTCAAAGCCTTTGGAATTCTCTTTCGTCTTACCCCTAAGCATACCTTTGAACCAGCCTCGAGCGGAGGATACACGACCTGTAGGATCTGCAGGACCTGTTTTCATCCTCCTTGTACCGCCTGAGCCGGATAGTGCCGGCCCACGAACGCCATAATAGAAGTCGACTTCGCGCACTGCGTAATCAGTCTTGCTCTTGGTTAGCTCGACCCCATCCTCGTCGTATTCGTCCCCGTCTTGCCTGTTATGCGAAGATCCTTCACCCCTATCGTCGATTGCGTCTTCTGTCACAGCGATCTCTTTCTGGTCTTCGTTCGATAAGACTGGCCTGCCAGCTGCTGTCATGAAGTCATTTGTATTTCGGCGTGGAGGTCTATAGTAAGGATCCCGCGGCTCTTTGTTCGACAGCCCTACCAATCCACCTGGAGATGCTAAGGTTCTACTCAGTCTGGAAATCGTGCTCATGCCATCAGGTGTTTGTCGTCCCTGGCTTGAGCCATCCGGACCTTGACTTGCTCGCTTCATCCTAGTGTCGTCGAGCAGGAAGTTCGAGCTTGCCGATAGGCTTCGGCTGCGTGTCTGAGTCATGGCCATTGGTGGTTTTTCGGGAGAAGCAGCGAGCATATGGGCGTTCGATCCCATCGATGACCTGTGACCAGGATCAGGGTTTCTGCGTGCTCGCCGTCGTGAGAGTTGTCTCATGCCGAAAACCTTGACCAGACCACCTCGAGCGGCATCACTGCCACTGCTTCCACCTGCTCCAGCAAGCCTGGCGACGACTTCCACCAGTGTCTGTAGGGCATTCAAAAAGAAGCCAAAAATGATCACACAGGCATGTATGAGCAGTATAACATAGCCGATCCAGCCACGGGTGGCGGTAGTGATATCGAGGGTCGGAACGAAAGCGATAGAGAGCAGAATCGTGAAGAGCCGGGTTGAGGAGAAACAGGTCTGGTACAGGTTCATGGAAGTGGTAGACGCATACGGACGGATGATATTGAGTGAGAGAATCATGGTAACCTCACATATCGCAAGCAGAACGAGCTGGGCGATTCCGGAATCTTGGATTGCACCAATAGCAATGCCACGTAAAAAGTTCACGAATATTGGAACTAGTGCAAAGGTCGCAGTATCGTCTCGATATGTGTTGTAGAGAGGTCCGTACAGGAGCACGGTCTGTAAATCGTCAAACAGGAATGATTTTGGCCGAATGCGAATAAACTGATAAGTCATCCAGACGGCAAAGGCAATAACAAAAGCGAGCACCAAGGCTGCAAGCGCAACAGCATAGGTCGGGCCTGATGATGCAATGATGAACTGGAACATGGAAAGGGCGACCAGCGGCAGAAGGAAGTAGCCCAGGGCTATGCGCACAATGTTTCCGAACGAGAAGTACCAGTTCTTTGATCTCAGATCTTCTGGCGCGACATCCTTGACTTGGCGGTAGATCCATCTCAGAAGGAAACCAACTTGAGTAAGGACTACCACAGCTGTCATGATGACCACGAGCCAGACCATCATGTCGGCCCATGCATCAGTTGGTGAGGTCATGCCAATAAGTTGTGTCATACGATCGAGTCCTCGAGTCGAGTTGCGGCGATAATGATAGATCCCGTCAGCAATAGCTATAGTACCATTGCCACCAGTGACCAGGCTTTCGTTGAACAGCAAAGTAGACCATCCAAGCCTACTGACTACGGGCTGATAGTAGCCAGGGTAGTGTAAACTAAGGCTGCCACTGAAGACAATAAATTGGATATACTGAAGGCAATCGCCGAAACCAGGAGTGACCAGTCGTAGTACATCCTCGTCCCGACCATAATTGCTAGTCCAGCGGAAGATGTCGATAGTGCCCCAGGGACTGAACATAGCGGCAGATATAGTAGCAACACCAATGACAATGAGGAGACCCAGAGGTAGGTACGTCAATAAATGTTTCAATCCGCTCCCTAGGTCGGGAGTAATGTATGCATTGACGCAAGCGTAAAATTGGGCGCGAGAAGAGCCAGATTGGATTCTAGTGTTTGCCTCGATTGTGGAAAATGAATAAGATGAACCCAAGTCATGTGAGGTAAAGTAACCAGGTAGATCCGAAATCTGTGTACTATTGCGACCAAAAGCAGGACCAAGTGGGCACTCTTCATTGACTGTTTCGTCGCAGAAGCGTGTGGGATTTGCAGTGTATGGGTTGTAAGTCAGGACGTTGTAGGAAGAGAACAACGTCGTGTACTTCGTCGCGTCATCTTCCAAGTCCACGATCTTTCCAAAGGTATTATTGGGATTGTTCCAGGACGGATCGTCCGCTGATGGATATGTACCATTGTATAGTTGGCCAGTGACATTGCCGTAGACGGTCACATTGAGTATATTTTGTGTGCCATTTGCCTGTAAAATAGCTGTCACGTTCAGAGGTACGAATTGCAACAATCGTGGATTAGACGTTATTATGGCGCTGTCAAGGCAGTTTGTGAAATCGACAAAAGCAGCTTGTGCAGTGGCTGCGACCAGAACCCATATGCTTACAAGAGCATGTATTCGCGACGGAAATCGGGAGTAGAGCGCCATCGTTTATGCGCAGGCCGCTTTGACCAAGTCCCGCCGTGAGAATGTAATACCCTGATCTTCCTGTCTATGAGCGCATTGCCACGCTATCTTAAGCACTCATCGAAAGGAAGCCCACAACGGCTCAATTGTAAGCAAGCGCAGGCCGAAGCGCACACCAGTCTGGGGTATCAAGCGACTGTTGCTGTGAGTATGAATTGAGAACTCAAGGTTTTGCGTAGAGAGGGTCGTAACAGGCCACGTCAAATTTGTTGTCACACGATACTGGTAGTCGTCGCTGCACGCTGAATGAAATAAAGAGCTGAGCCGAGGAATTCGCTAAACGTCAGATATGATAATGGTGTCACTTCTAGCGATGATTTCTGTCTTCTCTTGTTGTAAGAATGCTGCTGAAAACGAAGCCTCTGACAATGCAAATAGCGAGTGACTAAGCGAGTATAGATGATGAAGATGCCACGAGGAGAAGTCCCTGCGGTAAAATCTGCTGCCGACTCAGAGAAATCGCGAGCCAGGCCAGACATGCATAGAAAAGCAGAGCGGCAGCTGCGGGATAGCGCGCAATCGCGTCCTCGAGGGTTCCATCGACACCGTCTGAAGCTCAAGAACTCTGCAGGACGAGGCGCAGCTGTTTGGCTGCTGGGATGAGCTAACGCCAAACGGTCGTGGTGCAGTCTTTAGGGGTTTCTTAAATGTGCCAATTGTGGTCTTGCTTGCCTTATTGTGGTGTAGCTCAACAGTTTCTGCACTAGCGAAACTTTAGCAGTTCTCTTAACAATTGTTGCATCCGGTCAGCCGCTCTATATCTATATCTGGCACACAAGGGCGACATTGTTTTTCGCGGTGAGAATTCGCCATTCGACGACGATAGGTCCTCGAGTGCGATCGATTGGATGTTCATGCCGACTTTTGTGTGGCACCAAACAGACGGTAAAAATCATCATCATCGATGTTTCGTCATCGTCGCATACTTTTGCTCAACAAGCATGGCGTTGCTGGGGACTTTTATGCCGAGCCTAGCCTTGTGGGACGTAGTGGGGCATCCAAGTAGGGGAGGCGAGGAGCAACTCCGTTGTTGGCTGTCCTCTCGTCTTTTGTGCCGTTACATGGCAATGAGGCGCAACATAAATAAAGCCGATGCTTATCCATATGAGATAGTTCATCCCGTGCTTGCATCGAGAAGAATCCATTCATACAATACGAGTGAAGAAAGACGCGTCTTGTCCCGGCCTTGCAATTACAGTTTGCTTGCAGACTGCTTTGCCGGTCTCACTACAAATTCAATGCGAGGAAAGTGCAATCGAATCCCTTCGATACGTGCCTTCGTACCTTCCTTCCCTACCACCCCTGGTTTATCTGGCTCAATCACAACTTCTTCGGGTGAAATACCCACCAACGTCCCTACAGTCGGATCCCACTGACCTGTATCAGCTGGTCGGACAGAGGCTTTGGCACCTATTCTCAGACCATTTTGCTCCTCGAGATGCTGCAGTTGCTGGTTTGGAGTTGGTAACAATGGCACCTCGTCGCTTCTCTCACTCTCTTCGAGCTTGCTCAGTAGCTCCTCCAAGCCTTGCTCGTCTTTCTGCTCTATTCGTGTCTCATGATCAGGTAGACTTTCCACGTGCTTCTCGAATCTATGAAACCAGTCCCATACTCCTGGGTATCTTTCCTGGTTGAAGACTTCGCTCGCTCCTCGTCCAGTGCCGTCCTCGATTTCGCCACCAGTCAGATTGCGAATGCCATCACCGCGACTGATCTTCTCTCCCCAGTCGAGCTGGTAATAGAATCCTATATCGATCGCACTCGGTTCTTTGCCTCCCAATATCCATCTGCCCTGCTTGTTGATTCCTGCGAAAAGCGGCTCAATGATGCTCAGAAAGGTATCCAATCCAGCCAGGTTTAACGACACTTTCCCCTCCAGTTTGTCTGGGTCCAGTTTATGGCCAATCAATTCAGCTCTATCAGTGCCAAAATGACTCCTCCATACCACGCTCGGAATCAAGCCTGTTGTCAATCTGAATAGTGGCCGATCAGTAACGTATGAAGTCAACAGCCTCGACAATACCCTCGTGCCCGCATCCTCATGGAGTCTGCATATCGTCCCGTCTCTATCATGTGCCTGTATTGCTGGATGCGAGTCCAGCCATTCCACGATCAAGCTCGTATCAGCAAAGACTTCCTTACCTATTGCCAGTACTGGAATTTTACGGTAGGTCAAATTGAAGTTGTTGACCAGTATCGGTCGAGGCATCATACTCGGTACCAGTACATATGTGTATGGGATTCTCATTAGACGCAATGCAAGCCTGACCTTTTGCGTAAAGGGTGACGAGTCGTAGCCGAACAGGGCTATGGGTGGACGCTTGACAGATGCCATTATAGCTGTGTGTATGGCTGTTTCCCACTGGTGCGTATCGTGAAAGCTCGAAGAGTTTACAACAGAGTGAAGTCAAATTCGAGGTGTTGCTGTGGGGAAATTTCGAGCCTATCGACGAGCCGTGGAGTTGGGGTCTAGCTTTCGATGACTTCCGTGGACATAGCTAGGTGCGACAATGAGTCCGATATCACAGCTCGCTACCATCAATATCGCTGGCCTACATTGTGGTGAGCTGTATGTAAACCTTACAAATGACGGCCTTTCAATTGAAAGCATAGCTTGCCTTGAGCTTCGCAAGCCATTGGAGAAAGTCTTGTTTGCTTGTACAGCATATGGTTGTATACATTTTCGAAACAGGCTCGCTGTAAAAGGTCAAATTTGCCGGTTTACACATGCATCTGACGTGCAGCGATAGGCAACGAGATTTTCCTAACTGCGCTCAGCAAACAACTACAATTTTATTCTGTTCGATATGTTTACTTTCGTCGGATGAAGTTTGATCACGTTTCCTGACTTACGAGTCCTTCATAGCCCTAATAAGCAACGACGCTGTTGATGTCTACAGAAATGCAAGGCGATATGATCATAGAATTCTCTGCTGTGAATGTAATACATCTAATGCCAGGTAAAGTCTCTTTTGCATCAGCTGCAATACTGCACTCATCAGCTTGTCATTACTCCGCTCGAACATCAAGCAATAGTCAATTCTGAAAGCGCACAGCTATCCATCCGAGATGGAGGCACTTCAAAGTGGTCATAGCGATTAGCTACCTCACCTTGTAGTTGCTGCTTATCCCAGCTCCTGGTGTACTGAATGAGGGCCTTCATCAATGGTACGCCTCAAATCAGTGTTCACTCTGAGGTAAGGGCTTCCCAGCCATCTCGCAGTCTGCTACAGAGCACCATCCTCGAAGCCAGTCAGGTTCGCTTCCCTCGCATACTGCAGCGGCGTACAACGTAGCTGGCAACACGAGGCTAGTAGCGCGGCATGTGTATGGTCAAGCTTCATTGTCGCATGTAGAGATCTGGCTATCGAACTGTTCCAAGTACGATGCTGCGATGAATCAGAAGTGGAATTGCTCATAGCGTACGAACCGGACACCAATTCCGGTTGGCATGTGGATGCTAGGACTAGCTCCTAATCTCTAGATATATGCAATCAGTAAGTTTGTCCTTAGGAAAACACGCACCTTCACATTTGAGCTGGCAACACGAAAGAGTCGTAGTCAGGATTGCAGAAGTCATCGCGCTTTCTGGCTCGTCACATCAGCAATAATCAGGGAAGCAGAGATCGTATTGCACGAATTGCCTGCCTGGAAAACAACAGGTAACAATGCAGTGCTTCGTATTCAGCAGCTCGATACACGCCAGAGTCTCGCACGAGCTCAAAGGCTTCACTTTGATTTCTTGCATATTCACGTAGGAGACGCGTCCGTAGAGCATGACGAGCGCTACGCAAATGCGACTGCGACCTTGAGGGCAAATTTAAGGCCTCCCGACCAGAGTTGATACTTTACCCTTGCTGCACACATCCGTCAGTTTAACAGCAACGAAATGATCCTGCATAAAATGACACAACGAGCATGCAAGACCGCCAAGGTATCTGCAGCATGCATATTCAAAGCATCATCACTTGGAGGTTATCAACGCCTGCCAAGGAGCGCTCCGGGAGGCTTATTTCGAGAAGAGCAGCCTTGCCCTCCGAGAGCAACGCTCATGAACAGACGGTAGATCAGCATGTCCGGGCTCCGCTCTAGATGACTTATCCTAAATTCGACGCGGACTCCGTCAGATTGTCATTTGTTCAGGTATAGAATCGCGAGTTTTTGAATCAGCAAGTGCAAACAGTAGAGTACGATGCACTCCTCAAACGGTGCCTGCTTGTTATCAATTGCGGTCTGAGATGCATATGTACCAAAAGTGCATTATGGTTGAGCATGAAGATCAATCACAACAAAGGCACCGACGGATGATGATATTCAGCATATACTTTGACTAGCTTGCAGTTAGCGTCTACCGATGATGATGATCATTGCCGTAAACCCGTCTTATGGTGCTGTCGAGTTCATGCTATTTCGACGTGCCGCCAACTCACAGATTGGCCTAAGCATTAAACAAATTGAATGTGGCTGTTGAGAAAGTGCTGCAACTTTGTTCTCGATGAGGTGCACTAAGCAGGTTGTGCTTGCCTGTGGCGATGCAATCTGCAATACAAGCTGCTTTGACTTCGCGAAGTCGTTTCTCGGTAATGGCAGAGGTCACCTTGAGCAGAGCAAATCTACATTGGTCGTTATCTCAGAATAACTGTTCCATATCGTGCATTTACATTGTGCTGCAGCCACAACGGGCTTCCGTGGTGCGATTCCCTAACCACAGTCTGGGCATGATCCCCACTGACAGCTGCCAAGGATGCTTCGATTGGCTTGTTTCGTACCTTGCACTAATGAAACCAGGGTCGTTATTGGATCTCCGCAAAATGCAAATCGTTTCTTCGAAGAGCGTAGTCCATCTGTTCTCAATGTCCGTGGCTGTATTGTCAGAGTCGTTGTTTGCACCTTCCAATTTTTGTTGGTTTGCGATCAGCTTTGAGAGACGCCATTGTACTACCCAGTGGTTAGAACTCGAAAGGAAAGCCAGGCTTTCCTCGCACACCATCGTGCATAGTCTCGTGCGACAATTCGTATTCTTGCGTTAGAATTTGTCGTATACCAATTCCGCATTCCCCACTGGTCGATTACTGCCCTATCGAGCATGACGAAATTCCCGGACTGTGGACCTCTTATCGACGACAAGACCAATGAATAGTATTCGCTTTTCTGCATTACCGTATTACAGGATCATTAGTTCCCCGTTTACGATAAGCGTTTCTTCTGCCAAGTTTGGTACTCCTTGTTGATAATGACAGGGTACACAAAACAGCAATGTGCTAGACTGCGCATGGTGTCAAAGTCAAAGATCAAAGCCGTCAGGGTATTCTCCGGTCGGGCTTCCAGTGACGGGATCTGACCAGGGTGTTGCAGTTTTGGGTCTAAGAACAAATGACACGATAAAGTGTTTAAGACGTCTGTCTTGGTTAGAGCTTGATTGTTCGTCCGTATTCCTGGTGTAACTTTATTACTGTATGACCTTGTTCGTCAGCTCATCACATACTTGCTTATAGTACAAGGAACTGCCTCATACCTGTGCAACCTGAAAGATATATTCTTAGACTGACACCTGGGGTCGAAGAGTTAGCTCCGAGACATATAACGGTTGCCCACCTTACATTCAGCAGCAAGAACTTTGACTGTCGACTTTCTGAACAAAGAGGTTAGAAGTTTCCGAGATGGGTCATGCAGCATCGAAACCAGACCCGAACGCAAAGTTCAGAGTCATCGGAGCAGGTCTATCCAGGACCGCCACCACCTCCTTTGGCGCAGCCCTGACAGAGTTGCTGAACGGTCCTTGTCACCATGGAGGTACGCAGTTGCTTTGCTCCGATGAGTCAGTGATCAAGAGATGGATAGAGGTTTTCCGGAAGACACCCATCAAGAACGATGAAGACAAGAAGGTAGTACATGCCGAAATCAAGTCCTTGATGGACGGCTTTGTTGGCTGTACCGATCTGCCAGGAAATGCAGTCGTTGAAGAACTCCTAGAGATATATCCTGATGCTATTGTCATCTGCACAGTCCGTGATCCGGAGAAATGGTGGGAATCGATTCGCCCGATCGTCGAGAATGCCAACTTCACAGTACTGTCGTGGATTCTTGCGCCCGTCCCACGGTTTAGATGGTTTCGAACATATCACGATGCGCTAGATGATGGCAATTTTGGACAGGCTCACTTCAAGCCGGGTGAGCCAAAAAAGCCTTCGAGAGTGACGTACGAGCGACACATTGAATACCTCAAACGAGTAGTACCAAAGGACAGGTTATTCTTCTTCGACGTTCGAGATGGTTGGGAACCATTGTGCCAGATGCTCGGAGTACCAGTACCTAAAGACAAGCCATTTCCAAGGCTCAATGATGCTGCTGCCGTCGAAGGAATAATGAAAAGTGGCATCAAGCAGGGTATGATGACTTGGGCCGGAATTGGTGTGACTGCTGTCGCTGGTCTATATACTGGATTGCGCATGGCGAGAATTTTTTGAAGTGATTCTGCCAGACATTTTTCTCAGTTTCGAGGAGTTTGGCCAGACCTATGGCGTAAAGGATCATGGAACAAGGCGGGTAGGATGATATGATGGCTGTGGTAGATGGCGTCCTGAGGAGTTCAATAGACCAGGCTCGTGCATATATGCTGTCAAATTTGGTACAACATTAATAAGTGCGCAGGCTTCGCTTCAATTTCATGGTTTCTAAATTGTCTCGCGAACGATCGCTTTCTGCGTCTTTGCGTTCACTGGATCAAAGTATAAAGCGGTCGTCAGCATTGGTTTTTGATGGTAACAGTGTCTATGGACAATTGAAACTGTCAGTGAGAAATGCTTTAGATTGAACAGTAAGGAAGAGCAAGACGACTCATAAGTGCATATCGCTACATATGATGTACCATACGAAGAAGCCGACGAGCCTAGATTACAGCCGTTGCGCCAAGATAGCGGTTGATCGCGCGATGGATGAAGGTACTCGTACGGACAAGTTTGCACCCATGCGATATCCATAATGGAGCAGCGCAAACAAGAAGGTCTTCTGTTTGAAGCAACTTGGTCAAGAAACGTATTCGACGAACCAGATCTCCGGTGCGATTGCAGAAGGAGCGAGGGCTCTCTGCACATACGAAATGTTTGCCCGCGCATTCCATCAGAGCGGCTGATGGATTATATGGCGATTAAATTATCCACAAACCCCAGCACACTTCACCTTGATGCAGCAGACAATGCGATCAGCGTGGAGATTCTACAACATTCAACCATACACGAAAGTGGATGTAGCCTCAACCAGCGGGAGGTCGACGGGAGCACAAAGGAGAGCGAAACGTCGAGTACGAACAAGGGTTAATAGACAGGCTACACTATCGGACCCAGATAGATCGATTTCAACATGTTCGAGCTGTTATCGGAAGTTCTCTGCTCCTGTTGCATGCTAGCAGGCCTGTGTGGAATATACAAGAATATGCAGGGCCACCAGTATCGTCCGCTCTTCCAGTTCGTGCCGATGAGCCGTCTTGCTTGTTTTCCAGCATATAGCGCTAACAGATAAGGCTGTCACACATGCTTTGGCCAGCTCTTGGAATGGTGCCTAGCTTCGCCCATTGATCGTGTCGTCGCACGTGCTCATTTTTTCTTCTTGGAGACTGTCTGCCAACCATCCTCATCAACCTTGACCTTCGAAACAGTACTATGGCGCTTTGGAGCAACCTGGTAGTCGGAAGGCGTTATGGATAATCTACCCGAAGTCTCGCTGGAGACGGTGTTCGAACGCATCGAGCGCGAGCTCGCGAAATTCCGGCCAGTGCCGTTACTGCCAATGAAATTGGCATGTCCAGGTATCTGTGAAACGAGATGCAAATCTCGCTCACAAGGATCGTGAGAGTAGCTAACTTTCACGCCCTCGTAAGGATGCTTAGATGTCCGGCTGTACTGGTTGAACTTGTCTTTCACGAGTTTAGCTAGAGGAACTGCCGAAAACACGACCGTGGCTGTTATGCGTTAGTACCACTACATCACCAAGCAGGTAACACATACCATTTCCTGTATTGAAAAGCCAGAGTAATTCGATGTTTGATGCTCCCACGATCTGCTCAACGTCATTGCGGAACCGTGACTCCGAAATCCCATTGCTGAAGAGCTGAGACCTGGCGAAGGTCAACCTTCGTCGTTCATTGTAGGGGTTGTCCATTCGGCGCAGTCCATCGTTAAGTGGATACGGTACGCCAGGGAATATGCTGTAATCTTTTCCTAATGGACTGTTTCCGGTACGACCAATGTGGCCGGCGCAATTGTGCATAAATTGAACAGCGCAGCGCGCATGCTGGAATATGATGCAAACCGCCTGCTCCTCAGGCACGAACGCCATCGAGTATATAGCACCCAATTCCAAAATTTGTTGTGACACCTCAGCAAGAGGTCGATTCTGTGGCCACGGGCTGATCCATACGACTCGCCTATCGCGAGAATCGTGTGCATGCTCTTTCGCTTCAGGAAGTTGTACTGTACGCTTCACTGAATCGCTTGGCCGAAACTTGATGATACCATTCTGATCTGCTACGGGCTCATTGGCAGCAATTGATGCCCAAGTATTCCCAGGAGACGGAGTCGCAAGCGCTCGGTTGATTGAACTTATCGTGCCTGCCGTGTGGGCGTTTTGCGAGGCACGTAGTAAGCACTTCTCCATGTCCCAAGGTGCGATGACATTGTAAAGAGCCCGAAAGGTTGTAGTCATGTCTCGAGTGAACTGATTGGCTGCCTCATTCTCTCCAGAGACTCGTAGCTGTGTTGGAAGTAAGTAATTGGTCGTGACGATAGCATGGCACCCACATGGTCTGTGATTCGGTTGATCTTCACAATAACATCGTCGAGGACATCGTTGATGTCTTCATAACTATCGCTTGTCATCGTGGTCTGCGGTCTTTGTGTCAGAAGAACCGCTCTCGTCGAGCAGGAGGTGGACGTGACTGTCTGAGGGAATAATTAGACTCGCAAGAGGTCAAAAAGATGGACGGAAACGTGCATACGAAAGAATCTTCAAGACTGTTTTCGCTGTGAATGAGCGAAGGTGGTGAATGGTATTCGTGCATGTGATTTTGTTGTTGACCACAAAGGCTGCTAGAGCAGGCATCCATCATAGTGCCTGTTTAGTGGAGATATGAAAGGACCGGAGTGTTCGTTTATTTACACAGTGAAGGTACAATGATCGAAATTTGGAGCCTAGTGAACAGCAGCAAAAGTAGGAAACGTGACAGTCATAATATACGGAGGAAATTCACGTGAAATAAATAGCAGGACGTACCTGCAGCCGCCCACCGCAAGTGGGTGTACTTGCCTTCTGATCGTTAGGCGGATGGTGTTGTTTCTTTGGTCGCCACTAGTAGCTGGATGCAGCATACCTCTTCCTTCCACTAACTCTACCCACTAGCCATTCTTCTATTAGGTCAGAACGTGCGACGTTGTAGAGCTACGCTTCGATTGTTCACACGATCCGGGTTGCAGCTGAAGATACAAACCTAGACCACGTGGCACGGGTACCTTCACGGACAGCGAACACAATCTGCAGCCACCACAGAATGTCCACCTCAAAACAGATATGTGACGTGTCATATTGAAATGTAAATCTCGTTCGACAAAATGTTCGATAATTCATGCTCGCGCAAGTCCCAAGCGCACAGCGATCTCTCTGCCTAACGCCTTCCGAGCATCGATAGTCCTAGATACGGCATCCTGGTTCTCGTAAGCCCGTCGCAGCAGATATTTCATGGTAATCCCTAGACTGCCCCAGGTCAAGTATTTCACACCGTGTGGTATCTCCGTTGTAGGCGTGATGTCGGTTCCTCGAGTGTTGGCTTGCTGGACTATCTCACAGGAAACATGGTCGGCCATGCCCATCAATTGACCGTAGGTCATCCGTATCCTCTCCTCTCCTGACTTTGCTTGCTGATCTCGTATAGCTTGGGCTTTGCGGACAGACTCATGGTTATGGGAGGCCAGCATGAGCTCGACTCTAGGGAACTCGGGCGACTGACCCTCCGCGGCTTGTAAGAGACCGTCGTACTTCCTCCTCATGACACAAGCTGCGAGATTGTCATAGCATTTGTGGGTGTCTTCAATGGAATCCCAGAAAAGTTCCCTAGGATCAGAACCCATATAAGCCCCTCTGACTAGTTTGACACCAAGCACAAAATCATTCTTTTGAGCTTCAGCCAGGTGTCGAGCAAGCAGTCCCGGAGCTCGTTTAGCGTACGCTTGGTACGTGCCATAAACTACTGCTCTTTCCTTGTTGTAATGCTTCATATAGTACATGGTCCAATTGTCAATTCCATCCTGTAGCCAGGCATATTCGGCATCAAACATGAGTGAGACGCCTCGTTTTTGAGCCAGCTTGCAAATATCATGCACTGCGTCGCGAAGGGCTGGGGCGCATGGAGTGGTTGCTCGAAGGTGCTGTAGTGCCTGACGTCCTGCGCCTGTGAATTTCAGAGCCACAAAATCACCCTCTTGGGTCAAATTGACAGTCTCTAATACATCGTCGCGCCACCTAGTGATTTCTCCTGTATCGCGCTCCTGGTGTTCCGATGACTCCGAAGGTGCACCAAGTGCTGTCATTTCTTCTTTGGACAGCACAACTTCTCTAGCATGACAAAGCACTACCCCTTTGTACCCGATATGTTTCAGACTCTGAATCGTTCTTCGAACCTCCACGGGCGTCTCTCCAGCACAGAACTGGACATAAAAAGTATGTTTCAGCAAGGCGTGAAGTACGCGGTTGTGGTCAGGGTTGAGGAATCGGCTTTTCGAGGTCGTCAGGTATTTCATTATGGCCAGGGATGGCTTTAGGAGCACGGGTATCGAGGAAATCGAGGTAATTGCGTATGAACGTAGAAGGTTGGGCCATGACAGACACGACATGGCAGTCGTCGAAGGCACTGTGATCTTTTCTGTTGAAGACTGTTCACTTTCGGAGGCTTCGACTGCCGTTGAAACATGTCGCTTGCTGTGAGCGTGGCGCCTCTGACATATGTGAACCTGTTTGTGATCTGATTGCCGTTGAGGGGCAAGTAAGCAAGAATGAGAACGCTTGTTTGCTTTGTTCGTAGCACGAAGCACGGCGAGACTATCGATTAGAAGGATGGCATGGGGCTTGATGTTGCACGGACGCGCCATTGTTGAGTGAGGAGGGCTGTAGCTCGTATGGAAGAAACGTAGAGAATAGCAGAGAAATTCAAAGAAGATAGCCAAACACTTAACTTGTATCTAGATTCTGCTCAGGTCAATTTGGTGAGTATTTGGCGGTCCGATCACAACATTCGATATGATCATGGAGTACAATGGGGGGATGTGGTCGAATTGGAAGGGCGACCTCGATACGTCAGCGCGGATCTCCACCACAAAGAAAAGGCCAGCCGTAGCGTCCGATAAGCAGATAACGTTCCTTTGCCTGCCGCAGCTATCCGTCTGAACCACCCACTTTGTGAGGGATGACATCTCACGACCGCAGCTTGGTAGCGGAAGGCATCCAGCAAATACCCTGCATGCTGGTAGAAGATGCATCTCGACTTTGGTTGCAAAGTCAGCGTCGGATATGCAAGGCAAAGTGTTACCGGTTTCGCCATAGCAAAAATTCACAGGGACAATGCTGTTCCATGCCCTTTATCGAAGTTTAAAGCGGTACCGGCGCAGCTTTTTGTTTGACAGGTGTGAATGGCCTACCACTTCCTAGAATATGTCTGCTCGAACTCTGCAACGTGCAAGTTCTGACAAGTGAAGGATTCGGCAAGCAAGAACTGCGATTGCAGTTGAAACGATGACAGTGAACCGCACCGTAAGGACGTCTACTGTACATTAGCAGCATCGGCACGAATTTTGCGACCAACCATGGCGTATCCTCAAGCACAAGACGATCAAGAAAACAAATGTAGATTGAGAGGCCTGCAAAACGCGTCAGGGAAAGCAGTTTAATCTTTTAACGAGCAGGTGTTGATGGCCGTGCTGAGAGCGTACCTGCCCTGCCTGTATGTCGAAGAGCTTGCAGCTTCTGTCTGCCCACTGGTCTGGTCACGTGTCAGTTGTCTACTCTCGACATCAGCCAAGCTTGAAACTCCACTACTCCCCATTCCCAAAAAGTACAAACCAAAACAGCCGTATGGCCAATCAGGTAAACATAGGAAAGTTGTTGCGCTTGCTTCGAATGTCGACTGCTTTGCGATCACTCTATGTTCTCGGACCTCATATCTCACGCTTCGGCAGTCCGTGCTCTTCACTTCGAGCAGTACTCACATTCTTTTGTAAGCTTCTTCTAAGACAAACTGGAATACACGACTTTATGTTAGCATGGCCATCTCGGATGGTGCTTCGTCCATCTCGGTCACAGTGCGAGTACGGCCTTTCACCATCAGAGAGGCTGCACAATTGACAAAATGCGATGATACTACCATATTTCTTGGCGATGGCTCTCTGGCAGCAGCACCAACACCAAAGTTGTCGAAGAAGGGCCTTAGATCCATTATCAAAGTTGTGGATGACAAGTGCTTGTAAGCTGTTAGTGGAGAGACTTTGATACTGGACTAATCATTGTACGATAGAGTATTCGACCCTCCTGAAGATAATCCCATCCAGAAGTTCTCGCGCTCGGTAGTGCCTACGGGCAAGAAAGTCAAAGACCAAACATTCGGCTTTGATCGCATCTTTGACGACAGTGCCTCGCAGGCGGACGTGTACGAAGCGACGACGAAGCCACTGTTGGATAGTGTGCTGGACGGCTACAATGCTACAGTCTTCGCTTATGGCGCTACTGGGTGCGGAAAGACACATACAATCACGGGCACGATCTCGCAACCTGGTATAATATTTCTGACCATGCAAGAGTTATTTGAGCGTGTAGGAGAGTTGTCGAATGAGAAGGTCACAGAAATCTCGTTGTCCTATCTAGAGATCTATAACGAGACCATACGCGACCTGCTTGCACCAGATGCCAATCCGAGAGGAGGACTAATGCTGAGAGAGGATACCAATCAAGCCGTCTCCGTGGCTGGCCTGTCAAGCCATCATCCACGCAACGTTGAGGAAGTCATGGATATGATTATGCGAGGCAACCAGCTAAGAACTATGTCCCCAACCGAAGCCAACGCGACGTCCTCCCGGTCACACGCTGTCCTGCAGATCAACGTAGCCCAGAAAGATAGGAATGCCAGCGTTCAAGAGCCACATACGATGGCAACTCTGAGCATAATTGATCTGGCAGGTAGTGAACGAGCAAGTGCCACCAAAAACAGAGGAGAACGGTTGCTCGAAGGTGCCAACATCAACAGGTCTTTACTGGCGCTTGGCAGCTGCATCAATGCCTTGTGCGATCCACGAAAGCGAAACCACGTCCCATATCGCAATTCGAAACTCACTCGATTGCTCAAGTTCTCCTTGGGTGGAAATTGCAAAACGGTTATGATTGTGTGTGTGAGCCCTTCGAGCGAGCATTTCGACGAAACACAGAACACTTTGAGATACGCCAACCGAGCGAAGAACATACAGACAAAGGTTACCAGAAACGTGTATAATGTGAATCGTCACGTCAAAGATTTCTTGGTAAAGATCGACGAGCAGATAGCGCTCATCAATGAGTTGAAAGCGCAAGCCAAGGATCACGAGAACCTTGCTTTCGCCAAGTTCAAGAAGCAAAACGAGAAGAAAGAGACGGCTGCTCGAGAAGGCATAATTCGCATCCGCAACGCTTTTGACCATTCAAGCACGGAGCGGCAGGAACGTCTCAATAACATGGTTAAACTGCGCCAAATCGGTCGACGCATTTCTATGTTATCTTCCTGGATTGCTGCTTTCGACGCCGTTGCAGACATGTTGGAAAACGACGAGCATTTACACAATCTGCAAGCTGTTCGCAAAACAGCCCAGGGCATAATGGCCGAGCTAGAGTCTGGACGTCACCACTGCCAGCAGAAAGTGAACAAGAACAACTGGGAACGAGGTCTAAATTCAGCACTAGAGTTTGGTGTGACTCAACTGAAGGAATTCGATACAGGCGATATGCTTGATGCTTCGACGTTGAGCAGAGAAGTCGAGCTATTGAAAGCCAATGCGGAACGGGAGGCGTTAATAGCTGTTGCTGACCATGATAAGCTCGGCGATGCTGTTACTGCGCAAGTACTGCTCCAGGCTCATTTTGAGACCATTGCAGCCATCAATCAGATGAACAAAATGAGTGTGGATGAAGCAGTGGAGAAAGCGACAGCAATTCTGAATAAGATGCTCAGTAGCGCTACCAGCGCGGTCTCACACGTGGTCAAGCCAGATGGAAGTCTAGCTCCAGTAGAGGCCTTTGCTCCACGAAAAGCAGGTACACCAAAGCGTCGGAAGCGTTTCACCTCGCCTGTTGATGATAGTATTGGACCAGCAGTCACCGGTTTGACGACCGCGCCTCATCTAGGGGGCACTCCACTGCGAGCATCTCCACGGAAGCGTGCATTGCTAGGAAGTGCTAAGAAGGGCGTTCAGCTCAACTTTACACCGAAGAAGCGCAAGTCACCAGTCAAAGGGACGAAGCGTGCTGTGCGATGGAAAGACGATACTGAAGATGGGGCGCTCGCCGAGTATGAGAAGACACCACAAAAGTTTACGCCATCTCCAGTGGAAGATTCCACGACTGATCTACCAGACGTGCCTCAGCTAGCAGAGATATCGTCCTTCGCACAAAGAATGGAGGACAGCACTTCACCTCAATCATCACCAATTCCAACAGCACCAGAATCCATGTTTGGCATATCGTCCACAAACGATCGGTTCAAGGCGGGCTTTCTTTCTAAGAAACTAGAAGGCTCGCCGAATGTATCAGTAATGCCGGCTCCACCTCAGATCACGCTTTTATCGTCGTCGGATAACGAGCAATCTCCACTTCGAGAGGTGCAAGGCAATGCTGGCGGCTGGAAGTCCGCATCGGTGTCACCTGAACAGGATGAGGACAGCACACCTGCCGGCAGTTCGGATGCTGAGAACCAGGATCCATCGAATTTGACATCCAAACTGGGCGCTTTGAAAATCAGAAATGCAGTCGCACGCTCATCTTCCGTGAGGACTTCTGGCTTCTCCAAGAGCCACCGCCGAAGATCGCCCACAGCGGCAACGGCGTGTTCGCCACCAGGGACGGGAGACATGTTCGGCGCAGGCCATGTTAGAAGAATGGTCATGGCACCACCAGGCAAGAGTGAAGGCTGGAAGGCAGGAGTTTTGAGTCCCAGAACTGAAGGAGTGGCTGTACATCACCGGGCTGCCTCGGGTAGCGGTCGAAGGACAACAATGGGAGGGGGAGAAGGCAGCCACAGTCGTGGGATGACTGTGGGGGAGAGAGCAGCGATAAGGTTGAGTAGTGTCAACCACAATCACTCACGGGAGAAGGAGAATGTTGGATTTGCGTCAGGCGTTCGGACAAGCTTGATGCCTGGAAGCAAAAACACATGGCGCTGATGTATAGAGGAATCTGAAGGGTTGCAAAGGGGGTAGGAGTTGGGTTTCGCATTTGGCGGTGCTGCACTCTGCCTGGAAGGTCATCAGCTTGGTGTTGGGTTGTTCAGGTTTTGCGTATATTCGATGTACTGCTTGTTCATAGCGTTCGCTCGGCTGAGCTTGTCTTAGTATCACGATTCACGAATTTGCCATGATGCCAGTTTGCAGAAGTCACCTCTGTAGCAATGACGACCTTCGACAGCGTGGATATGAAATCTCAGAACTCATTGTCAATGTAAAACACATCAAGTGCTCAGCTCCATTTCCGCTTTTCTCACAGTTACTTGGCGCGTCTGGACTGTTGAGGCTCAAGCGGTGACCTCCACAATTCGTGCCTGAGAGGTCCCTGCACAACACCACCTAAAACCTGCAACCACCGAGTTGCCGATCATACTCGAGATATCATTGGCGTCAAGTGAGAGCGGTGCGCTTGTGACTCTTCAAAGATTCAAGTTGTTAATCGCCCGCTGTAGTGCGAAAAGAGAAAGTCAACTACTACCACTACAGGCAATCATATCCAACAGGAGCCTGCCTACGACACAACCAGGCAGTACGGGTTCAAGAACATTATCACTACCATTGCCTCAGCACTACAGACTTTCCATTGGTGAAAGGATTGACTAACGGCTGGATATACGCCTCTGAAATACTGGTCGTCTTAGCGACCTCCCCCCACTCCCGGCTTGGTGACCACATGCGGTGTCAATGTCTGTATCCTCACAGCGTGCACCGCCAAATAGGCGGCTGAATAGTATACAGAATGGCAATGGAAGGACTTACAGCAGGCCGAGGAGGAAATCCGTCGACGGTCAAGATGCATATCTATACGCCCTCCGCGTGGCCTACCTGGCCTACCTTCATCAACCGAGACAGAAGCGCACGAAGGTGGTCAGGCAACAAGTCCAACGGACAGCTACTTCTGCTTCTATGCACGACCTGATGAAGGACTTCCAGGGCAATCGAGACTCTAAGAGTGAGAAATACCCACACGAATTTGTGAAGGCGTTGGAAAAACGATTACAGACTATCATCAAGAGCGAGGACAAGAGACCAGAATACCAGGATCCACAAGTGAAGAGAACTTTTGCTATATTCCTAAACCACTTCTCCGAACCTACCTTTCGCAAACAAGCTCAGGAATCGAAGCGTGCCGAGGAGTTGCTACTGATCTTCTACACAAAAGCCATGGCAGAATTATCTAGAGGGAAGCCGCCCCACGATGATGGTGTAAAGCGCACGGTCGACCGTCATCTAGCTTTGTTCGTACGTCTGTTGAATGCTACTCTGAAGGAGAAAGGCTGGGCTGAAGAGCGAAGAGATCTTGCTGCACGGCTGAGCACTCTAGAGAGAAAGCTTCTAACACATGAAGAAGACCTCTCAGGTCAAAAAGAGACTCGTGAAGGCACGGTAGAGGAGGAAGTACCACTGACATATGAGGTGAAGGATATGCCGCTAGTACAAATCGTCGGCCGTATATTTGGCTTGCGCAATACCATGCTGCAATCGGACATCGACAAGCATAAAAGTGAATGGACAGAGGATGCTGCGTTACGCGATCTGAAGACATACCAAGCGCACCTCAACATGGGAACCAGGAAAACTCTAAACGAGGTCGATTTTGATACCAAGGAAGCTTATGACGAATGGAAGAAAAGTGAAGCACCCGAACTTTCCCAGATGTTGCTTGCCATTATACACATAAACCCAGCCCTTGCGAAAAATTCGGCCGCTACTAGTCTACCTCAAATAAATACACGAGCCTCCATGATAGCTGATGGCCAATATGCCGAGCTGGCCAAAGCCTTGTCGCCTGATGCTGGAATGCAGTTGCCTGATCTGAATGGCTTGCAAATTGACGACCATTTTACAGGCGACGACCAGTCGGGGACAGTATACACGTTTATTCCACCCGATCCTCGAGGCATCTTTCGGTACGTTATGAACCTGGCAATTACTTGGGATCTCAGTGATCAGGTTAGTGGTAATGGAAATGGCACCATGCCTCATATACTTTCCAAGTCATCGACAGATTTTCTCAACGAGCTAGCTCTACGCTGGCGTATACCTAAGTTCTCCAGAATAGTGCTGTTCCTCGACTGTATCAGAGAGAAATTCGCGGAACAAATGCTAACCCTGGATCAGCTAGATGCTGCATTCAACTATGTCAAACAACCTGTCCAGGACGACGCCAAGAACAAGCGTAGCTCACTGGTTGCGACATCGCTGATGTATGATCGGTTCAAGTGGACCATCGCAGATTTTACGTTGATGCAGCAAGTTTTAGCAGGCATTCACGACACTCTGCTAAGAGATCTTTACGGCGCAATGATGACTTGCTACGACGCTAAGCAGTCCCTACTCCTTGGTCCCCTTTTAGGTCTCATCGATGAGCATATCAAGAGTGATCCGAGTTTCAACCAATCGCCGGACGAACTTGACCATTTCAAACAGCAGGTATCACAAGGACTGGAGGACAAAGCACGAGAAACCTATGCCGAATACGTCGAGAAGGAGGTACCTGGCGAGCAAGAGTCTTGGGAATTTTACCATATTATGCAGCTTGGTAAAAGAGTGCTAGAAAAGTTACAGAAGATACAGAAGCGATATCGAAAGAATCCTGAGATTCTTGGCATAGATCCGCTGAGCATTCTCATAGAGTGTATGCTACCCGCTTTCGCAGGTGACTCCAAAGCGATGATCGAATCAGTCCTTGAAACAGCGAAGAGTAAAGACGAAGACGTGCCGATTCAGGATGGATTCGACCTCTACAAAGAGTTGTCGAGTTTCAGGCAAGTTTATGTCGAGGCACTACAGGGCAAACAGTTTCCCTACCGCCTCGAAGAACTGCTACAGGACTTTGTCTGGAGATGGATCACCGCTACAGATGCACAAGTTGTGGGCTGGGTGGAACAAGCTATCAAACACGATGATTTTCAGACCCGAAATAAGGACAAGACCATCCCGGCGACTGAGGACGAGAGGCACAGCAATTCTGTTCTTGATGTCTTCAGGTCATTCAACCAAGTCGTTGAGCAAGTAGCGAAACTCGAATGGGACGATGACCTCATCTATGCTAAGTTTATGACTGCCTTGGCAAAATCATTAGGCAACGGCATTCATAGGTATTGTGAAGTGCTTGATCAGATCTTTCACGAGGAGATGGACAGGCTGATGCCGGAGCAAGAGCTCATCCAGAAGCAAACCACACAGCAGAAATACCTGCAGTACGCAAAAGACGCATGGAACAACGAAACCAAGGTAGAGCCGTTCCAATTTTATCCCAAATCGTTCGTTAAGCTCAACAACATATCTTTTGGCATTCAGCATTGGGATAAACTGGAAAAGGAAATGAATGTGGATGCCTGCGCCGATGTCATCAAGCGATACAACCCGCCCACAGCACAACAGTACAAGAAGAAGGTTATAAATTATGTCTTCACCATCAAGCTCGTAGAAGCCGAAGGACTAAAAGCACTGGATGTCAATGGCTTCAGCGACCCCTATGTTGTTCTTACAGACGAGTACCAAAAACGGCTATTCAAAACAAAGACAATTTACAGAAATCTTAATCCACGTTGGGAAGAGTCAATTGACATTACAACGCAAGGTGCCTTAAACGTTATTGCAACAGTGTGGGATTGGGACTCTATGAAAGACCATGACTACGTGGGCCGTACCTCTCTAAAACTCGACCCTTCACATTTTGGCGACTTCCTGCCCCGGGAATATTGGCTTAATTTGGATACTCAAGGGCGCATGCTTGTTAGAGTCAGTATGGAAGGCGAAAGAGACGATATTCAATTCTACTTTGGTAAGGCCTTTCGTTCACTTCAGCGCACGCAACGAGACATGACTCGTAGTATAACCGATAAGTTGTCGGCTTACATCAGTAGTTGTCTATCTCTGCGTACTCTCCGTCAACTTACCAGCAAAGGCACAGCGGTGACCAAGGTCTCGAGCTATATCTCAAAATACCGCGGAACAGCTCCACCAACTGCGCCCACAGGTCCAACAGACACCGAGATTCACAATGCGCTTGCACCATTGTTCAAGTACTTTGACGACAACTTCTTCATCATGAACCAGACTCTAACACCTGACGCTATGATCGCAGTCATGACTCGTTTATGGAAAGAAGTCCTCGTGACGATCGAATCCCTCCTCGTACCCGCTCTCTCCGACCTTCCTTCACAACAAAAACAACTCAGCCAAGCAGAAGTAGACATCGTCTTCAAATGGCTCCAATCTCTCTTCGACTTCTTCAACGTAGTAGATCCAGAAACAGGACAAGCAACCGGTGTCCCCACCAACGTGCTCAAAAGTCCCAAGTACCACGAAATCCAAACGCTGAACTTCTTCTACAACGAAACGACTGAAAGTCTCATCCGCACCTCAGAACGCATGGCCAGCGCAACAGCACACTCCCAACAAGCACAACGTTCACGCCTCTCTGCACCCGCACATCTCGGCGCACCGTCTGCAGGCGGTTTACTCGCAGCCGGTGCTGCACCTGGTGCACGACGAGCGAAATCCATCATGCTGGCGCGCAACCTGGGCACGATGCGCAAAGCGAAAGAAGAGAAATGGAAGGCGGCGCAAGCTGAGCCCAGCGATGATATGATATTGAGGATACTGAGGATGAGGCCCGAAGCTGCGGGATACTTGAGAGATCGTTCGAGACAGAAAGAGCGACTTGCAGCTGCAGCGGCCGCGGAAATGATTGTGCGTCAGAGCTTAATGAGTGGTGGTGGGAGGATGACGGGGCCGAGTGTGATGAGACGGGATAGGTAAGTAGGAAGTAACGATGTGTACGAGTTTACTGCTGGGTTTGGGTAACATCATGGTTCTTGAGCAGGCGGGCGAAATTGCATTGTGTCTAGGACGGAACAGCACGGAATGGAAAGGGAAGGACAGGAAACAGAGCGGATTTATACAGTTTTAGGATGTTATGATAATGATATGTAGCGCATCCTGGTATGCGGATTTTGCAAGCAACGAAAGAGATGAACGGAGAGGAACGGTCACGTACGCGTTGGTCTCTCCTTACGTATAGTGTTCTTGTCGTACTTCCCTCGACGAGCTAAAGAACACATTTTGAACCTCAGGCTGGTTGGCACGTGAATGTGAACCTGGTAAGACGATGATAGTGTAGGGTGAAGCATGTCCATGACGAGCAAAACGACGACACTGAAATGTCCAACCGTAGTTTCTTCGTGTTTTCCTGGGTTTCCTCGGGGTTTCGAAGAAACCCGTTTTTACACATATCGATATTCGCGAGGTCGTAGTGGCTGGACACTGAATGGTCAATTGTAGCCTTTCAGGTCTTCTGGAGTTTCTTGGGCGTGTTGGGGTTTTCAAATCCCCCGTTTTTCACCCTTAACCGTACTACTGCTATTATTGCTACCACCCCACGTGCACACCCTAATAGCACCGCAGGGCACGACTTGTTTTCCACGTGTAAAGTTCTCTGAAATTTATCAGTCTTTGTGTTTGTACTTCTGCTTATCGGCATGAACCCACATATGAGATACGTATGTGGCTGTTTAATCCTACCTTGCCATGCACATGGACTCGTGACGCGAAGGCGAGTTGGCAGTATTGAGTCGCACTACCGTAGGTGGTATATCCAGGCTATCTGAGCGATCTTCACGGTACTGGAAGTTTACCGAGCTTCCTTGCTTGTTCCCGCGACGATATCTATTCCTGGTTTGTAGGTCAAGATGCCGTCGTGTGTTGTCTGTGCATTTGCACGGTAGTCACGCCGAGAGCAGGTTTGATTCTTGCAGCATTTACGTAACGGACCTGGTTCATGAGTGAGTCCTGGAACAGATCAAGTACTCCTGCGTGGTGCGTCGATTCGACCCGCGAGTTCGCCAACCAATGTGCACTAATCCAGCCAAAAACAAGGTTTGCAGTAGTGTTAGCCTGTGCAGAAGGATAGGAGTCCTTTGCTTGGCTGCAGATTATCTAGTAGCTTGGATCAGATGACCATAATATCTGTACTGTGGTATGTGGATCAATGCCATTGAATGCTCGTGCTCTCGCACTTGAGTCAGTCATTTTCCAAATATGACAATTAAGGATATAGATTGCGAGCAATGCTGTTGGTCAATGCCGCGCAGATAAGAGATTTTGCTGCTTGGTCAATCACATTGGCTGGTGTTTTAATCCATCTCTGTCGATTTACCGTGGTCAAGCGCGTTTAGCAGCGATCGCCGAGAATTGCAGAAGTTGGAGCCAGAACGCTCGCCGAGCGAGCAGTCGTGCTGGGATTTTGCATGATTATCATCATTACTAGCTGTATATCAATTGTTGTATCAGTTTTTAATTGGTGCAGATTCATTACCGGCGAAGGTTCTTAAGGCGCCTCATCGAATCATTAGTCGCCTCCCCAAGCTAGACATGCTCATGCTCCCACAGTATATTTCGCCACATTCTGGATCTTGAACTTCTCCGACAAGGACGACCGAGGTTGTCTTCGTGCATGTAACGAAATCCGATATTGAAAGACAATGCCGGACGATGCAGTTTGTTGCGTTACTGCGAGATGACTAGTGGATACCAGCCTCGGTACAATGTTTGCAATGGGATCCATGACAGTGCTTCACCTTGGTGAGACTGTGATAAGTGAACGTCAAAAAGGATGTACCGTGCCAAGATACCTTCTAGCTCCGTTGTGCCTGACCTATTTGTCGTAGGGCTGAAGCACAACAACGTGATCTGGTTGTCATACCAGTTGAACTACACATCACAGAGGACCACAGTGGGTACTACTGGCAGTAGTCGTGACAGCGAGCATTGCAGCGGTGCCGTGCCAGGGCAGCTGCAACGTCGTAACGTTGATGTCGATGGGTCGAAACCCTTCGACGGTACGTGAACTTTGTCGCGTACTCGTATAAAGTCTTCCCACCGTGACATTCATGGTGCTGAGCCACCGCCCAAAAGCTCTAAAGCTGCATCAGCTAACAAGGTAGGCATACATTCTTCAGTGACTTGCCCAACATGCATCACAGGGACATTCCATTCGACGACGTAGGGCTTGCCGTAATGCAGACGACTAGCCGCGATCAGAGACTCGCCAGGTACTGTATCAACAGCAATAGGCTCTTTGAAAATCTCTGCTTCCCCATCGACTGGCGTAGGCTTTTTCGTGCTGTCGTGAATGATGGCGTGCGCCTCGCGTTGCTCAGCTGTCAGGTCGTCCTTGCTCAGACCTCGACCGCCATAGGAATTGATAGGAATGCACCAGCAGTAGCCATCACGGTTACGAATCACGACCATTCTGCGTATGTGAGAGAAAATCCTGGTTCCATAAACACTGATCGTCATATCGGGCGGGAGTCTGTCCTTGATGTCGGCGTTCGACCTTTCGCCTGACTCTTTCAGCCGAGACCTTGCTGAGCCGTGTCTAGACTCACCGGCTGACTCGTGCCACAGCAAGGCAAAGACCGTCCCGGAAATGAAGAAAGTACGACCGTTCTTCAACTGATATCGAGCTGAGAGCTTCCTCATTTCCTTGTTCTCAAATTGATCTGGCTTCATTTTCTTCAGCTCCTTCTCTGTGCGTACAGGGACAATTTCCAGCAAGCTGATCTTCTCGAGAAGATCGCCAGCATCCGGCATCTGCGTCGAGCCGTAATCAGCAACGGTCAAGCTAGCGATGCTCAGCTTTGGACCGCGAGGAGGCTCAAATTTAGAATCGTGCCTGTCGTGCTTTGAGTGCGCGTGCTTTCGCTGCTTGGTACCTGACCCTGTATTACTAGCTGCCTGGCGTCCTTCGTGTTGACTGCCTTTCTTGTCTTTCTCTCGAGCTTGCTTCTCCGCTGCTTTGCATATGTTGTCGTACGTGTCCCTGTATCTGCCATTCTCTTGCGTACCCTCTTTTGTCATTCGAAGTACATATGGCTCTAAAGAATCGGGCTGAATGCGCTCACAGAGTCTGAGAATGACTAAGCTCTGCATACATTGTGCAGCAGCAGCATGGTTTCCGGCACGAATCTGCTGAACGGCTTCCTTGTAGAATTCGTCCAACTTGGCACGGACCAGATCAGGGTTTTGGCCCAAGTACTGAGCACGAGCTCCAAAGTTGTTCTGCTGTATGCTTGCGAAAGACTTAGATCCCCCGTGTAACGTCGTAAAGACAGCACCGTTGCTTCGCTGGTCTCTGCTCGTCGAGGTCGTCCTGTGGGACCCGCTGAGGGTAACCTTCGACAACGAACCACTGGGACTACTCTCAATGGACCCCGCAACCTCAAACGAGTGGTTTGGAATGGACGATGACGGAGTGCCGCTTCCGGAATAGGTGTCATGCGCCTGTGGTGCCCGCAATGAGGAGGAGCTGGTACCATAAGGACCCGACCCTCGAGGCTCTTCGCACGATGTTGCTGACTGAGGTGGTATGTTCACGGGCTTACTTCTTACGATAGGTAAGCCGTGGCTTGATTCTGCAGCAGCCGGCGGATGTAGAGCATTTGATGAGGTGCCATACACAGCACTGGGGCTCGGAAAGTTCTCAGTATTCAGATGCAGGAGGAGAGGGACATTTGCCCCGTGAGTTGCGCTCTTGTATTCATAGCTGGAATCGATGTCTGACAGTAAAGTTCGGAAACTGTCTTTGCGCTCCATCGGTGGAGACGTGGTAACCAAGGCCGCTTCCGTAATGAGACTGCCGGGCAAAGGCGAGACCAGAGAAGTTCGAGCTGGTCTATTTGGAACGCTCTGCTGAAAAGTCAGGCTTGTGTTGTGTGTAGCATTGTTCGTTGGAAGACGTCGCTGTAGTCGTGTGTATCCTGTGTTGTCGCGCGTTGGGATCTGAGACTCGTCAGCTGTTCTAACGGGGCCGCTTTCTCGATCCTGCTGTGTCACCTCTCCTGTCCCAGCTTTCTGAATCAGTTGCTGTAAAATACGTTCAGCAGCTCCTTCGAGCTCGCCTCGAAGTCGTTTGCTTGTATTTAGCCTAGTCAACCATTCCTGCCGTTCAGAAGCGGTCGCCAAGTTCTTTTTCCGACTCAAGGTAAACACGGCCAGACGGTGTGCAAGCCGCTTAACTGGATCGGACTTGTCTCGACGCACATATTCGAAGATCAAGCGCTGCAGCTGGTCTTGGTCCTCATTCCAGACTGCTGGATTGTTGATGAGGAATGTGGCAATGCTCTCATACTGATCGCAACCGTAGCTTGCGAGCTCCGCTAGGAGAGGCGACGAAAGAGACAACTTGCCCAGCGGGTCGTCCTGAGCCTGCGAGACATCTTGGTTAGGATCCGGACCAGGGAATGATTCGAAGAATTCGTGGTACTCGCCACGAGGCTTTGGATCAGGTAGAAGTTGCAGAAGCAGTTCGAATATCTGTCTCCCTCTGATGAACAACTCAACCGGATCCAATCTCCTAATTAAATCCCCCGTCTTAATCAAGGTTGCCAACACAGGTAAGATACACACCTTGGCTGCGAGCGAGCAAAGAAGTCCCAATGAGTGCTTTTCCAGCTCGAATATTGATTCCGTCGGCAGGCTTTTTTCGTCAATCATTCGCATCAAACGCTGATACATGTCGTCAAGCAGCGGAAACACGGTAGACAATGTATTAGGGGAGGCCTGTGCTTTTGAACACATAATTCGAAATATGTTAGTCGCTTCCCATGGAGCGTTCTCTCTGGCCAATGTCTCAAACGCTTTGTCCGCGTCAGGCTGCAACGTCGTGAAAGATTGTATGCTACCGAACGAGTGGATAAAGAACTTAAGCTGCTGAATCTGTACCTACAATTCGTGAGTAGATGACTTGGAAACGTTCATTCTTTGGCTACCTGGACTTCGGACCGCGTTGAAGAAGGAGAAGAGCTTGGCCCCAAGGATATGGTCGACTGTCGTACAAGAGGTAAATTCTTCAACGAATCTACAAAGTTCCCTTTAGGTGGCAGGAGTTTGTGCAAGACATGGACGAATTCTATCTCGTCCTCATCAAAGGTTCCAACGTAGTCTTGTTTCCGCAATAACGTTAGGATATCTGCTAGCTGGTGCATGTTGTCTGTCTCAACAAGAAAGAGGACTATTTCTGCGAATGCAGGAAAGAAGAGTATGTGGCGCCAAAGCACTTCTCGGATCACCTCAAGCGCGTCGTGCGCAAGCCCAAGCCTTGAATACAGGACCAAGTCTTCGATTGCTGTCGCAACGTCCTCCTTTAGGCTCATATTGTATACCAATGGGTCGTCATTGGTCATGATCTGCTGCTCCATGGTGCTAGTAGGGTAAATTGTGGTCGAACGTGACCTATTCTTGACACCATAAGCAACAGTACCTTGCCTTCAGCAGACGCTATAAGCCCCGAAGCAGCACTAGACTGAGCTCAGGCGCTATTAACAGGTACACTCTCGAATTCAACTCGCGTTCAAGGTCTCCATGTAAAACTAACCTTCGAGTTTCACAGCGTCAGAGACCTTTTCTCAATCACGATACGAAGTCGAGGTGATCAACATGCGCTGAGTGTCTCAACCAAGACTGACAAGGTAAAAGCGGGGCAGCGAGAAATAAGCCACGTGTGAACAAGTCAAAACGTGCCCTGCATTGCTGAAAGCGTCTACCTCTTCTGTTTCGATCCTGATATCGCTATTTAGTGAGGGATCATCTATGATCTTAGAAGTCAGAATATGCCGCTTTCGCGACTTCTCACTTTATACCAGAAAGGAAATGCACGACTCAATCGCGGTGAAGCTCCTTATAGACACCTGAATCAACATGACATCGTAGGGCTCGACAGCTTCGTAGATGTCGTCGGCATGGAGGATGATAGAGTCTGGGTTAAGTGCCATCCAGGCGATGAAGATAACACAACGTATGGAGAGGGTGGACCGGTAACCAGGGACTTGAAATATAGGCAGTGGGGCATGTATAACTCTAAGTATGCGCTGGTGCTGCCGTTCATACTGGTCGCTGGTCACACATCAGGTTGGAGGATTCGTCGTTACGAGGTCGTTATTGAACTTGACGAATTGCAGGAAGATCTTGAGGTCAGGGAGTCGCAAATCTCCAGTCCTGAACCGGGACCGAGTTCTCAAGATCAGTCAGAACTTCTGGAACATTCCAGTGACAGTTTCTCAATTGCAAATCAATCACCATCACACGGACAAGCAGAAAGAGAGAGCGAGTCTGCTGGAGTAAGCGTTCACCTGCTTGGTACACCTCAGCCACAGAGACTCGAGGGACAATGCACAGGAAAATCATCAAGTTCATCTCTGAGGCAATGGTGCTTCGAAAGCTCTTATGACACAGCTACTCTTGCTGGACAGAGTAGGACAGTGAAATGGACTTGGAAAGCGACTAACCATGACCCTGTGCAACTTCATTGTGCACTTGTGATACGTCACCCGGGTCGAAGATTCTCCTTCGCTTGCCGTATTACAGGTAAAGCATATAGAGGTTACATACCTTCCAGCTTTGACAATACGTCTGCTGCTCATCGCCTGTGGCAACTTCAGCCCAGGACCTGTGGTCAAGATCTCCGAGCATGTGTTGATGGTCTTGCGGAGCACGTCATTGCCATGAACAAGAAGACTTCCGATCTCGAGCGTAACGCGAGGTTGGTGCCAGTCGATAGCGCGGATAGTGGTGAGCCCAGCACGGTTAGAGGTAACACATATGGAAATTCGACTGCTCACGCTCAGTCAAGGGTTCACAACGGGAACACTATCGTCGTGTCCTGCGGTTGTGCGCAGTCCACGAGCAACACTTCGGGAATACTGCGAGAATATCTAGGTTGACAGAGGCCTAACTTTTAACTCTGGTATGGTGCAGTCTTCGAATAATCGTGTCTTGCATTGAAACTCGATGAACACCGCATGATACCAAGTGAGAAGAGGTGGAAGCAGTAGCACTTCTAAAGTAAATGTGTTCAATTCAATGATATACAACAGCATGCTCGTCGTTGGTAACATCCACCATCATATCCTCAAATCCTCCGAAATGACCAAACAACTCATCCCACCTATCCCAGTCAAAGTCCATATCGTTTGTAGTACCTACATCAGCGATCATATCACCATCATGAATATTTACTCCGTTTTCGAACTGCAGGAAATTCGATGGAGTGGCTTCCTGCACAACAGTAATCTGTCGCGGTTCTTGCGTAAATTGTAAGGGTACTGTGCTTGAATGAGCCCCACAAGTCGAAATAGGTAGATTCGAGCTCGGGAATGGCTGGTTTTGAAGTGGAGAGATGTCGAAAGCACTCTTTGGGACAGTGTCTGACGTTTCTGAGCTTTGCTGATACGTTGTCGTTCTGCTGTTGTCGAAGTTGCGAAAATTACAGGACATGTCGTCTGGAATTGGTGTATTCCAAGGGCCAGAATCAATCGCAGGCATCGCAACTGGTTGGATATTGGCTGATTTTGCTTGTGGCTGGGACTGTCGAATCTTCTTGATTAACTCGCCAATGTGGAATATTTCAGTCTCTTCTGTGTTCTGTTTCACTGAATTGTCTGTTAGTGTATTGACGTTCGCGTCGTCGATATGTGTGCAGGAACCAGACTGTCCTAGCGGGAAAGGCATCAAGGTCTGATCGTGACGAGCTCGTAGCAGTAGTATTGGTGGCACCTCAACTTGGTCCAAGTCTATCACTCCACGAGTCACCGGACCGGAGATTGCTTCTCCTGGCCCAAGTTCTGAAGGGTGGAAACGTTGTTTCATTGCGTCCTTAGCTTGTGGATCACGGAGATAGGAACCGTAGAGATTACTGCTGTTCTTCGCGTTGATATCTGCCATGTTGTGCCTCTGCTTGTGGCTGAAAATGATGTCCTCGCGAAGACTGCGAATGAACAGGTCATTCTGATTTAGCGGTTTGCCAACGCCAACCGCAATTTGGTCTTCTTCAGACCAGAGAACATCCGGATCGAGACCAGCTTTATTCCATGCTTTGTGTCTCAGCTTTCGCAGCATCTGCCATGCTTCTTCGCCACCTTCTTTCAGTGGGACAGCAATACTGCATGAGTTCTCGCTCTCCTCATCTGCTGTCTCTCGAGCTGCCAGCGAGAACATCCTATCAATCATTGCACGGGATCGAGGAGCTTCGTCGCTGTGCGGTCTGTCGTGGAGATCGACCAGAAGAATTATTGTAGCATGGATTGGATGAAAACCTGTAGGCCACAACCACCTAAAATTTCGCAATTCGGGATCTTCAGCAAGGGAGATGAACTTTCTCATAAAGCCATGACAACTTCTCATTGCGCAGTTTCTCGATACTGCCCACAAACGACTCTTCGAGTTCTTCAGGAATGGTGCGTATGTTATGCAATTCAGCTGGTCTTTCATCAACGATAACATTATACGTGCCCATTTGTGGAATGCTGCGATGGTTGTTCGATGCTGCATGGATGGAACGTTCATGTCTTCCCGATCGGAACTCTCACGAAGAAAGTAGCTGATTTCCTGCTCAGTGACTAGTGCAGACATACTGTCTAAATGGTCAAAATCAATTGTCTTCCCGATAGTCTGAGGATTGAAATCCAATTCAGGCACTCCACGAGTTGGTATACGGTTGATCACCCTATCAATCTCACAAGCAGTTTCTATAACCATCTTTCTTACGTCTTTCAACTCGTCCATGGTCAAACGCTGCGCTTTCATGTTGGCTTTGATGACCCTCTTCACTGCCAAAGCTAGTTGGTGTTTTGCCTTCGCCACAAGATGGTATACGGACACTAAAGAGGAGGATTGCGTATCGACAGGGTCGTCTGGGCGATCTGGTTCAACCTCATTCTCTTGCAGATGCGTCTGGTACTTCGTCGCGTCCTCCGTGCCGAGGTAAGAGCCTTTGAGCTCGGAAGCTACGACAGTGTCCGTATAGCAGTCGTCAATCATAGGCGGCGTGCCCGCGACCGCTGACAATGACGTGTCTTGAGCCACTATCTCCCACCATAATCGTCTTCTTGTCTCGACGTCGTGTTTATCAATCCCTTTCAGTGTTCTCTCGTGATGCATACCAAAACTTTGCGCAACCCGCACATTGATAGTATTCCTTAAACTGCTTGTCATGGTATCTTGGCCTTCCAAAGCTAAACTTTGAGCGGTCACGGACGCAGCCAACGCCCATATAGATTGTGTTCCTTCAGTCTTCAACATATCCAGTTGATGCACAAATTTGGAATGTAATCCCTTCAGATGGAATTTTTTAGCCCATGGAAACCACCTCTGTTTTGCCTTCTCCGATAAAGCGCGGTGTCCAAGATACCATATAGATACCAAGAATGGCATAAAAAACGTATCCGGATTGGGCTCCCCTCTATCCATTCCTCCTCGGTACCAATCAAAGAATTCGTTGTATTTTCGAAGGACAAGGTGGGGAGGTATTAGTGGAAGTAACGGATAAGTCGACCACAGCCAACTGCGGAACAAAACGTTTGAATCGTCCTCAGAAGGTGCTAGCTCCGTACCAAATATATCCATCGCTTGTGGTGATTCCTCAGTAGTCCTCCACAGCCTGGAAAAGGTCTGCTCAATATGGCCAATGGCCCGTTGCTGGGTAGTGTCCTCTGTAAGAATTTTGTTCGGAACTGGTCGAGTCTGTACATTCAACTTCAAGAGGCTATTCAAATGATCGAGTTTGCTTAGTACGTGCATCCAAGGCTCTTCGAGATCCTCGTCGCGGGCTGTCTGCTCGAGGTCGTATGCAGCGATGAACGAGTCATGGCCGGAGTCATGTCTTGAAGTACGACCTCCGTCAAGATCCTGATGGCTTCCGGGAGAGCTGCTGATTGAAACTGGTGTCAGCCGGTTGAGATCACGCATCAAGGTATTCAAGCTATTGAGCTTCTGTTCGATAGCCTTTATCACGGATGATGGCGCGCCATGGTGTTCGGATTTGTCGCTATCCTCAAGCTCTGCCGCTCGCCGCTTGCGCAAGTCAAGCCTGTCAGCCACTAGTTGTTGTGTCGGTAAGCCGATGTTTGCCTTATCACTATCGCCCCATACACATGCTTCACCAGTTTTCTCGCACGATTCACAGACTGGACGAGATTTTGAGCATTTGACCTTGCGACGTCGGCATGTCTGACAACTGAGACTGATCCTGTTTCTCGTAATTTGTCGTTTTTCGGCAGCCATTGCTGTTTCTACAATGGATTGCTAATGTATCACCAATACTCGAACATCACCAGAAGAGGAATTGGCCAGGGACACAAGAAAGCGACGTGTAAATCGCCGCCAAGAAGCATCTCGATGTTAGACATCGTGGTGCAGTAAGATAGCGACAGTCTCAGGCGCCTGATAATTGTGATGAGACAGCCACTTGTAGATCTGTAAGGCATCTATACCGGCCTTATGGTTGATGCCTGGCACAGAAATAGCCTGCCTTACATGACAATAAGATCGGGGGGGGGCAGGCATCTACTGCTTATATTGTGGTATGCCAGATAATTGTAGCATCTCTGAATCGAAGTAAACTCCACTTAGTAACCCTCGACACAAATCTCGCTCTTCCGCCTGTCTAAAGGAACTTGAAACCCTGAGATTCCATGGCCTTGCAGCCCGTGCATTGTGGGTACAAAAGGACGCCAGTCTCTTGTCTGAGCCTTCCACAAGTGTGGAATCGCCTCCTGTCCACTGTAGTGCTGTTTTTGGTCTACCATGACTCTGCCAGCGGCATAAGCACAAGCTCCGAAGGCGAATCTTATCAGTGAATCGCCTGTTAGACTGCCAGTAACGAATACATTGGGAGCAATTTCGAGCTCTTCGCTGACTCTATCTCGTAGAGTCTGACCTGTAATATCATGAAGTTGAGTATCGTCCTCCAGAACCTCTTGCCTCAGGTCAGGATTTAGGTAGTCGAGGGAGCCACGTCTACCTACCACGTATGCGAAAGAGCCAATTTGTCGTTGAAAAGGTGGATTCTGACCGGCCTGTAGTGTGACGGTGGCATAGTTGTCGTGCATTTCGACATCGACAATGGCAGTATTAGGAAGACCCTCATAGCTTGCACTCCAGTCTCGAGACGAGTCCAGCTGTGAGAGAGTTCGATGCACGTCAGGTCGCCTCGAGGCTTTTGTTCTCCTAGAAGCCATGGCAGCAGACTTCATTTTTCTATAAACACCAGCATACTCAGGATAGGCTTGCTCATGACAAGCTCGAAGGGGAGACGGGTTCGTTTTGGGGGACCATTTATAGATGTGAATGATGCTCTGATCGCCAGGCGTAGACAGCACCACATCTGCTGCGCTGAAACCAGAACCAATGACGAGGATTGGTCTTGAAGTGTGCTCGTCCTGATTTAATTCGAGAAGTGGTTGCAACAGCGGACGAGGTGGCATGAGGTTTGTGAAGGTGCCAGAAGCAAGGACCAGGTGTTTGCAGACCATGTCATGCGAGGCAATGTAAAATCCATCGCGTGTTCGCGAAATGCCAGAGATCGTGGCGTTGGAGCAGATGGCGTCCGCTATGCCGACTCTGTACGGGTATCGTGCGAGGTAGCTGGCAACGTCTCGCCTCGTTGGTCGAAGGTAGAATGGTGCGGGCTCGCCATGTGTGTCAAAGTAGTAGTCTTCAAAGCTGTAGCCGGGCAGAGACAGCATACCAGCATAGCTGAGGGCGTCAATGTCCCAACTCGCTTTGACGGGATTCTCAGCCCATTGTCCTCCTGTTTGCTTTGCTTGACCAGCGACAAGATGTGGGACACTCCGGGCAGGATCTTTGATCCATTTGACGCACGTAGTTCTTCGTGTTTCGTCGGTCTCGCCGTATGGTCGGATCAAAGTGTCAAGCAATACATTGACTAACAGGGCCTGTGTGGAGTAGGAGAATCGTGATGCGTAGAAGTGCTCGGTGAGATGATCGACGTCGGCCGTCAATATATCGACGTTCTGTTTGAGCTTGGCATGAAGAATAGGATCTGGATGAGGCGACTCGAGATCGTACACGGGTATGTTTCCATGCAGGATATATGATAGAATCAGGGCGGAAGGACCACTCCCTGGTGACTTAGTTCAGCGCTTTTCCGAGGTGTAGCAGAGATTGTACATACCAACAATAACAGTGTCAACCTGGTGCTTCAGACGTCGAGTCATGGCGCACACGAGTACGAGTGAACACAAACATGGTCGACTTGAAGCCACGTAGGAGAAGACAAACACAATGTACAAGATTTAAACTCCCATGTTCGGCTCCAACCTCACCTTTACCTCACAATGTTTGTGATAATGACCAGACCAGGATGTGCATAATGACGAGCTAGAAAAAGGCAAAAATTTGAATGCTAGTGCTCGGCTCATGAGCCTTTCACCCCACATCCAACGGCATGAGTTTATGCGACTTCTTTCGTGAGAACAATGATGCAGTTCGTCGGCTACCGAGAACGGTTGAACGGCAGGAGCGTTTGGATTGTTTCTTCCATGCCATGGAAAACATTCAGAGGAAGGCGTGACATGTGTTCGACGCAAGCTTCCGTGATGATGCAAAACATACATCACATGTACGGCCGGAATTCGTGTTGTACCGTCGGGATTCCTGAGTGGGCACGAGAGATGCAGCAGCGGGTGGGTGGGGTAAATGCTTACAAATCATTTGCCAGATCATGCATAATACGATTCTTAGATATAGCATACTGACGAAGCTACAAATGGCATAAGCAGGCATGGAAGCGTGGTCAAAGATGCCACTGAGGCTTTCTTTTCTCGAAGAAAGAGGCAATACCTTCTTTCGCGTGGGCAGATCTCGAGTGCAATGCCATGACTCTTCCAGTCCAACTCACAGCTTCTTCGTAGTCATCACGTAGATGAGTCCAATACGCCCATTTACCAAAGGCTTGAGTTTGTCCAGCAGTCTCTTCTGCCAGCCTGTTTACAATGTGAGCGACACGTTCCTCAAGCTTTGACTCGTCTGCAACAATATCCAAAGCTCCAGGCGGCAATTGCGTTGCTTCGACAGGCTCTGCCATGGCGAGCATGCGAAAAGTAAACGCCGAACCTAGACGTCGTGCCACGGCAGTTGATGGAGAGGTACAGGGCAAACCGAGCGATTGACCAGGCAGTTGAAACTTGGTTGTCGACAGTGTTACTGGAAAGTCAGTGGTGAATGCGAGTTGACAGCCAGCTGCGGTCGCAAGACCTTGGACGACAGCGACAACAGGAGCAGGTGATCGCCTGATCAGTGTCATGACTTCTGCGCAGAGCGCAAAAGTTTCCTTGACTTCTTCATATGACAACTTCTTGAGCTCGGCCAAGTCGTGCCCAGATGAGAACACAGATCCTTCCGTCCGCAATACAAGTACGTTTGGTAGACCTTCTCGTGTCTTGCGCCATTCGTCAGCATTCAACAACCAGGAATATTCGCTCTGTGAACCGTGCTTGGAGCATGCTTCAAGCTCATCTACCAATGAAGGATTGAACGGAGGCAAGATCCTGAGCTTTCCATCGGGCCCTGTGTTAAATTTGTGCAATTGATCTCGTAGGCTGCGAAGTACAGCAAGACTGAGTGCGTTGCGCCTCTTCACGTTGTCGATAGTCAAATAAGCTGCTCGTTTGCTGAGAGCAGGGAAACTCATGATGTTGGCGTTGTCGTTGATGTTCACAACCAATTCAAACGTGTTTCAAGCAAATACAGAGTGTCTCTCTACAAAAAAAAAACATGGCAGCCAAGGTTTGCAACTCATCGGTGATTCTAGTCGCGGTACTCGGAGACATCTTTGAGGTATAGCAATGCCTTAATCAAGTTCACGACAAGCTGGTGATCGAACCAGGCAAGTTTAGCGGCTAGATACCCCGATGGAGATGCTGCCTCAACACCCCATAACGTCATAGGGCCGTCACCTCTCGCATGCGCGTTCCAAGAAGGAAAGAGCTCAGATGCTGAACTGCTCTTGCGCCAGGTCGAATGTATGAGGAAGTCTGCTTTGAGACTGGTACTGACCCCAGTACCTTCCAAAGCCTTGACCGTCGTTGTAAACTATTCAACTGCCTTGAGACCACGACGTTTAAGCAGTATGTCGTGGATGGACAGCTGGTCACGGCCAAATAAACAATCAGCGACACCCCCACCTCTATACCTCACGAGTGAAGATGTCAAGTACTGTCTTGCTTGTGGCCGAGTAATCAGTGATCGCAAATCACACCAGAAAAACAACGTGGTCAAATACTGTTCTGATGGCTGTCGGAAGCGCCGCGTAGGACCAGTAGACAGAAAAATAGACTCGACCATCTTAGCTCTGCTGAATGGGCAGAAAGAATCTGGTATCGAGAAAATTGACGTGAAGAGCAGATTCCGAAAAGGAGATCACCGCAACATAATCTTCTGCGACGAGATCGAGGACATTGTCTTCCCAGGCCACAGCCAGAAGTTGGCCGTAGCGAAACCTGTTGCAGAAGCCACAAAAGAAGACGATGAGGATCCCTATGCAATTCCGAACGACGAAGACCTCGACTCCCAAGGCAACCGACCGAATCCTGCGGGTCCTGGATTGGAAGAAACGCGTCGGGAAGGTCAAAAGAGAGCAGACGAGCGTGAAATGGTACGACGCGCAGCTAGACGTGCTGTGGTTTTCGGCTTTCCAATCGATACTGACGAGGCCCCTGCACAAAAGCCATCAGAGGACGGACCGAGGCGAAAGTGTGAAGCTCTCATGAATGGAAAGGTTGTTGAACCTAGCTTCGCCAAGGGCAATTGGTGTATACGATGGCGTGAGTAAAAAGCATATCGTGATACTCTCAGTGCACTGCGAAACTACCATTCCGACGATCCATAACATCAACATACCTCGGTCGATACGAGTTGTGTTCGACGGGTTTGTTCTTGTCGTTGATGAATGGCTTGCGAGGCCAGTCCTTTGCAACATCAATGTTGGCTCGTGGAGCCCAAAGTTCCAGAAAGAAGAAGATAAGATAGTCGATGATTGCACAAAGACAGAAAAGCTTACCTGCCCACACGCCACAGCCATAATATCGCTTCAGTCGGTCAATCAGTGCATAGCTTTGAACACCAGCACGAACTCTGGCGGCAGACCAATTCCCATCCGGATGTATGCCATAGAAGAACTCCTCTTCACTAATGGCTCCGGTGATGCCGTCATAGACACGTTCAGTTCGCAGTGCCACATCGGTCCAGGAATACATCATTCTGACTTGATCATGAAATCTTTCTGTCTTGACACTACCGGAGCGTAGTTTGGCTATTGCGCTGCCTGTGGCTCTGACTAGGTCGTCCTCTTCTGGCTTCGCAAACGTGGTCATATGACGAGGTAGGACTTCAGGTATACCTCCTACACGGGTGCAGACAACATACAACCCACAGCTAGCAGCTTCGACAATCACAGTTCCAAAGGCCTCGGTAAGGCTAGGGTGAAGATAGATGTGACCACGGACCATGACGTCCCTGACCTCCTCGTGTCGTACTGGACCAAGCAATTCAACCCTGTCTTGCAGCATGCGCCTCTCGATCATCTGCTCCAGGTCAATGGCCTTGGGACCTGACCCGGCGATCAAGAACCGAACATTAGGATCAGCTGCAAGGATCCGAGGCATAGCTGCAATGAGGAGATCGATACCCTTATTGTAGAACAGTCTGGATATAACCACAATGGTGATTTGGTCATCAGGTCCAAGTCGTCGTGGTATCGGCTGCGGCTTGACGCTGTAGCTACTGATGTCGTTTGCTTTGGGCACATAAGTTAGTGGCTGGAAATTCTCCGCAACAACAGCGTTAGGTATCACAGATACGATTAGAGGGTCAAGCGAGGCTCTCAGCACTGTGTTCTCCTTGCAGGTGTGACTGACACAGATTATGTGGTCTACATCACTGAGAGTGAACTTCAAAAGTTTGTTGGTCAATATCGAGCCAGCATCGGCAAAGCCAAAGAGAGAATGATCAGTAAAAACAGTCTTCAATCCCATTGTCCTTGCATGTAAGATTGCTTCATGGCACAAACTGCTTAGACTGCCATGCCCATGTACAATCTCAATCCGTTCCCTGAGCACAATGTTCCTGAACATAGGAAAAAATGAGAAAACAGTTGGGAAGCTTGTCTCTCTGTAGATGACCAGGAACGGTACATGATAGACTTTTAGGCCATTCGTCAGGTAGTGTACTCCAGTACGGCCTTTGTATGCATGAGTGATAACCACGACTTTGTGACCTCGATCGATCAGTTTCGTGGCAAGCTGGTAGATGTGACTTTCGACACCTCCTGGTTGGGGAAAGAAATAGTCCGACACCATGGCGATGTTGTAAGGCATCTTGTAGGGGTGGTCTTGAACAGCCGCTCTCCTCCCAGAATCGCGACAGCCATGGGGTGTATTTGCTACGGCTCAATTGCTGCTATAGTTTGCAGGTATAGCGCCTGAAGTGGTTGTTAGGCAGTTGTTGACCTCCTTTACGAAGTATTGTGGTAGATGAGTTGCGGGAGTGGCATACAGGTCGACCGTAAATTTTCTTATCGATAAGTCAAGAAGTAGGCGACAGCAAAAGTCAGTTGGAGAGCAGGAGGAGTTGGACGATTACCTAGGCATGTCACAGTTCTACGCTCGATATATACCGCCAAGTACGGTCACGAAGACTGCGACCGGACCTGAGGTGAATGAGCGGAATGCCAGTCATACATCGTCCAAATCGAAGCACCAGAATAAGAAGCGCAAGCTAGAAGTCGATCATGATGGGGACGGTATCCTTGCACGGTACAGTGCGACGGGAAGTTCGCGTCAAACAGGTCAGAAAGGCAATATAAAGAACACAAGACTTCGACCTAAGAAGGACAAAGATGTACAGGTCTTGTCTAATGGGCAACCAGAAGACCATTCTGGTGTAGAAAAGAAGTCCTCTGAGCACAAGCGCTTACAGCCTCCCGACTCCATTGCGACCGTGGAAGACGACGAGGCGACTGTATCTAAGCATGTTAAAGTGCTATCAAGATTCAAAGACTCCAAAGCAAGAGCAACTAAGGAAAAGACGGAAGCTGTGAACGGGGAAAAGGCTTCTCAAACCAATGTTCATCCTGAGCGCCTAGATATGGTCCACGATCTCGAACCGATCCCTCAACCTAAGCCTACGCCTGTCTCTCAAGCGAAGCATACATATTCTACAGCACCAGAATGGTTGAGAACCCCTGTTCGCGCCGACCAGAATAATCGCGTCAAGTTTGAGGCTTTAGGACTAAACAAGGTGTTACTTCGAAACGTCCAAGCGCAAGGAAAAGAGGAGGCTTTACCAGTGCAGTCTGCAGTGTTACCTCTGCTACTGGACAAATTTCTGGAACAAAGAAGGGATCTCTGTGTCGCAGCTGCAACAGGCTCTGGCAAGACACTGGCTTATGTCTTACCTATTCTGAACGACCTTCAATCACGAAAGATAACACAATTACGGGCCGTTGTTGTAGTCCCTACTCGAGCTTTGATCAAGCAGGTGGTACAGACATTCGAGTCATGCTCCACAGGCATCGATGTCAAGATAGGCACTGCTGAGGGCAGTAACACGCTTGCGGAGGAACAACGTCAGCTGGTCGAGGAGAAATTGGTTTACCATCCCAGAGAGTATCACAGACAACTACGAGCTCCTGTTGACTGGGCAACTTTCTCATTGAAGGATATCATTGACCGAGCAATGAAGAAAGATCTATTAGAAAGTGTTGGCTATGTCACGGAGTACAGGTCCAAGGTCGACATTCTGGTGTGTACGCCTGGCAGACTTATCGAGCATCTCCAAACTACAAAGGGCTTTAACATGGACGATGTGCATTGGTTCGTGGCAGACGAGGCAGATCGCCTGTTGAACGAAAGTTATCATGAATGGCTTGATGCCGTCCTGCCTGCTCTGAAGTCCCAGAAGGCGACTGAACAGAGAGATCAGTTGCTGCGACATATGTATATGGACGTCCCAGACCGAGTAGTGACCAAGCTCTTACTTTCCGCGACGATGACAAGCGATATATCACAACTGCTGAGTCTGGAGCTGAGAAATCCGAAACTAGTGGTGGTTGAGAACACAGTTTCCGAGGATAATGTCATGGGTCTCAATGAGGAGGCTGAATATAATCTTCCTTCCCAACTGTCAGAATCTGCGCTTACTTTCAAGGACAGTGAAAACAAGCCAATATACCTCGTGGAGTTGCTCAATCATCACATCTTCGACCAGCAGACAGTGCCAACGGCCTCAACTTCCAAAGCACGCGATAGTCCTCAGGGCAAAGACGATCTCGGCTCTGCAGAATCTTCCAGTAGCAGTGACGACGATTCGAGCTCGACAACATCTGATGCAGCAGACGATGCAAGCAGTGTCTCGTCGCTATCGAGCTCTTCCTCCGATTCCAGTACATCTTCGATATCCGACGATCTCAACCACGATCCCCTGACCAAGCCTCCACCAAAAAAGTCACGACTCCACCCACAACCACGAGTATTGATCTTTACCAAATCCACCGAATCAGCGCACAGGCTCTCCCGACTTCTAGCCCTCCTATTACCAGACCTCTCCTCCACCATCGCGACATTCACCCGCTCCTCATCCTCCTCCACATCCGATCGCAAAGCAAACAAAGCCTTCCTTCGCACACGCACAAAAATCCTACAATCCTTCACAAAAGGTACGACGCGCATCCTCGTTTCCACCGACCTAGCAGCTCGAGGTCTGGACATACCACACCTCGAGCATGTCATCAACTACGATGTCCCCGCCAGCGCTCTCACCTACGTTCACCGCGTCGGCCGAACAGCACGTGCAGGTCTAGCAGGACAAGCATGGACACTGGTCGAGCACAAACAGGGGAAGTGGTTCTGGGAAACGATAGGTGGGAAAGGCACGAAACAGGGAGAAAAGAAAATCATTGGGAGGGGGAACAGGCAGATCCAGAAGGTCAATATTGTGATTGACAAGGGGGAGTGGGCAGATAGATATGAGCAGGCACTTGGACAGCTGGGTGAAGATGTGAGAGGTCATGTATAGTCAGCTAGCCGACTACGTTTCAACCAGTGTGCGATGACGATATTATAGTCGTCTGCTATGCTACTTCACTGCTTTCTGGGATCTTACTTCGTTACTAGGTCCTGTGTTGATTCGTTAGCTACCGTTCTATCAAATCTCTGCACCAGTAGGCATGGTCTCTAATAATAGTCATCTATTCGGAGAAGGTACGATCAGCGTATCAACAGCTCTTCTAGACTGCATAAATATACACAAGCTCGTGTGTGGTATGGTTTGACCTTGATATATCGATATACCACTACTATGCGAACATACGCGTTGTTTGTCATTGGCCATGAACAGAGAGAAGCGTCACTATATGATTCAAAAGAAGTCATAGAGGAAGAGATTTCTTTTTTGATATCCAACGTATAGATAGCAGAGCATCAGATCGAGATGTACATGGGTATATAGATCGTGGCAGTATCACCGAGATCCTTCTCTTAGCCTGTCGTCAATGTCTCCTGCCCATCATCACATCTAGTGTATACAGTGTCTCTCGTTTACTCATACAGAGATACAATCACCACATCCTTACATTTAGGATGCGATCAGTGCTTGACCCTGAGCCTGGACAATCAGACCAGCAACAGCTGCGGAACTGAGTGTCGAGACAACACCAGAGAAGAGCGCTGACAGAGCGACTTTCGCGACATCACCAGATCGACTTGGTGCAATCTGAGAAAGCACACCGATTTGAGTACCGAGCGAACCGAGATTACCAAACCCCTGTGAGGGAGTTAGCATGATAAAACGAAGTAGGTAAGTAGTACTTACACAAATGGCATACGTAGCAATGAGTCGAGATCGAGGGCTGAGACCACTGTATGCGTCCGATTGGAGGGTGGTAAAAGCCACGAACTCGTTAATGATGACCTTGACACCAATGAGCTCACCGACGGCGCGAAGATCCTGTCGAGGTACACCGAGCAAGAAAGCGACCGGATAGCAGATATAGCCCAGAATGAGTTGCAGTGTAAGTCGTGGCTCCTCAATGTTGAAGAAGCGACCCCACCAACCAAGAAGAGCATTGATAAGGCCGACAAGAGCGATGATGCAGAGCAAAGTAGCGATAATCATACCAGCAATCTTGATACCTAACCAAGCACCATTTGCAAAAGCATGGAGCGCGTTGGCAGCCTTGTGCTCGTCATCATCTGGAACAACGACTCGGCCGGACGTAATAGTCTCTTCAGTCTCTGGATATCTCATCTTTGAAACGGCCAACGAGGCGGGAATGGACATGATGCAGGAAGATACCAGAGCCTGAGGGCTGAGACCAAGACCGATGTAAGCGACCAAGACGGATCCAGCAATTGTTGCGAAACCACAAGTCATCACTTGATGGATTTCGGCAAGAGTGAGATGTGGTACGAAAGGTCGGACCAGCATGGCAGATTCACCTTGACCAATGAACGGAGTTGCTGACGCGACAACGGCTTCAGCACCGGAAACACGAAGAGACCAGTAGAAGAAAGTCGCGAATTTGACGACAAACCACTGCAGCAAACCACTATAGTAGAGGAGCTGGACAAGGGCGACGAAGAAGATGATGGGTGGAATGACACCAATCAAGAAGTATGGCAGCTGTGTGACATCTTCGGAGGTAAGGAAGGCAGTGCCCTGTTGAGCGAAACCCAAGAGTTGTCGAGCAAGGTATGAAATAAAGTTGAAAATATCGTAGCCGGCTTGAGTCCTGAGCACGAAGAGCGCAATGATAAATTGTGAGAGCATACCACCAATGACGGTATGCCACTGAATGCGTTTCCGATCGCGAGAAGTGACCCAAAGCAACGCAATCATTACAATAAGGCCAAACAGCGACACGGCTCTGTTTGCCCGTGTGTTGTCCTCGTACTCTGAGGAGGCAAAGGTTGCTACCAGGATTATGGCGAAAGTGCCAGCTGCTGCCAAAGGTTGGTGCAATTTCTTCGGGATCATGTCATAGATGCGCACACAAGTATTGTTCCACACGAAGGCCATAGGTCTCAAAACATACTTGTTTGCTGAAATGTGGAAAGTGATTAGTCGCAATGTGATCGCAAGGTAGACCAGGAAGGGTTTCAGCCATCCCAGGGTGTCGTAGCGGTGGTAGTATAGACCGACGATCCACCAAGCTGTGAACAAGCACCATATGCCTAAATGGAAGAAAATTCGATACCTCCTGTAAAAGGAAGAAAATCTGTGTTTCTTGCCATCACCCTCTTCGCTGGAAAGACGGGTTGGGCTAACGACACCTTTCTCAGCATCGGTCATACCCACCTCTTTCTCATTGCGCAATTTGTGTGCCGAATAGTCCTGGGATGGTCTTGCGAGGAGATCGCGATCGCGCGTCTCACTACCTGTTGCGTAGACAACAGGCTCGTTCTTCTCTTGGGCTATCGAAGCTCGAGGACCGTGGTGAAGGTGACCATGTTGGTGCTCATGCGAGAAATGGAGAGCCAAGTCAGGATTGGCATCGACGCCATGTTGCGAGGAGGGATTGTGTCCGTGCGCTGGCAGAGAACCGTGGTTGGGAATCGTCCCGGCACGAGCTCCGAGCACGTCGGGAGTGTGGGTAGCAGGTTGATTGACCACCTGTGGGTTTGTCTCTTTCTCTGTCCCGTTCATCGTGGCTCCCTCCTGGTGTGCGGGTCGTCAAGATACTTGGACAGTAAAGTGCTTCTAACAAAAGCCAAAAACAGGAGCAAGACGGGAATAAAGGCAAGTAAAGTAGTAATCAGAGCCGCTGACATCTGAATTGTAATTTGAGACTAGTGAACTTGGAAGGGCAACAGCAAAGATAAGGAAGGAGCAATGCAGGGTTCTAGGACAAAAGCAGATCGCACGGCCGAGAGCTGACAAGTGCTTCTCGTTGGCGGCAGGCAAGAGGGGACCTGGAGAATGGTCTTGGGAATGATATCGCATGCTCTTTCGATTCGATGAGTGGAGCTCCCCAATCGTCGAAAACTTTTGGAGCAAGCGGCGAACTCTGCTGGTTGGCTCTGTGAATGGTCAGACTGTGAAGTGGACTGTTGGAGTGGTATAACCAGGTGCAACCTCGCTATCCGGAGACCTGTCACTCCATGCGCCGATTTCAGGTGGCACAAGAGATTCTGGACCGATAGACACACGGATTCGAAATTGACCTGCCAATCAAGCGGGTGCCTGCTGGACTGTCTCAAGTCTGGGCTAGTAGTTAAGAGGTACTTTAGTAGAGACACCTAATCTGACCCATCAATGCTTTTTCGGCGCAAGAGTAAAATACAGTTTTGTGCACGGACATAAACTGGAACCAAGACTTGTGGCCACAATGCGAGGCTTGAAGATCTGCCCGCCTCCAGTTGGTCTTGGCACCCCACTACGGTGTTCGGCACGGTCGCACACTCTTTTATTATTCGTGTGTGACCTCCATCACCAGTTTAGTATCCATCATAGTTGTATACGATCAGCATTCCTAGTCCTCCTGGGGTAACTTCGTTCTGCTGACTTCGCTGCTGATCATTCTCGAAATCCATGACCTGTTGCAACCCCATCTCCAGATCAATTCGAACTTCCATCTCTGGGGCCCGAGCACGTCTCCCCCGGTCGCGTGGCAACTGGGTGTTTGTAGCATTGTGACCCATCCGCACGAGATCCCACACCAGCCTAACAGTAAACAATTGCAGTGCTTGCTTGCTTGCTTGCTTGCTTGCTTCAAATGGTGGAAACACTAAAATTGATGCACGTTGCAATAACGAAGGTGGAGACTGCTAACGGACCCTGTACGCGCGCTATGGCACGAGGTATATCCATCTGAGGCTTTCTTACTGGTCTGCGCAATTGTCGTTATCAAAACGCGACCCTCGACATCCCGGCGACACCGAATCCAGTCATTCGCATTGCTGTCAGAATTTATAGCTATCGCAACACGAATGCTGATTCATAAAGTGTGACAAGCTTCTCATACAGTAAGCGATAAATCAGATGTGTTACTAAAAAGTCAAAGCCCGAACGCTCAATAAGAGAGTGTTTTTAAATTAAGGAATAAGGCAAGCCTGTCAGTGAAAGAGGTCGGCGTCATGCAAGCTGTCGCAAATTGTGTATGCAAAGCCAAGAGATAGTGTATTACGATCGTCCCATTTACTCCTCGCTAAGGTGAGTCGTCTAGGCACAAATAAGTCGAAGCGATAGAGACATTGGCGAGAGAGTTCAGTGTGCGCCTGTTTCCGCCGGCTGCTCAAACAAGCTCGTGTGATAGTGGCAATGGGCAGGAGACCATGGGGTTCCTGCCCCCATGATGGCCACCTTTAGAGGTTAAGATACCGAATCTTAGGATTACCTCGGAACAGGTGACCAGAATCGATATGCCAATCAAAACAATTATGATCCAAGTAATGCGGGACATTTTGTTGTCAGAGACGTAGTCGGATAGAACTTCGGCTAGATCCAGGAAGACCCGGCATCGTTCGTTCAATACTTGAATCCGCGGTTTGATCTCCAGATATTCCGTTAGCGCACTATACAGTGGATGCAACGTTGGCTCGTCTTCCCAGATAAGGTTCGGGGTATCAAGGACGTTCGATGCTGGACCATGGGGTTAGTGCTTCCTGCGGGATGCAACAGGCATTTTGACTCACATAAATTAACGTCCACGCGACTCTTGAACAACCCTCCAAGTAGCTTGATAACTTCCTCGCGTTTCATGCCCAGCTCACCGGTCTTGGCAAGTCGAGATGGAACATCTTTCGCTTCCTCCATCTGTTCAGCCATGGTTTCCTCGAAGAAAGACAGCTTAGTGCTCTGTGCGATTGCATGGCTGATAGCTAGCTTGATCATGTGATCACCACTGCGAAGAGTAATCATATCGTTGTATATCCTAGGTCTTGATAGCTCATTGTTGTACTCGAAGTGAAATTCTTCAGTTTCAAAATCCTCTTCATCGAGCGGGTTCGTGGTTAGGGAGAGTGGTGAAAGAATGTGGTTCTTTTCGTCGACCAGAGTCGCAAAAGTTAGATCCGCTAAGACATCTTTTTCTTGACGTTCTGTGAAGTTCCAAAAAACGACGACTCCGTATGAAAAGACAAACATCTCGGCAAACCTATATGCGTCTGTCGGTACTGTGTTGCCAGTCGGACTGGTCGATCGTGTAGAGAAGTTTCCAGTGCTGTCCCTCCTCACTCCGTTCACGTGTGGACGATCGTCGTGCTCCGTGGTTTCGTACTGGCTCGAATCTTCGTGTTCCTCTGGTATGGGATCGCCCCTGACTGAATGCTCCTGCTCCTCAGCATCGAAGTCACCACGGTAGTTCCTTTGTTCGCTACGTTCAATTGCTTCATCCAGCACCATGCCACCTTTTGCGCTGACAGCTGGGGGACTGCTCAATACTCGATAGCCATCTGTCCCCGGCATAAGAGGAAGATGGTAGGCAGAGTACAGACAGTCGTCGTAGAGTTTGGCTCGTGCGCCGTGGCGTTGCCTGATAAAGGTAGCTGTCGACTGTAGCTTGTAAGCTTGAGCTGTGCAGAACGCTGTGACTCTGGGAAGCTCTTTTTCGGTACGCCTGTGCTTTGGAAGACGTTCAGCATAGCTTTTCGTCTTCTCTCGACCAGGCTGCCGATACTGCTCATCACCTTTTGGTGGTCCTTTGTCGTCAGCACCAGGTCCAAACTCGCCCTTCTCGTCTTCCTCTTCAAGTGTTTCAGGTAAAAGCACAAGTTTCTCGGATGTCTTCGTTGAACGAGGAGGCATATGAGGCGGAGCGAATCGACCCGTCAGTCTTGGATCCATAGGTCGACCAGAAGTGGTACGAGATTGCCGTGGACGCTGCGGTCGACGCTGCTGGGCTGAAGGAATATCAGAAGCATACTGCAGTACACTATCAACTGTAATGAACCGAGAAGTTTGACGACGCCCAGGGGGAGGCCGACGTTCAGCTGCATTCGCGCTTGAGGTCTTTGCGACTATCAGTCAAGTTTATTCGTTTATGAAAGCAGATCATACGCTTACCAGGATAGATGGGCTGCGTCTGGGCGCAGGACCTCGAGTTGAGGCCATGTTGTGTCGAAGCCAAGCTACACGCGCAGTGTTCTCGTATGAGGTCACCAGCTAATTGTTTGACTTGCTGATTGTAAGATCTTGAAGACTTTCTAGCATGTAAAGTCAGTTATGCATTCAAATTAATTCGAGAGGTATGATGAAGCAGCGTCATAGCCCGGAGAACTCTAATTCTATGCCCGTAGTTATTAGTGGCTACCTCGCGTCTGGGCTCGGCTGCGGTGCATCTATCCGCTTATGAAGCACCACCATCCGCGACTACACCGACTTCACTCATATGACAAATGTCTTCTCTATGTCCTTTGCAGGTGACTCGACAACTGACATCGCTTTGGATAAAACGATTGTGAACACTGCTGCCGCTGGTCAGCTTTGAAATGAAGCCAAATGCCTAGCCTTCGAGCTCCAGACCATGCATATCGGCTAATGATATTTAGAAGAAACTACTTATGAAGTGGCCAGTGTTGGTTACAAACAGTTATAGGACGTCTCATCTGCTACTCTAGGATTTGACAAGCAGTTCCCGCTTGATGTTGAGGTGCTGCCAACGCCCTACAGGGAAGATTGACTCCTCGAGCAAAGAGCATACATAATGGCCAATACTGAGCATCACCTATTCTTGACCACAGAAGATCCATATGCTACATATGCGCCAGGCGACAAAGTCTGTGGAACGGCCAACTTGGAAATTGTCAATCCTTTGCTTGCGAAATATGTCATCGTATCCCTGCTGGCAGGTCACAGAGTGACTGCTGCAGAGGCCAAGCCTAGCAAGCAGAATTTCTTCCACAAGCAGTTCACAATCCCTTTTCACAACAAGCGTGAGGATCCTGCTCGAGTGTTATCGTCGGGCAAACATAAGTGGAAGTTCGAGTTCACTCTGCCAAAATCCAATCAGCTACCACCATCATTCTGCTATCGTGATGAACTTGGCTCAGTAGAGGTCTTGTATTGCCTAGTAATGGGCGTTTACAAGACAGACTCGACATGCCCTTCTAAGGAGACCATGTGTACCTTACCTATCAAATATACACCGAAAAGATCACCATCAATATCCATCGAGTCTTCCGCCTCATATGTGTGCCAACACCTGCTTGTGAAGCTGCCCGATGGTGGCGTCTTCCCTGCACGTCGGAAACATTCAGCATTCCAGATAGTCAAACAGATTATAAACAGGCAGAAACCTGCAGAAGAACTCTTGCATGCCACGCTATGGCTGCCCCGCTATGCCGCATTTAACGATCATATGGATGTTTCGCTCAAAATACAAACCCATGACGAAGATCCCTTACGTTATGTGCAGGTCAGGTTGGTCAAGATCGAATATCTTTTGTGGGCTATAACGCGCATCGGTTCTGGACAAGGATCGCGAGTCCGGCGACATAAGATGGCTGGAACTTTTGGAGCCGTCAATACTCTTCTCGACACGAATAGTTTGTGGACATCCCTGAGACGTCACGCCCCGTTTCGGGTGCAGCCTCGATTGCACGGTTTACCTTTGGATAAAAACTCTTTCAGTTCTCTATCTCCCAGCTTTGCCTATCAAAACATTGTTAGGGAGTACACTTTGGACATTGATCTGTTTATATCAGTATATGGAGTAGTACATAGGGTTAGATTCGAGGGTAACGAGCTAGTTCTGCTGCCACATGAATTACACTTAGATAACGACTGATGAATCAATGCCGCAAAATCATGCGACTGTAACAGGTGCCTTCCTAAAACTTTGTGTTTGACATTTGTATGTTTGCAGGTCCTCAATATGACTGTGAAGGAACGGTGGTGGAAGTGACAATCTTTGGGGCACCACTAAGCCTCGCTGATTGGCGCTTAGTGCCAAACTTGCCCCACTTATGAGTGAAGGTTTGTGCAGCCCTAGGAGTGCACCTCGAGAAATGCTGCCTAGAAATCTTTTCATCTCCGTGACCAATCCTGAATTTCTCACATTCTATCTCAACATTAAGTTCCTCGCGGTTACCCAGTTTCGCGATGGACAATACTTGAGATACTTTCACTAACGATTATTGACACCCACAAAAAGTCACGAGTGGCACAGAGTGAAGCACGTGGACCCACTAGGTGAAAACAACAAACGCGAACCTCGCAAAAGCCCGATTTTTCGTACTTCTTGTGCGATAAATTATCAACACACATCCAATCTTCTACATTATCATGGCACGCTTCAAAACCACAGTAGATCCTCGGAGTAGGCTGGTCGAGGATGTTGACAATGCAAGTCCGGCCACCAGACGCACAACCCGTCGTGTGAAACCCAAGGTTGAGACAGAAGACAGCCCTGAATCAGACTCGAGTCCAGACGTTGAAGACGAAGACGAACAGGAACATGAACAAGAAACCGTAGACTCATCTTCTCTGTCACCAGTGCCAGATGCTGAGTCAGGACTCGAGCCAGAACCAGTACGGAAACGTAGAGGACGACCACCAAAAAATCCCGCTGCGAAAGCACCAGCCAGACTTTCGGTTGGCGAAAGCCTGAGCGAAACTCCTGTACCAGCTTCTCGACGTTCAGGCGGTAACAAGCGCAAGCATGACCACGAATACTGCTTAACGTGCTCACATTATGGTAGGGCTTGTGGTGGCCGACGTGATGGGATTGAGGGTTGCGCAGTCTGCCGCGAACCTAATCGTCAGAAAGGTGAGAAGATGAGGGAGTGTTTGTGGGCAGACCCAGAAAATGGCGTGGGCACCTATCTGCAAGCTCGCGAAGTCCTGAAGAGAGCTCAAGCAGCAGAGCGAGCAGCACAAGGAAAGGCCCCGACAAAGCGACAGATGCAGTTTCTTAGCGAAGCCGAAGCCACGCAATATCTTCGAGCACCCGATAATCTCGGCATTGTCCAGCCTCCTTTCCCAGGACCTCCACCAGTGCGACGACCTTTGAACCTGCTGCCACCACCTTCAGCCGTGAACACCAGCCGATCAAATGGTACATCTCATGATAAAGCAGCCTCAGGTTCCGCAGATGAAAACGATACCATCGTTGTCAATACTCCTACCGACGAAGCTCCTCGACGGCCACAAGTTATCAAGCTGTACTGTAAGGAAGCACAAGCTAATAATGTCAACGGCAATCACAGCAGCTCAGCCCCACCTCAATCTCAGAAGCAAGATTCGCCCCAGCCACCTACAGATGACCACGGCTTTCGTGTTCCTTACTACGATCCGAACATGAACGCCTACGTACTTCCAGCTTATCCTTATTCGAATCTGCTCCCACCTTATATGCAAGACAAAGTGAGCAACCAGTCATACATCTCACCTTACGACGCCTATCCATGCATTCCCATTGTAATCTCCAACGTCAATCCACCACAAACTGTCAACTACCAAGCAAGACCTCCACCTCCCAATGCCAACTTCACCAAGCCACGACCTCTCGACAAGACCGGTCAGCCCGTCAGAAAGTGGTCAAGATCAAACTCACATGTCAAGAACGTGGGAGGCTACTCACTATCTACCAAAGGCTGGACGCCCAACGGAAACCACAAGGACGGAGCAGAAACACCACAAGAACTACGACGAGGTGACAGCAACGCAGTGTCCACTGAGACCGGAACTCATCAAGACGATAGCGATCACGAGATTGAGGCCGGCGAGGACCACAACGACGGTGCAAGTTCAGACCTTAGCTCGGCCATGGACGTTGACGTCGACATGGAAGATGGAGGCACCGAGACCACAGAGCCGTCCGAGGATGCTGAAGAAGGACACGACGGAGTCAACGGTGTTACAATGTCTGACTGATTCTCCCAGTGAAGACTCGCAAAGCAACACGGTCTGACTTTTCCTTGTTATTTGAGAATGCGTTCTTCTTTTTTCAACCAAGTCTATGCATCGCACATCATCGTATGCTATTACATCACGCATGGAGCAAGGAGGTTCTTGAGGCTGGGGAAGTGCAACTTCAAGGAATTACCATCGTTAGGAACAATAGTATAGATACATCATGTGTACAGGAGTAAGTGGTGTTCGAAAATGCTGCATAAGTTTCATACAAAAAGTGTCTAGAGTTAATGGTTATTAGATTCGACAGCTTTTCCACTGCAGGTCAAGATAATTTGTAAAGCGGTATTTGATCTCTACAACACGATAGAATTGTAGTCATGTAATTCGTAAATTGATTCACAACTGGGTATCAATAGCACATTAAATCACCATCGCTATCGCTATGTACATTCAAGCATCATTCTTAACTGGATGCAAAACCATCATAGGCAAACACATCCTTCCATGTCCTTCGCCTAGCTCCCACTCAATCTCGTCATTACCATTCTCGTTCCCCAGCCATCGTCGCCAGAGATATCCCGCAAACCCGGCATTACTATACCAGCTCGCACTCCGAAAGACATGTTCTCCAGGCCCGAACACACTACCGTCAGGCCCACCATGGAAGTAATTGGCGCCGTTGTCCAGTCCTGCTGTGATGCTTTCAGGACGCAGTTTGGCGTTATTGAAGATCTCGTTCGCGTGTTCTGCTGGCCAGTCACGGTCGAAGTATGTTGTGATGGGTGCGTAGACGGCTTTGAGGCCGTAGTGTAGTGCGATGGAGGCTGGATACATTTCGGGAAACATGGTGTGTTTGTTTCTGAATGTTTCCTCATGCATTAGGAGAAGTAGGCGGCGGGACATACGCGAGGCTGTGATTAGAGCTGCTCGGGTTGGTGGCCGATGGTCATCTGGATAGCCTGTTATGTCGTCGCGAAAGGCCCATCGTGTATGCGTCGGGTCGAAGAGTGGTGAGAGAGTTATCAGGTCTGTGATGTCTTGGTTCGTTGTGTTCGAGGACTGGGGCGGGATAGGGAGGAGTTGAGTTACTGGCACTTGTGGACCTGCGACTGGCTTGCGACCGAGTGCTTTCGTTTCCTCTTGTATCGAAGTGGCAAAGCTCGAGTACAACCCATTATGTAAAGAGGGAATGTAGAACTTGGAAGATCGTTCCCAGAGATGATCTCGCTTTTGTTTGTCCGCCCAGCTTGTGATCTTTTCAAGTAATTCCCCATAATGCCCAGTTACTCGGATATCCATCTCCCATTGCCAGAAGAAGTCGAATTCAGGATGCCTCGAGGCGAAGTATTGTAGAGGAAAATGTAGGGATCGGTAAGCCTCGTAGACATCACCGCCTGAGAAATTGATGAGGCTCTCTGGAAATGGTGGCGGATAGATCAGCTTCATTTGCGCAACGGACCACAGAGTGCCCATTCCTCGAAACTCTTCTGGTAGACTTGCTTCTAGGGTCTGGTTGTATAACTCTTCAGATGCCCAGATCGGAATGGTATCATCTTGCACATGGATCAGAAAGTTCACGTAAAATTGCCCACCACTTCTCAAAGACAGTTCGTTGATTATTGCTCGGAGCATAAGGATGTGGTAGGGGGTGTAGTGGAAGGTGTGCCAAGTCCGCAAGATGAAAGCCGTTCGTGGTCGATCTTGCAATACAGCGGCATTCTTTACAACACAATCTTCTTGTATTTGATTCCATTGTACTCCGGCGAAGTTTGGTCGTTCAAATTCATTGTCTCTTTCGTTGTCGCCACGCAGTTCAATCGCGAATCCACCCTGCTCTTCCGGCACATCTAACCCATAGGCACCGTAACGGTGTATGCGATCGTAGCAACGTTTGTCATCGATACCCAGCTCTTCCATTGATCCCAAAAGAGGCGCACTCATGCCTTGAGGTAGACCACCGTACGCGGGAATGAGTGGAGGCACGATCGAGCACGATACGATATCATCAGGTATTGGTTCAGAGGAATGCGTCAGGCCGGGAGGTATATCAGACAAAGGTCCAAATGGTTCACCTGCTTGGTCTTGCTCAGGGATATAGGCTGACGGTAGCACAATATCATGCCGACCTCGATAGTATCCTACGAGACGTGGAAACTGTTCCCGCCAGAAGACTTCTCGGCTACCACGATAGACTGATTTACCAAGAGGTATCGGTCGCTCATCGTCGAAGGCCGTGTCTTCTCGTAAGCTGCGAGCGGACCAGACATATCCTGTCGTTGTCGCGGAGACCAAGATCACTAGTAGAAACAGGGCAGCGCAGACGAGCCATGTTGCTTTGCGCGGACTGAAACTGGAGAGACTGGCTTGCCGTCGATGACCTGATCGCGGCGATTCTGAAGCTAGAGGGAAGTATTGAACATTCTTGTGCGTGGTGTCGCCGTTTTTGAGGGACAGCAACTGATCGACTTTGTGCGACAGCTGCTGCGAAACGGACTCGAGCATTGGCGTGGCCACGCGACAGCAACTTCGGGCACGTGCGTCTTTGTCTGGGCTTGAATCACTCAAGCTTGCCGCTCTGACCTCAGTAGACAGTACGACTGTACTAAACGCGACATTTAGGCTTCTAACACCTTCAGGTGCGCGAATACGCGTCTAACTATTAATGGTCATCTTCACTTGCTGGGATATTGTGAAGATTGTCCACGCAATCTGTAGTCTTGAGCAACGGATAAGCTCACAAGCTAATATTTGCCTACTGTCGACCACTATCTTGATGACCTATTGGACGCTCGAGTCCATTCGAAATGACGTTGATAGAGCCCGGAACTGGAGCTTGCCAAGGTCGATCTTAGGCGTGCTTAGGTGGCCAGTGGACCTCCCCGGAAAATGCACTGTGAACTCCGTTACCAAATATCAGGGAGATTCTACCACATTTACGGTCATGAGGATAGCAAGATTGCTCAGTAATGCTGAAGTCGTTCTTCAGTTCTGAAAACATACTTCCTGGTTGCTCTCAAAGAATGACTGTTCATACAGCGTTCGAATTCTAGCAGGAACTTTATGGCAGCAGTAAATCCTGAACTGCATCACGAATTCCATCCATGCTGCTTTTCCGTGAGCTTCTTCATTCAGTCAAAAGTTACTGGGCACGTCATGCCTCACGCTCAAAGTATTGCTTGACTCAATCACCTATCATCTACCTCGTATAAAGTGTTCGACAGATCATCTTAGGTCAATATCCGGGAATACCTTTCGAGTGCCACAAGAGGCTGTTCCAAACTGACATACTCCACGATGCCTACAGCAGTCGTGACCGGCGCCAATTCAGGAATTGGAAATGCTTTCGCCCAGCTATTATTGAAAGAGGTCAGCTCGTAAGTCATATATCGTGTTCACGTCTCACTTGCTGTAGGGCTACCAAGTATACGCTGTAGATCGAGTTATCGGCGATGGCCTCAAAGCACTCAAAGATGCGAATGTAGGAGAGCTCGACGTTACTTCACAGGACTCTATCTCGAAGTTCAAAGCCAGTTTGAAGGACGAAGCTGTTGATCTGCTCTTGAATATTGCAGGTTCGTGTTGACATTGCCTTGCCCGACCGGTTCACTCACAAAGATAGGTATCATGTCTGCCCACGACCAGGACTCTTTGCAGGGAACCACCTTGCAGACATTTGAAAAAGTCTTCGCGGTCAATACCTATGGACCAATGTTTCTTACCCAAGCACTATTGCCAAACCTAATGAAGTCAGCGAACCCAAAAATTGGCACCATTACATCTCGCGTTGGCAGCATAGGCGATAACACGAGTGGCGGCATGTACGCATATCGCTCGTCCAAGGCTGCAGCGAACTCCATCGGCAGAACGATGGCTATGGACTTAAAAGAGAAGGACGTTCCCGTCTTGCTCTTGCATCCTGGCTTTGTTCGTTCAGGTCTCTCGCCGGGAGCAGATGGTAAAGAGTTTGTTGACCCGGAAGAAGCTGCTACAAAACTGTGGAACAATGTTGTCAAACCAAAAGGTATGGAGTCCACTGGTACTTTCTGGCATCGAGAAGGATACGAGCTACCTTGGTGATGGATCCAGCTGGAAATGTGGGCAAAAGTTATACGTCGTTGTACCTATTCTCGCTCTTGGTTTGTGTTCATACGTGTCTCGATCGATTCCATTTTGTACTTAATTCGGTTGCACGCATGGTAGCAGCATGTATGATTGATGAGACAGCTGTGCTATGGCAAGCAGACTTTATTTCTTGCGTTGCTGTCATATGCCTGGGTGTCTACGTGACAAGCGTTAGGCCTTTCTCATTCCGTCACTTGCCAGCTATCTGGGCTTTGCGATGAGTATCTCATAAACGATCGATGTAGATGCATTTGTAAGCCTACAATCACACCATCGTGGTCTTTCGGCAATTGAGCCGCGGCTCCTTTGGAAAGTACACGGAAAATGCGAACGCGCCTTCCTTGTATAAATTTACGTTCAAGATGATAAGATGTGACAATCTCAAATCCTCACGCTTGAGTGTTCCTACGTTGGAATGCTACGCTCTATTCTACTGGCGTTTTGAGATCGTACTGTGTTGCTAAGTTAGGACACTTCTAGCCCTCAGCTCACATCGCGCACCCAAGCTTGATAACTCGGGTTCGAATATTCAGCATAGAGAAGGTTGACCTGCAGTAATACATAGACACAGTCACGGACGAGTCAGGAATCTCTCCATGTTGCACTTGTAAGGCTTCGTGTGGAATTCGTTGAGCAGAGTTTCCCATGATAGCGGTCCGCTACAAGACTAGCCAGGGTATCGTCAAAGGCATAATTTAATACTACACAGGTATCATTCGTCGATTTATCATACCAGTCAGCAATTTCATTGACGATGGCACCTTCAAAAGTCTCAACACCTTCATCGAAACACTCTCTACCTTTGCATAGCGCAGCTTCTGCCCATCATGACCAAGCTACCAAAGCACGGCCAAACCTCAACCCACCAGTTCCTGACATTCCATTCTTCACGCCCCAACATCGAGTTTCGCCAGGTGCTGTCTTCGGCAATGTCGAAAATGTACCGACTCTGTTTCAGCCTCTGACTATTCGTGGTAGAACACTCAAGAACAGAATTGTAGTGGCACCCATGTGCCAATACTCAGTCGCTCCAGATGGACCACAAGCAGGATGTCTAACGCCATACCATATCGCCACATTAGGCCATTATGCACTGAAAGGCGCAGCGTTGACTTTCTGTGAGGCCATGGCTGTGCAGCCAAACGGGCGTATCTCACCCAATGACGCGGGCTTGTGGTGTGATGCTCAAATAGACGGCCTAAAACAAGTTGCTGATTTCGTGCACAGCCAAGGTGGATTACTTGGCGTTCAGCTTGCCCATGCTGGTCGAAAAGCAAGCCAGACTGCTCCCTGGATCGGAGGTGGGCCTGATGGACGAAGAAAAAATGGCATGCGAGCCACGAGAGATGTTGGTGGATGGGGTCCTGGTGATGTCGTGGGACCTACTGGCGGTCACGAGATGGTCTGGGATGGAAAGAGCGAGAATGACCCTGATGGTGGATTTTGGGCTCCGAGAGGGCTCACGATCGAAGAGATAGATGAGATGGTTGAGGACTGGAAAAGTGCCGCCATTCGAGCGGTTAGAGCTGGAGTCGATGTGATCGAGATACACGGTGCTCACGGCTACCTCATTCATCAATTCTTGTCTCCAGTTACCAATAGACGAACAGACCAGTATGGCGGAGATTTTGAAGGACGGACGCTGTTAGTGCGTCGGATCATCGAGGCTGTTAGAAGTGTAATGCCAATAAGCATGCCGCTCTTTCTACGTGTGAGCGCAACCGAGTGGCTGGAAGATAGCGAGTTTGAGAAGGCAGCAGGCGGAAGCTGGAACGTCGATGCTACAGAGAAGCTTGCTAAGATCCTGCCTGACCTGGGCGTTGATCTGCTTGATGTCTCATCAGGTGGTAACCATCGTGCTCAAAATACGGCCTCATTCCGCATCAAGGACTATCAGACTCGCAACGCTGGCCGTATTCGAAAGGCACTGAAGGCCGAAAGGAAACATATGTACATTGGTGCAGTCGGCCTGATCACTGATGCTGAGCAGGCCAGAGATCTGGTTCAGGAAGACGGCCATGCACAACAGTACCTGCAAGAATCGACACTGGCCGACGAGGCCAAGGCTGTCAAGGAAATGACTGATGCCCACAATGGGAAGGAAGCCCAAGCCGATGTTGTCTTCATTGCCAGACAGTTTATGAGAGAGCCTGAATGGGTGTTGAGAACTGCGCAACATTTAGGGGTGGATGTCGCTTGGCCGTCTCAATTTTTGAGAGTGCGCTTCCCAAAGTTATAAATAAAGGTTGAACCGACAAGGTAGATTGATAGAATGGTTCCCTCATACCAGTGAGTAAGCACAGTCATGCAAGTTGATAAAGTACTGTTTCAGCTCCGGTGAATATCATATCACATGGATACAGAATTGTTGGCTGGTTGCCTACGACTGAATAATGTTACAGTTAATTGTCGCACGTGCCGGCACAAAGTAAGACATACCCTAACTCCTACCTTGTATGACTATGCCTAATGCCCGGAAATTGAATCCAGTAATCTGATTGCTACTACGATCCCGCACCATTGCAGAACGATATGAACCCGACCGACATGGCGTAACAGCCTTTCGCCGAATCCAGGCAGAATAGTATAGATTACAGCTGTGCCGCAAGCAGATTTAATGTGTACAATGAACAAGATCTTGCGTCGATTGTAAGATCTGCTCCTTCAGTCCTGGCAGATATCCAACGTGAAGGTCTCTGCGTTTGTCCGGGGCTTGGCCTCGTCTGTGTCAGTAGTTCCGAGAACATTGTCCTGAACTTGCTTTGCATTGCCATCTCTGTTCTCGGTCACTTCAGATGAACTTCTTGCTGCAGGCACAGCTGCAGCGTCTTGGGCTTTCTCCGGCGAACTGGTTGTTGGGGTTGCAGGAACACGCAGAGATGAATAGCGTGCCGTCTCTTCACGTAGAGACTGGCTTCTGGGTGATTGGGACCGGTGCACTGTAGCAATATTGTTAGCTTAACGGAGAGATCAGTAGTGGGATAACTGACCGTCGGGTTCCACCCAGAGACTTGGGATCGACTCTGCTCTTTTCAGTGGCAATGAAATTGGGTGAGAATGAAGATCAAGACCTCTAAGGAAGCTTGTCAACAGAGGAATATAGGCTGCGTATTCCTTTGGACCATGTTCTCCTACTACGTCGTCCAAAGCTTTCCTTCCTTTCGCTGGGGGTTGACTGTAACGTCTTGTCCAATGCAAGTCAGTCCATGTATTCTGTGACATGCTTGAACCCCACATGGAGATGAGGTCGCTGAGATGAAACAGTGGTACATTGATGTCTAAGAACTTTCGAGCCATTCCACGCCGAATTTGCATGGAACTGTCAGACGGGCCTTGCTCCTCATTGGGAGGTTTCTCAGCAATATGTGTTGATAACTCAGGTTGAAGGTCATCCTGGCGAATGCTTCTGATCATTTCGGAGGCACGTAGTGTGTCGCAGGTCTCGGCCTGAGCAGCAACTACGTCGAGTCCTTCAAAGGAGAATTGTGCACCCCAACAAACCAATTCTGGTCGTTGCGATTTAGCTAGCTTCGGAAAAAGCTTCGAACGTGATCGTGTAGTATCTAATATATCTTTGGCAGGGCGTGCTCGACCAGAGGCTGCTTGCTCAGGTTGTGCGTTCCCGAGCCGTCCACTATTACGCGAAGACTTGATGGAAGGTGTATCAGCATGTCGGATCTTGGACGGTGGCTTCGTCTCACTTAACGCTGAGTCATAGCGTAGAGCTGCGGACACGTACGGATCATGCGGTAAGGAGAAGACAGAAGCAGGAGGTGCAGGAGGAGATGTCGAAGGAGCTGCACGATTCTCAAACAATTGGTCCTCCATACTGGCCTCACTGTCGCCTAACCTAGCACCCGCAGTGATCAATCCATATAAATCGTTGACAGCATCTCGAAGATGTCCATGTTCAAGGGTGACCCGACGCTGTTGCGACTGCAAGACTTTCTCGGCAGTCCCAAGCTTCAGTAACGAGTCGGCTAACTTGGTAATAGTCTTTTGCACTCGTGTCCATGCAGCTGCATCCGGCGGCTCACGATCTCGGCAGATGTCCCTAGCTTTCTTTACTCTCTGACTAAAGCCCTGCCGTACTAATGCTAGCTGCCTTTCGGTCGCCTCAACAGATAGCTGCGCGCTTAGCAGGCCATCGCGGCTGGACTCGATGGTGCGCAGCTTCGGCAACAGAGTAACCTGCAAGTCAGTGCCTAGAGAGGCAACGAAGGCGTTTGACCTTCTGACCTCTTCGTATGCTTTACCGTGTTCTTGCACTGGCAACAGCTGCTGGTCACTCCGCCTTGACTCATCGTTCGTCAGACTGCTGACGAACGCAGAAGGTATAAGAGAGATTGCGGGCTTCGTGCTACTATTACGGCTCTGTCCGGCACTGGTCATCCAGCTTATGCGCTGATCTTTTGTGCCCGACTCACTTATGGGGCTTGATGTATTCGCGCGACGATCGTATGGCTCGAATACGGGCAATTGCTGTAGCAGTGCTGTATAGTCTGTATAATCGGCATCTTCAGGATCCGGTACGGGCGAGCTTTGATGGAAGAATGGATTGTTATCAGGGCTCGGCTCAGGCTCAAGATCGTTGAGAACAGACTGAGTGTCTGGATGAATCGGACGCGCGTTCGATCGTTCGAATTCTGGCATGTCAGTTATAACGTCGTTACCCGATGGTGAACACACCGTTCATATCCATTCGGAACGTCTTCCATGCTGAAGCCTTGCACTATATGTGATTGAAGCTCGACGCAGGAGTCAAATTATCGAGGCATTTTCGCACTATGGTCATGCAGCAAATGAGGGCCGTTGTATATCAGTGAAATGTGCTTGGCAACGATTTGTCCTGAACTACTAGTATACTCCGAGTTGCCAGTGTCTGTCGCAGTCGTCAAGCAAACCATGGTAGAGCACTTCCGACATCTCAGTGAGGCGGACGAGTAGCAACGTGTCCCTTGCCAATACGTAACTCAACCAGTACCAGGGTTGAGCTACCCCATGTTAGAACTCGGGACAACTTGTCCGAGGGTTCACGCCAGGCTCGTCCCGGCCACCAATATCAGACCCTCAGACGCCACTTTGAGTTTCAGCAACAACTACCTGAACGCTTGCTGAAAAGGCCGAGATGTCCTCTTATTCACGCTAAATCTTGAACTTGCAGCATGGTGGAGCAGATGCACAGCAGTTGTGTGCTTCCTGCGCAACTTGAAGCAGGAAGAATTAAGCGCCTCGGTCTGCTAGTGGGGGAGCCAAATCGTTCTCTGCTGCATTGCCGGCATGAACAGCACATGGTCAATCGTGCTGAAAACATGACTGCTGGCAAGACTCGGTCGGTTAGTGTCCGAACACCTTCTCTGTGGCTCTTCTTCCATGATACTCGTCCAGCTTGCTACTGTAAAACAAGCTATATGTTATGCGATACCCTAAGACAATTCGCTGGCCTAGTCCTCCGTTTGACATTACTGGAATGTCACTATGTCCAGTTCCGATAAACATGCAGCACGTATAAAGAAGCAAGGTATGCAATTCGGACTCACTACTGCGACCTTGCCCCTGACGTTACTTAGAGCAGTCTTCCAGGAACCAGCAGCCTCCCCTTCGTGCTCACCAGGATGAGCGAGACAATCGAAAGTGCATCTCCGATGTTCGCCCATGGGTTTCGTAGCTAATGGAGTATAGTCCTAGATATATAGCCTCCGAACCTCTGACCAATCCAACCGATGTTGGTCGATCCTTCTCCCGAGGATTTCAAGACCAGTATGATAGATGCTAAAACAATATGTTCAGCTAGCAAGAGCGTATACTGATCAGTTCATAGTGAAACGGCAGGTCCGTCGTCAAGGGGCAACTGCCGCTCACATAGTCCTGGACTTGAAGTCGCGGAACGCGAAGAGCAAGAACTAGAAGGATGGGGAGAAGACGACGAAGAAGAAGATGAAGATGACGAGGAGCAAGAACCATTCCCTATTGACGACGTTGAACAGTCATCCCTGCGACAGACTCAAGGGTACAGACATACAACCCTCGCTTATCGAGCGAAACAGAATAAGAACCTCAGCCCGAAAAATCGACCGGCCAGCCAACCAGCACCCCAGCCAGGCGCGCAAGCGCGCTATTCGTTTACAGTCCTGAGACGTCCTGAGTATCAAGACTTTGTGCACATTCCCGTACATGATCTCATCAGACGCATCAATTTCCTGCGAAGCCATCCGGAGATTCTATCAGAAGACAACGTAGCAAAGGTTCAAACTGATTTCATGAGGCAGGCTGTGGAATTCTGGCGATCGGAGGAGCATATGGCGTCGATATGCTGTTCCTATTGTTTGGCTCTGATACAAGTAAGCAAGAACCAGAAAGCTTCAGTCCTGGATGAGTATTTTCGGAGTCTGCAGAGGTCGGGCAGCAGTGACCAAAGAAATCTTTCGACCACGATATATAAGATACAGGATCTTGTCAAGCAGAAGGTAGCAGAGGAACAACCGTCTGATAGTACTGCTCTGGAGGGCTTGACTGCCAGACTTGGGACGGAGGCAAACAATGCGAACAAGCTTGGAGCTACAAACGCTAGAGCAATCGATCCCGCAACTTCTGACAATCCAGCGGTTCAAATACTCAATCCTGCTTACAAGCAGAGGGGAGGAACCTGGTTCAAGCCTGGTAAGGTCTTTGCAATTCTATGGCACGAAGGAGCGGGTGAGCCTAGAAAGAAAACAACTGATGCACTAATGGATCCTGGTCAACAGGAACTGCGTGACTTGAATCCTGCTTTGAGCCAAGCTCGTTTTGGATCAACTGTGTTCACTCACATCCGCAGAATGGTAGTCATCAGAAACAGGCATGGTTCATGCTGGTGCGTGTCGATTGGGACGTATGGTGGCCGCGGTCTTCTCAAATCCGGTCTCTCCGAGGACGACATCAATGCGCACGCTGTCATCTACGACAAGGACAAAGGGCCAAAATACTTCAAGAACGAACCAAGATCGAACAAAAGAGAGATCGCTGTAGTCACGGTCAAGAACGCTTCGCTTGACCCTGCCAGCCGTGTACACCTTGGAAAACCCTACAATGTTGAATGGAATCTCAAAGTCATGGACGTCGGTCAGGTCGCCCCTGAAGACCTTGAGGCCTTGATTGGCTTTGTCAGGGATGAAATCTTTGGTTAAGTTGGGTGCACGTCAGTGCTATACGTCCTAACATCAGCATCATCGCATGCAAGACCAGATATCAAAACGTTATCAGGGTTCACTACTACCGCATCCCCATCGACGCGATTCAGGAACCCTGTTGCTGCTCATAACCATATGCGGATATGAGTAGACTATAAGTTGTGGAAGTTGAGGTTTGAGTGAAAACGTATATTCCACCAGACATGATGTGCGTCGTCTTGTTGTGGTCAATTTTCAGGAGTTCACGGCAGCTATGATTTCACGTTGACGATTGAAAGGATTACTTATTGGCTACACGGTCACGGGACAACTAATAATTTTTTGTGGCTAGCTGTTCGACAGCTGTACAGTGTTGGTATCAGGACTCTTTGATTAATGAGGGGTGGCAGCCGCTTGGGTTCTTCTGCATTTTGGCACTAGAAAGTGGCAAATGTCCAAGCTATTTCGGATTGTGAATTAGTCCACTAATAGTTTTGATTCTCGCTTCTTTTGCTGCGAAGTCGTAGTCCGCGGCAAAGACGATATAGCTCTAATCTCATGGTAGGAGCATACACATGTACTGGAGACTATTGTCGCTCAAGTTAAGCATGGTGGTTTGACCACGCATTCGTGTGGCGCATTTGCTCGGTATCAGAAACTCGCGTTCGTGACCGAGCGCGTGCAGCATGCAGGAATGGCTGCATACCGTTTCTGCAGACTAGTCTTGCGAACATGCATCGCGAGCATGGTTCAGCGCTTTGAAGTCAGATGACCAATTTCGCATCAAACTCTTGCTCTGGAACTCATTTCCAAGAGTCGTACTGACTAGACTGATATGACTCAAACGACCAATGACCCGTCTTGTGACAAGCAGGTGGCACAATGAATATCCAAATTCCGCTTGTTACACAGTTTTCCAGTGAAGTGTAGCATTTCTCAAAAGTACGTGGGCAAGTTGCTCACCCCGTAATTCTCGGATCTTCGAAACCTTCGACGACTCCACGGCGGGTGAGAGGAAGTATCGGCAGACTTGGATCTTGCCGATTGCTTTGAACCCAGGAAATTCACGGCTTGTGAAGGTTAGTCGTCTAGGTTGTAATTGGCTGTTAGAAGCACCACAAGTTCACGGCGAGCTCAATGTACCCAATCGCCTTGCCTGCCATGAAACTAGCACTGCCGCTCTTCTTCACGACCTTACCACCACGTGCAAATACCTTCACTTCCGTGATAAGGAGGCTCAGAACAGGCTAGAATACACGGACTAGAACAGCCATGTACGTAGTTGTGGTGAAGGAGCTGGCGGAATGTGATTGTCTGTCGTTCAGCACCTCAAGACATGGGTTTGACATACCACACTAGCCCACATGTTTGCTGGCCGACACAATACGCCCGATAGAAATCCAGTAGTTCCGGCTGATCCTCGATGTGCCTCCTCAACGGTCAGTGGAAATTCGAGCCGATCCAAGATTGTGATGCTGGTTCGACGACCGACTCGGAAATGGTTGAGTCAAGTTGCATGTAGACTGCGACTAGCATGGCTGGTCTAGATTGAGAGAGCGAGGACTAATTTAGCGGTGTTCACTGGTAGTATTGCTGCGTTACTGCAGCGTTCTGCTATGCTGAAGCCCACGCAGTACTATAGACGACTGCAGTGCAGAGTCATTGCACCTACAACGGCGCCCAGTATCTTCTAGGTTCGTGCCTGATAAAATCTGTGATAGCAGTGGAAGTATCGAGCAAACACTGATTCGGCAACGTTTCCTCATAGGATCTGTGCCGAATTTTTGATATGGTTAACCCTACACGTTCGATACAGAACAGCAACTTCAACAATTTGAAACTTCCCATCATTTCGATGAACGCTACTGTCATGGTACGCATACGTATACAGTTGTATCTTTCACTCTCAAAATGCTACAATAGTTGAAACCATTAGCCCGAAATCGTCGTCGAGTTCAACGGACCCAGCCAAACAGGTCTCTCTGAGCAGCCGAATTCACGAGCTTGTACCAAATTCTTGCCTTACTCTAATGCCACACGCAAGCAAGGCAACTGAAGCTCCAGACAATTCCCAAACATTACCAGCGATTGCATAGCTAGATCTGCTGCATGCACATCACTGCATCCGTGCAGGTTACGCTATTCAAGTGCCAAACTTTATCCCAACAACACACACCTGTCATTCAATGGCAGAAAGTCCCAGTGAAATTCGGGCATTTTTGAAGCCCATACAGTTTGTGAAGTGAGAAAGATTCCAGAAGTAATGCGAGGACGCTTAGGTGAATATACTCAGTGCCGCAAGATTTTTAGACTGGTAAAATAGTTGTATTAGTACAAAAAAATAGCACAATGTAAGGTGTGCTCAGGTTGAATGGCCAAAGTGACCCAGCTTGCTCGACGATGTGACGGCGCAACAGTCGAGAAGAGCGCTAGTTTACACGATGTTCTTGATCACAATAAAGTACAAAGCGCATGAATTCGTGTGGCACGGTGTTTGTGTGTGAAGTTCTCATTTCACTCGGGAACAAGGTTGCAAGTGATTGCGGTTGGGACACGTCTCCGTTGATGGTGCTAATCGTCGTCAATGTGCTCTACTCGGTAATCACGCAGCACCTGATTGACGTGCTCGTCAACAACACGCCCGATATACCTCGCCTTAATATTGTGGTCGATAGAGCATGGTTTAGAATAGCAAAGACGACTGCTCGCCGACAACGTTTCTCCTTTGATCATGTTGACTGCGACAGGATCCTTGGTGAAAGGTGCTTCGTTGGGCATGAGCACCGGTGAACGCGCACTGTCATGGATGATGCAATGAGAGTTGTGCTCTCGGTTCTCAATGTTCTTGGCCGACACTCCCCGATTAGAGTAAGACGTGATAGGCAATGCAACGCAAAACCCTTTCCTTGCCCGCACAACCACGAAGCGGCGAATATGGCTGTAAACTGTCTCGCTGTTCGCGACATGTGTAACGTAGCCTTTGCTATTTGGCTTTACTGGTATGGGCTCATTCAGCACACCGGCCTTCTGAGGGTTACGGCCATGGTTCTCATGCCAGAAAACTGCAAAAAGGCTTCCTTTCGCAAAGGTCCTCTCAAGCTCGTCGATGCCATAATGAACCTTGTATGTTGAACGAAGAGGTTTTCTGACCTCTTTCGGCCAGTTCCCATCTACAATGGTAGACGGACCCATGAACTGGGTAACGGGAGACTGTGGGCCCAATGGTTTCCTGCCACCAGCAACAGAGTCTATGTCAGAAAGCTGTGAAAGGCTCCTATTTCGCGTGCGTTCCGACGAAGAGGCTATGGAGGCGATCTCATAGCTGTCGTCATTGTCCTTAGATGAAACGAACGAGCCTCGTGGCCTATTTGGAGGCTGTCTACCTTCTGGTATGGATCCCAACAGCATCATGTCGGAGTCTATCTCAACGTTCTCACTGGAGTGACTCGGTGCGCGGATTGACGCTGCAGGTCTGCGGATCGGCAGAGCCGCATTGTCACGGCGTTCACGACGAGTCTGCTGCTGTGTGGATGTTCGTGAGGCTTGCGCCTGCATGTTTTCCAGTACTGTACCAGCGCTCCGATCCAGTTGTTCTCGTAGCTCTCTACTGCGCGAAAGGCTCCTTAACCAGTTGAGCTGATCGATTGGAGTTGCTGACTTCCTCCACTTGAAACTCAGCATTAGGAGCCTCTGAGCCACTCGACGAGCTTTTGAAAAATCTTCCTTACGCAAGTAGTGATGTATCATAGACTGAAGAATATCTGTATCCTCTTCCCAGATGGCAGGCGTGTTGTCACAGAAAGAAGCGATGCTATCGTACTGGTTGTCGTCAAACGCAAGAAATTTCATGAGATATTTGGAGTCACAAACTTGTGACTCTACTTTAGTACTCGTGACATTGATCTTCACTAGATCACGAGTATCCGTTTCATGAGTTGTCTGATCTGGCGGTCGCAAACTTTGGTTATCCGCGGACGTTCCAGGGATTGGATCTGGACGTGGAGGGGCATGTTCGGCTTGGCTAATAAGATCTTGCGCAGGGACGTTTTCGGTTGTCGGGTTCGCTTCTCGAATCTGGGGAGCAGGCGGTGTGGTGTTACCACGCCCATCAGAGATTGCTCGCATCGCTGCTCTCAATGCATTCATCAGTTTGTCAAACTCAATTCGAGCACGTGAGAAATCTTTGAGCAAGTCCTCCAGATGCTGTCCCAATTCGTCCCTCTTCAGGTCTTTGCAGGTCTGTGCGATTGTCAAGCACTGCATACATTGCTCTGCAGCCACGATTTGTCCTTCGCGCGCGAAAGCTAAGCATTGTGCATAGAGTTGTACTCGAAGTTCATAGATGTTTTCTGTCCTCAACATCGTCACGTGTTCCTTTGCGAAGAGAATGCGATCTCGAAGATTATTGCGTGGTATACGCACGAAAGCTCGTTGTAATTCGTCACTCAGCACGCTAAAAGAGATCTGCAGCAAGGCAGATGTATTGGTTTCTGTGTCGTGTCGAACAGGTGCAGAGAGCTTTGTCGTAGTAAATGGGTGTGATGATGATTCGTTACCTGATCCTTCACTACGGCGCCGATGTGGCTGCGACGTTAGCTCTTGGTCAGCTAACCAGTGGTTGCTTTCGGCGACAGCAGACAAATTCGTAGTAACACTTTTCGCTATGGAACCATTGCGTATGGGCATAGAGGTTCCACTACGATCTGGCACGATTGCCGTTGAGGTTTCGTCCAAATCTTGCTGAGGCTTCAGAGACATCTGGCCATGCAGCTGCGACACTGCGGGATTTACCTCGTCGCTCCTGTGTAGGACAGCATGCGATTCTGCTTTTTCAGCGGCTTTTGTGATATCCCTGTTGCTTATGCTATTTTCGAGAAGAGAGTGAAGCACCTGGTCGTCTTTACTACACCACGAGGAGTAAGTACTCGGTGCATCTGAGTTCAGAGAGGTGTGGTATTCAACAACGCCATAAGTGGGAGCAGCCTCGTCAGAGCTCGATAGAGGCAACTTGCAAATATCAGATTTGGGACGCTCACGAGGGTCAGGCAGAATGAACAAGGGACTGTCATCGGCATATGACTTCACAATGTCACGCTTTCCTAGTGCCTGTAGATTTGGCTTTTTGGGATGCCTTGTTACCTTGACAGGTGCGGTCGTGAAAAGCGCCACACCCGATGCATTTTCTGGGATGTCGTTGAACGCATGACGAACCAAATGTGACGCAGAAAGTAGCTGCGGTGCCAGATTCCCGACGTCCTGAAAAGGATCTGCTTGCAACAAATCTGTATCTCGCAGTTCTGGGGTTCCTTTGTGGGTTTTCCAAAAGTTCCTTTCTTGAAGATCGCGGTCTTCTGCGCTCGACCGCACGATGATTGATGACCCAGACCCGCCGCGACTTGAGCCTGTACCGACCAAAAGATCGTCTTGTCCAACTGTCTGTCTTGCGCGAAGAGGAGGCGTAGGATTGAGCCTTGATTCGATACTAGCTGCTAGAACCGAGTCTCGTTGAAACAAGGAACGTGGTGGACTTGTGATAGACATCGTTGCGTCGGGACGGAGATTTTGAATATTGGGGTGCGCTCGTCTTTGCCTGAACGCTTGCTGTCTGCGGTCCCTGCCAGCACTTGGATAAGGCCATCCATAGGTGCGCCTCGAATACTTAACGAGACAAAGTGCAAGAATTCAGATCAGCGTCAGTGATTTTATTATCGGTTTCTCCTTGTCATCTACTAGATAACGACACAGTAGACCAAAGAGCGCAGACTAATCAACCTGTGGTTCGTGTGACATCGGCGACGTGGCGAGGGATGATTGTTGCACCAATTTTGCAAGGCGAATTTGTAGGAGTTACTGATAGGCATATAGGTGCTTAGCATTTGGATCGGATGTACAGTGAAGAGTGTGGACGTCGGAAGTAGCACAGAGACATTACCAGCCTCAAGGACGTTGTCTGAACGACCTCGACATGTTTGAAGCAAGCTCAGTCTTCAGAAGCAGGGAGTACAGTAGCATGCGCTCGGGCGTGCCGCTCAGCCTGATTGCTGCGTGGTATAGGGATAATGACTGCCAGTGGTCGGCAAGTGGGTCATTCTAAGATAGCGTTAGTAATGCGAAGGTTATGGATACTCACCGCTTTCAGCTTCGGGCAGATCGTTTTTGGCGTCCTTTGCTCTGGCACTACTGATGCGTCTGCCTCTTCATCACATTTTGTGCAAGTTCTGCCGCGACGGTGTTTGCAGTTCCCCTGCCATTGGCGAGCTCTCTATCTTGGACTTTACATACACAATACGTGGTGATAGCCGCTCTTGGCACTTGATACATGCATTGGAGCATGTCTTGCTTAGATGTCGCAAAGGGTTTGTTCCGGCTTTCCTATTCTAACTCCTATTGGCTCTTATCCGACCATGCGACGACTGTCCCAGGCCTATTGTCACCGGTTGGTAGTGACCAAAGGGCTGTGGCCAGCAATATAAGCATACTACACCTCTCGATTCTCCCTATTGCTCGATAACGTGGAATGACGACGCATACTTGAGCATTCAAACACCTGCCAAACATGGCCTCACTTCCAACACAGGACCCAAAGGATACTCTGGATGATATTGATGCCGCTTTGTAGGTATCTAATTGTGTCCGCCTCAATGGCCTACAGATCTAATCGAAACTAGCGCAACGACCAGTCTCGAAGACCATGAGCCATCTTCTCTCTCGAATTTGCAAACCATCGACACCAGTATTGAGGGCGAGGGACAAGTGTCAGGTTCATCCTCAGCACAAGCTTTAAGACGTAGACGCAGTACGACACAAAGCTCAAACACATATGGTGGCGACAAATCGTCTGTTGTGCGTCAACCAGGCAGACCACATGGTATGTAGTTCTCCAGGAGTCCGCACGGCGCAAACCTTGCTGATGGATGCACACAAAGGCTTTGAGGTCAAGAAATTTCAATTCTTCGAGCCAGGAAGAGCACGTCTCCACCTTCACACGGCGCATCGAGGGCTGACAGCTAACAGGTATTCTGGACACTGTGGCCTGAGCCACATGGCCAAAATGGACGCCCGTCTCATCGGCAGCAGGGGCAGTTGAAGGACATCCCGGAAGGTAAAGACGCTGAAGGACGTACGAGTGAGGAGTACTACGAAACAAGAAGACCAATGGTAGTGGTCAAAAGACTGTTTGCCCACTGCTTGTGCCTGTCAGTATCTTCTCTCACTCATTTTGAGATAACAACACCAAATCTCACAGTCCTGTTTACAGCAACAAACAAAAGGGCGTGCTCAAACGAGGATTGAGTCGTTGTGAAATATTGCAACACGCTATCATCTTTGACGAAGCGCAAGGTCAATGGTCGCATGACGAAGAGGTCAGATTAGGCCTGTACAGGGAGGCAATTTCCGTGCGGATGGATAACGACCAGACGCTCAATAAATGGTCTCGCATCCGGTACGACAACGTGTGCACTATCCGATACAACTGGAAGGTGCTCAGTATTGGCATGGTCAAGAACGTGGACACCCTCCTCAAATCGTTCGCCGACGTGCTCGTACAACCGATCCGAGGTGATTCCAGATGGGATCACCAAACCCAAGCCCAGATCGATCAGTACGCTGCTATGATCTTCCACTCCCAAAATTGATGTCAACACATCGCTACTTACGTTTCTGGACCACATTGCAATGCCAGGCTTTGATATGACATTACAACGCTGCGTCCACGGGACTGATTCATGAATTCAGTCCCCAGTTGCGCGTATCGCAACTAGAAGAGGGGATCGATGTGTAGACCGATTTGAAATCACAGCCTCAGTGGCAGCACACATCGCGAGAAGTAACACATCCTAGGCCAGCACACGAGAGGCACGTTATTGCAGACACAATGATTTCGAGTTATATCACCCAGATTTTTGTACAAGAGCTTTTTGGTCAGTACATCGCGACCTTCTCTTTCGATTTTCCAACACAGATACATATTTGTTGCTTCAATATATCTTCCGGAGGCTTACGACGACGAATGACCAACATAGTATGATACATGGACTTGTTCATTTTGCTATAATACCATGTTCCATGTACAAGATCATTAATCATTAGTCGTGGTCATTTGCCTTAATACACCGGAAATCTTCCTTTGTTATGTACCAGATCTCGCTCCTGCACGGCCTTCGTTGTCATCAGATCTCTTCACCTAGACTGTTTCTGAGATCAATGTCATGTTGCGCCTGTAGATCGTCGACGGTGACGACGACGTTGTGAATATGTCCAAGAAATACCGTGCGAATTGACAAAACGCCAGGTCCGGGATTTCCGCTGCGAGACACCGTTCTGGCCCGGTATTGTCGTCGGTTGTGTTGTTCGTGCAGAATTCTGCTGAGGTAGTGGATCCTCCTCTCGGAAAGCGTTTGAGGCCAAAGAGCGTCGACGCATTGCCTCGCAATCAGGTCGGTCACACCACTCACATAGTGGCTGACCATGCATACTTTGATCACCACGTCTCTTGTTGCCACCCATGCTGATACTCCTCTCAACTGGAGTGTCAGTATTCCGCAACTCCTCGATTCGCCCTACACGCCTTGAATTATGGTGAGTCTCCACCGATCGTATTCACAGCTCCCCACGACTGCCCTTCTCACTCAGTATACCTTCGCCACCAAGTCCGTTCGCACCAGCAGATCCCAATTCACGGACTGGCTCATCGATCCAGCAGAAACTCGTCAGGTCTCTGACCCATCTCTGGTACTGGTCTTCCAGGAATTCAATGGTCAATGGCTTGGGCCAGGTCTTGAAAGTGGCATCTGAGGTTGGATCCCTGAGCATCGACTCGTATGGCTTGAAGATGATGCGATGGTGGGAGATATCGCGCCACTCGTCGTCCATGTCTATGTGTAGTTGAGCACCTTGGGCGAGCTCGAAGCTGGAGTGAGAACGTCAGTTATGTTTCTGATGATAGTAGACCGTGCATGTCACGCCAAGAGTTGTAGGAATGCGACGCTTTCCAGTCCCTTGTGCTTGTCGCAACGATAATCAGATAGTTCACTTACCCAATATATACACCATTCGCACTCCCCAGGCTCACAATCGATGCACCAGGAGAAGTCTTGACCAGATGGTAGATCTCACAATATGGCATTAACTCCGCGTGTGACGGGTACTGCCCAAAGAAAGGAAATTTCAGCTATCACTCATTAGCACTTTCCTTCCTATCTCCACGATGTGCACAACTCACAAAATGCAAATCCCTTTTCGCATTATCGGCATACTTATCCTCCCAGAAATACCTCAACACCACCTGATCCGTCCTACTCAAACCACCAACCGAGCTGTTCGGCATTGGTTGATGCGACGCAAGTCCACCACTAACCGGCCTGTTCATAAAGTCGAAACTGGAATTACTGCCCGCTGAAATCGGCCTCGAAGTGTCGTGGTGGAAACCAGAACCGCCAGCTGACGTTACAGCACCACCGTTGGGGTTCGTCTGGTGGCCGCTACCACCAAGTGGAGGTGTATACGCTTCGTTTCCAGTGATCTGACCTTGACCCTGACCTTGATTGACAGTATTTGATGCTGAAGAATTATCTGATCTGCGCTGTGAGGATCCTCGCGAAAAGCGTCGCATGGTGTTTGCAATGGAAGGACTCATGATGAGAAAGAGCTCGGATGGGGGAGGATAGAGGTAAGTTTACTGGGAAAAAAGTGTAAGGCTAGCAAGTTCAAGAAAAGCACGAGGCGAGCAACGTGTGCCACTGGCGGAGTTTCGAGCAATGAGCGCCAGTAGAATTGAAGTGCCTCTGGTGATTTGCTCGAGTGGACCGCGGATCAGGGCGAGCTAGTGGTGACACTAAAAGAAGAGTCGAGGGCTTTGTCACGAACGAATCTGCACGGAAGAAACTGCTTTTTCTCGTTCTTGGGATGAGTCGACAAGGGGAGCAATATCGGTGGTTGGGCAGCAACGATAAGCTCAATGATATTGATATCGCAACTGACTGGACGGTGAAAAGGTCTCGAGGATCATGACAGCGTCAGATACTAGTCCGAACACTAAACTCCGCACCGGAGGGTTTAGGCTGAGAACCCGTCTGCACCAAAAACGTGGCTGGGAGACACGCTAGTCCCAATTGAGATTCTTGATGGATCATGAACATGGTGTTGCAAGTATTCTCTACCAACCTCATAATTTGACCTGACACCTACTGCGTGGTGCCACGTCTATCGCTCTTATGTTGGTAGGTCACATCCAAGATAGCGAGACATGTTAGCTTCGCTAGACACTCGATTTCAAGGGATGCGATAAGACAAGGTAATGATATTGTGATGTTGCTCACGAAACTTGGCTACCCTTGCCAGGTATCACGCAGTTCGTGCCGTCCAAGTAGCCCTAGCCAGTCCTGCAGTATTGATACGGCTCTGTACATAGTCTTGCAACGGAGAAGCGAATCCGGGCGGAAGAAGTCCTACGCGCACCTCTTCTCCTCTAAAAAGATTCATAATAGTACCTCCTGGTAACAGAGAGTTCTGATCAAGCGGCATCCCAGGCGCCGGCTTTATCGAGGCTCGCGCCTCTATGACAGCATTAACGTGACACTATCGACTTGCTTCTCCTGGCTGTCTCTCTAGATCGACGAGACTTGCTGGACCTCCTTCTAAGCTGAGTACATCCAGTAGACTTTCGGTCTGACGGTAGAGCGTCTCGAGGGCGGCATTTGAAGGTCTCCCTAGGGATGCTGTAGTCTGGGTTAGCAACTTTCCTAATGACTCGAAGACTTCACTTACTCAGAATCGCTGAATTGAGGTCCTCAGAAACCTTCGTTCGCCCACTAAAGTCAAGAAGATGTCCGTTTTGACTTGGAGACGGATCGTAATATGGCATCAAACTGAAAATGTCATGTAATATCTTATCCTGCTCTGGATTGCCCTTTTCGCCGTACTCTTCTTTCAAGCTTTGACCATACTCGATAGTTTGAGCTATTAATTGATTGTACTCTTCGCTTTCTGGATTTGTCTGCATAGGCGCTTTACCATGTCCATTAAGTGAAGTCTGCTGCTCCTCATCCAGCTCCATAGCTGACTCAAAGACATCATCCACTGCTGAGGGTTGTGAAGCAGCGCCATTGCCAGGATGCTTATTCCTGCGAAGTGTGTCCCTCGACTTGTCGATTCTTGCTGCTTTCAGCACTAGCTCCACGAACTTGCGGCACTTCAGCTGGAAGAATATCTGTGGATGGGCCTCCAGTACGCCGGGGAAGTGCTCCTCTGTCGCATCGAGGGCAACGTCAATGTCGCCTCCGAGGATTGCTTGTCGGATTTGTTGTCGTGGTCTTGCATCGAAAGTGTCTGGACTGCGTATATCCGAATGACTCGGCTGTTCGTTGCCGTAAAGTGCTTGCTGCTCTTTCTCGACCTGTTGAGAGAAGGCTTGCGCAGTCTCGATGTAACCACCGTGGGACAGAAATTGCGCGATCAGCTCTTGAGTGAAAGCTGCCTCTGTCGGCTGTCTTGGGTGTATTTTGTGTGTGCTAGTCCGAGCTATATGACGCGCGACGTTATCCTGCTCTTCAGCCATCTTGTCCTTCATATCGAAGACGAATGGCTGTTGACCAAAATTCACTTTTATTAGCACGCCAGTATGTTTCTTCATTCCAATACATGGGAACACTGGCGTCGATGGGAAGGTAATATCTCTAAAGGCCACACCAAGGTCCCGGCCATTCTTCGTGAAGAATGCATGACCCTTGTTGAAATCGATACCACAGCCCACAACGTCTGAGGCTCCGAAACCTGACTCGTAAGGATGACCACTAGACTGACCTTCGAAAGCTTTGCCATCATCTCCATGATATGCCCAGGATTTGGGCTCCCAACCAGGTAATCTTTCTAGGGAGAAGTCTGACGTCGAGAACCCGATAGCAACAGCACAATCCTTGCTTTTCTGCCGTATATTGATCTCGTAGTAATATATGCCACATTGTGGAGAAATCGGATGATCTGATCTGATAGAAGCTGCTTCCAGGTCCTTGCCAGTCGGACCATTGTATCTCACCTCCAAACCTTCTCCCAGTAAGTCAAGACCTTGATGCTTGTCCGTACTGCTTAACCTCGTTGGTAGTGGAATCGTGTCGTCCTCGAGCGGAGCAATGCTTTCAATGATGTCGTAAGTCATTCCACGATGCGAAGGGGCTATCCTGGCATTGCTTGACCAATTCCATATTGAGCTCGAGGCAATGGAACTCGTAGCATCTTGTTCTCGTAAAGCACGTACACGAGCATTGTACGCTGCTTCAAGCTTCTTCGCATATCTTGACTCTTCTAGATAAGGTGGAACCCAGAAAGGAGGTACGGTCGAGGCTTGATTTTGTCTATGTGAGGAGAATGAGAGACCTCTTCGCTGGCTTGAGGATGTGCCGTAGGATGCCATGTCGTGGTCCCTTCCTGCTGTCCTTGTGTCTGCTTGATACTGAGGAGGGTAGGCATTCGCGTTGTGGCTTGTAGCGTTTTGTGCAAGAGACCCTGATCTCGTTGGGTTGCTTGACTGGTTTGTTGGTGTTCCTGTAACTACGGATGCATACGACATTCGCCTGGGTATGTTTGTCGAGCCGGGATAAGGACCTGCTGCCCCATTATCGGCCATAGCCCACCTCTTACACCCTCACAAGCGATCGCGTTTGTACGCCCTCCCAGCAGTTCAATCGCCTCGTTTCCCGCTCAGACAATGTTGTTGGCTCTGAAGAGCTACTCTAAATGAGATCCGTCTGAAAAGTGGAGATCTCTCTTGGGTCAAATTACTACTTGTTGAGTTGTATCTAATCAAGAGATACTTTACGGCAATGGTGACTATTGCAATTCGAAATCTTGATAATTGGTCGCTGTTAGTCGTCGATAATGTTCGTGATAAACGAGACTGAGCAGACGGATGTCATGGTTGGCTATTAGGTGGGCCGGCACGGCCTTTCGGGCGCCTGGATCGCCTATAATATGCCTGGCGCTCATGCCACAAACGATTACAAAGATTTGTTGCGACCAGCAGAAGAGGATGAAAAAGTCCAAACAGAAGCTCATTGTAACATTTGTTGGTGCACGATTTCTGCACTTGATGCTACCTGTCTATTCTGATACGCAGATTTGTACGCCGTTGTGTGTGATTTGATGGTTTGTGCTGCTAACAGCAGTCCGACCAGTCTCGTAACATTGTAACTTATGATCACAGATAAGCTCTTGCAAGCTGCCCAATCTCGATCCATCATATAATGCCCCATATTGCCCAAAAAAATCCGAGCGCCATGCTAAAGATGCCACCAACAATGCATTTGAAAGAATTACCATGACCCATAACGGCTGTGAGCCAGCATGACCGGCGTCGACCAAGATTTGAAAGAATACGTAGTTGTACAAGAGAATAGCTCCGATTCATAACCGTGACACTTTCACTAGCTCTAAAGTGTATTGAGGAGGGGTGAAAGGGGTTAAGCTCGTTTGAGAATATAATATAGGAACACCTGGCTGATCGGAAGATTAGGTCCGCGTAAGTATAGGTTCGTGTGCAGTTCGAGGCAGCATCGTTGGTGGTGAGCTAGGAGTAGGCGTTGTGATATCCATCTTTTCAGTACGGTCGCCGGCATTGCTGCCAGCAGCGGTGTCGCTTTCGCTATGCTTTTGATCGCTGCTCATGGAAATGTCTTTTGTGGACGAATCCGAAGCCCTGTCGGCAAATGCCGACTTGTCGGAACCTTTCCAGCTTGGTAATTCCCAAGCATGGCCAGTAAAGCTTTTCAATGTGAATCCTTTCTTCTCCCATCGTCGGCAGGGAGTCCCCGACCTGTCAAGTGCACGTAGATTGGCGTTGATAAAGCCAGTATTTGCCTTGGGACCGAGTTTGTGGTTGGCGGTGGTAGTTGCGGCCGGTTTGACACTATGATCTATGGTGCCGTCTTCTCTACGTAAGTGGTTAGTTGGTAGTAGAGTGATGAGTGCAGTATATACATACAGTCTTGGTTTCTTTTTCGGACCTGGCTTGCCCCTTGGTTTCTGCATGCTGTCTGGCATGGGAGTCGACCTTTTCACGCCATTTGTGGCGGAGCCCTTTTGTTTTGTCGTACCATTAAGTGTCAACATGTCATGGGCTGGGGCAGGCGTCGAGTTCGATTCTGAGTTGTTCTCTTGCGATGCCATGGGCTCCAAATGAGGTACCTCAGCGACCATTGGTGCTGGTGGTGGTGATGGAGTTGGAGGAGACTGTTTCTTGGGAACGAATCTCTTCAATATTGATGGAGGGACAGCAAGAACAACTATCTTGCTTTGTTTCTTGGATGATTTATCTGTGCGACCATTTACCATAGGCGTGGGAGCCATCATCAAAGTGGTCGTCGACATCTACAAAGCTGTAGATGGACGCAGGACGTGTTCTGTCGACGACAGTATGGTGAAACAATATTAATCGATGATGATTAGGTGAATTGTTATGCTGATGGAGGGCGCAGGGGCTGATGTTGCGTGTCGCGCGTTGGGCAAGCGTGACTATGATTAGCTGTGAGGCAATTCAATTGTGGTCAGGGCTGGCGGTCTGCTAAACACAGTGAAATTGACGTTATTGCTAGATTAGTGGTGTTCATGGACGGCGATGATACGATGATGAAGGAAAAGAAAGGATGGGTGGAAAGTGAGAAGGGATGGCGACGGAGTGGGACTGAAGCATGATTGTTCATGGTTGCGATAATAGCTGATCCTGCTACTAAGCCGTGTGCAAAAGTCAAGCGTCTCAGCGAAGACCTGAGCAGCATTCATCGGATCTGGAATGATTTCGAGTGTCGCTGGACGTGCAGGCAAGTACGGCACTAGCGTCATTTGTGCTAGGACCCACCGCTCTCCAGCCAATCACAGCACGATCCTGCACCTGTTCAGGAGTTAACAAAGCCAAGTTCAGAGTTGCAGACAAAGCGAGAAGCCCTGACTGCGCAGAGATGATGCTCACCAAATGACTCTGGCGGCCGCCTGCAATGCCAAACGCTTCCGCCGCCAACGCCCTTCTCGCATCAGAAAATCTACCACTTTTCTCCAGCAAACACAGGCAGGCGCGACCACGCCACTTCCTATCCTCCACATCATTCAAGTCCAGCTACGAAAACGCGCTTTCCACCTCAGACCGCCAAACCACAGATGTCATCATCGCTGGCTACATTTAACATGAGATTACCAATAAACGGGCCCTGTGAGATTGCACTGACGCTCGGACAAGCCTAAACCTCGTTTTCTAGTCGCTCCTCCATTACTGACACCTCGCAAATGATCACACCCACGACCGTAATACAGTTATCGTGGATTGGGTGGATTGACGATATGCTGAAAGACATCAGAGATCATTCTCTTGTTTTCGAAAAATGCATCAAGCCAAAAGAAGAAGGCTTAATGATACTGCTTCAGTTCTTTCCAAACCTTTCCGTTCACCTTTGAAGTTAACTTCCAAAAGTCATCCATCAAGTGCAGAAGCCACGAAGCATAACGTTGAACAGCAGGTACATGACCAAGACGCCATCAGTCGAGAAACAAATGACCAGGAGTCGAATGCGACCTCATCACAGAAACCGTCAGTATTTTATACAGCCCATCACCACGAGATAGATGCAAAAAGCACGACAGTCGACGATATCGACAAGCTGCAGCGAGAATATGCTGCTTTAGGTCAAGAATTGAGGCGATACCGACAAGATTTAGACGTGTTGCAGCAAGCACACACGTTGCGGTCGGGAAACCAGCAGGCGAAAGTCGATGGTCTTGTTCTAAAATGGAAGACTATAGCCCGCGACGCTGCTGATGACCTCTTCCAGTCAACGAGCGATCGCATCAAGCAAATGGGTGGGCTGCAGGTCTGGCAGAAGAATGCGTCCCAGTGCCAGGTAGACGATTGGTACAATTCAAAAGAGGATCAGCCCTTTTCCGACGACGAATCAGGCGACCACGAACTTAAACAACAAGCATTGATGAGCAAGAAAATTAAAAGGCCCGAAGCTATGCCAGTGAGCTAGATGCTATATCGTGATCCAGGGAAGAGTACTGACATTTGTACAGCAGTTTTACACCATGGACGTTATGCTTCAACAGCTCAATATTGACCCTGGTCTGCTCAATTTCGATCCAGCTACAGAGCAGTGGCGCGACTGAAGATACGTAGCCATTGTTGGGTGACGAAACCCTGATATGAACCTCGTTGATGCTTCAGCACATGACAGTTTCATGTCCGATTCGACCTGATCAGCATGAAACTGGCTCCAATGATAACAATACCCAAGGAAAGTATCCGAAATCCCCCTGCTTTACCACTTTTGATCTCCGCCATTCCAATCATCCTCGTCGTAGGTCCATCTTGTCCTTCTTCCTTGCCGTTCATCGTTGTTCTTCTGTCTGGGCACATTCTGACCGTGTCTTGGATAACGGTTGTAGCTGCGCGGCTTTCCATCCTTGGATGCGTTCGCCTCCCACTCACTAATAGCATCCCACACCTGGTTTCCTGTTCTCGTGTAGCCACGACCGTGGTAGAAGAATACTATTTGGTGTTTTTGCTGTTATTTCTTAGTCAGTACCACACCAAATCACCATTTAGATAGGACAAACTCACGATTCCCAGCGTCGACATAGCCGCCATATACTGATTGCAAATCACTTCCAAATGAGCCATCATCCTCTCCTCACTCTCCCCTGCATCCTCATCGGCTAGATACACCGCAAGATGAAACTTCGTCAAAGCATCCCGAATCAGAATCGCATGCTCAACACTATAGCATTGAGGTATCGGATCCGTAACAACTCTATCGCCCCCATCAGATGGCCACCGAGGCCGAAATTCGTTCAACCATGGTTGCGTAGGGATTAGTAGATTCCAGCTTGGGTCGTTGGGATTCGCGGGATGTGTCTGTTGTGATCGAAGTTGTGGTAGCGGTGGTGGTAGTGGTACTTGCGAATAGTACTCGTCCGAATGCTGAGGTACGTACTGCTCTGCTGGAAAATACTGGTATAATGAACCCTGATAAACCCCTCCACCTGGTGTCATTGTATCGCGGTGATCCCGTTGATCTTGTATCTGCGACCGAGGTGTTTTGTGTAACTTATGTGGTGAGCTGGACTTTGATCTCGTACGTCGTCCGTGATTAGACATGGTGATTTCTCGTTTGAGCGCATATTATTGTCACTTGAAAAGAAACCGGTCTTCAAAGGCAGTAAGTAGATCAGCTTAACGGAACTATTGCTGAAGAGGGGTGAGTCCGCACACGTTTTCTCTGGTGATCGAATTGTTTGTCATGAGCGGGTAGTGACAGCGAGTGTATATGGGTGTAGTGAGTGCTTCGTCGGAAAATTGGGTAAATGCTGTAGTATGTAGTGAGAGTAGAATATGAAAGTATACGTCTGTATATTGAGACATTCGTTCTTTCAATAAACTGGCAGTGTGCATTATGCAGTGGCGCAATCGCAAATTTTTTTCTTTGGTGTTTTGTCAAGTACTTGTCATGACCGACTGAGCAGGAGGGCTGAAGGTCGGCGGACCACCTTTCACTCGTCCTCCCACTGAAAACACATTTGGATATGACGCGAAACTGTTGAAGAGTGTTATCAACATGTCGAATGCACTGTATTTTCCTACAGAATGGTAGACAGATAGTCCCTGGTCTTTTCTCGTGGTTGCAGGGGTCAAGTTTCAGGCTTATCAAAGGAATAAAAATGCCTGTCTCGCAAGCATAGTTTCTCAAGCTTGAGCTGGGAGGCAACCTTCCACCATGCATGCAATGCGGTCGTGCTTGCTACGACTCCTTCCAAGAATTCTAGTGAACGCGAGGAGAGTTGATATGAGCGGAACCCACATTGCTGGACGTTTCAAGTCATTCCAAGCTATTTTAGTTTTCATCAGTCTTGCCCATTTTTTTTTTCATACATAGGTTAAACGGTTTGCCTTGTTTTGAACATGTAGAATATGCACTGACCCGCTACCTCGCTCCAGAACGCTCAATGATGCTCATGCATCAAACAGAAAGGGTATCTCAACAAAAAAAAACCACAATGTCCGAAACTCTACAAAAACTGTCCTGATAATCTCGCCTGTTTTTCTGCTGTTCTCTACAAGTATGCTGACTAGGATCCAAGCTTATCCGTATGTGCTCGGCCACCTGTTTCAATCGTGCTGCTTACATCGCGCTGAAGAATGCCATGGGCATATACGTGCATCTTGTCGGATATCGCGTGACAATCGTGTGCTGAAGCGACAAATGTTAGATCATTGTGCCTCAATATCGAGACCACGCTTCTCGGCTACTGCGCACAAAGTCCTGAAAAGTAGGAGGATATTGCTCAGAAGACCTTGACAGAGGAGTAGATAATCACGAACGTAGCCGAGTACTTACCCTCCTAACAAATCCGAGTCCTGCTCCTGCAGCAGCGACATTGCCTCTACCCACAGTTGCAGTACTGAAGGGCGAGTAATATTCTGGTGGTTGCTCGCGTGCTGTAATAGCAGAGGGAGGGACCGCAATCGACGCGTGCCGAGTCTCACCTTGTGGAAAGATGGTTTGAATTTCCTCGTACTCCGGAATAGCTTCTATACTGCCACCAGTGAAAGGGTTTGAGAAGTTCAGTTCTTGGTCAAGATGACGAGCCATGGCTTCGTCGTACTCATCGGTGCCTTCGACAAGGCCAAGGTTGAAGTGTCCGCTATCGTCATCAATTGGAGGCAGCGACGAACCTTCCTGAGAGATTTGAATGGGTGTTCGTAGCGTCACGCTAGACGCACTGAGCGCATTCTTGCCACTGCCAGCATTACTGACAGGGGAGAAGGAAAGTCCAAGCTCGAGAGCATAGGATCGCGATACGATACAGGTGTGAAACGATGGAACAAAGGTGATTCTTTTGTTGTTCTTCAACGGGCCCTTCGAGATTGATTTGCTTGCAGGACCATGTTCATCGGCCTCTGGTCCCTGAGGCAGTGATATTGGTACAAGTACTTTCGCAGTGTAGAAAGGTAACGACGAATCATAGGCTGCTGAAGCTATTGGTACTGAGGCTGAGCTGCTGCTAGAGTGTGATGATGATGTAGAGAAGTTCGAATCTCGGCGGGACAGTGTTGTCATACCACTACTGCTGGAAGCAATTGACTTCTCCCGTTTATCTGGATCGTGCCTCGACCATACTACACTGCCGACATTCCGGCAGGAAAGACTGACCGTCTCTGGGTACATTCCGTGTAGTGTTGACCAATTATCGAACTTGGACACCTCTGGCAGTATCTTGTAAGCTGCAGCTCCAAAGAAGGTGTGCGCTTTGAGCTTCGCGGATAGGCTGCCGAGTTGTGGTGGTTGCTCCTGCTCCGTGGTCGGATCGAAGCGAAGAGTTACTGTCGCCATGGTCGTAACTGGTGTTTTTGACGTGCTTGTGAACGCAGGCTGGCGTAAACTTTTGGGCTGCGCTACTTCAGCAGTCAATCGACCAAGTTTCTTGCCAATCTTGAAAACGCCTTTGCGGACATTCTTCTCCTTACGAAGGCAATAGAAAGAATTGTTTTCATCAACAGGTAGTGGCGGCTCTTCTTCACGAGCAGGAATGATGCGTATGCGTGCGAGTTTCTCCTCGATATCCGTCACTTTTCCTGTACTGGGCGATGCTTTGCTGACTCGTGCCTTGACGTAGTAGCTGATCTTAGCCATGTCAGGGGCTAGATCATCCATCAATACGTTGCCTGTGCCTGAAAGCATGGGGTCACCAATACTCGGTGGTAACTGCAGATGCGCTGCCTTTACCTCATCATGTTCAGTTTTGTGCGAGCAGATATGGGGTAACAAGCGATCCGGCACAACAAAAGTGAACGGAATTGTGTAGGTAATATTGGCTTTCGCAAGCATGTTCTCCGGCAACGACTCTTGGAAAATGGGCTGTAGCACCCGTAAGAAAGTATGTCTTCCTGATGCGCGGCCTGATGTTGGCGATGCCGTGGCGAGCTTTTCGACATAGGTCTGTGCCAAGCCCTCCAGGCTGATGACAAGATCCCCAATCAAAGTGTCTTTCTCCAGGTTGAGATTGACTTGACCTTGGATCTTGTCGAAGGTGGAGTAAGTACGGACGAACTCGTCTTTGCCATCCAGAACAACTTCGACCCCAGACTTCCTCTTCAAACTCCTTGTTAGTGCATCCAGGGTGGCGGACCCTCGGCGAGCGAATGGACCTGTGGCTGTAGTATTGTCGCTAGCATTAGATAAAGACCCAGTGCGCAAAGAGGCGCTCCGAAGGGAAAGGGAAGGCATGTTGCCAGAAGACCCTGCCTGCGAGGGTATCGCGTGAGGAGTCATACTTGTGTTCAGTATATATAGAGGTGCTCTAATGATAAGATAGCCACGAGACAGAGTTTGGGTCGAATCTGCAGGGATCTCCGATAGGCGTTTGGAGTGATCGAGGTGCAGCAAGGAATCTGCTATAGGCCACAAGCTGCGGGGAGAATCAAGTAAAGACCAGTAAGCGGACTGGAAGCTCCAATGATCTTCTGGCTCGATGTTGGCAGAGTGGATGTGGCAAGCCGCTCTGGTGACCAAGAATTTGTCTTACGGATGGGTCGTTGCAAAAGTGTGTGTGAGGACAAGGAATAGCATTGCAAGGAGCGCATTTTAAGACATCAAGTACTTACCTATCTTATTGAGCAGCTTTGTAAGTACCATGTCAATGAAAGGCGTGTTCTCCAGTAGGAAATGAGTCACATCGACTTGCTCGCGAGGGCATCAACACGCGAATTGCACGAAGGGCGTAATCCATTGTGAGAAGTCGCGGTGAGGTGCAGGAAGATGAAGCAGAATAGGATTAGCTTCGCGCCTGCTGATATATAGTAGGTCGAGCCAAATGTTACCTCTACTTGCATCTAATGTATCGGGTTACTAGGGTCAATACAAACTGATAATGGCTGACTAAATGGGGTAGTCAGTACGCGCGACCAACCTATAAGGAAAGCTCGTGGCGTAACTGTGCTCCGTCAATGTCCAACAAGTCACAGGGTTCTAGATTTTGACCAGTTAATAAGCAGCCATACTTCCACCTGAAGGACCGGACATATATCGAGAGCATTGCGCACGGCGTACGTATCCTGGGAAACAATGATCGTCTCGGATAGGAGGGCCAGCAAGGACGTCGATGCGCTAGCCTTTGATGACGACTGATGCCAGCCTCGAGGCCGGGAAGCCGCGATGAGCACATCGAACCAGGAAATCGCCTGCAAAGCCCAAGAATCAGCGAACACAGCGAACACAACGAACCATGAACTGATTTGGTGTCAGCAAAGTAGGGACTAGATGTTTTCACCTAGCTCTGGTGATCAAGTGGAAGGACCATTGCAGGCATTGTGAAATGCAAACAATTTTTCAGCTCGTTATCATGATCAAGGACTAAATTCAGGGACGTGGCGACATGGTCCATCACTACTTGGTACCAACGCGTCGGGGGGTTGCGAATGTCAGACACTCCAAACGAATTGGACAAACTCATCCTTTATCGTTCGAGGTAGTCACGCCGTATTCGAGTTATTGATACCGTGTTTGGGATGAGTAAAGAAGTAGAGAGTTTCAGGGAAGATGGTACAATTCTCCATGGCAATACGTATGCTCGGCTGACAAGCAGGGCTAAGTCCGGCGCCCGAAAGCTATATTGTTTCGAACGAGTTTCACACATTGAAGATACTGTTACACAGCACGGGAGCCGTTACGCAGCGAGTGCGTTGACGTTCCATCAAAAGTCCTGAACCTGCTCAAGCTGTTCTGGGAGGCTACAGCCCTCACATGGGATTGCTAAGCATATTAGTGACCATGCTAGAGAGTTAGATCGTGTTCGAGAAGGCTTGTTCCTTTTCGGTATGAGTTGTTTTTCGTTCGCCGGTGCACCGATTGGCCGTGCGTTCCTGGTGGCCACGGTCAGCTCGTGCGAAGCCTGGACTTAGGGAGCGGCCTCGTAGAACAAGAACAATAGTCGTCGCACTTTTGGCTCAAATCAGCTCAAAGAGCTTCCGTCCTTTCTACCACGTGCTCAGTAACCAAATGACGTTGTGCCGAGCTCTTTGATCCTGAAAGGCGACACTATTGGGACTGTTGCTATCATTGTCTTTGTTTGATCGACTTAAAGAACAGGCCTGCGTTTCACTATTCTTTCGGCAATCGCGGCGCTGATCGCTGACCAAATCTGCCTTGCGTCATCTCGTTGATAACCTGAAGGTTTCTGTTTCTCACAAACCTGGCGGTTTTTTGTCCGTGCCGGAACCCGTACCAGGGACTGAAACCAACACCACACGACAGCCTGACCCTGTCACAAATTTCTGATTCAACTTCAATCTCTTTAATGCGACTGCACGCACATTTTTAGCCTAGCATGCCACACTGACATACGGACAATTTCTAAATCTCCTGGTTTAATTGACCAGTCGCCAACATGCCGATCAGCATACACAGAACGACAAGCAGTAATAGCCACCGGACGCTAAATTCGTTCATACAGTCAACGTTTTCGCGTGCAAGTTCGCCAGACAGCAAAGCCCCAATAATATCAGCTGCCAAGCCTATCGAGGAAGAAACACTGCCAAAGTATAGCCCAAATACCTTTTATGCGGCAAAGATAGGCGATAAGTTGAACGATCGATATGAGGTGATTGCGAAGCTGGGGTATGGTATGACAGCCACTGTCTGGCTAGCCAAAGACTTGCATGCGTAAGTAGCACACACTGATACCTCTTGTATGGGCTCGCGGGAACTGACCTGAATCTCTCCAGATCACCTGGTCCAGGATCAAGGAAATACGTCACAATCAAGATTAACGTTAACACATTGTCGGATGACTTCTTGAAAGGTCGTAGGGAGATCGCCAGGAAGCTGATGGTAACGAACCCGAAACATCCTGGCTACAAACATGTCCGATTCATGCTCGACACATTCAGCATCAAGACAAAACACGGTGTACATCTTTGCATCGTCTACGATGTTTTACGCGAGCCCCTCGATGAATGTCAAGCCAAGTTCTCCCACGGTGTCTTTGGCAGCGACAAGCTAAGAAAGTTGTTGCCCTCACTGCTCAAAGGTCTCGATTACATGCATTCCGAATGCCACGTTGTTCATACGGATCTCAAACCAGACAACATAATGATGGGTCTTGGGGACGATCCAAATGCAGTATTGGACAAGTTTGCGGCACATCAACACGCCAATCCGCCGGCCCGCAAAACTCCTGATAGTCGCGACGGTCATATTATATACAAGTCCAGCAGTGACCTTCTGTTGGTAGGAGAGAACGACAAGGGAAACTCGATAACCGACGCAGTTTTGGCATCTGCCAAGATCACAGATATTGGTCTTGCTGAATGGGGCGATCAAGGTCCACAACACAAAGCCATCCAGTCTAATGCTTTCACATGTCCAGAGGTTTTACTCGGTTCAGGCTGGTCATATCCAGCAGATATCTGGAACTTAGGCGCGATGATGTGGGATTTGATTGAAATGCAAGGACTCTTTGATCACATAAACACCGCTCCAGGCAAATATCACGCCAACGAGCATCTTGCACTAATGATATGTCTGCTGGGACCTCCACCAAAAGAGCTACTGGACCGAGGACTCAAGACCTGCAATTATTTCGACTACGACCAAGAAACGCAGGAGTACATCTTCAAATTCCCAAAGCTAGTCGACAAATACAAGGCCAACATATCTTGGGATTGCGCACTAACACACATGCAAGGCGAGAACAAAGAATCCTTCATCGACTTTGCAAAGAAGATGCTCGCCTGGGTACCCGAAGAACGATGGACCGCCGCACAACTCCTAGACCACCCATGGCTGCAAACCCGACCAGGCAACGTCACATGCACCTGTCAAGATTACGAAGAAGCTTCCAAAACTCTCGCCCGTAGCGCCGACACAGACACAGATCTCGGAACCGAGCGAAGAAGCCACGGAAGCAGCTCGATGTATTCCGACGCACAATCGCAAATGGGTTTCGAATCCCCTAAACAGGGAATATCGAAGCGCAGCACGGCCACGAGCTTGATGAGCATGGATGGCATGAAGAGTAATCTTCCGAGTTTAGTCGTTACACCTTCCAAGTAGGAATTGGAACCGGTGTACGAGGACAATAGTTTTGAAGAAGCAATCAGTCCAATAGCGTCGAGCCCGACTCCGAATCGAAGTAGAGCACCCTCTCTACGTGCGCGGCTTCGACCGTTATTTAAGAGGAGCATGACATCTCCAGCGGTCCTGCCTGCTCAGTCTGCATATCGGTAGTGATACATGCTGTCACGCAGGTGTTGTTTCTTCCACTGAAACAGGCTTGCCAATCAACGGAGTTCCAATAGATACCCTTTCGATTTGTATCAAGGCGCAAGGTACGGGTACGTATGAGTAGAAACAATCACCACCACCACAAGGAGCTTAAGGGGTATGCGCGGGTACAGAAGGAATGCAATCAGGATTATGCAAGAGTCGTCCTCCCCAAGTTTGAGGACCCGCAATAGCATACATAGTACATAATTCATTAAAAACTTCACATGAATTCTGACTTGCAGAGAGTTGCCTCACGTTTCTGCTTCACCTTCGCCACGTACACTAATGCCTCTAAAACAGGAGCTCAATGTACCAAGAGACCCCGAAACTGTGTAATGTTTCGGGCATACAAATTCTTTTCCCACAAGGTCAACAAAATAGTGGAAGGTAATAAAAAGAAGTGAACGATTGAAATCCGTCTACCTATCTATCTATCTAAACTACCTCAATGTCCCACACCACCTACGACCCAATTCGGATACTCCGGATCGCCCGGGTTGGGAAAAAACCCGCCATTCTGACCCGGCAACTGCGCTTGCTGTTCCTGTTGCGCCTGGGGTTGAGGCGGTGGTGGTGGAGGTGGTGGCTGTTGTTGTTGCTGTCCTCCACCAGCAGCAGCTTGTCTTTCCCTTTCCCTCGCATCACGCGCCCTCTGCTGTCGGACATAGACAAGTAGAGCCAGCGCTCCAGCCAACGCAATGATGATCATACTCTCTATGAGTCCGTCATCAAAGTCGTCGTAGAACTCGTCACCACCAGCGCCGCCTTCTGCGTTTCGGTTCGCGCCACTGTTGTAATAATACTCATTGTCTCCTCCTGGCATGCCAGGCTCTCCATAAGCGACATGGTCAAGTTCATCACCATACTCGCCTTGTCGTTGCTGTTCCGCGTAGTCCTGTGCTTCCATCTCAACGGCTGCATCGAGAAACCTTCCAAGCCATTCAGTCAGGCTCTTCGGTCTGTTCTTCTTCTGCTGTTCGTCTTCGTCTTCCATTGGCTTGACTTTACCCCCGGATACGCCGTTCCACCAACTCCTAGCTCTGAGCCGTAGTAGAGCCAGTTTCACGGGTAGATATGCTTCTTTGTTCATCTCGTAGGCAAGATCATAATACCGCTTTGCCATGTGAAAGTCCTGCTCGACATTTCCGATACCGTTTTCGTGCATCCAGCCCATGTTCCAGAGTGCTTGGGCGGCGTTTGGGTGTTCGGCGGCTGTCGAGTAGCAGCTGTACATTGCTTCTGTGCTGGCGGTGGTCTTGTTTGACTTGATTGGAGCGGTACGTGTAGGTGTGCCTATGCCAAGGCGATGGTAGTCGCCTGCTTTGATCAGAGAGTCGATGTTCTGCTGATGTGCAGATCGGGTGTAGTAAACTTGGGCCAGTCGTGCATTGTCAAGAAGTTTCGTCCTCTGTGCAGGAGGCACAGATTCAAGTGGGTTTGGGAAGATAGGTAGCATGGGTACAGAAAAGACTGCCGTTTTCTGGTCAAGTAGGAAGGCTGCGTTGGCCTGTGCTGATTCGTAACCTTGCTCTGCAGCCATGATAGAAGCGACAAATGCTCGTTCGTAATCTCCTTTCTCGTAGGCCGAATTGGCTTCTACAAAAGCAGAGTGTAAAGTCTCGGCTCTTTCTGCCACAATCTTGTAGTATGTTGTTGCGTGCTGGCAGTTCTGCTGTCGGCCCAATCCTTGGTTGGCAAATTCAGCCAGATAGTAATAGCCTTCCATAACGCCAAAATTCTTGGCCAGCTCAAAGTATCGGCTAGCTGTATCCAGGTCGCCTTGGTCGAGAAATAGAACTCCGAGAGCAGACTGGGCGACACCCAGCTGCTGCTCGCTAGCGGCTTTGAGGTAAGTTGCAGCACGAATCCCGTCTTTCGGAACACCCAGACCATCACGATACATCAGACCGAGGTGATACTGCGCAAAAGCATCGCCGTTGGTAATGCCCCTTTTGAACCAGGTAACAGCTTTTTCATAGTTCTGTTCCATACCTTCCCCACGCAGAAACATCCTCCCGATGTAGGCTGCGGCTTTGGCAGCCGTCTTCTCAATATTCTTCGGCCTTTTAGGGTTGACAGTTCCATCTCTCATCCAGTAGCTCGTGGCCACTTTCATAAATTGAGATCTTGCTTTTTTGAGATTGCGCCTGAATCCTCTTGGTGGCTCATAGAAGTGTTTCCCAAGAGTTAGACTGGCCATGTAGTCACCCTGGCGCTCACGCATGTCAAGGTATTCCAGAACGTTATCAAAGCTCTCGTACACCGTGTTCTTGCCAGGAGCAAATGGACCCGAGGAGGTCCAGCTTGCACCTTCGCCGTACGCGCCTCCTGCTTCATCGACCCAGCGATAAGCGTTTCGTTGTATGAGGTGACCACCAGGCGGACCTGACAGCCACCAGTCCATGCTCTTGTCTGCGACACGTTTGTAGTACTCAACAGCCTTTTCACAACTCTTTGCGGTACCGATACCCATATGGTACCTGTGGGCCAATGTCATTTCAGCCCTGACCTCGCCTTGTTCGGCCGCGAAAGTATAGTGCAGCTGTGCCTTTGCTTGGTCGATTTCAACAGCATCGCCTATACCGGTAGCATACAGGAGCCCAAGCATATGCTGAGCCGTAGCATTTCCATCTCTTGCTGCTAACTCAGAATACAGCTCGTGTGCTCGCTTCGGACGTCTCGGATGGGAGAAATTGCCGTAGAAGTTCATCTCAGCAAGCAGGAACAAGGCATCGGGATCAGCTACTGCAGCCCTGGTCAGTCCATCCACCGCCTCCTGTAACTTCGGACTGAGCTTTGCGTTCTCGGTTCCTGGTGTTCTTGTTGGTGCATTCATGAAAAGGGCTCGGAAGGCGATCTTGAAGTAGTGCCATGCTGTTGCTGGCAGGCCATTGGGTCGCGCGTCGATGATTGATTCGCGCCAGGAGGGCTCGTCCTTCCTCAAATCAGACCAGATCTGTTGGGTGCTTGCCTGCGCTGTCTGAAATTCCTGTTCTGAAACTGTCTGTCTACTCTGTCGCGCTTGAGGTACGGTGTCGGGCCGTGCGAGAACAGCATGACGCTCAAGAGAAGAAACCGTGATATACAGGTAAAGCAACGTGAGCAATCCTAGAATTGCTCGCTGTATCGACCAAGCCATTTTCGCTATGACAATATACGCGACCAGATACTATAAGAACAATAAGATCATACTGACTGTCGGTTCAGCCGAACGCTGGCTCAGACGATTAGCGGGTAAAGGAAGACATTCATCGCTTTGTCACGGGCTTAGGAACAGCTGGCTACAATTTGGATATCAGGCCTGCAAAATGACGTGCATAGCGATAGATGTGCCTAGCGCTGCCCGGGACCTTGCGCTTATAAGCTTTTACTAAGCGCTATCTCCGTTTTCCTCCCAACTTCGTGCTTCTGGAAGTGCAAGAAATTGAATCCTATTCAAGTTTTCGAAAAAGTATACCACATCATAGAACATCTTGTTCCATGTTATGCTCAGCAAGAGAACTCAAGCATAACTTGAGACTATTGTAGTCGCCTAATTTGAACGTAAATCTACATATGCAAACGCTAACGCTCATCTCACTCGCGTATAAAACCTCATGTCATCGTTCCGTTGCACCGTGCTATGTGCTGCACACGGGAGCATTGCCGTGTCCCTCCTCATGCCGGCATGCATAGTGTTCTTCATGTTCTAGTGTCGCGAAGTCTCGAAGGTGATGGCGAAGCCGTGTTCTTTTTCTTTTCTTGCTTGTCGCCACTCATCGTTGAGCAGGTATCGATACACATCGTAGCGTGAGGAAAAGATGTGATGGTACCTTGTTAACGTCTGAGCCTATGTTATCTAGGTGTTCCCAAGGGGCTCATATCCCCTTCGTGCATAGCAGAATTCCTCCTGCTACTATCGGTTAGAGTCGCCTTGCTAAAATCACCATCTTGGACAGCAAATCTCGCAATTGTGGCTTTCATCTTGGGCACGAGTTCTGGTATCCTGAAAGGCTTGCTGACAACGTCATCTATCCCTGCCTCAAGCGTGTTCTTGATCTGTTCTTCTCTAGCATTAGCCGTGACAGCAATAACAGGTATGTGTCTCGTCAGTTGTCCATCCTTCTGCATTGCGCGTAACGTCCGAGCACAAGTGATGCCGTCCATCACGGGCATCTCGAGATCCATCAGTACGATATCAATAGCCTTTGGTGGTGTAGTCTGATCAACATCCTTGTAAAACGTTGTTTGCTTGATATGGTCTATGGCTTCCCCACCATGGTTTGCAACACTGACAATACAGCCAATCTTTTTCAGCTGTGTAGCAAGAACTTTCTGATTGATCAAGTTGTCCTCCACGATCAATACCCTTGTTCCTGAAGCACTGTGCTTTGGTTTAGCTAGCGCACCTATTGACTGTGTGTCGACAGCCGCCAGTGGGTGTTCTACTTCTCCTGGCTGCCCTTTGGATTTGGAATTTCGTGATCTCGAATTGACACTCGCGGCAGATGATTTACGGCTTGCGATCAGGTGCATATCCATAACATCTTCATCGCTCCCAGAAAGTGGAGCTTGTGAACGCCGGGCTTTGACATAGAATGCGAAAGTGCTACCTTTGTTCGGTTCGGAAGCAACACCTATCTCCCCTCCTTGCAGCTCAACGAGCTCTCGAGAGATGAACAAACCCAGGCCAGAACCGCCATAGGTCACATGAGTTCGTGGGTTGGCTTGTGAGAATCGCCGAAACAGTTGCTTTTTCTCCTCTTCGTCAAGACCACGACCAGTGTCAGAGACTGCGAAGTGGATATAAAGTGGCTCGCCCAGTCCCCAGGCAGGAGAGGCTGTCACATCTTTGTCCTTGGGTGCCTGCGAAGGGATATAAGTAAGATTGTAGTTCGCTTCTTGAGAGGGTTTCTCCCTAGACGCTGCTAAATGCATCTTGACAATACGTTTCTCCTGCGTAGTCGTGAATTTGATCGCGTTGGTCATAAGATTTATCAAAACCTGAGACAGTCGCGTTGGATCTAATCGAACATAATCAATACCCAGGCTGCGATACGACTTATCGACTTGCACATGCAACTGAACATCCGCGGTCTGGCATTCTCCTTCAAACATTTTGATCGTACGCCGTGCCACCGCTTCTGGCTGAGTATCAATTGGCGTCACGAGAAGCATAGCGGAATCCAGCTTCGACAGTGTCAAAACATCGTCCACGATCCGTTTCTGATGCTGTGCGCACAATGTGATAGTCTGTGCCGATTCAATGATGCTGTCGATGCCTTGCACTTGTGGTTGCGGTAGATCAGCACTTATCTTCATGTCCTGTAGGGAGCTAGTAATAGCATCGGCGCTTTGTAATATTGCTGATAGAGGATTCCTCATTTCATGTGACGTTGTATCAATATAGCGTTCCTGTTGCTGCTTCAGCGTTATAGCTTCCTCCATCCTTTTTCTTTGCAATGATTCGACAAATTTTTGACTGCTGATATCAGTGATGGAACCGAAGACTCTTGAGATGTCGCCAGCATCATCCAACTCTGGTGATGCGCTGCCCAGAACCCAGGTATCATGCTTATTTCCGGATTGGTCACGCCAAGGAGTCTTGAATCTGAATTCTATCGAGACAGCGCACTTCTTTTTCAGCAGCTTTTGCCAGAGTGCCCAGACCGTAGCTTTGTCCTCATTCTTTACGTAGTCAATCCAATCGTTGCCTACATATTTGCCCAGAGGAAATGAAGACAGTCTATACCACGCATCATTTGCAAACGTGATCTTGCCTGTGTCATCGCCGATGTACATGCCAACTGGTGCTAGCTCTGCCATGCGGGTGAATTTGTTTTCACTCTGAACAGCTTCTTGAGTACGGACAGCGAGCTGGTTCGTAAGATCGATGCGATCTTGTGCTGCAAGTTGAGCAGCCCTTTCGCCCTTCCGTATTTCCTCCTCGAACAACACGACCGAGGCTATCGAAGTCGCTAGCTGCCTGTTCAAAAGTTGCACAAATAAATCGTAGTCTTCATCGTATGGTCTTCGAGGATTCGTGGCCATGACGATAAAACCAAGGGTGGATTCTCCAGTTGTTGGTCGAATAGGTGCAATTACCACAATACGGGACGGGTCGCCAAATCCCCTCCATTCTATTCCCTGAAGCAACGATTCATCAAGAGTTCCATGCTCGACAGTCAGCACAATGGGTCGCTCAGCATTGATTGCCCGCTTGAAAACAGCGCTGAATCCACTTGTATCGTGCCTAAGATCAATGATTTCTGGTGCACATGGATGGCCCATCTCTACACCTAACGTGCCCTCGAGACGGCACTGTTTGGAAGCTGCAGCCGTGCTGGAGGTAGAGGAAGCCACATCGCTATCTTCCGACTCGTTTAGTGAATAGATGATAACCATAGGTGCGTCGTATTCATTGACCTCAAAGCCTTGTAAGAGCAAGGCCCAAAAGTCCGAAACAGCACGGGCCGCAGCGGTTCTTTCGCCGATCTCCCGCAAGGTCAACATCCTGCGTTCAGCAATCTTCCTTCTTGTCTTTTCAAAACAAGGATTATAGAGGCCAACGACTGAGCCATCATCGCCTATGAGCGGTATTATCGACCACGAGAAGTAAGTTTCCTCGAGAAAACCGTTGCGCATTATGAACAGGCAATCGTCATCTTTCATGGTGGCTTGCGCACTGGACATGGCAACTTCAAACACCTCCGTAATGAGGTGCCATATCTCCTTCCAGGCATCTCGATAACGACTGCCCATCAATTCTGGATGTTTGTTGCCTGCCAGCATAACATACGGCTCGTTGTAGATAGCGACGTGCTCAGGACCCCAGTACATAGCAGCAGGGTGCGGACTGGCCATGATCAAATTGCACATGGCCCTAAGATCGGCGGGCCATTCCTCGATGGGACCCAAGCTCGTCTTGGCCCAATCGAAGCTTTTGGCGAACTGAATATGAGGAGGTAGGGAAGGTGACGTTGGTAAACGTGTCCAGTCGAAGAAGCCTTTATCTGTCAGGTAATCCATTGACATCGGCTGAAGAGACTCAGGGTCTGACTTCAATGGGAACAAATGGTTACTCGAAACAAGTTCTTCCCGGATCGATGATGGACCACGAAGAAGGTCGTGCATTGCGCTGTCGCCCTGGCTAGTGGTAGTCGGTGGCCCATTGGAAAAAGCATCGAATGAGCTATCGGCATCTGGCTCGGACATAGATGAGACAAGGTTCTCCATTGTCGCAGGAATCCGCGTACCGCTGGCTGGAGGGATGTCGAAATAACCTGGTACCTGATTATCATTCCTTCGAAGAGTGTGATGCGAGGAGGAAGATGAGCCTAGATGACTTCTTTGAGGTCTGGGAGGAAACCTTTGCGAGGCACTGCTACTTGGTGGGGAGAAGAAGTCGGTGCCAGTGACGATTCGTAATCTTCCTCGCAAGGTAGTGCTTTTCCACAATGGACCACCGAATTGGAAGGGGCTTGTGCTGGGTTTGCCCGCAGGCTCATTCAACAACCATTTCCTGAACTCTTCCCATGGACTAGCAACATCTACCACCAATGCCGCCTCATGAAAGCGACCATATATACTGTCGACCAGGCCTGGCCTTAGACGTAGAGTAGTATTGACGAAAATTATTGGCAACTCTTCTGGATCTGCCGCTTCCAAATCGAGCACAAATATAGGCCTTTCATCGTGTTGCAGGAATTCTCCCAAGCCCACCACATCAAGTATTTGCGAACCTGTACTATCTTTTCGCGCAACATTCCTACTGTTGGAGGTGGCATCGCTGATTTGCCTATTCGAGGGCCAAGGAGTGGATCGAGAGGGCACAGGACTGGATGGCAGACCTCTGGTCAACTTTGTGACCCTGTTTCCTCCCAACTCTTCCGCCCTGTTGAGCATCGTTTCGGCGGCCAGGATCGAGGTCAGAGTACCAGGCGAGGTAGAGCGGAGACGAGGAGTGGCGCTGCCAGTTCCGCTATTCGTGGGACTGCCAGGAACGGGTGACCTGCGCCCTCTTACAGGCTCTTCATGGCCTGGAAATACTGACGCTGGGAAAGAAGGATAGTCGGCGCACCTGGCCTTCTTCGACAAAGGGGAGTTTGAATCAAATTGTTTGTCGACGTTCTCGGGGGAGTTGCGCTTCTGGCCAGCTTGAAGACCGGTCGACGATGAGGTTTCAGCAGGATGGGTGTCTGCCGAGCGTGGAGCAATGTTCCTGGTAGAGGTGATGGTGCTTACAGCAATGGTACCAGCCACAGGTGTAGGTTTTGGTGAAGCGCGGAAAGGAATGTATGAGGCGTTCCTAAGAATTTCACGAACTGATTCGTCTCGTTGTTGTTGGAAGGTCATGCTATGCCGTCCGTTCAACTGCTACTCCGTCCACGGCTAACATGGGCTCCTAAGGCGAACCTGGGGCAGAAAAAGACAGTTGCACTAACGCCACATATCATGCCCGGTTCGACGCGGTCAATCTTCAATCTGCACCAGAACCATTCGCGTGAGACTCCGAGCAGGCATAGTCGATACGGTAAAGCAGACAGTGGATAGATTTGTTAGTGGGTGTTGGTGGAAAAGGGAACGGCTACCAACACGTGAAGCACAAGGTCACAGGGAAGTCGTGGGGTCAGTTTCGAGAGTGCCGAACATCGATAATTTGCCAGTACGTGAACTGTAATTGCAATGCATTACCAACGTGCAGAATGCTTCTTCCAGAAGACGATAAACTGCAATAACTTTTCAGTCTTTTCCTTTTATTAAGTGTAGCCTCGAACCAGGCAAATTTTTATGATGCACTAAATTCTGGCAATAACGTCTGTGTAGGACTCTGGCCAGCAAGATCGAAATTTCAGGTTTCCTATCTTGTCTGACCGAGATCTGGTTCTAGCGTGTAAACGGTTCTGAGGCTCAGTTGAAGGTTCCACAATCCGGCATTCACCTCCATCTGGAGGCTCTCAAACCTTCGATCTAGCGGTGCGTTAGGCTCCTATAGGCATGAAACCTTCGCTAGCTGCATTGGTATTACCGCTTACGGCCACGATCTCCAATCCTCCATGTTCGTCTCCTCGTACAACACTGTCTTGAGAGAACAGTCAATAACGAATACTCAGCTTCGAATTCTTGCTTACTACGTAACCACTATGCCACCATCGAGAAGACGCAGAATATTTCGACGAGACAACTACACAGTTGCCAGCTCAGTCTATCGCAAGATGAAGCAGTCACCATTTTCAAGTGATACAAATGTATCTTCTGACACACCAGGAGCACTCCCATGTTCAGTTATAGGATGACTTCCAGGAGACAGTTGTAGAGTATGCTCGGTTCGCTTAAGCATCCATGCTACCATGCCATAGGCAAGCTTCACTTCATCGTGCGTTGCAAACCAGTACTTCACATCCCGAGACTGCCGAATCTTTATCGCATTCTCCATCCCAAGGTTCAGTTGAGCACCTGCTAGGGAGATGTCATGGAGGCCGTGAAGCAGAGCGAGGAGTTCTGTTGCAGGCCGAAGTGCTAAGGCACTGATCAGAGAATCTGCCTTGATGCCATGAGGCGTGTATACGATCGCCTCTGATCTCTGGCCAGCAGTTAGGGAAAATGTGACGATCAAGGCTGAGTGGAAATGTATCGAAGCATCGCCTTTCGTATGAACTCTTTCGACAGATAGCCAATCTGGCAGGAGAGTGTGATGGCTGTTGGTACCATACATAGAAATTTCGACCACATTGTCAAAGTGCTTCCACGACCTTACCAACGAGGCAGCTTTCTTTGGCGCCAGAACTAAGACGCTGCCAGGTAATTCTCGCAACGTTGCTTCGTGACAGTGGTCTGTAAACTCATGAGAACAGACGACTAGATCGATGAAGTTGGTCTGCTCCCCACCAGTGAACGATTGACCTGTGATTTTACGTTCAGCAGTTTGGAGTAATGCGTTGAGTTGATTGATACTCTCAACGCTGGAGGGTTCCGCATGTTCTTGTGACGAGAACCAGCTGAACAGATCTACTTGACGACCTCTCAGCCAGGCATCGATAATAACGTTGAACCGACATCGTCCTAGAGGTGGTTGAAGATGTTGCGGATAAGGCAAGGATAACAACCACGAACTATCGGCATTCAGACGTTGTAGGATCGGTCTACTTGTACTGGCATCAAAAACCTTAAAATTGCCTCTTTGTACTCGAGGTTCGTGTTGCTGGTCCATCTCATTGTCAACGAGTCTGAATGATATGCGAGACTTTATTTATTGCATGGTGGTATGACGATGTTCGACATGTTCATGCAACCAGTGTTTAGCGGCATCAATAACGGCTTTTTATTCTGCAACAGTGGCTGAATGACGCGCGGTACATTGTCTTGTCACGTTCAAATACAGACCGTGAAGCATACCTCACTCCCATCAACGATCAGTAAGAATCTGAGCGCCATAGACATGCGAGAGGTAGGGCTTTTGCAATTTCTGTGCCAGTGAAATAGCTGGCTGGTCGTGCTTTCCCAAGATACTTGTGAAGAGGCTTTCGCCTTTGTTCTCGACTACAACATTTCGGAACGTCTTCAGCCGTGTGGACATGGTAGGATACCTGAGCACGACTAGCATCTATCCCTTGTCACAAACGTATCGAACGTCAGACTGGACTAGTCAGCTTGATAATGTGCTGAGACCGGCCATCAGGTCAGCAAGGCCTGTCAACCCTCAAGTTGTTTTGGCTGTGGCGCACTACTAACTGAGCCGATGTGGTTCCTGGAGCTCAATACCCAGACGCTATTCGGAGCTCGGCCACTTCCTAACCAATTCAGCCAAGCCAATATGCGAGGTCAAAGTGGTTCGGTGAGACTCGAGGGCACCACTTACAATAGAGGAACTTCAGCCATGTCTCGTTCGGTCGCTACCGAATGTGTCATCCGAGAGTTTACTCAATGTTCTAGCAGTGATGGTAAGCAAGTTAAAATTAGCTATCGATTGGAACCGCTACTGCTGTACTGCTAGATAGGCGTTGCGGTTAGCTTATTATGAACGACTTGAAAGGCTGCGCTCCTGCTATATGGTAGGCTTGTATCCCATACGACGTGGACACCCCAATCTTTGCTTCTTGAGATAATTGCTACGAAGCGGCTTCACATTCGACTATACACGAAGCCATAACGAGAGCCAGTCACAATGTTAGAAACAGAGTCAAAGACACCTTTGCAAATAGGTATTGTCGGGGCTGGCGTTGCTGGCCTAGCTGCTGCTATTGCCCTACGCAGAGTTGGGCACGAATGCGAGGTCGGTGGTCCGCCTGGGAATTCGCTGCTCCGGACTAACAATATGGCAGATCTGGGAGCGATCGACGTTCAAGAACGAGAATGGTGCAGCTGTATCAATCCCACCGAATGGTGGTAGAATTTTGAAGAGATGGGGCTTTGATGCTCAGAAGACACAAGGCATTCAGATTGAACAAGTGCGCAGACCGAAGGGCGATACTCTCGAACCCATGGCTCCTACGCTTGACTTCAGGGACATCCCAGCAAGATATGGAAATGAATGGTATTTCTACCACCGAGTCGATATGCACCGCGAGTTTCGAAGCATGGCAGAAGACCCTGCATTGGAAGGCCCTGCCGCAAAAATCAACCTTGGTTGCCAAGTCATTGATATCGAGCCAGTGGAAGGCATAGTCACCCTGAAAGACGGCAGGAAGGTGCAGAAAGACCTTATCATCGTTGCGGATGGCCAACACGATAGGCTTAACAAGGAAATCACTGGTCGTGATACTCCTATGCAACGATCTGGTCAAACAGCTTACCGGTGCCTCATTCCGATGAAGGATATCCTCGAGGATCCTGTCACGCGACCACTCTTTGAGAACGAAGGACCTGGATTCTGGGCTCCAGCACTCCCACAAAAGGGTGTAATGTGCGTCACATATCCTTGCCGAAACGGGGAGATTCTAAATTGCTTGATTGTTGCAAGAAAACTCAATGCGACGCACGAAACTAGTGAACAAGATCAGACAATTGAAGACTGGAATTTCCCAGCCACACCAGAAATGCTCGAGGCAGTCATGGACGGATTTCACCCCAGTGTCAAGGCTCTTATGATGAAGTCTCCAGAAATCAAGATGTACACCCAGATGAAACGAGATCCTCTCCCAAAGCTTTTCAAGGGCAAGGCCGTACTAATTGGCGATGCCTGCCATCCAATGCTCCTCACACATGCTCAAGGTGTCTCGTCCTCGATCGAGGACGCGGCCGCGCTCGAAGTCTTCCTGCGAGGCGTTGAAGGCAGTGGAGATGTCAACGCACCAGCTTCGCGCAAGCTGACCGAGCGCCTTGCGATGTTCGAAGGATTTCGCCTACCTCGAGTCAGTGCCACGCAAATCCTTACCGAGCCTATTGTTCCAGGTCCCATGTTCGTCAAGATGGGTCAGGCAGCTGAAAAGAAAATTAGGCAATATTACCAGGGGCCACTCCCACCAATGACTTCAGTACCACACAGTGTGCCTATCTGCAACTTTTTCTTCGCTTACGATGTAACATGGGAAGCAGAGCAGGCACTTGAGTTAGCGAACAAAATGCTGGAGTTAAAAATAGTCGGACAGAAGAACATTGAAGAAGGCAAGTCAGCAGCTAAAGTCTCCGAGGCCGAGATATCGACTCTTGTAACGCCATCATAAAACCCTTCTAGCAAGGAACAAATGAGCACAGAGCAAGAATCGCAGTTAAGGAGGCCGAGAAGCTGGATATCGGTAGGTGATTTGAGGGACAAGTTCTCGTCCATCCGGGTTGGTGGAGCGAAATAGAATATGTTTGGCTTTTGTTTGCCGGGTAGATGGCGTCAAGAGTCAGGGCGGCATCGCTCGGTTCTTTCTTTGAAGGGCAAAGGATGTTCTATTGCATACAAGCGGTGGGTACAGCAAAAATGATACCCTTGCTCGAGCAAAATAATTCACCGACAAGCTGTAATACCATTGCCTGCTTTACATCAATTGACGTCTTTTAACGAGCTCGCGCGGTCCCTAACAGAGACGACTGTTGTGGACTTTTATCACAGTTTCTGTGGATTACAGAAACTGTTGGATCTGATTCCAGCAAGTCCTACGCCAATATCAATGCTGATAGAAAGAAGTTGGGGCATTTAATGGGATACAGGGTCTTTTAGGCACATCACGACCACGTGCAGAACGGCACTAACTTATAAGACAGCCTCCACTTATAGCTCTGCCTAAAACGCGGGCATGTTTGGGCAAAAAGATGCGAACAAAGTCGACGGCACGCGTCTCAGCGATGACGACGGAGTTTGCGGCTTTCTTTGAGAGCAAAGTAACGTGCAATTCACAATGAGAAATACTGTCCTTTGAAATCGTTATACTGGCATGCTAGGAATGCATAAATCAGCTCGCGTACCTCTCTGCCTTGGTTTATCACCTTTGCTATACACACGATGCGACTCCAGATCACAGTACACAGACACACTCTAGCACCTGTACGCAATGTCTTCAATACAAATGCACAGCAGCTGGTGGCCGCTGGGTACAAGATACTAACTGTCTCCGATCTCTTGTCAGCAGTCAACTACCTGATCCCAATCGAAAGCGACCACTGGGGTTGCGAGGACTATGCGGTCGAATCTCGTCTCAACGACAATCAGAGTCAGTTTTATGAAGTCTTCCACTGGCAGTCCGTTGATGATGTATTCAAGGAGGATGATGAGGTAGTCATTAGACCTCTGGTGCGGAAAGAGATTAAGGAACGAAGGTATAACGGGCGCCATCAGATCAACCAGTCGGGTGTACATATGATTGATGGGGGTCCATGGGGCAGGGGTGTGATAGTCAGGAATCGGCCCAGGGTCTATATTCCCCCAAGAGGTGGTACTGACGAGCAGCTAGCTATCGCAGAGACCCAGGAAGAGGAAAATCAGGATGACCAGGAACGCGAGTCTCAGCTAATGATTACGAATGTCTTAGGTCTGGACAATGACGAGGAGGAAGCTGACGATGAGGAAGACTACGAAGACGATGCTTCGAACGCGTCTACAGAGGATTCGCTTGAGCACGAGGCAGAGGACGAAGAAGATGGCCTGGAAACACAAGATACAATTGATGTCGGTGGTAAGATTCTTAAAGAGATTGTTTTTGATGAAAATGGCGAGAAACAACTTCTTGAGGAGAAACCACCTGAGCAGAGTCCGGCTGGAAAGAAGCGAAAACGTGTGCAAATTCTGGACGGACACTCGAAGACGGTACGTGCACCAGAACCCACCAAGCGAAGAAAGATAGACATAGCGGAGGACGACAGCTCTAGTCGGGGTCCGATTCCCGAAAGTCAGGAGGCGGGACTCACGAATGGCACATCGTCTACAATCATAGTCAACGGTGTTGGGTCTGAACACGAAGACGACAGCAGCTCTTCCAGTGGCAGTGAAGATTCGGACGAAAGCGACAGTGGCAGTGAAGGCAGTGCAGACGTCCCAGTCGGCAACGCGCACATTACGACTACCACTCCAGCAGCAACCGTGGACACTTCATCTTCTGGCTCCGACATGAGCGACACGGATTCGAGCGATTCTAGTTCGAATTCTTCAGATTCTGACGAGAGTTCTACTAGTGGTGAGTCTAGCTCTAGCGGTGAAGAGGTGGTGGAGTCTGCGCTGCCAGAAACTAAAGATTTGAAGGGACCTGAGCATCATACAGAACAAGTCCAACACAAAGTAGCTTATGTGGAAGCTCAGAAGCCTGCAGAAAAACAGAATGTACCGCCAGGAAAAGGCTCGCTCAAGACGCAAAAGAACAACATACGCAAGAAGCAGAACAAGATCTTGAGTCGACTAAAGGCGGAGGGTAAATTGCCACCAGGAGCAAATTTTGAGAGTCTAGAAGCATATCTACAACGGGGAGATGCGACAAAATTTGCGTCTGCGCCGACGAAGAGAACTCAAGAAGCTGGCACCGAGGCTGAGGAGATCATGGTCGACGGCACCGAAGATATAGCTGAGGAAGTGGCTGCTAGACGAGAAGAGCTTTTGAGAAGATTGAATGGTAATGCACCTCAACTCCCGACGGTGGAGCAAGATGTTGAAATAACAGAAGTTTCAGGAACGAATGTTTCTGAACAGGATCCTCCTGCCGAACCTGTCAGTGAGCTTCCAGTTGCTGCGCCTTTGTCGGACGAAGAACCTGTACAACCAGAGGCTGTACTTGCCGAGCCTGTTATAGCTGCAGAACCGGCTGCACAGGAGATTGCTGCTGAAGAACCATCACCAAAACGTGCTAGGCTCGACGTCGCAAGCTCAAGACGTATGCTTTTCAATGCATTAGGTGTCCGCAATCCCAAAACCCCTGCTGCTGAACAAGCTCTGCGTGAAAAACTTGCTAAGCCTGTACGACAGGTCAAAGAGAAGGAGATTTTACAGTCACAGAGTACCGGTCCCACACCAGCTGCTGCACCCACAGCACAGCACCCAGAGAGGTGGAAGAGCAAGCTCATCATCAAGGCTGTCGAATGTGTACAAACTTACAAGAAGCCTGAAGTGCCTCCGTTCCCGTTCAAGCACCCATGGCAGGTACGCAAGGAGAAGGAAGAAGCACGACAGAACCGAAAGCAACAGCAAAAGCACAACAATCAATCATACAGGTATGAAGATCAGCAGCTCGACCCACCTGAAGAGCAAGCAAGAGAAGAAGATGATGATCAAGACATCGAGCTGGATTATGGCGATGCTCCTTCACAGGCTCTGACCATATCCAGAACCTTGACAGCTGAGACCAACGACGAGGAGGATATCATACCTATACCCTCGGACTTCGATGTTCTCTACGATTTCGAGCCTCATGATCTCGTGAAAGGTGCCGTCATAGCTTACAAACAGTTGCATCTAGACGAGCACTTCCAGCCTGGCCAGTCGCCATATCGTGTAGCACGAATTCTGTCTAATGAGGGTCCCAGACTTCGACTCCGGCTTGCACCACAATACAGAGATTCCGAGACTGCTGAGTATGACGAGGAAACTGGTGAACGTGTATATAACAAATTCGAGATGCCCATCGATGACGAGGATGAACCTGACGATGGCTTGCGTGTAATCGCCTTCGATGAGATGATTCAACCCAAATTTGTGGCTCCATCTGATTCAGCTGGAGTCGTCATTGCGCACAGTCAATCTAGGTCGAAGGGACCGCAAGCAGAGCTGACCATACATGATCAGACGACAACTTCATTACAAGGTGGAGACGCGCAGGATTCGGGAACGTCAAGAGTTGAGGAAACTCAGCAGCAGGTCAGTACTCCAAGAAGGACAGAGATCGAGGACATCATCAAGGACGCGGGATTTAATTCAGCCCTGGATGCACAGATCCTACATCCTCTTCCCGAGCCAACAGTCAGCAACAGAGATTTGCCTGAGACCTCAACGGAGCACGCCCATGCCTGGCGGTCGGATGCAGATGCAATCACCTCACCAACACATCCCTTTGTTCCCAGCGCCGAGCGTGAGAGCTCACCACCTTCCGAGAGCATGGTCGAATCAGTGAGATACCCCAATCTATCTCAATTAGGACTTGAGACCCCTTCTGTACCAGCACAAAGCAGCTCGCATCAAGATGCACAGAGAATGACGCCGACACCTATGCCAACCGTGGAAACCAGCGCACTTCTAGATCCTGTACAAGAGGACGAGCTGGACCCCGATATCGACACGTCCAAAGCTATCGACTTACCTGCATCCTTACCATCCGAAGTACCTCAAACGCAGTATCCAGAGTCCTTACCAGCACCTACTTCCCCAATTCTAGATCAAGCCGAAGTCCAAGCACGATCTTCACCATTTGCAAACCTAGACGCCTCAAACTCACCACCCCTTCTCAGCCCCAAGCCATCCGACGGCGAAAGCGTCGACAGTAACGGCCTCCCGTCCCTGCGAGCCCTGACCTCCAGCCAAACACAACGAAGACGCCAGAGCAGTATTTTCAAAGTCAAGCCAGAACCCATCCGACGTAGCCCGAGAGTCAATACGTCTACCGAAACGCTGTACTTTTCCGACCCTGAGTCTCCTCCTCCTCTAGCTATCAAATCGAGCGCGAGCCAGAAGCAGCCGAGACTGAGTCAGATTCCCGAAGACAAGGTCATCGTGGACTTGACGCAGTCTAGTAGTCCGCAACGTTCATCGCCGAAGGATAGAGGAGGCAGTGGTAGGGGTGTAGGTGTAGGTGGGAAGAAGGTGGTAAGCTCGAGTCAGCAGCAGGGGATTAATCCTTTTAAGAAGTCGTTTGAGGGGCTGGGGGAGAAGAGCTTGTTGAAGAGAAGAAAGAAGAGGAGTTTGTGAGTGTGAAGTATATATGCTACTTTACTCTATGGTAGCTACTCAAAAATGAGTATTGTGCAAAGTTGTCTGTTGTCATCGCTCGTTTAAGCTCTGTGTCATGCCTTCTCATTCTTGTTATGCGCAACTATCCTGGTCTCTGTCATTATCCAACGTCGTAACGACTTGAACTTGTCCTGCATCCTGCTCTTCCTGCCTGTATGACTTTATCTAAGATAGGTAGGTGTCTCAATCCTCGATCTCATCACTATGCTCCTCGCCATCAGCAGCATTCTTACGTGCCGCGACACTATCCTTTCCATCCTCGCCATCCACCCCATTCTCCCCGTCAACTCCTTCATCGTCAGATGACTCCTCCTTGACGACCTCCTCTTCTTCCTTCTTCTTAGTCTTACCACCCTTCTTAGCATCTGCAGCAGCGCTCTTCTTGGGTGTGGCTTTAGCCTTCTTTCCTGGTGTTGGCGACGCATCACCATCCTCCTCGTTCTTGGCAGTGTTCTTTCGCTTCTTACCCTTGGCAGGCGTGGCTGGAGCTTGCGGGTTACCAGACTTGAGACTGTCAATCTCCTTTCGGAGAGCAGTGAGCTGGTGCGTGACTGCTTTGGCGGTACAGCCTGATAGAGAAAGGTTGTGGTTAGTTGAATGGTCGGTATGTTGTGGTGTGGTACGGTATGTGTGTGCTTACCCATGTATACAGCGACCTGGTCTGCTGTACCGCTGCCGCTCGAAAGGGCTGTTTCATTGGATGCGAAGATGGCGTGGTAGAACTTGGGGACATGGTTAGCTTTCTGCTTTGACACACCGCGGATGTTTGATTTCTCGGGAGATGATTTACCTTGATCTTGGTCTCGGGGTCTTTCCAGCTTATGGTAGACATGTTGATGGGGTATGTATAGATGTGTTTTGTTTGGGAATGCCTGCTGACAGGTATGGATCAGTATGCTGGAACTTGATCGAAAGCAAGACTCGTACAGATCAGATCAAAGATGGGTGCTGAGCTGTTGAATGGATCGAGCCTGAGCAGATCGAATTTATGGATGTGGTGGTAAAGGTGGTTGAGAGAAGAAGAGATTCATAGAACGGATGTGGACTTAAGTGCCGCTTGGAAAATCGATCAGGTGGTTGGGATTGCTGCAGAAGTGACAGGAAGGTGAGCTCCCACGTACCACATCGATAAGTTCAAGGTGAATAGAAGGGGCAGTAGCAGGACATACCGATGGCAGGAGGTCCAGTAGCTTCTCTGAGGAGTGAAGGTTTTTTCACCACGTAACATGTGCTTCTTTGTCTTATTTGTACCTGCTCTGCGTGACACGCTTGCAAATAGGATGGGACATTTCTCTTATCGCAGCACTGATCGCCCTTTGTATACTCAGAGAATTTGTGGTCAGGCAAGCAGTTCAAGGTTGTTATGCCTAGTTTCCATGAATAAGATACTGCTTCTCGCTTACTACTGGCAGTATGACGCATCCTCTTGCCAAACTCTATCTCTCAGCACCTATAGTCTTTCCTGACGCCGGACCTGTCGTGAAAGATGTCTTCGTTGTAGCATGATTCGCACCGTATCAGTAGGTCTTTGAATCGTGGGTCGTGTCTCGTCGGGTCTTGGTCACGACAGATCATTCGGGCTTTATATAGCAACACATTCCTATACCAGTTCAATAGCAGGTTGATAACATCATGTCTCCTATCAGCAGGTCAGTGTTCGGGTCACAATCTTGAAGTTCTTGTAACATGTGCCGTGCGCTGAACACACTGTCGTATTGCGAAGTCTTGCTCCAAATTGTTCGTTCGTTCAATCTCGCTCTGGAAATCGCTCTCTTCATGTCAAACTACTCAGATCTAGCGGCACACTGCTTCCTCTCCCAGCTCTATACCGTTTCGGCACACCAGTAAATTGCCTAGGTGGTGGTAGCGCACCTTCATCCTGAAATTTCCACCTAGCGTCCTGTATGGGTTCAACACCACCTCCGCCACTACCAAAGCTCCCGTTCGTTAAGGTATAAGAGGTCGATCTTAGGTTCGCAACACTTTGTGAATGTGGTGACCTTCCTGGCATTATCTGTGATCCGTAGCCGGCGGATTGCGAGGCTGGCGAAGAGGGTGAATCAGGAGCACCGAGGTAACTGTTTGATTTGCTAAAGGCTGAAACAGCAGCTGCATGTGCTGGATGTATTGATGGGGCTGAAGAAGGTGGCGGGGGTGGTGGAGGTGGATGATGTGCTGCTACTATTGGTGGTGGTGTTGATCGTGCGGGTGGTGTAGAAGGCGCTGCAGAGAATGGTGGAGGAGGGGGCGCACTTGGAGGAGCTGGGCTCGAAGATGTTGGAGGTGGTGGTGGAGGAGGAGGCGGTGGTAGTCCTGATGAACTGCTCGAACTTGGAGGCGGAGGTGGTGGTACAGGCGGCGCTAACGACTGTGAACTCAATGTTGGTGGAGGGGGAGGAGGCGCTGCTGGCACCCCACTGACTTTTCTTGACACTGGAGGTGGAGGAGGTGGTTTTCCTAATGCTATTGCGCTGAGACCTGGTTTGGGTGCTGGTCTTGGAGGAGGTTTCTTTAAGTTTGCTAATGGACTCGGTATCGTTGGTGCAGAATCTGTGGTGCCTAATCCTGGTCGTAAGCCATTTATCCTGGGTATCGAGGGAGGGGCTGAAGGTGGTATTGGAGGAGCTGCCACTGTTGTAGCTCTAGGTGCGGAGGGTCTCGATGTCTCGGGATCAGAATGTGAAGATGGTTCGTCTGCACCCGTATCGATGCCTCCTCTTGTCTTCTTCAGCTTTGGCATGCCTCCAGCGAAAAGACCACCAAGTTGAGGAGCACTGTCTATTCCACTAGATGGTGTTGCTCCTCCTGTATCGCTATTGCTCCTGTTCCTGTTCGCTGGTGGTCGGGGCGGTGCGAGTCCCGCAGGTGGTGGTCGCATTCCTGGTACTGGTGGTGCACCAGAGACTGGTCCTCCTCCGCCTGATTTCTTGTCTACTATAGGAGCTGATCTGTCGTTCGTCTGAACTGATTTCAGTCTCTTTCCCTTGCCGATGTCAGACAGTAGTGCGCCCTGGTTGTCATGTCAGCCTAAACTCCTGTATAGTTGTGTTGCCTCTCTTATGCAGCCAGCCGTGGTTACTCTCGTCATGTCTGGCTTCTGTGAGCACGTACTCTGTCTTTCGATGCCGCTGGTGGTGGTCTTGCAGGCAGGCTGCTCCCACCTGGCAATGGCGGTGGAGGCGGAGGCCCTCCTCCAAACCCTGGCATAGGAGGCGGCGGAGGCGGCGGTGGAGGTGGTCCGCTCATGGCTACAGATATAGTTTCTGTTCAGGTGGTGCCAGGCTGGGTAGACAGCAGAAGGTGGTATAACCTGTATCTATTGGCAATCGCAAGATGGTTCCGGAACTGCTCAACGAAGCACAAACAGCAAGCTTTTCAACAAGACGTGACAGAGACTTGTTTGTAAGAGCTTGAGTACTATCGTCCCATCGCATTGATCGGTATACTCAGCACTGTCGGCCTCGCGGAGAGAGCCGCGTTGCGTCACGTCCATGGCGGAGTCTACTAGGCGAACACATTTGGGAAGGTTCAGAAAGCCGATCACCTCAAGAAATGCAGTACCACAGCCAAACAATCAGGCTACAATGAACGCAAGAGATTGAAAAACTAGAGCTGTGCGGTCTTGCTCGCGCGGTACGACAAATCTATTCCGTTGCATGTCATGAGCACGTAAACCCAGTATCGCTTCCTCGATCTTGGCAGCAATTCCATTGCTTAACACTATCAACGACTCCATCTCCAAGCAGACCCATAACCGCAAATGGTGACTATTGCTCATGGCAACAACTCCTGCTCCTCAAGTGTGATGAGTACCCATCTCGAGTACCGGCTCATGACTTGGTAAGAGCCAATAGAGCGATTGAAGACCTTCAGAACATAGATATGCAAGATATGTCATTCTCTTTACATCCTGTAGACATACCATACGATACTTCCAGTACGATGAAACGTCGATGGCACCTCTTTCCTCCAGTAAAACTCTCCTAGTTGTGGCCGGCCTTGCGGAGAGAGTTGCTGAGCCATTCGAGACCTTCGTAAAGACCGTCTCCCGAGGTTGCACAGGTTGATTGAATGTACTGTAGCATGATTAGCATGAGTACGAAGTAGTGGCTCACCATGACTTACCCAGGCTCTTTGTCGAAGAGAGTGCAGGCCAAGCTTATCGGTGATTTCGGCAGCGTTCATGGCATTCTGTGATGTTGTTAGTAATCTCAACATCCTAGATACTTTTTTTTTTTAGCATACTGGAAGATCCTGCTTGTTGGCGAAGACCAGGAGAAGGGCATCACGAAGTTCATCCTCATTCAGCATGCGCTGCAATTCTTCCCTAGCTTCAACAACACGATCTCTGTCGTTGGAATCGACGACGAAAATAATACCCTGAGTGTTCTGAAAGTAGTGTCGCCACAGAGGTCGAATCTTGTCCTGGCCACCGACATCCCACACGGTGAACTGGATGTTCTTGTATTCAACTGTCTCGACGTTAAAGCCTGAATTTTGTCAGCTATAATGCTCGTTGTTTCGTTGCGCTCGCTCAGTCGTACCAATGGTTGGGATTGTGGTGCTATAGACGGATTAGTCTTGATCGCGGGTCGCACTGGGGTCGGGTTCACGTACACAATTTCACCAAGCTTGAGCTTGTATAGAATGGTGGTCTTTCCTGCAGCATCGAGACCGACCATGAGGATTCTCATCTCCTTCTTTCCCCACAGCCGATCAAACAGTTTCGAAAATGCCATACCCATCTTGGCGGTATTTGTTGAGACTTTCTGAACGTGGTAGTAGCGGAAGAGGCGGTCTGATATTGACACTATTAGCACAAATCTCAGACGGTCGAGTTCGATTGCAAAAGTCGAAGGAAGACCGGATCGAGCGCCTCGAGTACGTTCGGTACCAGCAGCGATTTATAGCAACATTGATCGTGTGCCTGTACCGACGATGTCTGGCCACTTTGTCCTTGTTGCAAACGCTGGAGTAGGCAACTGAGATAAAAGAGTGCTTACCAAGGCTGATTGGCGACCACGATATGCGAGAGAATTGCTAAGATCAAGCAAGTGTCCCTCCGAAATTACAAATGATGTTGTCGTCCTGAAGACGGGCAATGAGAGTGGATTCGTGGTCAAAGGCAAGGACGCATGTCACAGAATCGCAGTTTGCAAATGGAGTTGGTCACTCAGAACCTCCATCTGCAGCGTCTTGGCGGGAAGCACGAGCCAGCCCGCCCAGCCTGATTGTTCAACAATTTCTATCAAGACTTCTTCATCCATGTCTCATAACTCTTTGTTCTCGATGCCATGATTTTCGTCTTACATCGTGGTAACGAATGTCGATTCACGCTGTACAACTCAAAGAGACATACGCCATATTCATGGCCGTTTGCCAATATTTGTCCGCTGCACAATCCCTGCCTGACGTAAACCTCAAGTTTATTGATTAATCTTCTCCAGTCTGCATCCATAGTACCATATGTTACACGTGCGACTACTCGTCGGCCTGATCTACGAACGAAGTGAAGAACGCATCCAACTTCGAGAGATCTCAAGCTCGAGCACCTTACAACCGACAGGAAAACGTGTATGAGCACACTACGACAAAGCATAAGTCATGGCGAGAGTATGATACCATCGTGATTTTTGCTACTACTCACTTGATATCGCGTAGGATATCTGCATATATGATATCGGCTTCTCTACCACTCGTTCTGCTCGAGTACCTTGAGTTCGAAAGCACAGGGTACACATCGTTGCTTGTAGCACTTATCTGCTGCGCTGACGCGTCGCTGTACCGTGAGCCATGTCGATGGATTTCTTCCTTCTTTTCCAAAGCCATTTTCGAGTCAGCAGATCCAAAAACACCGCCCTGTGACATTTCTTGATGCACATCTGACTGTACTGTGCCTGGAATACTAGTCGCGTCGATAACACCAATGCTCATCGACTTTTGTGCAGAGTTACCGTGCACGAGATCCACAAGCTTGGACAGGATATTCAGCTCGAGTTTCAGCTTGACACTATAAACAAAGACTTTAATAGCTTCTTGATATAGCTGGAAATGCAGAAACTGCAACGTTACAAGGCCGATCTAGATACAAATTAGAGCAAGAAAGGTACGTTGCATATCAGGTACTTACATCCATAGAAATAATAATCACGTTGATCGTCAATAGCTGCCAAATCATGCTCCGTGTATTCTCCTTGGAGATGACTTTTAGCAAAGCAAGCGTCGTATAGACGTACAGTCCCGAGATAATAAGCTCTTGGATGGTGAACAATGTCATTTGAATTCGCTCAATGTAGTAATACCCTTCGGAGAAAGCCATTGATCCCGAATAGGTACTTCCGAAGTCGAATATGTTAACGATGGTGCACAAGCAGATACTGTTAACGATGATCATCCATTTGACAGCAGCTAAAATCTTTTCGTTGGACACAATCAATCCTAGACGTGAATATAGGACGAGAGACTGAAAGCTAACCATCAGTGTCCAGCCAACGTCGAGTATGACCTTCCACAGCCAGCGAACGCTGAGCTCGAAGTAACTCAGCATCATGCCTACAGCATAAAGCATAACGCCGAGGTTGCATATAGTCAAGCTCCAGAAGTATAGGCCGCGCCATCTCTTGAATGTAGAGAAGATGAGGAGGATCAGCTCGAGAGAGTTGAAGAGTGATATGGCAATAGACAATGTGACGATGACCGAGTCAGGCGAATACTGGCCATTGAAAGTGTTCTTTTGTGTAGCCGTCGCATAGTGATTAGAAACAGACCGTGTTATTAAGGTGGCTTCGACCATGGTTTGGAGCATTGACTATTACGGTGCATGTTATCGTCTTCAAATGGCTATTGAAGATTGGGTGCCACTATAGCCATGCGAGGGTAGTGGGAATAGCTTGCAGAGAAGCAACCCTCGAGATCGTACAGTACTTTCGAGGACATGATAAGCGTAGGTAAGGTCAAGGTCGAGATCTGTTAGCTCCGCTCGAAGGACAACCCGAAAGGATGGTGCCCTCCAAAGTCACTCCACAACTGCCGTTTTGTGCGGAATACCGAGCCGATCGAGGCCACCGCTACGGGTTGCAAAGCGATATCATGGCTGCCTCGAACCACAGCAACGTCTTGGCTTTGCAGTGCTTTGTTCTTCGTGACATTCTGTACTGATAAACCCTTTCACGTGTCCTTGTCTCGTTGCAATTCGGTGAAGCAACAATTCTGAAGTCATCCTTCCGATTAACACTTTGAGTCTCCTCGAAAGTGGGTTTTCGTGGGAGATGCATGAGATGAACAGTTATATGGCGTGCCCAAGGTTAAGCAACGGTAGACAAGGAACATGAGCTACTGGAAGAGACGACCTTGAACTCGTCCTAGCACCGCCATGATCAATACAATTAGACGCGATGTGTCTCGATGGTCGACGTGCGAGCGCGGCCTTCGCGAACTTCTGCGCGACGATGTATATCTCGATAAAGTTAACCTCACCCAGAGCGAGCCATTGCCGACACCCAGGCCTCTGGAAAACCGATCTCGTGGAATGACGCCCTAGATGCCATAGTTGACTTCATGTTTGGCCGTAACAAGGTGGGGAAGTGCTTGGTCGGCTAACCTGCTTCTTCGCAAACTCCACGCACGAAACATTTACTTTCTCGCCGCCTCGTTCTGCCTATTCTTCGTAACAACCACTACTGTCTGCAAACCTACACCAAGTTGAGAGATCTCTTGGAAGACCACTGCCAAAATGTCGAAAATCACGGTCGCAGGAGTTAGACAGAACGTCCAGTCTCTCCTTGATTATTCTTTGAACGAGAAGAAGCGAAACTTCCTCGAAACCGTCGAGCTTCAGATCGGCCTCAAGAACTATGATCCTCAGCGAGATAAGCGTTTCTCGGGCACCATCAAGCTACCAACGATCCCTCGTCCAGGAATGAGCATCTGGTAAGTCTAATGTCGAACAGAGATCGCAAAAAGAAAGGGCTAGTCCTGACAATAGCGCAGTGTTCTTGGTGACCAGCACGACATCGACCGAGCCAAACACCTCGGCATCGATGCCATGTCCGCCGATGATCTCAAGAAGTTGAACAAGAACAAGAAACTCATCAAGAAGCTCGCTCGCAAATACGATGCCTTCGTTGCCTCCGATGCTCTTATCAAGCAGATCCCGCGTCTCTTGGGTCCTGGTCTGTCCAAGGCTGGCAAGTTCCCAACTCCGGTCTCCCACGCTGAGGACTTGAACAACAAGGTCAATGAGGTCAAGAGCACCATCAAGTTCCAGCTGAAGAAGGTGTTGTGCATGGGTGTTGCTGTCGGAAACGTTGGCATGTCCGAGGATGAGTTAATTGCTAACATCATGTTGGCGGTCAACTATCTTGTATCTTTGTTGAAGAAAGGATGGCAGAACGTTGGAAGCTTGACCGTCAAGGCCTCCATGTCTCCTCCGAAGAGAATTTACTAGATGGGCGATACGACTGGTACGCACCATGTTGGTTGCCATGTTTAAGAGAAACACGAATTCTTCACAGCCATTGCGCTTGTTTCACATCCGGAAGAGTGGACAGTGATCCTATACAACGTCGAGGTGGACAGGGCGCCAGGAGAGGCACGAGGCGTATACTGTTCGCCGCTCAGAAATGACCCGGTACAAGAACAGGGGACGCTAGGGTTGAACGATTAGTGTCTGTGCGTGTAGATTCGTCAACAACACATGGAACTTCGAACACGTTCATGTAGTTCTCTGCTATTGAACCTCAATAAACGCTTCGCGGCACGATTTGACGACAAACCAGCTCTGGCGAAGTCCTGCAATGGTTGGTGTGTCGTCTATAGCCTGTTCTGCGTCTCACGTGAATTCAACAGTGCGTTGCGGTAATGCGTAAGTCGTGCCTTCCGTTTTCACGGTGGCGATGCTTGATACAAATCATCCGGTCCTTCTCTCCAACTCACCGTGCTATACACGTTCTAAGTATTGCACGACATGCATCGCAGCTAGCTTGCTGTTTAACCTCAAGAAGTTGCATGTACATACACCACGCGACGGCCTCCTTCAGACAGAGTCCTTGCCCACAGATGCAGATTCAGGCTGGTGAATATGCAAGGCCCATCACGAAAGTCAATTTTACAAGCTGAAACTGCCGAGTCTCCTGAACATGGGTATCCCGAAGCCATGTGGACAAGCAACAATTTGATTTGCTCATCTGAACAGACCGGTTCATCGTGCTCTGTCTGCAACAATCGCCGAAAAGGCCCCCAACCTGATCCCAGCTAAATCTCTGACTAGCTCTCCTAGACACCAATGAATGTTAGCATGCACAATTCAATCACCCACACGAGTCAGGGTTCACAAGCGATCACCTTGAAACCGCATGCTTTCTGCGGACTAACGTTTAGTTACAGCAGAAGCTGTCTAGCATGTAGCTGGTCGATCAGGATGGCCGTTTGGCCCTAAAGAATCATTCAAAGCACATGTATCATGTGTCGCCTATACTGGCGACCCGTGCGGTAACTCGCATATTCCCTTCAACTCAATGGCCTGTTAATGATGAGAGCTGCTGAACAAAGATTGACAGGATGAGGTCTCAAGGATTTCAGGCTCTACACCAAAACGACGACTATATGCTCGATGATGTACACCAGCAGTCAACGCGTCATTCCGACCACAGTCAAAGGTTTCAGCCTGCTCAAACACCATCAAGATGGGAATCTGTCAAGTCAGCCTATAACCCAGAAGTCACTTACGTTGCTCTTGCAGATCTCCCACGGGTTGAAAGGTCGCACCGCCAAAGACCTCAATCAGGTCGACGAAAGAGCTCTCGCTTCTCTCTTCTTGGAAACCCCGTTTCTAACCTTCGTATACCACAATTTGCTGCACCCTGGCAACATGAGCAATCTATCGGCCTTCCGGGTCAAGGACCCTCGACAGTACGCTACTTCGACAGAAGCAAGCAACTGCGACGAACGTTTGTCAATGGGTTTTTGCAATGGCTCCTGACTCTCGGTCTTGTGCTATGTGAGTTCGCCGTTCTGTATGGCTTCAGTCGTCAGCCAACTGTTTCTAAAGCTGAGGTAAGTTTCATTCACAACGGCGACCTCAAACAACATGAACTAAGAAACGACGACAACTCGTTCTTCCGTCGACTGACTTTGTGGTTTGCAGAAGTACTCGTTCAACGCCGCCATTACTTTACTCTCGCTGGCACTAAGCTTAGCTGTCGTTGCAGCCTTGAAATCCTACTGCAAGTTATTGAGTTGGAGGCTTCTTGCCTCCAAATACCGAGACCTTCAAGAGTTTGAGCTCATCATGAACTGTGACTCGCAGTCAAAGGTATTGAAGCTACTGTGGGCAAGTCGAACGTCCGGACGCTTTCGGCTAAGCAAAACCCAGATTCTCTGTATAGTCTCTTTCTTCGTCTTCATTGGGCTTCAGATCTGTATCGGTCTTCTTGGGTTGACGTATTCCATCGACGCGTCTCAAAATGTTGACCATATCTACGGCAACGTCTCAGTTGTCGATCTCAGCAACATTTACCAAGATCCCAGTTATAACACTGCGGGTTACGTCGACCGTACTGCCGCTGCTAATTACTTCGGGCTTGTTGGCCAAAATTACCCGATTCAGTATAACTGGCCATTAGGGAAAGGCGACGAAGGCTTCGAAAACATCTATACTGCTGATAATTCGACCTTCTTCTATAACTTCGTTGATGCGGCTGTCGATGTCAATGCGAATAATCCTGTCTTCGATACCTCACGACGTTGGATAGCGGCGAATGCGACCTGCGTGGAGCTCGAGATTATCAGTGGCGGCTATATCAAGACTGATGGAAGTGATCAATGGTTGAGTTACAAAAATGTGCTAGGCAATAATCAGACCATCTACGTACAAAGTCAAACTACGTTGACGTCCACCTACATGAGTAATAGCTCCAATTCTGGGTGTGGCGACCGCTGCACGAGTATGTTAGTATTGGACTCTGCAAGCTACGACAATGACACACAATCTGAGGCCGTACCTCACCTCCTCACTTGCAACACTACTATTGATGTTGTCCACAATGCAAATACCTGCACGCGCGCCAGAGATTGTACACTCGAGGACGACTTGGCAAGAATAATTGCAGGCGGTATCGGATGGTCAGGCACTTGGTTCACGGATGGCAACCCACTTCAATACAGGACATATCCACCAGGTTCTCCTTACTCGTGGGATGGATATGAGGCTTACCAGGACCCAAGTTTTCGTGCCTGGCAAGTAGCTACATTTGCAATCGATGTCATAGCAGCAATGGACGACCTTGGGCCTAGGAAAGTTGTCGAAGGTCAGGCACCAAAAGCTGGTGTGGCTCTAGAAGTGGAGTGGAGATATACGATTCCACTTCTGTGCGTGGTGCCCACTGTCCAATTCATTATCCTTCTCATCGTCTGCATTTGGTCGAACGGAGCACTGATCAAGGACGGGAGCTATCTTGCTGCGGCGCATCTTTTGCGGCCCGTGGTGGAGAAATTAGAGGATCACGGCTGCGCACTTACAGGTTTGTGTCTACGCATATTGCGGTGTTCTCAGCTAACAGATATCAGGAGACGAGATCGCGAGAGAGTTGGACAATTTCAAGATCATCTATGGAGTGAAGGCTCCTCCGGGTATAAGGCATTTGTCTGCCTATGCACCGACTGGTGGCTCGCAAGTTGACTGGCACGTCGGCGTCATCGCCGAAAGTGAAGGTTATGGTCAGCAGGCTGAAGAGGGTTGGAAACCTGCGGCGACATTCCCTGATGGTCGATACGATGGTACAGGGTACACGCTGACTTCCAAGACTACAGATGACTCGAGTTTACAGGACGACTCCACAGACGAAATTGACGAGGATGCCTATCTGTTGTCAACCTGATACGAACATCCTGACAGCGCTGATTTGGCTCGAAATCATGCGTTGACATCCACGAATGGATTGGTCTACCCGACATCTTCGTTCGTATAGCAAACTCCGAATTCCTCGTCAGTTGAACAAGCCACTGAAGCTGAATACCCCTTTCGCTAAGGTTGCGACGAAGTCCCCGGCTACCATCACTACTGCATTCGTGTGCAGCAAAGATTCTCCTTCCCATGCCACGAGGACATGTCAAGACTGGGCTCAGACCCCTTTACGTGGCCCTCTTCGAGCTAAGCTAAGCTATTGACTATCTGGAGATACACCCGATATGCCTGCCTAACATGAATCAGCTCTCACAGGCCTCAGTATCACCATGAGATTCAAGTCGCAACTCTATTCATGTAGCTGCGCCATCTCATGGAGCGCAAAGATTCAGATCAACTCTACAGACATGTTTGCCTGTGCTGCACTAAAAGCCCAGCAAGCAGTTGACACCATCCGTGGCATGACGAGTACGTACTCAGAAATCTCCTCGGCTTGTCGTATATATACCCGGACTCGAAAATGAAATAGGCATATTCACAATGCACCATAACACGAAGGAAAATACGCTCGAGTCAGAACCGTCTATCAGGAGAACCAACGAAGATTTTCGTGTTTATACATTATTCTTATTTTTAGTCTTTTCAACTATGTATTTTGATGTGTTATACAGCAAGCACTAAACACGCAGTTCGTTTCATCTTAGAGGTACTACAGTCTTTTGACGTGCTGATCAATGGTCGAAGAATAAAGCGACTCTTTCGTTTGGAAACGCGTTGTCTCTGCCTGCTGTAGCCTCAATATCGTCGGTCTGATATGGACAAACTTGAGTGAGAAAAGGCGGATTCGGCTGATTGATATGTGGTATGCACGTAGTGAATGACCTATATCTTCGTCGTGTCTCTCTGCAGATTCGCAGAGCAAAGTTCTTAAGTCGACTGTAGACTTGTCTCGCTTGAATTGCCACCACGGGAGGCGTGTTAGAGCTTCTTGGATAATGTGAGAATGAGGCTGCACTGCCTACTGTGTAGCCGGATGCTAGATTTGTATTGAGGTTAAGGTTGCATTTCAGCTTCGATCACTGCTTCTGCCGTGGCGTTCTACTCACAAACCCTCTTAACGAGTGAAGAAGGTAGTGGAGGTAATGTTTCGGATTTTTAGGCGACCAGGTGGAGAATCAGATGCGTGTGAGCCAACCGACTTAGATCGCAGCTTAAGTAGATGGAAGTCCTTCTTGCTCTGCTCAATATAGCGAGATTGCGCTTCAGTCGCTGCAAGGGTGACGATGCCTAAGTATGTAAGACTTTCACTCAATGTCGGAAATCTCTGAAGGATATTGCTCGTGAAGTTTTTGGTGCTCGTCCTCAAATACAGGGTCAGCCGTTCACCCAGTGCGGTCGTAACACACGATGCTTCTGACTTGGTGCCAAGCGAGCGTTTCTTGTGATTGTCCTTTGCTTGATTCCTTCGAGCATGCTGGACTCGTGCCTGCATCTCCAAAGACGTGTTTATTGTAATAATAAATACGGACGAGTCACTTGAATCTCCGGCGTGCTTTTTTTGAGTTTGCTGATCCGTGGCCGACATTCTATCGTCGACGACTAGGCTTGTTCAATTGTCGCTCAATATCGTCCTCGTACTTGTAGCTCCGCGTACGGCCACCGCTGAGACCGCCGCCTTTCGCATTATTCGCCGCCTCGCGTCTCTGTTGCTCTTTGAGCATTCGTTCCTGATTTCGTGCTTCACGTTCTAGAGTGTGGGGATCCTTGTCAGGCTGCAGTGATAGTGGTGCAACTTCGGATGCTCGATTAGTGGATGAGCGTCCAGTAATGCGCATGCCAAGGTCGGTATCTTTCGGTGTCTCAACGTCTCGATCTCTGTCTTTGCGACTAGTGTGCTCTTTCTTGTGCTTTCTCGATCGACGGCGAGACTCTTCTTCATCCGCGTCTTCATACCCGTCGTCACGATCGCGGTCATGTCTAGATCGTTTGCGGTGTTTGTCCTTTTCTGACCGCTCGTGGTCTCTCCGGTCCCGCTCCTCACGGTCCTCATATCTGCTCGAGGACTTCTTGGAGGGTTTCGATCTGGTTTCTTCCACGTAGTCGTCGCCGTTTTCGTGGTCATCGTAGCCATCTTCATATTTACGGGACGAAGACTTGTGTTTGGTGCTACTAGAGTACTTGTCCCTAGCCTTGTCTCGCTCTCGTCGTCCATTTCGATGACTTGGATCTGGAGAGTCGGCCCGGGAATTGGAGTGAGAGTGCTCAATTCCGTCCATATCATAGTCATCATATTCGTTACGCCTGGACTTTCTTCGTTTACGATCACGGTCATCATGGTCATCGTGATCGTCTTCGTGACGAGAACTTTCATGCTTACGATCATGTTTTGAGTGTCTCCGAGAAGACTCTCTATCTCGATCATTATAGTCATCATACGTGCTCCGAGGTGTGACACTTCTTGGTGCCTCTTCTCTAGCTCGCTGTTCTTTGACCTGTGATGCGGTTCCCCTAATCTTGAATCCAACGTCACTTTCCGACCTTGATAAGATCTTCACTGGAAGTGGTGCTTCCTTTTCACGCATCGCTCTAGGTCCGGTTGGAGCACCTACTACACCTGGTTTTTGGTTCATTGGGGGAGAGATATTTTGATGGGATGAGATTGGCCTAGCAGGAGATCGAGGCGGAAAGCCAATCGATCCGTGGTAGGAGCCACGCTGGCCCCTTGAGGGAAACCGTCCGTGACCTCTAGAACGGAAAGATACGTCCTTAGCGGATGGTCCCGATGGAGCGGTTGGTGGTGCAGAAGCAAAATCAAGGTCCTCCCGATAAGCTTCTGGAATATATGCTTCCTTCACGTCTGGCTTCGGAGATTCCACCAAAGGCACAGTCTCTGACACAGCTGGAGAGGGCTCTCGCTGGTACTCTTCGTGTTTGAGCTCGACAGCTGGCGTGTCCTCGACTTTGGGCTCTTCGGGTGGCTCTGAAGCCTTTTTGTAGGAGTCGCCAAGGGCTTCCTGAACTTCATCTTGACCTCCTGGAGCAAAGTCATCATCGTCAGCATGCTGCTCAACCACTTTATCGTTGTTAGCTTGCTGAGTTCCCTGTATGTTATGATCGTATTGGTTTTGTTGATATTGATTCGGTCCTTGGTTGAACTGAGTCTGGAAGGGCATGTTGTTGAAGTTTCCATACTGGTTCTGATGGGAGAACTGGTTGTTGTTGGCGAAGCGACCTCCACGTTGCTTACGACCACGACCCCCACGACCGCGATCGAAACTGCCATTTCTAGTATTATTGAAGGCGAAATCACCATTGGGGAAATTCTGCTGATATTGCTGCTGGCCATTATTGAAGCTAGCACCATTACTCATCATAGGAAAGAAGTTTTGTGGACCCATGCCAAAACCACCGCCCATCATGTTTGGCCAGTTCGAGCCATTCATTCCCATCACATTCATGCTGTTCATCATAGTTTGCATCTGCTGCAGCATTTGCGGATTCATCATCTGTCCACTATGAATCGCTTGATTAAATTGGGTTTGCATCTGGGCCATTTGTTGCATCATCTGGGGGTTCACTGATGAGCTATTAGAAGGGGAGTACAGCCAGTGGTAGACATGAAGAAACTCACTCATATTCATGTTCTGTAAGTTTTGCATGCCACCGTTCATCATGTTTGGCATCATATTCATCATTGCCTCGTTCGGCATTCCAGAAAAATCCTGATTGTATCCACTGAAATTGTTGTGTGAGGCGTCAGATGCGAAAGACTGGTTCTGAGGTGTATGCTGATGTTGTGGTATGGTAGAATTCTTTCGAGGCTTCTCGGAGGGATGTTGCTCGCCGAGCCATTGATCGTTTTCGTCGGCAAGAGGACTACGTTTCGATACATCAGGAATTTCCGACAGATCGTAGTCGGGTCCAACGTTGATTTCGATATCGTCGTCAAGCTCATTACCTGATGCGGAATCGATTGTTGGACGTCTAGAACGGGTCTTCGGTTCCTGTATCAATTGTGAGCAACTATCTTCGAGCCCCTGCCAAACTATCTTACCTCTATTGATTGAATGACATCTTCATTTTGCTCTGGCTGTTCATCCACAGTCTGCGATGTCTGGGCATCTTCTAACTTCTTCTCTTCACCTTCTTGTTTGCCAGCGGCGCTAGTGCTCACAGGAATGTCCGAAGCCATAGGGGTCTCGCGTGGTTCAGGAGGTGCGCTGTTTGTAGCCTCGGCAGATTTCGCAGCATCGGCGCTTGCCATCTGAGTCCTCAGATAATTCCTCGCAGTGCCTCGAAGCGCCTTGCTGGCACTGGTAACTAGGGGAGTATGGTTGCAGGCGGGGCATTTCTTTTCGATGAAGCTGGTATTGCCTGTTGACTATTAGCTTGACCTGACAAGGCGGGTGTTGCAGGGGACCACATACATTGCTCGCAGAGTCCACTGTCACAGCAGGCTGCTTTAAACGCGTTGAGGACAAAGTTTCCGCAGCCCTTACAGCGAAGTTTCTCTGGTATCTTACTCAAGTCAAGATCGTTCCTGATGATAGGTTAGCACGTGAGACGTTCCCCTTCAATGTTGTCTTACTGCGCAAACTTGTACAGAAGACTGTCAGGCTCGAGAGGTTGTCCTTGGGCCATTTTTGTAAAGCGAAGTGGTCTTCGTGTCTGACTATTCCGAAGCTGCGGGACTTTTGCACGAAAGGCACAGGTTTTGAACAATGGCCAGTGATCGAGGTTGGCGATTCGCAGAGTAAAAGATACACGGCGGCTAGTACTGAAGAAACATCGTGGAAAAAAGGAATGACTGTGGTAAGATGATGTGCCTCGGAGTGCACGCTGCTCGTTGCTCGTATCACTTAGTATTCGATATATGTTCGCTGTCACTAACTTCTCTCTACGCCCGTGATGCAGACAGTCGCCGCATCACGTGCTCGGAAATTTAATGGAGGAAGGAGCATTCGGACAGGCACCAAGGCACGAACGTTCAGGCGCTCTTCTAGCGGAGTAGGCATTCGCTCCATGCTCGTACCTTCTCTTCTCAGAAACAAGAGATGTGCTATCCCACCAGTGAGGTCATGGTACGTTGCAAGGGACCCTTTGCGAAGGATATCCTACTTCAAAACTGCAGGATGCATATGGTTGGGGAAAATAGTATGCAGGAATCGGGATGGAGAAAAGGCGTCCGGAAATATTGTTGTTTTCTGGTAGATATTTATACACAACCAGAAGACGTCCACCATGCCAATTCTGGGCTCAATCAGTCTGCTTGATTGTGGTGTGTTCGTGATCTGTCTCATTCCACAATTGCTTCTGCAGGTAAGGACTTACGATCTCTTCATCGTCATAGTCAAAGTCCTGCCTTTCCTCATCATTCAGCTGCCTGTTCAGCTCTGTCGGGAAAGGTACTATTCACCTGGATCAGAAAGATCACCCTTCTGTCGCAGTGCTACATTGTTCCAGGACATAGTCATACGTTGTGTGAGATATGCATTTGCATCCATACCAGCGTCGATAGGCAGAGTGTTCTTCAGTAAGCAGGTCGCTCATCCTTTCTTTCGATGGCGACTACTACGGCATGGCTACTGGACATGTCCCGTAAAGTATAGCGAAGTCAAACGACGTGACTTTCAAGGATTGTGGATCGCGCCAGAGCCAAATGAGAAGCCAGATGTGATTGTGTTCTACTGCCATGGGGGAGGATTTTCAATGGGATCCAGTTACTTCTACCTCGAATTCTTGGTTGCATGGCTCACCTGTTTGAAGGCTCAAGGGTTTCGGAATCCGGCCTGCTTCGCTCTTGAATACACACTTGTCCCCGACGCAACATGGCCAACACAGTTTGACCAGACCCGAGCAGCCTACAGGTTTCTAAAGGAAAGCTTCGGACCAGAAGGAACATCCAAGATCGTGGTGAGCGGAGATTCAGCAGGAGCCACACTGGCTCTAAGCATGTTGCTACATCCTGGACCACTATCCAAAGAGCCACGATTTGACAGACTGGACCGACCTGCCCTGGCTGTTCTGTTGTCTCCCTGGACACATCTCGTATCAGGACTGAACCGAAATACACCTAGTGACTATTTAAACAGTGACAGCTTGCACCTATACGCTAGTCAATATGCTGGGAAACTTACCAGGACTGACAGTGTTGTGTCGCCAGGATTGAGCGTGGGAAAGTGGAACAAGGCATCACCCTTGGACGGCTATCGTATCATCTACGGTGCTGAGGAAGTCTTCGAGCCGGGTATTGAGAAGATGATCGCGCAGATGCAGAAAGATGGGGCGTTCGTGAAGAAATATGCAGAGCCAGCAGGTATACATGCTTGGCCAGTGGTGAATTTATTCTTAGGGAAAGCCCGAGAGGAAAGGCTCAAAGGCTTGCAGGTGATGACTGATTACATCGTTACATCCCAGCTTAGACCAAAGAATCAAAAATAGACCTATAAACAGAATGAACATTTCGCATGTAACAGACCAGTAGGGATCATGCCATCAGATTAGATCAAGTTATTGAAAACCCCTCATTGTTACACACCATGGATGTATCACAAAAGACCTCGAGCTTGTCGCAAGGGTTTCTTGTTCAACACTTTCTGGTGTTGATTGTAACTCTGGTATGCTCTTATCTTCATCTGGCGTTGGTGGAAGTGGAAAGGGGAAGGATGGAGGAGATCACCAATATGGAGGTTGTGGTACAGAGGGTATTAATATTTTGAACTGTGCTCTTTTTTCGACCAAAACTGATACAATCCGCTGTAGTAGCAACGCCGTCCATCGAGAGTATGGGTTCGCACTATTCCTTCATCATTACTTCAAATCTGATCCTCAATGCCGTACGTCCACGTCTTAGTCGTCTCAATGATATTGCGGTTTCGGCCCTTGACCACCTTGCCCGTAATATCCACCTGCTTGTCCTGGTGGTGGCGGACCACCCCAACCTGAGTTTGGTCCTTGTTGTGGCGGTGGCTGCTGACCTTGACCACCATTCGCAATCATGCCCTGGACGTCAGGCCGATCTTTGATGTCTTGGTGAAATCTGCAGACGTGGCAGGCGACCTCAGTATGTTTATGGGTTGCGAGAGGGAGGATAGGAATGAAGCATAAAGTGAACCAGGGCCAGCGAGTGATGCAGCGAGCAGACCAGTTGCCGCAGTTGCGACACTGAGCTGTGATGTTCTCAGCGCCTTTGAGGTTCTTGGTGAACTCTGTACGATTGTCAGGGGCGCTCTGCGCATAGCGCGCTGATCAAAGGACATACCTTGTGTTCCGAAGGTTATACAGAAAGCCATGATGGCGAAGTATTAGTCGAGCAGATCTTCGAGCGCAAACAACTCTGAGCAATGCGAAGCAGTCTTGAAGGGTGTGGTCGTGGATGTCGTAAGCGGCGATGCAGAATGAGCTTATGCGACGATTAATATTTTACGACTATGATGAGAGTCTTGTCGCAGGTGTGTGAACGAGACTTCTCCTTGACCTAGAAACCTAGAAGGCCGTCGCAGGTTGCAGGTGATCTCATTGTCAACACGTCTCAGCCACGCTTGGCCAGCTACGTAAACCCGCCTAAATTTGCAGTGCAGCCGTAGCCGAAAACCCAAGCGCGACAGCTCCACTAACGCCTGAGGCATTAATGCATTGCACAAACTATAGATCAAGCTTCCTTGGGTTAGATACTATGACATTGATCACGACAGACCATCGTACTGCTTGCTGGCAGGCCCCTGTGTCACGGAATTCAGAGCATAGACAGCAATCCAGCCTTACTACCCAGGTTTCAGCTCGGGACTATACCCCTCAGTCAGGCGCAGTGGGCTTAGTCCATGTACGCAAGAACCACAACGATCAGCTTGTATCCTTAATGCTTCTTTCCGTCTTGTACCCTTGTTGCCGGTCTCCTACTGAGTCTTGAATAGCAGTATTGCAACATGACCAAGATAGAAGTATATGAAGTGCTTCGTCTCTGCTCCAAAGTCAGCAAATACTTGTCTGCCTCGACGGAGCAGGACATACCATGCGTTACGAAGCTGCCGAAGTTTCTGCCAACAATGCAGTGCCATGTCGCACCCTTCTTTGCGTCGAACTGTTCCTGTCAGATCACCACTACCTGGCATCGAGCAAGCCATACCTCTCGCTTGATATGTTGCGCAATGTCCTGGGTGATTGTTAACCATGATCTTGGACCTGATATGATCGCCAGGTCTACCTTTTCAATGGTGTACTTCTCCATCGCTTCTTGAGCTGCATCTGCGTCAACCTCGTGCCCAATACCATATAGTTCTTGCTGGCAATACCTATTTCTATGGCTTCTTGCTGCATATCATCGCTCTTCCCAAGCATTAGTTAAAGTCGTTCAAGCTGCGCAAAGCTGCCGTACCATATCCACAGACTTGACCTGCGCTGCAATATTGTTAGTGTCTGCGCATTGCGCCACCTGTATGGCCTCCAGCTATGTACTCACGCTCGAGCTTTTCTCTCTTAACATCTTCGGCGCCCATATTGTTATGGTAAGACTTTTGGGATTTCAGCTATGTCTCGAAGGTCGGCACGTGGGCAAGGAGCAGGACAGCAGGGCGCAGAAGGGCAGTAATTGTTGTTCGTAGATCTGGTTGTGTAAATGAATGGTCCACTCATATGAAGCATTTCCGGCGCAGGCCCAAAACATACGAGTACGGAGCAAACGGTTGCCCGAAAGCCACATGCAAGGGTGCTCCCAGTTTTCAGGCGCGCTTATCCTTAGCGCATCCGCCACTTGCACCTGGAGACGTGCAAAAAATCATGCCGTCGCTCTGTGCTTCTCGATGTTACAGCCTTCTCCATCTCGCTACGGAGCGTCAGCCTGGACTCTCTTGCTAGTCGAGCGTCATGTCGCAAACATCGACTCAATTACAGCCAGCTAAAGTGGTTGCGCATGATGGCGTGACAGCAGCCGCTGTCGAAGAGACGACTCGTGTCTTTGTATCCGGCCTTCCACCAAATTTCACGAGTGATCAACTTGCTTCCCACTTTGGCGCTCAATATAAAGTCACGGATTCTCATGTCATAGCTGATCGTCGCATAGGCTTTGTCGGATTTGCTGACCCAGCTAGTGCTCAAAATGCGGCCAGGCATTTTAATAAGAGCTATATTCGCATGTCTAAAATCGGTGTGGATCTAGCAAGGCCCGTTGAAGTGAGTCGTGACAAGCAAGGCAACGCTGTACCTTTGTCCCAGAAGAGGCAGAGGCTGGGCAACGAGGATGAAAACAAGAAGAGGAAGAGATCTAGAGCTGATGACGGTGAACACCTCAGGAATGGACCGTCCAACGAGCAGCAAGAAACCCTACAGAAGCCACAACACGACAGACGATCTCAAGATACAGACACTCAACAGGAGGATGACGCTGCTCCCCAACCAGCGACAGATAACGACTGGCTACGTGGCAGGACAACCAGAACCCTCGATCTGATGGATCCGGATGAAGTCCAAATGCATCAGGACGACGATAACTTATACACCGAGACCATTCAGGAGGAGGCCGCCAATTCTCAAACACAACAGGAGGAGTCGAAGAATAGTCAGGTCGAGATATCTAATGCAAGATTATTCGTGCGTAATCTTGCCTTCTCCGTGTCTGAGGATGACCTACAGCAACGTTTCTCGCCATTTGGCAAGCTTCAAGAGGTAAGCAAGCTGTTGTTTTCTCTCCTTGCCCCCACAATATGATGTTTTCCGATAGGGACAGCTTATGCAATTGCATATGATTCGAACTGGAAAGAGTATTTTAGTAGATGCTTCTCACTCTGACATAGAACCCACAATTACCTCTTGCAATTTTTTCTCTGCAAGTGTCAACGCTAATTCACTTGTCAGGTACACGTTGTCAAAGATGCCAGGACCTCTACAAGCAAAGGCACAGCTTTCCTGCAGTTTTCCGAGCCTCGAGAAGCCGAGGCAGCTTTGCAGCAGTGCGATGGCATCACGTTTCACGGAAGGTTGATGCACATCCTCCCTGCCTCAGACAAGCGCGACAAGGGCTTAAATGACTATGAAATCTCACAGATGCCCCTAAAGAAGCAGAAGGCGGTTAAAAGGAAGCTCGATGCTGCGAAGCAGACCTTCAGCTGGAATTCTCTGTATATGAATCCTGATGCTGTCATGTCGTCCATTGCTGATCGGTTGGGCGTGGCGAAAGCTGATATTCTCGATCCCACATCGGCTGATGCTGCTATCAAGCAAGCCCATGCTGAAACACAATTGATCGAGGAGACGAAACAATATCTGTTCTCTGCTGGTGTCAATACAGACGCCTTTAAGAACAAGGCAAGAGACGAGAGATGTATCTTGCTCAAGAACTTCCCATATGGCACAACCGAGGGAGAACTGAGGGCGTTGCTAGAGCCCTTTGGTTCCTTGACCCGATTTCTGCTGCCTCCAGCTGGAACAATGGCCTTAGCACAGTATAATGAAACATTCTCGGCGTCCCAAGCGCTGAGACATCTGTCATACAAGAACATCAAAGGCTCTGTGCTCTATCTGGAAAAGGCCCCACATAGCATCCTAGAGCGCCAACCAACTGAATCTGGTCAACACGAGCCCGCTGTCGACCAATCGAACTCTACCGCTGGTGAAACTTCTACTGTATTCGTCAAGAACCTGAATTTCTCGACTACAAGCGCGCGTCTCAAGGAAATATCAGGTAGCCTTGCCGGATTCGTGTCCGCGCGTGTCAAGACCAGGACTGACGCCAAGAGACCCGGCGAAGTCCTCAGCATGGGATTTGGATTCCTAGAGTTTCGATCAAAAGAGCAGGCCGCAGCAGCTGTAGAGGCCTTGTCCGGACACAGCGTCGATGGTCACAGTCTGATCGTGCAGTTGTCAACAAAGTCTAATGATGCTGGAGAGGAGACTCGTCAACAAGATAAAAAGCGCAAGAAAGAGGCTAACCAAACCAAAATCATTATCAAGAACTTGCCTTTCCAGATCTCGAAGAAGGACATTGGGTCTCTCTTTGCTCAATATGGCGAGCTAAAGAAGATCCGCGTCCCTCGCAAGTTTGACAATTCCACGAGGGGCTTTGCATTTGCCGAGTTTGTGACACCGAAGGAGGCAGAAAACGCTATGGAAGCCCTTGGTAATACTCATCTCTTAGGTCGGCGGCTCGTGCTCGAGTTCGCTCAGGGCGATAATGTCGATCCCGAAGAGGAGATCAGGGCCATCGAAAAGAAAGTGGAACAACAGAGCAACCGAGTCCACATCAATTCTCTCAAAGGGCCGGGTCGAAAGAAGTTCAGTCTCGATACTGCACGAGATGATGACCTAACATAAGTGCTTGGGTCTAGTGGAGCCGCATACGCCAAGATTTGACACTATCCCTCCTCTCTTGTCATCTGGTAATCTCAAACACGGCTTTTTGGGCGACCTTGCCTGCCTGCTCAGTCAACCTTATTTTCGTTGCGTGTGCCTGCCTGTGTAGATCATCCATTGTCGTTATGAGCAGGAGGAACGACCGGCACCACTACACTAACAACAAAGATCTAGCAACGTAGTTCCAGACGGCAATGTGGTATCAGATTTAGCACCCGCCAGCATGCTGTCTGAGCTTGTCGAAATCTTGTTCCAAAACCCTGGTTGGCGGAAATTGACCACCCCTTGCTTCAATCCCACAGTAACTGGGGTCCGTGCAGCAAGGCTGCCTACACTTGAGATTGAACATCTCAAAAGAGACAATGCTACAGTCGCTTCAATAACATTCGATGGCGGGGCGTTTGGTCATACAATGTCAATTAGTGGAGGTTGATGGGCTTTCGAAATCATGAGAAACTGCTCGAGCAAAGGGAGCCATGCCTTCCCTCAAATATCCACCATGAATCAGTACTTGTTCTTACATATTTTCTGACAAAGGTATTCTTCGCATCATTCCAAGCAACAGCCTGCCTCTTGACCTATGCTCACATAGCAGGTCGCTTTTCAGACTGAATAGCAGCTTGCCAGTCATGGATCACTGGTATACGCAATCTGTTGGCTCTGGTCACAACAGAGAGCCAACACACCAGTCTCGTGTTCTCACAAGCATATCAGGTAACGCTCAGAGCTTTCCGGTTGAAGCAAAGAGTCACTTTGACTTTAACTTCAACAGGTCCGTCTGTGCTACTGCTCGTGCCGTCAGTGAACCACAGTATGTGGCGCCACCCCCTGTGTACGAGTTCGGCCACGCCAACGAGATCGAGGAACGACTTGCTGCCCGCAAAATCCGTCGAGGCTCTCATCCACCATCATCGAGACAACGACTTATTCGAGAGAAGGCCTGGCTAAAACATCCGATATACAGAAAATACCTTAATCGAAAGCGACAGGACAACGGGAGGGATGGCAAACCTGTCTGGCCTGATTACATTGAGGAGTCATTCCAGAATGGTGAGCTCTCGACAATCGCTTGTTTTCTGCCATTACTGACCGGTGAAGCACTGATACATATTCCACCCATGGGCAAGAAGAAAAAAACTCAGTATGGACGGCATTTTGGTCGAAATGAGCTCATCAAAGAATGGATCTACCAGGAAACTGGAGAGAATCGTGACCGGAAGCAGGTCTCGAGTCACATACAGGTGCTTAGCAATTTACTGAAGGATATCCCAGAATGTAAGCGCACAGTGCTGTTCGTCAAACTCTTGGCTGATGAAATTTCAGGGAAAGAATTGACAGCAGGCAATGATGATGAACGAGGCGACATCACCACGAAGGCTGAAACAGGTCCTGATTTCTACTTTGAGTCAATCGCGGATCAAGTGCGGCTACAGCGACAACTAGCTATGGAGGCTGCAATGCAGCACGACGGCGGAGCCGAGTGGTCTAGTGCTGCCCGTCGCCAGCGTTTCCAACTGGCAAGGATTACTTTCGACATGTATGTGTTGATGCCTGACAGCAAGACTGAAGCTCTACATAATTACACCCGAATAACGAACAAGGAATCGACACCAGAAATCTTACCGCTAGAGAACTACAAGAATTGGCGCGAGCAGTTTCCTGATCTAGAGAAGGTCATGAATGCATCTCCGAGTGAGGATTTTGAGCTCATCTTTCTCAAATCGAAGTTCTCTTTGATGACAGATTTTCCACCACTAACCTCGAAGCTCGGACTTACACTCGACTTGGAGTACCCCTCGAACTTAAGTTATTTTACTTCTGTCAATCACATGTATCTCAATGGCAAATGCTTTCGTAAGACAGAGCACAAGATCTCTCGGGCTGCAAAGCCTGGTATGGCTAACCTGTTCTTCGATGCTGAATGGTGGGCGACACAATTTACGGACCTAATTGGCAAGAGGAAGGCAGCTGAGGACTCAGGACGAGAGAACGCACTCGCCGCGGCTGAAGATTTTTCACGCACCCTTTTCCGTGAGCTAAGCATTATGCAGGAGGTCTTTGCTTATCCTTCACCAGACGCGGATCCCATGCAACAGAGGCGAATAGGTATCTTGCTATGGATTTTTGCTCAAACCAATACAAAGGGTGCAAACATCACAACCTGGCACAAGGTTGTGCCACCACCCAGTCGCTACACCACCAATAGTCCTGCCGTTAAGCTGGAGTCGTCCTTGCCACCACTAGTCATGGACACTATGCTCGATAGTTCTTTCAACGCCGACGTCCTCGACGGCTTCTCCCAGCACGAAGAATATTCTCAGACACAGTTACCACTGACAGTGTATGAGCCTAGCTCGTACCACACTGGATTGACGCCCTTGCAGACTTCGTACAACTACTCCATGGGTAGCGGGTTTACTCCAAGATCACTCTCATACATCGGTATGAAACAGGAACCATTCAACTTCGCATTGCCGACGAGTGTAGCTCCATATCACGTAGCACCACCTGTCTTACCCAGTCAGAACCACATACCAACCATATTTGATGGTCCACACCAAGAGGCATACCAGGATCAGGCGATCTCACTTCCGGAAGCATATCAAGCATCGAACGTTGGCGCTTCATGCTCCATGGAGCAGCCAACGCGGTGTGAATCGCTTGCAAATTTTGACATGTCAACACACAATATGCTGCAGGCACAATTGGCCGATTTCGAAGACACAAATGATATCCAAGAGTCAGTACATCAAGTGGACGCGGATTCCCAGCATTCAGTAAGTGGCCATATGAATGATCTCGACATTGATGAAGAACAACTCGGTCAGGTCATGAATGCTACCGCCACGGAAACCATGACCTTTGACGAAGTACAGATAGCAGAGTCGGTCGAAAAGGCGATTTTGAACCATCCGTCGATCTTCGATTCACCCAGGATTGTACGGCCGCCCCTTATGGCACATAACAGTTTTGCTGGTACTATGCCAACGAGTCACGACACTGAAATGAAACACGATCAACTTATCTTCGACACACCTACACGGCATGAGTTCGCTCGTCTCATGGACAAACACATTCACCCGAACCAGGACGATGACTTGTTTGGCGATGGTCAAGCTGTGCTGGACCAGCTTCATTTTCCACCTTCTGACTTTACACGACCTCGAAGCCAGCCGGTTCTGCCATCTAACGATAGTAGTATGCATCTCGATACTCCAAAACGACTAGATAGCGCTTTGCCATGATTCAAGGTCGAGTTAGCTTGATGAAACGAGCAAAAAGAAGATTGTTCTTGAGGGCCAAAATGCAGGTGATTTCAGAACAGTTGGTTGTATATTAGCTCATGGAGCTGTGCGTTTGGTACATACTCCTAATTCACAAGTTATTCTTCCACAGCTTCCACGGATTGTTCTTTCCAGGGTCAACCGTTCTTTGCCTCTGATCACATGTGCGAACTGTAAAGATCGAATAGCCTGTTGACTTGCTGAGTCCACACTGTTGAGATCTCAGCAAGCCTCGAATGAGTCTGATACTTCCCGCACAATTTTATTGGTGTTACCGTACTGGAGTACCGTGCCCGTCTAAGGAGTCATGCGTCACTTTCTCCATCGCCCCGGAAGCCTTTAAGCCACTAAAAGGCTTCGGAGCATCTTGACTGGATCAACGGCTCTCGCCGCGCAATCTCTGACATGGTCAGCTTTCGTGGCCCATTTTCCTCCCAACCAGCTTGGTAACAGCCTTCTTTCCTCTTTCGTGGCAGCCATCAGCGCCTCAAACCAATCCTGCATGACCAATTCGGGACCCTAACCTTGAAAGTTCGTGTTTGTCCTCGAATGAGAAGAGCTGTCCGTTGCTGTATTCGGGCAGTATGACAGCATGCCCAACTTGCGGTTCGCGTAAGGTCAAGACCCAAGACCCTCAGATTCTGTCGAGTGCACGATTGAGGAACGATTGTCGTTACGGCTGATTGAGGTAGCTGGTCATTGTCGCATGTGCTATCGTTTGCTTCACGTCGGCTGAGGCTGGCTGGACGGAACTTGCTTACCTGAATCTATACGTCTTTAGCACTACTGTGCTTTCTTTCTCTACTAGACTCCAGTTCCTGCGTCGCAACATCGAACACAAGGACAATAACAACAACAACATGGGATCACCCGATCTCCAGCACTCCAAGTCCTCCTCCAGTTCTGGCTCGAGCTCAGGTTCAACAGCCAAAACCAGTCCACCATCCAGTCCCGACAATGAACCTGACGGCCTTCAGCGACCACCACGTCCTACCGCTCATTACTCTTCGACTCCTCCACGACGCGGCAACAGACATGCTGTCCATACACCACCCGCCACACATCGTTTAGGGGTTATAGACGAAGACAGTCCGCGCGTTGCGCCTGATATACCGACGAGACATCCAGATCGTCCTCGAAAGACTGTCGCCTTCCTACCCGTCGATGCGAAGAGACTCTTCAGCTTCTCGGCCTACGCACGGCCAGGCGAAGATGTTCCACCTCCAGACGTCTACGAAAAGATCACTGGTCCACGAGGCGAGAAGTTCGAAGACCTAAGGCGAAATCGACCATACCATCCGCCAGGACGAGGAGGTGGTTGGCGAAGGATGGTTTGTCTTGGGTGCGTCGCTTTCGTCATTCTCGTCGTGCTTGGAATTGCACTCGGTGTTGGCTTGGGCGTCGGACTGACGAAGAGAAAAGGAGCTAGGTACCCATTCCCATGCTATTCCTCACACCATCATTCTACCTACAATACTATTTGCGCCATGCGCACATGATATGTACCAAGGTATGAGGTCTCGGGCTTTCCGTTCGTCACCTGCATGTCCACGTTACATCTCTGGGCTTTGAAAAGAAAACACAAACTAACACACTATTCACTCTAGCTCACAACCCGTCTCAACCGACCCTGTTCCAGCCGACAACACCACCTCCCCCTCCTCCAACAACCAGAACTATCCCCTCGGCACATTCGCCATCCCAACCTACCTAACCACAACAAACACCTCCTGCACCAGCAACCCCGCAACCTGGCGCTGCTACCCCTACACAACCTACTCCCAATCCACCACCGCCTCCTTCAGCACCCTCCTCTGGCGCATCACATCCCCCACAAACTCAACCCTCGACCTGCAAATCTCAAACACAAATCCAGCATTCAGTTACCCCTTCACCAACGTCCCCCTCACACTCTCTAACGCAGGAGACCTACAACAATCCGCATTCACCTTCTCATTCAACTTTCGCAAACAAGTCATTCCCGACGCCGACATCACAGGCGGCGACAACGCCGCGACGAGATGCTACTATAACAACACACTCGTCAGTGTAAGACTGTATGATAACGCACAAGGTGGAGGTGGGAACGTGACAAGACCACCAAGCGGACAGAGCGATACTCAAAACGGTGGAGGAGAGCTGTGGCCTTATGCGATTGAGTTTGAAGAAAGGATTGCGGAGCCGCCGGAGTGTTTTAGGTATGTGAATGGGGAGGAGGGTGCGGTTGTGCCGGTTGATGAAGGGGTTGGAGAATGTGTTTGTGGATATAGGAATTTCGGGTTATGATGATCGTTGGATCAGGATCAGGGGTGGTAGACGATGTTTGAGCGAAATGAGTTTGAAATAATAACGTACTTATGACTTTGGTACTTTGGAGCGAGGCGTTGGAGGTGGTGGTTATTGTGGGTAGTATACCAATATCTATGCTTCGGCATGAAGAAATGAGTTGTGCGACAATATGAGCGAGTTGTACTTACTCGCATAGAACTGAATTTGTTTGGACGACAAGGGGAATGATCGAGTCTCAAGTCTACTCTACTTAATCGAAGCCTTCAAACCCACCATCGTGTTCTTCTTCTGTGCCAACTCCATTAGTGTGATTCTCCTTCCGCCTCCTGCTCCCCTCTATCGCGCCTTGTCTACGATCCTGGACTTTCTTCTCGTACCCGCTCTTTGTCCCAATCATATTCCTTCCCTTTCGTCTTCGCTCCTTCTTGTCGTCGCTCTCCTTGACACCTCTACGCACGTCGACACCGCGCTCCTTGAGGTCTTTCTTCTTGTTTTTAGTAAGGTGCGGCAGAGCATCGAGAAGCCAGCTCGGCACACCGCTTCCTAGGCCGTTCGTGCCGTCGCCTCCGTCTGGCGAAGCCCCGCCTTGAGTCTTCTGCGACTTTGCAATGACGGTCGCTATCGGTCTGAGGTAGCTTACATCGTCTTTTGTATAAAATGTAACGCACACACCGCCCTCACGACCGGCGCGCCCTGTTCTTCCTGCCCTGTGGACATAGCTCGCTGATGTCGTTGGGATATCGTAATTGACCACGCCGTTTACTCCTCTGAAGTCTATGCCTCGTGACAAGAGGTCTGTTGTAATGAGGATCCAGATCTTGCCTAGACGGAAATTTTGCATAATCTTGCTACGGGCAGTGGCGCCCAAGGAGGAGTGGAGGAGAGCAATACGGGGGATGGGTTCCACAGTCGAGGTTCTGGCTGTTGTAGTAAAGCTACTCGGTGGTGGGATATCATATTTGAGTTCGTTGTATAGCGCTTCGGCACGAGAAATGGTCTGGGTAAAGACCAGAAATGGAGGGCGAAGGAATGGTGCCGACGGTGTCGTTGCAGCTTTACTAGATGTGCTTGTGTTTGAGGGTGATGGACGGATAAGTTGGCGAAGACCTGTGAGTTTGCCGGCTTCGGTAGAGGTGTAGATGAGTTTGTGGGTTATGTTTGGCAGACTCGAATCCTTGAGGCCTATTATACAGCGGAGGAGGAGTGGTGCGGACTTTGACTTTATACCTAGAGATTTGTGTCGAGAGCTTACTGTCGAGATAGTGAGCTCCTCGATGCTGGACCCTATCGTGGCTGACCATAAAGAGCTGCGGAGCTCAGGATTGACACATGCCGACCATATAGATAGAGTTTGAGCGCGGAAGAGAGGGTCCAGAAGTACGTCGGCTTCGTCAAGGATTAGATTTTGTATGTTTGATAGGGCCAAGGGGTCATCAGATGTCGTGGGAGTAATGGCATGCAGTAGCGACAAAGGAGTTGAGACCAGTATATCAGCTTTCACAATCGTGGATGTATATTGTGTCTCCTCATCAACGTCAGATTCGTCAGAGATACCTTGACCAACCGATAGGATGTCTTCATGCAATCTCATGCCTTTCTTGAAAGCTGTAACGCGGATTCCAGTCTTTGCAGCCAGCTTACGACCCTCGTTGACAATTTGAACGACCAGCTCTTTCGTCGGGGCAAGTATGATGGCCCTAACTGGTCCATGTGCATCTTCGTCTTGGTGCGTTTTGCTCAATTTATTAATGAGCGGTATTAAGAAGGCTAAGGTCTTACCACTGCCTGTTGGTGCGACTGTAAGTAAATCAGGTTCTTCACCATGTCTTGGCATCAAAAGTGGTATGGTAGCCACCTGCACCTCAGTCGGTTCCCTATAGCCCTGTTCGACCAGGTTGGACAGCAAGGTATGGTTTACATCAAGGTCTCTGAGCGCTGAGAACTTCTGCAGTGGCTGAGGAAAGAGCCTTGATGCTTCCTTCTGTGCTTTGCGATTATCTGTATCATGTGCCTTGTGAAGCGCCCTCAAGTTTGTGATCCTAATTTTATGTTGCTTTTGTATGGATCGGATCTTCTCGATAGTGCATTCATCAAGTTTTCCATTCGTGTCTGCTTCGAATTCTGCACGCTTTCGCTTCTTGCCAGTTGAACTTTCTTCGCTGTCGGAAGCTTGCTGAGATCCTGCTGATGGACGCTTGTCTTCACATACAGAGTCTTTTCCAGTCAATCGTCGTCCTGAACCTCGAGACAGCAACCTCAACGAATCCATCTCTGTCACAACGATGAGTGTATAGCACAGGGTCTCGATAGTCTTAGGAAATTTACGACACTAGTAGAATATCCACCGGAGTATTGCCGGCGCAAAGTTGTAGTGGGCAGGAACTGTTCTTCTCCCGCTTCCTCCTCGAATCCGATGACTACGACTCTCGAATGACGATACAAGCCTCGATGGTTGTGCGAGCCGAGAAAACTTGTTGAACGACATGTATCTGGCATCTTACAACGCGTCACTACCTCAAATATGGTTATAGGATTATTGATACTCACTTCGATTCCAACTGTCACTGGAGTTGCCCAGGCTGTATCGGCACAGAAGAACAAAGAACAGACAGATAAAGATGATCGGCGTATGAAAAAGTTCCATATCGACATCCGATGTGGTAGCGAGTCCGCACAGGGTGCAGCATTAAATGAAGGTAGGATCGTGCTAAAGGCCGATCGACTCTGGGTCGGTCCTCCCAACGTCGTGGAGAAGGGTGGTTATGGCTACGTAGCTGAAGCCTTCTACATTGAATATCCAGATCCACAGGTACAACCTCTTGGGGAAATGAACAGGTCATGTTTTGAACAGCTAACTATTGGCAGCGCACACCCGCTCCCATGGGCTTAGTGAGCCAAGTACAGGACGATCCGCCCCTACTCAACTGGATATATATTGACAAGAAAACAATGGAAGTCAAATACGGGAACAAAAGTACGAGCATCGACCACTATATTGGCCCTTGGGATTGGACGGAAGATGAAGAGCAGGTAGTATTTGACGATATGGAAGCCGCGTTTATTAACGCGTTCTATGCTGTGGAACGATTACCAGGAAAATGGCAGCTATTTTTTGACATGAAAGGTGATCTGTTTGCCAACTTGCTTCCAGCTAGCATGAAGAAAGTGCAAGTTGAGTTACATAGGAATATGATTGTGACTGCTGAAGAGGCAGACAAGAAGGCATAAACGAACTAAATCCGCTAGCTCCGATATTTCAGCCATTGTAGAACTTCATCTTCTTCAGACTTTGTTTCTTGTTCTCACTTTGCATTCACTTCATTACGATCGGGACTGAAGACCTCAAATCTCAATGCAGTCATGCATGTCTCCGAACGATCCGTGTCATAACTTGTATCAATTGATGAATAAAGTCTTCTCAAATCGACGCGCGCCTGTAATGCAATAGCCAATATGCCTTGACGCGTTGTTTGCTCACATTTGAAAACATTCAATGTCTATCCTTCTATACTGTTGACCTGCTTGTCATATTGCAACTAGTCGCCAGAATGACTAGTGCTGTTGCCCCATTTCCTGCGCCTGTTGGTCCAGGCATAAAGGTCAAGTCTGGTCATTGGGAGCTCCGAGAGCTGCCTCCTGGCATTAGCGACGGCGATGAGACTAAATGGCCAAAAGCACCGTATCGTCCTTCAGACGAACGAAACTATCTAGTGCGACTGGCTCAGGACTGGGCCGAACGTGATGGAACAGCTCGTCCAGGTCAGTCCTGCACTTTCACCATGCGAGAATACTAAACCGTGGAGTGCTAATTACAGATAGATGTAAATTATTTTATGAAAGACTTACCGAAGGGCTATGGCTGCTTCGAAATGGACCAGCCTGGCGGACCTCAAGTCTACAAGAGACTGTTCGGCCATCCATCAGGCAGGTTCTACGACTCCATTCGCAGATTCGAGACTCACTTCTTTTGGTTGCTTGATGGCAGATCTGGAAAATGCGAGTGTATGCTTTGTGGAAATTTCAAACCTGCACCTGGCCCGCCACGTCCAAGAGTGAAACTCAATCCTGTGGCAGGCTTGCCGACAACAAGTGTTCACAAACCCCTACTAAAAACAGGTCTTCCAAGAGTACCGATGCTCAACGCGCGTGCCTCGACCGACGAGGAGCTGACATCAGGTAACGAGGCTACGGGTGGAATGGGAGGTGGAAGACGTGGTCGGCCAGATCGATATGCTCAATCTACACATCCTACAGATGAGGAAGGAACATCGAACGAGTTTAGGAAAGCCATTGACCATGCGTACAAGCAAGAAGGCGGTGCTAAAGAAATCGACTTTGACATTAAGGAGGAGAATTCAATTGACTGGTTGTCCGAGATCGATTCCCTTACAGTCAGTCTTACACAAATTGAGGCACAGCATTCCTTCATCCCACGTCGGGGCGAGCTCGTACTTTGGATATCTGACTTTCCCGAGAACCAGTATCTCCTTCGAAATGCGGAAACAGGAGAATATCAATTTTACGACTTTCACGAGAAAAAGTATACCGGGTTTCCTCGTTGGCGTGCTGGCGTCGTGGTTGAAGTGCCTGTAGCTGCCTTCAAAAATGGCGTGATCGACTTTCCAGATATTCTCGACCTACCTTTGAAGAAGACTTCCCTTAACACCGCTGGCTTTCGCATCGAGACAATGCCAGATCCGAACGATGACGACGAGAAATCCCTATCCAAACAATACCGATATGTCGCTCTCCGGAATATACGACCTCTAGCCCACTGGCAATTATTGCTGAAGGGAATACCACAAAAGACACTTCATCGATCAATTCTACACGCGTTGACTTGTATGACATCGGTTTCCTTGGTTGGAAGGAGAAGCTTCATAGGACATTGGCGAAGAGGAGGTTACATTAGAGCAAGGGCCTGCTTCCTTGGCTCAGAGATGATCACGCTCGGCGACACCATCCGCCTCACGCCACACGAGCCGAATGCCTCCTGTATGGACATCCTTGTAGTGGACGACATCCGTTTTAAGATGACAGGGTTCAAGCCCGAACATCTCGAATACGACTCCCAACTTTTATGTTCAAGCTCGCAGCTCCACTTTGTAGGTAAGGCATACACTCTGGATCGCAGCCGAGCACACATCCATGTCCCATCCTCACAAGCGCAGTCACAATCGCAGTCAGCCGAGGCTGCATACGTGCCACACAGTCTACATTCAGAAGACGTGAAAGAATGGTTCAGGCCGGTCGGTACAGGAGAATATGGCAAATGGTATCCATTACAGGGCGATTATAAGAAGTTCGAAGTATCATATGATCAAGTTCTAGGCCGACTCTATGAAGCGGACGCCATCCGGCTGTGGTCTGGTCTGCGCCAGAGGCATATATCATCTGCTAACAGAGAAATGATGAAGCCAGACCTGGGCTTTGACACGTCAAGCATCATTGGTGGTCGTCGATATGCTACCAAGACTGATGAACGTATTCCCGATGTGCCAGAAAGTGACCCAAAGGCTATCAGATGGGTGTTGTCGGACTACAGAGCTCAATCGCTTTCTCTTGCTACCATCAATGGACTGGAAACAGCAGCATACAATCCAATTCGAACACCCGCTACCTTAGCTGAATGGCGTGCTCACATAGACATATCTGAAGGTCGACAACCCACCAAGACCCTAATAAAAGCTCCACGGAAGCGACCAAAATACCGTTTCGACATGAGAGACTTCGGTCTCGACGACGGAGCAATAAGCGGAGGTGGAACGTATACCGCCAAGGGCACAGGAGGTGGTGGTCGCAGAGGACGACCAGCAGGATCCAAACTCATCGACGGCAAGATATACACAGCCGAAATGCTCAGGAACATGACAAATATCCCCACTAGAGGCAAGACATTGCCTACACAAGCCGGGATGACAAGTTTCGACCACGAAGACATCGAAGAAGAAGACGATGAAGGCGAGCAATCACAAGACTCCGAAAAGCTAGACCATCCAGCCTTCCACTCACATTCACAATCTCACCAACCAGCCTTCAAATCCAGCTCCCAACTCGCAGGAGCCGCCTTGAACGAAAATTCCGACGACGAAGAATCAGACCCTCAAGCCCGCCTACCTCCTCGAAACTCCATGCTCGCAGCAGCATACGCATTCGACAGCGATGAAAACGACCAAGACAAAAGAATGCCAGACATCACCGTCGAAGACTTCAAGCTCGCAGCAGCAGCACTAAACCACAAAGGTAAAGCGCCTACACGCCTACCACCGAGCAAAGCGCAGATCATGCAATCCGTCGAAGAAGGTGAAGATAGTGCGCTGGAGAATATAGGTGCGCCGGACATGGCGGCGGATGAGTTTAGTGATGAGGAGGAGGAGGAGGAGGAGGAGGAAGATCTGATTGATTATGATTCGTGGAAGGCGCTGCGGAATGCTAGGGGTGGGACGGAGGAGAGTGAGGGTGGGGGTTATAGGCCTGGGGAGAGTCAGTGAAGGCGAGCGTGGCAAAGATATTACACGATCGACGTCGCGCTATGTTAGTGGAATCTTCTAACAGCACTCTTGATCGTCTTCTCGCCGTCCGGTGGTATACATGCAAACGGTAACATGCGGAAAATAGTATATTTGCTTGATGCCCTCAACTTTCGTGTCCCTAAATACTCAATCGCAATTCAAAGATTGTATTCGCTAAGCTCGAAATAACAATAAAGATTAGACGATACCCTCGAAATGATTCCGTTACCTTGCCTCGAAATTGCAGAACCACGCCAAGGCAAACCAGTGACGCTCAATAAAATTGCCACAAATTACCACGTACTTTTGACAAGACTTTTCTCTTTGTACATCAACAGTCTTTTGTTTCCAATATACTAACAGAACTGCAGCCCTCTCGTGCGTCAATACCGACTCCGCAAGAAACAAGTTGACAGATCCAAACTAGATATCCACCAAACCGTCGATAATCATTTTCGTAGTGCCAGCCTAATATTCTCTTCCCACACCTTGTACTCCATCTTGTGTAATCTCACTTCGTTGCCTCATTCGCAGCTCGTCGGAGCATTTCCTTCTTCCAAGCAATGAGTTCGTAGTCGGGTAGTTGGTTTGGGTCGTCCATGTATTCCTTCCAAGCTGAGAATGGCTCGCCTTTGTATTTCGGCTTTGGCATTTTGGGAACCTTTGGGGTTTCACTTCCTGATTTGGGCGCGTTGTACGAGCCTAGAGAGGTATTTGTGGTGTTCGAAGAGTGCGTAGTGGTCGATGAAGCGGTGGTGTTACCTGAAGAGTTGGTTGTGGCTCTTGATCTGGATACTGAGCGGATCTGAGCCTCGTTCGAGGATGAGGATTGGTTGGTAGTGGACTGAGAGGTGGATTTGCTGCACATATCGGTTTCCTGAATGTTAAGTTAGCAGGCACTGGTCATGGTACTAGCTCTCTTTTCCTCGTACCTTCGGGTTATCCCTGTCCACGACGTTCCTAACACTTTGCTGGAGTCTCCTGAATTTCAAGTTGAGATATCCGTTAGTTCCTGAGTTCTTTCCACAATTGTCACACTTTAGTCCAGCCGAATCATGTAGACTCGCATGCATTGTCAAGGAATATAACGGTAGCAATCGAAATCGTGATATCAGTGTTGAACTGAGTACCTACCACTTTCAAGGTCGTTCCCGTTTACCTCCCTCGACCAGTGTTTCAGATTTGACTTCGAGGTGTGTTGTTCGACAACGAGTACATAGGGGCTTGCCGATACCCGATGGGTACACTGATAGAAGTTCGCTATTGTCTCAAGTCCGTTTGCGTGCTGTATTTGTCGATGACTTTGGGTATAGTGCCGACCGCTAAGGTGACGGTGCGATTGCAACAGAAGGCAAAACTTCAGTTAGCAGAGACAGCAGTGAACAAACAGTTGCTGAACGGTGACCTCTTCTGCAAAGATATTGTATTGTTTTAGCTGTATGGAATCTGCAAGCGCTCGTCAGCAATTCGAAAATTGGGGCATGAGGCGAATGCATGCTTCAACAACTCAGGCAACCTCTGCAATCCATATAGCGACCATCTTGCCCAGCAGGTCTGGGTCTTCAACACAATACCAATGGCCCATCTCTTGAATAAGATCGATCTTTCGCCCCGAGCTGTTCACTAGCTGGTCGTGAATGAATTGACAGCCACTCGCGGGTGCACTTTTGTCAACACTACCAGCAATGATATAAACCGGACAGGTGACACCGGCATAGTTGGGCGCTTTAGCTGTTGCTATGGCTCGACAGTTTGCACAATAACCCTCTGGATCTTGAGACATGATCATCTCACGGATGAAGGATTTCTGGAGAACCGTTGTTCTTGGTCCCGTCGCGGCATTAGGTATGGTATTGGCCATTGTTTCAATGCCGCCTGTCAGTGTCAGCAACAGACCAGCCAGAGAACATTGAGCAGCAACACAGGGAGAAGCAGACAGAACTTACCTTCCATGACGGTCTTTATTCTGTCACTAAAGATTTGAGCAATTTGCTCACTCGGATGGACTGGCCCAATACAAACACAGGCAATCACTCTATCAGCTCCTTTGTTGCTACTCGCAATAGTCGTTGGCACCATTCCGCCCATACTATACCCCACGACAACTGCCTTATCTATTGCCAGATGGTCCATGAGCCCGAGCACATTCCCCGCAATAGCCTCGATGCTAGTATCTGGATGAAGTTCGCTATAGTATCGTGAACGACCAGCGCCATAATTGTCAAAGGTAACACAACGGTAGCGGGTCAGATAGGGTAGGATAGGTCCATAGTAGTTCTGAGTAGAACCCAGGCCATGAACGAAGACTATGGTCAAGGAGGTTGCATTGGACGAGGAAGGTGGTGTGTCTGTGTAGTGGATTTCTATGCCATCAATCCTAGCGAACGGCATGATGATCTGTAACCACTGAGAGATGTAGTTCGGAGAAGGGGTTCAGATAGCGAGTTATGAAGGTCGATTAGTCCTGATGTGCAAGTCTCTCGGAGTTTTCCTGTACAGAAGGCAAGCAAAGCTTACATGATAAGCGGAAACGAAGGATTTCAAGTATCTTTTCCCTTGAAGGCAGGAGCGATTCGTGGCTTGCATCATATCTACCTTTGTAACCCATTCGACTTCGGCATGTGCCTGCATGGTCGGAACAGAGTTTCGGGTATAGCACAGCAGCTGGATCCAGATCAAACATACTGTCTGGTGAATACGTAATAGCAGAATAGCGCATAGATAGCCTCTTTGGAAAGTGTCAAAACCCTGCGCTTCAAAGAGCATTCGAAGCGAGTGAGAGTACCCGAAATTTGCGGAATGAAGACGTTCTGGGAGACGTACCTACTGTGGCTTCTCGCTCGAATTGTCGGAGTCCTCCTGGGCCTGACACTAGATCGGACGCACCATCTTTCAGCCAAATATTGCATCGAGAGAGATTTTGAGAAGAAGAAGTGCCTGCACAATACTGCACATTTATTTTGGAAGCGTAGCACTGGAATAAAATGTGTACTGGTACACCACAAAGGTTCGGTCTAGCTACTTAGCTCGATTCGTATGGCAGATATAGCCCACCAGTCTTCCCTTCCATACTGGTGTTCCAAGCGCAGGGTATCACGTACATCCACCTCAAAAATCATCGTGTAGCATCTCACATCACGCCTGGTTTACCCAATAGCAGGGGACTCTAGCTAGAAAATACAAGATCATACTACTCCATAAGCGCCATGCTGTTGTTCATAATCATGCCATCATGCAGTTCCCATGGTCCTCGACTAGGGTTCGTGCTCAAACCTTCAAAGCAGTGACAGCCTTGGAAACCTCGTCACCTGCTATCTTCTCCCATCTCGCTCTGCCCTCGAGATCTAGTGCGTCGAAATCACCGATCTTGTCATACAGCATCCTTGATACATCGCGATTAATAGTCGTGTACTCGTCTTTTGTAATCTCTTGCTTGTGGTAGTGTGGCTTCAGAGCGGCAGAGACCAGCTTCTGCACATCGGCTTTGTTGTCTGCACTTGATCGGACAGGAGAAGTGTCATGAGATCGTGTACGCTGAGCTGCATCGCCAGCAGATATCGGAATCCGAGGCCTTCGAGGTTTCGGTCTCGCGATATTTGGAGGGGACGATACACGAGTACCGTTTGGCCTTGCTGTTGGTTCAGGACTCTGCTCTTTAATACCAGGAGACGTTGACCTCTGAGGCGAATAAGGAGGAAATATTGGTTCTATGGTGGAAGAGAGCCCGGGTGGAGAGCTTGGACGAAACCCGTTCGGCAATGGCGGTGGCGTTGTGGACAGCGCCCGAGGAGACGAGGGATTAGATGTGGCTGGGGACGATGGTCGTGGCGATTGATGTTCGGCAGCTGGACTGCCAATATGACGAGGAGATGGTCTGTGTATTTGCAAATTCGCTGGTCCCGTGGAGTCCTCAACCTCTTGCAATAACGATTGGAGAAAGGTAGGAGTGGCATTATCGAGAACCATTGGAGGGCGAGACGGAGGTGACAATCGTCGGGTTGGCCGTGCGATTGCTTGAGGCGCAGGTGACGATCGTGCAGGAGAGGAGCGTGCAGGAAGGGGTATACGACGTTGAACTTGTGGCGTAACACTCATTCGACGTCTTTTAGCCTCTCGTGGCGATGAAGGTGTACCGTTCGTCCCCTGAGACGTGATTGGTGAAGACGTTCGAGATTTGCGCTTGCGTCTTCGAGCAGTGCTCGGTTCTGCCTCAGCAGCCTCAGTTTTGGCCAGGGCAAAGGCATTCCAAGCAGCAATTTCTTCGGCAGACTCCTGAGGAGGGGCGTGAGGTCCAGCACGGCGATGATTAGTTTCTTCGAGCAGGGTAGACTCTGTTTCCCTAAAACTGTTCCCGGCACCAGCAAGCTCAGCGACTCGCATACGTGCTTCCCATGCTTCTTGCTCGCGACGGGTTGTCTCGACAGCCTGACGATGCCGACGCATCATTGAAGCGTGATTTGTCTCGTCATCGTAGGGGAAGTCGAGGTCTATGTGTAGTGAGGACCAGACTGATTGCCAGACTTGGTTCCAGCCATCATCACGAGTGACATTGTGGTTGCGCCGTCGTCTTTCCATGCCCCGAGTTCGTCTCCTGCCAGCTGCATTGTGCACTCGACGAGTAGACCTGAGTTGTGGATCTGTAGCTCGTGCATCGTCACACTTCTCGCAGAACCAGGCCGCGTAAGGTACTTCGTCCATGCCCGCACAGTATGTATGCCACAACTTGTTACAGCCATCACAATAAACGAGGATGTCTTCATTGTCCGCTTCACCACACTCTTGGCAGGTCTCATTTGCGTCCTCCTCTTCGGGGACTTCGAGAAACAGGGAAGGGTCGACTTCTGCCACTTGTGTTTTGTCCTGGACGATGTATGATTCGACGACGTCCCCTGCAAACAGTGTTAGTATCCAGCAAGCGGCTATACGGTAACACGACTTACCTCCAACATGGTGTTTCAGCTCGACAAGATGGAAATTGGCTCGACATATGGGGCAACTGTTGGCTCGCTCGACCCATGGCTTTAAACATTCATTGTGTAAGTCATGGCCACAGGGTTGTATGTGAGCGATCAGCTCAGGAGGTGCTAAGGTGGTGTTGTCATGGTGGCTGTTGGGTGTGGGCTGGACTTGAGCTGGGCTAGTGACGGCAGTAGGTGCAGTTGCGCTCGTAGCGGCGGCAGGATGCTGCTCTACCACTGCGTCAATACCTATGCTCAAGTCTCCTAAGCAGACAATACAAGTATCTGACATACGCAGACTCTAGATTTTGATTTGCATACAGGTAGCAGCAAAGTTGATGACTGTGGCAGTGGTTGAAGTTGGGTGGTGCTGGTCGAGTTTGAGTGGATGTTCTGCGGGAAGAAACGATGGAGAGTCGATATCAATCGAGCGACCACTAGACCCGGCAGACTTGCAGTTTTAGGATTATGCACCTTGCTCGTGACTTCAATCAAGCCAATAATGCAACACCTAAACTCGGACACGAGCTGTGTTGCATTCACCTTATAGAATTTTGGGGACGTGCTTGGTCCTCTAGTAGAGATGTCAGCTGGTGGAAGGAATCATACCTGTAACGCGTTGAGAGCCACTGACCCTGACGAAAGCTGTCAATAATTCGCCCTTCCTGACACGTGCTGGTCGCATGTGGACTAGAGCGTGCGTTGGTGCGTGGATTAGCGGTGTAGGAAACTGCCTCATTTCTGCTGCCTGCACTCATCCACACAGGATACGTCAATCTAGCAGCAATTTACAAGTCATTCGGTCGACTTGCTGCAGAGCCGGCTGAATTATGGACCATCTCTTCAAGTTTGAGTGGTCATATGCAAGTAGAATGTAGAGAAGCGCACAATGCGGTGCTGCCTGGACTCCATAAAGGTTCATCGAATGTTCGACATAGCAGACTTGAAGGAGAAGAAAGTGAGACACATCCTCGAACATCCTTGGCTTTTCAAGCAACTTCGTTGTTCGGTTCGTCAATGCATTGAGAGGTATCTATCTCGGCGTATCGATCGCTCAGCACACTTCGTCCAGGTGGGAACGTAAGCGTTTAGGACGAATGTGAAATCCGTCAGCTGACAAGTTGGGGAATATGTATATCATGCATGAAGAAATGAAAAGTCCCTCTGTGCTCCCCCTCCACATCGTCCTCATCTATACCTCAGCGATTTCTCTCAGTCGTCGGATTGTCGATCTCGTGGCAGCAGCAGCGGGTGTTCTGCAGTGATCTGTATCAGCGTATGTCCTACATGGTCGCAAGCGAATGAACAGTCTCTTGATTCGTCTCTTTCTTTCCTGGGTGTGACTTACGATACTGTCCAGGCACCACCAGCGACGGTCTTGCCGCATCCCTTGCAGTTCCAGATACCAACGGAATGTCTCTTGACAGTGTTCTTGCCACAGAATGTGCAGATATATCGGGCGTGCTGGGTGATTTCCATCTTCTTTACTTGCTTTCGGAGAGATGCACCGTATCTATAATTAACGATCTCAGTAAATAGGCCTTTCGAGAAGGATTGTTGTGTCGTAAACGGTGGATGTGTGGTCGCTAGCCAGAATCGTTGTGCGCATACCTGGTGCCATATTTACCGGTCACACCGACCTCTGTAACACTTCGTCAGTCGCCTGTCCCATGATCGTCTATTACTATCATACTCTTGGTTCTCTTCGTCATAGTTGCGGTGGAATTGAAGTTGCAGCGGGTTTAGATAATTGAGTGTTGTCGGCGCAGAAAGTTTCCTGAAGTTCGACATCAAAACTGCGGACCAGTGCCAAGCTTGTGGGCATCAGTATTCCTCGCTCTACTTGCTTCGATCCTGGGACAGTCAGCTATATATCTGACCGTACAGTTTGTCCGAACAAACGAAGAGTCCGGCATCTTTTATGATCTCTCAAGCAAGCTGCACGCGAGCATCTCAATTGAGGTATGGCACTATCAAGGCCAGAACTTCTTGATTCATTACCACAGTATCATCATTATGATAGTCTTTGTTGCAGCATAGCATACACGTTATCCGACGTACTCGGCGCTGACTATGACAATATCATCGCACTACTGTAGCCAGCAAGACTGTTCGAAAAGGTAGTGACGATGTTCTAATGTCAGGATAACGCCGGCATGCACTGGATAGAGCCTCATTGTTCAGACACAGTCAGCTCTAGTAGTTGCGTATCTATTTCGGCTATCGTACTAGCACCTGTGTTATGATAATCATAAGTAATCTGTTGATAGGACTTGTACATCCGCTGCCGAGCATGAAGCCCCTACATGACTCCGGCTGCTAGCACTTGTGGTACTTGGAAACGTTGTTAAGACAGCCAGCAAGAATTGCTTCTGGTTGTTGGTGTTGTGTGAACAACTACCTCTTTCAGCTAGCGACGACACGGTACGAGACGTCAGCCCGATAGCACTGGCTTGGACGAAACTAATTAATTGAGACACCGAGACACTGCGCCCATGAACTACGCGTGTAATCACCCCACAAGTATTCTGCGAAAGTGTTCAAGCCACTAGTTCCGGACTCGAGGCTGCGGAGCCAAGGCAATTGGTCTGACCAATAACTTGTGATTACACCCAAAATAAGACCGGCAGGCTCAGCAGGGTCCACGATGCAATATTCGCTCTACCCCTTTACGTTAGTAGTATTTGTGCGAAACACCACGTTGTCCCATTTCGTATCACCTCAAAAAGTTTCGCCCTGGACGTTGTTGTCAGCAACGACTTTCGCAACAATACAACCTCAACGATGGCTTCCAACAGAGACTACGACATCATAGTGCTTGGTGCGACAGGCTATACTGGCAAACTCACTGCTGAATATCTCGCAAAATCAGTCACTGAACCAGTCAGATGGGCTATTGCTGGACGGTCTCAGTCAAAGTTGAGCGACGTGGCCGCAAAACTCAACAGCTCGAATGCACCAGCGGGAACGATCGTTATCTCAGAACTTACTGTGCCCGAGGTCACGAAGCTAATAGCTAAGAAGACCAAAATCTTAATCAACTGTATTGGACCATATCACAAATACAGCACACCTGTAGTACAAGCATGCGCCGAGTCTGGCACTCATTACCTTGATGTGACGGGAGAGACGCCCTGGGTGCGTGAAATCATCACCAAATTCGAGGAGACTGCCAAGAAGAACAAGGCTGTGATTATTCCAGAAATTGGCATTGAATCAGCTCCAAGCGATCTCGTTGCTTACAGTGCTGTCAAGCGCATTCGAGAGATCTGGGATTGTGGTGTTATGGATATGGTCGCAGCAGTGCACGAATTGAAAACCTCTGGTGCATCGGGTGGCACGCTTGCTACCGGTCTAGGTCTTTTCGAGCACTACAGCGCTAAACAGTTGAAAGCAACGACGAATCCATTCTGCTTGTCACCTCTGTCTGAACGCGACCACAGGCATACAAAATACCCTGCGCCAACCACATACCGAAGGACGTTCGGCGAGAAGCTTACAGGTGCCTGGAAATATCCGCTGCTTGGCGACCTCACGACCAGTGTCACAGCTGGACCAAATCAAGCTATTGTACATCGAAGTGCTGGAAAGTTCCCATACTACTACGGCTTCAACTTCAACTATGCCGAATACATGGCTGTTGCATCACCAATCAATGGTATGCTGGTCCACTTCTTGATTGTATTTCTTACTTTCTGCCTAGCCATTCCACCCATCCGGGCCATTGTCAAGGGTTTCATGAAGTATAAGCCTGGTGAAGGACCAACTGTTGAATCAACTCAAGATAACCGGATGGAAATCAGAGCCGTGGCAGTGGCAGAGCAACTGTCAAAGATACCCAGGAAAGCATTTGTGAACTTTCTCTTCGAGGGTGGAATGTATGAGCTTACTGCCAGATTGATCGTCCTTGGCGCAATCACTCTTCTCAAGGAGCAGGACAAGATTGTCAAGACTCATGGTTATGGTTTCTTGACACCAAGCTCCCTAGGGCAAGGCTATATTGACAGATTAGACAAGGCAGATGTCAAGATCAAGGTCAAGCAGCTGGGTGACCTTGGCAGCAAGTAGAGGAAGAGCAGCATGTAATGATCAGGGCGTCACGAAATCAGCGACGATTCGACGGAATGAGAGGAATCGCACGTCCGATATAGGAATGGGGTTTGCATCAGCCTGGGCGATTAATGAAAGTAAGAGCGCACGATGCGTATGGCGGATGCGTATGGCGGATGCGTATGGCGGATGCGTATGGCGGATGCATATATCGTTACCACATTTACGACCTTACCTTCTAGATTATTCAAATATGTTCATACTTGCACACAGCGTCATACCATTTGCATGCACCTTTATGCACTGTACAACTATGTCGGTGAGTTGTTAGAAAGTGAAGAGAGGCCTTTCCTGAAACTGCCGAGGCATGCGACTGGCGATCAGGGAACCTCGTGCATTCGTGGCTGCTTGACCATTCAGACAACCACCTCATCCTCCTTATTTTCAAGTTGTACACAACCGTTGGCCTTGTAATCTCCAGTGTCAACGATTATAGTGAAGCAATTCCCCATGTCCATAGGAACGCAATCTCAAACAGAATCGGCGTATCTCTCCTCGTCCGTCTCATCTCTTCAACGGCCGAAGAAGTCAACATCGGAGATTTCCAAAACCTATAAGCATGCTTCACAGCTCTACCTGACTAGACGTCTAGTCGAGTGCTATGAAGCCATACAATCGGCGATAAAACCTCTACAGAAGGACGGCAAGGACAATCAGAAAGGTCATGTTAGTGCGAGTGAAGACGATTCCGCTCCAAGATCTCCAATCGCGTTGGCAAATACCAGCCAACGGATCAAGATATGGAGCTTGTATGCTACTCTACTGAATGCCATAGTCGAGCTTGACGACGAGGAAGGAAAGCGGGACTTTGGCAATAAGCTATACCGCGAGATTGTCCGTAATGTTCAGAGTGGTGAGGTATGGGAACAGGTAGTCAAGGATGGATATATGGGAAGAGAGGCCAGTGTCGATGCCGAAGTCGTCTATAACCTGTATGTGTGCTACCTTTGAGTATAAGGCAGTCTGCGCTAACCATGCATTAGATCAAATCTCCTCCTTGCGCAAGCACCCAATCAGTCTGTCAACCAAGCGCGGCTCGAGACATACCTCTCGTCTTCTCCTCAAGGTAGTATCGACTTCTCCTCTGCCTTCCAAAATGGCCACAAGAGTCAGACATCAAATGGGATGAACACACCCAAAGACCTCAACTCTCGTATCAAGATCCTCGAGCTTTTCGTCCTACATGTGCTACCTGCCAATAACGAATGGGATTACGCTCGATCATTCATTAGCAATTCGGATATACTTGACGACGAAAGAAGAGATGCCTTTATGCAGACTTTGAACGAGCTGCAGGAAGCCAAAGAACAAGAGGAGGCAGATATGGCCGCTGAGCAAGATCTGGTTGGCTTTGCGGATGGAGCAGAAGACGAAGACGTTCAGGATCACAACGGTCGTATACATATGAATGACGACGAAGGTGAAGTTGTACAAAAATCCGTCAACGGAGACTCAAAACAACAGCACGATATCACCCAGCGCAAATCCTCACACCATCGCTCAAGCAGCGAAGTCGACTACGGGATCGACGACGACCTCGTCAAAGCACGAAGTCCACAGCCCCCATCTATAACACAATCAACAGCAGCCACCACAGCGACCTCGACAGTCACAGCCTCAGATCGTCCAGCGTCCCCAACACTATCCGCACCTCCACCCTCAAACGCATCAGCAACATCACGACCAATCACCTCTCCCCAGCGCTCATCCCAACCAGCACGCAAGCCCTCCTCAGCACCAGTACGCAAGAGCCCCAACACAAACAACAAAGCAAGTAACAGCAGAAGCACAAACACACCAACGAACCAGCTAACGAGATTCTTCCGTGTGCTCACAAACATCACGAGCACGATAGCGACTTCTCTGACCAGGAATCCGACTCAGGTATTCAGGACACTGATGTTCTTATTTGCTTTTCTGGCGGTGCTGGCGCGGAAGGACGTTAGAGATCGATTGAGGAGGATGATTGGGACTAGTTGGGTGAAGTTGCGACAAACGGCTGGGATGGGTGTTAAGGTGAGTTATGTATAGCACTACGGTATATACATGGTCCTCGCATACAGGGCTCGGGCTTGCAGTAGATCGAGGTATGAATATAGATATGATTCTAGTGTATCTAACCTACCATCTTGCAGTTGTAATATCTGATGGGTGATGCGACTGGCTTTGGATCAACACATCACCACCACCACCACCAGAAGTGAGCGTGACCAGTACTAGGCTAATCGCTCAGTCACCCAACCTTATTATACCTTCTTGCGTGCCATTAACCTGCAACTTATTCCCGTAAAAGTCCCAGAAAGCACGCTCTTCATGCCATCTAGGCATCAGCTTTCCTTCCTTAACGAGCTTTTCCATGACTTGCTCCCTGTTCTCTGTCTCGATTTGTGCTTTTGATGGTTCGTCTCCTGGCATAGTGCTGTTAGAACTATCGAGGTTGTCGTAGATTGATGTGCTGGAGAATAGGGGTCGGAGACCAGCGACTTGAGATTCGTTCTTCCAGTCGACTGGTTTGGTGGATGCTGAGGCGGATTCAGATGCTGCTGGCTCGAGGTCGTTGCTGGATTTATTGTTCGAGGATCGGCCGGTTATGGCAGAAGATATATTTGATAAAGTCGATGCGATGCTGGTGAGAGATGAGTAGCCGAAAGGCTTTGATTGTGGTTCTGGAGCGGCAGTGACGTGGCGGGTGGCCTCTCTTGGTTCTGTGCCTGTGCTTGGAGCTTGGCCTTCTTGTAGGCCAAACTCGGGAGGGTGGTCCGCGACACGATTTGCGACTTCTTCGGCTTGTCTGTCGTGGTCTTTCTTTCGCGAGCTTCCATCTCTTTGTAGCTTGGCTGCCATTTTGATAGCTACTATAGCTGTGATATAGCTGTCGTAACCTGCCTCGTGCAGCCAAGTACTGTTAATATATCGATCGAACTCTCCAGAAGTGTATAGTTCAGGGTGGATAGACTGGTCAATGTTGAGGTCCTCTGCTACTTCTCCTAGAGAAAGTCTACCGTGCTTTTCGCTGTAGCAACTGGAGATGAATTTGGTGTCAATTATTGCGGGGAAGAGCTCGTGTACTTTGTCTTTGAACTCTTGCAAAGTTTCCGGGAGGTCGCCTATTGTCATCTTGTACAGAAACATGATATCAGTCAAGCAATTATGCCCGATCAGAACCTTGCGGCGTTCTTGCAATCTGCGATTGAGGGCAGTCAAGAATGCTTTCACAGGCCTTTCACCCTCCTCGGCGCTAACCGTCTTGGGTAGAGCAGGCAAGAGATAATCGTGAGGTAAGTTCGAAAGGTCCTTGCCAGTCATACCATCCACAATCCATCGAAAGCCAATTGCGCGTGACAGATCTCGCTCTCTGTACTCTTCCTCAAGCTGTTTCAGACTAATCTGCTTCTCTGGCCCAGGAGATGTGATTTGGACGAATGTGTTCATTCCTTGCGTTTTCAGACCAGGAAACTCATTCTGGACAATTTGATGAACCAGTCGTCGCTGATAGCTGTTGAGTTCTGCAGGCATATCGGCGGGTTGATCATGAGGAATATTCAGCCACTCCTCTTGCTGCTCTTTGGGTTGAGATTGCCACTTTTCAATAGCAGAACGAACGTGCTGTGCAAGGGCCTGATCGTCAGCTTTGAGCACCAAATCCTCGCGTTTAGCATCAGCGGTCATTTTCGTCCGAGCCTTCTCCTCCTCTTGAGAAGAAAGATAAGGTACGCCATGAATCAGCTGTCTGCCAAAATCGAAGCCATTTCTGTGAAGGAAAGATACTGCACCACTGTTCATGGACCACTTCCGAGTGAACTGTCTTTCTCTCAAAAGTGGCAAAGGGCTAATATTCAAATTGTATGGCTCAAGTACGTAACGTTCTGGATGAAGTCAGCACTTAATCTGTACCTAGAGAATTCGAGGATGTTGGTGCAGAATTTCATCCAGAGACTATGTAACTGGTACAACTTACTTTTCTTGTCATCATATTTCACAATAGTCAGACCAATTTGCAAAGGCTGATATTCTTGTACGGAAATTCTAGTTTCCTCATACCGTTCTTGCACGGTCTGTTTTGTGGCGCGATTTCGATCTCGTTCTGCAATACCGGAGAATTCAAAATCGAAAGAGATGAAATGTGAATCAGCTATATCCTGGAGCAGGCGTACGGCTTCGACAGCAAACTGGTCTTTACGAATGTCCATCCTTTGTCGTCGCAGCAAGGGCGAAGGCGCATTATTGAAGTATTTCAAGATTGGCCAAAGTCGTTGCCAGACATCAGTGTTACGCCTAGTAGTAGTGGGTTGAGCTAGATAAGTAGTGATTGGCTTCTTTGAGAACAATCGCTGCAAGATTGAACGCATGTATCAGACAGAAAAAGAGCGCTAGACAAGGAAAGGAGTGATGGTGAGATGAGGGATAGATGAGTGGGAGTTGAAGTGTAGATCATCGCGGCGAAGTCAATGACGAGCTCGAAAGCCATAGCTGGCCATCCAGCCGTCCGTCACTTTTGCCGATAGAGAAACGAGAGGATAACTCAGATTGTTTGCATCCCGCTGCGCCAAACAGGAACATAGTAGAGAACCAATGCAACAATATCAGAGCCAGCGCTTTTCCGTCGGTCGCGTGCCTTTCATACGTGCTCTTGGAGGAGACGTGGCATCATTTTGGCAGGAACGCACAAAAATCTGCCTGAGGCAAGTGAGATTGTGGGGTAATATCAACCTTTAATTGTTGCAATGAACTTTGGAAGGCACGACCTCGCGCAGAGTGCGAGAGCACATAATGAGCACAACAGGCCTTAATTACTGAAACCCAAGAGACTTAATATCTCATCGCCTACTCAACGCCGGGAAATGTTACTAAACGCGACGTTAGGCTCACAAGTTTTTAACACCTCGATCTCTACGCAGTCCCAATTATGAGTTCGACGTTAGCATCCCTGTTCAAGAAGTCTACGATAGATGACCCTGCTGAAGCACTTAAAGCATGTGAAGCAACTTTACGGGAAACCTCAGACGACTCACAAGCGCAGCAAACTAAAGCAGTTGCCTTACTAAAACTCGAACGATATCAAGACGCCCTGCAGTATTTCGAGCAAACAGCTAGTCTACAAGGCTCGATACCGGAAGTTTATGCGTATTGCTTATACAGAGCTGGCAAATTCGAAGAGGCAGTCAAAGTAGCTTCAGCTGTAGAAGATTCAAGAGGAGCACACCATATCACTTTGCAAGCGGCGTATAGAGCTGAAGATTGGGATGCTGCAAACAAAGCATGCTTGGCCCTGTCGAAAAGTAAAGTTCAAAAGGAGGAGTTTGATTTGCGAATAAACAAGCTTGCTCTTGATGCTGAAGCATTGTGGTTAGAGAGGCTATCCGCGGGCTCCATACCACGTGCCACTACCGATGACCTGGCTGCATTCGAGACGGCTTACAATGCTGCGTGTATTTCTGTTTCAAAAGGGCAATTACAAGAAGCTGATATCTTGTTAAAAAGAGCTGTTAACCTGTGTGAACATCATGAAGAATTGTCAGCGGAAGACAAAGCAGTGGAACTTGTCCCATTGAAAGCACAGCGCATCTTCGTCTTGCAAAAACTACAGAAGCATGACGAGGCTGCGGAACTGGCAAAGGAACTTTCAGCAAGCCTGAAGGATGCTGCAGTAGACGTCTCTACGCGGAAGCTTGCCGAGAACAACATACTCGCAAGCGTCAACGTGTTCAATCCTTTTCTTGCTCACAAGACCTTCAGCTCGAGCTCGGTGCCGAAGAGCGAACGCCTCTTCGCGAATCAATCGACGTCGCTTAAGTTGAACGAACAAGCAATGCAGCTGCAGACCTTCAAATATGATGGCTTGATTCACAGTGCGAGAAAGAAGTCCTTTATGGATGCTCTACCATCGACTTCGCCAGACTCGCTTTTGACATCTATGTTTGGTACTGCAGCTCTTGCAAGAAACGAGGTCAGCAAAGCTGCTGTTAATAAGGTACTGCCCGAATTAGAGAAGCGGCCAAACGATGTAGGCCTGGTCGTGACACTGGTCCAGCTATACGTTCTTACTGGCAATGGTCTTGCTGCGGTCGATATGCTACGTGCCCTCTTTGACCGGCTTGAGAAGTCTCCTAACGACAAAGACCAGGACGTGAGATATTCCCCTGGACTGATAGGTCTAATGGTGAGCTTGCTTAGAACTCAAGGCAGAAGATCACAACTGAACCAGGAACTCGCAAGAGGTGCTACATATTGGCGCACAAAGCCGAAAGCACCTTCATCCTTGCTTCGTGCTGCTGGTATTGCGTTGCTGGAATCGTCACATGACGAAGACACAAAAGTTGCAAGCGAAATATTTGAAAAGCTTTATGCACAAGAACCAGAAGACAGGAGTGCCATTGCTGGCTACGTGGCTTCTCATGCCACAGACTCTACTGCAGATGTAAAGTCATTATCTGGCAGATTGTCTTCGATTGACGAGTTGACAGCCTCTATCAACGCCGACTCCCTCGAGAATGCTGGTATCCCACAATCAGCGAATGCTCTCGCCATAGCTCAAGCTGGCCAGAGCAGAAAACGTCCGGCTGTTGATGGTCTGTCGTCAAAGAAGAAGAGGATACGCCCGAGCCGGATGCCAAAAGACTATGACCCTAATAAAAAGCCTGACCCGGAAAGATGGCTACCTCTACGAGACCGATCTACCTATAAGCCAAAGAAAAAGAGGGGTAAGAGAGATGATCGAACTCAAGGTGGTGGTAATGTCAATGAAGCACTTGACATCAGCAATCGTCCGGCTGGTACTGGTAGTGAGGTGGTCAGCGGCAATACTGCAGGCAATAAGAAGAAAAAAGGGAAAGGGAAGAAGTGATTGTGGCTCACCAGGTGTGAGTTAGCTTCGAACTTCGGTGTGAAGGCAGTTTATCCCGTCCATAGTAGCTAGTAACACTTCACCGACGCAACATATCGTTCACCCACCCGAGTCGAGTCCTGGGTATCCACAATCGACGTCCCCTGTGTTGTTTTCTTGGCGGAACAACGCCGGCAGATAGTTTATGCGCTTCGTAGCTGCCGAAACACCAAATGTCGTCCCCTCACTCATGAAGCTGGTGGTAGAACCGTCTCGCGTTGGACCTGTATTGCAAGCTGACATCGACACGACATAATCGAGAGCTTGTCAATCAATTGTGAGGCAAAACTGTTTAGATACGTGAAATACAGTCAACACGACAGAACGTCCGTCCCTCCTCCACAACTCTAGCTTGGATCTAGTAGTGCAGCTTCTCCAGCGGGGAGCAGTGCGTTTGGACCGTCCAGAGCTCAACCTGTAACGGCAGTCTTGGCTACAGATACGCTGTTTCATTCAGGAAGCATTAGCTCGATCACATTGAGCAAATACACCAAGAGCTAAACTCGGAAGACACGCCTCGGCTCGAGCAAGTCCAAAACCGCGACCTACAGTATAATCTTCATACCTTTACAACGTCTCCCGCCAACCTGTCGACCTTACCACCAGACAACATGTCGAAACTATCACCAGCCATCAAGCAGCTCATCAACGCGCCCCACGCCAAACCACATTACACAGTCCCCAACACCTCAACCTTACAACCCCTACTGAACCGCCTCGCAGATGAAGCAGCATCCAAGAAAGTCAGCACCCCCGCCTGGCTCACCTTCGGCACCGCCACAGCAATGACCATGAACGCCCCACGCGCCATGAACATGCTCTGGAGCACCGCCCAGCAACACGATCGGTCCTGGTCTCCCGTGCAAACAGCAGAACTCCAGCGCGAAGTCGGACTAAAATGTATTTCATTCAACGGCATCCCCCGAACGATTAACTGTCTCGGTGCATTCTACGGAGCCCTACCTCAAGACGTAAGGCAAAAACTGTCCACGAATCCAACACGAGAATTCAGCCCGGACAACATCGAACAACGCAAAACTGACGGCTTGGCGCTCTGGGACAGTGTCTATTACGGCTTTGAGCGGAAATTACTCGATAAACTTGCTCAGAGCCATCCCGACCTTCCAGTCCATATTATTCACAGCCACTACGCAGGCGTCCTATCAAACCCCAGCCGGAAAAGCTACGTCGAGGGCCAAGAGAAGCCGCGAGAAACACACGTCGGCCGTGTTCTGACATCGCTTGTTGCAATTTCGTGTCTGAGAGCACAGACCGGTGTCGGCCCTCAGGTCGTAAGTCACATCTTCGGCTTGAGAAAGGCTTATGAGCGGGGAGGTGCGACTGCGGCGGGTGAGGTGGATATTCCGGGTGGGCAATGGTTGAGTACGGAGGAAGGGAATGTGTGGTTGTTGAATTGGATTGATGAGCTTGTTGGTGGGATTGGGACGATGCAGGAGGGTGAGGAGGGGCAGGGTGGTGCTGGAGGGACGACTTTTGCGCCTGGGATGGGCGGGAAGGAGAAGGCGAAGCTGTAGATGAGAATTGAGAGCGAAGGGTTAGGAATAGTACTTTGCATCTTGTGCATGGTTATATAGTGCATTGTGAGCTGGTTTATTTAGAGATATAACAGGTTAGAAGAAAAAAGAATATTGTTCTATGGACTCTCAGTTCATTTCGTTCGCTTCGTGCGAGATATACCACCAGTCATTTCTTCGAGATAACAAGAACAACCAATGTAGGTACGTGTGTCTGTGGGACTGGCATATTTATATATATAATCAAACCAAGAAGAACCAAGACGCCGCCATATTCCAGAGACTCATCAAGTAAACCCGATTGCAGCATGGTTTCTGTGCTTCACGCCTGCCGAGACGTGTTGTCTGTGTGCGTTCTGCGCATCGTGAGACCTTTGCTAACCGGGACACTGGTCGCATGAACGATCGGCATGTGCGAGTGTGCTGTGCCTTTTGCAAACAGAACGCCCGTTGTTGTATGTATACCGCCTCGTGCGCCAGCCGTAAGCCATTGTATGGACCAAGTATTTAGAAACCTTTAAGGATATCATAAGATTTCCAAATCCTCGAACTCGACAAACAAACCCCCATTGTGCAAATTAGTGTCCAGACCTTCGGTGTCCACAGGTCTGCTAGCATAACATCCCACCCAGCAACCGCCTTTGCTCGACTCAGGATCAAAGAAATTCACAATTTCTCTGCACTTCCTCCACTGTCTGCTGATGAACGCTGGGGTTGGAGCTGCCGTGCTCATAACAACTGTGCTAGGAACCATGAACCACACCCATAGATCTGAGCCGACTCGTTCCAATTTGAGCCTGATACTGGGCATGGATGTTTCTTCGAGATAGGCGGGATCCAAGTAGGAGAATGCAGGCGTACATGCCCAGTCGACGGCACACTTCGGATTAGCTACCAGAGTGGTGATATTAGGCTCGCCTGCATTCACTTCGAATGCTACTCTCGCCCATTTGGAGGGTCCAGGACGAAGACTCGGGTCTACCACAACGTACGGTCGTCTTAGTGATCGGCTCGCTAGTTGGTTGAGCTGATGATGTGTTGGATGTCCACCAGCAAAGATGGCGAGACCACCCTGATCCCAATCAACCTGAAAGTCGACGGACACTGTCACCTCGGCTAGTACAAAAGGATATCGGAGGCGTTTGAGTAGCATTGGTGCTGTGATGTCGTTCTCGTCTGGGGCTCTTCTTCCAAATCTTGTGTTCGACCTTGCCGTAAGAGAAAAGTACTCGGTTACGTCTTCATGTTGTTCGTGGTCAACAGGCACGTTGACCAATTCATAGTCCGTATCCGCAAGCTGGATCCTTGGCAGCCGTGCTGCTGGCGCAACAGGTATATGCATTAGACCGCTGATAGACTGTAGAATAAAATCTGTTCGGGGATGAGAACACCTTCGGGATCGTCGTAAAGGTATTTGAGGTCAATCGCAGTTTTGTCACACAGGGCAATAGTAAAGTGTTGTACCTATAAGGAATGATCAGCTCGATCGAGAAGCAAAAGAGAATGCACTAGAATCTAGAGAACATTAATATAGTCTCGCACTGGCTGACCGGGAGCCACGCGGAACCAAGGAACCATTTCGGCGAGAGAGCTTGTGTCTCCTGGTTTCGCAGGCATGATTGTCCCGGATATTAGTTTTCAAGGGACCAGTATACGAGAAGCTTAGCAAGTGAAGGTATCAGATGAATGTGGCGCATGATTCAATAGTAGCCAGCCTGATCACTGTAACGTAGTCATCCAGCGTTGTAATTGGATCAGATCGAGCGAGGCAGCACGCAGCAATACCCAGACCATGTATAATTACGCAATTGGTGAAGAGTGTTCGGAGCGCGTTGCAGCTGAAATGCATCGTGGTGGTGGCAACAGGCCCAGCGCTTCGACCAGTAGGAAAAAAGACATCGTGTTTGACCCCTTGATTATGCTTCTGGCCACAAAAAGTGTGCATGTCACCTTCGTGATTAAAATTCCATGGTCAGTGGGTGCACAACCGTTACTGACGTGGAGAGTGCTAATTGCTCTTTCTGAATCCGCGCGTGCTGTGCGACATGGCTCTCGAGGTCACCGCTTATACCCTGGTTCGCGAGCACTGTGAGCAGGGTTGTAGGCCTTTGCTGGACCAGGAGACACAACTAGGACAGTGCCTGCCAGAGATGCGACAGCATTGAGCATCTCGGCTAAGCGCAATTGCTCGGTACTGATGCATATGGCTTTGGGTCGACTAGTTTCGGCCTGTTCCAAATCGTCGGTAGTGGCCAGAAAAAATCAGAGTGATGAGTTAACACACTATTGAAGTTTCGCGACCAATTATCGGATCGAAAGTCAGGAGCCGACCACAGCGCGCCTACCACGATTAGGCGATCCGAAGTACCCACACTCCAGGTCTTTCCCATCGTCAAAGCACACTGCATGTACTGTCCTTACGCAAAGCAGATCCAGGTAGAGAGGCATTGACAGCTTCCGATGTCGCTATGCATTATGTCGATCTATCAAGGAACAGCTTCCACTAAATCTCCTTTGCAGGAATCGGACCACATCAACGATCATCGGCAATCTGGCACACAATCACAGCGCGTCACAAGCTCGAGGCCGAGCACAATTGCATGTCCACGATGTCACGTCTGAAACTGCGAGAAGCAGCTGGAGCCGAGGGTGGGAAGAAGTGAAAGAGGTACGAACACAAACTGTTGTGAGTATAACGGACAGAGTTTAGGGCGAGAAACGTGACTGCAACTCTGCGGTGAGGACTGCCTCATGTTGTAGAACTTATACGCCTGTGATTGCCTCCAAGAGCCTACTTATCCAACCTGAAATAATAGCGTCCATTACATTGTCCAAATGCTGGAGTGCGCAGGCACGCAATCCTACGACCCAATCGGAAGTCTTCTGCTCTCACATCTGCTTCATCTCGGGCGCAACATTGAAGGTTGCATCAGTCTTGGACTTGATCTCCTCCAGAGAAACACCCTCCGCCAACTCGGTCAATGTCAGGTGGCCCTTTTTCCTGTCGACCTGGAACACGCAGAGATCTGTGATGATTGTGCTGACCACTCCTTTGCCGGTCAATGGCAGAGCACAGTCCTCAACAATCTTACTTCGACCATTCTTGTCAACATGATCTGTGGCAACCACAATCTTCGTCTGATCTGGATTTGATACCAAATCCATGGCACCTCCCATGCCTTTGAACACTTTGCCTGGAATCATATAGTTGGCCAGATCGCCGGCAGCGCTGACCTGAAGAGCACCAAGAATTGACACATCAACGTGACCTCCCCTGATCATAGCAAAGGAGTCGGCTGAGTCGAAAGTGGCTGCACCGGGTAGTAAAGTGACAGTCTCCTTACCAGCATTGATCAGATCAGGGTCAATTTCATCTTCGTTTCCTGGATACGGTCCCATCCCGAGGATACCATTTTCGCTTTGTAGCCAGACCTTGACACCTGGTTCAACGAACGACGCTGACAGGGTTGGGATACCCACGCCAAGATTGACATAGTAACCATCCTTGAGTTCTTTAGCAGCACGTTTTGCGATTCTGTTTCGACGTGCTTGTGCCGGGCTGGTGTCTACTCCAGCGTCTTCTTTCGTTGCTATCTTTCTGATTTCAATCTCCTTTTTGGCGGTCGCTGGCACAATTCGATCGATATAAATGCCTGGGATATCAATGTCGTCCGGATTCAAAGCACCAATCGGAACTATTTCATCGGCCTCAACAATCGAAATCCTTCCAGCTTTGGCCATATTCGTTGCGTATGTTTTGGTGGTCAATTTAAGCTGGCAGTTTCCAGCTTCGTCCACCTTGTTGGCTCGTAGAATGGCAACGTCACCAGTAATAGCAGTCTCCATCACGAACTCCTTGTTGTTGAAAATTCGTGTTTCTCTTGGCCTTCCAGGTTCCACGATAGTTGGTTTACCGCTGCCATCATCAGGTGGTTGCTGCCGGATCGGTATCTGCCCAGACTGCACGAACGTCTTCACGCCAGTAGCTGTGAAGAAGGCAGGGATTCCGGCACCTCCAGCGCGAATTCTTTCAACAAGAGTGCCTTGCGGGCACAGCTCGATGGCTATTTTGCCTGTAAGATATGCCTTCTCGAGATCCTTATTGCCTCCTAAGTAAGAACAGATCATGCGTGAAACCTGACCTCTCTTTGTCAATGCTGCGAGCCCATGATCTCCAAGTCCTGCATTGTTCGACACCGCTGTCAAATCCTTTAGGCCCTTCTTCGCGATTGCTTCTATAATAGTCTGAGCGACACCGCATAGACCAAAACCTGCTGATAGTACGATTGATCCATCTTTGAGATCACTTACAGCTTCATCGGCGTCTTTGTAAAGCTTGGATTTGGGTCGCGAGGGACTCGGATGAGAGTCTTCCGGCCTTGGTGCTTGTCGTCTTCGTGCTTTCGCAGTGCTAAAGAGTCTCGCGTCACAAGCTTTGATCCTCAACGTCTTAGCTCGTGTCTCCAAGGTAAAGCACGTCGAAGATACGAGCGATGCTCGTGGGAAAGCCCCTTGGAGGAGAGCCATTCTACCACTTCTAAGAATATAGCACTGGCAGAAAGGCGGAGAGCATGAGCTTGGGCACGTTCAATTCTTATTAAGACTGACGTTCGCTGTACATGCGTGCCATGAGCGACCTTGCCAGGATAGGTCGCTCCACCGTCGGCGCTCGCGGCTGTTGCATTGACTTCCCACAAAAGTGGCAGCGGGCACCTCGCCGGTCGTTGTGGGCACTCAACGACCAATCATGGCTTTGGTCTTGATTCGGAAGAACGAATCAACGGCACAACGACAGGTTCTTGAAACACGAACTATCGCCGACAGCTCGTTGTCGACTCACGGCTGTTTCGAAGCGTAGAAAGTATTAGCTACTTCACCAAGCTCACACAGATCTCTTAAGCACAGAATTGAAAACGCTAGCGTCAATTTACTAGTTTTGCATGGCTGCAAAAGAAGTAGATCATCTACGTATTCTCTCCACTCAGATGAAGCGAATGCTGAAAAGTTCATAAGACGAGCTCGTCGATTAGCTTGCTATGTCGCGCCTAATTGTTTGAAGCCCAGCATGCGTCCACGGCGACCTGCATTTTGTGGAACGTAGAGCTACGTCAGTCTAGTCTTCGAGTTGTTCCTCCCCCAGAGCTGGGTGATTATTCAACAGCTTAGCTAGGTTACATCCCGCCCACCGAGCGTGTATCGTAAATACTAGCATTTCCCACTAGTATGCTGCACTCATTATTTCCTGCTAAACTATTCGACCAGAAAGTGGTTGCAGCCCATCGGAGACATGACATGCCCCTGCTATCTTTCTGCTCCTGCTACCTGTGAGGCACTTGTTGGTGCCCAGGCTGAAGCTGTCACTTCCTTGTTAGGCTCCCGCGTAAACAAATTGCCAACCTGGCCGTCCTGGTTCGGCATATTCTCTATCAAGCCGAGCATAGCCTCGATGTTCAAGCACCGCGAACTCGCTGTCAGCAAGCCTTTCTCTTTTTCTTTTTCTGCTTGGAATGCATTCCTTCTGGGTGCAAATTGTACACAGAACCATGAAGCTCTGGAAAGCGACGCGACCACAGCTTCGTCACGTGTCGGATCCACTTACGGGATTTGAGCACGTTGAGTGGACCCAACGCGACACTGCAAGTGGGTCTGGAGTCTATAGTCATGGATGATCATCCTCTTTATCACGTTTCCAAAACCGTGTAAGGTATTGACTAATGTCTCGCAACAACGAAATACGCCGTTCAATGCTCACCGAGCTTTTGGAAGGCCAACCAGCAAGAAAGAAACAAAGAACGACCTCAGCAGCACCTGTCGGCACGGTCATGCTAGACGGTCAACGGGCATTCGAGGAAAAAAGATTTGAGGCTGCAATTCACCATTTCACTCGTGCCATCGACAATCTTGATGATAGAAAAGCTGATTTACTCTATATATACGACCTTCGAAGCAGTGCGTATACCAGGCTTGAGAAGCTGGACCTAGCACTCAAAGATGCCAAACAGATGATTCGTCTGGATCGACCAGATTGTCGTGGCTACCTGAGATGCGCCCAGGTAGAGCTGCTTCGCAACAACGCAAGTGGGGCGGCGAAAGTCTGTGAGCTTGGTGTGAAGAATGTCAGTCCTTCTGATGGGAACCGATGCCGCCTTATAGCATGCTTGCTCCGTGCTCAGGAGGCTTTAAAGCAGAAGATGATCTTCGACAAGGGCACAGATCCACTGGCTGTTCTTCCGTCCGAATTGTTGGCAATGGTTCTGTCTACTTTTGGCTATAGGGAGATCGTCGCTATTATGCGAGTCTCCAAGTCCTGGCGAACAAGATTACGTTCTACGGACTTGATTACCCAGACTATTGACACACGTGAGGCTAGGAGAACTCTCACCTACGAGCAGATCAAGATAGCATTTTCGCGTCTAGGCAAGTCGCCAAAAAGCATGGCTCTGGCGAAACTGAACGGGAATGCTGCACGACTAGTGAGCTCTGAGTTAGGGCACTGGATCCGGTGGGAATCACTGCGTTCTCTTACGATTGACGATGGCAAAATATCGCTACGAACTTTACGATTCGATAAGCTGGGAAATTTACAAGAACTATGCATGCGCTGTCCATTACCGGCTGGAAAGAGCCTCGGGGATATACTCTCCTGCTGTCGTTCCTTGCGTTGCTTGCGTATACACGATGATGGGGTTGACAATCATGAAAGCTTTACGCTCGATCACAGCCACGAATACAAGAATCTGCAGACACTAGTTGTCTCTCAGCACAAGCGGTACATGGTGGATTTCAAAGTAAGTGCCCGTTCCTTCAATGATAAGCTTAGCCCGTTGAACTCGTCTGGTAACCTCCTGGAGTCATACCTACCATTGAAACAGTGACTGACTGATTCCGAAAAGTTACCCGAAGAAAAGTGCATTTTTCCCAACCTTGAACACTTCGGGCTTACAGGCGCCAACGTCCTCGGTCAGCTCAATCTGTCAACCTACACCAAACTCAAGCATCTGTGCTTGCGTAATGTTCACATTAGCGAGCACGACAATCTACGTACCCCTCCCAGCCTCGAAGCATTTACGCTTGAGGGTCATTTCGCAAATATATTCCCCAACCCCGAAGAGATCAAGTTTCCCACAAACAATCTCACTACCATCAACACTACCGGTGAAGAGTCGATCCGCTTCCTCGCCTACGCGATCCGTCAAGGCCTCAATAAAGCCAAATTCCGCATCCTCAGCATCAGCAATTTCATAACGAACAACTACGTGGCAGGCCGCCACATGGAAAACAACCTCGATTTACTTCTACCCATCCCTGGCAACGACGCCTTCCACAACGTCGAATCCCTCACCTTGAGAGACGATAACCTCAAGAATTCCGACTGGTCCACAGTAACCAAGCTGTTCCCTGCTGTAAAACATCTCCAGCTAGAGAGTCCGCAGCTCACCGAGGAGTTCGTCAGTGAGCTAGTCAAGTCCCAAGGAGATACTTGCGAAACGGTCGTGCTAAGAAATTGCACTGCAGTGTCTCAGAGTATAATACCTTGGATGAAGGCGCGCTGTATCGACGTCAAATTTGTGAGAAGCGCGTCGCAGGTACCTGAGACGATTGGGGGCACGACTGTGAGGTATGGGAATTGAAACAGTCAGTGGGTACCATAATCTGCTGCTATTTGGGTGTTCAATGACCAGGATTCGGGCAATTGACTACGTACCTCGGACGAAAATCAGTTGTACAATACACATATGATCACACTTGATGACACACCCGAGTAGAAGGAAGAACTGAATTTGGTGCTTACATGCCATGTCTTTCCGTTACTGCGCGTTGCAGTTATAAGTTCCCGACACGCTTTCTGGTCCAAACCTGTTTAACATTACAGATCAAGTATGTGTCGGATCGTCGCACTTACTCAGCAGTGGGCAAAGTGAATTCTCGGACGGTGCTGTGCAGCAGTAGAAAAGAGGTAGAATATAGTAAGGTAATCAGCTCAATTGTTTCACCTGAAGCAGTCCAGGTGCTATGACCAAGCACTGCTAACTATTTAATACCAGCCATATTCTATGCAAATAATATGCTGATGCATCTATCTAGAAATGTCGTCCAGTCCTTGTCATACCTATGAAGCAAGCAAAAGATAGCCAACAGTCGCTAATCTCCCAGGTTTGTGCATTTTGTACCAGGTGCCAACGCCAATGCTCTATATCCAAATTCCCAACGTTTTCGGCTTCATGCCAATGCAGCTACAACATCTGCAGGCCAGACATCGTAGACATGATTCCAATTCGTATCACTCGTCATCGTAACGCTAGAACCGTCGAACGGAGACTCATAGCTCAGGTTGTCATATTCAGTGGTTATCCAAGAACAGTACTACTGCACCGTACTCGGCTCTGGTATCTTTGGTTTCTCTTCGTATGGCGGCTGTAAGGGTGTACCTGGAAGAGGTCCATGTTGCGATGAGACTGCACCATTGTTCATAAGCTGGACCTGTGGTTGTGATTGTGATTGAGATGATGGTGGCGACTGCTTGCTAGGAGTCGGTACCGGCTCTCGGTTTAATTGCTGAGGACTAGGCGCGAGGTTCTCGGCTGGCGGAAAGATAGGTGTTCCCGATACGGACCGTACATTGTGAGGATTATTAAAGCTCGAGGATGGTGTCTGGTATGCACGTTGCTTTTGGGGAATGAGTGATGGTTGAGACATTGGAGAGGGTGATACACGTTGCTTGACGGGAGAGAGCCCAGACATTGGTTGTGTTTGCGAACCAGAGAAGGAAGAGTTGTAAGATGAGTCTCGTTGCTGTGGTGTGCTTTGAATTACGTTACCATTAATATGTTGGCCATTCGTGTATGGAGTAGAAATTTGGGCTTGGCGAAGGGGTGGAGAGCTACCTGGTACACCAGCAATAGGGCCAACATCTGGATTCCCTTGAGTGGGAGACATCGTAGGTCGATTGACAATAGGAGAAGGTATTCGAGGTCTCACAGGTGAGGAGTAAATATGTGCTTGAGAATGACTTGATGCTGGTCGAGGTGTTTGGGAATGGCTGGAAGTTGGTCGTAGAGAAGGTTGTGACGAGAATGGCTGACTAGAGTTTGGAGCAGCCTGATAGTCCAAGGGACCAGAGCTTTGTTGGTGTGTAGTCTGACTGTAGAGATTCTGGTCGCGTACACCGCCAAGGAGTTGACCTTGAGGAGGGTAGGCACTGAAGTGATTAGAGCGGTAGTTAGAGCCCCCGTTCATGTACAGAGTCTGCCCGTTAGTGTCTTGCGTGGCATAGGTAGGCACCGAAGGTTGAGCAGTTGGCTGAGCAACTTGTGTTGGTGCTGATTGGATGGGTCTCGCTGAAACAGGAGCAGGATAGATCTGACCATTCAGGGCGACACCTGAAGCTGGAGGTGGTCCAGTTGAATTGACAGCTGGAACGTCAACTGATACAAGCTTTTGCTTGAAGGACGACTCGTCTCCCTGCTCCATCCTTGGTACTGTAGCTGATGTCTGTGCGTGCTGCGGTGGTGAGGAAGACTGGCCGACCTTGAATTTGAGCGAGATCTTTGGTCGGCTAGCCTCCTCCTCCCTGCGTTTGCAGTCCTCGCAGACAAAGTTGAAATCATCACGCTCGGCGGTTGCTTGTGAGACGCCTAGGCACTTGCTGTGCTGCCATACATTGCAGCGCTCACATGCAATGCTGTGCTCACCATCGTCAAAGTTCTTGCCATGTTGACCGCAACCCGAGCAGTCAAAGGACCAATCCTCACCATCCCATTGCTCAAGTTCTTTTTTGCGTTGCTGGATACGTTCTTTGAGATGCCTAGAACTTCGAGCGCCCTCTTCTTCAATCCTTTTCTCTTCCGCAGAATCTTGAGCCAGCTCTTCCTCCATACGCATACGTTGTAGTTCCCGCTGTGCAATGCGCTGTTCCCGAGTGACCATACGAGAACGTCGCTCGTCCTCCATCCTGTATTGCATCGCCCGATCTCTGAGCTCTCTGGCCTCCAAATCCGCTCGCTCTTTCGCTTTTCTGGCAGCTTCCTGTTGCTCGAGTTCTTGTGCTTGCTTAGCTGCCAATCTACCGGATCTTTTGGCACCGTGCATCTTCTCCTGCATTTGTATTTCTCGCAGGCGAGCCTCCACTTTCCTCTGTCGCTTCTCCTCCTGAGCCTGCAGAGCAGGTAGTATGTCCTCCTCGATATAGGCTTTGAGGTTTCGTTCATTCTCATCTTTTGACTTGGCGATCGTTGCCAGAAATGCATTGTAGTCTTCTAACGTCACAGCGACGCATTCAAACTTGTAACCACCAAATGTGTCGAGCTTTTCAGGATCGTCCTCTTCCTGTTGAGGTTTCATGATCGTGGTCTCGTCCTCAATCTTAGTTTCGTCCATAGTGTCTTCCGCATCACCCATCTCAGTATCTCCATCCTCAGCGTCCGAGATCTTTCTGCGTTTCGAGGCACGACTCTGTCTGCGCTGAGATTGTGCCTTCTTCGAGGTATATTTCGACTTCGTTTTCTTCGTAGGCTCGGTTATGGGAGGATCAGTTCGGCGGTACAAACGTCTGGCAAATTGAAAATCGTAGTAGGTCCGATCTTGACGATCCCACCCAACAGGATGTGTATTCTAGGAAATGTCAATTTCATACCACGTTGAATCAGCTTAACATACCCAATCGAGAAACTGGTCCATCTCCTTTTCTTGAGGAAAGAGTTGTCTTATCTTTTCCGGGTTCCAGAATGTCAATACAGTGAGTTGATGCAGAACTCTGATTTTTGTGAAAACGTGGAAATCTCGAAATTTATTGGGTTCCTCCTCTTGCCCGTAAGGGTGATGAACATTAGGAGCTCGATATTCAATTTGTCGCCGGACATTGAGGTCCCAATTCTCGAGACTAGACTTTGTCAGCATAGTCATGGTTATGAATGCTCACAAGACTCACTTTATGTCGCGACGAGAGGACAACCAATTGACTAGTTTGTAGCCTATCTCTTCCAGCAGGTGACTGATCTCTGACTTCATACACTCCTGCTCGAGGTCCTGTTACAATCATTAGACATAGTCTCCACGTGAGAACGCTTCGAGAATGCACACAGCAGCAATGATCTGATGGAATAGGATAAAGGAAGGCATACCTCGATGTCGACGTGTGGAAGTTTGCAGGCTTCACCAAATATGTGTAGCCACTCGCATAGACTGGCAAACTCCCACATGTTTCGAATCTTGGACAGCATGCTGACTTCTTGAGGTCGTTCTGTGGGAGACTCGACGGCCACCATCTCATCGTGTGACCGCTTGCGCGGCATTTTGACTAGGGATGCGCTTTCTCTTCAATGTAAAATATGCCTAGTAAGTCCTGCTGTTGGGAAGTTCATGGGAGATTGTTGAGATTAAAGTATGCTGTTTGCACAAAGTAAAAGTCCGTTGCATGGACTTGCGAAGTGTGAGAATGCAATGAGACAGCCGTCTTCGCGATCAACGCTACTCCGTACAGAGTACGTGACGCGCCTGCTAGAGATCGTGAAATTGATCGGGGCTTCCTCGGCTGAATCTTTCTCAGGACGGCGTACCAAGAAGTAGCCGGCTCAAACATGTGATAAGATCATAAGCTCGGCTAACTGTGGAGTTCTCCCTCCACGGTCAAGTGCTGACCAGTACAGTAGTAATAGTCCAGCAATTTAACGAAAGACGAAGAGATACAGCGATCAAACGACCAAAATCATGACAACACTGACACAAAACCAAAGCGAACCCTTCAAGTTCTCCGAACACTACACAGGCTATCCACCATTCTTCACTCTTCAAACGTCCGCCTCCGCCAGGCAGGCGCAACTCAAGCGCTGGTCCCGTCTTATCCAACGTTACTGCCGACATTACAAGATCTTCCAGATATCAATAGTCGATTATCAGGACAAGGATCTGTTCAGAAATGCCAAGCTTAACAAGAAGTTGTATCCTGAAGACATACGGACAGTCATAGATTTTATGGTCAGCCAGGATGGACAGCAGCGTGCAGAATGGGTGACCAGCGCGAAGGCCAGTGCTTGGATATGGTGGCGGCGACCAGAGGAGTGGGCAACCTCAATTGCAGCGTGGGTGGATGAGACGGGTCAGAAGGGCTCTGTGCTCACCCTATACGAGATTGTCGAAGGAGATGCTTCTGAAAACCAAGAGTTCCATGGTATGGATATGGAGGTGTTAAGAAAAGGCCTTGCTGTGTTGGCAAAACAGAACAGAGCCCAAGTTTTTGGAACGGACGATCAGCAAGGCGTCAAGTTCTTCTAGTCATGATCGTATCCTCAAATCTGCCACCTTTTACTCGCAATAGTGCTGCTGGACCTATCGACAAATTCGACTGCCACGAGCCACCCAGAACGCTGCAAACAAAACGTCGAGATATGCGCCATACACCTCGCTCAATCTGCCAACCTAAAACAATGTCGTTTATGACCCTGTGCATCACTTGGCCTTTAATTTCGTTAATTCGTAAGACTCAAAAGGCTGGATCTCCTGTCGAAGAGCTGTCGTCAACAGCCATTCGCCAAGCAATACAAAAGGCTCACGCCGACTGTCCGCGGCCACCCTCTGAAATTTCGGCCAAAGAGTTTTGTCCTCTGCTGTGTCACTACTCAGCAGCACGACTTCATTTGCAGTCTCCGCATCGTCCTCTCCTACGCGTCGCGAAGGGATTGTCATCTGTCGACCTCGATAAGGTGCTAACGAGGCTCCGTTTGCCTCAGCGATTGTTTTGAATGTCTCATACCCACCACTAACCTTTTCCGTGCAGTAGAGACTGTACCCTTCCAGCAGCTTATGGTCGTTCTCTCGAGCTTTCTGGAGTGCGTCCTTGAGCTTCACCTTGTACTCCTTCTCTTTCTGCTTGTCAACCAGCTCGTAATCGCTAGGATCAACAAGCTCGTCTGCACTGAGACACGCCTCAATGAAATCCGTCGTTAAAATCATAGGCGCATACGCAACAGCTACCATGAACTTCGGTGTACGTACGATGCCTGGCACGGCAAAATGTGTAGCCTTTGCAGGAACATCAACGATAGAAATGCCAAGCTCGCGGAGCTTTTTGGTATCGTTGACTTCCTTCTTTGCGTTCCCGACCCAAGGCTTGTAGCCAGATATTAGCAGTCGTATCTCAACAGGCGTCGGACCTGTTCGCTGACGTTTCGGAGTTTTCTTCGTTGTGATCGCGGGTTCAGCAGGCTCTGCAGATCGCTTACGCCCCGGCTCGACACGCTCAGGGTCATCTTTACGTCGACCTCCGTACACCACTCCTCCGACCCGCTTCCTTTCCTTCTCAAAGAGAGCAATGTCAGGAGTCATTTCTTGTAACTTGACTGCAGCGGCTGTCTTGGACTTTCTCGAACCCTCGGTGGCAGGAGTTCCATTCTCTTTGCCATTTGCTTGACTATGCAGTCGCACTGGGGTTTGAGTAACGTTTCCTCGTTCTGAGCTTTCAGAAGGGGGAACGGATGAGTTGACTTTAGTAGAAGCCTGAATTCTACGGCGACCAGGCAATGTTTCCGAGGGTATTGCATCCAGATTCAGAAACTTTGCCTCGATGACTTTGCGGTCGATCTCCGTCTGGCCCACAACCTCACCAAGGTTTGTCTTGGTTGGGAAGTGGGTATACCTGGATTTTGTGATGGATTGCTTCTGCCATTTAGCGAAGCTTTCCTCAACCCAAAGATGATTGACAACCGTGATGCCCCATTCCTCCGCCGCGTTCACTTTCTCGCTCTTTCTATGAGCAGTAATGAGGAAGTCATTGTCCTGCTTCAATGTTTTGGTGCATATAGCACCTGTTGCAGAGATTAGGTTCTCCAAGTAAGTCCGTGCCTCACCGCTATAGTTTGACAGGCCAATTTTTAGTCCAGCAAAGCCTTCGAGTGGCTTCTTCGGAAGAGGATAGTGAAGTAGGCGTCGTAGTGGGGAAGTCCAGAGATCGTGTATAATCAGGTAATAGAGCCATGCCAAATTGCCCACATCTTTCTGCTTCGCTGTGGCGTAGTTGTAGTTCTGTCCGTCTCGATATTTGCAAACAAGGATGTCAGCCTCAGAGGCTTTGTCGACGACCGTACCGTCGCTGGCAAGTATCATGCCATTGAGGACACCTCGCAACACGTCACTAATCTGTAGGTCCTTCTCTAGCAATATTCGCTTCTTCTTGAACACCCTGAGTCCTTTTCTACCATTTAGACTTGGAGCTTTCGTACTGGAAGGGGATGCGCTTGTAGCACCTGATAGATGCTTCCGGCTTGGTGAGCATGAAGGAGCTTGATTCAGTGGTGGATTGAGTATTTCTGGATCAGGTAGAAGATAAGGACCCTCGTCGATCTTCTTTCCTAGTCTGAGACAATCGTCAAACCAGTGTGGCAGAACCATCTTTATGTTCAAATTCTTCTCTTGGATTGACTCGCATACGTCGTTTTCCATGTTCAAAGCAACCACGTGTGTAATTTGAGAGGTCAGCTTAAATGAGTAATTTCCGCCCATCGCCAGAATACCGCCGGCGATTGCATCTGCATCACCTTGAGGAAGTTCTACGCATGTTGCAACAACGTCGTTCATGAATAGATTTGGATCCGGGCTGTACTTCCGAGGATGAGCTAGCTTGCCAGTAGCTATGGACACGGTAACCCATGTGGGCTTCACAACATGTATGAAGCGATCCAGAGCACTGTAGTAGTCTGGAAAGTCAGTTGTCGCAGATATTATATGGGTGACATTGTCCAGATCTAGTCTATCGTCAGGGTAGTTGTCGAGATGGCATGTTCCTCCATGCAAATCAATTTGATCGCAAAGCTACACGTATCAGCATTGTCCATATACTCAAGTATATCCGCACCAACCTCCTTGATCATGGCATCGTTGAGCATGTCGCTTCTCACGATTGCGAAGCTGCATGTAGAAAAGGTACCTTCTTGTCGCGTATCTGGTTCTCCGGCCATGTTGAGCAGAGATCGACGTAGTACACCAGCGAACGTCTGTAAGAAGGTCATATAAACGGCATTTTGTGAATCGTTGTAGCAATTCGTGCCAGCAGTACATGCGACAATCATAGATTTCTGGGGAAGTTGCGAACACGAAACGCGTTCAAGACGCGCTTGCCACGTGGGGAAGCGAATGACATACAACGTTTGCCGTCAAAGTGCTTGTTTACAATGCAAGCAGCGGCAAAACATAATAAGCCTCAAGCACTCCTGCTCTGTGTACGTATAGTTGGCCAGCTTCATCTCCTCACACTAAGTCTTCACTATTCTCTGAGGTCAACGCAGCTACTACCTGGCTCAGTTGTACATGCGCCTGCAACTATATATTTATCTCATGTGTAAACGACGTAAACACGAACCTTGATATGTACGATCAACGAGATTCGGTGTCAGTCTCGCCAGTTCAGCATGGTGAAGGCAGAAGCATTCCTTGAGCGTCTGTATCTTCCCGATCATTCCACCATCTGAACCATTCTCGATATTTACGCGTGACCTTGAGAGACGCTACCTCTTTGTGCTGGAGAGAATTTTTCTCTTTTGTGGCTCGCTGCTGAGTATTACAAGTCATGAGGGATCGTACAGGTGGTCTGATAAGCTAATGTAAGATTCGCGAGCAGTGGCAAAGGTTGACTCATATGCATAATCATCACAGTAGTCCAGTCATCACAGTAGTCCTGAAAAAAGGGTCTCGAGGTCAGGCTGGAAAAACAACACGATCTGGTCTGACAAAGTGTGACAAGAACAATATGGTCTTCCTAACTAACCAGCTAGACATCTGTCTCCTTTAGAAGTAATAACTTAAAGTGAGAAGATAATAATTGCAAAGCACTAACTTCATGGAGTATCATAAGCTATAAACAACCAAATAGTCCAAAATATTTGGTCGATGACAATAGAAACAGTATCGGTAACCACCAATGCCCAATATTGGAATCTGTACAGATCACAAGAATCTCAAACAAAGTCTATCCCCGCTTGCTCGTGTATATATGCATCCCAAAGTAGATGTAACCAACACCTATATCAGGCTGAGATGCCATGATGATGAGCCCTTCCCTGACCTAGCCAGCCCTAGAGGGCGGCATATGCAAAACATAGGAGATGATGATGACATGATAAGATAGGCAATAAGGTGCCAATAGGTAGGCGGCATGCATTGCCGTCCCCAGCAGGACCGAAGAACGAGATGCTCTGAAACTCAATCTTGAGTGATTAGAGTGACAACGACATTTTTGGTGTTTCAAGCTGGTTAAGGTTGTTTTGAAGAACATTAACATTAGAAGTTAATCAAAGAGTCTGTTTTCGAATAGTCGTCAATTCGTGATAGATGAGGATTGGTAGCGAGGTGATATCATTTCCCGATCAACTGTTGATACGGCGTTGTCGGCATAATGTATTGGAGAGCGACGTCCGACAAATCTAGACCCGTACAATATCGGACTTTTGTGGTTCTGGGTCGGGTCGTATAATTGTCTCGACTGCCACATGCTGATGGAGCTGAAAGATCTTTGACACGTATGCCTCAGTTTGGGTCGCCTAATTCCACGTCTCCTTCCTGTGGATCCAACAACGTAGTTAGTTGCCCGATAACGGATGTCCGTACTCGTACTCGTGACGATGTAATCCCTGAATCAGGCGAGACTATTGTTGGTTCACCACTGCCCGAACCGCACGTTCGTAGGAGAGCGTGGAACATTGCTGCTCAGGTTTCCTGATTGGCAGCAGCATATGTGCGGAGCCGCATCCTTGAATCTTTGCCAGCAAGGCTGACCAAGTCGGAGCCGGCTCCGTCGGAAATGTTGTTGGAGATTCGTGTTGCCTTTTCTCGCTGTCAATCATTTTTCACACAGCACTGAGTGTTCGTAGCAAACTGACACCACCAGGTACACGACCAGTTTGCTTCGCGATATTGAGTCGTACTTGATCTGCTAGAGTTTCTGTCTCGACGAATCCCAGTAGCGAATCATCATAGAATTTGTGCAATGTACCACCTTCAGTCCATATCCTTCTGAGTGTTAACACTGTAGCCAAAGGTGAGTAGACCTGATATGCTTGCTTCTCCATCACCTTCAGCGTCTTAGCGTCAGTATATTGCGTGTTCCATTTCTGCCTCGTTTGTGTTTCGTGCTCTGCGAGGATTTCGTTCGGTGTGGCCGTGAAGCTGTGCACAATCAAGGTCTGATTGCGCGAAGTGATATAGTTAATGAGTGCTGCAACGACGAATTTGCCAACATCATTCATAGCCGTGAAGCTCACAGGCATGTTACCGTCGCCAAGCAGACATGCCTGACCAGCTTCCACGTCAAAGCCACCTGCTGTTGGTGCTTCTTTCATGGCTCCAAAATAGAGATCTGAGTATGGGCCAGTGACTACATAAGTGTGTTCCATACCCTTTGTCTGGGCGATATGTGCTCTTACTTTCAGCTTCATCTGATGTGGAGGTTCGTGTACGGAATTTGGGAAGTACTCGATATCTGTGCCGTACTCTGAAGCGAAGAAACGGTTAACACCAATTTCATCAGCCCAGGTTATTATCGGTATTTGCTTCTCGATGGCATGTCGACCGAGGCAAGACACTATTGTGTCGACTCCTGCACATCTTGTTAGTTCCTGCTCTGTCACTCGTTGACTTCCGTGCTCACCTCTGCATGCGTCCTTAAACCGCCTTTCGTCGTCCAAGCTACCCACAAAGATCTCTACACCCCATGATTCGAGAGCACAGATGTCTTGTACTTTTTCTACTATCGTCTTTTCAGAAGTGTATATTGATATCCTTCCGAAGTGACCCTGTGAGTTTGCATCCACGATGGCTCTGGTGATGTAAGTTCCTATTGTCCCCGTGGCACCCAGTATCATTATGTTGTGTGGTGCTTGATACGTTGGAGCAGAATATGAGCATTTCCTCGCATAATGGACATCGCTGTAGCTGTGACACTTGTACCCGTATGTCATGGTTGGGTCGAAAGACGGTTGGTATGTCTCGTAGGCCAACATCGTGAATCAAGTTGCCAGGTCGTTGAGGAGAATCAGGTGGCCGCAAGGTTGCAGACAGAGCTGAATGTCTAGCGAGCTATAGGTGTGGTGAACGTTTCGACAGCTTGACTACTAAGTTGAAGATGCAGGAGGTATGCAAGATTCAGCGCCCTGTCCAGGAAGTTATGATGATCGTCCTTCCCAACGTTGTCGATAAGAGCCGCCAGCAAGGAGAGATCGCGTGGACCTCGTGGAAGTGGACAGTGAGTTAGTGTTTCTGTGTACGTGAATTCGTGTGCGCCCTCTTCGCTTCTTTGGGATGTGTTATGGTCGTAGTCGTGGTCGAGGTGAAGGTCAAATCCAGTGTAAACCCAAACCGGTAGGATAGTGGAAAAAGAGGCGTCGGTCAATGGGTTATATGCCGAAATTGAGCTTTCGTTGTGATACGGAGTAAAATGGGCGAGGCCAACGACCAAAATTCACCAGGTTCAGGGTAAGTATACTGACTCCAATTATGGCTACCGATTGGTTGAGAGCGGAGGCTCTGTCAAGTCTGCAGCCCAGGAAAGCCGAGCAAAGCCTCTATGTCGGGTTGACGAAGCAAGTGGTACTTGAGGCCTTCTAGCTTCGTTGGCAGCAAAGCGAGTCTTGGAATAGGAAAAGTCCTGTTACTGTGTATTGGTTTGCACCTGCTTTGGTTCTCTATGCCAAATTGCAACGAGGGTCCACAGCAAGCCAGGCACGCTAGCAAACCTCAATCAAGACTCTGGTTATGATGATCGTTTGCCGTTTGAAGCGGAAGTTTAATCGGAAATCGATGATGAAGTATGGGGAAAGCAGTCGGATTTGTTCGCGGTGGCCAACAAACAGCTGCAGCACACACCGTCAACCACCCGGATAGCTTTTTGGGCAATATGCAAAGCAGATCACTGTAGTGTGCGGACGTTACAGATTGTTTCTGAGGCTCTTGTCGAGATGCTACCTCGTCGCTGTTAAGATTGCGCTGTCCTAGAAAGGAAAAGACGGAAGGCTTGGTTGGCTTAGCTTTCCAACCGCGACCATTGACCAGCGGCGTCAGTCTAATTATCTCTGCAATCTGCTACGGCCAATCTGCATCGGATCCTTCCAAAGGTAACGTCTCATTCTGGTACAGAACACCTTGGTTCGCGCCCTTGCTACAAGGAGAAGCCGCAGTGTGGGATAGCATTCTTTTTCGTCAGCCATGACTATGCCATGCAAAGCGAAGTTCCTTGTCGAAACCACTTGTTCCACGCTCTCACATGCCACAAACGTGTTTACTTTCGTCTATCATGACTCCATGGCTGCCCCCATACTATCAAGGGCTTGTCGGTTTTCGACCCAGGCTATGACCAAGTCCTGGGATCCCTTGGCCAGTCTGCTCCTACTCTAGCAAAAAATAGCAGCAAACACCGCAATCCGAGCTTGCGAACCGCAGCTACGAGGCCATGCACAAGTCCTGGGTTGCCTTGCCCCCAGATTGCTCAACACTGGTATGAATCCTGGGGGCGAGGCAGTTTTGTGTTCATCGCCCTGTACTGCGATGAGGGTAAGCAAGGCAGCACAAAAATGGTTACAAGAAGGATCGTTAACGAGCTATCAAGCTTCCGAAGCAGTATCTCGCGATTGGACAGCTATTTCCCTGTGCCTGCAGCAACCTGCCCAAATTCTTCCCAGCCACTCTTTTCTTAGATCATCAACGCATGAATTTAGAGCTTTTCTTCGAAGCGCTACTGCACCTTCCCACCACTCATCGCGCAGTCCGGTCTCAGCTTACATGGGGCCCTTGCACTTACGGGAGCTCACACAAGCCCATGACATCGAGCTGCTGTTTTCGTGCCTGCGGTTTTCCCAATCGAGTTGTTGTGTTACTGAAAAAGATTGCCCACCCATGCAGGAAAAAGCCCGCGCCTACGGATGTCTTCGTCATAGACGGCTCGTGTGCTCACGCAGATCTGCGTTTTCCGTCGAGCATATCTAACCACTCGCTGGCTATCTTCGTGTAATGTATTTCCATTCATCTCCTATTAACTGGTTATAGCAACTGTAAGGTCTATGATCGTGCAGTATGATGTACTGATATTGTTATGCCTTGTATGGTCACTGATTGAAGAAGCGAAACCCCGCGGCTTTCTGGTCTCAGAGCAAGTACCGTGCCATGTCAATGCTGTAAGCACGCAATGTTGGGCATGTGGAGTGACGTCCTATGTCTCAGATCTGTATCGTGAGAAAATACAACATATCGTAATCGCATTCCACGAACGTTTTACAGATCTCGGAAGCTCAGCGCTATCGATTACTTCATTAGAAGAATACCTCAATCTCTTGAATTCACAGCGACAAAAATACACAACGTTGTCGCCTGACACATTGAGTTAACGGTAGTACACAGCGCTCGAAGAAATGTGCGCGCCAAAGATCAGTCAATAGTCGCATGCTGTATCTGCGTTTGTGTATCCATGCAATGTACAGAAGACGCCAGAAAAGCTGTTTGTGTCGCTCCAGTATTGTCCAAAACCTGCCGCGTCCGAGGAAAAGGGCAGAGAATGCTTGGATTCGTAGCTTTCGCGCTGCGGACTAGAGTTTCCGGCACCAATGCACGATACACCACCAGGCAGCATGACTTCAAACTCTTTGACAAACCAGGGTAACAACTGCGACGATCTCATACCTGCTTTACAGTCATGTAATCGATACGTTGACTTTCGCTTCGGATCTTCTGGTGTAGCTGAAACTAAACCTACTGACCCCTCTTTTCTGAGGCACATTGATAACAAATTGTGGCTGGCTGTCCTTCAGGCAGGGAGGCTTTCGGTATGACGCCAATCGACGTCAAGCTAGATGCTCTTTGACGATGCTAGCCACATATCATTATAATGCCTTTGTGATCATTCGTTGTCGTGCTTGCCCTGGTATTGTCCTCCAACATAAACTTTTCACGACATCGAGTCCCTTTGCTGAGCGGCCCCGGCTTGTGATACCCTGCAGATGAAAGTATTGACCTCAGAAGTTAACAAGCGCAAACATACCGGTCCTGGCTCACGATAACGGATAAGCGAAGCAGGTGATGATGAACTCCAAGGCGTGGAAGCCTTGTCCGATCCACGGACGTTGATCGAGTACTCCAAAGGACGATAACCAGATCAGGACACTTTTCCGTGTTCAGAGGTTGCGGCCTTGATTTCAATCAGTGGTGATCAAATCGTGCATACAAGTAGATCGGAATCGTGTGCGGGTTTGCACCTCAACAAAAACCTTTCTAACGGCTGCAGCCTTGTCACATCCGCAGTTGCATCCCCAGATATCGAAGTTGGAGCTGATGATGATCTTCGCCGGATAATGAGTCAAGACGCAGATCGCAACCTTCCGCAGTATTTGCGCTCGTATTCCAGTGCGTTGCCGTTGGTGATCTTCATGAATCTGTTGTAGGTTGCTCAGCTGCAGGCTTGGTCTTTTTAGCGAGGACGTTCAGCGCACTTCCAGCCAATACAAATCCGCATTGATCCTTACTGAGAGTGTGTTCCACAGGAATTTCGACAACTTCACCACTTCTTTTGTGAACCAGTATCTTGATATGACCCTCTCCACCGTTTTGCAGCACGTCCCAAAGTCCGCTGGTCTCTATCTCATCATTGGCAGAGATCTTATCGTAGTCCTCTTTCTGCGTAAACGTCAAAGGTATCACACCTTGCTTTTTCAGGTTGGTCTGATGGATTCGTGCAAATGACTTGGCGAGGATAATACGACCACCCAGATAACGAGGTTGTAAAGCAGCATGCTCTCTTGCTGATCCTTCACCGTAGTTGTCCTCAGCTACCACAATCCACTGCTGCCCTTGTTGCTTCCATTTTTTGCCCAATTCAGGGATAGACATATTCGTCCCATCAGCATCGTAGGCCACATTGGTCTCACCTGTCTCCGCATTCACAGCACCAATCAAAGTGTTTTCAGAAATGTTAGGCAGGTGGCCTTTGTACTTCAGCCACGGCCCAGCTGCAGAGATGGTATCAGTTGTGCATTGCCCTTTGACTTTGTATAGCACCTTTAGCCCTTTCAACTCACCTTGGCCGTAGGGTGGGAAGGGATCCAACAAGGCTAACCGGTCTGATTGAGGATCGACAACGACCTGTACACTAGAGTCTGGTTCAGCCGAAGAGGGCAAGAAGGCCGGGTTGCCAATTGCGAAGCCGGAGCCAGGCAACCGGCTTCCGGTTGGGGGCTCAAACTTGAAGGTCTTGCCACCTGGCATAGGGATCGTGTCTGTCAGAGGATTGAATTCTGTAGATCCGGAATAGGCCATAGCAGTAACTATTTCTGGCGAAGCGAGGAAGGACATGGTCTTTCCATTACCGTCGTTCCGCCCAGGAAAGTTGCGGTTATAGGAGCAGAGGATGGCATTCTCTTGGCCCTTTTTGACTCCGTCTGTTCTCTTCCACTGACCGATACAAGGACCACAGGCATTGGCCAGGACAGTACCACCAGCCTTGGAAAATGTGTCCAATGTTGAGCTCTCTTCTAAGGTTGCTCGAATTTGTTCGGAGCCAGGAGTTATGAAGAAGTCAGCCTTGGGCCGTAGACCAGCTGCTTGTGCCTGTTTGACCAGATCCTCGGCTCTTGTCATGTCTTCGAAAGAACTATTGGTACAGCTGCCAATCAAGCCAGCACCAAACGTCTTGGGCCATCTGTTCACCTCCACGGCTTCTTTGAACTTTGACAGAGGTGTAGATAAATCGGGAGTGAAAGGACCATTAATGTGGGGTTCGAGGGTGGAAAGGTCAATTACGACCTGCTCGTCGTACTCACATCCTGAATCTGGGCGCAGAAAATTGTATGACTCGTTGCCATAGGCAATGCCCTTCACGGCGTCTATGATCGAGGATCGTCCGGTAGCCTTTAGGTAGGGAACATGGTTTTCAGCGAAAGGAAAGATACTTGTGGTGGCACCCACTTCAGCACTATCCAATTGTTAGCCTAGGAACTGAGACCCGAGAAAGTACATCCAGTGAGCAGTATGAGATTCAGCCATGTATCCACGACCCGTTCATTCGCGCATAGCATTTGGACATGAATCACATGCTGAAGGGGTCTTTGTGTGCAGAACGAAAACGAAATCAGATGTACATACCCCATGTTTGTGATGGTGGCCATACCGGTCGCACTGAGTGTGTCTACACCAGGCCCTGAGTACTCGATAATACTGCCAGTTCCGCCTCTTACTGTCAGCAGACCGGCAAGCCGTAGAATCACGTCTTTGGGACTAGCCCAGCCACTAAGCTTGCCCTCCAAACGCACGTTTAGGATTTTCGGTGCTTTGAGCTCCCAGGGTGCATCTACCAATGCGTCCACAGCATCGGCACCACCTACTCCAATGGCTATGGCTCCTAGACCGCCTGCATTTGGGGTGTGACTGTCAGTACCCAGCATCATCAGGCCAGGCGCCGAATAGTTCTCGAGAACAGTCTGGTGGATAATGCCAGCACCAGGGGGCCAGAACTCGATTCCATATCGTTTAGCTGCTGTTTCTAGGAAGTCATATACTTCTTTGTTTCCAGCTATGCTGTTGGGTAGGTCCGTGTCAGCACCTTTCTCGCCTACAATCATGTGGTCACAGTGTATGCTCGCAGGGACGGCTGTGGAGGGCAAGTCGCAGGTCATGAACTGAAGTATTGCCATTTGGGCTGAGGCATCCTGCATTGCAACGCGATCAGGTTTGAGCTTGAGATTAGCATTTCCGCGTATGTTTTTGCCGTTGTTTGTGTTCTCGAGCAAGCTCTCTTCGACATTGTCCAGATGTGCGTACAGGATCTTCTCAGCCAGAGTGAGCTTCCGCGATTCACCCAATACTGATCGCACATCTTCGAAACCTCGCAAGATCTTCTGATATGGTGGTATAGCGGCTCGTCTTCGTGCAGTGCCATGGCCCGTGTTCGCATGCTGAGCATACTGTCGACGACTACCCAAATCGAGTGGACATCGTACCCTTTGCGCGGTCGCGCGCAGTAAGGGTGTTCGTGGCTGCATCGTCAAGTCACCTGGCCAAATGCATGAAACGACAGGAGCAAGAGCCACAAAAGCTGATAAAAACGAGCAGTCACTTGGTGGTCTGAAAGGTCACCCCATACTTCAGGTTGTGCAAAATAATTTCACTCCGCAATCGCAGCAATTGCATTCTAGACCACTCTCATTGGCTCGAGGCTAAGCTACCGAGGTACCCCTGCCTATCACAGCGCTAGTACAGCAGAAGCTAAAACACCCTGAAAGACGTTTGTGGTTCGAGAAACAGCATATAGTTTACTCAATATTGAGAGCTGGTTCACGTACGGTGGATTATATTCCTCCTATCGACACAACAATCGCGATGTGTAAGCCGGTCACGATAGCTCCTTGTCCACCATGTAAAGCAGATACTTAAGAGCCCCATTCAATCGTCGTCTTGTGCTTCCTCAGCTTCTGTCCTCAGATCATATGCCATATCATAACATTCGGCCAGTAGGTCATTAACCGCGCCTTGACCTTCTGGAATATCTTTTCCAATCTGAAACTTTCCATCGACCCGCATATTATCGATCGAGTTCAACTTCATACTGTATGGGTAGAGTTCGCGAGGATTTGAAACACCACCGTTCTTCTTGACTTCTATCAGGCATTTTCGGAGAGTCAGCAGTTGGTTGTAAATGGGTAATAATGCTTCGGACACAGGCTCGGAAGCAATGAGGAGCTGGTAGATGAGGGCATAACCTTTGCGGATCAGGTATAGTAGAGTCTAGACAGGTTAGTATTGGTCTGGGACATTACGTCGAAGCACTTACCCTCTGCGCATGCAAATCGGCGGGATGTCCCTCGGCGTCGAAGAAATTGCCATCTCGCCTCGAATCATCAATGCGATCGAGCTTTCGCTGCCACATAAAAAGATCCGTTTCTCGCAAAGACCAAGCTTGTGTCATCGTCAGCCTTTCCAGATGATTTCGGATATCGATAAGTTTGTCGTATGTCTCCTGGAATCGAGGATCAATCTTTCCTTCTCTGGCACGGAGTTAGTGTCAATCGTTCTCACAGAGGAAATTAGACGACACTTACCTTTCCTCGACCATTTGAATGAACCTGAGACATCTTTCCAGGAGCGGTACAACCAAATTTTGACCGTCTGCAAACTGTCCCTCTTCTCCTGGGAGCTTCCCGTCCTGCATATGGCTCTTGATTTCCAGCAGCTGGTTTCTCAACTCGTCCAGGTCGTTCTGTACATACTTGCTCCTTGTGTTCAAAGCAGCTATCGCTCTCAAAATGCTAACAAGCTTCTCCCATGTCGGAACCATGGGTGGGCTCAGTGTACTCAGGAAATCTCGCAGCTCTTTCAACATCGTCTCACACAACTCGATACGATACGTTATTCTCGTCAACAGGTATGGGCTGTGTTTGTCTGCATCTTTATTCAGTGTCCGTCGCATATTGCTAAGTGTGTTGTCTAGACTGTCCAGGTCTCTTGGGTAGTAAAAAGCAGCCTCTTTCAAGTGGTCGCATAATCTGGTGATGTTCGAGGTCATACTGTACAATGCTGGTGCTTCGTTGTTGCGACCGATCGCCATGAAGAAGAGTGAAAGTAATTGTAGACAGTCATCGAGGACAGAATCGACTCTGTTCTGAACCAGATGGTCCGGACCTCGAACATCGTTGAGCTGATGTACTTGCTCGACCACCTCATCGTAAAGTGGTAGTATGTCCTGCGATTTCACGTAGGTCGATTTGTCGGATTTCAAGAGGGTAAGCTTGTCGCGAACGAGGACCAATTTATCGAGAATGGGTTTCTCTGCCGCCGGTACAGGCGCTGAGTACATGGGAGAATCGGCCATGGTGAATTTGTATTTGGTGCTTGATAGAAGGTACGTATGTTTCGATCAGGATAGTCGTTTTTATGTGACAATGGCGTTTGTGAACACAGGCAGGTTCGGAGGGCAAACGGATTCGTTTTTTGTTGATCTTGCGATCTCCTCAATCATTTATCTTATTAAGCATGGGGCGATTTAGCCACGATACACCTTATCTTGCTCTATCCGGCCGAAACCGATCGAACGAGGTTTATAAATGTGCGCCTCCTCTACCTTGAGGTTTGTCGGATGGTGGTGATTTGAATGTCCGTCTGCTCGTGGTTGATTTATGCGATCAAACATAGCACGAGACTTTGTCCAAGGCTATTCGTCACATCGCAGTCTGGAGCGAACCCATTCCTCAGGCTCTGGAGGGAAATTGGTGGGCACAACGCGGGGTACCCTGCTTGCCTGGTGAGAAATGACGTTCACCCTCTGCAAGGGGCCGTTGTCGCTAAAGAAACGTGGTCGGCAATTCTTGTCTACTACTTCAGCCCTATTCATCAACCTTGCTGGCTTGTATATCAGACTCAGAGTATCGTGATGACACAGCATGAAAAGTCGTGGTAATTCTCGCTGAAAATTCACTATGAGAGCATAGCGTCGAAGATACCAAGCACACTCCTGCATCAGTTCAAATACTACCGAAGTCCTTAACTGCATATTCCAAGCTTCGCACAATCTCTTCTAGCAGCATACATCATGATCGCAAAGCTCTGCCCTTCACTTGTCGCGTTAACAGGATACCTCGATGGCACGTCTCTCATTGTTGCAACAGATCTCAACAGCCCGTCGGCACTGATGTGCTTCGCAACAACATCATACAGCTGATCCGCCCACGACAACATGCCCGGGTCGTTCAATGCACCCAACTGTGCTAGACGATAAACAGAACTGGCCACCAATGTGCTCCCCGCAGCATCCTCGAACGCCCATTGTTCAGCTTCCGAGCCAGGCGTATTGAGGTAGTTCTTCAACAGGGCTGACGTATCCAGGTTTTGTGACACTAGACTCGATAGCATTTCATTAACCGTTCCCTTCAGCAGTTCCGTCGAAGCTCTCCATTTATCAGACTTTATCTGCGAGTTTAAAGTCTTTGCAGTCGATCTTGGTGCCTCCCACCGTTCTATCACGCCAAGGACTCTGATAATCCCAGCGAGAGCCCATGCATTTCCCGTCAGCCAGAACGCCTCATCATGGCAACACTCACCCTGACCAACATTTCTTGGCTGACTTACTATATGTCTCCAGAGTCCTTTCCTGCTTGTTACAGCGGAATTATGAGTGGAGTTTATTGGAAAGCTGGTGTTGTCCAGGTCTTTACACTCAAAATGCCTATCATCCAATACTGCCTTGTAAGCTCTGATCTGTTCAACTGCTTCTCGCAACCACCGCTCATCCTGTCTCGCCACAGCATACACTGCAAGGAATGGCGGCACCATGAACACAAAGTCGGCCCACAACTGCACTGAATCAGTACGATGACTGATCGCCCAGTTCTTGCCTGTAGACTGCCCAATCCGTCTCAGGGGCTGGTCTTTCTCCAAACTTTTACTGCCTACATCGAGACTTCCACCAGCAACAGCATTATCCTTCAAGATAAACTTCGCGTTATCCTCAACCAGATACCTCACCATCTCATCCGCCGCCTCTCCATACGCATTCCTCCCCACCCCAACTGGATTACTTACATCAATAGCCCCAGCCCGCTCCAAAAGCAGCGTCGCCCATCCCAAACTCGCCGCATCGGCAGCATCCTCACTCTCAATAAGCCACTGTTTTCTTCCCTCCTTCCCCCACCCATCTCCTCCCACACTCGACATCCGCCTCCCATTCCCCGTAGTCCTAACCTTACTCGCCGCATACCTCAACCCCTTCACCCTAGTCCACTCATCATACCTCCCCCACCCTCCACCGCTCCCACCACCACCGCACCTCGGCAACATCCCCCCAGGAAACGCCTCAAGCCCCCTCACCCGACCTCCTTCGCCACGAAACGGATTCCTCAAATCCACACCATACCCCGGCCCAGCAAAGACCGTCAATTCCGGGTTCTGCAGCTCGAGGAGGGCGTGGGTGAGCACGCCGTGTTCCCGGGGGTGTTTGGCGAGGGCGAGGTTTTGTTTGAGGACTTTGCTGATGGGGATGGGGGAGGGGGAAAAGGTGGGTTTGAGGCTGGTGTTGGCGCAGGAGAAGGAGGGGTGGAATAGAGCGATGAGGATGGCGAGGAGCGCGACGAGGAGGGAGCTGATTGTTAGGGCGTGGAAGGAGAGGCGGGATATGGATTGGCCAGTGTTGCGTTCTGTGGGGATTGGATCGTCGTTGTCGTTGTTGTTCTGGTCATGACCGGTGGTTGGTCGTGATGAGGGCGGCATCGCGCAGAGTAGATAAACACGTAACCTCTCAGACTGCTTGTGTGGAAAGGTACTTCTTATAGGTCGAGTGTCTCTGACTTGATATCAATTGGTAACCACGTACTCGCCAGTATCCAGCCAGCCTAGGCACTGAGAGGGCACAAGATGATCCTTCCTGCTCAAGAAACCTTTATTATAAACTTCATCACATTCACACTGCCCAGGCACGTCGATTCGCTGCTCTATCGTGGCTGTATGATACTCACAAACCCTCTCAGCCACAAATAGACTCACCTCGTGTTCTTTGCTGAGAAAGTCGTGTCAAGAACCGCACCTAACCTATGGTGAAAGCGCTGTAATCAGTCTTGCTAGAAATTGTTCCGCAGTCGAGAGGCTACACCATTGTCCCATTCGTTATCCCGGCTGCGTATGGATGCCAGTATAGAGCCCGGTCATGAAGTCGTATCGAACACTGTGTAGTCTTGCAAGACGTGTTTATGTAGACTGTGATGAGTACTGATATCTTCATGTATGATGCGAAAAGTGTTGGGTTTTGTGGTTGCTTTGCATTTTTATTTCGGTTGTCTCAACCCAGATCCGAAAGACCACAGAAGAACGACTTTTGAAATTGAGGAAGCATTTGAACAGATATCTGTTCCAGGTCTCACTATTTGACCATAGCTCGTGATCGCATAGAATCGAGCTACTGTTTACACTAAATAGGTCGTCGGAAGAACTCTTCACGCATCATTGAACGCCTCATAGGATGTTCGCCAGAGCACCCACAGCATGATGTGAAGCTTTTTTGTATCTTCTTGGTTACGATTTCTCGGTCTCACTGTGATTGGTGAGCTTACAATAATCAGATATCCTGCACACGCCAGCGATCCCAGTCAGTCTGTCCATGATCGTTTTGCCCACACTGAACGGCCCTCATTCGAACCGAAACACGTCCTCCGTTCTATTTTAGAGTAGCACCGCCAGAAACCCCAAATCGTTCAATACCGTATGCTCCCAGAAGCGCCTGCCTGTAAGTCGTGTTCACTCGATGACCAAGTAGTCAAGCAGGTTCTCTTTGCGTTGCCACCACAGGTCGACCATTCAACCTAAATGCCAAACACCCTTCGCAGCACTTGCTGAGGTGTCCAGTTTCATTATACCAACTTAAATTTTTGTTGGCCCTTCTCTTTGCTTTGTGTTTTGCTTGGTCCTAATACGTGTTTATGCAGCGTTGCCAGGTTTCTCTTCCGTATCGATGTGCTGATGCGACGTTAGATATATCATTTCCAGTACGAACGATAGACCTACCCAGACGACATAGTTTGGTAGACCCACGACTTGATATCCTGCTCTTTTGGCCATCTTCGCAAAGCCTTCTGTCTCTGCCTGATTTTCGAAAGCATAGCACGGGAAATTGATTCCTAGCGACGTTAGTACAATGGTTGCACCTGAAAAGCAAACTCATTACCTGATCGATGAACATCGGCCTTGACTAGAATGTTAACACCACCAATACCGTCAAGGTTAAGCTCTTCGTCCTTGTTGTTTCTCCAGTCACCTTTTCGAGCCATGTAGTCCCTGCCGGTGTCGTATTCTTTGTATCCTTCCGCAAGGACTACGTCTCTGTCCAGGGAGGCTGTCAGCCTGCGACCTTTATCTGACTCGACCCAGGAATTGTAATCGAAGCGGCCTTCAATGTCGACGCCGTCACGGTATCTATGGAACCAGATATCTTTCATATCGTTAGTCAATTCCTTTTATTTTTCCCCGAATTACTTACTCGGCACGAGGATATCCTTATCATGTGCTACAAAATCCTCGATGATCTTCTTAGGGCTGTCCACTATGTCGACATCTCGCCAGTAGACCCAAGAATGCTCAGGTTTGAGAGAAGCGGATAAAAGATAGTTCCTTGCCTTGCCCATGAGCTTTCTTCGTGGACCTTGTGCCTTGAAACCATGTCGAGATTCCACATCTTGCGAGAAACCACCATCTCCAAAGTTCTTCTCTACTATAGTAGCGCTGTGGAAGGGGACATTGGAATCTGGATGCTGCTGTATCCTGTTGAGTTCAGAGGCAAGTACAGCAAGAGTATCATCGGTCGAGTCGCCGACCAGGAATGCGAGGTCGATCAGATCGTGAGGGTAGGTCAAATCGGTAAGCAGATCGAAATACTTCACAAGGTAGGGAGCAGCGTCTCGAAGGGGAGTCAGGATTAAAACCCTTTCCTGATTGCTGAGGGCGCGTGAAGTAGAATAGACTGAGTTGAGATCAACTCGTTGGATAGTTGTGGAGTTGACCTCGTATGCTTCATGGTGATTGAAAAGCACAGGCGTCTGTAGGTGCTGATTCCATCGCACAAATTCATTACTCGACATGTCCAGTGGTGACTTTGTAGGACCCCAACATATCCGTCTGCGCGTATCAGTATATAGGATTCATGGATGCACTAGTCGTGCTTACTTAGACATTGATTCTGTGCCAAAGCTAATACCTCTCCATAATAACACAATCAGTGCTGTCAATACAATCGTAGCTAGTACTCTTGTTCGCATGATAAAGGCAAGTAGCGCTCGCCATGGTGGTAAACGAGCCTTTGCCGACTTCCAATTTACTCCTCCTTTTGGTAGCAGCATCTTGTCGCGTCCTATTGAGAACGGCGGGAGACTATCGCTCTGGGGAACGCTCTAGGTGCGCACGATCTCAGAGGCAAGATCGATGAGGATAACGAGCGTGAGGGCCGTCCGGCCAGAGATGTGGTTGTTTCGTCGCGGTCGGAGGTGTTGCAGTCAAAAGAATAAGAGGGATTTCTATTGAGAATGACGCAGATAGGAACCTCAATACGTTGGGGTATGCTGTGAGGACTTCGATTTCATATCTCGTGGAAAATAAAACACGGCTCGACGTCGCTGATTATTCTTTTGTCGGCCCAACAAGACTTCTGGTAAGCACGATGTTGATGGCTGACGGTTGATGGATCCTTCCACGACTGAAAGGAAATCTGCCGAAGCGATTCTGGACAGCTGAGGCCTTGGCAGGAGGCCAGATACGAAGCTTAGCGAGCGCAGGCGCGACAAAATGAAAGAGGCGTTGGTGGAAGCTGTTGAACTAAACTTTGCCCAAGCAAGCTAATAATGGAGCTTATCGGACCCTTTGACCTGCCTGGAGCGGAACGTCTTGGGCTTTTATTGAGTTTATCGGCTGGTGCTTGTTACACCATGCCACGAGGCAGGTTAGGTGGATCAATTCACAACCCTTTTTTAGCTTCCGTCCTATGTGAAACCTGACTTCAAATATCCCAACGACCAATTCTCCTCTACCTGTACCACAGTACGTGCGCAGCGAACCATGGCGTGTCCATACAACCATTCTGTATACAGCATATCAAGGATTAGAAGAACGACTTATGTGGATGACAAGTCTATAAAACTTCATTATACTATGACCCGAAAACATGTCTCTCATCGTCGCAATATCTCATCAGCCAGTAATACATTTTGTGCATAGTCTATTTTGTCCAATTTGACGACATGGTTCATGGAGTGCTAATCGCAACTCGTGTTGATACAGTCTGTACAGTGTCCCCCCAAAAGACAAATCTTTCACACACGCCTTCTAATATAACACGCCATAACCATCAACAAGCGACGCCACGCAAGCACTTGCAGGCGAGAGTATAGGGGATTCTGGTCTCTGAAGACGATATTTGCTCAAGAACAGGATGAGAACGACGACATCACGCGATCGTCGAGGTCTGGACTCGGTGATAGAGGCAGGCGCGATGAGAACTGGTGTTTGGGAGCTCCAAGCAGATGAGGAAACCGTTGTGGTTGCTTCTGTGTCCCATTGTCATGCCTCTTCGGCGACGTTGAAGAGCAACTTGCGTCGTCGATGTCGAAAGCCTTCCTCTTTCGTGTCACCCCTCGAGGCTGTTGCAGAGTAGGAGGTAACGAGATGATTGAGCTTGGGCGGCTGTATAACCCATCTATCAAGTTGGCCCGTGCCTGCATCAGCTCCGACTTACGGCGAACCTCATTCTCCAGCTGCGTTTGAACTTGTTGCGCTGATGCCAGCTCGTTCTCGAGCTCGTTGTGTGCTTCGAGGAGACGGAAGATGACAATGTTGGACAAGTGCGGCAGAAACGCCGCTGCCATAAGCTGCTTATCCTTACCAGTTTTGTTGCTCTTTGCACCTTGTCCCGAACTAGGGTTCGGCTTCGGCATCAAAGCTATCTCGTTTTTTATCTCAGGCAGTTTGCGCTCGGATAGTTCCACGACAGCGTCTCCAGTGCATTCGTCCACTTCCTTGGAAAGAACCCTATGTCGATCTCGCCGTTCTTTTTCCTGAGTCTTGTGGTCATGGGGCTTTGTGTTGCTTCTGGTGTACACATCGTCATTGCCATCATCAATATCGTGGCCGCCTTTCTTGGCCCGTGTCGACACATGGTCTTCGCCATACTGTGGCCGGTCTCCACGCTTGTAAAGGACATGTAGCAATTGCCCTATGTCAAGGCCTCCATACTCATCAACAGCATGCTTGAAAAGCCAATTGTCAGGGTCGAACCAACCTCCCGCGGCGGTCGAAGCATAATCGGGCACGGTGAAGGAGTGGTAGCTGTTCTCTGCGGCAACTGCAACCTCTTGAGTAGCAGTTCTTTTCGACGAAATTCTATTGCTGACATATGGCTCATTCCATGTCGGTGGCATGGGGCTGTGGATACTGGCAGGTGGTGAAAGTAGGGCTGACTGAGATGGCTGAGAGTCCTTGGATCTAGTGACAAAGTTTGCGAAGGTATCGACCTTCAGAGGCTCTCTACTGTGAGCCGCAACATTTCCAGACATTGGTAGACCCAAGCCCTTCAGAGGAGGAAGTTTGACCCAGTTGGATGGTGGAAACATGGCTGCGTGGCTGTCTTCGATCTTTGAGCTCAGGTGAGTCTGGTCACACAGTCTTGTGGATGTTCAAGCTCACTCAATCGATATAGAGGATCAACAGACACAGAACCTGCACAATGTGCTAGGATACCTCCCTCGGACGCCTGCAAAGCAGATCTCTCGATCTTGGAGTAAGCAATGATTTTTGGAATTGGGCTGAAAGAGCAGCAAGTGATCAGGCCACACCGACTATCAGAAGCATGAAAAGCACAGATGAACAGACGGGGTGAATGTATCGAGCAGGATTGATCGAGGACCGACATATATGGGATCTTCTTTGCACGCATTCACACAGAATCCTTTTCCCCTGCTTGCGCTTCGCATGAACGAACATGTCCCCAACAACATCTGCTGCAAAGGTACCATCTCAACCCACATTCATGCGTTCAAAAAGCCATGCTTGGCATAAACCAGTTCACCACCCCTGCTTATTACGTCGAACTCGATGAAAACGGGTTGCTGTCCAGCTCGAATGCAGGATAGACCAGCCACCTACCATCCCGCTGGGTTGATAGTCCGATGCAACGACGTCTAGCAAAACAATGTTCGTCCGAACCCATGACAAGCGAGCTGTCCTGCAACAGATGTTTGCCTCAGCCATCGCGATTCAGCAGCAGCGGAACCTGCCTACACAAGTCTCCTTGCTCCAATACTCTGCGCCCTTCCTTGGCCATACGAAAACTTCTATGCGAGTTCGAGATCTAGCCAACAGCAAATTGCTAGGCTGTTAGCAGTTTGAACGCAAGGTCAGGAACCAACGCACGTCATTCGCTTCGTGCCAACACGAATTCGTTCGCGGTGGAGTAAGTCGCCGAGTCTCGTCTCGTATGTGCGAGATCGATGCAAACGTACAGGAGTCGGCCTTGTTCGCACTAGTGGAGATGGGAGATCACGCAAGGGACATGGAAGCCCGCAGCTGTCTCTCAGCTTTTGTTGTAGTATGACAAGCTCTATATCGAAGACGTTGTTCCGTGTTCGTCAGTAGCGTGCTGTGAGTGTATAGAGTATCAGGCCTTCAAACAAATGACTCGCTTTCCCTCCTGGAGCAGGCCGTATCATCCTGCTGTCACGGGCGAGGGATAACAGAACACGCTAGAGCGTTCAGGTCTGCTGTGCTAGAACCTGAGACTCAGATCGCCCTGCCATAATCCGAACTCCGGGGTCGTTTAAGTCTGCAGCAGCCAAGCGTATAGACTGGTCCATGGTTCTTCGATTACCGCAAGCACATGGACCCGTTTCCTACTCGTTTCGAGTACGGAGCATAGGTCGATGGAGTCACATAAGATTCGATTTGACCGCTAACACCCACTAATGCATGTATTGCATCAGCTCCAGATCTAGTCAGTACGTCGACACTAAATCACACTGCTGCTACAGCTAACGTTCTGCTCGATAGCCCTCGCTTGCTAATGTTGTAGGCTAAAGACTTGTTAAGATGTTCAGCAGGGGCGACCGTGCATCTTTAGTGTTCCAGCTTGACTGACAAAGATCGTACTGTCCTGCAGCACGCTTACGATGCAAGCCGAACCATATACATCGCATCAGACTAGCTGAGAATTCTCAAACAGCCTTGGGGCTGAATTGACATAGACGGAGAGCACAACCGGTCGGAGGTTAGCTGTAGATAGAGGCAAGGCCTACCTCACAGCTCAGGAAGCGCCGCGAGTGGCACGCATGCTGTCGTGGATCGTAGTTATGCAGCAAAGTTGTGATGTTGTTTGGTACTAATGTGAGTAGTATGCAAGTCGTTACGCTTGTGGAAGCGAGGATGACAGGACGTGTAACAACTGGCTGGACCTGCTTAGCAACACGCTGGACAGGTCCCAGGGTGAAGTCGGCAGCTGCAGCCCTCGCGAATCGTATCGACAAGCGGGTTGTTCTTGGTTCCACCTTCAGATCTGTATGACGGTCGGCACCGGTACCATTTCGTCGACGCCGCAAGATTAGCTGCCGCTTGTTCCCTTGCTCTGCCGGACTGTAGCTTATTCTCGTTGTAAGAACTAATGTCGTACAACCTAAAGAGCACACAGGCACAGTCACGAGTTCGGGGAAAGAATGACTGGGGCACGCAAATCATCAACAGTACGAGGGACCTACGTCGCGCGGGAGAAGAACCTCACCCATGGACGACAGCAAACTAAAAGACTAGCTTTGGAAAGCACATATGCATCTGTTATGCGTATTCACAACCAATCCATCTCAGCATGCATTGACTGCGAGGACATCAGATTTTCTCAACAATAAAGCCTTGATCATGCTAATTACATGCCGCAAATTCCTTGCTTTTGACCCACTGTGCTCATGCTCAAGGGCAGATTACCAGTTTTCAACTTTACTAGAGTGTTCGCTCAAGTGCTCAGGAATGCCGACATGTTTTACCAACAATGGTGATTGATTAGTTGTAGTCTATGACCGAAAGGGAGTGAACGCCAAACCCGCCAAAATCCGAGTCTTCAAATGAAGAGAAGAGCAGCGACAAAGGCAGCAAAGCCGGTCAGAGGTGCACTTGGATCAAAGTTGAGGTTGGCCACAGCAGCTCCCGAGCTTCTTGAGCTGCCACTGCCACTGCGAGTGCCTGTACCATTGTTGGCAGTGTTGGTCGAGCCAGTCTCGCAGGTGACCTGACCCTTGATAGCTTGTCCAGTCTTAGCCCGGTTGAATAGATCGCAGATAGTTCCGTTCGTGCTTGAAGTATAGACTGTGGCAGCACCTTTCACATCAGTCAAGGATGGGAAAGCAACGTTCTCGAAGGTACCGTAGAAGTTGATGTCACCGTTGATGGTGGAAAGAGCTGGGAAGCTGCCGGCGATTTGCGTCAACTCAGAGTTGTTGGCAAGCAGAAGACCACCACCAATGAGCTCGAGAGATGGGAAGGAGAGGTTGCTGAGCATAGGGCTGTCCACGAAAGCGATTGTGTTACCCGTCGCGGTCAAGTTGGGTGCGGCAAAGCTCTCGAAGGGGTTTGAATAGAAGCCAATAGAACCTGGAACGTTGGCGAGCGATGGCATTGAGATGCTGGAGACATTTCGGAATGTCAGGTTGCCAGCAGCCTCGAGGTTGGGGAACTCGATTGCCAGGTTCATGCCGTTGGCGGAGAATGACAGGGCCTGGGTAACGTTGGTCAGCGAATTGACGTTGATCGTCCTGAGATATTGGTTGTTATTGATGTCCATAGCTCCAACAGCGGTCAGCTCAATACCCCTCAGGTCAGTCAGACCTGTATTGGAGATGTAAACATTATTGGCAGCGTTGATACCGGCACCAAAGTTCAGAGACTGCAGACCCGGGAGAGCAATCCAGCGGACGCGATTCACCCGGCTTATTGACGGCAATCGTAGAGAGCTCAGAATCTGCAGTTCTTCCAAGTCAAATGTACCTCCAATGCTCGACAGTCGGTCTGCCGACAAAGCTGTAAGCTGGCTGGCGTTTGTGCATCTTAGATCTCCGGTGATGCTGCTAACACCATTGAGCTGAACCTGACCAGAAACCTCACTAGCAATAATGATATCGCCATCATACGTCTGGCAGCTTGCAAGTTGTGATGCATCTTCTGATGCACTGATTGTGAATGAAGGACCGTCGCATTGTGCTAGGTATGGTATCAGTTATTGTCCTTACTTTTTCATGTTTGTGTTGCCACGTACCGAGAGCAGTGCCAGCAAGGGCAAGCGCAGGAAGGATGAATTTGGCCATTGTGAATGCTTTTATGAGTAGCAGACTATAGTCTGTGTTCAAATTGTTAGTTTTGTGATATAGTGTGTATGTAGTCTGAAGTTTTGGATGGGAAGGATCAGAATTTTCTGTTGAGATGGGGCTGGTATGCAGACAAGACTCACCTGATATGCTGTATTAAAAGTTGAGACTGTCGTCACACGAGAATACCTGTCACTGACTATTACGCAGACTGATAGAGCAGACGCGTGGGAGTGAACGTGAAAAGGATTATTGGTTCTGTTGACCAGAGATGGAAAGAAGAACAGAAGCTTCGAACGAGTGGAAGCGTGTTGAGAAGCTGCCAGAGATCAACCTGACAGGCAAGCACGACCTATTGTTCACTTCAAAGAAGTGATGTTGTCTGAGGTAGGTGCGACGTTAACCGTAGAATGGGAGAATAGAAAGGACAACGACTACTGAAGCAGTAAATCACAGCAGCCCAAGAAAATGGCGTGAAGAGTGTGAGCGAGGAGAACAACGAGAGATTCAACCAGGCAACATTCGCTGATAGGTAAGGAGTAGCGCGTAATGTTAGCATCCACACCAGCGACGGCTGGCTTGCGTATGCTTGCCGCAGTGGATTTTCCCAACCTGTCCAGGTCTTTCCATAGGGGATGGGAAAACAAGCTGGAGCCCGCACGAGCCGGTTTACGCAAGATAGGCCTAGTCGGTGTCACGACCTGATGCTTGGCTTTCACCTACTGCTGTGAGACGCTCCATTATCGGACATCAGTGGATCTGCGATGGAGACCTGTATCAAAGCAAAGGCTGTATCACGATTACGAGTCACCAATCATATCATATCGCTATCATTTCAGCCACACCTGGAAGTCTTGCTCACGAGATTCTAGACGATCAAGACGCAAATGTTTATGCAATCGACAGCAGTCATGGCGGGTTTTTGCGGCTGTTTTAGGTGTGTGATGTCTGGAGGAGATCTCAGGCAAAATTGAAATTTGATTCTTGGAAGTCATCTCCTGGGAGACCTCGCCGCACAAGCCGCTGATCACCACATGCATGTGATGACGATCACCAAATGTACAGTATGAGTACAGTACGTTGCATGAATTTGCGAATAATTCACTTGTTGTTCTTGTGTTGATCAATTATGCAAGCATATTTTGCCATCCTGCTAGCTTGCCGCTGTGTATCCGTCTGAGAGAGAAACGACATGCAGGTCTCATTTGGCAAAGTCTTGTCTTGTTACATTTTATTGGCTAACATATCCGCACGCCACGATCATTGATCGCAGTATTTTTCGTGGTGATACATGAAATGTGCATTGAGGCAATACAGGAAGTTCCACGCTTGCCTTGTGTTGTGTGAGCGCGTGGTCTGGTTGTGTACGAGTAACCGTGCTACTTTTCATAAGCCTTGTGTAGCCATGGAAGTACTTACTAACGGCTAAATTTGTAGTCGATATTCTCTCAACCACGGACTCGTTCGCTGTCCAGACGCGGATTCGTCATGGATAACAACCTGTATTTTGCCATTGAAGAGGTTATCTCGCTTCGAAGTCGTTCATGGTTGGTTTTCAAGTGGACTCGCCTGGCACGCACTAGTGATGGCAAACTATCTAGTGGCATAGCATTGATCTTGCTTCCCTGCTGGTGGAGGTCAACAAACAAGCAATGGCAAGTCATAAGTTATCGTTGTAAACACAGAATGCAGGTATGGTGATCACTGTTTGGCACTTGAGATATACATGTCTCTTTTGTTGCAAGCAGTGTATTGTGATAGCACATACTATGTGTTTGAACTCGATTCTGCTACCATAAGAGCTTGTCTGCCACTTCGGGTGGTAGGAATTCGTGCTCGCTGTCGAAACTTAGATGCGTGCTGCAATGAGCTCCAACCTCACCGCTCATCATCCTCGACGGTGACCGAGTCGAGATATCACATCTTCTCAGAAAAAATCGTCACATCGCTATTAGGGAAGTAACGAAAGTGATTGAAGAAGACGAGTCAGAGATTGAAGCTTGTCTAGTGCGGCCTTGTAGGTCAGCTCATTGGCCACTCTCCTGAGTCTAAGTCTCTATTTATCTTACTAGCACGCCCGAAGCACTACAGAGGTCTTTACAAATTGCGGTTCGGCTCTTTCCTGGTTGTTCACTGCCCGCAGAACCCCATCTGCCTTCTCTTAATACAGCCATACACGTTGTATATACTTCAAGTTACACACAAGGTTTTGAGGCAACGAGCCTGTCTACTTTGGTTATTTAGCCGCTGTCCTACAGTACAACCGGTGAAGTAGCTGTTTCACCGACTTACAAATACAACCATGATCCATCAAACAGTCTGGGATGGCTACTCAACAGCGACGGGTGAGAGGTGCTAGTCTGTCCAGCTTTCATCCATCAGCATGGGTCGATCTACCATACTTACAAAATGTCTTTCTTGATTCAAAAACTTCTTCGTGCAGTATCACAGACATTGAGTATTCTGGTCAATGGAAAACTGTATTAGAAGCGCGACACGTGAACCTGAACTTTCGAAGTAATGGTCATAGTTGTCGTCGCTACGTTGAGTCATTTGGAAACCCCGAACACGAGTTGTGCAGTGCAAGGCTCATAATTGTCCAAGACATCTGCCGCGAGCTCATCAATTGTCTCGTAGAAGCTTACAATATCAGCCCGGAGATGTTTGAACAGCATATTTCGGGTGCAGACTGGGCACACAAGACTCACCACAAGCCTTTCGACAGATATGAGGGGGTGCTGCGCTATTCTTTCGAAAAATCGAGTGGTCAGCTGACGGGAACAGGCTGCTTTTCATGATGACCCTTCCTTGTGGTACACTCGACGGCTGGAAAAGGACTACGTTTCTATCAGGTGGTTGCGTCCAATACGTGTCGACACCAGATGGGACGAGGTTGAGCTTAACGGCAGAACTGTGAGCTTGTTTGCTCAAGGACGTACTGAGGAAGAAGACGACAGGTCGTTCAAGTACGAACTTGCTTCGAACACCTGGCGCCAACAGTTGGATATGCGAGATGATGCAGAATGGCCAGGTGAGTCTAGTACATCACGAGCCTTGCATCACGGCGATGTGCTCGCTGACGAAGAGCGTGCCACAATTTGGCAAGGCCACATCAATGGTGTTCAGATTGGTATGTCTTTCAGATTATCGATCGTCGGCAGTACTGATCCGTTAATATAGTCATCCTGCTTATCGACCCTAGCATTATTGGTGCTCTGCAAAGTCAACAAAACAATGAGCAAATTGAATTAGACCGTACCGAACCAACGTATCACATGGTACGCGACAAAGATGGTGGAACAAGGATTGGAAAGGTCCAGTATCGTGAGGAAAAGCCGACCAGGCCCACGGAGCATACTCAATCACAAATACAGGCTCTGCTCAACAATCTGATCAACCTGGACAACGACACTGCTGAGACCAGGCCGCCTCCACGTTCATACGGAGCTCAGCAACCTCTGCCGCAGAATGAACCGAAGTCTAAAGGGTATGCCTTGCACAAGCACTGCACTAACAATGCTAATCTGGATGTTCAGGGTCAGTTCCTCGTTTGCGGACGCAAACTTCCCAGGGAAAGTGCCAGTCAATGCAGCTACGACTTCCATCTTATCCGAGGCCGTTGCCACATCCGAGGATCGACCCGAGGGCAAGCCAGACATAAGAACGTCGCAGCCACATCGTCAGACTACTGAACCACGGCAAGCAAACAACGTACTCGACCAAAGTACGCAAACGCATCGAATACACCACGTTGAGAAAGGGAGATCCGAAGTTTCTAAAGCTCCATGGCTTGATATCAATTGTGCTTCCGGGGTCCTGAGAAGAATTCGGTCTCTTCCAGATCCACCACGGGGAGCAGTAGTAGATCTCAAGGCGCGGTCCTGCGTCTCAAGTACAGAAATACGGTCCGAACCATCTATCGAAGCTGATACGACCCCTACTCCACATGTAGGCACTCCAAACCGCTTTGCTATATTTAATAGCGTCCCAGGAGGCTCGTCATCTATGAACAACGCTTCCCTTCTCGAGAAAGGCCCCGAGCCACCTGCTACTCAACCACTTACAGAGCCACGCGATTCGGTGGCTGACAATGTGCCTTTCGTGAATGTCGCTGCGAGGACGCCTCTGGTAAGCGCAAACTTACGAACCTCAAGACAACGAAGGTGGTTGGATAGGCAAACGTGCACCAGGAACGATCTCCTCTCCTGGCTTCAAGTGTCGTGCGACGGACCTTGGACATCTATAGGACCTGCTTCTCACATTTACTGGATCATCCGCAATGACCTTGTCGACATGATCTCGATGACCAACACAATCGTCGATCGAATCATTACGATGTCAAGTGACGAGAACAAAGTCGAGAGGAACTTACCACAATGGAGAAACCTGATCAGCCGCTTAGACACGGAATACCGTCAGATCGAGCTAGAGTTCAGCATAGTCCCACATTTCTTCGCTAGTGGCTATGCATATCATCCTAACGAGCCGTTGTACAAGCAAGATCCTAATCTCAGTCTCAAGCAGGGCTTGAAGGAGGAGTTCGCGGTCATTCGGAAGCGATTAGCTTTCGCTCTGCAGGCTCTTGTCAGTGCCGTGTCTGTGATCGAGAGTCGTCGTGGCATTGCAGAAGCTGAAAGTGTAACCAAGCTCACAGAACTGGGTGAGTATGTGATGAAAACATGAGTATCATAAGAACTAACGCAAGCAGCATTTCTTTTCATTCCTATGACCTTTGCAGCCTCGATCTTCAGCATGCAAGTCCGAGAGCTCGATCCAGCCACAACCTCCATAAGGTGGTTCGCTCTTACGGCGATCATCCTTATTGTCACCTCGTACAGTGTTCGGCTCCTGATCCGCAGTCGTCTCTTTGTCAATGGCATGCACCTCATGATGAGCTCGGTGCGGCGCGAGGTCGGATTACGGGACGGACAGCCAGTACCGACCATCACGTTTCTTTGGTGGTTAGCATCATCACCGGCCAGGGCGCTTGGATCGACAAACTGGTGGGATGCAGTCATACGACCTGTGCTACCGATGATGATCCTGTGCATTGTTTGCGGTTTTGTGCCTCTCTTCTCGTTGTGGTTCAACGCTCGTTTAGCCGGTGGCATGAAAGTCGTCATCAGTATCGCGATCGGCATAACTGTGATCAGCTTATTGTGCGTTACGCTAGGGCCTAAAGTTGTGCGCTCGATCCTGGAAATGCTTCGCAAGCAGAAGGGAAGGAGAAGAAGACAAAAGTTGAGATAGCGAGGACTTTTGTTCACCCAGTCTGGGAAGCCACGTTGACACTGCAGCAATAGCTTTAGTCCTATCAAGCATTACCTACAATATGATCCATTCACCTGCCTAGTCATCATCGGTAAGCCTATCCAGCAACTGGATGGACAGTATCATAATAATAGTCCCTGCAAGTACTATCGCATGAAGAGCAACAGCTAGCCAACTCAGAAACAATGGAAGCCAGCCAATATGAGTAACCACAAGACCCCTATAAACTAGGTCGAGTGTTGTAGCAGCCGCCACAGCACCTATATGCACCCAGATGGTGGACACAAAGCTGAACATTGTGCAGATGGTTAGACCACATGCGATGGCCTGACTCACTGCTCTGGACGGAAATTGCTTCACTTCATGCTCCGAACCGTCATCTGTTGTTTCAGTACGCCACCCTGGGAAAGTAGCAAATCCCACGATCGACAAGAAACTCAATATTATGGATGCAATACTGTCTTGGTAAGCGGACGAACAGTGAGATCGTGAATTCAGACTCACATTAATCCATAAAACACAACCTCAGCAGAGAAACCAGCGACGTACGCGACCAGACCAAGAGGATCCGCACTGACCGCACTTTCCTCCCTGCTGTACCTGGTTACCATCGCTTGGGATGCATCACACATCCAATCTGCCTCGCTACGAATGGCTCTGGACTCGTGTACGCAGATGCCAAAGAAGCCAACACGAGCCTCGAGCTGCACTCCATCCGTGACATTTCGTAGATACTCTTGGATCTCAATGCTCGCGGTGACCGACGCAGATTCATTCACTGGATGACGGATATTGTATGAAACTGAAAGAATGTAGGATTCTCGGAATGTGTGACTAGTGCTTGTACAGGACCCAAGGACAAGGGCTATGACACCAGTCAGGCCGAGTTGGACAAGACTACCACGAAACAAGGATCACTTACACTGCAGAATGATTGAGATGGCCAGCAGTATCATCAGGATGTGATGGTAAGCTTTTCATCAGATTGTCAATGCTGCTTTCACGTATGAAGGCGGGAAAGAGCGTTTACTGACCAATGGCTGGCACAAATTTCCTCCATCCGGAGAAGAACTTTGTGCCTTGACTACAAACACCAGACTTCTCGGAAAGCCGAGGGCTAGCAGGCCGTTGAGGTGGTGGTATAGCAATTCCTGGAGTGACTTGAGTTGCGCCTGGTATTGAATCACCTCGGATTGTGGTTGAGTCCGGGCCTACAGCGCCCGACATTTGTGGTTCAGCCATGCTCGCAGTTCTCGGTAGGCCATGTAAAGGGAGAGCTGCCACTGGCGACAACGTGTAGTCTTCGAGTGTTTGTCTCTTCGAACTTTCGTGGATTGACAGCTTTTGAGGTAGACTCGACCACAACGACACGTTTATGAGTTTTCGGGTTTTCCTATTTCGTCAAGGTGATGTTGGCAGTTCAGCCTCGATCAATCGTCGATGCTGGAGATAAGGTCGATGTCGTACTCGTGCACAAGAACGTGCAGACTGACAGCTCATGGTGTCAAGTCAGGGCAGAAGTCGATTTTGGACCCTATCGCATCTCGTCGCATCAGACGCTAACGAGTCATTATAGAACATCGGGCTAGACCATAAGTGCAACCTCACTAATGTCAGCTGCAGCTAGATACGAAAAGGTTCAACATCGAGGGGAAACATTGGCGATAAGGCGTGCAAGACGTTGTGGGTATCACACACGTGATGTTGAGCTTTGGATGCACAAGATCGTCACTGCCACCTCAAATCCTAAATCGCGTCGGTACGCGAGAAATAAAGCTTGTCCTTTCCAAAGTGCTTGAACACTTCGCCTTTCTAATGAAGATGCATCGCCTTTCTTCGACTCGTGTATGCTCTCTAGGGTTTCAAGAATGTCCTTACGCAGGTCATCTCGGCTTGTTGGTCAACCGACGGCTCTGAACAATGCTCAAACCACGTCCACATTGGCCACAGTTTCCGCATCGAGCAAGAAGCGCAATGCCACAAAGAATACTCCTGAAAAACCAAAAAAGAGACCGAAAGTCTCTGCTTCTCAAGCTAACGAAGTTGAGGTGTTCAAGAAGCCTGAAGGTCCTGTAACACCAGCAAAATCTCATCCAACCTTTCGAGGAAGCAAAGTCCCGAAAGCACCACCTCAGACGCCAACACCATCACTTATTAATATCATACGAGCGCCATACAGTACTGGTGACATTGACGATCCAACGCCTCCGCCACGGGACCGTCTAGTTGATCCTCATCTCACCAGCGCCACTTTAGTTACCCCAGGCGGCACCAAAGCCACGAACTTTCCAAGACCTGTGAACGGTATCGATGTAGAGGTGAGCCCCACGAAGCAGCCAACTACCACGGGTACTTTGTTAGAAAAAGCTCAAGCTCATCTCATCTCTGTTGATCCACGGTTCGAGAAAGTGATATCCAAGCACCAGTGCCTGATTTTTAGTCCCGAAGGCCTGGCTGAGAAAATTGACCCTTTTCGATCATTGACTAGCGGTATATGTGGCCAGCAAGTCTCGAGCGCTGCAGCAAGTGCCATCAAGAACAAGTTCGTGGCTTTGTTCAATGAGTGTAATGATGGTGTTCATGTTTGGCCTACACCGGCTCAGGTCGCCGAAACGGGTATAGAAAAGCTACGAACGGCGGGTTTGAGTCAGCGGAAGGCAGAATATATACAAGGCTTGGCCGAGAAATTCGTTTCTGGTGAACTGTCAACGACCATGCTCCTCAAGGCGAGCGACGAAGAGGTGATGGAGAAGCTCATAGCGGTCCGCGGACTCGGGAAATGGTCTGTTGAGATGTTCGCAACGTTCGCACTAAAAAGGATGGACATTCTCTCTACCGGTGATCTGGGTGTGCAACGTGGTATGGCAGCCTGGTTTGGAAAGGACGTGGCTAAACTCAAGAGCAAAGGAGGAGGGAAATGGAAGTATATGAGCGAGCAGGATATGCTGGAGAAGAGTGAGCCATATGCTCCATATCGCAGTTTGTTCATGTGGTACATGTGGAGGTAATATGTTCCCTGCACAACCTGATCTTTATACAGTGCTAACCAATTTCACAGAGTTGCCGATGTCGATACGGCTGTTCTGGACGGCTAGACGCCAACGAAGGACTTATTCACGACCCGTACGTCTACATCGATTCCGTGAAGAGCCAGGCCACCTCATTCACCGGTTTGGCTGGCACCGCACCTTCGATAGTCAAAGGTGATTATGCGATACATCATTAGCTAACCTGATTTCAAACAATCCTAACTAAAGTTTCCACAATTAAGTGGCAGCATTATTGAGGTGACGATGTGGTATTGTGGCACCCGGGCTCAAGTCGTTATTGGCAATGGTGCTCTTTTACACATTACAAGACACTCAAGTACAGCGTATTGGCTCAAGGTGCGCTAGCAATGTGCTGGCTGATGAATTTGGCTGGAGCGATTGGCAAGGCCTGAAATCCCTGCATCGAGTCTCGCTGAAGCCTAACAGCGATATTAGTTCGAAAATTGTTGGACACGAAGGTCCGGGTACGAAGAAAGAGCTCATACAGCAAAAACTTCTACTGCCATAGCCCACTGCCATCTGCTGAGTTACTTGAGGATGGTGTCAGTTGGCAGGCTGGAAGGATAGGTAACAAGAATGGGTTGTGGGATGATCGTGTGCTGGAAGTGACTGGCACATGAGTGCTACATGCATTGTAGCTTGTGCGCTAATCCGCCGAACACAGAATCTGCGTGGTCTGCGACGCTAGTTGGAAGATTCCGAATATCAGGTATTACATGTGGAGCATCGGATGTCCTAACTCGAGGCTACTCACGACAAGGACGACAGAAGACAAGGACAACATATGGAGTACCGGACATTCGTTCACATTGAAGTTGGTCGAAATACTGAAGGATAGGTCACTGTGCCTTGTTATGCTAAACCTTGTCGCATTACTTCACATGGTGTCAGTAGCAATTCACCGATAACATATTGGTCGAGTAGTGCTGCATCGATCTCCGATCGACCGGCAACCACGAAGCGGATTTGCACAATCGAGTGACAATAAACTGTATTTGCGGTATATGGTTTGCATTCGTCCCAGTGCTCAACTCGATTTTCCGCTTGTGCTTTAATGTGAAAATAGTCTCTTAGCGTAGGAACAGCTTTCCAGGCGTACGGAGACCAGGCGTTCGGAGGCCACGCAATCAAGCAAGTAAAGGAAGTATATCTTACTAGCTTATCCTCCCTTCCGTTGGTGTCGCGACTCTGCACGCTGTGTGTTGTCGGTGATGATAACATCCGACGAAGATCAAGGTATTTCCTGGGATGTGAATCTACAACTATTAAAGGGTCATGGACTGGGAACAAGGAAGAACTGGCACGATTAAACTTCAGTACCTGCCAAGCTGATCTACAGGTGATTTATGAGCTTGATGATAACTCAAAAAATGCTGTGAGATCTGTAGAAAGTGTGGTTGCACTTGGATATCTGCTGACAATCATCATGTACTGTAGTATCTGAGCAGAAACATTGTGGTATTACTGTATTGCTTGATATACATGAAAAGTAAGGAAGAGTGGTTTTTGTCATTCACTAAACCATGCATTTCTGACATTATATACGTATGTACATGCGGACATATCTCATCAAGCTTCTGTCGTCCACGCTTCTTTATGCGCTAGGAGCAGCATATGGACCACTTGTTGGTGGAGTGACCTTGTAGCCACTGTTCTCAGCCCAAGCCAAGCTGTTGAATTCGACATACTGGTAGTAAATCTTGCCAGCAGCGTTGATCTTGCCGAGAGTGATGCCCTGGATGTATGGGTTTGGTCCCGGACCGATGCCGTAGAAGCGCCATTGCCAGACGTATTGGTTGCAGTCAACGGTCAAGCTGAGAGTGTCGATTTGTGGAATTGGTGGGGTGGATGTAGTCTCGGCGATGTACGAGGTTGCGTTGAATTCGACTTGTGTGCCGAGCTGGGGAAGAATGTTAGCGATTTTGCAACAAAGTGAGGACTCAGACAGAATAAGGACTTACAGGAGCCCCTCGGAGTGAGTTGATTGAGTCGCCATACTCAGCGATGTTGGCGTCGAAGATTGCGTTACCAGCAGCTACAGCAGCGGTAACATTCTTATGCTGAAGGAAAACAATTTCCTGTGCGATGAGGCCCTCAATGTAGCTTCGGGAAACGCAGTTTGGGTTACCAGAGTTGCCCCAGTTGCCCCAGCTTGGGGTTGGTGAGGCTGCTACGCCGCAAGCAGCGAGAGCAAAGGTAGCGACTGTGGCGAAGATTTGCATGTTGTAGTATGTGGGAAGAGAGATGGTGAAGGTCTCCTAGTAGATTGGCTGAGTACTGGGCTTGAGTAGCGACTGGATGGGGGGAAAAGATGACCAAGCTTTGTCTTGGGAGTGCTTGACCTTTATCTTATATACCCATTCGATGCGCCTTGCATGTTGAAAGCTAGGACTCGCATCAAGCTAGCGATCTGCCTATGCCAGTGTTCGAATGCGAGTTTGTGAGCAGTTCCGCGGTCATGCTGGTCGTCGCAAAGACCGATGAGTCTTGTCGTCATTGGTCAGCGTCTGTGAAGGAAAGCAAGGTAACGTACTTGAAGCTATACCAAGCTACATCAAGCTCCAAGAGCTTCGCACCAATGTGGATGAATCTTTGCTTTTCTGAAAGCCCGTGTGCCTGCACTAGCACCGCATTGGTATTGGAGGCGGGGTACGAAGTGCTAACATTTGCCTTTTCGCCTCCGGTACTGGAGGTCTAGTTCCTTTGCCTGGGGACCTCGCCCGCAGGGACCAACAAGATCGCTGACTGTATTGCCACAATCCATGCCATGTCTCAGCCCACCAAAAGTTTTTCGCCAGTAGCACATACTTGGTGCTGCATAGAGTCTCCGATCAACTCACTTTGGCTTTTCTGTACCTTACAGATGATGGCACGTTTACAGGACAAACATCGACACCATTTAGGCCGTGCTATTTCAGGATTTGCCGTAAACTCAATCGAAGCGGTTCGTCGGCACAGCAGAAACGATTTCGTGAGAGAAGAGGAATGGCATGCTCACTGCGAGCAATACGCAGGATACTACTCGAGTAGGTCTGCACACTAATCACCAGACTATCAGCAGCGAAACTGGTTAGTTGCTTCAAACAGCAACTGCAACAACATCAATCCACAGGTTGGGACTTGGAGATAGAGTATCTCTGCTACAACACTGCCGTGTGCATGGTAGAGCCTCGCTCGTTAGCCAAGTGCGCCACTATTTCAGGCAGAGCCGACCAACCTGTTCCCTATGGACCTCGCTTTGCCCGTGATTTGTTCCGCTCTCGGTCAGGCGCTCAGCCAAGCGGCAGCAAGGACAGAACGATGACATCTGTGGATATCTCCTCCTCCAGATTCTGCCACATGCGTCAACAAAACATCCGCATCCTCGCGACGGATAGTCATTAGGAATTCCGAGATGTGCAAAGCATCGAGAGTACCCTCATCTCCTTCAGCCCAGCCTTAGCTCAGTGAATGATGACAATTACTGATGCTGGTTGCCAGATCCAGCATGAATGCGCTCGTGCGACCACTACTTCCGCTATAGGTAGAAGAGTTGTCGCCCGTCAAGCAACGAGTTGCATCCGGGTCCTTTCACACGAGCTACCAATGTACTTGTTAATGTCCTGTGTTTCTCCTTAGACCTCGTAGTCCACGTTCTGACGGAGGAAAGAGCTGAGCCTACTGTATGATATGCGAAGAAAACGCACGAGACCGCAATGAAACCACTCAAAACTTAAGAACAAAGCACGTTGTTCTGTGTAATGTGTGATCTTCTCCCGTGCTACAGTAGCTGACAGCATACTCGAACAGATTCAGTGCCACAAACATCGTACTGTACTCGAGTAGAGCTTCGCACGTTTAGTTTTCGATTAACGTAAGTGGATAATCACGTTTGGCGGAAAGGTGCGAGCTGATCTTGTGAGCATGACGTCGCTGAGAGTGGCGGTCAGCATGTGCCATCTGCTCAAGCAGCAGGCGCGGGGGTAACTAGAATACAATAGAAATAGAACGCAAGAAGGAAGGATCTTGAACCTGGTGAAAGCAGTGCAACGGAAATGAGCAGAACAAACACGACAACATTCGAACAAGCACGATGAAAACGAGTTCGAGTCAAGCTTCAAGTTTCTAAATATGTATGCATTCTAGCTCTGCTCAGCCAATAGGCTTTTGAAGATGTACCTAGGCGTGATCTCAGGCTTGCGCTTAACCTAATGCTGTCGAAGCAACACTTTCCCGGTCCACGAATACCGAGAGGTGGACAGGTAGCTCTATCAATCTATGTTGTTCATCATCTCATATCTATTCCACCCAACACCTCGCTGAGAAATGATCATAATACTACCCCGTAAAAAGAGATTTCGCTGAAAGCACCATGCAACGCATACCTAACGACCGGCGTCAAGATATGCTGCTTTGTTGTTCGTGACTATACGAACATTCGCGAGCCAGCGGTCAAGTCTGATAGCGCTCCATTCTCACGCAAATATTCGACCACATCGAAGAGCTCAAGGTCGGTTCCAGGACGACCAATCAGACTAATTGATGCAGGTAGATATTCAGTCTGGCCAGTGATGCGTGACTCAAACGGCACTTCAGCGACTGGCAAGGTGTAGTCAGGGCAACCAACCAGATAACCAAAAGCATAAATACTGAAAGTGTTGTTGAACAGTTCAGTGTAGCTGGGGATCTCGTCTCTATAATCAGGACGTCCACATGTTTGTGGAAAGATGAGTAAAGTTGTGGCCTCGCGATCGTATGAGCCGAACAGAGTGTTCTCTGTCCATTCTCGAAAAGCTTGGGTTGCTTCAAGTGCGCTGGCAATAGCTTCGGGAGTCACCTTTCGTCCGTATTCCAAACGAGCCTTGACGATGGCAGCCATGGGTGGTTCTTCACCTCCGTTGTTCTGCTTGTAGGTTGCGACAAACTCATCAATGCCAGTATGCAATGCCGAAGATGTGGTTATTGCGGAATATACGTGTCCGACTGCCTCATCCAACGACTTGGGCTGGCCAATAACCGGAGTTGCACGCCAAAGCTCGTTGATGTTGAATGGGATGCGTTTGCAATCAAGTAGTTTTTCCATGTTTAGTACTGTTTGCTCGATTCGCTTCTCGGCTTCTGACCATGTCGACTGATCGACTTCCGGATGTGGAAACCATCGATGCTGACCGTGATAGTGAGGATCAGGGTTCTCGCTCTGCGGAGCTCGAGTCGGGTACAACAAGTTGAACTTGCGTTGACTCACCAGTGCACGTTCAGGTTGAGTTGAGTCCACGAGGAAACCACCCACTTTGCTGAAGGTATCTACGTCTCGTGCGAAGATACCGACTGTGTTGAACAAGTCAGTCGCTCCGAGCACGCCAGCAAGATCAACTCTACCATGAGTGGGTCGCTGTCCATAAAGACCACTAACTGCAGCTGGATGTCTGATACTTCCACCAGTGTCAGTGCCGACGGATACATCCAACCAGTCGTATGCAGCCACAGCAGACGCACTACCGGCACTAGATGAGGACGCACTCTGTTGTCCATCACCGCGAGGATTGAAAGGGCACGTTGTGTCGATCCAGTCACTTGGGTGGAGACCTTCAGCAAATTCGGTTGACTTCACCTTGCCAACAATCACGGCTCCTGCGTCCATCAACTTCTGGATGCATGGTGCTGTGGCAATTTCAGCAGGATAGGTTTCGAGCCAGGCTTTGCTACCGAAGGAGGTTGGCAGGCCCTTCAAGGCTATACTGTCTTTCACGGCGACCCGTATGCCATTGAGAGGCTTGGATTCAAGCTTAGGAAAGTATAGCTTGGAGGGTAGTGGTACCACGACCTCCTCTGACCTCATGTACTCGACGAAACCCTTCTTGTGCTTGTTGCTTGGGACGATTGAGCTAACAAAGGCGCAGTGGGTGTCAGCCTCCAACTTTGCCACCATGAAGATGTGGCCTGTCGATCTTTCGACGACGAGAGGACCAGCTGGTATCTTGGCTTTGGTGTTGTCAATCGCAAAGACTCTCTTGCTGCTTGTGGTACATTTCATCTTAGATGGTTGGAGGAGAATGACAAAGGACAGGAAGCTGCGACACCAGACATCATCTTCCTTCTCGTATCGATGGCAGACATCTTCAAGATCGTTCTTAGCGAACCTCGATTTGTCCCAGGACACAGCAGTGATCGCGACGAAATCGTCGTCGAAGTCCCCAGCCTTCGCGATTAGTCGCGGCTTCAACGAACCTTTGGATGGTAGAAGTAAGTATTGCAAACCGTCAATTGAAAATGTTATGTTGGAGCTTGTGGCCATTCTATTCACAAGCACTACGTAGGATGATATGTGGCGAAGGAAGAAAAGACAAGTCGCGAGAAAAGATATAGATAAGACACGATCTCGTGACTGAAGCTGAACGTGGGCAAGGCAGGCACGACAAAGAGCGGGAGCTTACTTAGCCTTCACTTGCTGCGGCCCGCACTTGCACAGATGCACGGAAGAATTTGTGACGAAAGAAAAACATGCTTGGATCTAGACTGTGAGCACAATAAAATTGCATTGTCCATGCTCATGTTGCTTTGTGTGGACTGTTTTGGCAAATTTGCCTTCGCGCATGTCAACAATGCCTGGTTAACGATGACATCTTGAGGAGAATATCGAGGTCTGGGGTGCAGTTCACGTAACCAAAATTAGCATGTGATTGGCCAGGCGATCTAATTCGGTTCCTGATAAGGAGACGGGAAATCTTGGCATATCGAAATTCTGCAATTTTCTGGTGATTCAGGCCGCAATACGCCGCTCCGCATCTTCCCGTGACAGATGATACAGTTTGGTCGAGCCGAGATACAACTGATAAGGAACGCGTTTCACATGCTTCGCCGTGCTGATTGACACTCCTCCCATAATTTGTATCATTCATCATCATCATCCCGCGCCGTGTATCGTTGCCGGCCCATCCTCTCGCTCAAACTCAGATCCCCCGCGCGCTTGTGAAATCCGTTGACGAACCCTGCCCTACCGTCAGCATAGCGGGCGTTGCGTGCACGTGCTCTGTCCTCCTGCTGTGCGGCTTGCTGTTCGCGCGTTTCAATTTCCCGCATACGGCGTTGCCTTTGCAGATCCAACTCTGACGCGTCTTGTTGCATGGCAGCTAACTTTGCAGCTCGATCGTTATCGGGAGCCGGAGATGATCCCCGCCGAGGGGTAGAGCTTGAACGAGAAGGAGACCTGCGTCGATTGTCGTGCCAACTGCGTGCTTTGTGCAGGGACTTTTCAGCATGACGTTCACGGTATGGAGATCGCGATCTAATTCTTCTGCCAGGGGAACGTGAGCGCTGTCTCTTTCTGCTTGACTCATGTCTGTAAGACCTCCTCTCTGGTGAGCGCGACTGCGATTCGCTAGGACTTCGACTTTCGTACCGACGCCTGCTCGAGCGCTCGTGGCGTGACCGATCGTCATCTCTAGAAGACCTGTGCCTCGAGCGATGCCGAGACTGCGCATCTCGATCAGGGTGGGAAGAGTGATGGTGTTTCCTCCGCTTGCGCTCGCGTTCTGGCTCTTCTTGTTCTTGCCCGGCGGCTCTCAATAACATGCGTCTCTTGACCGGGTCGTTCATCATCGCTTCGTAGGCTGCTTGTTCTTGTTTCTTGATTGCAAGGAGAGGGTCATCTCGGATCTTCGAAGCAGTATCTCTGGCAGTATTTGCGTTTTGTACGGCCAAGAATGATTCCTGAGTCGTCGCCTTCTGCAGACTCTCCTTCTCTTTCCCCTGTAACAATGTGTCGACCCTGCGCTTGCCTAGCAGAAATGCTTCGGTCTCCTCGCTTGTCCCAGTCTGTCCAGTCGAGGGTCCTTGATACATCCAGTCCACCCGCGACTGTCTCTTCTTTCCACCCGCAGCCTCTTGCAACTCTTGCAATTCCTGTATCTGGCGTTCTTCTTCACGCTCTTTGCGAATTTGATCGACCTTCTTCCGCTCCTCAAGCGCTTTCTGTTCCTCTTCCCACACCTTCTTCTGATTGCTCATCAGTGAAGGATGCCATGACTTTTTCAGGTTCAAATCTCCCCCCATGGCGGATTGATTTCGAGCCTATCCGGTGTAGTCGCAGACCTAGTGCTCGCTCACACTCGATTCCAGCCGTAATTTGAGAGAAAAGATACTGCGAGAGACGCTGAGGCACTTAGCCGCGAGCCACAAGCGTAACTTCCTGAATTCGTAAAGGTCTGAGCAAGCTAAACTCCATGGGGCAAAGTGACATCCTTATCGATAAGCCAGGGTGCACTAGGCGCGTCTTCTGGATGATTGTCTGCACCACATTGAAGGTAGAAGAACAATCACCACTATTACCAGCTGTTGAACCCTCTCTCGTTGCAGTTCACTATTAGTACAGACATACAAGCGTTCATCTAAAACTCTTCAATTTTATCCCAATACTGCATATTGAACAGCTACCATGTCTGACGACGATGACTTCATGGCCGACTCCGACCAGGAGCAGTAAGTGGTCGAGCAGGTACTTTGTGCAGCAGAATTGACCAGAAACAGGTACGACTTCGAGTACGAGGATGACGACGAGCCGGCCGATGGTGATGTCGATATTGAGAACAAATACTACAATGCGAAGCAGATGAAAACGGAGGATCCTGAAGCCGCAATCGAAGAGTTTCTAGGCGTGCCCAAGCTGGAAGACCAAAAAGGCGACTGGGGCTTCAAGGGTTTGAAGCAGGCTATCAAGCTTGAGTTCGCCTTGCAGAAATACGACGACGCTGTGATTCATTACAAAGAGTTGTTAACTTATGTCAAGTCTGCAGTTACACGAAGCTATTCAGAGAAGTCAATTAACAACATGCTGGATTACATAGAGAAGACAGCCAACGATTTCACAGCCTACAGGTGTATGGAAGAATTCTACTCCCTCACACTCGAAACCTTCCAAGCTACCAACAACGAGAGACTGGCCCTGAAGACCAATGTCAAGCTTGCTAAGCTATATCTCGACAAAAAGGACTATTCTTCACTTTCTAGCAAGGTGAGAGAGATACACAAGGCCTGTCAGCGCGAGGATGGTCAAGCCGATCCGGGCAAAGGCACATATTCCCTCGAAGCCTATGCCTTAGAAATTCAGATGTACGCAGAAATGAAGAATAACAAGAGATTGAAAGCACTATATCAGAAGGCCTTGACAGTACGGTCTGCCGTGCCTCATCCCAAAGTACAAGGAGTCATTCGTGAATGTGGAGGTAAAATGCACATGAGCGAAGAGAACTGGAAAGAGGCGCAGAGTGCTTTTTTCGAGTCCTTCAAGAACTACGACGAGGCCGGGTCAATGCAACGTATCCAAGTGCTAAAGTACTTGGTACTGACGACCATGCTCATGGGCTCCACCATCAATCCATTCGATTCTCAGGAAACAAAGCCATATCGTAACGATCCCAGGATATCTGCAATGACAGAACTGGTAGATTCGTACCAGCGAGACGATGTCCATCGTTATGAAGCTATACTGAAAGAGAATTCTGATTTGTTAGAGGACAAATTCATCGCAGAGAATATCGACGAAGTAAGTCGGACAATGCGCACGAAAGCCGTGCTCAAACTTGTGGCTCCATATTCGCGCTTTACTTTGGCCTTTATTTCCAAGCACATCAAAATTCCAGTCAGCGAGGTTCAAGATATCCTTGGTGTATTGATTGTTGAGAAGAAGCTTAAGGCCAAAATTGATCAAGAGCATGGGACGGTTATCGTGGACAATGCTGAGAACGCCGAACAGATACAGCGTCTACACGACTGGACCAGCGCTATGTCTGACTTGTGGTCTACTGTACTGAATGATTCCGAGGGCTTCAAGCCTGACGACACGCAAAGTGCTCCAAGTTCCTATCTCATGTCGAGTACATTCGATGCACCTATTTCTACCGGGCCACTTCGAACATCAGGTGGTCGGCTACGTCCTCCGAAAGGCGGCAAAGGTGGTAAAGTAAGTGCTTGGGGCTAGAGTACAATGTCAGACCCTTGATATCGGATTCCTGCAATTCCACTTCGACTTACTGGACTCGCTTTTCGGAAGGAAGAACCAAAGAGATCATGCTTTAGTCGTCATTAGCTCACTCCTCGTGCAAGGTCCGAAGATGTATGTACGCAAGAGAGTGGAGAGTCGCTAGTGGGCCCGCACAGCATCGACATGCCCGCATTCATGTGCGTATACATGTCCAAAACCTCCATAGAGCATATCCTTCGTGCTAGACAGGAATGGTTCAGTCTCGTGAGCGAAGCAGATGCTCTGGTCACCGAGTAGTGCCATAGTTGCATGTTTTGCCGCAAGACGACCAGCCCAGTGATGGCAGTCATCCGCCAAATACCACATATGTAGCGCGAGGCCAAACCCCTCGAACTAAGCAATTGCGGCCAGACTGATGTGCTGGTTGCATAATTGACCAGCCACTCATGCATATCAATATGCGATATCATATTCGGAATCGCTTATCCTGGCTACAGAACAGCAACTTTGTAAATGACTCGAATCATTCGAGACGACAGTGCCCTTGATGATTGTTCAAGTATCCTGACCGTTGTGATTGAAACACTGCGTCGTGTGCATTCACTCATCTGCTTGATGTGCCTGCTTCACTTGGCCATGAATCCACATTCTTATCTGAATAAATTTGCCCCACGACGTACATGTCGGTGCCGCTCTACAATTTCATCTACGGAAGCAGCGCGCTGTCACCTCCAACAACATTGTTTCGAACACCAAGTTTATCCAGCAGTAAAGCCATGAATTTATCGAGATGGTAACTGCGTGATGTATTAAGCTACAAGTTATGTCTTTCGACACCGCAGGGCACGAGTGCTAAACTCGTCGCATGTGGCACCAGAATGGGCTGTTTGTCGACGATGAACATGATCAACTTACCGAGAAACAAAACAGACTGCTTAACCTATCACCGTCCAGGTGCATGTAGTGCACGCTATACAGGAACATGCAACTCGTTTTGAGCAGAGGGGAACGTGCTGTCATCATCTGACGTTGTGTTGCGGCACGAGCCGCTCCAATGCTTTCGAATCCCTCTAATCACTCGCGGTCAGTAAAGAAGTCTCACGCAACCCATGTCTCATAATGTATGAATCCAGACTGAATCGCTCGATCTCGTCGATTGTCCGTATTGGGAGTGCTTGTACTACGTATGCTCCAGAACACCAGAATGTTCGAGGATTGACGAGAAGAGGTAATTAGTACTTTACCCAGAAACGAAAGATCTCACAGCGAGTTAGAGATGCATGCTCAATTCCAGAGCTCTGCATGCTTCGAGCGAGCAACCTTCAGTGTCTCGAAGTGTGTGTAACCGTAAGTGAAGCCCAAGCGCCAAAGTTCAGTTGTACCTGTTAAAGTCGTTGGTCCTTGAGCCGCCTGGTGGAGGCAGGTATTTTGACTTCGGTGCTATTGTTGAAGCTTGGAGTTTAGAGTTTGAGAAGAACTTGATACTGTTGCTCTATCATGAATAAATCCTTGTCGTTCATATCTCTTTACTTGGAAGTCTTATGGCTAGAAGGAAATATGTATCTATATGCTTGAAACTTTTACCCATTTGGTACCAATTTCATAATTTCGAGCATTGGCGAACGTCGTACAAAGGTACATTGAGGTAGAGGCAGCTGCGCCGCGCCGTTGTAAGTTGCGACATGCACAGAAATCAGCTGTTATTTTCAGGACAACGGCCCGCCGGGAAACTGCAAGCAAAGCTATAGAAAAAGTCTATAACAAAGCTAAAGCGTCATCCGATTTGACAGCTCCTGCATGATAAGCATTTACACTTTGACTGCGTATCCATATTACTGGGCAGCGCAGCGTTGGTGAGCAGTCGCATTTGGCTCGGGTAGTTCAACGACCCTCAGCTCAAGAAAAAGTACAAAAAACTACCTCGCCTTCACTTGCGACGAATTGGCGCAAATCTTAGTGAGTCTTGTGTACAAAGTAGTGATTTTTGAGTTCAAGCAATGCTGGGTTCAAGGATGGCTCTCTCGCTTGCCGACGCACCCTGGTGAGGAGCGCCCCATAAATTTCGTAGTTCGGCTCTCTCCAAACACTTGACGTCTCGTGTTCGGTGGATCTCAACCGACACAAGCAAGCTGTCAAACATCTCACAGCACAGCACTATCATGTAATACACTGAAATCTGACTGAATATCGGTGATTCTCTTCTGGTTCAGAGTCCACACAAAGCTTTTGCATACTCAAGTGTATCGTGGTCCTCTACGAAAAAGCGTGCTTGCCCTGTCAGATGTAAGCCGGTTTGCAGACTCGAGCAAACATTTCACCACTTTGTCATTCTCGTTCGCAAATTACAACCGAAGTCACGTTTGCTAGTCGCTCAACTTCTAACCAGCTTCGGTGTTCACTGTGGAAGCTGAACTTCTTTACATGAACAACACTACTTATACCAAGACATAATCACGCCCGCAACGTCTTGTACGATCGCCCACAACAGCTGTCTGACGATATCAACATCTAATCAAGATGACAATGAACAGTAATCCGACAGAGATGGAGGCCTTCCAGACTCTATCGGATAAATGGCATCCAGGCATGGACCAGCAAGGCCCTTTGATAGGCATGAAAGTTGGGATGGATGTTCTCGTTTCCGAGTATGCTCAAGCAGATCAGACATATGTGGTAAAGACTACAGGCCTCGCAGCGACACATACGTCCTATCGTGCTGTCAAAGGCGACGGTCAATGCGGTTGGCGTGCAACAGTATTCTGCTATTTCGAAATTCTGCTCAATTCCATGGACCCCGGTCTCGTCCAAGCGGAGAAAATTAGGTTCGAATCGTATGGCGATACAATGAAAATGGTTGGAATTGACTACGATCTGATGGTGGATATGTTCGATTATACATGGGAGCTATTCGACGCTGTTACGCAAGCAGTACAGACAAATGGTCAGCGAGACTCTGTGATTCTGAACATCATGAACGACGAGAACAAGTCGAACTCCATAGTCTACCACTTCAAAATGGTTACAAGTGCCTATATGAAGCTCAGAGAGGAGGAATATGTACCATGGACTGAAACTCTCAACGTCGATGAATACCGAATTCGCAGGATTGATCCGACAAATGAAGAGATTGATGAGCTTGGTCTGAAAGTGCTGACTGACGCTGTCATCCTGCCAGCAGGCTTCGGCCTTGAAGTCCTCTATCTCGACCGAAGTATGGGCGATCAAGTAACACCGCATAGCTTCACCCCAGACACAAACCGAGTACCGACTATTCGTCTCCTGTACCGACCTGGTCACTACGACATTATCTACAAGGAGACACAGCCCCTCCAGGTCTATCTGCAGCCTCGACAAGAGGTCCCGGTCAATGTTGCTGGTGCGCACAACAACGTCAATTTCTACTCAGACTTTGGCTCATTATTCTCACCCCCAACTGGTGCGACCTATGAGGATATGTCGTTTCTATCGCATGGAAACTACAATCAACATCAAAATCCATATGCTCATTATTCTCAGCCTCTAAACCACAGCTATTACAATTTCTACCATCCTCAACCTGTACTCAATCAGTCCAGTCCGATGATGTACCTGCCGCCTCCACCAGAAGCACCACCTACGTCGTTGCCTTCCTGGTCAGCTCAACCCAGCGCGCGAACCTCAATACGTACTTCGACTTCTCCGCGTTCGACTACACTCTCGCCATCTCCAGGTCCCTCTGCCACTGCAGCACAACCTGCGAACGAGCCGCAATTCCGATTCACAACAGAACACATCAGACTCGCGCAACATGGTTTACCTAGCGTTCCACTACTGCTGAGCAATACGAGGTACGTTCATATCCGAATTGCATCCCTGCTGCCAGAACTAATTGTGTCTCTTAGCTCGACGGCAAACAACCCCGCCTTCATCGGCACTCCAAAGGGCACGTTCCAGCCTCAACAATACAGTCCTGGAGACGATTATGGAAGACGAAAATGACAGCATCAAGAACATACTGCACATATAGACCACACGAGTTACGCAGCATGACCCAGATTTTCACAATACACAGAGAAGCAGACAGGCATTTACTTTGAAAGAGCTGCAGAACCTGGTTACACCTCAACAATGCGATTGGAACGATGGTTCAGGAGTTTAGGACGGGTAAGCGGCATAGTGGTGTTTCCTGGTTGTTTACAACGATATCACGACAGAAGTTTAGCACCAATGTGTTGACGTTTATAGATTGATCCCAGAAGCGAGCATGGTCATTCATTGACTTTATTTCTATTTGCAGTGCTCAGCGATATAGTCATGAGGTGTTTGAGAGAGACGAGATGGCTCGATGCGCCGTTCGTTTTTATAGTCCGATCAACAGTATCCAACTCATCTTTGCTTGTGTGATTCTTGCGTCGTCTTCAGGCGACCTGATCTCCGTGGTATCGTACAGATTACCCCCTTCGGTCCAAAGCTCTTCGCACAACAATTGAGTCACAGCTCCTAACCGACCCATATCCAAACCACACCAATAACCACATCGAGACCCAACTTCTCCGCAGCCTCATACTTGAAACTCCACATGCCATCTTTAGCGTTATTCCAATATGCGCCCGCAGCACTATGCATACCTCTCCTGCCTCCTGAGCTCTTCGACCCATTCTCTTGCATGACTGTGTTGCTCTTATGCTGGATGATCGTGCTGTTCACGACAAACTTCCATTTCGACTGTGATTGTGGGTCTGAGGCTTCTGTTTCGCCGACGATTTGGGAGAGCATGGTGTTGATTATGGTTGTGTTCCAGGATTCTGTTTTCGAGTGGTCGTAAGAGGTTGTGCCGCTGAGAGCGGTGTCGCAGGCCTGGAGGTAAGACGTTAGTCCGTGGAGTGGTAAAGTAGGCTAGCACGTGTAACAGCTTACCTCGACTGTGATTTGCTTCAGCTTGTCGTAAGCAAGAGGTGGTTCAGCTGATGGTGTGGCCATCTTTACCCAGATACCGAGTCCTTCTGTATGCTTCTCCTGATAGTTGTGATGCTTTTCTGTAAGCTCGGCCTGGGCTTTTAAGTCTTCCTGTTGCGCGTGTGCGATTAGGCGGTTGACAGAGCTGGACTGACGAGAGGGGTTTGGAAGCGGTTTGTCGTCGTAAGGGTGGACAATGGCAAGGGTATGTCGTCGGATAGGAACAGTCGTGAGCTGAGAATAGTCTGAATTGGAACTGTCTGATCGTGGACGCTGGAGAATTGTCTCCGGAGCTTCTGAGTAAACCGTAGAAGCAGTCGATGGACGTTCAAGCTCCTGGAGTGCTGTTCCTGGTCGATCAGGATCGTGTCCGATATCTGGAAAAAGCTTCTCGTCCCGCGGTGGTAGAGGATCTGTTGGCGGACTAGAACGGTGTCTAGTATGGAGATTGAAGGTAGAAGCTTTGCGAATAAGTCGGCGCCGGAGGTGAGATATAGAATGCTGTTTCTGGAGCTGCTCTTCTCGTTGCTGTCGAATTGCAGCACTTTTCTCTGATTCAACTGCTGTAGATAGGTCAATCCGGCTCTTCCGTCGACTCTGAATACTGTTGAACCGCTGAAACAGGCTGATATTTGAGTCTTTTGGCGGTAGAGGTGGTGGAGTATCATTGTTTACATTTCCGGTAGAGTTGTGCTCATTGCGCCGGATCATCGACCTGGACTTCCGTAGTAGGTTTGCCATGGTGCCCCTTTCTAGCAATGCTGGTTAGCGAAGCAAGCGCGACCAATAGCGACATGCAATCCTGGCAGGTGCTCTATCGACGGTTTCGTTCTTGCGGGGCCTCGTCAAACAATTTCGTAGGTCTTCGCAGAGCTTGCATTTACTCGATACTTGAGCTTGATTATTGCTTGCAGCTTTTACTCGAGTATTTACAATTTCTCGTGGTGGGAGAAGTACTGCAGAAAACTTCGCTGAAGTGGTGCACTCTTTATATCCTACAGCTGTCACTTGGTCCAAGTGAGTGCAAGTAGCAAACTGCACTCTGCCCTCTGCAGACGTCAACCTTCGACAGATATTTGCTGCAGTCTTCCGTCAACTATTTTCAACCTGACCAACCTCGTCTAATCCGAGACAAGATACTCCGTCTGTCTTCAGAACTTCGAGCCGGCCGCAAACTCAAGGCCTATAGACCTCTACGTAGAAGCGACTGTCGAAACTCGAACCGTTCGTGGACCAGGGAGTCCCTCCTCCAGCCCCAGCTCGAATTCCAGGTCAAGAAGACGCCATCATCAGCTTGAACTAGCAGAACTCAGCTGATAGCACTCTTCGCGGAACCATCAAGAGGCACGATCAAGCAAGAGAGAGACGAAGACTTGAGATACAGTCTTCCATCAACGGCCAACCAGAAAGCAGCCTCACAACACAACTTCGCTCCAACGGGAAGCTTGTCGTCGGTTCAACAGCAAAAGTCCCGACAGAGCCTCCAACTGCATCCTCATCTCAATATAATACTGCAAGATCCTGTGCAGCTCGTACTTTCAGCAGAGCTAGTGATTATTTTGGAGCGTTCTCTTTACGTACGATCCCAAAAGCTGAAGAGGAACCACTTCTCGCCCCTTCACCAGGCTCAACCAGGCGATCTTCAAGACGACGCAGTTCAATGTCTTCTCAACCTCTTCTTCAAACCGCCCCAGGTAAGTAAAAAGTACTGGCTGATCTTCAACTGCTGACGAAATGCTAGGCAAGCGAATTGCTCTCCCAACTCGTGTCGAGCCCAAAGTTTTCTTTGCCAACGAGAGAACTTTTCTATCATGGCTCAATTTCACCGTCATCCTAGGTGGCTTAGCAGTTGGTCTGTTGAACTTCGGCGACAAAGTTGGTAGGATATCTGCTGGCCTCTTTACTCTTGTGGCTATGGCAGCCATGGTATACGCCTTATTCACCTTTCACTGGCGAGCAAAGAGCATTCGTCAAAGGGGTCAAGGTGGCTTTGATGACCGGATCGGCCCTACAGTCTTGGCACTTGCTCTGTTAGCTGCTGTCGTTGTGAACTTTGTGCTGAGAATCGTCGAGGGCGATCGAGCATAAGCAATTACCGAATACTATCAAAACCCATACGACGACCTCCACTCTGCCTTGTACCGTCATGAGGAAGGAAGTTACGAAAGCAATCGACATCAAGACTGCCGGTTGCCCATTCATCTTATGCAGTCTACTTGGCCAGGTCCCTGGTTCAGGAAACATTTGGCAACTTGGCCCTCTGCCAAGCCTGCACGAGTCGTGCTATTTGTACACAAGATACATACATTGATGTATACTCACAGGTTGCAGGTACGACGATGTGTAGCCACGAGGACAATTAATGATCCAAAGTACGTAGAAGTATCGACGAATCGAACACACTCGGTATCTCGCTTGATTCTTATCTCTCCATTTATACTACGCTGCCTTTGACTCTCATGTGATTGGCTTATGTCTCCCTGGTCAGAAGGAATCTCTGCTTGGCATGCAGTCGCCCATCCCTTTGGTGGACATATGAATTGGTAGCTGCTAACTCGGCCTCAGTGGATAGAAAAGAACATTTAAATTCGAAGACTTCTGGACTTTCGTCAGGACCTCTCATTCACTCCTTGGATCTGTCAACCTCACAATTATGAGATCCAAGATGCCAGATACAGATTTACGTGTCATCCTTTATGATTTTCCTTCTCACCAGAAGCGCCAATACGCGTCAAAGATTTCCGATCAGGTGTGGCAATCTTCCAAGGATGGTATTGTGCGCCTACACGCGGCGGGGTCGACCGCAATGGAAATGCGTGCACACCTGCTGAAACACCACAACTTCGAGCCTACGTTGGTCGTCCTGAAGATATAGCCGAGAGGTTCATCTAATGTTCTTGCAGGAAAACACAACTGTGGCACAAGATGAAGGCGTGGGATCTTCGCACGTATCTAAGCGGTGCTCAGTGGAAAGACACGACAAATAGGGACTCGGTGCCTCGAAGTTTGTCGTCGATGAGTGGCCATGCCTCCTCAAGTATATCCGATTTTGATTTCGAGGTGTTAATAGCCTATTGTCTCCTCGAGTGCCTGTGGGACTCGTGTGATAGACGTCTCTATGTCTGCACAAGCATGTATGGAACCCACTTCTATCTCAGAACAGGTTGGTACAGATTGGTTACCAGCAAAGAGCCTACACTCGTTGCCCTGCGAACTCAAGAATGGAGTGGTCTCAGTGCAGCAAGATGGATAAATACGAGGAGCTTCGGAGCAGCCTACAACATCTGAAAGGCCTTGCGAGCCAAACACAGCTGTGATCTCATTCGCATGCTACAGCGCCGTTTTCCAAGTGTTCAATCCAGTATTTTGGCTAAGATGCAACTGCTTGCAGCTATGTTCTTACTGGCTTTCACGGGCAGGTTGTGGAACGACGCTCACTCAGACAGAAACCACATGTCACCAGAGACCGCTTGCCATATAAACGCTGCGAAGACGATGGTCAGCATTATTCACACTCAGCTAGCTGTGAGGTTGCAGAAGAACCTTGATCTGTTGAGTGAGCTCTACCACTGCGTTGCTTCATGTCTACCCTGTGTTGAGTTCCGACGGCCGTCGCCTCAAGACGGAGGAGGTTGAAGACTGCAATACGGATGCTAGTGGCTATTCATGAATTAAGGTCAAGCTGGATAGAGACTCAATACCGCGTGGCTTTCTACGGGACAAAAGACGATGGAAGAGAAATACTAAGACTAAACCGAAAATATCGCGCAGTCTACGTTTGTCCCTATGTTAAGGCCTGAGGCAGTTAATTTCCTCGTGACAGCTACAGTCACCATCGATACACGCCCGACCGCTATGCGGGTGCTCTGCTCCTTTCGAATTCACCGAGACGCTTGACCTACGCCTGGAATTGCTGCGATACCACGATAACATCACATCCCATGTCGATAAAATCCTCAACAAGCAGATTGACACACCGTTATTATCCCTGCTAAAGCTGGCGAATAAGCCGTCCCACAAAGCGTCTCTATTTTCTTCATTAAGCTCATACACGACCACGTCCACAGCGACCGCGAGCACGCATATCCAACACACCAAAACAATCACGACAGCACATGCCAGGAGTATATCCTCGGTCATGAGCCCGCACACACTCACAAATAGACACAAGGGACAGAGATACAACCAGTCGAGCTACTGGTATACCTTCTCTTCGAGGCAATCTGGCTTGAGGGTCCTTTCGTCTTCTGTACGATCGTTCTTATATTCGGACAGCCGATAGACCCTCTAACACCTAAGCAACAGCTTTGGGACGGGTTTAAGATAATGCTGGGCTTGTCATGGTGGTTGTTCGTATCTCACACATTTCTTCGAATGCGGTATGGACTTGAGAGCTGATGTTATGTAAAGGGGAGGTATCGTGGACATGCTGAGACACGACATCGAGCTGTGGTTAATAAAAAGAACAACGCTTCCAGCTGCTCATGGTGACAGCGCTTCGTGGTGTGTATTCCTGAGAACGGAGTTGGCGAGCATGATACTCAAAGGTCCTCTGATTTTGCAGTGTGCAGGATGTGCGGTTGTCCTCACAGAAGATGCCTGTCATCCAGCAGCACAAGCAACAGCGAGAAAGAGGATTTCCGAGCATCAGAAGAATGAAAATGTTAATATTCCTCCATCTGGAAATTTGGAATTGGCATTGATTTAAATGACCCCTCCTCCGCAGTGATCAATGAATCGTATGACGAGGGGCCCAAGCATTTCCTCTGTGGTACGGCAGTCCTTCCTCGTCCTTTAAACCACCTCCCAAACAAGCTCCGGAACACAAAAGAAAACAAGACGTCGTAATCGTAAACCTACACGAATAGGCAGGAGTCGAAAATCCGGGGTCCAACGACCTTGCCCTCCTTCTCCTCCACTTATGAAATTTTCTTCTAGAAGTTCAAGCAGGGTACGGAACAATTTTCTGTTCTGAAAGGAAAGAGAGAAGAAAAGAGGAGTACATACTTTGCATCCCAAAGAATTGAATTTGAGCCTCATGCTCTGTCGATCATGAGATAGTGTAGACAGGGAAGGAAGAGCCGTAGTAGGTCAAGTGGCTTGGATTAGAGTTTGAGCACTTGCTCATTAGGGAAATGTTGCTGGTGCATCTGCGTCTGCCACTTCAGATCATGCAACCTTGGAGCCTCGCCGAGAGATGGTGACCTGATTCATGTAAGTGGCAACTTCCGTGCAAGATGGACCCAGACAGAGGGCAGTGTATGGTAGACCGCAAGATCGTGGGTCTATGCTGAGCATACAAGCCAGTTCTTCACCAACATTGCAGACGTTTAATGCTGACGCTATGATGACTGGAGTAGACGTTAATGCGGAGAGGCGGTTCTGCCTGGCGATCTTCCAGGTAGTGCAACAAAAGAACATCAACGGTTACGATCATAGAAGTGTAGATCGAACCATCACGGTAGGTGGAAGCGAGCTAAAGGTGATAATCTTCCAGATGTAGGTTGTCAGAAACTGTATGAACCATATGTTCGCCAAGCATAGTGCCAAGGATCTTGCGTATAGCACGTACTGTAGTGTAAACAGGCCTGGAACTGGAGCTGCTCCGAAAGTAACAATGTCCAATCGAGTCGTAGCTCCAAGCCTCATACCTGTGGATGGTTTTCGAAGGTCTGACATTGTCAAGCACTAGCTGGCAAGCGCTGAAGTAACAGTATCTCTGCGGAGTATGCTCAAGCATGCTGAGGATCTGAATCCAGAAGTACGGAAAGTACCATTGACGCTAAGCACGTGCCTGCCAACTCGCAGGAGAAGTATGAGCCTGTTAAAAATGTAGCACCTGTAAATCGTAGGGGCGTTGAACGTGGTTGAACAGGGTTGCTCTAGCACACTGCTCGGACACTGAGTTCCAATCTGCTCGCGTGAGGTACTTCGCAAACAGCGCTCAGGGGTTGTCCATCTCGATTTGTTGATTTCTGAAGACGAAAGTTAGGGGAACCGTGCGAACCAGATGCAGCACAACGAAACGGAGTGGAGCCGGCATGCAAAACATCTCACTAGTGCCTCCGCGCTTCTGAAATGTGACCGTGCATGCATTCCATTCACACCAAGATGTCTTGTCGTCGTTGCTCTTGTGCTCACTAAGTTCGATCGGAAGAGCTCGATATGTTGATGTTTTCACATTTTCACAACGGCTTGGAGAATTCAGTGATCACCGAAGGTGGATCGAACCTGTCAGTCGTCCGTGATGGTTCGTTACACAGACTTGTTGCAGATGACCCAGTGCTCATGTAGGCTGCCGCGCACTTATGGCCCCCATCCAGAGTGGCTTCAATTCTCGAGAACTTGGTAAGCTGTAGTTGTGAGCTCGAAACCATCTGATGTGCTGCGTATCAAAGGGTTCGTTTGCCAGTTGCAAACCAGCAATTTCGGTCGGAATGTGATAGTGAGCACAGCATCACATCGACTTGGCAAGAGTGCTGGAGCTGCTGATCCACCCGAATCGGTTGAGGCCGTCTGCAAAGTTTATCAAGCTTCTGCTCCATCCTTACCCGCTACCGAAATGCTGCGAGCATGTACAGTGAACTTTGGATGCCAGATGATTCTGGATGCAGCACGAGAAATCCGATGGGTAGAAGCACGTGTAGGGCGTGCACGAGCCAAGCATGAAACCTGTTCAGTCCCGAAGTAGTCGATGAGGCTGAGGTCGCTCATGGCGACCACCAGCAGACATGGAGCGCAGTCAACGACTAATCTCTTGGACGGAAGGTTATGTTTCATCGACTGATACTCATTCTGCACTTTCGACTGCCTGACGAAGCCCTTTGCAATCGCTAGTGCAGCTTGGTAGTCAGTATGTTGGAGCATGACCGCATGCGGTAAGGTTTGGCAAGACGATTGCAGAGTGAAGAAGACAAAGCCCACGATGTTGGATACGTCGAAATACTCTCATGCTCGAGAATGCCTGTGATCCACGATGCTTTCGATCAAGCGCATCCGGAACAAAAGATTTCGATGTGCTTGATAGTTAGTATGTCTTCCTCCTTCGTCGTTCTTTCTCCTCTACCTCATCCATCCGAGACAAAGCCCTGACGCACCTCATCGGCAACGCACTTCGCAAATCAGCGCAGCTCACACACCGCCTGCCACCCGGGAGAGACATACCTCAGGACTTTGTTGAGCCAGGACTACTGTCAAGCAGTTGTCCTGATGTGTTGTAGCTGAACAACGACTTCCCGCAACAACTCTTACCTGTTCACCATCCACCTTCCGCGACAACAAAGTTCCTTTGAAGATTGTCGTCTTCCGTTACCACAACGATCAAAGAGAGGCTTCTGCTACATTGTCCAAAGCCAGTTGTGTTTGACAGTAACAATCTTGCAAGGCCCTCAAGGTCGTCACTGGGCTGTTGTCCGAGACTGTCATCGTTCGAAAGCTCTGCAACTGATTCCGACTCAGCTCGAGCGCTGCACAACCACCTGCAAACAATGGCACCAGAGAACACAGCCCACGGTCAACCGTCACCCCCTCGTTCGTCTGATGAGCATCACCCCATTGACTACGATTACGGCTCGATTCCATCACACGCCATGTTAGCGCCCTATACTCCTCCAATGCAATCATACGTAAGCTTCTGCACCTAACAGTAGTGCTAACCAAGCTAACCTGATGGTAGAATTATGCTGATCCAGAAGAATATGATTTGCATCGTCATCAGGACCACCACGACGACGACGACCCAGTAAGTGCTTGGTACTAGCCAAGCTTGTGCTGTTGCTGACCAGGAATTAGAGCTACTACCCAGAAACAACTTACCATACACCACCACAACCCATAGCTGCTGGAGGCATGCAGACCCGCAGTGGCAGGTCCATCGGAACACCAATGTCAGCAAGTAGTCCTTCTAGCAGATTATCGGCTTCGCCCCGACCAAAGAGAAATAGGAAAGGCAAGGACAAGGGCAACAACGAACAGTTCAAGATCACCGAGCCTTTGAGCGTGATGACCAAAGACTACGATGTGCCGGTCGAGGACATGGATGCCTGGGTCACCCGACCAAACCAAGTTCGATATGAAGAGATTGGCAAGAAGCACAAAGGTGGTATTCCCAGGCCAATGAATTCCTTCATGCTGTATCGTCGGGCGTACAAGGAGAGAATCAAGAAGTGGGGTGCACAAGGAGACAACAACCAAATGATCTCGTCAGTGGCAGGTTGCAGCTGGCATCTTGAGCCGCAACACATCAAAGATTATTATAACAAGATTGCCAAGACCGAGAGCGACAATCATGCAAAGGCATTCCCGGATTACAAGTTCTCTCCAAACAAGACCAAGAAGAAACAAGTCCACGACGACGAAGAGGACACAGATCCAGAATGGGATGGCGGTTCGGTGTACAGCAACAAGCGAAGACGAGGCCGCCATGACAGGGATGTCACAAGAAGTCGGTCATCGACACCAGCGCACATGATGTATGGGTCTCCACAGATGCATCCTTCGTCGTACCAGATCGGCAACCATCTTATGCCTGTCCCTCAATATGAGCAGTGGGTGCAGCCTGTTCAGTATGGTCAGTACTACTCTTATGACCACATGGGTTATCCTAGTCAAGGACATGCTATGTCATATGGCCCCAGGTCAGTGCCAGTACAACAGGAGCGGTACATATCGCCGCTTGTTGGGTTGCCGCCAACGACTGAAGGGTTAGTGGAGGGTGATGGTCTCATCCAGCCAGACTTCGGTATTGATCCCAGTCTTGATGATTACGCTCCACAAGCAAGTTACCATTATGGGTCGTTCTCAGAAGGTCTTCATGAGCATGATCTTCGGAGAAGTCAGTACGAAGAGCCAGAACCGGTAATACATCCTGGCATGCAAACTCTCGCTCCAGCAGAGTCATCGTGGGATTCAACAAACCATGCTGGCCATGCATTTGATACAGAGTTGAATAGGTGGCCTGGCGAGCAATAGGGATGAAAGGGAGAGGAAAGATACCTGACTGTTTTGTAAAAACATAACTCTCCAGTCATGTAAAGCAAGCTGTCCTGTGTACACAACGTCGTTCAGGATTGTGATGGCGGTCGGAGTTAGGACAATAGTATTGTTGTGCTCAATACAGGAGCAGTAGTTTGTGGCGATGGAGATGTGTATCCAGCTTTTTGCGTACACAAAAGCCTTGTCTGGAATATTCAGTATATACACAGAGAACGCAGAGCTAAAACAGTCATCTTGCAAAACTGAATGTCTTGTGTGAAGGAGTGTTGAGTTGAGTTATCTGTAGATTGCAGGTGAGCTTCGGCACATGAGTCGGTAAAGCAATCGCGAAATTTGGCAAGCGCGTTTCACGCGTCAAACCCCACCTGCATCTTCTGTCGTTCTCCCTTCCAAGAGACCTTCCTACAGGTGGTTGTCGTTCTGTCACAGCTCACTACATCGATGCATGGTGAGCTCGGGAACAAGCTCGTAGGTAAATATCCCAACCCATAGCAGCCTCAACTGATATCAACAGGTCCAAAATGCGAAGCGCATTCAGACTCTTCACCACCTGCCTGGCTACCAGACTGAACTGGTCAGAGCGGTTGCGCGTGAAATCGTTGATTTAGACAGAGACATAAAACAGATCGTGAACCCTTTTCAAGGTTCTTTTGACCCTGTAGCCGAGCCTGCAACTGCTTGTGCCCTGCTTGTTGACCATATATCTATGCGGAGGAACAAGAGATGTCTGCTCGCTTACCATCGTGTGCGAGCTGAGAAGCTCGAACAGATGTGTTGGAGTGGCAAGGATGTGCTAGATCAAACTTATCATGGTGACATAGGACAGAGCAATCGAGCGAATCCGGGCAGTGAAAGCTCATTGAGCCCTGAAGAAGAAGAATATTTCCGACAGTACAACGATATGATGTCTACCTACAAAGGACAATGGACCGATATAGACCTTACAGGAAGTCTTGAACCACCTCGAGACCTCTTCGTCGATGTCAGAGTTCTGAAGGATGCAGGAGAGATTCAGACGGAATATGGGTGAGCGGGCACACTCTCGGGCTGTGCCGTGTATGCTAACCCACAACCTAGATCGATCAACCTGACTAAGAACAGCCAGTTCTACGTAAGACTCGCTGACGTTGAGAGACTTATTGCACAAGGCTTTCTGCAGCGTCTTAATTGACTGAACATTCACCACGTCTACAAACGACGTCCTTACCTGTAGACCATGTTAGTACGACTCGCTACAGCAGCATTGGCTGTTCACTTCTTGCTACCTCGCAATTGCGAACTCGCGAAAGTACGAATGCTGGACGGCTGGAGAAGTGGTTCTTATTTTACCACAGCTGAGCAATGGAAAATCATGTAGCGTTATCGCAAATACTCTGCTCATCGCCAGAACCAGCGAGGACGAACACTCTATAGCAAGGTACTCATCAGAACGACTGTTGTACGAGTATCTGCTGTAATCAGTCCCACATGCATGGTGACAAAGCACATGCACCGGCAGGCTAGTCATTCTCACTGCAGGAACAGCTGCAGGTCATTGAAGACTTCTTGGTGACTTTTGTGCATCTGTTACTGCATGTGAGAGATATAGAAAACTTTACCCGCACATTGCAAGCCTAGCTTTTTATCAATGAATCATTGCTTTTCGGCACGTTCAGTCGACTAACAGCGAGTACTGCTGCACTTGCAATTTCTGGATGACGAGTAATTACAAGTGATTACCTCGTATTGAGGGACACTGGACGGTCTCTAGAGTATCCCAAGAGCTACGAGGTCACTTACACCCTACCATCAGGCACCAGTCCGAGCGTTTCCCATGCTCCTGGCGATTGCTCGAACTTGTGCTCAATTGGGCTGGAAAACTTCGTCATCCTATCCGAAAGTCAAAACTTCAAACTTTTTCCCCATCCTTGAGTTCAGGTAGTGCCGGTTCATCCTTTTGCATTTCCCTGCCGTTTGCAATGCATCTTTGCGCATTAGTGACCTCCTCGTTGTATCCTTGCAACCGCTTGCTAGTAGGATATCTTTCATCAGTATCAGACATCACGCCATGCAATGACAACAGTACGCCATCGCCGAGCTTGACGAGATCTACATAGCCAACCACTTGCACTTGCAGCAAGCGGCTTGAATTAGCTTTCAACTCAAACCGTTCCTTGCAACATGCTTGCCTTGCCTTGAGGAGACCAAATTCGAGTTCCATAGCGCTTCCTGCCGCGACCGAGCTTCTCGGACAAGCTTTGCACAGTAGCTGACCGAGTCGAACACTTCATGGTTCTCCACTCAAGCCAACTCGTCGTGGACCACTATGTCGACTTCCACTCCCGATAGAGCGAGGGGCCGCAGCGGCTCTCTGCACTCGTCTGCCAGGAAGAGCAAAGCTGGGCCAGCACCCATGAATATCAATAAACGGCACCAAGATAATCGCTCTCTAGATACTGCCAACTCGTTGGCAGTGGGGGACAGAACATACGACACCTCCAGACCTCGTGCAAATTCGATTTCGAATTCAACAGCACAGTCCTATGGGAGAACCCCGAACCGATCCTTCTACCACCGTTCCTTTCACGGTCAGCTCGACCCTGCACAATACTCCTCCGAAGGTCTGAGAGAGCAGACTGCAGAAATAGCCAGTCTGGCCTACTCGGACAATACTGAGCACTCCCCCACACGCTCCGAGGATGGACAAGAATATCCTCCTGTGATTGAAGAAGTGTCGGAGCCAGTGACACCTGCAGAATCAGCACACGAGAGATCGGGTGAGGCTTTATTAGCCTTAATACCGGATCTACCATCGCCAGTAATAGAAGCAAGACGACGCACGCCGCCGTTTGAGCACTCGAGTCTCGATATGTATGAGGGCCAGGAACACGATGTGGACGAGAGGACTGCGCTACTCAAAGACAACAAAAGCCCTACTGCCTTTGATGGTGCCAATGAAACAGAACGTCAGAAACCGGACAACAAAAGTACACTACATTTATGGTACGGAGCTGCATCCGCAAACATCAAGTCAGGATGCTACACACTGTCACATCCCAAGACGTGGAGTGGCAGAGCTGTCCTCGGGTCTGTTGTCGTGCGTCCAGCAAAACTTCTACCAGCTGTGTTCTTGGGACTACTGCTTAACATACTGGATGCGCTGTCTTATGGCATGATTCTCTTCCCACTAGGCCATCAACTGTTCGACGACCTTGGTTCGGATGGCATAGCTATCTTCTATGTCAGCACGATCATCGCTCAATTGGTGTACTCGTGTGGTGGTTCAGTCTTTCGAGGTGGCATTGGTTCTGAAATGATCGAAGTGGTCCCTTTCTTTCACAAAATGGCCTTCCTCATCCTCGAAAAAGTCGGCGAAGATGATTCGAAGTCAGTCCTTGCTACTACTGTCCTCTCTTTCGCCATCAGTTCGGTCCTCACTGGAGCTGTCTTCTTTTTGATGGGCGCTTGCAGGCTTGGGTCGTTGATAGGCTTCTTTCCACGGCACATACTGATTGGTTGTATTGGAGGAGTTGGCTGGTTCCTGGTCGCAACTGGTGTTGAAGTTTCTGCAAGATTACCCGGCAACCTGGAGTATAACATACCCACTTTGAAACAGCTTTTTCGAGCAGACACATTTATGCTTTGGCTCATTCCTTTAGCCCTAGCTATCGTTCTCATGATTACTCAACGCTTCGTTAAGTCAAACTTTCTTGTTGGTGGCTACTTCGTTTCAGTCGCTGCAATTTTTTACTTCTTCAAGTTTGCTCTAGGTATACAAATGGATACCTTACATTCGAATGGATGGATCTTCGATAGCCCTCCAGCAGGTAATCCATGGTACCACTTCTGGACACTCTACGATCTCAAAGCTGTCCATTGGGGTGCCCTTGCCGACACTATCCCTACGATGTTTGCACTTACTTTCTTTGGCATACTTCACGTGCCGATTAACGTCCCAGCTCTTGGTATTTCCACGGGCGAGGACAATTTGAATGTCGATCGAGAGCTGATAGCCCACGGAGTCTCAAATACTCTCAGTGGTCTTTGCGGTTCGGTTCAAAATTATCTAGTATACACCAACAGTCTGCTTTTCATCGACTGCGGAGGCAATGACCGACTTGCGGGAATATTGTTAGCCGCCGGGACATTTGGAATTCTGCTGGCTGGACCTGTGATCATTGGTTACATCCCCATCATGGTCGTTGGCGCACTTATTTTCCTGCTTGGCATCGAGCTTCTGGAAGAGGCAGTCGTCGATACCTTTGGGAAAGTCCATAAACTCGAATATGCTACTATCTGGATAATTGTGATTACGATGGGTATCTGGGATTTTGTTGCCGGTATTCTGGTTGGGATTGTGCTGGCAGCCCTGAACTTTGTTGTTCAAACCAGCCAACGTACTGCTATTCGCGCCGAGTATTCTGGCGAAATCGCTCAATCGACAGTGAGAAGGCCACCTGTACAGCGGAAGTTTCTGCACGAAGCTGGCCAGCAATTATTCGTGATCAAACTGGCTGGCTTTTTGTTCTTCGGTACGATTGTGGGAGTCGAGAACCGTATCAGAGCTTTGCTTGCTGACGACGCTTTTCGTGCATCACCACTACGTTTTGTTGTCCTGGATATGTCAAGCATTAATGGGATTGATTTCTCTGCAGCCGAGGCTTTTACTCGAATCAATCGGCTACTGAGTAAGCGTGGTGTACAGCTTTTGATCAGCGGTCTCGAGCTCGACGGTGAGATCGGCATGGCTCTGCGGAATGTGGGCCTCTTCAGTGAAGATTCAGGTGTCAGCGTATACGAAACACTAAACCAGTCGCTGCAGGACTGCGAGAACAAATTGCTGAAAGCTCTTTACGAGCAGCAGAAGCAAAGAGCAGTACGCTCTTCACGCACTACTTCTCACCTCGATATTCCTGCTTCGAGGACGAATGTGGACTTTTCAGCCTCGTACCGCCAGGAATTTCTGGTCAGCTCTCCTCGCCAGAATCAGTTGCATGAAGCAGCGACTGCCACACTGGAGGAGGACCACTCTTCCCTGCAGAAATGGTCAGCATACAAGGCGCCTTTGCCGCTGCTCATGCAGATATTCGGAGACGTTTCGGACAAGAACGAGGACTTTTGGCACAAAGCTGTACCATACTTCGAAAAGGTCACATATCCTCGTAACTCGGTACTGTTCAATGCTGGAGACAAACCTTCGGGCTTCTACCTTCTAGAAGAGGGTCTACTGCGTGCGGACTATGATTTGCCGCAAGGCAGATTTTCTGAATTGATTGTGGAGAAACGTCCGTGCGGTGAGCTACCGTTCTTCTCGGATACACCCCGGACAGCAAGGCTCATAGCCGAGACGCATTGCGTGATATGGCAACTTACAGATCGAAAATGGCATGAGCTGCAAAAGGCACATCCGGACATTGCGCAAGAACTATTGAAGATCAGTTTGAAGCTGACCAAGGAGAGGATGGACACGATCACGGCATATGTTATGACTGCTGCTGGGTAGACGACGATTTTGGGGATCTTTGTGCTGCTTGGGTTTCTATATTTTGACGGAGGTGAAGTTGATCCTCTCACAACGCAAGGTGTTGGTGGCTTATTGGTTTTGGATTAAAAAGTTTGGCAGAAAGCCGCTGTTAGCATGAGTGTCAGAAGTAGCCTGTCGATAATCATTTGCTCACTGTTATGACACCTACCGAGCTGAATAGTTCCAATTACACACTCGATCGAATTGCAGACAATTGGTACAGTTAAATGCCCAAGGCTCTACATCCTTCGATATCCTTAGTCTTCATTCGTCAAGTGTCAGAAAGAAGGTGCATCGAGGAGACAAGTGAGTGCCTACCAGTTCCTTTCCTGCTTGTGATCAACATACAAGCATCAAGGCCTCGTCAATGGTGCCAAGCTGTTTCAGCGCCTGTCGCTTGCTGATATGGGCTTCCGAGATTGTCTGGAGTGCGCCGGAACAGACCCTTACTTTCGCTTTCGGAGCATGGACGAGACGATACGCGCTAGCATGTGCGTTTCGAGCAGGTGTTCTCTGATAACGAAAGATGGTAGTATTCGTATATAGAGTAACTGCTCGTATATTCTACAAATTTCAATATGTGAATGATGGTGACGACGACGAGACAGAGCACTGACGAAGGTTGCGAATGAGAAACGCGTCGTATGTGCCGCCACGAGGCTCGAGAACGGGCGACCAGATAAACCTGGGATTGTCGCATGACCCAGTCAAATTTTCTCAAGAACCTGGGATCTTGCAGCTAAATTTTCCTGATCACGAGCGTATGTAATGATAGACCTGGAAAAGGTTCTCACGAATACCCGAGTAAGGTAAAGGGGCACGACTTGCAGATAGCAGCAGCACATTGATGTATTTTTATTCGTTCTCCGCCCTACTCTGCATATTTTTAGCCTGATCTGCGCGTGGTCATGGTGCGGACGCGAACTATTCTGATACGCCGACTGGTCACAACAAGGTGAGAGATTCCGAGTATGCACCTGACATCCCACTGCTCGTGATGCTCATGCCACGAAGTGATAGGAATGATCGGACGCTCAGGTCTATCTCTTTGATTCTACTTCCCCAGATAACTACTGTCCACATTATCCAGCAAATGTCCGACGTCGTAGAGAAGATTTCGAGGTGGCCTTGAGCTGTGCTATCATCGCGTGATATGCACGCAGTATCCCGCTCGACCTCGCGACAAGTCACAGGTCAACCCGCAACGGGAAGGCTGCTTGACGGTTGTGTTGCTGCAAGAGCGGATTGAGAGCCTCTCGGATCCCCCTGATTTCGAACGTTCCACACAACGTGGCAGTTTCGGCTGAGTTCTCACAACTACCAAGATCCAAACCAGACAACCTCACCTCTTGCTACAGGTTCGGAGCGAGGTGATGAAGGGTACATCTGATAACGTTTGCTTGTCCTCTAGCATCACACCGTACGACATTAAGAAATATTAGTCAAAGCATTAGGCTTGTAAAGGCTAGAGTCAGGGAGGTTCGTATTGAGTTTAGGACATGTGTAAGGGCTGGGAAGGTTTTCAGAAAGTGGATTGATCGACCACAGGCGTGGTCACTAACCAGGACTAGGATTTCCTGGGCACGACTAGTGGGCAGGAAGATGCAGTTAAACTTCGTGAGCATCGCGCCTCCAAATCTCCCGCAAAGGCACGATTGTTGTTGAGTTGCGCCAGCGGAAATGAATCATCGATCAATCGAATTGCAATCACGCTACATGAACAGGCAGTGCCGGCAAAGTCGTGGCGCCAGAGGCCGAGAGTGCTCGAAGAAGGACGAATGGCGGAACATCCGCAACACTCTAGGTCCAAACTGCAGGCCGTAGACGACTGGAGGTCTAACAAAATACCGTGACTGCTCGTTCGACTCGTTTCTTTCCTTCCTTCCCTTCTCTCAAGATACCCAAGATACCCTAGTTCGTTGTTGCTGTTCTGCTTCATACTTCATACTTCTTTCCCTGTACGTCACGACAGTCATTGTTGCAAAGCACACCAGTAAATTTCTAGCGCCCTTTGTTCCTGCCTTCGGGACAATAAGCTAGTCCGTATCACCTGCACGAGTTCAGGTTTCAACTGCATTTCCTCCCTTGAGCCTGTGCACCCACAGCCATCAACTGCTTACCGACTTTTACTGGCCTGCTGATTTGCTCGTCCCTCCTTCGGCTTCAACGCATTATTTCAAATAACTTCTCCTGAGAAACATTCACATTCCATACTATTGCATAAGCCATGTCTGTCGGCGTGCCAAAGGTCGAGGAAAGCACTCCTGTTGCTACCAAGCCAGTTGACAACACTACTGCCTCTGCTGAGCCAACTACACCTGTCATTCCTACAGACTTCAATTTGGGTACAACCGAGCCTGCAACAGAAACTACCACGGAGACACATGCCACCCCATCTGCCACTACAGAAGCAGCTAAGCATGACACAGTCGCAGAGGCTACCCCTGCCACTGAAGGCATTCTCGGTTACAAGGCACCTGGTCTGCTGAAGTAAGTTGGCTAGTCAATCCACTTGCACAACTCACTAACTTGACACAGGCAATTTCGATTTGTCAAGCACTTTTTCTGGTTCAGTGAGGAGCCTATTACCCAACAAGGTCTTGATACCTACATCAAGAACGAGAAGGCTGACGTCGCTCACCACAATGCTGCCTGGGCACAAGAGACGGGTAAAGGTGTATTGTTCTACACCAAGCGCTCAGAGGACAAGGCTACTCCTACCGGTCTCATCTTGATTGTAAGTAACGGAAGTACAAGAAGAAGATAGCACATGCTAACGAACCCTAGGCTGAGGCATCTGCCATCACCAAGACCGGCTTCACCGACTTCTCCTTTAAGATCGGCAGTCACACCCACAAGTTCGAGGCTGCTTCTGAGGCAGAACGAGACAGCTGGGTCGCTGCTATCCAGCGAAGCGCTGATGAGTCTAAGGATTTGAAGACAGATATCACTGGCCGTGACACCTACAAGAAGAATGTATCGGGTTATGGTAAGTGTTTATTTACTTTATGACGTACCTGGAAATGATCGTCAGCTAATGCAACCACTTTAGCTGTTTTGCCTGCTGTAGCTACAACTGCCGCCGTAGCTACTCCAAAGAAGTCTCTAGATGCCACAACCCACACCAACACTGCTACGGCCGCTTCCACCGAGCCCGCTGCCAGGACCGACACCTCGAGCGAGTCCTCGGATGACGAACATAAGAAGCGAAAGGCCGCCGAGAAGCAAGCCAAGAAGGAGCGTTCTCAATCTCGAAAGAGAAACAGCGTCTTCGGCCTCTTTGGCAAGAAAGATGAAGAGAAGACCGAAAAGAAGGTCGAGAAAGAGCACGAGAAAGAGGTGAAGAAGGCCGAGAAGGAGCACATTAAGGAGGAGAAAAAAGTCGAGGCCGAACACAAGAAAGAAGAGGCAAAGGCTGAGCACGATGCTATCAAGGCCAAAGACGCTGCCGAGGCTGCCGCTATTGCCGCAGCGCCAGCAGCTGTCGTGCCTGCTGCTGTGAAGAAAGAGGAAGAACGACCACTTGAGGAAGTCACCACTCCGACCGAGAAGAAGAACAAGCGTGCCTCTGTCTTCGGTGGGTTCTTCAACAAGAACAAGATCGTCAGCCCTACCACTGAGAAATCGGAGAAGGATGTTGTTCCTCATGTTCCAGCTAAAGATGAGCCTTCTGCCGTGTCCGAGACCGCACCTAAGCTTGACGAACCAATTATGAACAAGCCAATAGATACCGCCGCCGTCACTTCTCCAGTCAACACTACTACGAATTCCACTCCAGCAGCGATATCCGAAGAGCCAATTGTTAACGAGCAAACCACTACTGCAGAACCTGCTGTCGTGACACCTAGAACAGAGAGGAAGAGCTTCGTCTCTGGCCTCTTCAAGAAGCACGACAAGAAGGAGGAACAGGGAGAGGACCTCAACACCAATGAGGAGACTGTCAACACTCCAGCTGTGACCTCTACAACCGCGCCAGAGACAGCTGTTGCTGCCACAGAAACACCTGCCGTTGAGACACATGTCAAGGATACCGAGGTTGCCAAGGAGGAAAGACCTGCTCGTGAGAAGCGACGAACTTCCCTCTTTGGCTCGTTTGGTACTCTGAAGCGAAAGACTGAGAAGTCTCCTGCTCCTGAATCACCTTTTGCTACTTCTGAAGAGACCCGATCTCCGGACGAGATTAAGCGAGAGAAGTCGCCTCTCCCTGGCAAGCTTGGTGGTCTCTTTCGCAAGAACAGCCGTGCTAACAAACTAGAGACTGCAGCAGGAGAAGGCAAGACCGACGTAGCAGCCACTGAGACTAAGCCAGCCGTCACGGAAACATCAGCAACTGGAACGCTTGCTAACGCCACAATCATTGAACCCAAGACCGACTCAGAGATTGTCGGTGACTTCGTTCCTGACAATATTCATCACACCGTTCACGATGCAGTTACAGCAGACCCAGCCGAGGTCAAGACTACAACTACAGCTTGAAGGTCCCACGAGGTCAGAGACAGAACTCCACCAACGTCTCCTTCTCGCATACGAGGCATGTCACGGTCAGCGACTCCAGTTGAGCATGAGAAGTGGTGGGACGAGAAGTCCTTTACAGGTATATCCATGTCTCCTCGCAGCCCTTCTCGTCTCTCTGGCCTCGCAGTTTAGGAGGCTTTTTGTTTGTAAGCACGGACAAGCAATTCAGCACAATAATTCAGTGTTACCTGATAGGTACGACACTCTTTTGAAGAGAAACCACGATCCCTAAATCGCCAGGCAACTTTTCCCACAAGATACCCAGTCGAGCACAGATGGACAAAATTGTATTTGGTTTATTGATTTTTTGATATTTGCGATACCCAGTCGGTCAAGCGAGCTTTCCATTTTCTTGATGAGAGGAAGAGATACCCAGGTTGCGCTGCGCGATTCCTCAACCTTGCGCATACCATGAAGGATATTGGCATGTTAGACAGCTAATTCTATTGAGTCAGCTAGTCTATGTGTTGACGTTGGGGGACTTGTTCGTGTTATTGGCTCGAGTTCGAGGTCTTCCTGTAACCTCGACAATACCATTGTCGCAGTTTCAGGAAGGTTCTTGAAAACGTCAATAACTATCCGATCGGGATAGGTCTTCCGCCTCATGTATATTTGTTTTGGTTAGGAATATTTCCATGAAATAATAGCTAATAGAGAGTCGTTCATCGTTGTTAGCATGTCAACGAGCCTGCTCATCCTGTTGTGATTCACTGCATGATTCTTCCATGACATCCTTCGATCCGACCCCTGACTGCGTGATGGCAGCAAGTGGATTTGAGTAGCTCATTGTAAAAATCGCTACGTGGAATTGTAACCACTTCCGGGCAGGAGTTAGAGAGCTCATAACTCAAGTTGAACCCCGAGATATGCCCTGTGCGCGTCAGTTCCAGGGTCCACCTCAGACCATCCATTCTCGGATCTACCACTGCACCACATTGCAATCGTGTCGCAATCGAGCTCGAGACTCAGAAGATGGCACAGTTGCTGCCTCGTCGGGCACCTTACGTGTGCAAAGCGTGTCGGTCAGCGCAAGCAGCCAGGCCAATAATCAGAGCTTTTTCCACTACTCTCAGTCGAGCCGCAACACTTCGACAGCAACTTGAAGGTCGAAGCTCCCCAATACCCAACAAGAAATCCAGTGGTCTGCCTGCTCAAGTCCAGAGACCAAAGGCTGGCAGACCTGGGATAAACCCACCGTCCTCGTTGACGCCTCAAAAGGCGCGAAAGCCTGCAAACGAGACGGCAGAATCGACGACACCACCTCCAGCCTCCAAGATAAATTCAAATGCGCTCCTGACCAAGGACTCGAAGTTGACGGTACGGTCGATACAGGAGGGTGCATTAGCCATACTGGAATCAGAAGAAGTGCCGGATGAGGCGACAGTCCTTGCTGTTCTGCAAAGAGCTCAGGAACTGGCAGATGTTCTTGTCCAGACACAACCGTTACAAGGTTTACCACAGTCGGACCTTTCGACAGAAAAACAGGGCGCGCGGACGTCTTCTACGAGCAACGATGGAAGCTCTCTTTTCGTGGAGTTGAATGAGCCTCAAGTTCAGGCAAGGCAGGAACAAGATCAGGTCGCTACACCACTACCTGCTTCTGCTCTGTCCATCGAGGACCGCAGAACCCTCGCCTTCCTCTTAGTGAAAGCGCTATACCCTCTCCTCGAAGATCCCAAAGTATACATATCCGAACGTATTCTCACCTTCTACGTCGAGATCGCAACAACTCTTCAACTTCCTCAATACCTTCCTAAGATACTTCACCTCTACGCCCACAAACAAATACCCAAACCAGGCTCTCACCCCATCCAGTACTCCGAACCCTGGTCCTCGACACCCAAATACGCTGTCCCACATCGTCTCGCAGACCTCGCCATCGAATCAGCAATCTCGATCCGTGACATGCCCCTCGCAATCAGCCTCATCGACGAAACCGTCGCAACTACTCAATTCAAATGGGCAAAATTTATCAAGAAAGCCGCTTTCCCACTCACCCTCGCGTCCAGCGTTATTCCCTTGGCCTGGACCCTCTCCTCGCGCGCAGCAAGATGGCAAATCAGCTGGGAAGAAGACACTTTCTTCTGGATGTGTATCTCTGGCAGCAGCGCGTATATTGGCACTATGGGGATTCTTCTCTATATCACAGTGACGACGTGGAACGATCACCATAAACGAGTGAGGTGGATTCCGGGCACGAACTTGTGGCCAAGATGGGTTCGCGAAGAGGAAAGATACTACCTCGATAGAATCGCGTTAGCTTGGGGATATCAGGATGTGAATCGACACGGAGAAGAGACGGGAGAAGAGTGGGAGGCGCTCAGAGAACTTTTGTTGAGAAGACAATTGGAGCTTGACCGAAGCGCGTTATTGCCTGGTATGTTGTGAAAGGAAAACAGATGGCCTCTGGCTAGCTTCCTACACATTGAGCAGAGGCAAATCGCTGGCGACTTTGAGTTTTCGACGTTCGTGAGGCTCTTCATAAGAACTCCTTCCATCCTCGCACGACCGGATATAGTCACGGGATTTTTCGGTCATTTTCCAACTTGTGCCAGATGGTACTCCTTTACACCTTCAGCTTCGGTGATGACTCACTAATTGACCCCCGAAGGGTCAGCGGTCTTCTGGCGACTCTCTGACAGTACATAACACTACCTGTGCTCGCTACCACCATGACCTCAACCACTACCATGAACAAGGCCCACCTAAACAGACCCCCAAAACCAACACATCCTACTCAAAACCACCGCAAATATACGCAACCATGTCGCTACAAAAAACCACTACAATCAACGACCTCCCCAACGAACTCCTCATCATGATCTTCCTACACATCCCCTCAATCCGCCTCTTCCGCCACTCCCACGACACAGCTCCAAAACCTGCAGAGGTATGTCGACGCTGGTGTCTGATGAGCTTTGATGCGTTTTCGATATGGCATAGTTGGCATTTTCGGGGGAGTGCGAACGGGAGTGGGTGTGATGGTGATGGCGGGATGTATAGGTATAGGCGGGGGGAGTATTTGAGGAGGTGGATGGGGGGTGTGGATGGTAAAGCTGAGGAGGGACTGAATGAGATTTCAATGAGGTGTTGAGACGAAGTTGAGGGAGTTGTATTGTTGACCTTGTTGAAGTTGTTGTGGTTGCACTTCAAGAACTGGTGATTTTTTGTGCTTGGACAATGTCGAATGCTGTTTGAGAATGTGGCTAGTAACAAGAGTTGGTAAACCCATTGTGGTTGAGCGAAGAAATGCGTTCAACATTGTCCATATACTAGTTCGACTGGACGGCATTACACAACTCTATTTATCGATGGGGAATGGTGAGCAGAAAAATCTGGGATTATTGCGCCTACTGAGACTTGGCACGGAATAGGCAAGAAACAATAACAATTCGTGTTTGGAAGAGCGTGAAGCGGAAAACGAATGTGTATAGTCGAGGATGATCAACCAAGCAAACTAGTGGGCAAAAGCATCAGAAGTGCTGTAACATAAGTAAGCCATACAGCCATCACCTTCCTATAAATTTCGGAAGCGAGACGCAGACACGAGACGAGTTTCACACTGGTTCATCACAATTCATCATTTTCGAGCTCGCACATCTGGCTGCCTCATTCTCTTTCTCGCTGTGCTTCTTCCTTCCCAGCCATTTGACAGTTATCTCATAGCCTACCTGTGGAGATTTTCAACAGGGTCATCTCCCGTATCCTCCATCTCTTCCACTCCTTCCATACACACATCGTAGTCGCCATTAGATCATCGTCATATCTCTGTTGTGGTATCGTAGAAAATCTCCTTCTTCTTCTTCTTCTCCATCTCCATCACTATCCTCTCACCTTGCGGCGAGTCTTGCCCCTTCCCGCACCACCTCGAGCACTGTTGCCACCAGCATTTCCTGCTCTATCTGGCCAGGTATTCGAAGCATATGGATCCGTATCTTCTTGTGTGAGTTGAAGAAACTGGTTGGCGCCTTGAGCCGCAGGATTTGGAGCGAGAGCGAGGGCAGTTGTGTTTGCGTGTCCAACTGAGTTATCCATAGATGGTTCTGCTGGTATGGGGGAGTGGTCTGGCGTGAGGTCAGGAGTTGGTGGGATCTGGTCGGGTGATCTAGTAAGCGTGACTTCGTTCATGCTAGTTGAAAGGTCTTCGATGGTGGAGGAAGCTGAGGTGTTGGTCGTTGGTTGAGTATGGCGTTCTTCCTGTGGAGGCAGGAGTTCATCATGAGAATCCTGCTGCTCATTGTTGTGAGTTTCATATTCTGCTATCTTGCAATTTCCATGGTCGTAGGATGGGCTCTCGTTGTCATTGCCGGACTCAGCTGGATCTGTTTCGGTGAGCAAGATGAGGAGTAATGGAGTTGGATACAGGCTTACCTTCTTCGCCTTGAAATCCTTCAACGTCTGCGTTATCTTCATCAGGAGCCATGATACTTTGTTCAAAGTCCAAGTCGTCATGTCGATTTCTGTTGCCGCTGCTGGACTGCAGTGACGTTCGCAGGGACATCCCGAAGCGTTTGTTGTAGACATCGTCAAGCATTTCGATTCGGTCTCCTTGCTTAATGGTTTCAGCTTCCTCGTCCATATAAGTCAACGAAGGTTTCTTGTGAGATTCATCAAGTGCTGACTGCCACATCGTAATGGTTGTAGCAAGCTCCTCCTCCCTCATGCCTCGCGCAAGTGTGGCAACATCTTTACGATCACATGCGAGCAGCGGGTCATTGACGCGCTTCTCGCCTTGATCATAAACATGCTTCAGAAGGGTTCTCATGCCTCCTACAAGAGTCATGATATTCACCATGGTTCTCCTCATTTCATCAGAGTCGAAACTATTGTCACCTGTCTCCAGAACATTATCGGCTTCTGCCTGCAGTTGGCCAAGTTCCGCATCCCAGGTGTGAATGACCAGGCTATCATCGTTGTCCGGCTCTCTGGTAACATCAATCAAGGCACACCACTGCTCGAGTACGGCGTCAAGCGCGTCTCGGAGTTTCTCAATGGTCCCAAGGTTGTCCCTGAGCAAATTAGGCCGGCTCATCATGACTGTACCAGAGTTTTAGTAAAGCGCTAGATGACCACACTTGCTGCGAAGTAGATATATTGGCCATCTGATGTTTCCACCCTTCCATTGTGCCAAATTTTGCTGGACACAAACAGACAAAAGCTTGCAGATATAAACGCTTGGACATTGACTTTGGCGAATGTCTTAGCACAATTAGCGACAATCATTTTTGGTCCTGTAGTGAATAGCATTCGGTTTTCCTGCTAACAAGTGAGTAGATCGAGCCTAGATTCAGTAAATAGATGACAAAGGCTTTCGCTCACAAGCAGTACCACGTCTAGACGGTCAGTGACGAGGAGATAATGAGGGAAGCAGGTCTGCTATCTTGTGATGGTATCCGACAGGATCAGTCATGCATATTGGCCAAGTCTGGAAGAGCATTGTGGGAACATAGAGTTTTTCTGCCTGTAGCCTGTTCGTACCACACCTTCACTCAGGTCAGCAATTCAAGAACTGTTACCAGTCAAAATGCTTGTCTTTGCTCTGCATCGATGGGCAAACTGAGTAGAGATCGCTTCCTAGCTTGAGATCGCGACTGAGCATTTGGGAGCAGTGAATTACTTATCTCATCACTGAGGTCTGAAGCGGCTGCTCCGTCACACAGCATGTATGACAAGCAGGAGAAGAACGCTTCTTACACCAGCCAGGAATATAGATCGCAAGCGTGCTTCTCTGAAGTTCATCCCGAGCTTGTTCTGAACAGGGCGCTGCTTAGTCCGGACTTGACAGGCAGACAGACTGTTTAGGACACCGTCGATATAGTGTTACCACCCCATCTATCAGTCTAGTTGAAATATGTGTTTTTCACCTTACTTGTACGAAACACTCCTGGGCTGAATGTTGGAAGCCGAGGTCGGTAATGGTGGAGTCTTTATCGATTAGCGGTTAAGACGGGTTTCATTGCAGTAACTCTCGTACCTGGCAGCAAGTTAGATAAGAACGATCCGTTGAGACAGGAGCTGTATATCTCGGCTATTTACACGCATATGTGCTCCTTCGGCAATGTTGGTCTTGAGGCAGTACTTACTACAACAATTTAGCAGGTAGACTCTAATCGGAATCAGGGCAAGAATCCAGATTACTACTTGGTCGCATTACCAGTATTACACGACTAATCTTACTCGTTGGGCGAAATACTCAGATCGTGGTCCACAGTGACCCGAGAACACTTCACAATGACAGCCCTCGCACATAATGGTGACTCGGGCTGGCTGCAACAAGAACCTCCAGCACTACCTCCTGGCTATGATAAACACCATATCGTCTTCCTCGAGGCTGTCCATTTTCCGCTGGCTAAATTGCCCTTTCCATACACAATAGACACGTATTCGAAGACCAAACCTAGCGAGATAGCTGAACGCATCAAGAACGCAACCATAGTCATTGCCAATGTCATAGATGTGAAGCCTTCTGACATGGATAACGCACCACATCTGCAGCTGTTAGCTATACTGGCGACTGGTATGGGTTGGGTTGACAAGGAGTATTGCGCGAAACGAGGAATTACCGTGGTCAACACTCCGGCTGCTAATATCGACGCTGTGTCCGAGCATTTCCTCGCTTTGTATTTCGCAGTACGCAAGAGAACTGGCATCGTCGATGAGATCGTCCACACGAGTGACGATTGGATACAGACAAATAGCTTGACAAAAAGAGTGTGGCCTCTTGGTCCGCCACTAGGTATCAAACAGGAGATACTGGGCATAATTGGGTATGGTGCGCTGGGCAAGAATATCGAGTGTCTGTGCAAGATGCTTGGCTTCAAGGAGATTCTCATCGCTGAAAGAAAAGGTGCCAAAGAGGTTAGAGAGGGACGCACTAGACTTGAGGACGTGCTGTTAAGAAGCACAACTATCTGTGTGGTATGTCCTAGAGCACCTGACACAATCAACCTCATCGACGAAGCAGAACTGGAGAGGATGAAGCCTGAAACAATAGTGATCAATGTAGCAAGAGGTGGGATCGTCAACGAAGCAGCACTCGCTAAAGCGTTGAAGGAGGGATGGATCTTTGGAGCCGCAACAGACGTACTAGACAACGAACCAGGCGGTCCAGGCACTACGCCTCTCCTGCCAGATGTAGAGAATGGCGAAGAGGAAGTCCCGAACATGATCGTCACAACTCATGTCGCCTGGTTCTCAGGAGCCACTATCGAGAATTTGCAGAACATCAATCGTGATGCAATGACGGCATATGTGGAAGGTAGGCTATATGATTCTAAAATCAAACATTGTGTTGCTGTACATGACGGCAGGATCTGGAAAGAGTCGTGAGTAGGTACGAGTACATAGCCTGAGCGAGGGCCGCTTGGCGTGGATCTGAACCACGTCAGCCCAGCAAGCGCAGCCTATCGTTTGACTCATACTGGAGATGGGCTCTACTGCACTGAGGACTGGTGTAATGGATGACTAGGCTGAGTCTTTCCCAAACTTACAGCTACTGCCACAAGTCATGTGTTCAGTAGATGACTGCCTTATCTCCAAATTGGCTCATCATTGGCTCGCAGCCAAGCTGTTAGTCGTGTGAGTCAGATATCCTGCCAACTTGTGAAGAATCGTTGCGACCGGAGCTGATCTGATGCACACAGAAGCAGCATTTAGCTTACTGTGGTGGATGAGTAGATAGTAAGTGAGACCAGTGAGTCGTGATGAGGGCAAGTACTCGTGATACGCCTTTCTTCCTTCGATCTAGCTTGAAGGCTAGCGTGACTGCCAAGATTTCGTCGCTGCCATTTTCGTTCCGCCCACATAGACCGAGTGACTGCGACTACCTACCTCGAGCGCAACCATATTCAATCGCAAGTTCTACTACCTCCCACAGACACTCACAAAAACTCAAAATGTCGACCGCTGAACTTGCTGCCTCCTACGCCGCTCTCATCTTGGCTGATGACGGTGTCGATATCACTGTATGACTACTCAAGAAGATTGGTTTTGGGAGGACATAAGAAGTGCAAGGTGCTAATAATATTGGTAACAGGCCGACAAGTTGAACTCTATCATCAAGGCCGCCGGTGTGCCAGACGTCGAACCTATCTGGGCCACACTCTTTGCCAAGGTTAGTCAAATCCGACGCAGCAGAACTTCTCAGATGCGACATCTTCGCAGACGAAACACAGTACTGACGAGCGATTAACTACAGGCTCTTGAAGGCAAAGATGTCAAGGATATGCTACTGAACGTCGGCTCCGGTGGCGGTGCCGCTCCAGCCGCTGGTGCAGCCAGTGGTGGTGCCGCAGCTGGTGGTGCTGCTGCAGCAGACGAGCCAAAGGAGGAAGAGAAGAAAGAGGAGGAGAAGGAGGAGTCCGACGAAGATATGGGTTTCGGTCTCTTCGATTAAGCGTATCTTCGAACAAGTTATACCACGCCTTGCACGACAAATACCAGACTTCCTTCCACAATCATGGAACCTGTTTCCCAGCTACTTTTCGATACATGGTCTATAAGTGATAGAAAGGAAGAGGCATTTACAACATTCCGAACGATTCCTTGAGAACTTCGGTCCGGGACGAGCTTGTGGCAGGCGAAGACTCACGCGGACACACAAATCTAAAACAAACATTGCCTCGAGATCATGAAGTTCGAGAATGAAATGCCAACCATTTCTGTTACGTTCCTATTTTCTCCCTGCGTCGAAGTTCATGTATCACACGCCACAAATTGAGCCCCTACCACTCGTAAACTCGAATACCGGGATAGCTGACCAGACAGAGCAGCTCCTACTCTCTCTTCCAGACTGCATCGTGATCAACTGAACGTTTTCGCTCCTCTTGTATATCAATATAGAACCTTTTACACCAAGTGAGCGACATCAACGAAGATGGCGCGGTCTGCATTAGAGGTTCAGCCGTCAAAGAATCTGCAGGATTTGGCCCAACTGTACATTGCAAACCATAGCCGAATACCAGGTATTGGTAGGTGGCTGCTGCATGCATGCGGCAGCAAAGCTTTCGACTTGTTAGTAAAGTTGTAGCAACCGCCAAGGATCACAGTTCGTATAACATCGTGAAGACCGAAGACAAGGTTGGGGTTTCCAATAAGTCACTATATATCCATGCGCTCAAACCCTTGAAACATGTCCATTGAAGTTGATTCTATCTGCTCCGGAACGAACGCTATACAAACTCACTGTCCTCGCTCGAGCACTGTGTGCTGGTGGTCTCGAGATCAAAGGGATTCTGGTCTGCCAAGAACTCGTATTCCGCTGTACAGTACTTCTTCTTCAGCTTGTCCAGCCATTCGTCCACGTCTATCCCCTCAACGACTTCGGGTGACTCAAGCATTGCTGAAACTCTCGAACCTGCGTCAAAGAATCCGTGCCCGCGGCAATACCACATAGTTCTCGTCGTGGTTACATACCCAGACATACATGCATCGCATAACTCAACGCCCTTGCATAGGCGGCACATGTAGAGGCCTGTAGCGAGAGTGATGTCGCAATCACAGCTGTCACATTCTACACCTGCAAAAGCCAAAGGTATACGACCTTCGACCTCAAGTGCTCCGAAAATAGCGATCTGAGCGTTCGCATCGTCCTTGACCCTAATCAGCGCTTTAGCAAGGTGTAGCATCAGCCCTTGGGGTAATATTTGTGGTTGATCTTCCCTACGCCTCCACATAGCCAAAAGCTGTATCAGACGAGCAAGCTTAAACGCCGCAGCTCGAGTTTGCTTCCCCTCAGCCAAACTCACGCTCTCCTCCTCCAGAATTTCCGCAAATTCGTTAATCTTGTCTCGCGAAAAGAGGGGAAGCCATTCGAGCCTGCAATGTAAGATAAAGTCCGCGTGCATCTTCGCCGCTTCGCTCAGCCTACCTTGACCACGATACAATCTACCAAGCGCACCAAGTGTCTCGAGAGCAAAGATCTCGTCCATTGCGCACGCTTTCTCACAGCCCTCAAGCGCTTGTAGATACACACTTCCTGCCTCCTCAAGCCTGCCTCTGGCCTCGTATGTCTCGCCGAGCGTATAAAGTACCCTGAGGGTCGAGTCGTGATACGCCCCCAACTCTTTCTTGTAGCCTTCAAGCACTCGTAGGTATGCATGTTCCGCCTTGTCGAGCTCACCGCAAGAAGTATATACACAGCCGAGTTGGTGCACAGCGTTGATGGTCGAGATATGTTCAGCCCCAAGTGCTTTCTCGAAGCTAGCTAATATTCGCAAACACATCTGCTCCGCTTCAGGGTGCCTACAGTACCACAACCATTTAGTATTTGTGAGAACGGTCTCTGCACGCTCTGGTAAGAAATCGTCAAGCTCGTGGCACGCCAGGAAACGTGGGTGAGCCAATCGTATAGCGTGCGGTGCGGTGTCAAGGGAGCTGTAGTATGTTGTAACAGAGTCATAGGCGTGAAAGTACGATTGAGGATCTATCGTCCGATTTAGCTGTCCCAGCGTCCAATCATGCACACAGTTGTGTAGTGTATATGATTCGGTCGCCTGCTGTACTTCTACTAGGCAGTAATCTACTAACCTTCCCATCACGCTCGCGAAGCTTATCTCGTTGTAGAGGCACTTCTGGAGCCACCGGGGCGAAGCGTCCGACAGCCCTGCGTGCAAAAGTTCGTACCACACCTCCTGGTTATCGAAGTAAGCCAAAAATTTCAACATCTGAGCCGCTTCGGCATCTTCCGCTTCTAGTCGGATGTACGTCAGGTTCCAAGTCGTATACAATGTTCGATCCTTGTACTCTGGTAGTTTGACATCGCGACCGGGGTCGATCTGCCATCGCTGTTCGTAAGCGTCCAGATACTGCTGGAACGTGATATTCCTGTTACGTATATAGGCAGCCGCCGAGGCCAAAGCTAGTGGTAATCCTCCCAATCGAATTGCTAGCCGTTGAGCACCTGAGTCTGCTCGCAGGTCAATATTACGAATTAGTGGTCAAGAGGGTTTGTTGGACTTACCCTCCTTCACGTTCTTACGTCCAGATCGTGCCTGCAAAATATCTAGGCTATCGCTCGATTCAGTGAGGTGATGTACACGCACTTGATGGCCTACCACAGGTTCAGGCAGGCGAGTGGTGATAATCATTGACCCACGCCCAATGCTCGGGCAGAAACCACCTACGTCGTAGAGGTCAGGGTCGTCGTAGTTGTCAAAAATCAACAGCCAAGTCGTGTTTTCAGGATGAGAAAGCCACCCACGAAAACGAGCTAGTATCTGCTCGTCGTTGAGCTTTTCCAGGTCTTCAGCAGCGACAATCGCCGAGCTTATTGACCGGATGCTCGCGGACAGAGTGGACTTCGAGGTTGCATTGAGCCAGATGACTGATGCATAGGTTTGCTTATGACGTCGAGCCTAGGCAATGGCGAGCTGTGTCTTTCCGACTCCACCTATGCCTCCAAGTACGACCCGTTTTGGTTCAGCGCATGCATCGTCGGACTGAAGTATATTATCGATTGCTTCGATCTCTGCAATCCGGCCCACAAAGTCGTCGGGCTTGATGACTGGCGCGGAACCAAAGCACAAGCCAAGTGGATTGAGCTTGAGTGGTTTTGGGTATTCGATATTATACACATTTCCAAGTACAAGGCTGGACCGATCACAGGCCGTGAAGTTATGGTAGATATGGCCGTGGCTAGATGACATCGGTAAGTCCAATACAACTTATAGAGTGGTCAGCTCTCTGATGACGCATTTGGCCGTGCTAGTATGCTTCACACTCAGTATTAGAAAGGCGACGTGTTCGTGGACCGTAAAAAGCACAATCTCGACGTCGTCTCTCCTTTCTCAAAACCCTTTGAGACGTCGTCAGCCCGCCGCAGCTAGGAGTACCATAGAGAACTGGTTGGCAGCAAGCTCGATCGAACAATCGTAATCCGAGTCGTCGTCCCTTGAAGGAATACTCGAAGTGCGATCACTACTTCCGGTAGGAGCCAATCAACATGTGCCCGCTGTTCAGTGTTTGTAAGAACGCCAGGAGTGTCGAATAACGGGGAGGCAAGTACGTGAATTCGAGTGATCATTCCCACGTATAGGTCAGTCAGTGAGGTAACGGCTGTCGTTAATTCGAGAATGCGAATTAAGTCGCTTTGACGAGCCACATCACCGTCGAACGTTGCACCCTCTGTGATCACTGATAAGTGGATAAACAGTAGAGGATAGGCCTGCCCACATTCGAGACGCGAAGGCATCCCAGGGCGATGTCCATGGTCAGGCTGATTGACATGTGGGTCGCGGTGACCACAGCCCAGCCGCGAGATATTGCATTTTCGACCAATGACACAGGATATGTAGTGGTAGATAATGAACATGTTACAGTATACGGTTAGAGGCTTAGAAGTATGTACGGATGGGCAGGAGAACCAACGACACGGCACTAATGAGTGCCGTGCCCGCCCGAAGTAGCATGTCATCGTGCCCCTCATCGCTTCTATTTTCCCGACACGCCAACTTCTGCTTCGATTCCATTGTGCTTCCTTTCACAGCTTTCCGCTTCAATTCTTGCATATTGCACGCTGTCGACCTTGGACATTTTTGCTCGTCGGAAGCGTCGGCTCAAGTACGCAGGCAGACTGTGTACTGGCGGAGAGTATGGCTCGACGCAAAAGCTGTACACTCGACCGTCCAGCGAGTCTACAGCACCGACATTACTCGCTGTACTCGTGAGGCGCTGTGACAACGCTGAACCTTCCTCGAAGCACGATTCCTACCTTTTCAAACTAGCATAATAGAGATACGAGCGAGCCTGAATCAGGACAATTGACATCGCGAATTGCTAGAATTGGTCTTCAGTCATAGAGCTTGGATTTTGGAGTACACTAACCTGGCCGTGTTGCGAGCATGGTTTTCCTTGCAGAGAGCTGGTTCTGGAGAGGCACACAATCTGCTATATTCTATTATGCATCTTGCACACCATGGGCTGAGTACAAACACAAAAAGAAAAGGCGGCGAGAGGCAGAGAAAGCACGGAAAGATAGAGACGACAACATTGTCTATACACAGCCTGGAGTAGTTAGACAGCCGGCGCCTTTTCAGACGAACGAGGAGTGGGCGCAAGAGATTGTGAGAGGTCCTGGTCCACCCAAAGGCTGGAAGCGTGATCCGCTCTATTACAAGTATGTTCGTCAGCTGAAGGATGACATTAACAGAGACGCTACGACAACGCGACCTCGTAACGAAACTGTTAGCTCGACAGCCTCTCCTGTCAAAAGCGACTGGACGGCCTCAACTGATGCTTCAACCACAGTCGTCTCGCTCCAAAGGCCACCTGATATTTACATCGCTAAAGACACTACACATGGTCAGCTACTTGCGACTGAGTCAGAAAGATCTGCAGGACTTCTGCAGCCGTACACAACAACTTTGGGATATGGGGGAGCGGACGGCAGTCTCGACACGTTTTCCGAGTTCTTCTCCACAGCAGTCGATAGCAGGCCGAGTGTCTCACCTGATGCATCCCGCGACTTGTTTGTTCCTCCATCTCGAGGTACTGACACTACAGGCGTCAGGAGAGCTTCCTTTGAATCAGAACTTTCGGAGGAGCGCGAGATCAAAGCACCTAGACCGTCGATGGAAAGACGACTCTCAAGCGCTGTAGATGGGCTAAAAGGCGCGATGCGATCGGCTTTGCATTCAGATCGGTGGAACTGGATACGATATGAAAGGGATGACGAGATTCTATCTGGACTAAACGAGAAAGTGAAAGAGATGTGGGGCAGTATGAGGGAACGTGTTGTATCGTATGGCGAAGACGCACAGCTCAAGCTTAGACAGGCTGACACACAAGACTCAGCCGAGATGGAGGCCAAAAGATGGCAACGAGGCAAGCATCCAGCCATCAATGAGATGCATCCACCAGTCGTGTCCCAGTTGCCCTTCTCACGAGATGAGGCCAGGTGGATGTTACTGCCTCCGGCATCTGCAAATGTGATGATGGGAAGAGTACGGCCTGATCCTGTCAAGGACATCCAGAGGGAACCATTGTGTATTATTGGGAGGTCACCTCCCGTGGCTCAACGCATGCCTAGCATTGGATCACAGTCCGCCAGTTCGGAAGAGGAGCAGGACCCAGCTTCAGATTCAGATGACCACGAGTGGATGCACGGCTGGACTCACATCCAAAGACCACAGCTGCCACACCTTTGGAGACAGAGAGCATCATACATGCTTTAGTTGGGAAGCACACACATATTGATAGAGGGAGCAAAAGACGGCGGTTTAGAACTGAGGAAGATTGAGGAAAGATGAGATGGAATACACTGCAGGTTTACGAGTGCTCCTGATAACTAGTAGGCTATCAGTCTAACGAGCTTCCCTGGAGCGGTTGTAAAGGTCGAGCTGCTCCTGTTGTCTGCCTCATTGACATTGGGTTGAGCCCCCCTGCAAAGGTTGAGTGTTCCTAGTACTTATTAAAAGTGCTAGTCGAACCCCCTGATATGGGTTGAAGGCTCCCCAATGTCTTCACGGCGATACCAGTCTGAGCTTTCCTTGTAGCAGCAGTCGAATTGTCTCACAACCCTCGACCCCTCAATTGTAGTACAAGTTCAGTTCCTAGTTTTATCATTGACCAGCGACCATAATCATGGCTAATCTATCACAGACCTGGCTTGCTGGGCAAACTTGTAACTTGACTGCCCAGGTTCTTGGCGTGATCCTAGGGGATATCTATTAGATCAGGATCGAAATGGTCGAAATTAGAGTGTAGATCGACCGTTGTGGCACCCAAGACGTGGGAAGGCAGTGCCTAGCGTGCTACGTATGCAATGCTTGCCAACCCCAACAAATCACAATGTAAATAAACAGCTTGAAGACGTCCGTTGTTCGCAGTGAATATTACATTCACTTCATCACGTTTGCCACAACACTTCACGTGCCGCCTTTTCCGTCAAGGTCAATGCGTTGATAGGGTCCGCGTGGTGTACCCTGGTGACACGTTCGCCTGAACGAAACGGACATAGCTGGAGCGTGCTGGGGTATCACCACCGGGGCGTTGTAACTGATCCCTGCCTTTTACTCCTGCAAGATTCCACTTGATTCACAGATCGAATACCATTCTGAGACGAAGCACGAGACACGCTGGATTTGCTTCTATTGTCCGACGTCACTCCTATTTCACAATTGTTCCTAAATACTCCAGAGCTTTGCAGTTCCTTGATAGGAGAATCTAGGACCTGCATCTGCAGAAGCCTCCAGTCCGGACGACCACTCTTGCCCTACTTCTCTGCTACCCGGAACCTGTCGAGCACCAGTAGAATTGAGCTATTCTTCGGCTCTATCTAGGGGACTGCAGCTTGCTGGATTCGACGTTGCAAGGGAGAACAACCACTGTCCCTGCACATCTTGGCTGGGAATCGGCAATCCATCATGCAGTACTTTACGATCGTCTCGTACGGTATGCTTGCAGTCGCTATCGGTGCTGGCACGTACGTATACCGACCCGACCTCATTCAAAAGCTCTTGCCAGTCGCACCAGTCGCAGTTACTGAGCCTGTCGCTGCAGAAAAGACAACGAGTAAGAAGCAGAAGTTGAAGAAGGCGACAAGTGATAGGAATGCAGGCAGTGCGAATAGCAATATGACCGAGAAGAGCTCAGAAGATTCGAGGACCAGTAAGAAGAGGAAGATAGTGGGTCCGGTAGGCAATACGGTTACTGCGGTCGCAGTCGATGGGACCAAGAAAGAGCTACCTCGAGACACAGAACATGATCTGGACGACAAAGATTTTGCTCGACAGCTAGCCCAAGCACAAGCCGGCACCAACCTGCAGGCCAAGCCGCAGCAAAAGAATGCTGCACCTACACGATCGGCAGCATCGCTACAGGCAGCCCCTGCGCACGATCGAGTCAGCAACGTTGAGGGACCACCATCCACTAGCCAAGACAAAAACGATGGCTGGGCTTCTGTTGAGTCATCTCGACCAAAGGCGAGTTCCGGAAAGGACGTCTCAGACATGCTTGAGCCAGTTGCAGCTGGCCCAGCGACCCTTCGATTAACTAACGTTTCGAGTGAAGCCAAGAAGCCGAAACCACAGACGAAGAAGGAGGAGCCGGCCCTCACAAAGAAACAGCGTCAGCGAGAGGCTCGAAAAGAAGAGACGAAGCGACTACAAGCTGAAGCCAATGCCATGGGAGATAAGTTGAAGAGGGAGCAAATGCAACGTGCTCGAATGGCCGAGGGCACCTCCAATCAGACCAAAGCCAACAATTTCGCCGCAACAGCAGCACGAAACATATGGCAAAACCGAACATCTACTGGCACAAACGAGCCAACCCAAGCGACAGGGGCTCAGCTTCTCGATACATTCGAGCCTACGACTGAGACCAGAGCATCTGTGCAAACTCAGCCCATGGAGAACATCGTCAATGGCTCGACTAGCAGCGCAAACGTTAATGCTATCAAGTCGGAAGTTGGTGAGCAAACCACAAATGCATTGGCAGCTTCTGGGCGCGAGAACGGTGCTTTCACCGAGCAATCCTCTCTGTCTGAAGAAGAGCAATTGCAGCGTATCCGAGAGCAGGAGCAGGAGGATGCCTGGGAGGCTGTCTCGACCAAGAAATCGAAGAAGAAGGGGAGAAAAGAGGTAGAAGCGAGCAGTGATACCAGTCCTCCCAGCTCAAGAGCTGCCTCGATCGCTCCCACCAAGCAGCTGAACGCCACCAAGTCCAACGGTGCAGTGAAGCCTAAGGAGAGCGTAAACCGTTTCGCGACAATGGAGGTTGTCGATGTTGGTGGTCTCAGGGAGGACGAATGGCAAGCTTGATTACCATTTCTCGGATCAGTCAAGGAAGTTTCGCAAGCCAACTACAAAGGCATGATGGCAGGCATGGCAGGTTTGGAGTTTCCTGGGCTTAAGGCAGGCAGGACCATCTTCCAGGCGAGCTATCCGTTCCTCACCCTGCAGGTATGACACAGCGAAGGAAGCCGTGTACTGTACTGTTAGTTTCGTTGTTCAAGCTTGACAGTCCAAGGTCAACTGTACCATTAGACTGTACTGTATTACCTTCATAGAACCCAAGAATTTTAGGTGGCTCACAGCGAGCAGTAAGAAAGGCTGTTGATGTGCCAATTATCCTAATTCCGCATGACCTCAGCGTGAGCATTCCAGACAATGCACAGTTTCTCCTAAGCTCAGAAAATAGGGGTTGTGCATGTCCCATGCAGCCTGAATGCAGGTCAATTTAGTGGGTCGACAGCTGCGCGGATAGAGCGCGCACAACCAATGAATTCAAGATATTTCTGAAGTGAGGATCTGTGTGGTGTACCACTCCGAACAGCCAAAACCGTGTCCTTAAACAACCACAATTTCTTCGCCAAATCGTTCTCTGTTGGAATTACGTCTTCTTGTTATTCCTGTTTCTGGCTGCGACATTGATCACCTACCACCCCCTCTGAATGTCGCACTGAACAGCATCTGCTTCGGCCAGTAACAACCCAAACCCAGCCCTCACGTCCGACCCTTCCTCCGCGCACGATCTTACACACTACACTATACAACGAATATGACTCAAATCAGAGGTACTGCAGGGTACAACCTGGGCATGAACAATCAATTTGGGGGCTCAAGAAGTGACAATGCGACGAACGACCCTAGTCCCCTTGATCAGATCAGACAGCAGACGAGCAAGATTGAGGATTTCTTGAACACAATTGGAGAGCCACTAAGACCGTGAGTGAGCTCTGCGTCTGAAGCGAAGGGAAATCCTGACAGAGAACAGATATCTCCCAGCGATAGGACGCTTCCTTATTGTGGTAACGTTCATTGAAGATGCACTTCGAATTATTACACAATGGAACGACCAGCTACTCTATCTCAAGGATTTCAGGCACAGTAAGCCATGTATCAGCTGAGAGTGCATTGGATTCACTGACGATATCTCCAGTACCCTGGGGCGTAACCCATACCTTCCTGATTTTCAACGTGATAACCATGTCAACATGTTCAGTACTGGTAATTATGCGCCGTTACTCAGAATATGCCGTGGTTGGCCTGCTCGCAGTCGTCGTAATTCAGGCTCTCGGATATGGCCTCATCTTTGACCTAAACTTCTTCCTGCGAAATCTGTCAGTCATGGGTGGCCTCCTGATGGTGCTCGGCGATTCTGCCGTCAAGAAGAGCAGAGCGTTTGCAGGACTACCAAGCATAGATGAGAAGGACAAGAAGATGTATATCCAGTTGGCTGGACGAATTCTGCTGATCTTCCTATTCATCGGATTTGTTTTCGCGGGCGAGTGGGGTCTGGGTAGAGTCGTGGTCAGTCTTTTTGGCCTCGTTGCTTGTGTCATGGTCGTGGTTGGCTTCAAGGCGAAGTTGAGTGCGGTCCTGTTGGTTGTTCTGTTGAGTGTTTTCAACATTTTGGTCAACAACTTCTGGACGGTGAGTAACAATTGCTTGACATGATGGTGTCCCCAGGATACTAATTCTAAACAGCTGCACCCTCATCATCCACACAAAGATTTCGCCAAATACGACTTCTTCCAGATTCTATCCATCGTCGGCGGATTGTTGCTGCTGGTCAATATGGGTCCAGGTCAAATCAGCGTGGACGAAAAGAAAAAAGTTTACTAGAGGTCTACGTCGTCAGAACAAGATCGTATTGAATATGTATGATTTCCAGCCTACGATTTGGATGAGGACATGAGAATCAACTTTTACTATACACACGAATTGTGACAGAAAATCAAACTACAATGAGCCACATGAGGGCTTGGCAATCATACCTCGAAGACTGATCAGTTGAACTCAATCTTTGGAGCACTTGCCGAGCTCCTTGTCAACGACAAAGTGGCATGCTTTTTATGTAGGAGTGCCAATTTCGAAATGTCCCAAGCAGTCATGTCCGCGAATGAAGCCATCGAACTGGAGCCTCCAAGGAAGTATTCATTACTGGATTTCGGTGTGGTCGTCCGCCACGTTTCCCAAAGAGCCAAGCGTATCTTGGATGCTTGACATGCTGTGCGACGGCTGGGAGCGACTTGCAGCGTCGGAACCAATCAGATTGTGACCACTCTCTACGCCTGCAGAATCGAGTAATGTAGTACATCGCCTAGACCATAGAAGACGCAGGAACCGCTTACATTAGACGCAACAACTCCAACTAGAAGGCGCTCGATTGATAGCTTTCAGCCTATGCCTGTCGTCAACAAATTGGTACGAATGATGTCGACGCGAACAGTAGCGGTGTCGCAACAGATATATTGTTCTCCTCCGGTCGTCTATGTCACATCCGGGCACTGAAAAAGGTACTTGCTAGGAATTTGAGTCACACCCTCACATCGTTCCTTCCTTGCTTCGTAGAGGTGCAATCTCATTATTTGGTCGCTCCTGCCTCGTTCAGACGATCATAGGACAGCAAGAAGGTCCCTCGCATCCTCCTCCGTCATCGGCTTTTTTGACCCTACCGCCGCATTACGCCGGTTCCAACTTCCATGTTTGCCTAATTGACGCGACTTCGACACGGCTGAGGAGAGTGTGATAGACAAAAGCATTGATAGGTGAAGTGTTAGAACTGCCAGGTATATGTTTTAGTCGTTGCCGTCCTGATTATAGCGCGTCATCCTACGATAATCACACGATCCTAGCTAAGGACATCCGAAGTCGCTTCAACCATCACGAGTAGAGGACCAGACCTCCTCCAGGCAAGTCGACGACTACGCTAGCCGGAAACATGGCGCCAAAGCGTCGGGTCATCATCGACACGGACCCAGGTAACGACGATGTTATTGCCCTACTGCTAGCTCTTGCTGCACCAGCTTCGGAGCTCGAGGTTGTCCTGATATCTTGCGTGGAAGGCAACGTCGACGTCCGTGCATGTCTTCGCAATGTCGTTGCTATCTTCCACATACTCGATAGAGAGATCAAATGGCGAAAGTCTCAGGGCTTATCTGCTGGGTTCGAAGGTGTCACTGCATACAAGCCGCTAGTTGCGATAGGTGCCAATGAGCCACTGCATGGCGGAACTGATAACGCAGACTACTTTCACGGCGCAGACGGTGTGGGCGGAAGTACAGAAACACATCCAGAGTTCAACCCACACGAAAGTTGGGAGTCGTTGTTCGAGAAGCCACCGCCAGATGATGATCTAACAAAAAAGGCAAAAGACATCGATCAGGATGTGGAGAAAGAGACGAAGGAGGAGCTGTTCAGCAACTTTACTCCATCCCTTGAACCAGCACACAAGGAGATCCTGAAAGTCCTGAGGGACAGCGAAGCCGACACGATCAGTATCATTTCGATCGGACCTCTTACCAACCTTGCCCTAGCAGCTGCCGAAGACCCTGAGACTTTCCTACGATGCAAAGAAGTCATCAGCATGGGCGGCGCGATCGATGCTCTGGGAAATGTAACGCCAAATGCAGAATTCAATGTCTGGGCCGATCCACACGCTGCTGCTCGTGTATATGCTCTCACTAGCCAAGTCCCAAGCAGTACCATGCCACTCATGTCGGAGAACTTTGCAGGCAAAGACCTCCCAGCTTACCCACCTAAACTCTCTAAGCAACTCAAACTCATCCTCATGTCTCTAGATATTACAGAACAGCACGTCGTCACCCGCTCACAATTTGAGCGAAAGTCGCAAGACCTAGCGAAGCGAGGCAGCCCTCTAGCTCAATGGATGAACGCTTTCCTCACGCCTATGCTGAACAAGATGGCAGCCTTACACCATGGTCATGACGACGACCCAAGCCTTGCCTTGCACGACCCATTGTGTGTCTGGTACCTTCTTACCGAGGACGATCCGAAATGGACGACCAGCGAGAAGAGCCCGGAAGACATCAGAGTCGAGACACAGGGACAATGGACCAGGGGTATGACCGTGGCCGACAAGAGACCAAGAAGAAGGAGGAACAGTGACGGTGAAGCACCACATGATCGAGGAAATTGGCTAGGAAGGATCAGCGGGAACAGAGTGGAGAAGATGATGGGTAGTCCTGGAGAGGATATTGCTGGTGCATGGATCTTGGATCGGATCCTGGGTTATGTTTCTTGAGAACTCTCGCCATAGAAGAAGGTTGTTTACTCTGCTGTTCGGGTGTCCTCCGCGGGGTTGGATCTTTCACACTCAGTCATCGGCGTAGTGGTGCTATCTTCGAGCACGAAATATGCAACGACTCCTTGGGTCCAGCATTAACTTCGAGATAATTGACCTCTTCTATAGACCTTCACAACAAGCAAGAACAAGAACCTATACGTATGCCTATGGAAGCCCTAAATCTATGATCAGATCATCTTCTGTTATTTATAGTTAGTTGCAGACTTGCAGGATTCTGCTCTAAATACAGCATTGGGTTTCACTATGCCTTGCTCTACTTGATTCTACCTTACTCTACCCTGCTGTACCTTTCTTTACCTTGCTCTATAAAAGACTACTAGTACAACCAATACCTGCCCAATAACTATCTCGAAGCTCTACGTATTCGTCCTGGCTCTTTGACTTCGTTGTCTACGGCTCTTCGTGGACTGAATGTAAACAATAAACAGAACTTTTAGGAGTATCGCATCACAAGATTTGGCTTGATTTCTATGTATCTATATTTACCACCACAAGGTGTACTATTGCAAATGAGACCAGTTCTCTTATACAAAGTTGACAACTACCCATGTTATTCCAAACAATCACGCCATCAATCACTTTCGTCGCAACGATCGCTCATACGTAGCACCTCAGCAGCAATCTTCGTCTCGTTCATCGAACATGAATCGCGTAGGCGTTTGCTGCAGACTTTCAGTATCCCCACCACCACCACCATCGAGACCCTCACCCCAATCGCTAGAAGCTCGCACCCTCCTGCTCAAGCCCTCCTCAGCTTCATGTAGATCAGCAAAGAACTGCGTCGTGAAAGGCGGGATGTTATTGTTCAAGCCCACTTTGTCAGTAGCTATTCTGCTCTCGATAGATGGGATCATGTCGAGAGGTGAAGAAAGTGAGTTCTGATAGGTTTGTGCAAGATTGTCAAGGAAGATCTTGATGACTGAGTGTTCTTGATCACCAGCGCGGCGTTGTATGGCCATGCGTGACAGGCCAGCGGGAAGAGGGAGGGAGTAGTCCCAGTAAGCATCTTCGAGGTCATCGTCTCGAGATTCGAGAGGGTTGTCCTGATGCTGTATGGGAAGGAAGCGGGATTTGGCCTGCTCCTGAGCATATCGCTCTTCAGCTTGCATGCATAGCATTTGCAGGTGTTTTGCGCCCTGTCGTGCTTCGTCAGTCTTAAACGTGGGAAGAGGATCCAGATCATGCTCACAACTGTTGGAAACCGTCGGTATTGGAGCGTGCTGCTGCCGCTCAAAGTACCGCTTGCTGTACTTGATGTATGCTTTGTCAAAAGCTCGACGTGTAGAGAAGTCGCTTCTTCGTGGGCATCGAGGACCTGACTGGCACGTGCTTTGTGTTCGTTCTCGGCTCTGTTTTGGTAGAGGCAGACAACAGGTATTGACACAATCGTCAGCGTTTGAAGACGACGTTGATGACAACATCGAGCTCTGGCTTTTCTTAGCTCTGACCAGGTGGTTGCTGCTATGGGACACTGATTCTGTAAAGTCTTCCCAACTCTTATTCGCAGCTTTACCCGCTTCGACTATGCACTCTGCATTGCGCCTCTGCTGAATGGATGGGGGTGTAATCCACCCACAGCTAGTGCCCACAATACCATTGATCAAGTTCTTTGCTCGCTCACGTTCGTCATTATGCTGGTTCATCTGCATCTGAATGTGATCAGGTGCTTGATGCGACGGTTGAATCTTGTGTAAAGCCAGTGTGTGGCAAGGAAGGTATTCTGTGGATGGCATGAATGTAGTGAGTGTATTAGGCGGCGTTTCATGTTGGCGATCGGGTAAAGTCCTCGGCTCCAACCAGCTCGAGGGAATATCTAGAAGATCCAACTTTGTGACAATAGGATTGCTGATGATCGGCCTCTTGGTGTTGCTTTCCTTGCGCCTGATCTTTAGCGAGATCCTTGTAGGAGCCATATTTTTCTGCCACTTGTATCTGTATTGGCGAGGCCTCGTCGAAGCTTCGGTGTAAAGTGGTAGATCGAATTGACACGGTGATTGCGAGCGAAATTCGCCGATATATGAAGCTGTATAGTCGCCATGTTCTTGCAATATGACATGGCTAAGAAGGGTTCAGTGAAGCATCGTCTCAACTTCACTGTGTTTCGTTACGTTGTTCAGGTTCATAGAAGCCGAGACAATGCGAGCTCCTTATAACAAGCATTCAGAGACTGGTTTGAGAGAGGGCACTCGTGGCTGAGACAAAGATGCAATACTGAATCAATACGAAAGATAGATAATCGGTTCGGTGAATCTAGACGGAGACATCTTGAACAGCTGCTGGTCGAAGAGCTACTATTTCAGTATCGCTCAGGCAATGTGTGCAATCGAATCTTGCGAATATGAAGCTTACACATGTTTCGATTTGACACTATGTGTTGAATGCTTGGCCAAAATTTGGTTGCTGAAGTTCAATAGTATTTCTTGCGATCGCCCCCTTCCACCACAGGATCAGTGCCACCTACTGGCTTTCGCTTAAACAGCTTGCTGAATGTGCCTGACTTCTTGACGTTACTGTCCGGCACTGCGCCTGTAGATTGGGTTTCTCCCATGGCTGTAGTGTTATTGGTGCCTGGTTCGGTATGTCTTATTGTCGGCACTCTCTCGACATTGCCACTCACGGTTTGCGGAGCATTCCCACTGTCCTGCCGGGAGATGCCACTTCTCTGAGGAGTGTGATGTCCTGAACCAGTACTGAGGTTTGAAACTGAAGAGTCGGTTGGTGGCTGTGGCTCATATCTGCGTCCGTCAGAATTTAGACCAAAGGCTGCACTGTGCGAGCCGGGCTGTGCGCCGCCATGCAACGTCGAATCCTCATATGAATCATGCCCAATAGGTGAGATTGGATCAACTCCAGTAGAAGAGGTTTGACCAGGGTCGTATATAGCCGTGTGTTGCGTGTAATGCTGGCCGTAAGAGCCTCGTTGTGGTATGCCTTCAATCTCGTGCCTACCTCTTTCTAGCACGGCTGCGTTTTTGGCATGCGCGGCAGCCGCCTTTTTCGGATCTTTGCTGTGATATCGGTCGTCAATAGCACTGTTGAGCGTACCCCTTAGGGTCTCTCCAACTCCCTAATTGAAATGTTAGATGATAAAAGTAACGTTCGTCTTGGGATGCTTACGTGAAGTCCAACCGCAGCCGCCTTGAGGTCTGCAAATCTTCCTGATCTTCTTGAGCTTGTTTCGGGATCCGTCATGCCAGTTGGATTTCGATGAGGATAGCTGAAGTTTTGCCTAGCAGGTGACGCTGGTGCATCGGTTCCAGAATATTCACCTGACCTTCGATTGCTTTTGGCTGGTATTTGCGGCGCTAAGCCGGAGCCATATGTGCTGTCATAAGATGGCTCGGCGCGTGCCAGACCTGGAGATCGTACACTGTCTCGTGTCTGGGAAGGTCCTAACTGAGAGTAGTACGTGCTGTCGCGAGACGGTTGTGTGCTGTACTGCGCAGCAGTAGCCGGATCGGTCGAAGTTGTGGTGGCAGGTCCTCCCTGTTGATGCTGTGTCTCTGTGGTCTGAACGTCTCTTCTTACGTCTTGATGTTTTCGTCCTGCTCCTGCAGCTCCCCCTCCTCGAGTTGTGGTTGTGGTTGTGGTCGTTGTAGTCGTCGTGACAACAGTCACTACATCGCCGGTATCCTCGTCGAAAACTTCTCCAGTTCCTCTATCGAGCGCAAGATTCTGGTTCATGTTGGTGTTGGGTATCGAGCCATCGTTCTCGACTTGGACGATATCGTGGTCGCTACTGGCATATGCGGAGTCGTGGTAGCCCATTGTCGGTACCTCGTCGGCAGATCGCTCCTTGCTGTCTGTGCCACTGTTAAAACGTCCGAGACGATGTCTCTTTTGTCCAGGCGGCGGGGTATTCATCGAGCCGTAGTTGGAGAGATTCTCCTTAGGGATGTCGGATCTCATCATATTGAATGTATAGTCAAGGCGAAAATACACAGAGAGGCGTTTCGCGTGTGTCTAGGATGATGTAGCATTTTCTCCACCAGTTGCCAGCTGCAAGCCATTTAATATTGCCCAAAAGAACCTGAATCGAGCAGCGTCCTGGTTCGAGCTTCTGACGTCAGCGATTGCGTCGCTGGTCCCAAGGTCGAGTCTGGACTTGGCAGGTTCAAGCAGATCTTGGTAGCGAGTGGAGACTGGAGAAAAGTAACTGCAACCACGTCCATGCAACTTGAATAGAGACGCCGATCACATTGTGTGCTATAGTGTCCCTGTAGTTCTAGCTACGTGTAAAAGTGTCCCCTTGGCCTGTGCGACAACCAATAGACAGTACTAAGCCGCGCTACCTCAATGTACTCTCGGACTGCACATGGTGTATTTCGTCTCTCTGACAGCCACAAACCTTCATTGTGTCGTGGACCTGGATTTGCTCGTTGGTGTTGCATATATCACTGTAATGTAAGTGCGTACTCCATGCTAGGGCGTAAAGATGACTGCTTGCCGCTCCTAGGTAAGGTCGTGAACCTCAATGCCATCTTTACCATGTGTTTGATTGGTAGTCCTACATCTCTTCACCTCCACAACCTGACACTCATCGTCGTCCAGGTCGATGTCTCGTTCTCGTTTAGTGGTGGGTGTAGGGCTTTTCTCTCTTTTCACTTGTGCTCCCTCGTTTTTGACCCCAGCACTAGCTTTCTCCCCTTCTCTGTACTGGGCCAGCAACCGTCGTGCTTCCTCGAGCGTCAGAGTGTCAACATCTCGCTCATGAAGAGCCTCTGGTGCGGGCGAAGTAGGAATAAGGTCCATCCACTGCAAGGCAGCTCGTGATCGGTACTTGAAGACATGTGTCGCAAGTGGAGGATTGATTCGCTGACCAACAGACATTTTATCTCCCTGCGGCGCTGGTTGTACTGCTCTGAGACCAGCTGTCATATCGATCTGCTGTCCTTTCAAGGCCTTTTCTGGAATGGTCTCTGTCTTTGCGTCGAATTTCCTGCCAAATCCTTTGATAGCATCTAGATGGAAATCACTCAGGACGACTTCGATCTTACCCAGGCCTTAAGCTAACTTCTTCAGGTCTTTTCCTTCGCAACTCTCGTCAGTGGTTTCGAGTTTCGTAAACACGAAAGGCCTCCTAAAGTATTTGTCATCCTCTTTGTAGGTCACACCTGCGAACTCTACCTTGAAAAAGTTCTGAAGTAGTCGTTGCGTTGGTGTTGGTGTCAAAATTTTGCATAGCGTGGACTTGCCGTCGACATAAATATCGCATGATTTGTGTTGTTTGGGCCACCCTGCACCGGGCAGACATCCTACTCTCACGGAAAATGGCATGCCCTCTTGAGCTTCGATATGCTTTATACCGGCAGCACGATCAGAGCCTTTATCATCGTCTTCCGGAGGATCATGTTCTTGTAAAGGTTGCCCATTGACGACAATCGAGACCTCGTAGTGGCCGTTGATTTTCATATTTCCGAACCTCCAGGTGAAGATGTGTTACTGAATGAGCTACTCTTCAAGCCGGACTGTTCTGCAACGGAGAGGTGACGCAGGAAGAGAGGTAGGCAGCAGCTTCCGTGTCTGTGCAGTGAAAGGAAATGTTTGGAAAGATGTGCGAGACTGCAGAGGCAACCGCGATCGAGCGTGGGACCAAGTTTCACTAAGCAAAAAGAATGCAAGTGAACCATGTCACTAGGGAAGTACCCGCAAAGCACAAGCACTTACGCGTAAAATGTGTTGCGCACAGTAGTGACCTTCACTGTCTCTTAGAGCTTCAAAGCCAATTCTGCATATGAGCCGCCTCATCAAAAATTGATCTCTTGAAGCACTAGAAAGATGCATGCCTACTGTTGCTCATGCCTGGATATACTTCATTTCCCTCTAGGAATTTGTACACTTAACTCTGCTTCCTCCTTTGTAGAGACCTCGATACTAACCCCAAAATAGAGTCAATTCTGGTTCGACAGACAGTAGTCAAATGTTCTTTTCGTCGTCTGTATAGGTATATGCCCGCAAGCATGTTTTCATGGTAGGAATACCGCTGTGCGAATCTTGAACAATGATTGTTCATTAAGTTACTGCTCCTCTCTCTGACAGTTTCCGTGCCTTCCAGTAGGGGGTGATCATTCAGATCAATACATGCCTCGTCTGTAGGCTCTGCTTAACGAGAATAGTGAGTTGTGCTGTGGCTCACCCAGATTTCCGACGCTCTCTTCTCCAAATGAAGCGACCTCGTGGAAGATGATGTGCGTTACGTCTGCATCTAGGTTATGGATCGATCTCTGGCTGTGCCCCGCAGGTCGCTGCAGACATTCGATAGATTCATCCCCTCGAAGTGTATCGGTATTGGATGGGTCACATACCGCTAGAAGGGACAAGCACTGGTATTCATGCTCATTTCGTGGAATGGGATCGAGTTATCGTAAATTCTGCATCTGGACAGGTACAATCACCATACGATTTGACCTTCTCGACGTTTTGATTGTCCTCGACGTCCGTGCTAGTCATTTCAGCCTCGATATCAGCAGACATATTTCCCCCCGAAGTCTTTCTGCCTGTCTTCCCTATCCGCAATATTTTGATAGACTGCAAGCAGCGTCTTTCCTTTGACTCTTAATTCATTTATGTCGTCATTGTTTGTATCGCCGTTGATCTTTGATCTTTTCAATCGAACACATCACGGTGTATGGCTCGTCCAACGGGTATGATCTACTCGTGGCTTTCTCCTGCTAGAATTTGGCGATCTACTTGTCCAGAACTAAAGCTGGTAGCTCGTAAGAAGATAGCTGAACGCTTGTGTGCCACCGAAGGACCAAATGCGTACGAGTCATTCGTCGAAGTCTTTTTGATGCTGCTCTGAGAGCCTTGAGGTTTCGTAAGGCGACCTGTGGGAGACTGCGTGTTAATGGATTGTGAGCAAAACCATTTGGAAGGGTGACACAAGAAGGTACTGAACAATGAAGCATAGCCCTGGATCATACTGGAGTCATCGCTCGTCCCTCAAGCAAGCATGTAACAAGGGTATGCAAGAACTCTGATGATCGCGTCCAACGATTGTTGCAAGGAGATCATTCGCAGGTTCTAGAGCGAAGACACAACTTTTCCTTATTCGTCAAAGGCCACCAGCTCCGGGAATGCTGTGGTGTATGCCAGTTGGCGGTTCCTTCTAGCCCTTCTTCTTATCCTTCTTCTTGCTACTGCCACCAGTATTTCCGCCACCTCCACCAAAGCCTCCCATACCACCCATGCCCTGCATCATCTGAGCCATAGCATTCATATCCATACCGCCAGGTCCAGCTGGCAGTTGTCCACCTCCTTGTGCAGCCTGCATCTGTTTCATCTCTTCCATAGCCTCTTTTAGGAAGTTGTCAGACACCCCTCCGCCACTCACCGCAGCACTATGTATCGGTAAAATGTTGCCCATCTTCCAGCCTCTCGGAACGGCAATCTTGGTGTCAAGAAAATTCTCAGGTACGGGCAAGCCTTGCAATTTCAGCTCTAGAGGATCGTCTGGCCTTGTAGGGTTGTTTACGAGCTCTTCTGCCACAAGATTGTAGAGATGTTTTCTGTTCTTAATAGTAGGATGCAAAGGCTTGTGGGTGTCTGGATCGAAAAGTTGTACTTTCACTCTGCCTGGATTTGACCAGTCCTTGGGATGTGTCTTGTCTGGCTCGAAGGATATCCGCAATGAAGATCCTATTACTTGCCGTACTGCCTTGAAGATACTGAACGCCAGTGGATTGTCGATTGCCAACTTCTTCGATACTCGTCGACCGTCGTGCCGCGATCTAGCTTTGGAAAAGTAAATAGGATAAATCGATGCATAAGGTTTCACCTCTGCCCTTCTCGCCTGCATATCCGCATCAGATACCTCGCGTTGCGCTGGCAGTGGCGGTTGCATGAGAGTAGGATTCGGTAGAGAGGCACTAGAGCTCTGTGGTGCTGGTGCGTTTACTGGTCGCATAATTTCATTTGGGAGGAAGTCCTCAGGGTCGTCGATTTCTGGGTCACTATCCGACACCTCTTCTATCCTTGGGTTTGACATGGTGAAGATAGCACTAAGGTTTCTGTGCAGGTGAAATTGTAGTGTCTTAGTAGTAATGAACGAAGTGAGTGTGCTGTCCACAGTGCACTGTATGTATATTGAGGCCTCCAGGCACGAGCCCCTCACACTTTCCAGGTTAAATTTCGGCTATCGCAGCGCATACGAGTTCTACAGAGCTCAGTACTAGTAGTGTTGATGGAAACATCAGTATGCGATCATGGATTGAGTTTCAGTGAGCTCAGACCATACCTGGCATGATAAGCCGTCTTGTAAGGCCATTTCTCCATTGACAAGCTCGACCGGAAGATTGCAGGATCGACATTTAACTCAGGAAGAATGGACGCGCATTTGACCTACTGTCAAGCAAGCTTACATCAACAAGGATATGACACTTCGTCAAGTCATGCATGATTTCAGAGTCTCACAAGTAAGATTCGAGATCATGCTGCCTGATATCTCGGAATGGTCAGCGGGCAGGTGCTTAAGGAACATCTCAAAGCTTCGGGCCTTACCACGATCATTGGAGTCAAAGAGAAGGACAAGGTCATGACATAGCCACTCAAAGATGAGCTGGTTGCGGCCCATCCCGAGCTACAACGGGAACACTCAGACACGATTTCCATTGGAGTAACAGAAGGCTCAATACCCTAGCGGAAGCATGAGTCTGTACTTGCTTGAAGGTAGTCAGGTTGAGTAGTTGAGCTGGTAACGAAGGCCTTCTGAGTTCACAAACGTAGTGTTACGTATTGTCTACTCTATCAGCTCTGTCACATGGATCTGGATCGATTATGAGATTGCACTATGTTTGCGTAATTCACCGCCAACGTGGCTTCACAAATCTTGGCTTCCGAGAATCTGTTAACCAAATTTTTGCAGCGTTCACAGACTCAATAGAGCATCGATGCGCAGCTGGCGAATTGAGTGTGTGCTTCAGATGGCTGCCGGATAAGCGAACGCGATGTTGTATAATCAGTGGGACATGGCACAGCATGGTAGGTGGACATCTGACCGCAGTGGAATGGTCGATGTCGTTACACGGCATTGCAACCAAGCTATGAACGAGGCACGTTGCACGCGAAGGCTGGATAGGGAACGAGAGTGGGGGGCAGAATGATATTTTGACTTGATAAACATCAGTGCTGGCTGATGATATCCAATGAAAGACTTTCACTTTTGGATCACGCTCGCGTGAGTGCTTCCTACAGACACAATCTTTGACAAGGCGACAGCGCAGGGTCTTGGCATGTTTGCTGGACGCCACTAATCACCGCAATTTCAACACATGCAGTTTGTGACAACTTCCAAGTCGAGCGCAATCAACAATCACAAGTTCTTCGCGAACATCTGACGAGCACACCAAAAGCTCACGACGATATGGACGTTTCGAGTACACAGGACGAGCGGGGTCGACCAGCCAACGACTTACTCAAAAAGCTGGAAAGCACGGCCTTCGAGCGAATCAAAACATCCAGCTACGAGTTCTGCTGCTTCATGAGAAACCTGTACGTACCAGATTATGCAATGCTCGTCCCACCTAAAGACGGATGGCCACAAATTACGACCGAGACATCCGCAAAATTAGGCTGTATACAGAGAGCATGGATGGCCAAATGAGTTTCGAAAGGAGGAGTGCGCTGCTGCCATCGCTGCGATAGAGACATGATTGATAGACACATGATCAATGGTTACCAGCCAATGTGACTGCAGCTTCTGTGGTGAAACTCGCGGCAGACTTCCTGAGCGTCAACCACCCCTTACTGTGAGTACCTTGAATGTGGAAAACTTGGCTTGCTGAAGCTCAACTTGATGGCACGCTTTGATTGGCTAGGTGACACCCTGCCGACCCACAGTGGCTCAGCACGCTCGGTCTCGTAACCCATCTTTGACACACTTAGGAAAGTCGACTGTGGACTGAGTGACGACTCTCTCAACTTCTGCGTGCAGGCACACAAGTTTAGGTCCATCGAATCTTATTGGAGGTTAATCGAGTCACTCAACGATAAGAATCCAAACTATGATGATCGGCTACCCAAAGTGTTCGAAGATCTTGAATACCCATTACAACCAGGACAGGCCTGGAAAGGCTCCGTGCAGACTTGTTTCATGGACCACTACGCAGGCAAGAATGTGAACAAGCAGGAAGTTTTAATCATACGGGCCAAAGGCCGCTCCTGGGAACACATATCGTCGTCAGTGAAGACGTTTGGTTACGGCATTTTAGCTCTGGTGTCAAAAGGAGTCAACGACTGGTAGGTCGCAGCGACAGTGAGTATCTAACGTGACGACTAACATGTACGTCAGGAGTGACTGGAAAGTGTTTAGCAAGATGCTGAGTGTGTGGCATGTGGTCAAGGAAGAGTTCCCTCAGCTTGCCGACTTTGCAGCTCGATTGGATGAGCTCATGGTACAACCCATTCTCGATGGTGAGCCATGCGCCAAATTCGGCTTCAACCTGGAGGACAACAGTATGAGATTCGACGCGCGCTTGATCGTGGAGGCGGACGTGAAGATGGAGGATGATTAGTCTTGAACCATGTTCTAGAACTACGATGCTTCTTCACACGCGTATATGGCTTTCGGGAGGATACCCGGATTGGTGACGCAGATGCTGTGGACCAAGAAACCGAGAACATGACACAAGTCGATAAGTGCAAAAGACGAATAGGCTAGACAGATCAAGTTCGGCCGAGCAGCTCCTTCCATGAAGGTGTCGGCTGCGCAGAAGGAAGTTCGGCTAGTGTGAGATCCATTACGCCTGACTTGAGCACTTGGACAATCTGAGACATACTAATTTCTGCTGCTTTCGCTTGACCATCTTGCTTGTGCGATTGAGCGCTTGCCATCTTTTTGTATGTAAGCGCTACCTTGCCAAAGACATCGAAGGTATAAGTACCTGTAGGTTCATCTTCCCACCTCAATGAGTCAAAAGACATGTTTGTTACTGATCCAGTCCTTCTAACTTGATATTTGTAACTTGAATAACCAACCACAAGCAGCATCTTACGAAAGTTGAATGCGTCGAGCTCCAGCTGCCAAAAACCTTTCTTTGGTCCGACCGCCTCGATGTCTGGCATGCCTTTCCATGATCTCCAGAGAACGACGGTTCGCCAACCTCCATCGACTTCGTCTCCAATGGCGACTAGTCTACCGACGATATGCCACCTCGTGGTATGAAGTCGTGCAATTACAAGGAGGCACGAGTCCTCAATCTGCAGGACCTTGTCTGTGCAGCGAAGCTCCGAGAATCGAATGTCGTCGAACGGTGTTGATTTCGTGACCATATTGGCTTTGTCACCTGAAAGCGTATCTTCTGGCCATGGGTTTCCGTTCTGCAAACCTGTTGAGTTGCTCATCACGATGTCGCAGCCACTACGGCATGTGCCAGGAAGATTTTGGCACAGCGCGTGACCTTCAGGTTGTAATAACTCGATGAGCTTGACCGTAAAAGTCTCATTTGGGAAGGGTGTGGTCGGAGCCACTGGCAGTAAGTGGTGCACTAGGTCTCTTGCAAGCATCAAAGCATTGCCCCGATCGACGGCCCCCCACAACAAAACAGCTTTCATGAACAACTGGGACAGAGGCATGCCATAATCGACTTTCAATAGACCGCCGTCCCAACCAAGAGACCGTAGAGCGAAAATGTGGTCTCTGATTTCGCTACACAGGCTCGAGCTGTAAGACTGCAGCACAACCTTCATGTTCGTCCGAGTGCTTGGCATAGGACCATCACTATCTCCACTGTCTATAGGCTCTCGCCGGTTGTCTACGAAGGTGAACATTCTCTCGTCCATGAGCTGCTCGCGAAGTGGAATTGGGGACTCTTTCGCGACGGATATTCGCTTCAAGAAGAGATCTAACACATTCCATGGCAACTCGTGATGGCCATGAATTAGCGTGATTGTCTTCGCCTTCAGGATTTCCTGCACAATCCAAACGCGCTTCCAGTATTGCAAGGCGCAAAGCACGAAGAGAGGGTGCCAGACTGCCTGTCGCTTGCGACGATCGTCTTCCTGCTCATATCCATCGTTGAAGTGCTCCAAATCGTATAACGGTAGGTTCGTCATCGCTTCAAGCAATGGCAGTGCTCTCTCAAGCCGGGTGTCGCCCTCACCAAGCCAGGCTAGAACCATGTCAGCGTGAGAAAAGATGTCTCCCATATTCTGTACTTGCGAATTCCTCTCAGTTATGTTCTCTTGATCGATACAGATGGCATCGATAAAGATTGGAGAGTCGGTGAAACGTCGCTCAGCATGCTGGAGAAACCGCCAAAGATTCTCTCGTACTCTGAATGAGCAGCCATCTAGTTCAATTGGGTAATCAGGCAATTTGGAACCCCACAGATACGACAGAGCCTTGTATCTATGTGTATTCGATGCTAAGGCTACAACAGAGACTTTGCATCTGATAGGCTTACCAGGCTGATGAGGGCGGACGTTGACGACTCGGAACGTTTGAGCAGGATCTCGAAGGAGTGTGTGTTGGAAATTCTTCTGGGACATGCTGAAAAACCTGGAGTTCATTCCGTCGATGTGGAAGAATCTTTGATGACTTGAACCAAGCACCTTGGCTCGAGGCAGGTTAGACGCCCTAGGCCGAGCCCCACTTGAGGCCAAGCTAATTCGCTGCACGGCGCTGCTAGGTCGCGCTTTCTATGGACGATCTGTCGGTGCCAACTGCCAGAGATGAAATTTCCAGACTCAATCAGTGCGCGAACCTATCGAGGTCATGATCTTTGGAACGATTCCACCACTGTGTCAACAGGCGCCCAGGCCAACTCCCCTCTTCCGTGCATCGGAAACTGCAATTAGGCATCTTCCCACCCCTTCTAGGTCGCCCAGTAGACCAACGTGGCCACGTTCACTCTCAACGCGACCACCTTTGACACACCGATAGCCAGCCGGCAATTGAGCAGCACTAGCAAGTACCACACCATCTCCTGCTGCAAAGGCAAGCTCGTCAAAAGCATCATCGTACTTTATGTCCTCTCTGCTCTTCACGAAAGCTCCATATACTGTCGGTGTGTTCTTGGAGAAGAGGACCCCGACAGGTGGATAAGCATTGCGAGCTTGAAGGGTGGGATTATGTGAGAGTTCTTGCTTGAATTTCAGCACAGAAGCGAGGGTGCGGGACAGGTATTCTGTAGCTGCTGGAAGTGGTATTGTGGATTGAGTTGCCACGGAAGGCTTGTGGTGACGCGACGAGCCATCGCCCATGCTGGGCGATAATGGTCTTTCGGGCTTTACTGCTTCAGCTGCACCTTCCACATCATCTGCTGCGTCTTCTACTTTGTCTTTGACCTGCTCCAGAGGGCCTTTTGTACTGTCGTTGTTCGTCTTCCCGTCGGTAGAGGACGAGAACCATGACATACTATACCTCGAAGGCTGCGACATGACTTCGCTAATCGACTCCATCAGGCTCGACTTCTTTTCCGGCTTGCGGCGAAATAACGGCTGACTGATGCAAGGGGATAGGCGATACTCATCCCACGTCTTGGGGTCAAAGAAGTCAATATCGTATCGCTCACCAGTCTGCTTGTTGATGAAACATCGCCCGTTTTGGGGTAGTAGAACATAACTCGTTCTCAAAGTAAAGTTGACTTGCGCAGTGAGTACCCGCGAGCTGAATAGCACATCATCGCCGTTTCGCAGAGGTCCTAGAATGTTGACGCAGTTTTGTGGTGTACCAGCATACACTATACCTGCTACCAACTCAGGTCGCTTATTGACAATGTGCCTCGTAAGAAGTCCGCCAAGGCTGTGCGATACGAGCCAGGCACCACGTTCATGGATAGAGACCTCTTTCCGATTACAGGGCAAATTTTCCAGAAAGTAAATAAACCTGTCGCTGAGCAGATCAGGACTTAACCTCCAATCATAGCCATAGTCATGCACTCTGAGCCGACCATTCTGCACATTCAGGTTCTTCCTGCATTTCTTGATCAATCGGCGACTAATATCGACAGGTCCAATATGTGAGAGACTACCATCAGCGATTATCTTCTCTCCCATTCTCAGCTCGTCTTCCCTTATAAGGCCAACTTCCAGATCTGCTTTCCGGAGGTTCATGCCAACTTTAATTGGTACCCACAATTGACGATGAGGAGGATCCGCTTCTCGAAGAATGCTTCCTCTATAGCCTCCCATTATCACAAGGTCACCTGTCAAACGGGACAATGCGTCTTTCAGAAATGGATGCTGTGACTTCGACCCACCAGGCTTATTGTTTTGCAGATCGGAAGAACGTATTGTGCCGTTAGTATTTATTGTGTCCTGGCTCGCGGAATCGTCGTTGATTGCAGGCCTGGCAGGCGATGTTCGTGCAGCGCTGCGAGTAATATTCAGCCTCTTTGGTCGTCTTAAGGACGAATCTTGGAAGCTGTCTGTAATAGCCTTGAAGCGAGAATTGACCATTTCGGACTGATCAGCGAAAGCAGTGTAGTCATCAAAATCAGCTGCACCTGTCACACTCTTCCGCAAGTATAGTGACTGGTCTGAAGTAGATCGACGTAGCAGACTTTGCTTTGGTTGTGAATTCGTGCTGGCCCTTGCAGCAGCTTCTAGCTGCGCATGTTTCGATGAGCCTATTACCACTGGGGTTGCGCGTGTAGTGCCGCCTTCGGATCGCTGTTTCTCCATTTGTGCTTGTCCAGGTCGAAGTGTTGCTGTACTCGGAGCGACCACACCCGGACCAGCAGGGCTGAGAACTCGTTCTTCAGTTTCACTGGAGCCATAGAATTTGGGTAAATTGAATGATGACAATCCTGGTAGCCTCTTCCTGAAACTTTCGACCATACTCGAGCCTGAAGACGATCGATGCCTTGTTCCATTCGTCGCAGATCCGAGTATTGAGCTGACGAACGACGACCGCTTATCTGGTTTATCAGATCGTTCTTGATTGCTCTTACTGGCGACAGGTGGTGGAGACGGTGACGGTGGAATTTCCGGTACATGTTCGATGTTGCGTGTAGGTTCAGACGCGGTAGGAGTGACCTGATCAGAAGCAGAGTTGTCTTCCAGTACTTCGTCTTCAATCTGGTCCCTCTCAATAGAATCTATGTCGAAATAATCCTTCGAAGCATCCAAAGCTTGAGCTTTGATAGCAGCTGGAGTAGTTGGAGACTTCATATCCAATTGAGCACGACTTATGCTTGGTGCAAGCAAGCTACTCGCATCGTAGTCAATGTCGAGCGGACCCTCCTCGTCCTCAAGCAGATCACTATCCCCAGCCTCGTCTTCATTTTCAGATGAGCTCGCCATTCGTGGCAGGTCTGGACGTGCTTGCTGCGACATCTCTGATGAACTTGACGGCAAGGTTGCAAGGTCATGATGTGTCACTGGCGTGGACATCTTTAGTTGTCTGCAAGGATGAAGAGTGTTGATCCTATTGCTGGCAAGAGCCGAAGACGCCGAGTGCCAACGTAAGCATATACATTAAGCATAGCTCACTGCCAACGTCAGGAGCTGGTGTTCGCCTCGTAGGCAGTTCCAGCCTATACATAAACTGGCAAGAACATCACTTCAAAGAGTGCCGACCAGGTCCATTTCGGCCCCGGATTGCATGGATACATTGCCACGAAATCTTGGAAGCTCAGTGGAGAGTGGTAGATGGGATTGTACGGCGACAATCAATACGTCACAAGGCCTGCCACAGCATGACTCCATCTGTTGGAGGTAAAAAGCCATGATTGTGTTTGGAAAGTGATTGTATACCGGATGCTACTGTGCTGTAATGTTGGAAGCACAGTAGGTTGTGCAATCGCATTGTGCACAACAAAGCACAAATGACACAAGAAACGCGAAGCACATTCAGGGCGGATTTGGGGTTCGCGTCTCTCGGATGTGACTGCCAATTTGGTGATTGCACGCTTCGGACCAAAGAAGGTGTTCCACCTCCGAGTGCGCTGCCAGTAGTACGTGTATTCATCCGAGCACTATCGTCCCGAAGGTGGTACACTGTGACAAGCCAGATCTACTACGAACGGAAACTCATGGACTGAAGAGGTAGCAACAACTCGAACTCAAATGATGCCGAGCACTTGAGCAAGACTCATGAAGTATGACAATCGGCTAAGCACCCTTTCACATCTTTCTCAAATTTATTCATACGTTTGGTGAATCGTGACTTCTTCAAGCAGTATTCACCCAAGAGATGGCAGCTACAGTCGAATGTTCCCGTATACTATAATGTTTGCGCTCTTTCAGTAACCGCAGCTCTACCTGCACTCTCACTGACCTGCTCTTGTATCTTTTCTCCCATCATAGCCATAGCATTCATAAACATATCATCCATGAAATTAGGTTTTCCACCACCACTACCACCAAATACCGGTGGTTCCACGGTGTTATCAACTGGCTGTCCATCCCAGCCCAAGCCAAAATACCAAGCATACATCTCCCACATAATATGACATGGCAACCAAATAATTTCAGCCAATAGTGCTGCAATTGAGAAAGTCGAAAGTCGAATCATTGTGAGCAAGCCATCGTCTCCATTCAGATCTTTGCCAAGGACAGGCTTGAGGATCGTGTCGGTATACCATGTTTCCGCTTCACCAAAGTAGTACCGCCAGGTTCCGCGCTTTTCGTAGAGATCGTTGATGTGGTCGTTGAAACGGGTCATTAGCTGGCGCACCACATTGTGTGGTTCCCAGTGAGAAAGTAGTTCGGAGGGGCGTGGATCTTGGAGAATCGCCCGTAGCTGGAGTAGTGGCGTTGGAAAGGTTCCTCGCGGAAGCAGAGAAGCAGCATATTCATCCTCCAGCGGCAATTCAATCACCTTGACCTTGACCGGGTACAGGTAGGAGTCGGGTGAGTCATAGGTATAACCTTGCATATAGCCATCCTCGAACCATTGAGTGTCGTCGTCAAGCTCGTCATCCCGCTCGTGTGCCACGTGAACCATCGCCTTCCACTGTGTGACGCTGACTTTTCCAACTGAGAAATGCAGCAGAGAAGGGGTTTTCACGCTCCAGACTCCACACAAGAAGCGGCTAGACGCACAGTCCAGATACAATATATCAGCGCGATTCGATGACTGCACACACCTCTCCTGCAGAATTTGATCAAATGCCTCATCCCACATTGTGGGAGACCACTCCGGAAGACTCGCCACATAGACCCAGAAACTCTTCGCCTTGAGTGCATCCGCCCGACCCCTTCCACGAAAATCTCTCACCAACCCATCGAAACTCGCAGTCCTATCGATCCCCAGATCCGGATTCAGGTCCATCCTCAACTCCCTTGGTTGCTGTAATCCTAGACTCTCCGTCCAATCGAAACTTCGTATACTAGGAATATGGAAAGGTCCTTTCTGGTCTTGAAACTGTCGCATAGACAGGCCTGAGCTAGGCATGTCGAAGTAGCCGGTAAAACTATTCATTTCAGCCTCACTTTTGAGGGCATTGCTGTGCCGGACGACATTGCTGTGAGCCCAGAAATGGAATGTTACGGCATCCGAGATGGCTCCGGAAATGGCGAAGATAGTGATTGGAAGAGAGACCAGGAGGGTGTAGAAGATGAACTTGCCAATGAGGAGAAAGAGCCATTTCGTCCATGCAAACACACTCATATTAACAGTTGCGAAGGACGTGCGACCTCAGAATGTTGACAACACAAGCAACGTGTATCTCACCTATTCTTCGTGCGTGGTCTAGCGGCTGGATCGCGAGGAAACAACAAGTCATGACAAGAGATAGTCGCGAGACGCAGAAAGGCGAAGCTGATATACAGCTGTTGCCACAGGCATCTCCTCCATCCTGTGGACTATTGAACTATCGACATTGTGTCCAATATAATTAATTAGGGGCAGCACTATACTGCCGTGGTGAGACATTTTCAGGCAACCAGTGGCTCAAAAAGACGATGGAGTCGGGTCGGATCAGCGAAATTATTCATAAATATAGCTCTCTGCATCAACGTACTTTTCCGTACTGAGGCTACCTAGACTACTGTAGTGAACCACAGTCATTGCTGCCCTCCAACTGAGCAGTAGTGCAAACGTATGTTCAAAATTGTCCAAATGATAAAGAAACTCCCTCAGCGTGTCGTCCAATTCTCACCATTGTACTAGTGAGCGGGTGTGCTTGCATCCTTATCCCCATCATCGTCTGCCTTCTCCTTCTCTGCTTCAGTCGCAACATCCTTGACGACTTTTCCCTCTTCGGTCTTGCTTGCCTCCTCCGGACTATCACCACTACTCTCAGCCTGACCAGTCTCCTCTGCTTGGTTCTCAGGCGGAGTCACAATCTCCGCCGCGCCCGTACTTTCACCAGTCGCTTCCTCTGCTGTCTTGACGACTTCTTTGGCAGCATCAGCGGCTGGTTCCGCTCATGTATTTCCCGCAGGCCCAGTATCGTTAGCGACGACAACATTCGCCGCCGTAGCTTTTGCCTTCAGCGCCTTCATCTTCATCCTCAACTCTTCGACTTTCTTGACTTCTTCGGGGAGTAGGAGGTATGCTATGCCGTAACTCCAGTGGCCCATTGTTACAGGTTGTGTTGTGAATCGCTTGCCTGACTTGGTCAGATCGCAATTCATTGTGCAAAGAGGTCTATATACATGTACGCCGACGAACATGACGCATAATTAGAGATGCTGATGTATATTCCAGAGATGATGAGTCCTATATGCGTCAGCAGTGCGGAACAAACTTTCAAACGAAGGCAGCAACCTAGCAACGGCGAGGTTTCATGATGATGGTGTTGGTGTAGTGAAAATGCTCGGCAGAAAATAGACCATGTAAGGGGTCGTGTATCACTGGAGAATGTAATTTGCTGTACAGCCGTTCTTACTATCTTGTTTTGTTCGTGCATCGAAACGATGGATAACAACTTCCTGAAGGTGAAAAGTACGGGCAATGTCTCTGCGGACGTGTCCAACGCGAATGATCCACCACGATCGCCAGATGTCTATATATGCCTTTTTGCCGTCAGATCATATTCATTACCAGGTTTGATAGGGTAGAAGTGCTGTTAGGTATCGATCGTCCGTTCGTACCATTCATAGTCTAACATGTCCTTGTGCAAGCAACGCAGCGCTAAAAGTTCAGCACAGGGAAGAGCTGATGTTGTGGACCAAAGCTGCTATTGTCATACCCTTGGTCTTTTTGGGTCTGGGCCAGCTTGTTGTGCCGCAACAACAGCGGCAGCAGCTCGCTCATCTCGTATACGAATAGCTTCGGTCCCGTCGTCGACGATAGACTCCCGAAACCACGGGTGTTTGAGGGCTTGCTTGGCCGTTATCCGCTGTTTCGGGTCATATACAAAGATTTTGCGCAATAGATCCAATAACTGTTTGTTGAAGGTCGTATTTGCAGGAATGAAATCCTGCGTCATCCTGTTAGTATTATGCAATCTTAGGTATTGGAATCCTTGCTTACATTCAGATGCTTCATTGCCTTCACGTATTTGCGTGAAGGTTTAGATGTCTCATTATTGGGATAGTCAAGCTTGTTCTTGTTGAAGAACTTTGCTGCAGTGTTTGAAGTGTTACTCCTGTTGTTTTGCATGACTTGACGGATGATTTTTGTTTCAATCTTCCCATTGCAGACGGCTTCCATCATGGCAAGATGCTCCAAGTTGTCATGCGTCTGGAACAGAGCATCACCAGTAAAGAACTCGACTATGATACAGCCAATACTCCATATATCGCAGGGAAAACTCCAGCCTAGCTGAAGTATGATCTCAGGTGCGCGATAATGCCGCGTTGAGACAACCGAGGAATGATATTCGTCGTCAAAGGTTGCAGAGCCGAAATCTATCAGTCGGATGTCACTGTCAAGTAATACGCGTCTTTGCCTAGCAGATCGTTGCGTCGTGTGAGAGGAGGAGGGTATCGTGCGATTGTATGTGAATGTCTGATAAGCATTATTAACAAGCAGAATGTTCTCCGGTTTGAGGTCGGTGTGGACTAGGTTCAGATCGTGCAGAACTGCAGTACGTTAGCATATCTGGCTTCCAAATACGCAGATTCACTCTTACACGCCACACTGGTGAAGAGCTGTCTAGCGAAGCTCTGTATTTGACTGCTTGGAAATGGCACGAAGCCGTTGCCTTTCAAGAAGTCGAAGACACTTTGGCCCAACAGATCTGTGACTATACATATGTGATTGCGAAAGTCGAATGAGTCGCGCAGATGTATGCATTTGTTGCGATTGGTCTTGTCATTAAGAGCCAGAGTGGAAAGTACTCTCAGCTCAATCCGTGAGGCATCCCGGTATTTTTGCACGGAGCGAATGATCTTAACGGCGACTCTTGTTTTCCGCCGCTTATCGAATGCTTCTACAACTTTTCCGAATGTGCCCTGTCCAAGAAGTTTGATGATGTCGTCTGTGTAAAAGGTTAGCAAAGGGAAAGCGAACTGAGAACAGCACCCACATCGCTCGGTCAAAGGTAGCCCATCCTCTACTATGTAGTGTCCATCCTCGTCGTCTACCTTCTGATTTTTGTGAATGGTCTGCTGGCTATTAGAAATGCTCGATTGTATTAGGCTTCCCACACGTACATCTCGAACAACGGGAACATTGACTTCGCCGGCTTTCCTCGGCGGTTTTGACGGAGGAATGTAGTCCAGAAAAGGATCTGTTTGTGCCTCTTGCTGTTTTCTCTTCGTACTCTGTCTTGTCTCTTTTGGAGGAGCTACTCTTTTCCTCTTCTGACCTATACGCACATCTTCATAGGAGTTGCTTGCAGTGGTACCGCCGTATGACTCGAGTGAGGTTGGGGCGGTTACTGTCTGTATAGAATTCGTTCTTCCACCCGAGTGTACCGAGTTAGAGGAAGAAGAATTCCCATATTGTGCATGATGTGTGGAGTAAACAGGACTGTCTGCATATTCCACCTCGTAACCCTGATCTATTTTTCTTTTCCTCCCAGCATTCGAGTAGGAGTCCTGTTGCTGATCACAGACGTTCGAAGTAGATGCTTGTGGGGGAGGACTGTCGTCATCTATTACTATGATCTCTTTAGGTACACCATTTTTGTAGAATTCGTTCCAGTTGGGAGGCTTTCTATTTGCACTGAGACCACTAGCCTGAGTCGAAGCCATTGATGGGGCATAAGATGGCTGCTTCAGTGTTACCGGCGACGCCTGAGGTTGAGGAGGCTGGGTAGGTTGAGGTATTGAGTGGTAAGATGTTGTTATCCTGGGCGGCGCAGGTAATGTGTTATTAGTGGGGTATGCCCGGCTTGAGGTGGTTGAGTAAGCGTTTTGATGAGGATAACCGTATGGTGTATGGTGCACGGGCAGCATAGTAGCTGCCAAAGTTGGGGTCGACATTTTTGCCTGAGTGATTGTGATAGAGTGAGCTGTCTCGAAAGTTGTGTCCAGTCTTCACAGTCAGTTTGCCGACGATTTTTCGACGCTCAAGTGACGTGCGCTTCAGCGATTACTCGACACACTTTTGGCACAATCTTTTGTTTTCTTGACACTTCTTCGCTGAAGCATGGAATAGGGTGAATTTGGAACCGGTTCAGCCGTGGTGCGGGAGTAGATAAACAGAATGGACTATGTAGAAACACAATCGCTGCACCGGTCGAGGACAAGCCTCAACATGTCCGATCCACTGTCATTTTTAGGACTGAAACACGACTTCCAGGTGCTTCTGTGACTTCTCAACCGCGTCGTCGTTTGCAAAGGGAGGAATGATCGCTGTTGTCGCGGGAAAAAGCGTGGAAAGAATTGTGGTGATGTCGACGCCGACGGACTGAAGTCGCCTGTGGTTCTGCTACTCAACTAGGCTTTCTGGCTCTGACCTTGCGCAGTGATGCAGCGGCCACTGAGCCTGCAATCACACTGGCTAATCGACCACGCTACACCACAACCTAAGCCCCTTCAAGCCTAGAGTCTCTCGTACTCATTCGTTGGACAAGGCCCGACTATCGCAATCACCTCCGCACTGCACACACAGCCAAACCCATCAATGCCCTCGTCACCATGCAGCTCAAATGCCCGGCTACTCGAGTACACCATCTGCGAAAAAAATATTTACTGTAAGAAAACACAAGACGGACTATAGACTTCTCGTGGCCAGAAAATGTCTACAGATCGGTATCTTGGTATGGCACAGTACTTGTAGCAAAACATCGAAACATGAAACCGCCTGTGTGGGTACGCTCAACCATTACCAAGCCGTCTTTGTCCGACATGGATGGTGGCCACCATGTGTGCGGACATGAGGCTTGCTGCCCATATGCCCGCTCCAAGTTCTGCTATGCATTCTCCCCTGGCAAAGGGTTCTTCCGAGCTGCATTGCGAGAGACCCTGCAAGCCAATTCATTCGACAAACGTGTCACTTCAGACCATGTGAATAGTGTACCGATCGTGTCTTGTCGCAGGTTGCACATTATGTGATTGTAGTTCTTATGAATCTGCACTGAAAACAATAAAGATTGTCATAAATGGTCATTGACTAGTAATACCGCTCGATTGCACCATATTTTCTACGTTGAACTTGTCCAACGACAATGCATAAACGTAGAGATAAATAATGTGCCTTCTGAGCACTCGCTGTTGTACACACTGGCAAATCGCCGTGTAGCCGCCCTTACTGATTCAACGTTCATATGCAATTCCTCAACGCCCTTTTGTATGCCATCTATTCCTGCTATGCAGGTTTCGAATCATCATAAGTGCTGCTGCCTCTTACAAACGATCGAGCAGCACGGCCGTCAGATTCCAAGACGAGAAGCATATCTCGTGCTTGAATGCCAGGCTCTTTGCCTTCGTCGAATTGTCCCATACGTGACCCCGTTGCCGGCTGCGGCGCTTTGTTCTTAGCAGGAGTGGTTTGCGCAGTTCGTGTGGGAGTGCCAGTACCACTTGGTGTTGACGCCGCCGTCCCTCCACTCATCCAGGAGTAGTTCTTGCCTTTTTTCTTACCGAATATGTTCGATGTGGCCATGAAGATTGCCTCGTTAGTATGACGTGGTGCGTTTAGTTCCGAGAGTCGATTTTCATCAATCTTCTGCTGCTTTTTGGATCGGGCCTTCTCGTTCTCAGCAGCCGCAGCTGCGAGCGCGACCTCGTCGGCTGCTGCGTTAGCTTCACTCTCTTTGGCAGCTGCTGCATCGGTCCTTTTACGCCTTTTGGCCTGACGATCTGCCTCAGCTTTCGTCTCTGTCTTGGAAAGTTTCTCGAACTCTATAATTGCAGCATGAGGACCTGATCGAGTGTGTGTTAGCGAACCTGCGTCACTGTTCGCCTGGGAGTGAGTGCCTAGGGAACGATGTTAGCTTGCGCAGACAGGAATGAAAAATGGCTCACGTTTCATGCCTGGAGCTGCAGCAGAGATTGAAGCTGTCTCACTCTCTGCTGGCCTTGATACCACGGCAACGTCCTCCCACCCGTCAGGTACTCGTCCCTGTGAATGTTTTCTACGCTCTTCACAAATGACCGCGGCTGCTTGGACAATACCTGTCAGCCGAGCCTTTGCTCCAAGTGATAGAATCTTGACTAAATCGGTCAGGCGTTGTGCCTTGTCTCTTGTGTCCAGAATTGATTGGCCATCTTTAATAACTCGTGTCGCCCCTTCGTAGCCATTGACTCTGACTTGAGGCGGAGGATGAGTCTTCTGTGTATTGACAAGAACACCCGATTGAGGCTCGATCAGGTTGGCACGTTGACTTAGAGTTTTGATCTTGTCGTTGACGGCGCCACCATAGAGGAACGCATCCCATAGCTCGTGTTGCGCATGTCTAGCTTCTTCCCAATTCTGTCGCTCCTGCAATCGAGCAATCTGTTCCTCTGCCGTCGGCTGTGGCACGTTCACGTATGGAGGCCCGACTAAGCCTGGTCGTGCCACAGGACCTTCCACAGTATTGAGAGGTTGACCTGGATATTGCGGTGTCTGAGGCGTGGACGGTGGCAAAGAAACGGGTAGCATGGGGCTGACTGGGCCAAAATTCAGCGCGTTACCATCACTGAAAACGCTGCTCTGACTTTCGCTCCCTACATTGTCTTTCTTAGTGAATGGTTGCTGGGGCGGTGGCATCAAAGTCGTTCTTTGCTGCCCGGGTACTGCGATTCCATTGACATGTCCGTTGATTGGGCTGCCTGCCTGTAACATTGAAGTGCCTACAGGCTGAGAGAACGAAGGAGTCGCGTCTGGGGACAATCGTGGTCTCTTCGCAGCCGGTGCCTGGCCATTGTATGCTGGTGGAAATTGCGGCTGAGGTGAGGGAGAGGAGTATGAGACAGCGTGAGCCGGCGACTGAGGACCATATTGAGGTCGCGGGTTAGGTTGTTGAAATCCATGAGTGAACGACTGCGATTGTGGAGGAAATGGCGGTCGCTGCTGTGGAGGAGGGTGTGACATGTCTCCAGATTTCGCCAACACTACCGGACTGATCGAGAGCGACGACTTTTAGATACCCAAGAGCATATGCGTATGCGCGAGGCGCTATGCTCTGCCCTTCCCAAACTTGTCCCTCTCATCCCAGAATTCACAGCGCATCAATATCCAGTAATTGGTCTCGTCAGGCTTCAAGTGTGTAGAGTGGGAGGGTCGTGCTCGAAACGTGAGGATGCAGTGTGCGAGATAAGTGGGAGGTGTAAAATAGTAAAGTTCATTTGCGAAGAGGGTCAACCCGTCACTGGCGACTGCGATTGTCGCTAAAATAAAACCACGTGATTAAAGTTGGTCGTGCCTTCCTTTCCTCCACTGCAATTCCATCTCACCCTTGCTTCACCATACTTTCGGTCAAGGTCACTCAACAATCTCCTCACTATCAAATCGCCTCTCACAATATTCAATAATTGGACGGGCACGTGTCGCGCAAGTCTCGAGACTTCTTACGGGTTTCACGTCTATCCAGCGTAATGTTGTGCTACAACTCTTGATTGTCGGCTGTACTTCTGCAGCTCAACTACCGTAATGGCAACGAAACGAAAAGCCGCCGCCATGAGCGGCGCTACGGAAGATGAAGACCCCGTCGACCCATCGGACGAACTGACTTTCATTGGTTTGGGAGGATGTCAAGAAGTGGGCAGATCCTGCCATGTTCTTCAGTACAAGGGCAAGATTGTTATGCTTGATGCTGGCATGCACACTGGTCGTGAGGGTATGGCTGCTATGCCTTACTTCGACGATTTCGATCTTGGAACAGTCGATATTCTACTTATCAGTCAGTACGTACAGTCCTCCAATCCCTGCTCTCGTCTTGCGCATTCTGGTACGATTCGGAAATGGTGGTATTGCAGTATCGAAGCGCTCGAGAGGAGGATCAGTCGCAAGGAGCACAAGATCACTGTTCTTGGATGGCCGAAGCGCTTTTGCAATCTGCTGTATCATAGTTCAGCACAATACGATTCAGTTTCATGCATGCTCTTCTTCCTGATCTATTCTCTCGCGCGGATGCTGTACTACCCCATGGGCAAGCTCTTATATAGAAGTTGTGTTGAACCTAGTAGCTAACTCCCGTGTGCCTAGCTTCCATCTCGACCATGCTGCAGCGCTTCCCTACGTTCTGTCAAAGACCAATTTTCAAGGACGAGTTTTTATGACGCACCCAACCAAGGCTATCTACAAATGGCTCATTCAAGACTCTGTCAGAGTTAGCAATACTTCCTCGACTTCCGATCAAAGGACGTCACTGTACACTGAAGCGGATCATATGTCTACGCTACCTAAAATTGAGACAATCGACTTCTACACCACTCACACTATCAATGGAATTCAAGTCACTCCATACCCAGCCGGTCATGTGCTTGGAGCCGCTATGTTCTTGATCAACATTGCCGGCCTCAATATATTCTTTACAGGTGACTACTCAACAGAACAAGATCGACATCTGGTCGCTGCGGCAGTTCCGGACCCAAAGAAGGTTGGCAAGATCGACCTCCTGATATCAGAGTCCACGTTCGGTATATCGACCGCTCCTCCGAGAGAAGAACGAGAATTTGGTTTGTTAAAATCAATAACGAACATTGTGAACAGAGGCGGAAAAGTGCTCATGCCTGTCTTTGCACTTGGAAGAGCACAAGAATTACTCCTCATTCTTGAAGATTACTGGGCAAGACATCCTGACTTACAAAAGGTCCCCATCTATTATACTGGACAAACAGCGAGAAAGTGTATGGTGGTCTACCAAACATATATCAATGCCATGAACGACAATATCAAGAGGATATTTAGGGAAAGAATGGCGGAGGCCGAAGCTGCTGGTAATGCTAAAGGTCTCAGTTCAGGACCCTGGGACTTTCGACACGTGCGAAGTCTGCGAAGCCTGGATCGCTTCGACGACATAGGTAGCTGCGTGATGTTGGCGTCGCCCGGTATGCTGCAGTCTGGCATGTCACGCATTCTGTTAGAGCGATGGGCACCAGATCAGAGGAACGGTGTGGTAATGACAGGCTACAACGTCGAGGGCACCATGGGTCGAACCATTTTGTCGGAACCAGATCAAATACCAGCGATCATGAGTGGTACGACGAACGCACAAACTATCGGACGCAGAAACCGAGATGACGAAGCCGTTATGATACCTCGAAGGTGCTCAGTCGAGGAATTCTCTTTTGCAGCCCACGTCACAGGGAAGCAGAACATCGACTTCATCGAAGCCATACATGCACCACACGTTATCTTAGTGCATGGAGAGAAGTCGCAAGCAGGAAGGCTGAAGTCAAGGTTGCTAGACAACAATTCCAAGAGATCAGCGAACAATGCCGAGACACAACAGACAAAAGTCTATAGTCCAGAGAATGGTGCTGAAGTAAAAATACCCTTCAGGAAGGACAAAATTGCCAAAGTTGTTGGCAGGCTAGCACAAATTCCCGCACCACAAGGTCCTGATGACGAGAGAGTGATAAGCGGCGTTATGGTTCAAAATGGTTTCAAGTTGAGCTTGATGGCTCCTGAAGACCTTAGGGAGTATGCTGGGTTGACAAGCACTACTGTGCTATGCCGTCAACACATTGTCCTGACCGCAGCCACTATCGAGCTGATCAAGTGGGCTTTAGAAGGCACGTTCGGTGCCATCGAGGAGATCGGACAGGTCAAGGCAGAGACGAACGGTGACAGTCACCCAGAGGACGGCGCAAAAAAAGAAGTGGAGACAAAGATAGAGCAAGAGCAGGCGGATGAGGAGTTCACATCCGAACCTGCTCGTACCTTCCTTGTGATGGGGTGCATTCAACTGAAATGGTCCGGTCGTGACAAGGAAATCGAACTCGAATGGGAAGGGAACACAATGAATGACGGAATTGCCGACGCCGTCATGTCTGTTCTGGCTACTGTCGAGTCAACTCGTGCTTCGGTCAAATTCACGCAGAAGGATGTCAAACACCACCATCACAGCCACAGCCACGATCACGAAACCAAGGAAGCCCTTTCGGAAGAGATACAGATAGCGAAGTCCACGAACGGGATAACGAACGGTCAGGCCCAGCCAAGAGCCGTACGTAATCAACTGGCAAACCTCATACCCGAGGAGCGATTCTCTCGTCTCACCATGTTTCTGGAAGAGCAATTCGGTAACAATATCGACCCCATCGAGACTCCACGGATTAGCCACCTCACACAGGTAGATGGTAAGAGTCTCAAAGACGGGAATGCGGATTCTGATGAGGACGAGGAGGACGTGGAAGAACGTAACGCCGCATTGATGGCGTCAGAGCGTGCTCGCTTAGCCGCTCTGGGAATACCTGTCCCTGGTCTTCAGATCAAGGTCGACAAAGTCATCGCACGACTCTGGCTTGATGATCTGACGCTCGAGTGTCCAAGCAAGGTGTGGCGTGAGAGGATCATGGCTGTGGTTGAGCGAGCTGTTGAGACTGTGGCGCCTCTCTGGAGTGTTGGTGGTGGTTCAAGAGGATAGAAGAACTTTCATACTCGGTTCGACAACTTATCACAGTGATCATATCTAGAGCAGCCTGTACAACATGTTACGATTAGCCAGCTGAAAGGATGAAGTTAGTGATCCAGAGTGTTCGTGAAGCTCTGACTTCACAGCGAGGAGTACGATAGCCAGAACGGCCTTTTGTGGTCTTGCAATCATTTCAGGGAATTTTTATCCTGTGTATTAGCAGCTTCCAATGAATCCATTGACTACAATGCCACCTTCCATACAGATGTATTGCAATGTGCTTCGTCTTGCTCTAGTTGTGTGCTTGATTCTAAGGCATCAATTTGAAGCTGGTCTTCCAGGTGTTTTGGGGCAGGTTGACCGAGCCTTAATGCTTGGCGTTGTGCGGCGCGCCGACAAAACCATCACCACTATCTGGCCCTCACTCTTCTCGTCTGTAGATCATCCACCACAACACAATTCGACAAGATGGTATGTCAGCCCCTGCAATAAGAGCTTCTGTGACAGCACGAAATGCATCGCACGAAGTCCGACGACGAAATGCTACGTCGAGCCGACAGCTAAAGCTAACACGACCTAACAGGCGCCAGCAACCTCCGGCGGCAAGAAGCAAAAGAAGAAGTGGTCGAAGGGAAAGGGTATGTCAAGAGCTGTTATTGAATGAAGACGACGTAGCTGATTTCATGCGCAGTCAAGGACAAGGCCAACCACGCAGTCATCCTCGACAAAGCCACCTCGGATAAACTCAACAAAGACGTTCAATCGTACAAACTCATCACAGTCGCAGTTCTGGTCGATCGTCTGAAGGTCAACGGTTCATTGGCAAGAAGAGCACTGAGAGATTTGGAGGAGAAGGGCACCATCAACAAGGTTGTTTCGCACAGTAGTGGCTCGATCTACACAAGGGCGGTCACCTCTGACTAAGTGGGTTCTTTCAGCCAATGCCGGGCACGAGATGAATTCATGATGGGACGATAAGGCATGGCACGGCTGGTCGACATGTATACCTAACATGAATGAGGCCATGGCAGTCGACATAATGTTGAAGATGACCATGGAAGAACTTCAGCGTGGCTCAGAACAATTCACATAAGTGAATACCATCCGAGTTCAAACCAGAAAATTTCGGGCTTGTGAATGAGCTTGTGCGAGTTTTTCCTTCAAATTATTGTACAGGTTTTCCAGGCGCTTCCTTCTTTTGGTTCATGTTCTTTCTTTTTGGACGACCTTTCTCGGCCTGAGCACACAAAGTCGGGGCAGGACCTGCAGGCTCATCCTCTACACCTACCACCTTCCCAACCTCAAAGTACTTCTTGCTGTTCGTGTAAAATTTGACCCACCTATCAACTTCGTCGCGTACTTTTTTCCTCGCAACACGTCTTTCTCGCTCCGCTCTTGTCTTGCGTTCAGCACTGCTGATGTTCTCGTCTGGATCTTCGACAGGAAGGTATACATCTTCTGCGCCACGCAGGTCACTCGTCCGATCTTCCATAAAACATCCTGTGACAAAAGCTCTTGACGCATCGTGGCCAGCAAACGCATGATACGATCCACCAGGACCGTACGTGTGTGCACCAGCACTTACATCAAAGATTGTTCCATTCACTGCCAGATATATCGGCGATCTAGGGTCACTCCCATCATACCGTGCCAGCTCCGTCTCTGTCAGGTATACTGGCCCTCGAAAATATTGCTTGAGCTCTGCGGGCTTTGTGAACCACGGTCGAGGCAGACCGAAAATATATGACTCGCCGGACGTTACATAGGACGAAGCTGCAGCAGTAATCATGATCAACAGAACAGTTATACGAATGATATCTGTTGTCGACGGCAAGGGAAAGCCCTGATCCTCAGCTTCATCTTTGGCAGCAACTTGTCTGGACGCATCTTGAGGGTCCCGAGGTCTTCGCTGGCGAACTTCAGGGACAGTCTCTTTGCTCTTCGCTGTCGCCATTATTTCTTCTTCCTCGTAATCGTCGACAAAGCCTGTCTGTCGTGCCATACAGATTCACAATCTCCCGGAACAAATGTTGACAAGCTCACGTTGAACGTTCAGGAAAACACCATATCCTCGTGGTCGGAGATTCACATGCGTCCCTGGCAACGTTATTGTTTTCCCCACAAGGTTTAGTGACGCCTCGGGATGGTTAGCTCAGATGGATCGATGTCCATGCAGGCCAACGCGAACTGGAACTCCCCAAACTCCCAGCCATCCATATTATTGTGAGAGTGCCTGACCTACACCATCGCACTCTTTGCTGGCTTACCCTGCTCGCCTACACTACTCTTTGTAAATATTTGAAACCACACTAGGCCTCGTCACTACTAAACGACGCTACAGCAATCAGGGACATTTGAATACCTACCCACCTTGGACGCGAGACCGCCAACTGCGCATGAGAGACCATCAATTAACGAAAGGCTCATAGTAGCTGCAACCAAAATGAGGGAAGAGCAGAGGCGTAAGATTACAACCATCACCACATCGCGCACCAGTTATGGCGCATCCAGCAATCGATCAGCCTTCGGCTACTGGGTCCCTCTGGCGATAACTTTAACTGCTGCTACGGTCGCACTAGGAGCCTGGATCTGGAGTGAACGGGATGATAAAGAAGAGTCTGAGTCTGAAAATGAACACTATTATGCCAGCACTTCCAAACCCAGCGGTAGACATGATGGTGGTCTTAGTGGCGCTTCGACTGCTGCAGGCACGGCAGGACTTGGGGCAGCAGCTGGTTATGCCAGTATGAGTGGTGGTCTACCTCCTGGGCCTGGTCCAGCTGGTTCCCAGCAGCAACCTCCACCTGGATCTTTTGCACCACAGCCTCCGTTGCAAGGAGGGTTCCAAGGTCCTCCTCCTGGCTCGATGCCTCCTGGCGCAAGTGGTGAGGCTGCAGGTTTCTATAACCAGGAGAATCAATCGCGCGCAATGTCAACTGGTGTCTCAAATACTCAGCAAGACGACTCGAGTTTCCTGACGAGAATGACAAACGCAGTCGGCAGTAATACATGGGCAGGCAAATCTCTAGCAGCAGCTGGTTCAATGGTTGGAGGGGCCGTAAATGCTGTAAGAGGTGCTGGGGACGATGGTCAAGCCTTCAGTGATCAGGAGAGATGGTCAGAAGAAGCCGACAAACCAGAAAGAACAATGTCCCCTCGAAAATCGACTGGCACAGTTGCTGGTGCGGGCGCAGACGTTAGTAGGCGAGGACTGCAGCGAACCGGTACGGCAGCAGAATTTTACTCCGGCGCTGTTGATGCCCCACGACGGAGTTCAGTTGCCTCCAAGAAGCGTCGAACTGTCGCCGTGGTTGTCTCTGCTGTGGACAGAGTCGACGATGGCCTCGAAGTAGACGCTCATCAGGTAAAGTGATTGCTCCCTAAATCCACGACCTGTACTAATTGACCACAGTCCATCCTTGCTCATCTGCCAGGATACATCAACCCTGACACTACACGGATCATAGTCCTTATCTACGACCCCGAACTACATACACATCCTCTATCTCTCATCTCTCGACGCGCCTCAGAACGTCACACATCAGTTCCATCTGTCCGATCACAATCTACCTCCTCCTACGCTAAGATAAACACCCCTGGCGCAAACGGCACACCAGCACAAACCCCAGGCGACTTCCCTCACGACAACGACTCCGATGATAAAGGTATACTAGCTCACATCGACCCCAAGCCCGAAGACAGCAACACCTCCCTCTCCCGCCGCGACTCCCGAGACGATCGCTCCGAGCAGAAACGCGAAACACTCGCATACCCCGCCACCGCATCCCTAGTCCGCGAACGCAGCAACGAACTCATCCCCACCAACAACCCCCTCGACGTTGAAGCCAACCCCCTCTTCAAAACTCTTTACAACCAAGCCAACGCCCTCGTCGACCGCGACACCTCGATCCTCCCATTCACTTCCCGCGACGGCCACAAGCACATTCTCCGCTCAATCCAGCCCGAAACCCTATATATCCAAGAATCACTCTGTGGCACAGATGGCTCACTTGTCTCGGAACTGCGAGGCTGGGTCAGGAGTATTGTCGTGGTGATTGGTGACGAGGGCGGATTTGGTGGGTTGATTGATTCGGATACTGAAGATGAGAGGGGGAGACGAAAGCAGACCGGCATGAGTGCTGAGAAGTGGTGGAAAAAGGAGAGTGTGACGGGCGTTGGGAGAGGGGTTAGTGTGGTTGAGAGTCTGAATGTCGGCGATGATTGGAGGAGGAGGGTGAATGATGAGGAATGAGATAGGCAACTGTTTGTTTTGGTCAAGCACTGTTAGGTCAGCATGAGGAGTTCTTGTAATGATATGAGTTATGACAGTAGGGTATGCAGTATAAACTCAATTTTGACGTTAAGCCTTAATCTCGATTACGAGTACTCCGATGGCACTATGAGGAAGCTTTGAGCTTTTACTGGATGTCTGTAATCGCTTCTGGTACTTGCAGTTCTCATGCTGTAAATGAGTCTTAGAGATTTCTTAGTAATTGTCATGCCTGACCTTGTTGAGTATAGCACGTTGCAGCAAGTTGAGTCAAGACAGCATAAGTTGTGTAAAGTTGCAGCAAGTTCTAACGAGATCAAAACGAGTTATACAGAGTTAGATCAAGTTGCAAGAAATTACAACAAATCTCGCAGTACTCCATTCAAGCTACATACATATATCTCAAGCTCCCTGCGACATCATAATTTCACCTCCCCCTCAGCTTAGCTCTCATCTTCATCGCATCCACAGGTACAGCAGTAACGTTATTAATCGACCACACCTCCCAACCATGCGCCTCTCCAAGCTTAATGTCCTCTTTCCCCGTACCGCCATACCGAACCTCACCAGGCTTCGGCCTCGTCCCATCAAGTCCGACTTTCTGCCATTCAAAGCCTCGTGCGATCACGCCTAGCACGATCTTTGCTTCTAGATATGCGAGGTTCGATCCTATACATGTGCGTGGACCTCGCTCGAAGGGTCGATAGCTGCCTGTAGGTAGGGTGGAGATGTGGTAGGGGTGTGGAAGGTTTGTTTTGCTGTTGTGCTTTGCGGCTGCGCTATTCATTTCTTTGCTGGATGTGTCTAGTGCTTCTTCTAGCTCGTCGACTGTTCCTTTTCCGCTGCGATCGAGGAAGCGGGATGGGTCGAATGTGAGTGCATCAGGACCCCATGTGGTTGGATTACGATGAATGATGTGGTGGGAGTTGTAGAATCTTGCGCCGTCGGCTCGAACTTTTCGTGCTTCGAAGTGTTCTCCGGTTTTGCTGTGCGTCCATGCTGGTAGGTCGATGTAGTAGGGTGCATTGCTCTTGTTTGCGGGATACGTCGGATCGTAGGGTGCCATTGGCACTAGTCGAGCACTGCCTGCGGGTGGATGTAGTCTCAATGTTTCCTTGACGAATGCTGTTGTGTATGGCAGTTTCGAACCAAGTAGTTCATCTGCGTTGGTGTTGTCTCGCTCAAGAATATCCAGCAACGCGAAGGGGTCTGATGCTCCAAATACTTCGTCGTGCTCGGCACAAAGTCGCTCCCGAATCTGTCGATAGTGGTCAGAGTAAAACGGCGAGGAAGGATATGACTTCGAAAGTTCGTAGGCCATCCACTGGATAACGGTCGATGTGGTATCTTGACCTGCAAAGAGAAATGTCTTCACTTGCGAGATGGTGGAGTCAAGGACGGCTGGTGTTGGATTTACACCAGAAAGGGCGAGATTCACGATTGACTTGCCCGAGCCTGTGTCACTCTTTTCAGATGTTCTCTTGGAAGATGGTAACTTGTCGATAATCTCTGTATATAGTGCTCGTGAGTAAATCCTGTCATAAATCCACTCCTTGATCCTTCTCTGCGGGAAGAGGTAGGCGCCTAGGTCAAATCCTTGCCCAACCTTTTCTATCAGTGTCGACATGGTCACAATAGCTGTAAGCAAACCAAATCGCGATTTCGCACCTTCGCCATCGCCCAAAGTTTGGGCATGAAAGTCTTTATCAATAGCAACTTGAGTGATCACATCGATGGTTAGGTCAGTAGTAAGCTCCTTCAAAGGAAAAGCATCTCCCTTCTCAACATGCTTCTTCAACCGGTCAAGAAAGATTCTCGTCTTACTCACTATCAGTGGGACAAGACTGTGGAGATGAGCAGGTGCAAAACCCTTGTTGAATCTTCTTCTCTGAGTTCGCCAGTTGTCTCCTTCGATGAGTACGAGAGACTGTTTGCCAACCAGTTTCGTGAGTGCCTGTAGGGTATTTGATTTCTTTCACAGGTCAATCTGTTAGGCTAGCTGAAATAGGTGGGGTGACTTACTGGAGTGCTGTGCCTGAAACGTTCTGTGGGTTGTGTTATACTCTCTGCTACAGTTGGATCCGCGATTATGATCATGGCGCGATCTACCGGAGCAAGGTCGACAACATATGCTGGAGGATTCCCAAGCTCGTGCCATACATCCTCAAATGCATAGTCGGGATGTGCATTGATAGAAGGATTTAATTTAGGTCCGATTGTGGCCAAATGGCCCCAAAACCAGTGTCGCGGATGCTGTGGTAAATCTTTGTAACCAGTATGTGTTCGATAAGTGAAAACGGATGTTTCGAAGATTTTGTAAAGAACGAAGAGAGCACACCCCAGTAACGCGAGACGAGCGAGTGGTAGGATCGCGTTCGTGAGCTCCATCTCGCGATTGACAGACAACGATGCATCTTTCATGCTGTCAAGGTAGGGCGAATATAGTTTCTGCTTGCACGCTGCCTTCTGAAGGGATCACAGTGTGTGCTTCTGAACTTCATTTATCACGAAGCGAGTGGTGGGATGCTTAGGCCTCCACAGAACTCTCTTGGCTAGTCAAGACTGGGCAGCCAGTGCCATGTCGAATCCATTACCTTGCTGGTTTCCTTGTCGTCACGAAGACGAAGCAGCGGCAGGCTCTTGATGTAACATGGTCAGAAATCTGGCATGATGAAGCCCTAACAATATAGCCGAGCACACCATGTGGGAAGGATCGTAATTCTACCCGAATACGGACACGATCGTCGCTGCCTGAGCGCTTACGTCGCAATCATTCCGAGCACTGTGAACGGCAGTCACGTCGCGTACCACTACAGGGTGCATATGAATGAAGTTTCGACACTTTCACAAGACTCAGCTGGGTCCTGGAAACAGAGCAGGCTTGGCAGGAATGCGACAGGGTATGGACGATGCAAAATATAGCTTGTCAGTTTCAAAGGATCGTTTTGCCAATGTCCAAGTTCCAACACATCATGTTTTGGGGGGGTTTCCAGAAGATACACGTCCTTTTCGTTGTGATCCAGACACCGTTGAGCAGAATATTCGAGTAATGTCTCCCTGAAATCCAGAAAGAACTGATTATTATGGACTAATTTTGGCTGCTAATAACGATGAAGAGAAGATAACTCGCACATTATAGATCAGACTCAGCCGTCGGTACCGATTTCACAACCTCGTCCATCAACTCCGTCCACAGTTGCTGTTCGATTCTCTTCCCTTGTTCGGTCTGCAACCATGCCGAGCCAACACCTTTCACCGTGCCTTCAGTCATGTACATACCATGACTCTTGACATCACCTTCCTGACCAACAGCTCCCACTAACAACGATCGTGCTCCAACCTCTGCCTCCCTCCCGATCAGTCTAAGCGCGACTCGACTGACTGCTGTACCGGCGGTTCTGAACAGCTCTGTCTTACAATAGCCAGGGGCTGCACAATTCACGATCATACCCTTCTTGGTGTTTTGAGTACCAGAAACAGGGTAGCGAGCTGCAAGCTGATGTACAAGCATCTGCAGCATCACCTTGCTGAGATTGTATCTGTCCTCGCCGATCTTGTTCTTCCATCTGGTCTCAGTACTCAGCCATTGCATGATGCCTTCTCCACTTTGATTCTGTTCTGCCTCGACAAGCAATGCATGCTTCGCCAAGAACTGGACTGCGCTGCCAACGAATGTGATCCTTGGCGTGAGTCCAGGCCGTGCTTTTTCACGCAAAACAGGTATTATGAGTACGGCGAGCATCATCGTGCCAACCACATTGACCATGACGGTCATCTCATATCCACCATCCTCGTCTTTGGCCTTCTGATACGAGACCAGGTCGACACCAGCATTGAGCACAATCGCGTCGACGTGATCTAGCTCACGTCTTGTACGTTCTGTAAAGGCCACGATTGAGGCTTTGCTAGCCATATCGAGCTCCCAGACATATATCTCGAGCTGTGAACCTTTCTCGCTGGGCAGGGTAGCCAAGATAGCCTCACGGGCTGCATTGCCCTTGCTCGCACTCCGACATGCGAGGATAAGACGTGACACGCAAGCCAGCTCGGCAAACTGCTTCGCTGCTTCAAGGCCAAGACCAGTGTTAGCGCCTGTAACGATTATGGTACGACCTCGAATTTCTGGCTTGGTTATGTTGGATTCAGTGACGGGTGTAATGGTGCCGAATATCTGTCCCTTGAGGAAGCTGCGCAAGTTTTGAGCATCAGAGTAGGCGTCCAGCTTTACTTTTGCTTCGGGATGAGGTTTAGCCATGTCGACCGATGAGTGCTGTTTGTAATGTGTTGGAAGATTTTATCGTCTTACAGACTGTTTGCACGGGGATTGTCGAGCTGATTCCACGACCTAGTACAAGTATTTATCCAGTTTCAAGGGTCGGTGATTGCTATGCTGATAGTGCCCGTACATGATCCGGTTTTCCATCTCGCTCTTGTCTCGAGAGCGTCGGCGCCGACATCTCTTTACCATGAGAGGTCAATGCTTTGCGGTCGCCTGGTGTCAGTTTGAGGCTATGGGCGTCTTGATCTAATCTCGTAGTTCTGAGGGGATAGGTCTCCGAGACCTTGCTGTTTTTGGTAAGCAGTAACAGCTTAAGGCCGCTTTATTGCCTGATCCGGAAAGTCTTGGCATTTTAGCATATTCCATGGACGTGCACTACTAGCTTCCTGCCTCCTCACTGAAATACTAATGCCAGAACATGGACCGATTTCTTCAGCTGTAGCCGTTCTATGATCAGGCAGTGGTGCTCATCTGTTTGAACAACTCCTCACCTCTGAGCCAGCGACCTACATTATCAGCTGTCTGCTCATACCAGCTCGTCATAGTATTCTCTTCGACATATCCCATATGAGGACTGACGAGGACCGTTACATCTTCCGGCCAGTCATTGCTCCTCCAGACACTGTCTTCTGGCAACGGTTCAACATCAAACACATCCAAGCCAACACCTTTGAGCTTCTTCTGTCTCAACGCATTAACTAAGGCAGACTCATCTATGAGAGGACCACGACTAGTGTTGATGAGAACAGAACTCTTCTTCATCCAGCTCAGTTCTTGCTTGCCAACAGTACCACGACTTCTGTCGCTCAGTACATAGTGTACACTCAATACATCAGCATTGGCGAATAGTTCCTGCTTGCTGCTCGCGACACGGAAAGAGCCGGCTGGTAATCCTCGATCAGCTGCTGCACGATCGGCCTTCTCCTGAGTCAGGTTCTCACTCCAAGCCAGCACTTTCATGCCAAAGCCTAGGATACCAGTTGCAGCAGCTTGCACACCCAGTCTTCCCAGACCTAACAGACCAAGCGTCTTCCCAGCCAGACCCGTGTTCAGCCCCTCTTGCCATCCCTCCTCACCCCTTCCAGTCTTGACACGAAGGTCGAGCTCAGCAATACGCCGAGCAACACCTAGAATTAATGCCCAACATTGCTCGTTCGTACTGTCATAGTTAGGGACAGCTTTTGGTGAAGGCCCTGTACCTGCTACTAATATGCTGTGATTCTCACATTCAGCTAGATCGATGCTGGCGTTGCGACTTCCTGTCGTGAGTAATAGTTTCAAGTTTGGAAGTTGAGATATCAGTTCTGCCGGGAATGGTGTCCTTTCTCGCATGGTGCTGATTATGGTATAGGGCTTCAGGCGATCTATCGCGGCTTTGAGGCCATCTGGTGTGCGGGTGAGAAGTGTTGATGGACAGTAGTCAATTTGCACGTTGTGGTCAGGGTTTTGTCGAGTGAAATGTTCGAATATTGGTTTGGAAGTATAGGCATAATCGTCAAGGACGGCGAGACGTATAGGTGAAGCGGACATTGTCGATGCTCCGTCGGTTTAGCGGCTGTCCCAGGGATGAAGTGGTTCTATATGAATGAGACATCAGTGTGAAAGCAAGATACGACCTGATCTTAAATACGTAAGTGGTGTGGGGAAGTGATAACTCCAATATTCAGATCTGAAAAAGTGCCTGAAATGTATTCTCTATGCAGACGGACGTTTTAGCTCAGAAAATGCTGTTGTTACAGACTGTCATCGTTCTTGATCTGCACCTTTATCGCCCCCGTTTTCGCATCGGCTGCTGTCTCAAAGGCCTTGATCGCATCCGACATGTTGAAGCGATGCGTAACCAGCTTGTCCAAGTTGATAACCCCATCTTGTACCAGGCGAATTGCCTTTGGCCATGTATTGCAGTACCGGTATTGGTATTGAAGGTCGATCTCCATCACGCTCAACCTCATGAACGGAATAGTCATCTCGTTCTTGCCAACGCCGATGATAAAGACTTTACCACCGAACTTGGTAGAGTATATGGCAGTGTTAACTGACGACTCAACACCTGTGCATTCCATAGCCACACGCGGTCTGTTCCCATCCATACCTGCTACCACCTCTTCTGCACAATCTTCCGGACTTTTCCCCCGAGGTATTAGGTAGGTACGAACTCTGGGCACAAGCTCTTTGGCGAACTTCAGCCGGCTCTCAGCAATATCTGTAATCAGGATTGGGCTAGCACCCGCAGCTGAAGCACACAGTAACGTTATCAGACCGATTGGACCTGCGCCACAGATCAAAACTGGATCTCCCAGCTTGATACCTGCTCTATCCATGCCTGCAAGGGCCACCGAAAGTGGTTCCAGCAGACTGCCCTGCTCGTAGCTCATTCCTCCGATCTTGTGACACCATGTTGCTGGGTGCTTGATGTATCTCCTCAGTAGACCAGGAACGGGAGGAGTACTTAGAAATGCTACGTTCTCGCAGCCGTTGTAGCGACCTATCAAACATGGCTCGCACTCGAAGCAAGGAACATTCGGTTCGATCGCGACGTTGTCTCCGACTTTGAGGTTTTTCACTGATGGGTGTGCGGCCAGGATCACTCCTGCAGATTCGTGACCGAGAATGTGATTTTCTCTCACCACCATGGTAGGTCCAATGCATCCATGGTGCCAGAAGTGTACGTCAGAACCACAGATGCCCGTGCTCTTGACTGCAATATATACTTCTCCAGGTGCTAAGTCCTTTCCATTCTTCACGTCATCCAAGGAAGGAGTGGCTTCGGCGACCCATAGGTCATGGTTTGGGTTGGTAAAGACACCGATATTAGGCTTCGCTTCCTCTGTCATGGTAAGTGTAGTGAGAGTAGACATGGTAGTATTAGAAGGAGAAACTTTTGGGGAAAGACGGACGCTATCTCGCAGTGAAAAGTGGGCAGTTGCGACGCGGTACGAGTCAGGTCTTATATTCGAGCAGATCACCTACCTCGTGGGCACGCTGTATCGTATCTCAAGGTGCCGAGCATTGAAACATTGATGCGAGCCTTACCATCAGCGGTAATGCTACCGCGGGGATGCAGCTCTAGCATGCTAGTAACTAAAACATGGATGTGTTGCACGAGCAGGACAATTCAGCCAAATTTCGAGCACTACTGCAGACCAAAGTCAGAGGAAATCCCCGCGTTCCAGCTCCATTCCGGAGGGGCGTCACGTCCGGGTCTTGGCAGAACGATGGTCCGAGTATCACTCACTGGCTGGAAGTAACACTTCAGAACGGGTGATTAGCTGTGTACGTCTCGCACAATCCACACAGGACAGTAGCGTAACACAAACACAGACGTGCCACGATCGCATCTCACTGGGGCTATAGCGCAGCTTGACAACTCACGACCGTATCATTGTTCGAATATTCAGATTTTCTATACTCGTCAAATGTAAAGCAAACACAGCTTTGAAGGTATGCAAAGGCTATGACAAAGTCTGTCCTGCTGTGAGAACAAATCTGGCTGTTCAGGTCAGCAACCCCCAATCAGCATGAGGAGTTTTATCCCTGATTTGAAAGCAATACCTTGCCGCAAAACAATCTTCACGGAACTTGATTAACCTCGAAATGACTCTTCCAGATCACAATCATGCCTCATCCACAAGGCCTTGAACCTTCTGCTTGAATTCAAACAGCTTCATCTCTGCAGCGCCAGCAGCCTCTCGAAGCATGTTGTTCTGGTCAACCAGATACTGGTAGTCGTTTGGTGGAGACGCAGAGCCGTAGCCCTCATCTGGATTTACCTTCGCCTTTTCGGCCTGCATTCGCTCTATGGTCCTAACAGCAGCCTTGAAGAGACGACCGAGAGGAGTTATACCTCCTTCGCTTTCGACTTGCTGGACGACAGCTGCGTCTAGACGTGCTGTAAGTTGGTCCTGATACTCCTGCTGAATGACCTTCCTCTCTCGATAGTCCACAGCATTTGGAGTCATCGACGGTCCTTGGCTGCGATCGTATGGAGTCCTGGTGTACAGAGTACCGTCCTTCTTGACTCTGTAACTAGTAGCATTATGCTTGCTCTCGATCTTCACCTCTGGCTTTACTGAGGTTCTTGAGTTCTTCCTAATCGCAGTTGCTTTCTTGTGGGTGCAGCGAGTTCTCTTCGCTCGGCAGGTCGAGCATGCCTTCAGGGCGGTTCGAGTAGTTTTGCTAGATTCTGGTTGTGTCGAGTCATCTTTGACCCGGCTGATGTGATCGGTGTTGGTGATGGATGTGGTTCCCGGCTCGTCCTTGGGTCGAATGAAGTTATAGCCAGTGCTGTGGAGACGCTTCTTCGGGATATCTCCCTTAGCTATAAAGGGTTGCTGTGGTCTCAAAGTAGGTGTGTCGGCCTCTAGAGGACCAGAAAAACCGGTGCCTGTTGTTTGGTTACATTGTGGGAAACGAGGATTCTTGAGTGGTGTCGGCAAGTTGTCAACTTCATCCTCAGAGTCCTCTGTTTCTTCTCCCCGATCTGTTCTTGGGCTGAAGGAAAAGTACTGATACTGATTGCTTGATGAAGAGCTGGTATTGACGCGTAGGTTATACTGTCTACCAGCAATCGAGTGTGCCATCTTGATCTTTTCCGCAACAGATGTCAGTTCACTAACACGAGACCAGATATTTTGAGCTTGATACGAACTCATAGTGGATCTTACTTGGTGATCGCAACTGTGTTGGTGTGCAGATCCAGGGCTAGAGTCAAACGGGTTCGTGTGTGTTTACACCTGAAACGTGATCAGTCCATACTATATACGTAGACGGCCTGTGACGAGGGCATGTTGGTGACAGGTAGACTTACCAAGATTGAAGACGACGAAGATTCATGAACAGATTCATAGACCATCAACTTACCTGTTCGAACCGGACTGCATACGAGTCTGAGCTCGAAAACGTGCGTGCCGTCTTAGAAGCTCACTGCATCGTGTCGATAAAGACTTCGTGATCCAATGTGTATCTCATATACGATCATGGGCTAACCAGGACCACTTTCAGTTGCTGAATCTCGGACAAGAGCTAGATGGACATCTTCGCTAGCATGGGATTCCAAAAGGTAATGAAGATGGCTGCCAGACAATGTTTTACTTTCGAGACTCTCAGATCAGAGCGTACTGCTAGTCGAGGTAGTGCACAGGATCATTGTTGATCTTCGACACGTCGACGCGTTGTGATTACCCGCGGCATAACGATCAACAGCAGGATCATCCAGCTCACTTTCACCTCAGGATGACCACGTGAAAATGCAAATCGCGAAAATCAGCACTGTCCCAAATCGACCATGCTCCTTAAAGTCACCCTTCCACGCTCGAAGCCGCAAGAGTAGTACAAGTCCACTGTCATTCTACACGAATGGTTTGTAGTCCGATCACGAGATATGGGGGACTGACGACCGGGTGTTTTCACATTTTCTATCGATCGTCTGCTTTCCCCATTTTATTCCAACGAACAAATTTGAGGAGAAAGTTCGTGGCTCACAACGTGCACAATACGAGGGCGTCGCTGCCAGCCTGGAGCTGGATCACAACCATCGTAACTAGGTATCGACTTGCTAATCACCATGAGACTACGAGTGAAAGGATTCTCAGCATCGCACCTCGTCAAAGAACAGTCATGAACATTGCTATCTTCGACGCACTATTTCTCCCCCACCTAGGCGCCGATTGCGTGTGTAGCCTGGCGGTCGAGACAGACGCCGCGTGGCACAATCCGCCGACTCATGCGCTCTTCTTGTTCTTCTATCACAAATTTTCGAAGTACTGCGAACTCACTGCTGCCGTTGATGAAGGCGTCGCCGTGCCGCTGAAATCTCCACACCGCCCCACAGAACCCTCCCGTGTTGACAGGTCCGTGTTCGGAGCAGATCTGCTGGTTTAGTCCTTCAATCACGTTGCTTTTAAAGTTTTGCAGGTTACTCGAGTACATCTTCCATACCAGGAGGCAGTTGTGAGTTCGGAGGTAATTATCGTGAATTTGATAATGGCTTGTAACGACAAAAGACGTTTCAAATAGGAACACCGCAAGACGAGTGTTCTCATTTCGGGTAATAAGAAATGAGTGCTCAAGATGAGCATGACAAGCTAAATATAAAGATTGTCATCAACAGATTCTCAGAATCTTACTCATGCTACCTATACCTCTCTTTATGACAGCTCGCAGATACGAGATCTCTCGTCTCTCTGCTAGACACTGTGATTCAACATTCCCGTTCCAAAGACTCCAACCCAAAACCCTGGAATTTTGACCTTCATCCCGCCGAGGCTATGCATAAAATCGTTGCTTTTTTTTCCCGTTACAAATACAAGCAATGTGAATTGTTTCCCTTCATCCTATTATCTATCGTGGCTCTTCAAGTACGTTCTTATCTTGGTTGGACTCTTTGGACTCACATTCCCATTTACATGGCGCGTTTCATCCGGCTCCTCCACTAAATCGCTTAGACCAAAGGCATTGTGTTCCACATCATAATTGTGCATCAATCCTTCACTTTCTCTGCTCGAATGTCTTATTCCACCAGGGCTAAAGGTCAGACTACTACTCCTTCTGTGTGGGTCCAAACTAGCTCTTCTTGCCTGCATACTTCTTCGTGTAGGTATGATTGTAATTCCATCTGTAGGTATTCCGTCCATATCTAGATCTTTCCCTGCTGATCTGTGGCCGTCTGGATCGGCGCGAGAGAGGTTAAGTAGGTAAACGCCCGAGAAGATAACGAGGAAGCCGGACAGCAGAGAGAGGGTATTAACCACATCTGTTGTGTTGAAGCCCTTGAAGAGGATGAAGGAGGCGCAGAGGGTTGCGGTCGTGAAGGCGACGTAGTACAGCGGATTGACGATGGAGGTGGGAAATTGGGCTAGAGCTTTGTTGAGGTAGTTCATTTGTGTGAGAATGCAGATCAGGGAGACGATCATAAAGGCGTAGGTTGAGGGGTGGCTAAATTGGTTGTTACCACCGAGAGTAAGTTTGAGGGCAATGCCAAAAGCTTTGATGGACATGACGGAGATGGAGCCGACTGTTGAGCAGATCGAGATGTATACTAGAGGATTTTTCTTGCCATATATCGGCCCAACTTTGTAGATCATAATCAGGGAGATGGAAACGGCGGTGATGCAATATATGAGGAAGCCTTCACAACCAATTAGCTGACTTCCACTGGAACTCGTTAGCAAGACATACCTGGCTGTATGGCATAATCGAGGATTTTGTCGACTGTCTCAACTTGCTCATCTGGAGGCGCATGCAGAACAATGATAATGGCACCCAGTAAACATATTGCGCAGCCAAGCTTCCCAAGCACACCTAGCTGTTCATTGAGAAAGTACGCTCCCAGTACAGCGCCTATTAACACAGACAAGGCACCTAATGGGGTTACCAGAATCGCAGGTGCAAAGGCATACGCAGCAAAGTTGGCAACCTCGCCCACGACCAACGATAGTATTCCTGCCCACCATAACGGCGTCTTCAGGTAGGAGAAACCATCTCCTTCAAAACCGTGCTTGTCTGCAGCGTCATTGAGACCCTTCTTTGTTAGAACAAAACTGGCACCAATTCCCAATGTAGAGGTCACTGCAAGAGCGAGGCCTATGTATTTGTCTTCGAGTTCAGGCATTTTCTGCGGGCGCAGAAGGTAGGAGGTGCGCGCTCCTCAATTCGTTATCCGACACAGTTTCGTGGGAAATCGGGAGGTACTATGCGGACTGTGAGCGTCGTAGTCCTTTCCGTTGGCCAACGATGAATGTTCAATGCAGTCAGCGTTGACACATAAACCAGGGCCTTCTTGTTCGTCCCTTGGTCAATGGTGGACAATTGAGCGCGGCAAGCGAGTGACTAGATGGTGATGGTGGGCTACGACAGATCGTTCGTGTCTTGCTGCGAGGAGAGCAGTTTGCTGATGGGTTGTGTGCGCAGAAGGAAATTCCGAGACCAGTCTTTTTGATATGAAACGTCCTCCCATTCAGGGATGCTGATGGAGGAATCGCCGAATCGTCAGCTGTGGCAGAGTTCAGCCGCAAACCTTCGATACAGATTCTTGCAAGGATAGGGCTTGAGACACCTAAGCGCACGCGCCTCGAGTCGACTTCTCTGACTGGTTGGGGAAGCCTAGCGTCATCTTTTGTCGACGGGATCTGTTGACAGAAAAACGCCTTTGAGGCTTTGTTCGTGATTCAAGACTCCACCCGTACTGGCTGTTCCTGCCGATGCTTGAACCCCTATCCTGTTGGAGATCTTATCAACCGTGCTTGTTTATATACAAAGCAATCGTGCATATACGTCCTTGCTCCTCCCCTTGAGGATTGAATATCCGTTGCGAGTGTCCTGTCTACATATAGAACGTCCAAATGCCACACGAAGAGCCTTCATGTGGAGGTATTGCGACCGTCAATGCTCAACACGGCCAGGTACAGGTTTATGGTTGACAGATATGCTCAAGGTACTGCTACGTGGTCGACTTAGGCCACTGTCACGCTCGAAGACCAGATCTCGTAATGGCCAAATAGGCATACCCTCGAGCCTCTACCAGATCGAGACCTTCGCACCAACTGACTCACCAGTAGGAACTTTTGTGACTCCGCCCAACCCGATCCACCGCAATACTACCATATCAATCAGATTAAACCCATCGTGCTAATGTTTCTAGCAAATCTTCCACGTCTTGGGAAGAACCAGCACACAACAACAATGAATATCAATATTACCACCACGAGACCGATTCTGTTCCTTCCAGGTTCGATCACAGTTCGTCCTTACTGTTTGAGCGACGCTGAGAAGATTGCACATCATGCAAACAACACCAAAATATATCGGAACCTCGAACGTCTTCCACATCCATATACTCTCGAGCGCTCACAAGAATGGATAGCATACTGTACCGACCCCAAGAACTTCCTGCCGCAATCACATCCATCCTCTCCGCCGGACATGAGCAGCGAAAGGGCATCACTAGGTGACTATGTGCCGAAAGACTACGTTGTTTGCTTCGAGGATCAACCGATTGGCTCTTGTGGCCTCGAACTTGACAGCAAGAACCCTCATACTGTATCTTTGGGTTACTGGCTGGGTGAGTCTTTTTGGGGGCAAGGCATTGGTACTCTGGTCGCTACGGCCTTTACAGAATGGACATTCAAGAATTTCCCATGGATAATGCGTATACAAGCAGATGCATACAGCTGGAATGGGGCAAGTCAGAAAGTGTTGAGGAAGGCTGGTTTTGCCTATGAAGGTACGCAGAAGTTGCGGGTCTGCAAAGATGGGAGATTTAGCGATCTCGTTCTGTTCGGCAGAATTAGAGAGGGGTTCGATCCTTAATGAGGCAAAAGTAAGTGGTGAACAGGATACATGGTTGGTCATTAGCAGAACACAACACTTCTCCGCTACTCTCGGATCAGCACGAAGGCAGGAGCATCCGTCAGCAGGAGAATTGTACCACTCCGCAAAAGAGGACTTCTGCAACATTCACCGTGCGGAGAGTGGACACAAGAACACTCAAGAAAGTTGCACAAAAGAGTCAGTTGACCTTCATCTTGCACTGCTTATAAGGAAACCTTTTTGCCCATGGCAAAGAAATTGCTGCAAGTTATGCACAAATGACAGGATTAGTGAGGCAAGTCTTGCCCCAGGCAGCCTCACTGCAATTTCAATGCTGAGTCATTTAACCAATCGGTGCTTTCTACCTCCGCCGTTAGGAAATGCGGCGTCATCCAACGTGACCCAGTTTTCCAAGTCCCAAGTTCGCATGTGGTTATCTTGCTTCTGCAATTGGACAAAGGTCCCATGTGCCACGTTCTTGCTTCGAAGCAAATTCCACTTACGTGTGCTGCAAATTCCCATCTCAGAATTGTAATGCCCAAGCATATTTGGACGTTATTGTAAAACGATATTTGAATGTGTGACACGAGTTGCTGTGGTAGTTCCTCCTGGGAGACGCGTTGGGAAACATGGCGGACAGCATTAGTAGCCTGAAATCGGCAGGCGCCCCTGGCACTCCGTCCGACAAAGGTGTGTGACTGCCAACCATCGCCCGAATACTACGTTCGAAAAGAACGAACCAACGTGATCAAACGCAATGGAGCACTACATTGCTTTTGCTAATTGGCATTTCACTCATATATCACCCGTTATCTTCAAGCCCTCCACCTACTCAGCCTTCATCTTCTGCATAGCCGTCTTTATCTGTCTCTTGCATTCCAATTCTTGGCAACACGAGAGCTAACACCTTCAGAGGTCAGGATATTCGACGAACCAGAACATATTGAGCATCCTGGCTATGCGTACGACGAACGTTCTCCATCATCTGTTGCACAGTCTTCCAAGATCCATCGAGCAACCATGTCGGGCAGGAAGTTGACAGGACGTAGTGAACGCCCCCCGTTAAAATCCGCCCCTTCAGGTCCCTCGACACCAGGTTTGACGAACCAAATGTCGACCCTTGCTCTCGACAGTCCGAGTCTTGCCGCCAAGACTGCACCGGAGGATAATGATGACCAAGCGCTGCTTGATCAGGTCATGCAATGGTTGCAGAATGAGAAAAGCAGGCGATCACAAGTGTCCAACGGAGACCACGACGCCGACCTCAAAACCTCACGAAATGGAGATACGCAACCTGATGCGGATCAGTCTCTAGACCAACTTGAAGCAATTTTGACAAAATTCGGAGATGGGTCTGCAAAGTCAAAATTACGCCGTATGACGGGCAGTCTAGCAAATAGACGTGGCTCCTTGGGTAAGGTGTTACTGAAGACGCAGCGAAGTTATGGTCCTTCGGACACGGATGGTGGTGATGCTATCGCTGAAGTACCTCATATCGAGTCCCTGCTTGACAACACTAAAACGCTCTCCTTCGCTGGTGGGGCGGCTGATACGTCGGCCGAGGACGACGACAAGACTAAAGAGCAGAAGCATTGGGAGGTCTTCAAGCAGGATATTTTGCGTTTGACCCACACGCTTGGCCTACGGGGCTGGCGCAGACTACCCATCGAGTATGCTAAGACTATGCATGTTGAGCGCTTGAGTGGTGCCCTAACCAATGCTGTTTACGTCGTGAAACCACCAAAAGACTATACCTTGATGCAAAGACGTGATGAACAGGGTAATCTCGTCCCTGTTAAGAGACTCCCAAAGCACCTTTTGCTCAGAATTTATGGCCCTTCAACTGATCATCTTATTGATCGTCAGAACGAGCTTCTAATTCTCCGTCGTCTCGCTGCCAAAAATATTGGCCCAAAGCTCTTGGGTTACTTCGAGAATGGTCGATTCGAGGAGTTTCTCCACGCCAAGACTCTGACCATGGAAGATATCAAAGATCCGGCCATATCTAAACAAATCGCAAAACGTATGAAGGAGCTGCACGAGGGTATCGACTTGCTAGAGTCTGAAAGAGAAGGTGGTGCATTTACTTTTGCCAGTTGGGACAAGTGGGTCGATCGCGTAGAGCAAGTCATGACTTACCTAGACAAGCTGGTTGAAGACGAGGCAAAGGGAAAGCGTGCTCCCAAGGCTCGATATACACGTCGTGGCCATGTTGTTGGTACAGAGTGGAAAAAATTCCGTGAAGCGTATGAAAAGTATCGGAGTCGACTCATCCAAGAAAGTGGAGGAGAGAATGGCATACGCAAACGCTTGGTATTCGCCCACAATGACACACAGTACGGCAATCTCATGAAACTTAAGCCAGAGGAAAAATCTCCTCTCATGGAACCAACCAATTCACACAAACGGCTGGTTGTCATTGACTTCGAGTATGCCAACGCCGATCCACGCGGATACGAGTTCGCAAATCATTTCAACGAATGGTGCTACAACTATCACGACGCTGAGCGGCCCTATGCGTGCAACACGAAATGGTACCCGAACAAGGAGGAGCAGTACCGCTTTATGCGTGCCTACGTTATGCATCGACCTCAGTTTACCCCTTCAGCATCATCAACACCAAACCTTGAGGCACGTGAGAAGACGAACGTTCCTGAATTCAAGTTAGATGCACGAGGGCCTTCAGGGTACTTCAGTGGAGGCTATGATGAAGAAGAGCGGATCAGAGAGAAAGCGGAAGAGCATGAAATTCAACGGTTGTTGCATGAGACGAGAATGTGGCGTATGGCTAGCTCAGCATTCTGGGTAGCTTGGGGAATTGTGCAAGCTCCGATACCAGAACTAGATGAGCCAGAAAGGAAATCAGTCAAGGAGGCTGTCACTGATGTCGCTGATAAGCTGAAATCTGTATGGAAGGCTAAGTCAGACCCACTGGATGAGGAGGTGCTAGAGAAGAAGGAGGAGTCGAAGCACGATCGGCCTGAAGGACACGACATAGAAGAAGCGCATCGAGAGGGTGATGGGACCTCGGAAAACGAGGAGGAAGAGTTTGATTACCTGGCATATGCGCAAGAAAGAGCCATGTTCTTTTGGGGTGATTGTATTCAGATGGGGATAGTGACGGAGGGTGATCTGCCAGAAGAAATGCGGTCCCACATCAAGTATGTAAAGCACTGAAAGTGAAAGTGCTGGCACATTTCGGTGAAGGTAACAGGCAAACAGCAAACACTACTATTTGTCAATGCCAAGCATCAACACTACCATCATGCCGCAGGCCACGTTTCCCACGTTTTCCCAATCCTCTGCCGTGACCACATCGCGTCGTTACATACCAGACGACAACCAGCGTACTATCGTGATGCGTCCAGACGAGCAAAGGAAGATAGCAAACTATGGCATTCTTTGTGGTCTGCGCTCAGATGCAGCGTCGGACTCCAGTCGATCCTCATCAGCTAGACCTTCATCACAAGAGCGAAAGTTGATGGCTCTCAACTCTCACCCTACAAATGGTGCGGTTCAACGACGACCACAGTCTCTAACGTTGCCTTTCGACAATCGAGAGCGTGAATCACACCTAGTCTCTGAAGAAGAATTCGATAGGATCATCAAGCAGGGCGAATTGGATAATCCATTGCCATCACTTCCCACAGCCATCGAGAGCAGTGCACCACGTATTGGACTCCGAAGATCAATCTCGACAGCACGAAACACGATGATGTCTACCAAACCACGACCGATGTCAGCAGACTTCAGTCGATTGATGGCATCGCAAGGATTCCAAGATCGTCCTGGTCGAAACTCTTTCGCTGCTCCAAGTCGAGATCCCACATTGACTGCCTTACCTCGACCACCGACTAAGAACGATCTTGCCTGTAAACAAGCCTGCCAATGAAGGGTTGTGAAGTACTGACCTGATCATAGTATATCCGAACGAACCTCCTTCAGCTGCAAGCAGTGCAAAGACTCTTCGCCAACGAGCACTTACCACAGACACAGACACCCCTGCCCGACCGACTTCTTCCGCTGTAGAGTCAGCTGATCGTCAAACTCGACACAAACGACATCGCTCCGCTTTCATTGTGACTGAGTCGATCAAGAAACGACTCAAGCGAGGCGGAAGCAACGATACCGAGACCACTATTCTTCCTGGCCAAGCAGACAGCTCAGGTCTAAGCAAGCTCGCAATGGCTAGCCCGACCACGTCCATGCGGTCCCGAACCCCATTCCAGAGCCATCCTGCAGTACGACCAATCCTGAACAACAGCATGTTAGCAGACACTGCAGGACGAAAATCTACCGACATGGACATGGACGTGGACACGGACGCTGAAGCAGAACCAGAAACCCTATCCACCGTCCGCACACCTCCAGAAAGTCTCAAGAGATCAGTCCTCAAACGTACCTGGTCCCGGGCAAAATACCACGCCGCAAAGCTATCCATCTCCTCGCCAGCTGGCAATAACCTTCTCGGCCAGAAAATGCAAATCTCACAACCAATCGCAATAAACATTGATCGCCCTCCCACAGCACAATCCCACCACACAGCAGCCAGCGTGGCTTCGACCATCGCACCCTCAAACACAAGCACAGGCACATCTCACTACCACGCCTCCGCCGAACAATCCCCCACGAATCCCTCATACGAATACGTCACAGGCCCGGTCCCCAAGAAAACCGTCTTGACACGACTAGGCGCCCCACCGAGCAGGACCGAGCTAAACACCGTGGTGAGCAGGCAACAGAGTAGGATCCAGGACTTGACGTTGCAGAATAACGTGCTCGTGAATCAGATCAGTTTGCTGAGAGAAGAAGTGCAGGGGATGAAAGTCAGCAGTAACCACAACGCGAGTGCAAGTGGGAACGCAAGTGCAGCAAGCAGCGAGAAAGAGAATCACCGACCAAGCCTTAGTGACCGAACGTTGGGTAGAACATCTAGACGACGAGGGGAATATACACCTGAGCACAAACACGCTGATCACAGTGTGAACATGGACATGGACGTCGAGATCAATACCGACACACACGCTCGGCGAAGCAGCAACGGCACGGCAGCAAGCAGAATTCGAAAAGACCCCAATGGCTGGCGACATATCATGGGCGTGCCGATGGGGAACGAAAGTGAGAGCGCATGGGATCAAGATGATAAGCGGAAGACGTGGATGACTTGTGATTCGTGAGTGTGCTGTGAGAAGGTGAAGCTCACGCGAGGATGTGTTGGATGCGTCTGCGCACGCCGGCGAGCAACGTGTAGTCGACGCGTCAGGCTAGTCTGTTTTCGGGAGAGTGTAAATCCTGCGGCTTTGAGCATGTGAGTTGACGAATTGTCAGAAATTTGTCTGCTCAAAAGAAATCAGTAGGTATCATTGCAGAAGCTCACTGTTCAGTAAGACCGAGTGACGTGGTCACAATCGCAGCTTTTGACTTCACCCTTATTCTCCAGGACCACTGCACTCACATCCGCAATCCAAGAAAGGAATCGTGAGCTGAACGCGCCAGAGTCAATTTCTCCAGGCATGGTTAACTGCCGACCAACCACGAGAACGTGTTTTTCCGGGTGTCCCTCCAGGCGTGAGCACACCTGGATGACTCAACTGCCTCAGACGAGCGCCTGTCGTTGGCTTCGAAGGCAAACACTCGAAAGGAACGATCGCATTACTGCTCACAATGCGACAACGATTGTTCAAACAATACATTTTTCATAATGTTGTATCAGGGTATAGATAATACAGCTACCCATAGCTATTTCAAATACAAAAGACCTCCCTTAATGCAGTCCATGATAATGAAATCCCATCGTGCATTCATAAGCATTACATACTCTTGTAAAGAGCTCTTTCTCCTCGTCACATCGCAATCCACGGTTCGTTTTTCTCTTCCTCATCAGATGAATATTACCAGACACCAAGACATAGCAGTCATATCATGCCTTTTTCAAGAGCTGCGCGTAAATCTTCCCATGTACAGCCAGAGTACTCCTCCCATAAAGGCCCAACATAAGCATCTCGCTTCAGACAACGAGCTTCCCCCCAACAAGGAACTTTGTGCCGTATAGCAGCAGTGCGCCGGTGCTATCTAGGCCCCTGCTGCTGGTTCATATGCTGCGTAAGCTGATGCTGGTAATTCTGCTGCATCTGGGCCTGCGCATTTTGCAGTCGCTGCTGCTGCTGCATAAAGGCAGCCTGGTTTTGAAACTGCTGAGCGGCCATATTGGGGTTCATGTTGCCTGCCATTTGTATATTACCATTCACCATCTGACCTCCTTGTTGTCCGTTCGTCATGCCGTTCTGCATTTGCTGACCTTGTTGTTGTTGCTGCTGCTGCTGTTGTTGCGCCTGATGTTGTCTCATCTTGCCCAAATGCTGCAAGGCCATCTTCTGGGCATTCTGCTGTAGCTGATGTTTGACCTGACCAGGTATCATGCCGGGATTACCGCCATATTTCTGAGCCTCCAATGTGATTGCCTGCTTGAAGAACGTCATCGTATAGTTCTGAAGTAACTGCTGCATTTGAGGATTCATCTGAGGTCGAGCTTGTCCTTGTTGTGGTTGCTGGCCCTGCTGGTTTTGCATGGCTTGCGTTTGTTGGGCTTGCATCTGCATCTGCATTTGCATCTGCATTTGCTGTATTGCCTGAGGCGACATCTGATTCGGTGCAGGAGATCCTTGAGAACCACCCATTTGCTGCATCATTGCTTTCCGAACCTGTGCTTGGTAATTTTGAGTCTGGGTTGGAGTAGGCGATATGTGCTGCGGTTGTGGCGTGCCTTGCATAGCTGCTTGCCTTTGCTGCATGGCAGCGTGTCTTTCAAGCTGAGCCTGCTGCTGAGCCAAAGTCGCAACCATCTGTGGATTCATGGGCTGTCCATTCATCTGCTGTTGCATGGCCGCACTTTGCATCTGCTGCCGCCGTATTGCGGCCATCTGAGCTTGCTGGTTCATATTCGGATGCATCCCATTCGGCATTTGTCCCTGCATGGTCGCCTGCGCCATCTGAGGCGTATTCATAGCCATTGCGTTCAAATTCACTGGACTTGCATGTGTCATTGGGTGAGCAGGAGTACCTTGCCGTATAACAGGTGTTGCAATCATCGTAGCAGGTGTACCAGCTGGAATCTGAGGTGTGCCATTACGGCTAGGACCGCCTTGACCACTAGGCTGCCGCATCATTCCAGCTGCAACTGGATGACCATGTTGTAAAGAAGAGCCAGGTCGAGGTGGTGAGCCAGCGCCACCAGTTTGTGAACCATTCCTCATCATTGGACGAGGGCCAGCTAGGGGAGAAGATGCAGCATGCGGCGTACCTTGACGGATAACCGGAGATGAGCCCGGAGGCATGATCTGGTTGTGCATATTTGGAGGAATAGCATTCGGTTGAACCTGATTTGGGTTATTTCGTCTCTGAGGTGCTGGAGCAACAGACTGTTGTGGTTGTTGGCCAGCCATGGCATCTTGTCGCTGCTGCATCTGCATCTGATGCTGCTGTTGGCGTTGTATTGCCTGTTGCTTCTTATGCTCAATAGCAGCTTGTTGATTTCTACGTTTAGTCTCTTCTTCTTGCTGTTGCTGTTGTTGACTGCGCCGGAGCTCATCATCTTGCAATCGCTTTTCGTTCTCGCGCTGCTTCTTCTCGTTGAGTTCACGCTTAATGCTATCAAGAGCATTGAACCTCTCGAAACGGGGTTGAAAGGGAGCAAGACCAGCCTGGGAGTCAAGAGTACTGGCATTAGCAGCAGTTGTCCCTGAGCCCTTACCATCCATGATAAGCATGAACCGTTCCTGCTCTTTGGCATGTGCATCGTCAGCAGCCAGCTCAGCAAATGTTCGCTTCCTGCTTTTGGGTGATGAAGGAAGCTCGTTACAAAGAGGATCTGTCAACATCTTGTATATCTGCTCGATGTGTTCCAGGTCCGTGGCAGGTTCGAGGTAAAGAGGTCCAGCGGTAGCATTGACAATTCGAGCCTCGTAGACAAGTTGGTCTTGTGGGTCTATTCGTGTTTTTTGCTTCTTCAGTGGAGGTGGTCGTTCGTTGATAGGTGTAGGAGGGACAGTGCCGCCAGGCGTGGGTGGCTGACCAGCTTTCTGAAGCTTCTTTGCCTTTGGATCTGGAGCAATGAAATCGAGCATCAAATCCATGTTTCTTGAAAGACCTGTGGGCCTCAGCACCTGTAAGAACTCGATAGGCTGTCGATTGGTCAGCCTGAGAGGGACTTCAGGAAGTGGTTCCTTCTTTAGTTCGGGCTCGACATTCTCTTTGTCGGAAGCTGATCCAGGTCGGTCGGTCTTGGAAGGTGATTGATCCCTAGATGGATGAGGTACATACGGCGAAGGAGTAATGAACTGATTGTGGTTGTGTATGGAAAAAGGCTTGTCTTCATCTCCAGTCTTGTTGGAACCGATAGTGTCAGTCGCAACAAACTTCTTGTGATCAACAACCCTGACAATAAGGCAGCCGTCATAGAACCTGACACCTTCCTTCCTGAACTCTTCCAAATAGTCATGAGGTATGGTACCTTTCTGCAAGTGCTCTAGAAAAGGTCTCATCTCCGATTGATAGCTGAAGCTGCCTTCTTGCTGGTCGAAGCGCCAGAAAGCTGGGTGTAGATGTACTATAAGCGATGGCGGTTTATCCTTGTGTTTTTTGAGTATGAACTTCGAGGTAATGACATAGGGCTCAGGCGGTATGGTCGCTTTCTTCTCTACAGGCATATTGTCTGCGGCACCAGTACGGATTGTAACTCGAGGCGCTCTACGACTCGCTCGACCTGCGCCATTTGTGGTAACGCCATTGGTAACAGGAGTGGTCTGAGTCTGTGCCGAGCCAGGAAGTCGTTTCGTAGCGCTGGCTGGTGAGGAGGGAGGCAAGCCTGACTTGGGGGGATTGGCCTGTATCGTCACACTCGGCTTCTTTGTCTTTGTCGCAGTGCCTGTGGTGGTCGACTTCGACATGCTGACCATGATCTCTCAAATCGTCTGAGTTTGTGCGCTAAGTGCGCTCGAGCGCGCGGTATCCAGAACCTCGATCATGCGACAGTCGTGTGATCTGCTGCTGTGGTTCGGCAGTCGAGTACGCGCATGCTAGGGAGCGGGGGTATATCTATTTGTTCTAATTATGGTCGGTTGTTGATGCGTAGACTCTGGTGAGTTGGTGTGATCAATACTTGAACGATGTTGAAAGTTAACATACACTGCAGGTCCTATTGCGCCATGTTCACAGTACCAGTTTGCTCGTGTTCATGAATGGCAGGTGCGCCAATTGACGTCTATCGAGTGCCTGAGGCGATACACTATCACGTGAGTAGGCAGGCAGGAATTTTCAGGCAGCCAAGTAAGTTTCTCCTTTCCCAAGCCGAAAGCTTTAATGCAAGGAAAAATAAGAGACCTCCTATGATAGCTTCGCGATAACTGTAACCTATTACAAGAGAATTGCAGGAGAGGTAGTAAGGTCATTGCACTCGAGACTACTGGAGAGTAAGCCCGAGCGATGAATATGCATTCCTGGTTAGACCTTTGGCGCTGAGATGATACAGATGTAATGCTTCGCTCTCACAAGCATTCTTGGTGGCGTCAACAAAAGGATTAACGTCGAGATGAAGCAGCGAGAGAACACACACGAGGAAAAGATCATCGGTCCTACTGAAAGGTTTGTGCTGATTTGTGGTCGATTGTTCATGTTTCCATATGCAGCTCTAGAAGATAACTATGAAGTGATTGCATGTAGCGCTCTGAGATGCTTCGCCTGGATGTGTGTGTTTGCATGCCACTTAAGATGTGTAGCAACAACTCTCATGCTCAGAGATTCCTTTGACAAGCCCAGTGTACCTTCGAAAATTGAAGGAGTATCTAGATTTGTTGTAATTTCATCAACCTTGACTTCCTGTACACTCGAAGTCACTTCTCCAGCTATGATACCGTATCTGTGTAAGCTCTTGTCTTCTTCCACATTTACTCACTGTGATAGAGGTCCGAAAACCCATAATGGAATATTCCTACCTCCGACTGACAAAAAGTCCATTTTTCATCAAAATCTGTGCCGCCCTGTTCAACGAGTAGCTTTGTCATCTCCGCGTTAAGCTCATCGTTAAAGACGATGCCTCGTGGGGTTTCCATAGGAATTTCTTGTCGGCCGTTCTTGTTTGTAATGGTTATTTTTCATTTTCTTAGCTCATAGTCAACAACGCGCGTTTGAGAAGAAGAACCGTATAGGGGACCTAGCCCAACTGGTGACCAGCGAATGACCAGAACTTCGACTTTGTGTCTGCTGAGAGCGATGACATTAAAAAGAGATTGTTTTTCGGACGCCGTGTGCTTTTGTACGATCTCGGGAGCCTTGGTCTCTGGTGTTTCTGGTCGCAAGAAACCTTTGATCTCGAGACACTTCAGTTTGCTGTAAGAATGGGGATCGATACCAGAGATGCCTGCACTAGCAAGACCTGTAGTAACGAAATTTGGTCGGGCAAAGACAAATTTCTAAGGTATCACAATGCTGCGCATAGAGAGGTAGTTATGGTATCCTAGAAGTTCGAATGGTGTTCGTCTCAGACGTTGGCTGCACACCTCAAAGACATTCTCTCCGAACAAGACGTCTGCTGCTTCTCCCTTGATCTGCTTCATGGTTCTGAAAATGCTAAGGGAGGAGTTGCCACCGACGGCACCTGGCTTACGACCATAGAATAGTAGATTGTCCCTGAGTTGATATTTACTTAGTTCGAAGAGGAGAATACATCTGTCTTCGACAAGCAGATATCGGTAGACCTTCACACGCACGTCGGCAGGGATGTCGACGAGCCACTACCTGATCGTGTATTCCGTGATTCTGGTTTGAGTAGGGAAGGACAAAGATTTTTAAAAGACCGCAGCGCGATCTGTAGCGGTTCTATATTCCGAGCTATAGTTAGTGCTTGGAGTGAAGACATCAGAAGTGATAGAGTTGTGAAGGATCAACAGCGCAACATGACTGCATTGTGAAGTAACATTATCGTTGCTGTAAAATCGTCACTTCGAAGACTAAACACCCGTACAATCACTTTGCATCTCAGTAGCACAAAACTCGAAGGTGGCCGGGGGCATTCGCAATGTCTCGAACGTGACGCAATTTCTCCCTCGGCTCCCGGTCACATTTCATGAGTGGCGCCGAGCCAATTTTGAACGATCAAGCTTCAGTATTCATCTGATAGCCGGCGTCAACAAAGGGACTACTCATTCTCGCTGCATCGACGTCTACCGGCAGCGTCGGCGACGATTAGGTGTCGGTGGTGGAATGGTACTAGTGATCGCTGGCAGAGTGCATTCACGGACTTTCCGCATCCAGTGGACTTGCCATAGCGTAGCGGCAGCAACATTACTCTAAACATAATGTTGAAACATACGGATTGCTTAGACCGTGATAGATCACAAAGAGACGTGGACATAGATGTCAGGAATACTATGACGTACTTGTTACAGTAAATATGGTGGCGATAATAGTGGCAAAGACTTCGAATCCACAATCGATTAACAAGATGCTTTCCGATCTTAGTCAGCGATCCTCCAATCCAATAAGCGTCCGCCATAACGGCCCGTAAAGTGTATTCTTCTAAGCAGTAAAGAATTATTTAGCTCAAGAGCTCGTTGTTGTCAACGGCCCCAGGCGATCCAAGACGTTCTTTCGGACGTCGCGAACCAGGTTTTGTACAGCAAAATAAAATTCGTAATAGATTCCGTGCATGCATGAGGTCGTCATCGTAAATTCATTCAGTCAGTGTCGGCCAGAACTAGGATCTCTTCCGGTTCTTGAACATCTTGCAAGATGTTCAGTAACCTCTCGAGGTCTTCTGGATCGCCTCTCACGATCTCTTCCCTTTCGTACCCTTTCCTGTCAATGAACAACGTCGTCGTAGCTGCGCTGGCGATCTTGGCTGCTTTGGCATGTGCAAACAGAATGTCGACCTTGTTGCAAACTCTAATTGGCTTCTTCCGGAGTATGTTCCCTGCCCGGTCGCTGAATAGGAACACATGCGGAAATTCGAGAGTAGTGGCATGACCGACGGGAGTACTTAGCGTTTCCGATTTCAGCGTGCGGTTAAGGCCAAGCTCTAGCGATTGAACCGGAAGCTCCGATGCCCAAGTAGATCGTCTATCGGAATTCAATTGACGTGCTGTATTGGATTGAGTAACGGAACTCAAACGATTGAGGTCTCGTAAATTTGCTTCACCAGTCAGACGGCTTGTCGGTGCTCCACCAGTTGGTCTCGGTCGCTTTGCAGTTGGTTCAGGACTCGAACTGCGACTGGCAACAGTGCGCTGAGCTTCTGATGCTGCAGAAGGTCGGCGCTTCCTGTGTGAGAGATCGAGGTTTGCATCAATTCTCGTCGATTCGGGAACGTTCTTGGGCACAGCAACATGGATCGTGTCTCCATCGTTTCTCAGCTCATCTGCCTTCCGCTTTGAGCCTGATGGGTTGTCTATGCCATTCCCGAGCTTTTCAAAGATACCCCCGGTGGGAGGTAGAGGCTCGGTGAACAAATCACCATGATTGATATCTGTATCGGCTTCGCTTGGCGACCAGTACCTGAAAGGACTGTCTCCATGCCCGTTGACAGCGCTACTTTTCAGCTGCAGGTTCTGCGAAGTCAAATCGCTAAAGGCATAATTGGTCGAAGTCGAAGTAGATGGAACGATCGGTTGAGGCTTCTCGGTGAGTTTCATTATCTCAGCCCCTGTGCACTTGTGTGCGACATGGTTGAATTCGGAAGGACTCCCCCAGACATGGTACGTAGTCTGACTCCATTCACGTCCGCCTCGCATAAACGACATCGGGGTCGACCGGCAGGTAATACCTACAATTACAGCTTGACCATTTGCCAGTGAGGATTCTCCTTGGGCATCTTGTACCACAATGAACTCTTTGCTCTCAGCTTTGAAGCGCGCTCCCAGCAACTCTTTGCCTGTTTTCACTGAGCAGAAAATCGCCTTGCGCCCATCGTTCTTTGTGAAGACACCCTTGCCGTGAAGGGACCGAGCGCAGGAGAGGTTCTCGCTAATTTTGAGGTGCCTGTTCAAATTGTCTTTGAGATATGCAGGAAAGGCATACAAGCCATCATTTTCCATCAGCTCGAAACCATCAAGCTCTCCTTGACTGGTTGAACGAGGACCGATCTGGTCGTCAGCACCAGTAGGTCGTCTCATTGGGTTAATATTCGTGGCGGGATGTACATATTCAGCATCGGAGTCATCGTCTGCTTCGTCTCGTGGTCGCGAGATAGTGGCAGAGTCGTGTAGAATGAGCCTCTCGATCTCTGCGAATTGATCTCCACGTGCGGTGGCGTCGTTCCTCGAGTTCCACACATGGTATTTGGTCACTTTGTGTGGGACGCCTTCGACTTCGACTCGTTTCACTTTGATTTTGTGAGGTTTGACAAGCAAGACAGCTTTCCCGCCATTGACCGTGGTTCCATGTGGCTCTTTGACAATTGTGATCTCATCATCGCCATACTGAAACCTGGCGGCAAGAAGCTTCTCACCAGATCGAGTAGCTCGAAAATAGGCTGGACGCCCTCGCTCAGTTGTGTATAGGTCCTTTGTGGATCGGCGTTTCCGAGTGACGCCGTTACCAAGGACGGTGGAGTGTTGCCTTGCACAATACTCTTGAAGCTCAACTCTCAAGTGTTCTGGAAATGGGTTCAAGGCAAAATCACCATCTGTATGCGAAATCTCCGGAAGCATAAAGTGTTTTGGTTGAGATATCTCTGGCAGTTTGGGTCGACGCAACGCTTCAGGTAACGAGTATGTGCTTGACCTATTTGCATGGTCGATACTAGGCATCGCATTCTGGTCGTGCTGTGATCTTGGTCCTGGGCAAGCGTTGTTAGATTCGACGCAGGCGTTCTCATTGCACACATACGTTCGCTGTCTTCTCTCGAATCAATGCCGGAATCAAAGTGCATGAGTGATGGGGCCATGGTAGGTTTAGTCAGAAAGCCGAAGCACGTCGCGCAAAAAATGCAGTGTCAAGTAGCTTTTGGATCACTTGTTCCTAACACAAGCTGTATGCTGGACCACAAACGATGGCATGCTACTCGAAGTAAAAGGTTGTGTGTGGTATGAGACCATCAGATGCAATTGTGAGCAACGCAAACGCTTGCGAGAGTATGAGGAGGGAGGAACGAGCGAGCGAGCGGGAATGGCAGATCGCTCGTTACAGTCAGCGTGCTAACCACGCTTCGCCGTCCTATGAGCGTGTCCGTGACTTGCCACTAAATTGTCAAGAGCAAAATGCAAGCGCCGAAGCTCCAAGACGGCAGGGATGCGCGACACGAGGAGTCGGACTTGACCAGCGCTAAAGCACACTTCTGCCGCTCGTTCTTTCGATATCACAGGTGCAAACGTTCTCACACCGTACCATGTATGGAGCTTGGAACTGACGTGGCAGTTACCATAGCAAGAGATCGTTAATCACGACGCGAATAGGCCACGGTATGCGGCCATGACTCGGTATGTTTCGGGTAAGATAAGCGTCAGGCTGCCACTGCTTCGCAGCCGTGATCGTCGCGGCCCTCGATCATCACGATTCGAAGCAAGAATGGAAAATGCGACGGCTTACCGATATTTGGTAAATGCCGTTCAGCAAAGTCACCATGCCAGTACTCTCCTCCAAGGAAACGAGGCCCAATATCGGTCAAGTGGCAAGACAATGGCTGGAGAGAGCCTCGGAGCTCAACTGGCTTAACATCCGCGGTCACTGATTTTCCCAAGGACCCCGAGAGCCCAACATTCGTGACGGTCAGGAGGACTCTACCTGGCCTCTGACAGTCCGTTGTCGAACAACCTTGGGACGGATTTGCACTTCGAGCCGCCACAAAGCCAAACGTAAACTGCTACAAGAGTTCATCTGAACCTCCTGGCAGGCCTGCGAGCTGTCACACCATCCCATACGACAATCTCGATTGCGGATTACTGCATCCTCCTATACACTCAATATGGCTTTGGGATGTTCCCAATGTGTCATGAAGCCGCACTTCGCGCGACCGCCAGGCGTTTCTTTATCCCCCTTCCGGGCGGAGAAGATTCCCCAGAGAACCTTGGGCGAGTGCTGCAATTGTTTGTCGCTGACAACGGGAGGGAACGGATCGACGCTCTTGGGAGCCTCACGCTTCTTACAGCGTTGTGTGCAGCCGTAACATATGTTGTCCCTGAGAGTTCGTTACCTGATAAGCACCTCACAGCCCCTTTATTCCTGCGAGCAGCGCGAGAAACGCTTAGGATCTACGAGTACTACGACATCGAGCACCCAGACTTTTCCTCTCTCGCAACTCGACTCTTCCTCTGTTCAGCCATACAGAATTCCACAGGCACGCATGGAGTGGCTTTCCATATTCTCGGCGAGGCTGGTCTCATCGCAATGAAGATGCGGCTCTTTGACGAAAGCTCGCCCGAAGGACGAGAAACCCTGGAGGCGAATCTTCTGAGAAATGCCTTCTGGCAGCTGTATATGTGCGACAAGACGGCCTTGATCATGAAAACACGTCCTATCACGATTCACGAGCCTTTGTTTGGGAGCGAGTTAACGCTTAGAGCACATTCGCGGATGCCCGTGCCATTATTTGACCATGGTTGGGACGTGGATGGTGGCGAGGTGGAAGAACGTCTTCTAGAAGGATTTCATATCATACGTCGCCTGTGGGCCGTGGCTCTCCGCGTCATTCAAGGCATGGAATCGATCTCAAAAGAGTCTTTAGAGGCGCGTTCCCATACAAATGCTTCCTGCGAAAGTATTGCACATTTGTCAGAAGCATACTTTGAGATGGTAACCTTGGCAAATAACCTCCCTGCCTTGGTTCGATCGCCATCGGACTCATCTGCCAGTGTCAATCGAGACGCAGATCAGCATCTGTTCAACATAATGCAGCGGCAGCGGACCATTTATCTCATCACCCTCCACAGCATTAAGGTCTTGGTGCCGACCACTGCAATCCAACACAACATGACTGAAGCCATGGGCCTCAGTGCGGGACGTTTAACGCTTGCAAGGAGGAAGATAGAGCTGGCTCAAGATTTTCTGAAACGTCCTCGAGAGTGTTCCATTCCTACATCTCCAGGTGGATGGAGAACAATGTGTAAGTGACCCAAGGAGACGATGCAAAAGACTTCACGTCTAAATATACACTAACTGACACGATTCTGCCGCAATAGGTCGAAAAGATCAGACAAGTCGGAAGTCTACTGCTCGAGCTGGCACACAGCGTAGAGAACGAAGTAGTCAAATCCCAGGCGAAACAATGTGTCATGCGCTTGATTAATACATTGGTCCGATTGGACTCAAAAGCATCAGATGTACTGGGCTAGTCAATGGAATTGTAGCTACCAAAAAGCGTCAAATGTCCTTTACAAGGAGATTTGAGTATCGTACTTTAACCTCCTCATCACTGACAGCAAATACCCCAACAATAGGGTCAACGAAGTCATGTCCAGTCATGTCCCAAGTGTCTATTTCTCCAAGCTCCCTCTTTGTCTCTGTCTCGTCGACCACGAATAAAAACCAGAACACGGACGTAACTACAAGTCTTCTAACCTATACACCATTACCTGCTTCAGAGCTCAATACTTACGAGTTGTAACTGTAACTCGAATTCGCCGAGTTTACTAACTCGCCTGACCTGCCAATTAGCCAGGGCGACACAACCGACCTCGTACAGTATCGTGCATCCCAAACTGATAGTTGTCTTCGTCAAGCACTTAGAACTCGGACATGCTGAACCCTACTAGCTGAGATATGTCTTCAATTAATATACTTCGTATGCCTAGTCTACGCAGGGACAGTCAATCGGGGTACAGGAAGAGCTTATTGCGGCCCATATAGCGCGGAACGGCAAAGGTTGGTGTTATTTCTAACGGGGGGTAGCTATACCAGGAACAGACTTCTAATCTAGCTACTCGATTGGTGTCTGTAAGTCCTATGTGCTTAATGCTCATTTACGAATATCCTTAAGTATCATAATATAGATTAATCGAGAGCTGTAGAACGTTCAGATCTGTATGCGAACAATGCTGGTTTGGGTTGTTTGTACGATATACGGAGAGCCTTGACTGCCTGCGTTGCCCAGTCCATTGCAGTCTGTCATCACAGCTAGTCGAAGGCCGCGTTACCCGTTCGCAAGACTCGCATCACCTGGTGGATATCAATAGTTGGTCTGATACTTTTAGATTGTAGCATCTTGGTGATGAGTTGTCCGTGAATATAAATTGTGGCCAAGGGTACATCAAGAGCAAGTGTGCTATTGTTGTCTTGGGTTACACTGCATTGTGTATTCGTCTTAAAAACTATACGAGCATAGTACTGTCAACTCCACCACTGGTCGTCAAACACAGACCAACCGTGAAGCACACGAGGGCAATATCACAAGTATATGATGCGCGGAAGACGTGTTTGGACAGATGCTCGACAAGCGGATTTTAGTGTCGATGTCAAACTTGCGCAAGATAAGGCGGAACGGTGATCTTGGCACATGAAATACAAGGTTAAGTCGGTTCGTGGAGGAGCATGATCGCCCACCGAGCGTACTGGTGCTTGGCGATGGGCAAGCACCGCCCGGCCGATGTTGAAGATCTTTCTCTTTCCTTCCTTCCAAAACTCGTCATAGGGTAAAGAAGGTCCTTGGAACTAGGACGCTGAGTTATTCTGTGTCATGGCTATAAATCGAGGTCCTTCCCTCGGACAATTCTATAATTCCATACATTACTATCAGACAAGTAGATCCTAGATCCGCGCAAGCAAGCCAAATCGAAACAAGCCTACAAACCGCCTCAAACCGTATAGAACAGCATAACATGCATACCTACATCCCTCTCACACTTCTTGCTTTACTTGCCGGAGTTCAGGCCGACTTCAAGATTCTCTCACGCATTGAGACCGTCCCAGGAATCGATGGTCCCACCGATGGACCCGGGTCTACCTCGGCCGATAGTCTTATCGCTTGTCCTTCGAACTACCTAAACTGCAATTGCTACAGAGACGGCGATCGACAACAACGAATCCAAAATCACGAATCGCTGGATCTGCCAGGTAGTGGCTATATGAGGCTCCCATCCGGGCTCTGTGGTCTGGGTGCCCTAGACTTTTATCGTGGGGGAGACGGTAGTTGGCAAATCTACATTGCAGGTGGTGATGGCAGCTCACAGGGAACGTGCTACCCCGAATCTGGTGGTATCACTCAGTGCGATGGCTTCAACTACTTCAACACGGTGCAGTCCGTGTTGAATTGTGTTTCGTACATCTGCAACTGATAGTTAATATGGCTCGAGTGTTTAATTGGCTTAGGATATACGGTACAACAGGCCGAGGCGAAGTTTCTTGTGAGTCATTCTATTAACAACTGGACCAATGGCCGAAACGTTGCTCCCACAGCTACTATTAATGTCGTTATGGCGGGTTAGCTTCACACCAGAAGCTAGTTATAAGGGGGTTCGATATCAGTTGTCTAAGAGTAGAGTAGTACCTTTGTGCATAAATTAGCCGTATTACGGCATAGGTATAAGAAGTTCATAGATTTACATCACTCACGACAACTTAAGTTGTGTAGTGCAAGAGGCATTGGCATTACGTTCTCAAGTATGACAGTTTCCGGTTGCAACAGTGAAGCCGCGCACTTAGATAGCATACTTTCTCGTCCATTCTCGTGCCGTCGTCTCATATCTTTGCCGATCAGTCTTCTAGATATGAGCTATTTCGGGTACAAGAGGCTCATCGGGATTCGGATCATCTAACAGTGAAGAGATAGATAATAAAGCTGCTCACGGAGCTAGCTTAGAATACAAAGTAGAGGGACGTTCTACAGAAAAGATTCAACTTACTTTTAGCAATCGTTATCTATGTAGACTATCCAGCTCCAAGAGTGTCCATAGAGATGACGCCGTAGTAGTTCATGTTAGGGTGGTAGACTCGAGTCGTGAAATTTACACGAGGCGGACGATACGGGTAATCTTCCGGAAACTTGATATCTAAGAAGAATACCCCTCCTTGGTACGAAGTCTGATACTAATCTAAATTTAGTGGTAGCGATGAGCAGCAGCATACGATCTTACTGGACCCATAATGATGGCTTACCAATGAAACTGAAAGAGTGTGAGTGGTATATGCGTATTTAAGTAAATTTCCGTACCATACTATCTCCGATTAGGCCGGCAGAGCAATTAGTGGGTGAACCTTGCAGGAGTTCCCTAAGATCATTTTGGACACGTTGATCAAGCAAGTATTGCGATTCTTTGGCTGGAGAGCCCCCTGAGTAGACACCATAATAAAGTAGCCACTCCAGGTCTTTGTGACACGGTTGTATCTGTTCGTCACGCTCTCTAGACGTGGGCTTTGTGGCTGGATCGCTTCGGAACGCCAATGGATTCTGGGGTATTTTTGTGACATTGGGAATGCAAGACGGGTGAACCTTTGAAGCTCATTCGTATGCAGTGGTATACATATGACACCGATACGGGTTACCTGGCTGGAGCTGATACTAGATAATACTAACTAACCATGCGAGCAAGTACTTGAAAGAACGCTAACACAGTCGACGTCTAGTGCTTCTACTCGTCGATAAACTCTGGTCGTTACCATCACTTGATTATATATCTCGAGAACGGAGGGGTCGGTATAGGGTATTTGCTCTTATATTAGGACGTTCTGCAGGACTTTAGCATCTCCGATGGCCCATCTCTATCGTAGTTCTGGCTGTGGTTCTTAGAGAAACTCTCGACTGTTGGGGTAGGGTAACGACTATCATTCGGTATAACGGTGACGTTATTAGACAGCTGCATTTGCTGCATACGAACAGCTGACTCAGTGTCGCTGTCAAGATCGCGATCCGTTTGCCTTCCCAGAGCTGTGGCCGTATCTTCGGCTTGCTTGTGAGTCACTAATAGTCTTAGCTTAATCTTAAGGCAATGAACGAGGGCTCACCTCTGGATGATCTGGAGGATCAACGATAGGGGACCTCTTGTGTCGAAGAAGCTGATCTAGTATACGGGTAGCGGCGGCAACGTCGGTCCTCTATCTGAGTAGTGGGAGCCCATTGGAAATCTGACTACGACGAGCCGACATTCGGTCGAGGATATCACCAATTTCTGCAACCTCTAAGACTAGCTGAGTGAGAACAGTTATGACATCTTGAATAGGTATCAAAGCCGCTCGGGTTGGTGATGTGTTACTGGCCCGGTCTACGAAACTGTTTAAGCCAGAGATCATGATACGGAGGCTCGTTAATTCTAGTTGTATTTGTTGGACGCTCGGGACTGCATTGCTCGAGCTGGGAAGAATCTCTAGCGCCCGTCTAGTTGCTGCTAGAAGTCCGGCAACAGCTCTGCTCACAGTCAATGGTTGCGACACAGTGGTCCTGCTAGCATCTCCTCCTGTGTATGTATGATAGATCGCATAAGTGTCACCGAATTGGGCAGTGGCCTGGTCTTTCAAAACTGTGTTGCCATAGGTATGGCCGTGCAAGGCCTCCGGTGTCTCGGTGCGAGGCATTGCTCTTTAATTAGGAATTGACATTGCTCATGGGGTCACTGATCCATGGAAATGAGTATTTACATGATTTTCTGTAGCTGCCATGCATACCTTCAACTTTGGACAGTTTAACGAGTATTCGAAGACACGATATAGCACAAAACTGCGACAGGTAGAACATGCGACCGAGAAAGGTCTAGCTAAATGCTTAGTAGAAGGCCCCGGTGCATGAGGTACAGATCGTCTTCTCCACAGCCGGGTTTCAATTTCAAGCAACAGACAGTAGCGACACGCCAAAATTCACAGGCGAGCCGTCTCAAGATACGTATCCTCATATCAATCACATGCTCCAACATACGAGCGCTCGTCCTGGCCATGCTAATCTCGTTCATAATCAGCGATTTCTTCTGTAGCGGAAACAACAGCTCTCACTCAGACGTCGAGACGCCGACCTTTTCGGTCCACGATGGTGTTGTGAGAAGACTAAAGATCACTCATCTGGACGAGGCGTTACTGAATGATGATCACGCGAGAATAGAGGTTGAGCTGGAAGGCGCATTACAGATGGAACATAAGGAAGTAGTACAGATGCTAGTCGATGTAGGAGTTGGGACCCTGAATTATCTATAGAGTATCGTCAGTTTCATCGTGCTCTTTTCAAGATTTCATATTGGCAGGAGATCACAAGACAGACGGAGCTCTTTACTAGGTATCCGCAATGCTTGTCTCAGCTTGGCTCCTGCCCAGAAAAATTGCTATCAAGAAACCATGAACCTTAATGTCGTAATTGCTTCTTTCTTCACTACTTCCCTTTCGCAATGTACTCTGCAACCTTCCTGTCGCGGTACATATCACCTCGCGATGCCTAAGACTGTGAAACACCCGCCTTCCAGCCCTCGAAAACATTTGTTGAGCGCGTACTGTTGATCAGCTCTTTCCACCTTTAAACCGATAGTGGTGCATGAGACGCGCCATGCCTACGTCACTCAGCCAGCATTGCCAGGTTTTGACCAGCAACACTCCCAGATCTTTTCCGAAATTGCCCAAGGCGACGAGTAGCTGATCTCGCTAATTCCGAAAGTTGTGCACAAGGTTTGACAAGCTTTCTGAAACGTGGAAAGCATTGTTGGTAGTGGATCTTGCGTGACGCTGCTCACGTCGATGCATGTGATTTGCATATATTGGCAGGTCTTTGCGCCGAAGTGAAGTTTGCTTGCTTCGACTGTCAGCTCCTCTGGTGAAGTGCTTCCCTTCCTCTTCTCTTCAGCGGCTGCCTGCTGATTTTGCGCGCTCCTGTATACGATCTTCCTGCTGCCCTCCCACTTTGAGACAAGATGAACTTCCTTCGTCGCAGTCGCAAGACTGAAACAAGTACTGCTCCTGGTGCAACTACCTACGAGAAGCACCACACTCGCACCAAGAGTAACAAGGCGGGCTTCGACGTCAATTCTGGCAACTTCAATCGCCGGCCAAGCTTTGGACAATGGTAAGCACAAGACCTTAGGTAGAACCACACTCTCTAATATTGGTATAGGATCAAGATGACGTGGTTGGACATTCTCACCATGGCTGCCATGGGCGCAGTCGGCCTGGGCATCTACAACGCTGATCCAGCACCATCCCGATCTTTTCCAATCACCTTCAGAGACGGCGAGATTGTCTACCCCGAGTTTGCGTACCCTCTACGAACTGAGATCGTGCCAATCTGGGAGGCTGCCTTGCTTGCCTCGTTGATCCCCATTGCAGTCTTTCTCTTGATGCAAATTAGGATCCGATCGTTCTGGGATGTCAACAATGCTATTATCGGCCTCCTGTACTCCTTGATCACAGCCGCAGTCTTCCAGGTATTTATCAAATGGCTTATTGGAGGTGAGCATAGAACTGCCTCAGGTTTCTCCCAATCAGGACTAACCTTCACTTTTAGGACTTCGACCACACTTCCTCTATGTCTGCGCCCCAGACCTAACACGAGTTCAAGCAGCTGGCGGGGAGTATCTCGGTCAAGGGTTTGGCAGGATCATGTTCCAAAGAGATATTTGTACAGGGGACAGAGCGCAGATCAACGACAGCTTAGAGTCCATGCCCAGTGGTCACAGCACAGCTGCATGGGCTGGATTCTTGTACCTCTACTACTACCTCAACGCGAAGCTGAAGGTCTTCTCCAATTACCACCCAGACTGGGTTCAATAGTGGCATTCATGATGATAGCCATGGTCGTCACCTTGGTCGCCGAGAAGGTGATGTTGAACATAATGCTGCCTTGCCTCCAGTGCGTACGAGCCCTGGGGAAAATCGATACAGAATGCATTCGAGGAGTTTGGAAAGAAAAGCCGTCAACAATAGAGGCAGTGGTGTTTTGTAGTTGGTACCTCCTCTTTCACATGATGGCGTCGAGGACGGATCGGATATACCCATGGGCTTCTGGAGTTGTAAAGAACGACAATAATGACTTGCTCAAATCAAACTTAAGCAGAAGAATCACAGATGCATAATGATTGAGCCAAGGTTTAAGTTTCCATGTCTAAATCAAACAGTGCTCAGTCATGAATGTGTCTAAGACTAGTTGTCGTTGTCGGCGGTTATTTCTGTCATGTGCAATTAGCGACTTCTGCTGTTTGACCGCACGTAAGTAGCTGTTTACAGCAACAGCAGAGGTACAAAATGGCAGCTCGTCAGCCTGCGACGCGCTTTGACCAACTTGACACGAAGTTGAGACACGTTGACCCAGCCAAGAAAAGCTTGGCTCAGTTTAATGCCTGGTTTGAGCTGGCGGTGTCCAAGGAACCTTAGCACGCACCCTTATGACGAATTCGTGACATCTCAGCCCACTTTCACTGACCTTCTTCACCAATTCACATTGTCAACAAAGCTACAATCCTCCGCTTGTTCTCCCAGAACCGACTCAACCACCATACTTTGGTCAAGCCAGAGTATTATAACAAGCTGCCGCCAATTTTGACTTCGGAATTGCAGTACTTTTGACCCCGCAAGCACAAAGCGAGGGGAGCCACAAGCCTGGTTAAATCGTCTAAAGGACCGCCAAAATGGCTCTAACCGCAACTCAATTCACACTCTTGTGTGTGATCGGTATCATCTTACTAGCACGACCAGCTCACGCTTTTGGTGCTGGAAATATTGGTTCGACCTCAAAGATTGAGGGTGAGAACTGGCGACATGGCGATCTTGAGGACATTCTTCTTACGCTCGTGGCCTCCAAGGCTATGGGCGGAAAGAAGTTCTCCAAACTTGACGTAAAGAGAGTAAGTGAATCCCGCTGGTGATAGAACAACAACTAATTCTGCCTAGGTCTATTTTGGCAATTGGCTTCGTGACTATTCCCAAGCTGTCGACGTTGGTACTGTCAAGAATGTCAGCGCTGAAGCGATTCGTATCGTTCTCTGGATCCTTGGCTTTATGTCATTCGGGTATGGAACTAAGGAATTCGAAGTCACCACAGAACGACTTGGCTGCTACCGACCAGAAGAGCATATCGACAACCCAAAAGACTATGCCGATAATGAAGATGCTCGAGACTATGATCCTCGCCTTCGAGGCCCTATAGACGAGCGAAGAGAACTTGCTATCGACCCTGAGCTTGGCTTGAAAGCATACATCGCCTCTGAGAATCTTGGCATCGACACATCCGCTGGTCTGGTTCGAAAGCTCTTCGGTCGATGCATCGAATTAGGACGAATGTATGGTCGGAACAAGAACAAGGCCGATCTACACGAAGCTCTTCGATTGCTTGGTACTGGTTGCCATTGTCTCGAGGACTTTTCAGCTCACTCCAACTTTGTCGAACTTGCTCTCATCGAACTCGGCGAACGCGACGTCTTTCCTCACGTCGGTCGAAACTGCGCTGTTCGTCTTCGAGGTGCTCGCTCACCAGTCTATCCTCTTGTCACTGGCACTTTCGGTGGTGTCGACTTCCTGCATTCTGTCACGGGTGAATTCGACGATAAGGTCACTCAATCCGAAATCCAAGAACTACAAGGCACTCTTCAGAACGCTCAAAGTCAAGGCGGGGATACAAGTGCACTGCAAGACCTTCTCAATAAGCTTCCAGATGGTGTCTTCGGTGGCAAGGACGAGGCGGGCAAAGCAGACGAACTCAAGATGAATGCTGCCCAGAACCAGATGCAGCAAACTCGTGTGACTCCTCGCCAGCCAGAAGAATGGCTTCAGTATATCCAAGAAGCTCAACGACAAATCTATCCTATCATCGAATGGCATGATGAGGTCATGCAAGGCATTACTGAATTCATTGAGAAGGCATGTCGTACTCAATACAATTCTCGTTGCAAGCTAACTCTGGCAGATACCTATCATTCCCGATATCATCGAAGGCGTACAGGAGCAGGTCAATATGTTTGTCTTCAGCTTGATCGCCCCTTTCATGCTACCTATTATCAATCAGATCAAGAATGAGCTCAACACAGGCTCCTCAACTATCATCCAATCTAGTCTCGACAAGCAGCACATCGTTTTCAGCGACGACGATTCCTCAGACCCGACACATTCCATGCTGTCCAAAGACCACTTCAGCAATGTCCTCAACGAGCCTGCTGGCAAGATTGCTGGTCAGGTCTTGAAGTGGGTTGTCCCTCAGATTGTCCAGGCTTGGGATGACGAACGCATCGACGTCAACCAAACGCTCAACCGTATCATCCGAGGCGTCTTCCATCATCCTGCTCTTCGACGAGTTGGCGATGATGGTGCTGCGGATGGCCGAGCTCTCATGTTCGGTATCGTCGAACGATGGTGGTCTGAGAAGTCTGAGCGTGAGAAGGATGGCCTGCGAGATCAACTTAGCCGAGATGGTGTCGAAGAGGGCCGAAATCACAAGCCCGGTGTCAAGGATCATGGACATGGCTCGGCCAAAAAGATCGGCATGCCCAATGCTTTCACAATTGAGCATCCTGGTGCTCCTGGTGGACTTGGTAATCTCGGCAGCGCCGGCTTTGTTGGCGTTCCTGGCGGTAATCAGGCCACGCAACAAATCGGGCAGTTTGCAGGTGAAGCTGTTGGAGGTGGTGCACTGGGCGATATCGTCGGCGGTCTGACTGGAGGTCTCGCTTCTGCTGTCAGTGCAGGTGTCATGCAAGGCATTAGTGGTGAAACTCCTCAAACATATGGCCGAAATAATCGTGGTGACGAAGATCAATACTCTGGTCGACCAACCTCAGGCAATTATGGCCAGCCTCAGTATGGCCGGACAGACAACCGACAAGGAGGCTACAGTCAACAATCTCCACGACGTGGCGGTGGATACTCTGAGTCCCGGCAAGAACAGCAATACAGTGGTGGATATGGTTCTGAATCTAGGAGATTCGACCCATCTGATACCAGCTCATCTGGTCACCGAGTCTTCCAGTCGAGCAACGTCGATAGAAACGAACACGGTGTACCTACCAACGTGGCACCAGGATATGGGTCTCAGCGCCTGCAGCATGTACGAGACGATGATAACAACACGTCTTCATATGGACGCCGCCGCAACGACGACGATGACAATCAAGAACGCACTTCCTACGGTCGACGTCAGGGACGTGGTGACGACGATGACGACAATGTCCGATCGTCTTATGGTCGAAGAAACGATGACGACGACGACAATACTCGCTCATCCTACGGTCGACGAACCGACGAAAGCGAAGGCTATGGCCGAAGAACTGACACCGAAAGCCACAACCAAGGCGGCTACGGTCGACAGACAGAATCAAGCGGCTATGGCTCAACGCGTACGCGAAGAGACAACGACGACGATGGCAACGAAACCTTTGGTTCAGGCAGCCACGGTGCACGAAGACAACAACCAGGATCCACCGGCTACGGTCGTCGAGAAGAGTCTGGCTACGAGTCAAATACTCGATATGGCCAACAGGACGAAAGCTACTCCTCCTCAGGCTTCGGTGGTGGTCGAAGTCGCACAGATGAGTACGATAGCAACAGTGGAATCGGAGGTGGCTACGGTCGCTCAGAAGGCTACGGCACTCAGCGATCAGAAGGTTATAGTGGTCGAGAAGATCGCTCAGAGCAATACGGCGGACGATCTGGCGGATACGGTGAAAGTGAAAGCTATGGCCAGAGCGGAGGATACGGCGGAAGACGCAGAGGTGGTGACGACGACGATGACAATGAAAGAATTCATCCTGGTGGCTTTCCGCAAGATGATGACGACGATAATGAGAGACGAGGATATGGTGGAAACCAGTATGGACGGCAGGAGGGATATGGTTCTCGACGAAGGGATTATGACGATTAGAGTCTAGATCCTGCTAGCTTGCTGTGATGAGACAGGGCGTGGATGATATGAAACAAAATGAATGCAACGAGTGTTGTGCCGTCAGTCGAGATATAAAATTCTCTTGCAATGGTGTAATTCCCACACTTTGGCTGGGTCGAATTCCTCTTGTTGCTTGATATTACATGAACCCACACTATTGTCACTTACTTCTTGTCTCGTCACGTGGCGCCGTGTCTGCACAACGAAACCGAGAAACTCGTTCAGTGGTGCACGAGTAAGCGCTTCTTGATCTGTTTTCATTTATGAGAGAGGCTGGGAACGCTCACGGTGACGCTGGACAACGATCCCGTAAGCATCAGTAATTAGCTCGCACATGTACCAGGTATCAGAGTGCTTAGCAATAATGAACGAACCCAACAAAAAGACCTCGCGGATGACTTGGAGTAACTTGACACCTCGTTTGATTGTTAAAGGTCAGGCTTAGGTGTTTAATTCACGCAGTTGCTCCGTCTTATAGTCGCTTAGCAGCTGGTCGAGATGCTCGGGGACCACTTGTCCGATATGTTTGACCTTGACATTGTAATCAATGGTGGTAGGTCTCGTATAACATAATCGGGTTGCCACGCTGAGAGTCTCATCTGAAACCATGGCGACACCAATAGCATCCTTGGTGAACGGCGGTTCGTTCGCTAGCAATTGTGGCTGATGTTTTTGGTCGTAGATAATACAATGGCTATTGTGTGTGCGGTCGGCGAGCTTGTTGTTGGACAACCCTTTCCCAGCATATGAAGTTAGCGTTAGCGCGACACAGTGGCCTGACCCCCGACGAACGACTACAAATCTTTTTAAATGACTGTAAATGATCTCTCCGTTGTTCATGTCTGTCAAATATCCCCTGCTTTCCGGTCGTAGAGGAGTGCGTCTGTGCACTCCTGACCTTGGTAGACCCACATTTTCGTGCCAGAGTATCGCAAAAAGGCTTCCAAGCCCAAACACTCGATCACACGTGGCCATGTCTCCAGCAACGCTGAATACATTGCGCAGTCTCTGCATCTCTGCAGCGGCACGTCCACCAACCTCTACGGTGATAGATGATGACGTACTTCGAGTTGAGCGAGCATGTCTGTTGTGTTTAGACATCGTATTGGGTGACGAGAACTCAGGCTTTTGACTCGCTTCTGTCCAATCATCACGTTGCACATTGATACTAGCTGTCGCTACGCCCACGATATTGAAACGTTGGAACATGTCTAGCATGCTTCCTGTTTGCTCGGGCATGATCTGAAGATGCGTTTCTTGCTCAGAAAGTGGCTTGGGTGGACATGCCGAGTCATCACGGTATTGTACTTCCGAAGGAGAGAGCTTGAAATTCTTCGAGGAGCTGGAGCGGCTGAGTCCACCATGAAGACGTCTCCCGTAGTGACTGGAACTTGGCTCGGTCCGACTCACCAGTGAGTTAGCAGGGATCTTCTCCCAAACATATTCCGTGCTTGCTTTTACTGGTAGTACAAGTTTCGTGAAACCACAACGATGACATTGACTTCCAAGCGCAGATACCTGTTCAGAAGCGATAATACTGCCAGTACATCGAGGGTTTAGGCAGGCAAGCAAATCCGATTTTCGAGGCTCGGATATTTGCGGCCATATAGATAGTGACTCCCTCTTTGATGTTCTGTCGCCAATTCTGAGCATTGACAATGAACCCCTCGACATGTGAGGCTGTCAGGACGAAGTGACCCTTAACCACCAATGATCCTGCTGGAGTATGGGAGAAGATTAGATCAAGCCTGGCCTTGAAATTGTCATATAGCTGAAAGTTAGCAACTGGCAGTTCAGTCTTCAGGTTCGATGCATCGTAGAAAGTGAAGGTGTCGCCCGGTCCCATAAGTCGAGGAAGTCGTAACCATGACACGATAGTCGGGACCAGTCTTATTACGCAGTAAAATGCCATCATGCACAACACAGCAGCCTGTCGTGAGAACTTTCACAACAATACCTGCATGTCGGCAGGTGACAAACCAAGGTGCCGCAAGTACAACACCAATTTCACTTCATTTGACGAGCAATTTCCATTCGTACTGTTGACACTTCCGTGTGGTGATACGAGTGTCTCGATCCAGCTCAGTCGGTCCTTGGCCTCTTGACATATATCGAGGATTTCATCTTCATCCGTCGACAACGAAACCCTCGCTTGCTGCAGTAGCTGATGCTTTAATGCCCTCCTGGCCAAACATGCTTGCTGTGCGCTGTAGCCTAAACACGTCTCGATTTTCTCTAGTGCTTCGGCTGCAATTTGGTGCAGGCACTTAGTCAGAGCTGGCTGCCTCGCCCTCGAACGTTTTTCAGTTTTCTCTATCAGCTCGATAAGTATCCCTTGTAACCTTCTCAAGCTCTTTCGACTCTCGTTGTGAAGGTGCAAGGCAGCTGTGGGGTCAATAACGCTCTTGCGGAAAGGCTTTAGGTGTAAGTGCAAGCTACCCTCGATTGTGACAGTGTTCAGAACATCACCAGGGTGTACTTGTCCCCCACTCACGGTAGTGTCGCCATAGTGCTTGCGCAGCCTTTGCTGCTTCTTCAGCTCGTTCGAGTGAGGACGTGCCATCTAGTGTCAGATTAGCAGCCATAACTTAGTTTTGAGACAGTGCATTTTCCAAAAATTGTGTCGCCGAACACCCATATCGCTGACAAGCGACAATCGCGAGTCAAGTGAGAGAAGGCAAAACATCTCGTATGCGCCTTACGAGGCACAATCACAGGACGAGCAAGCGAATGCATGGTTAGCGTCTTGAGTATGCAGTTGACTGACTGCTTTCGCTGGACTTTCCTGTCTAGCCAAGCAGCCATACAGCCTCAAACCAATGGCCTGACTAAACTCGTTTTCAATTGTCTCAAAGAGCAACTTATAGCGTATGACCCACCCATGGTCTCAAAAAGAGAAGGTTCGGAAATAACGCCGCCCGGAAACTCCTGCTTTCGGATTAGCGTCATTCGAGCTCCAAGCTCCGTTCCTCTAACTCCTTGTTCCTTTGCAGTATCGTACACCCATAAACCCTTGGTCGTTGTATACTGTACTATGTGCAAAGGTACTTGCCAAATATACCCTCAGCTATCGGTTGTTGAGTCTCTGATGATGCTAGCTTTTTCTTCGGGCTGATGGGACACGGTACTACTTTGGATACAGGAAAGTTCATCCTGGACAAATTGTTCAGGCCTCCCAGTGGGCGCACATGTTCGCCTTATCAGCGACAAGATATCCTGGTTTTCGTCGTTTGAAGCTCAAGGACTCTACTGCAATAGTGATAGAGCATTCTTGCAGCAGCCGTGTAATCGTGCCAGGGTTGACGTGCTTAAGCCATGAGCATGGTCTTCGAATGAGGAAACTAGATTACTGCACTCCGCAGCACTCTAGAAGAGCAAGCTAGTCCTTTTCGGTAAGTCCATCAGCCATGCAAAGTCCCAAACGTTTATCGCCATGATGTTGTACGAGTGCAAGAAGGTATATAGACCTAGCGACATGCTGCCCGATCAATGCTGTCTCTGGCAAGACACATCTCACACACTCGGCAAGCATTAAAGCACCATCAGTTCTGACACCAAGCTATCTCAAAATCAAAACAGCAAGATGACTTCTTCGATGAACACAATCCTTGTCATCGGAGGCACCTCCGGCATTGGCCAAGCCTTTGTCCAGCGCTTCCATAAGATGGGCAAGAAGTTGATCGTCACTGGCCGTCGACAGGCTAGGCTCGACGAACTCAAGAGCTCCCTCTCGGGCCTCGAAACCTACGCCATGGACAATACCGATCTGGCTTCTCTGCCAAAGCACGTCGAGACTCTTACCAGGCAATACTCAGACATCGACACTGTCTGGGTTAACGGCGGTATCCAAACTGCCTTTAGCATCAAAGACCCGAACTCCTCAACAGACAAATCTGTAATCAACGAGATCGATACCAACGTCACTGCTCCCGTCGTTCTAGCTCGACACTTCATTCCCTTCCTGCTCAGCACTGGTAGCGAGGCCAACTTCATGATCACGACTTCTGGTTTGGCTTTTATCCCGATACCTTCCTACCCTGTGTACTGCGCAACAAAGGCTTTCGTTCATCACTTCCTGGTGGGTATGAGACAGTCGCTGGCCGGTACAAATGTGAACGTCATCGAGATTGCACCTCCACGAGTGGAGACTGAGCTGGATACAGCGCACAAGGCAGTCAGTAATAGTGGACCACCCAGCATATCAGTACAAGATTTTACAGACAAGACGTTTGAGATTCTGGATAATGGCAAGGCGAGCGAGTTGAAGGAGGTTGCGGTTGGATTTGCTCAGAATGGTGTCAGTGCTTGGAGAGGTGGAATTGGTAAGGTTTTGGAGGGCATGAAGATTGGTGGTTAAGTATCGAGCTCAAAGATATGTCGGGTCCCAAGTGCTAAGTAATGCAAGTACGTTCGACATGATAGCTATGCTTTGTCCAACCGAGTTCATGCCAATTGTGTACACAACCACTGTAAGTGAACTCTGACTAGCGCCGCCCCTCCCTCTTTCAGTCGTCCGTATACTTTGCCTAAGCAGATACTATATGTTTCTTTGAGTCGAACAAGTCTTTAGTGTCCTTCAAGAAGGCATTGATCTTTGCTGAATCTTGCCAATCTGACCTCGCATGAAAGACTCTGCGAGCTGCCTCTTTTTCCAGATCTCTTACGGACTGCTTGTTTTCCAGTGTGCGATGTTTGCCCGAGGTCTTTCGTCGTGGTGTTTGCTGTGAGTTCAACTCGACTTTGCCTAGACTAGGCTGAAAGTAGGAGCTTATGATGTCGTCGATCGTAGTCGTCCTGCCTATGCTATGATCTCGCCAATGGACGCTCTTCTGCCGAGCTATAAGCTTCTCTTCTTCGCCGCTAGCCGTGCTTGAAGGGAAAACTATCTTCATGAGTTCGTCCGTAGATAGGCTGAAAGCTAGATCGAACTGCTTCCCATTGCTGTTACTCGAACTATGTGCTAGATCTGTATTGGTCTCAGTGTCACGTGAAGCAGCTTTCCTCGTCGCAGGTCTTGGGGGAGATATTTCCAGTCCAAAGAGTGTCGAAGAGGGCAAAGCGCAGGTTTCGGGCTTCGTGGATGGCTGAGAAACACGTGTAGACGGTTTTGCAGTGCTTCTTTTCCTGGCTGTGCAATACAAGCTTCGTCGGCCGTTATTCACATTGTCTGGTTGAATGTCCGTCGTTTGAGATGTCAGGGAACGGCTGGAGGATGCGTAGTCCTTATATAGGCGAAGGAGATACTCGGCAGATTCGTTGCTATTGCGCGAAGAGGCTGGATTGTATGTTAGGAAGGGTTCCGTCTCTTGCGATGTTTCCAAACTGCGATACCGACGGTTGTCAAGAGAAGGGTATTCAACGTGGTAATCTGCTTGGTATGATGAAGTTGTCAAGTGACTGGATCCGCTACGAAGGTGAAGTGATGGCAATGACGTATAAGTTGACACTTCCTTTTCTGAAGAGCCTTGTTCGACTGGCACTTTCTGTATTGCAGCAACATTAAGATGTTTCGAGAGAGGATCCCAGGCTGATACGGTTTTGCTAGTAAATTGTGGTTTGTCATAGCATGAACTTGAGTCCAGCTCGTTCTCAGCAACGCTGGTAGTGTTTCGCGGATGCTCGTGGCTGTCATCACGATGGTATTTCTTAAGTAGCAAGGGAACAACGCTCGAGGTCGACGACGTTCGCCCAATGCTTGCCCACAAGATATTGGTGGAGTTGGGTTTCTGGTCTGGTAGTACAGGCATTATATGGGATATATTTGCGGTGCATATGATGCTTTGATTCGGGATTGAGGTTCACAAGCTTCGCCAAGTTATCAGTAGAAAGACCGGTGAATGCCCTTACACATACGTCTCTTCTCACGAACTTGTAAAGAAGACGAATGATGGGGTGATACTGGCCACGACCCATGATGTCGGGGACGTAACTACCTCGATATCGCGACGCACACGTCGTATCGTAGCTGCCGATTTGATAAGGAGCGTCGCCTTTTCGATCAGTAGCAGCAACCCAGTCCTGGAGGACATACAATCGCTGCATGACTTCGCAACCTCGACCTAAACCAAACACTAGCCATCCACTACGCAAGGAGGGTTTCGATCAATATGACTGTTTTTCCTACGGGCATATATCAAGCGCCAGTGGTCGCTTTGATCGCGTCATTCTTCCCCCTCGCCTTGTTGAGCAATTTCTTCACGAGCCCCGGCTTCTTCTGTGAACCTTTGGGACTCTCTCCATACACGTCCTCGTACATGGGCGGTGGTAAGAAACGATCGTCGTATTAAGTGCCTGGAAGCGGACCACCAAATACAAGACGATTTATCCCGCCAATACTATGCGGTAGCGTGCCATCTTGGCCGGGACGGACCATCTCCTTCTGTCGCACAAAGTCCTTGAGTGATTTGAGACGTTCTTCACGCGTCATTTGGGATGTGACTGGATCACGGTTGCTCGAGGCACTCATGACAGACGACTTCAAGTGAGATAATATTGTAATGAGCGTGCTTAGAGGTTTGGGAGGTGACACCAATGACTCTCGATGCTAAACACAGTTTTTCTGAGATAGGAGCAATAAGTTTTGCAGCCATGCTCAAACGTCAGGCCATGATTCATGATTCGCCACAAATATATATCCTGCTATTGAGAATTGAACATGTGGGTGGCCGCAGAAGGTACCGTATCTACGTGTTATCGCGGCATGGTCATTGCAAACATTTCGTGCTCGCCAGCAACGGCAGTGTTTCGTTATATGTGTTTTGATTATGGCTGATCTAGCTTGCAAGACGATTTGTTTACACGCTTACATTGAACTCCGTCAAGATTTGAGGTACTCGAGTAGGACTAAATTGATGACAGTCCAAGCAACATTGACATTTGAAGCCAAGGACGCCTAGCAAGTTGCCTTGTCGGTGTCTCTAGCAGCCATGGGCTGATTCTTCTTGGCTATGTGGCCCCAAAACATCGTTGCACTGCCGGTATCCTGGCGAAGCAAATAACAGCCACTTTCCACCTTGTCTAAATCTGACCAAACACTCGTCGCGAACACTTGTAACATGATGAGACTGAGAGAGTGCTCATTTTGTGTCAGCCTCGTGTCTTCACAGTGTTACAACGTGTCATTAGCAGGCGCACCGCAGAAGCCTCTTTCCAGCATCAAGAATGAATTCAAAATGGTCAGGAACATATCTCGGCAGGAGTCATTCAACAAAGACAAACAAAGACTTGCGTTTTCATGTCACTAATCACCGGTAGCACGAAAGAATCATGTTCAGCCCAAACGTTTCAACTTCTGCAACATTCTGCCGATCGTTCAACAACCAGGAACCAATATATTCGTCTTCATCAGTACAAGTATCCCAGAGAAACATGAGTTTTCTGAGGAAACTCACAACACGCAAGTCTGTATCGAACACTAATCCTGCACAAATACACCAAAGCGTCGCCCAGATGGAAGACACCCCACCAGCATATTCGACCACGGCCACAAGCTCAGCACAAGGCGACTCACCCTACGCGTTTCTCAGTACTTTTGATACGTGTTTCCTTATAGACGATAGCGGATCGATGAGTGGTCGAAATTGGCGAGAGACAGCAGCAGCACTGAGCGCAATTGCTCCTATCTGCACTGAACAGGATGCTAATGGCATCGACTTATATTTTCTTAACCACCGCAATCCTTTCGCTAGCACCAGCTTGGGCGCTTACACAAACGTCATATCTACTGCTTCAGTGCTCGAGATCTTCCGAGTCGTGACGCCAAATGGAGGCACGCCAACTGGGGCTCGGCTGAACAAAATCATCCAGCAGTACATCGAGGAGTTAGTGAAGAAGCAAAAGCAAGGACGTGAAGCCTCACTCAAACCTCTCAACATCGTTGTCATTACCGACGGAGTTGCAAGCGACGACGTCGAATCAGTGATCGTCAGTGCCGCCAGGAAACTCGATACTATAGGCGCGGAACCTTGGCAGGTGGGTATTCAATTTTTCCAAGTCGGACAGGAGAGGGACGCAGCGGCTGACCTCAAGGAGCTCGACGATGCTTTGAGCGAGATACATGGGGTGCGCGATATGGTCGATACAGTGCCTTGGAGTGGTGTGGACGGAGCTATCCTGACTGCGAAAGACATCATGAAAGTTACAATGGGCGCCGTCAACCGGAAGTTGGATAGAAAAAGGGTCATTGACAGTTCATCTCGAGGACGATAGTCGCAAGCCTTAGGGAGAAAGCCCATATACGTTCAGGTTGAAAGCCATAAGCAGTCAGCCGAATTAGCCCAATAACTTCGATTACGCAAAGTACAAGGGCTTGCCAAGTTCTCCACTGTTCTAATTGACTTTCATTTCCAGGCGCTTGCCCTCCTATTTTTATCTTCTTCTTCGCACGCCAGGTCTGCGAGTTATCCCACCGCAATCGTCGCTGACGCCAGTTGCAGAGTCAAAGTTCAATGGAAGACGTAGGATTTGAGTTCACATTGTTGTCTCTTCGCGATCGCTCCACGATTCAGTGTTCGCCAAATGAGGAGATGCGGGAAACTCCCTCCGGTTGCCATGCGAAAACTGGCTCAGACAGGGGTTCGGAATTGTTCGATGTGATTCGTTGCTTATCAACCACTTGTCAGATCACCCGTGATGAATCCAGTTTCAAAGCCCTTCTTTCTTGTTTGTTGTTTCCACTCCCCAGCCACCCATTAAGCTAGCCTTTCTTGCACGCCCAAATACCGTTACGACGTGAACAGTCAGCTACGCCTGTTCCGTTGTCATTTCTTCGCCCGAGCACTTTCCAAGTCAACCACAGTCCCTCGCTTAATCGAAGCCAGCCAATGGAATCCTTGCTGGTTCGCTTGATGCTGAGCTTTTGGCCTTGCACCCTGGTTGCACAAGGGAGATCTAGAGGCCTCGGATGATTTCAGAGACATCTGTCCAGGATTCCGCGCAGTGGGTGATGGAACTCATGCAGAACCGCATTCAGATCGACGTGGATGACACTAGTCGAACCGCAATGCTGCATCCTTGTGTGAAGAGTACTTGAGTCGCTGTGTCCTCTCGAAATGACCACAGGCTATGTTTGACTGATTACTTACGTGAAACAGCTTGCTACCTCTTAGAATGCGGTGCTTCTCGTAGTGAGATCCCGTTATTACTGAAACGTCTACACAATTTCGATAAGCGCCCGTGTTTGGTACCTTCCTAACAAGCAGTTCGATGTACAAGCGCAGCTGCCTTTTCTGATTCGCTGACACAACACAAAGAACCTCAAACTCGACCACGCAATTTCAAACACCCGCGCTGCGCTTACTCGTGTTCAGCGAGCCTTCTCCTGTGTAAGGCCTCGTTTCATCACCAGACATTTTTACCCTCGGTGTCCAATCAGTGAGAGAGAGTCGAGCCTGGACTCTCGACAACAGTCATACCGAATCTCGGGTTTGTTGCTAAACTCAATCTGAGACTTTACAGCAGTCGCTCTTTAATCAGGACAGGGACTCGCAAGATCGAGCTTTCGTTCCTTGCTTTGCTACAGCTAGCAAGAGCCTGGTGCTCGGCAACTCACGAATCTCCTTTGGTCAGTCATTCACTCGTTTTTAGTCAGTCTTTGAAATTCAGCGCACACGTTCAACAAAAGCCACCATTAATCACACATTCTGCGCAATATGTCCCCAACTACATTAGTCACCTTTCGTGTCCGAGCACCACGTACAACACGAATCCTAGAACTCTATGGCTCATGGGACAATTTCGCCATGCCGTATGCCATGAGCAAGGACCTCCAAATCGGGTCCGAGTACTGGTCGGGATGCTTCAATTTTTCCAATATCATTTGTGATGGAAGGCCAGGTGATGTCATGGCATCAAGAGACGGCGGGCTCAAGATGGGTGGAACGTACTGGTATTACTACAAAGCAGATTTCGATATCGATTTCCATAACGTTTGCGAGCGGGCCACCAACAATTGTCCGCTTATGCCTGGCCAACTCGTCAACGTTCTACATGTACCCTTCGCCATGAGTGAGAGGAGGTCACGCAATCCTAGTGCGGACTCAACTAGTTCAGAGCGCCGCACAATGAACCCTGAAGACCGATTTATAAATCCTCGACCTGCTCCAGCCAAGCCGGTGACGCTGCGTGTGAAGACGTCTCCGATCATCAACGACTTCTCCGATACCGACTCTGCTGCGACGAAGGAGGCACCAAACGCTAGCAGGTTTCTGCGCCTTCCAAAGAAAGCTTCTGTTGACTCTCAGACCTCCTCACCTAGCAGTGCTCTCACTGGTGGGCTACGAGCAGCATTCAAGATTCGTACTGCTCGCTCTCAAAGCCCTGGCTGCTCCGCAGAGAACGGCCACTATCGAGCAGTGTCTGCAGAACGCGATCCCAGGAGAGATCGTAATCAAGCAGAACCGGAACGCTTCAAAATACCCGCGCGCGGTCTTCTTCTACGATCCACATCCGAGGAGTCAGTTCCCACCCTCTCGTTTGAGCAGCATCGTCAACAAAGATCACGGCTGCGAGAGGCTTCCTCAAGCGAGAATACCTCCCCTGTTTGTTCACGACCTCAAATTGAATCATTAAATTTGGTCAAGTCGAGCCAGGCTCCACTCGGAACTTTCAGCGAAGCTATATCGGCCAAGATCACTCCGATCGACGAAGAATCTGAGACGGATGCAATTGCGAAAATGAGCATCGATCTCCAGAAACGGCTACCGACACTTCCCAACACGCCTTCGAGCGCATATCCACCGAGTATGTCAGAGAGTCCCCCACGCCGAGGACTTCCTTTAACGAATATTGAACAACTTGATAGCCACTTCTCAGTCACCACAATCGATACAGATGCCGATCTGGAGCGAAGCCATTTCTCAGCATGGACAACAACTACCAACGCTCCATCGGTCTTCATCAATTCTTCCGTACCTTTGCCTCTGCCTCGAAACCCTGCTCCTTGCAATCCTGCAAAAAATGATGCCCCTCAAATCACGGGCTTCCTCCCGTCCTTTGATAGTCTGGCCAGCATGAGCTCTAGCACAAGCAGCACCCCATCTATATCTTTCTTTGATATAGACGCTGAGTTTGAGAACGCTCAAAATCCCACAAAACATCAGCCTCTACAATATAGTCTGCCAGAGGACGATTACAAATCACCAATCATCTCAAAGCCAACCTTCGAGTCGTTTCGTGGACGGGCTGGTAATCCGGCCATCATGAATACTGAACAGCACAGCAGCGTCAATTCTGACCATGCAGAAATTGTACACTCAGAGAGCATGCAACGTCTTTTGGCCGAGTTGAGCTATTTAAGTGACATGATACAACACTAGAATAATCCTAATACTGAACTAAAGTCGTTCACTCGTGTTGACAAGCATTTAGCGGGTGCTGAATTATAGATAGGAAGCTTATTAGGCGTGGGCAGGCCCCTGGAGGAGTTTACGGCGCCCGAGAATGAGGACAAAAGTTACCCTTAGACATTGCACTCCTCTATGGGGTTTGGGCAGGCTCAGACCACTACCTTGGTCGAGTTGAACCATTCAATTATGAACCCTGTCCTCGAGTTTCTTTTCTCCTTTGGTTACAGCGTGGTGATTATCTCATACGATCGAAGCGCGAGTGGTTGATTCAGACGTGTGGCTGCCTCAGGTCAACACAGACGCGTTCAACCATCGAGACGCGTCGATGCTCGACAATTCAGAGCATTGTAGATTGCATTGCAAGGCAATAACCACGACGATACCCTTGCACGCTGCTTTGATCGATGTCTATCTTGTGTGACTGTACGCACCAACCTTGACTTCCTGTTGCGCTTCCACCATGTCAACCTCATCGATGAGAACACCCTAATTCGCCGAGAGCCTTCGTGACCAGTATCCGCTCTTCACTGTGTGCTCTACTTCTTCATACTTGCTTTCAAGAAACAGGCATCGTGGTATTGGTCGAAATGCAGCTGATTAGCACCAATGTCTTTGCCGTGCCAATTGGGCACGTTGTTCGCAAACATGCTCCAGCCACACACCTCGGATTGAAATATTGTCCCAGCATGGATCTTCTGGCAGTGTTTCCCCAAACCCCACCGTCAGATCAAGCTATAGACGCTCTTGCCTCCAAACAAAGTAGCACTGAACAGAACTACTATGATGGAGAGGAAGATGAGGTACTGATTGAGATTTATCGCCTTACCGGGCAGAAGGTGTGGACAATCAGTATCGATAGCAACGATGGTGCTATTGGCGTTATCGACGTTGCTTGGAGGGACGACGGTGTCATACTCGCCGTTGTGACCTCCGATAACATGGTTCGACTGGTCAACAGTTTCAGCGGTAAAGTGGTACACTCTTACTCATCCACCTCAGCAGTTCCTCCCCCAGCAGCTGAAACCGATGCCCCTAAATCTCCAAGCAAGAAGCGCAAATCTGCGGCTCGAGAGCAAGAACCTCAAAAACGACGGTGCATACCGACCTGCATACACTACTCGACTCATTTCTCAGACACGAAGAGTGCCCAAACTCAGCTCCGATCAGCTAAGAAGGAAAGAGGTGTGGAATTGGACGATCTGTTGGGCTTCAATGTCGACGTTGAGCAGACCCTGAAGCTCAAGGCGGATCTACCTAGAGAGATTGCTAACATTGACGTCGAGCAATTTCTACCTAAACTTGCAACATTACCGGCAAATGGTATGGGCGACGATGATGTCTTTTCTAGTCGAACCTCGATTGATACAATGTTTCACCCTGTCATTAACGGTGGCAGACATATGACAGACATCACAACCATAGCACAAAGCGATGGACATGTTCATCTACGGGTCTTTGACTCATTTGAGGTCGGAGACGTGGATTTGAATAATACTCCAAACAAGCCGAAAGGCTGCCGATTTGGAAAGGTGCGGCAGGTAGCAGGACACCCTCTTTCGAAGAAGCTATGTGTGATGGTAGAAGAGGAGGCAGTCAAACCTTCGACGAGACAGAAACAGCCGAGTAGCGATGCTACAAGCTCACGTCCTTCGCTTCATTCCCTCAGCCTCAATCTCGACTTCTTAGAGCAATCCTCACTTACATTTCCGATCCTTGCCACGAAAGCCACGCAATTACATAACCTGCTGCGATACCTTCGTCAAATTGAATCCCAGATGGCGCGAGAAGTGAAGACAGCATTCGACCTCCCTGTCAGATTTCTACGTAACCTAGAGGAGGATCTCAAAGAACAAGATGGAGAAGGGAGCACATTCAAAACATCAGCGTACCATGCCCTGTTGACTGGCGAAGTACACGGGAAATTCAAAGAATGGCTTGCAGAGGTCTTGGGCGATCGTGGTGTGAAGAGGTGGGACAAAGCGGTACACGAGTGTCTTGAGCTGGTTCGGCGGTTGGTCAATGAGAACTGGAATCCAGCAGTTGAACGGGCTGGGGTAGTGGTGTCGAGGTTGACTGGCCTGGCCATGGCTGACGCGACATTTGGCGTTGACCAGGAGATACTGGACGGACTGCAGGATACTGTCAGTGTTATGGCTGTACTCGGTGAGGATCTACTCAGGGATGTAGGAGCAGAGATCACAGGTTTCAACGCATTCATGCAGTGGCTGAAGAGAGAGGTGGAGATGGCTGGCCTAGAAGATACAAGTGAGAAGCTAGATGAAATGAGGGAGGCGAGCGATCATGCGGACGTGGGTAAGGTGATCACATACATCTCCGAGGGATTGAACAGCACTTCTGTGAAGAAGTACATTCAGGAAACTGGAAGTGAACCTGCCGTCGAGATCGAAAAAGGGCCGACTCTCTACGAGCAATTCAAGAAGAATCGAGAAGCTGGTCAGAAGCTAGACTCCTTGTGGTCACTGAAAAGTCTGACCGACAGGCTCGGCCAGCAGACTGGAAAGATGTTTCAGCAAGTCGCCATGAAGTTGAGGAAGGGTGTCAAGGTAGAGTACCTCTGCAGAGCTGGCGACGCACTTGATGAAGTTTTGTGCCAATGCCGGATGGTTCGTGTTCATGGGAAGGACGAGTTAGATAATATTGAAGATAGTGGCGCAGATGAGGACGGCAAGCAATCTACAGAGGAACCTGACGACATCCATAGCAAAGAGTACGACCTTTCAGAGCCATGGCTGCTGGCTCCCAGCAGCGAAATGGCCGGAACCATTGTATGTGAAAGAAGCCGTACAGGAGGCTTCGCCACACCTTTCGAACGATCACTCATCTGCACAGTTCCTGATGTAACAAAGGTTCTGGATCTGAAATTTGCGGACGACAAAGAACTCCTGGTGCTGGTTGTTTGCGCAGGCCGAACCAAGATTGTGAGTGTAACACTCGGTGCATCACCACTTCATTCGGAGAGACACGTGTTCGGCGGACAATCAGACGGCTATGTCAAAGCAGGTCTGCAACCAGGAAAGCTGGAGGTCAATGGTCGGAAGGGAAGAAGGACAGTGACAGTATTGGACGAGCAGGGACGAGGCTATGGCGTGTTTGATCTCGATACTTCAGAGGATCAAGGCCCTGAGGATGATGACGTGGTGATGAGCTAGTTCAACAAGAGATGCCACAAGTGTGGAAGTCATCTCTCCGATGCACTACGAAGATACTCTATAGCAGGCAGATCCCGTGCGACTCGTATCGATTCGTGAACCAGCTCAGCCTGCTGGGTACACTGAAAGACGGGAATTTGGGACCAACGCTTCGACGAGTAATTGTAACCAAGGGCCTGCCTGGTGAGTAGCCCGAGTTGAACTGGGAGATTACTCTGTTTGCTAATCTGGGGCTTGGTCGTGCTTTCCTCTTCCTTCACATGAATGGTTGCCTAATTGGGGTTAAGTCGTGCATGCTTAGCGCAGTCTAGCGAACCCTGATAGCCTTTAGGCAGGAGCCAGTGTCCTTCCGCGCAGTGCATACGGGCACACCGCACTTGCCCACTACGCTGCAGCGACATTCTGTAATTAAATGCAGAAAAGTGCCTACGACGAGTCTGAAAGTTCTTGTGAACACTCTCCTTGTACTCTTCGTTCGAATAGAATTTTCAAAGCAAGCGCGATATTTCTTTGCATACCTGCACACGTCTTTCTTTCCTTGATTTTAGACTGGCAATCGTAATCACAGGCTCTCTGAAACTATTTCTGGGCCACAACAAACCGACCGATCTGTGGTCAAATCACCCTCTCAACCACTTCTTTCTTCTTCCCTACAACCTTTCAATATTCGCCCAGGACTGTTTGGCCCAGTATGGATGTCAATTCGGTCCTGAGCAACACTTTATCGCCAGGTACGCAGCCACACTGCTCGACAAAAGAGATGCAAACTAACTCGACCTAGATGATGCTACACGAGGGAATGCCGAGCAGCAACTGCAACAAGCTGCCCAGGCCAACTTTGTGAGTCGCCATAGCCAATGCCTATATCTTCTGTGTTCTGTACTGACTCTGTGCTAGTCTGAATATCTGTCCGTCCTTTCCCGAGAATTGGCAAATGAAAATGCAGACCCTTCGATAAGACAAGCGGCTGGTATCGCTCTCAAAAACGCCTTTGCCTTTCGAGACGTAAGCAGACTGCGGGAAGTTCAGGCACGATGGCTACAAGGCGTAGACCCGAATATCAAGAAACAGGTCAAGGATTTGGCCTTACAGACTCTCAATTCGCAGAGAAATGCCGCCAACTCAGCAGCCCAGTTGATTGCCACGATCGCTGCTATTGAGCTCCCCAGAAACGAATGGAACGATCTCATGCCGACGCTCGTCAGCAATGTGGGCACAGGCAACGAGAGGTTGAAAATGTCAAGTTTGACCACTATAGGATTTATCTGTGAGAGTGACGACTCAGACCTTCGAGAGTCTCTGATAATGCACTCCAACGCCATTCTCACAGCTGTCGTCCAGGGTGCGAGAAAAGAAGAAACGAACCAAGAAGTCCGCAAATCTGCCCTTCAAGCACTGAGCGACGCTACCGAGTTTATCCGATCCAACTTCGAGAATGAGGGTGAGCGCAATTATATAATGCAGGTCGTCTGCGAAGCCACGCAGTCGAGCGATCCCGATGTTCAGGCGGGTGCTTTTGGCTGTTTAAACAGAATAATGGGCATATACTACGACAAGATGCGCTTCTACATGGAGAAGGCTTTGTTCGGCCTGACTATTTCAGGGATGCGAAGTGACACCGAGGACGTTGCCAAATTAGCCATTGAGTTCTGGTGCACCGTGTGCGAGGAAGAGATCAGCATTGAGGACGACAACCAACAGACACAGCAAGAAGGTTCGTCTGAGCTGCGTCCATATTTCAACTTTGCCAGAGTCGCTTCGAGAGAAGTGGTACCTGTTGTATTACAACTCATGACCAAGGTCGAGGAAGATGACGCAGATGACGAGTACAACGTTGCCAGAGCAGCGTACCAATGCTTACAGCTTTATGCCCAAACCATAGGCTCGGAGCTAGTGCCTATGGTGTTGACATTCGTGGAGGGAAATCTCAGACACGACAATTGGAGACATCGGGATGCTGCAGTGGCTGCTTTCGGTGCCATCATGGATGGTCCTGAAGCCAAAACTCTGGATCCTCTGGTCAAGCAAGCCCTGCCAGTTCTTATCAGCATGATGCAAGATTCTGTTGTACAAGTGCGAGATTCTGCAGCTTATGCCCTGAGCAGGATCTGTGACTACTGCCATGACTCGATAGATTCTGCTCACCTACAACCATTGATGCAAGCATTGTTCGGAGGCCTGATGAGCCACCCAAAAATGGCTTCCTCATGCTGTCTAGCGTTACTAAATCTAGCCGAACGATTTGTGTCGGAAGATGGTGCGGAGGCCAATGCCTTGACACCACATTTCCAAGACAGTGTCACAGCTTTGCTACAGGTGACTGAGAAGGCCGACATCCGAGAAGAAGGCGCAAACCAGGTTCGCACTGCTGCATATGAAGTTCTGGCTGGATTCATCACAAACGCAGCCAACTCAAGCTTGAACATTGTGAACGAGTTGACCGAAGTGATCATGCAGCGAATGACCCAGTCTCTACATCAGTCTCGCGATGTGGTCAGTGTCGAGGATAAACTCAACCTCGAGGAGAAGCAAATCAGCTTGGCAAGTGTTTTGCTTTCTATTGTGCAGCGACTCGAACAACACGTCGCTGGTCAGGCAGATCGCGTTATGCAGGTTTGTATAGAAACTCTCAACGCAACTGGCAACACTGCAGTTCCCGAGGTTATCTTTCAGATCGTGTCCGGTCTATGCAACGCCTTGAACGGAGACTTTCTCAAGTATATGGAGTCCTTCGTGCCCTATCTGAACGCAGCTCTTCGAAACCAAGAAGCACCCGACATGTGCTCGCTGGGTATCGGCCTCGTTAGCGACATTGTGCGAGCATTGGAGGACAAGGCACAGCCATACTGCGACCAATTCATGAACGACCTGCTCAACAATTTGCGGTCCGACAAGATCACAAACCAACTTAAGCCACCTATCCTGGAAACCTTTGGTGACATCGCCTCCAACATCGGACTCGCGTTCGAGACGTATTTGACAGTTGTTGCACAAGTATTACAACAGGCCGCTACCGTCACTGTGGCCAATGATGTTTCTTACGACATGATGGACTACATTGTCTCCCTACGCTCAGGTATTGCCGACGCCTGGGACGGGATTATCGTGGCCTTCAAGGGTACTCAGAGAGTTAATCTCCTTCAGAATTATGCTCAAGCCATTTTTCAGTTCTTGCAGATCGTGTCGTCGGATGTCAATCATAACGAGGGCCTCCTTCGAGCCTGTATGGGTATAGTTGGGTGAGTAACATTATAGTCGTGCGTCAAGACCCTGCTAACATCGAAACAGTGACCTCGGCGAGGCGTTCCCAGACGGCCAACTGGCCGATTTCTTCCGAGCCGAATGGCTAACCAAGATGGTCAGGGAAACCAGATCGACACGCGAGTTCACAGCGCGAACTATTACGGCAGCCAGATGGGCACGTGAGACCATCAAACGTCAAAGTCAGCATCAAGGTAATCTCATGAATGCCTCATGAACCTGATGTTCGATATATATTTATCCTGTCCTACGACAATGCTCATCACCAACATTTTATAGCCTATACTAACGTCTACTTGCGACGTTCATGGTGCTGACATTCTGAAGCACATTCCGCCGAAGACGATCATTTCAATGGTTTGGAAACCGCGCTCAGTCAAGGGACACCGATCTTCCCCGACAAGGCAGCACCAACTCCGTGTCCCAGCCCCGCGAAACGACATGCAGGTGGATATAAACACGATCGTCGACTATGAGCACATCTCAAGGCTGAAGACAGATCGAGTTCACTCGCAGATGGTCAGGAGTCGAGATCAGGAGAGCTGGTGAAGACGAGAAGCTGTTCTCAGCAGCCACTTCGGGCGCGCCCTTTCCCTTGTCTCGAATCCTAGGTCAACCATCGAGTCTACCACCCACCATCGAGGTCATCCAACCCGCCACATTGGCCAGCAAAGGTTTTGCATGAAGCATGCCCTGGCCCCCCCTTTTGGACCGAACCCCAACGAACCGAGTACGCAAGATGATATTCGATTATCGATACCCAGTCATGTACAACCCAGCAGACCAGAATAACACCAGATACCACCCACGATGAGGAGAAGGAAAGGAAGCTACAATTGCGGAGGAGCGAGAAGAAAAGAGCAAGCGAAGAGAGAAGAGGAGAGAATTGAAGGATCCATTAGCACTAGCATGTATGCCCAAAGTTATGTAGGATCCAGAAATTCGATGATGTTATCCCTATTGAGCCAGACCATATACATATAAATAGTGATTTACGGTTTGCCATGTATACTGACATGAAAATAGTGCCGCACGTTGACATACTGAATCTCCAGACGACGTTCTTGGAAAGATGATCAGGTAGGTTCCAGTCTTGCAACGAACGGTAGGTCTCAGGGTGAAATTACCTATACAAACGACGGACCCCAGGTGAGAGCAAAGCATCTTCCACCACTAACTCTAGGCTCTAGAAGAGCACAGATAACACTCCTACGAACACATGACCTCAGTAATACTTTCGCCAGTGGTAGTGAACGATGCATGATCCCGTATACGCTCTTTCTACCTTCTCGTGATATCTATTCATGTTTCGAAGTAGGTCGTTCTCTCCTTAGATCCGGTTGTAGTGGACATCTTCCATGTCCTAAATCTCAACACTAGCTCGAGAAGACTGGAATCGTGCGTACAAGGACCAGGGGTTCGTTCCGTTCACTCTATCGAGGTCGATGGCTTCCTCTGAGACGCCTCAAAGTTATCTCTGTGAGCTCGTGGTTACGGATTTACTCCAGAAAGATTGTCCTATGACAAGGAAGTTGGAAGTAATCTATGCCAGATCAGGACTAGCGTGGGGAAGCTCCTGCCTCCCGATCACCACTGCTAACCTCATGTTCAAGTTCAGTAGCTCTTGGAGCCTTTGACAGGAAGACTGACCGAGTGCACTGCTGTGGTTAGAAGCTTTGAAGGTTCAAGTTGCAAGCTCCTGATCTCAGTCCCAGCCAGCTTCCTAGGTCACAAGCACTAGTTGCACGTCCAACACTCCGCAAGCATGGCTTTTGTCTACGAACCTCTGTCCGATCCGTTCTCGAATTTCAGACTTGTGGAAGTGAAGAGGTGGAAGCGTTGGGGACAAATTCAATGCACGATCAAGGAGGTGACTCCTAGCAAGAAGAACACATACGAGGCTATCTCCTGCCTCCGAGTCAGTAATGGAAAAGAGGAACAGCTGGAACAGAAGCAAATTCGGCTTAACGGAAAGCAACACAACATACCAGTCGCGGTGTATCGTGTCCTTAATAACGCACGAAACGGCCTAGCTAGAAAGAGATTTTGGGTCGAGGCTATTTGTGTCGACCAAAACAATATGAAGGAGAGGGAGGTGCAGCTATCTAAGAAAGATGAGATCTATAACGGCGCGACAGCTATCAGGATATACATCTACGAGACTGGCATTAGTCAGGATTTCGTGAGACAGATTCCAAGTGGTCCGCCAAAGCGAAGTGTCTCATATGTCGGGCTCGGCGTACCCGCTGGTGTCATCTCCTCACCACGCATTGCAGTAAGACATTTTGGCAAGCTTTGCAGCAAGAAAGAAGCAGCACCTTCCTCGAACAACATTCAAAAAGAAGCATTATTAGAATCAGACTTGGAACCCGAGCAGCCTTATCACTACACGTCCATTATCGATATCCTGGATCAAACATACAGATACGACAACCTGGACTGGACGATAAGATACCTCGAAAATGCTATTGAGACAGGTAAAACTACTGCCTATCACCCTAAGTGGACTCGTTTCAGCCTCTTCCATGAGACGATCTTGCGAACCGAGACAACTCCTATTGTAACAAGGTTCTCCAAAACTACCTGTGATATGCCTATGGACTGGACTAAGGAATCAGTAGGCATTAGGGAGCAGCCACCTCGGTACGAGTACTGTTAGTGCTTAATATGCGCGTCGACGGCTTGGGCGAATAATTGTTTATCTAGCTGTAGTGAAAGGTTGCCGCATATTGGCGTTCAGAGGTGTTCATCTAGGACTTGTTAGTGAGGAGACCCCAGACAAATGGCCGCGCATATACAACTTCTGCACAGCATCCCATGTCCTGTCGCTCGTACGTTGTTCGTGGCTAAGATATTCCTCGTGGCGAGGAAACCAAAAAAATAATGGAAAAGAGAGAAAAGCTAGAAGAGGAGGACATAGCATGCCGCGGCAGGCGGACTTGCTACCATACCGTACCATATCATACTACAGACCACGAAACACAGACCACACTCGATCAGCCGACTCGCTACCTGAATTTCGTATGACAAGTACCCGGTACCATCGATGCTTGCACAGACTTGTATCCGAACATTACCGACAGCCCTTACCTGCCCCGAAACACTTACCCAATCAGCCAGCTTCCAAGTCGCCAACAAACAATGACTATCCCGCTTCTCAGAGCTTAAGCAAAGTCGACCTCCTCAGGCTTTCTTTCCCAAGGAGGTGATCTGTCTGAACTTATGTCAGTATTTGTCGGGTTGTCTTGGCCACAAGAATTCTGTCACAGTTCAAAGCGAATTCGAGCAAGAGCACTACTAGATGGACTCACGAGGGCATAACACAGCAGTCAGTACATTCGGTGCGGGTCGCGTTTCTTTACTGGAGAGCTCTAGACTGGGGAAGGAATAAGGGCAAATGGTCTTGTTGTGCTGTCGCGAGCTGGGATTTCCATGTCTGGGTTTGTATATATCTGCGGTCGTCCGTAGGCAGATCGCTAGCTATCTACCGTATCTTTCTGTCCCTTTTCCAGAGTACATGTTTTATTTGCACCACAACGTGGTCTGTCTCCAGACTGTTATAGGTCTAGTGCAGCAATGCTGCTATTTAACCCTACGATGTCCCATCTCCCATCTCCCATCTCCTATCTTGTCGCCAAGAACGTACAAGTACCATGGGTGCGTATGATTAGTGACGCTAATGAGTCTTTTAGTGTCATCAAAACACCCTGCGTAAATCTTGATTCGTTCTCTCACATCAGCTCACACTCAATTACTTTGTTGTAGTATCCCATCCTCGTTACGTCCAGGTAGATAGACCGTAGACCATGCCCTTGACGAAGCCCGATCACAACCAGGTCAAATCCAAGCAAATTCTCGTGATCCAAAACTTCCAAAATCACCTCTGTTCGGATTTTAACACCACATCGTCGACCAGCTTTGTTCAATTTCCTTCATTCAGAGACAACCGAAGAAGTGGTGTCTTTGCGTAACATCATAGACCATTCGGTCTGGTGCTCGTTGTAACTTGCGAAAACCTCGGCATGAACCGTTAATGTCGATCGTAGGGATTATGTAGCCATTGCAGACGATGTGCTGCACATACAGTGGCACTTCCATGGGCTTGAAAGTCGAATCGATGACAAGTAGGTGTACCTGCCACAAGTGATCACGATATAGCGTGAATCTTGTACAGCTGCTGAAACATGCAGAAGTTTCATCCCGCGACATCACGCTCCATACTTCGCAGATATTGGCTGCTCCTCAGCTTCAGTCTGTAGCGTTGTCGAGCTTAGCCTTCTTGGTGTGTGCAACATTTTCTTGAGTTCCATTACGTGAGCTTCTTTTACCATTAGACTGTAAGATTGGACCTGTTCCAACAGATTCGTGGCCATCGGACTTGGCATTGTGGCGGGAGTTTATCTTGTCCTGCTTGTTTTTTTTCTTGTTCTATAATGCAGACGAGTCAGCAATCAATGACTTCATCGAGACCGAGCTTCCAACCTCGAATGATGGTCCAGTCAAGCTGCCTCCTGAGCTACCCGTGCACTTACAGGTGTTTGTGTTCCACTCGCTCTTCCGCTATCAGTTTGACTTGCAGCTCCATTTTTGTTCTTGCCATCCTTTTTTTTGGACTTTTGCTTCATTTCACCCTGCAGTCTTCGTTGGGCGGCGGCCTCATCTCTGGCTCTCTGCAACTCTTCGGCTTGTTTCCGAGTTGCCTCGCGTTTCTCATCACTCTTCGACTGCTCATGGTCAAACATAGATTCGATCGCTGGATAATACTTGTACATATCTTTGATCTGTGGAATAGTGACTCGCATAAGGTCGAAAGCTATACAGATGGACATCTGCTGAGCAGCTTCCTGAAGGGACATCTGTTTCTTGAGTGTTGGTGGTGTATAAGATTTTGACTCGCGACGAGGTGATGAGCTTGTCGTAGTGGCAGACTCGCTGTTCATAGTCCCCTCCTCTTCTAGAGAACCTACAGAATCTGTCGCGTTGCCTGCTTCCTCAAATTTTAATTGACCCGGTAATTTGACATCGGTAAGAACGGGCAACTTCTGGTAACGTTGACTGAAGTGAGTCAAAATCACATTTTTGGCTTTCATCGCGTTGGCTACACCCAACGCTTCACCAATTGTGCAGTGTCTCTTAGCCATGGCATCACCCTCCATACCATCATCGAACGTTGCTTCGTGAATTAAGACATCAGACCCATGTCCAATGTTGACGAAATCCGCGGATGGCCGGCAATCACCGCTATAAGAAATCTTGAATCCATTGGAAAAGGTAATTGAGACAGCTTGTGCGCCATGACAGTGATTGACACGTGTGGAGTCAAGCTTTGAAATGGGCAAGGTTGTGTCCTTGAGTGAAATTGGCTCAGAGTAGAGGTTGGTTATGCCCGAGTTCAAACACCTTAGCATGATTGCCTCAGAATCCTGCACAGAACGATAATCTTCAATGTAGTCGGCCATGCTCGGCTCGGCAAGCAGGTAAAGCTTGTGTGCAGGTTCCTGACCTGTCCTCCGTTGCCGTTCTTGTACCGCCTTTTTGTGTGCGACAAGGATCGGCATGGTGCCAAGATGATGATCAGCATGCAGATGAGAGATCCAGATCATGTGCAAATTACACAATATCTCGTCCAACTGTTCCGGGGTATGGAGCCGTTTGAGCTGACCCAGTGTGGATTCTCCGCAATCAAGAAGAAAGTAACCAAGAGTTGGGATGTGAAGCAGATTCGCCGAAACGTTCCTGTACTTGGATGGTACTGCTGACCCGGTGCCCAGAGTCGTGACTGAGACGTCTTTGTAACGTTTATCTGTAGAGATAGACGAACCTGAAGCAGTTGGAACAAGATTTTTCGTGTCCCATGACATACCAGCGACTATTTGAGGTATGTTGGGGTAAGACGGTACCTCACCCTCGTCGACTTGAAACTTTGGAGCCACATGCATTTTAAGACCTCTTTTGGCCTGGATGATATTTCCTGTATATGGCCGAATTTCGGCTGCTCTATTGTTATGAATGGGCAGGCTAAATATCTCCGGGCGGATATGGGAAAGGCGCGTTAGCGAAGCAGCTGAAGATGCCATTGCAAGGTAGTTGGGACTGTCATCTGGTGACGAGATGACATGCTTAACATCAGGAAAGCGTGCTAGAAAGTCGAGGAAAGGCCGAGAAGCAAGGACGCCGGGGCCAAGAATGTAAAGAAAAGCATGAACGTCAACCAAGATCTGGGCATTCTTCATGTCCATAAGCTTTTGAGACAGGTCGTCTAGGTAACCTGTCTCGGGGATGTCAAGCACTGCCATGCCGTAACCAGGAAGGATTTCATCCAGAACATGTTCGGGTTTGACCTCAGTGCCATCATCGAGAACAACACTCCGACCCGAGGCTAACACACCATAAGCGGGACCAGGTTTGACACCAGCGGCTTTAGCCTTTTGGGCGTTGAAGGTTCCTCTCTGAGGTCTACCCTTGAAGAAATATGACATGGCAACTTGATTGGGGAGGTTGTCCGCGGCGGGCAGCTTCGCAATGAGAGCAGCAGGCCAAGGTAACCTGACATGAACCTTTTGATCAGGAGCAATTTGAGGGGCATCAGACATTGTGTGGCAGAAAGTGGAAGACAGCTCCTTGGTCACTGGATCACGAACCCAGACGGTGGCAGGTAGGTTCACATCCTTAAAAGTGGTTTCATACAGTCTATCCTTCCGCCAATCCGAGTCGAACATACTGTGAACAGTTTCCTTGCGCAGACTTTGCTCCTGGTTCACAGTAGAGGCTCTGAGATTGTCTTTCTCGGCTGACGAAGGACCGAATCCAGCAGGGGACGTCCTTCGGATTGGCAAAGCCCAGAGCAGGATATTCTCGTCATAAAAGTCTGGGGATTCAGAAATACGCCATGCATCAGGGGAGGCTTCCAAGACGGTCATTGGCATGCCAGTGCGAAAGATAAACCTCCTTGCGCAGGCAATTGTATGCCAAATCTTGGGGCCGCCATGAATGTGAATAGTACCCAGAGCCTGTTTCTCTTCTTGTTCAGTGGTAGCCAGTACATCAGCGATGGTCAATATCATGCCTAGGAGACCACCGTTTGTGTCACAACTCGTCTCGCCGGTGAGGAATATGTTTCTCGCCTTCTTGAGAGATACACCTCGTTCTATGCATGCTCTCTGAGTGCCTTCTGTTATCCGACCGAAGAGGTAACGCTTGTTGTCAAATTGCAACAGAAGAGAGGTGCCAGGTGTGTCAGCAGTAGGAGTGGTGACATATTGAATGTTGAATTTGTGCCGATCGACGGGCGACTTGAAATCGGAAATGTCCATGATTGAGTTTAGGTGTCGCGACCACGCACGAAGTCCAGGTTTTCTCTCGTCTAGAGGCACTTGCTGCGCATCCCACTGCTCATGTTGTTCTTTGCCCAACCTAAACAGCTTCCATATGGGAGAATTGGAAACAGATGCAGTCCTGCGGGATAACGAAATGTAGGAGCAGCGCAGACCAGCTGGCGTGACTCGAAATGCTGGCTGGGGGGTGAAAAGAGAAGCCACTGCGCCGTGCTAAATGCGAAGATGCGAGCCGTTCAAGGATAGCAAAAGGTCGTGCAATCAATAAAGAGTGACTGTATCAAAGAAGTGAATTCGAAAGGCTATTCTAAAGTATCTCTCTGCGTCAAGATACGCACTGGCAGCCGCGCCCCGAAATTTCTCTGACTGACTGAAGTGATGCGTCATGCTTGTGTTTAGGACTAGCTCGGCTCTAACCTACAGTAGGGCGTTCAAGGCATAAAGGCAGCAAAATGCTGCCAGTCGAGTATACTGACACGACCGACTATCAACGTCTCAGTATACAGCTTACACGTTCTCCTTTATCTACTACATCAAGAAGTCATCTTGGTCCTCTTCCCAGTAGATGCTGTCTCGTATTTTCAAGTCGAACTGATTCTTTCGGCAAGTCTTGGTCGCCTGGGTGTTGCAAAGAGAGCCATCCTGATGGCATGGACTTTGACTAGCTATCACCGCCTAGACCGCCTTACGATAGCTCCAGGATGTCTTGTCGCCAGCACAACTACGACTCTGCCCGAAATCTCCCTCGATAGTGTAGAAGATTAGTCTACCTGAGCCACTGCCGCACGAAGAATAAAACCATCGAACGCTTCTACCAAGATTTGGCTGTTATTTCGAGCTTTGAGGGCGTGATCGAAGGCCATTTCTCGTCGATGTGCTCCATCTCACTGAACTCGTCTTCTCCTCACCTTGATCGTCCCCGCATAGCAGAGTGATATACTCAAACTCGGCTATATAAAACAGAGCTGCGGTTGAGGCTGGTATCTGCCTCTGGGTAGCACTGTACGATCGACAGAGAAGCTCAGGCTTTGAGTTCCACCAACATGTCACAAACAAAGTCCTTGAAAGACCTCAAGCGGCCGGATCTCTTTCAGCAGAAGGGCTACATCGCCGAGGAATGGGTCGATGCAGCTTCAGGCGATACCTTCGATGTATACGACCCAGCTACTGTGGAGAAGATTGCCACAATTCCAGAAATGGGCCGCGAGGATACCAATAAAGCCATCCAAGCAGCTCACGATGCATTTCAGACCTACAAGAAGACAACAGCTCGCCAGCGTGCTCGCTGGCTAAGGAAATGGTCTGATTTATGCCTAGAACATGCTGATGACCTGGCCTTGATACTGTGTCTGGAGAATGGTAAGACATTGGTAGAAGCAAAAGGTGAGGTGACCTATGCTGCGAGCTTTCTGGAATGGTTTGCTGGCGAAGCTGAGCGGATACACGGAGAGGTTGTACCTGTTGCTAATCTCAATCAACGAGTATTGACGTTCAAGCAACCGCTCGGAGTGGCAGCTTGTCTGGCGCCATGGAACTTCCCCATCGCCATGATCACCCGAAAAGTTGGCGCTGCTCTGGCTGCGGCCTGCCCCACAATTTGGAAGCCTGCTGGAGAAACACCTTTGAGCTGCCTAGCACAGGCAGTGTTAGCTAAAGAGGCGGGCTTTCCAAAAGGTACCATAAACGTGATTACCACTTTGAACAAGGTCGATGAAGTCGGCAAGGCACTATGTGAAAGCAAGCTTGTTCGAAAGTTGTCTTTCACTGGAAGTACTAGAGTCGGTCAATTACTGGCTGCTCAATGCAGTAAAAGTTTGAAGAAACTGTCACTAGAGCTTGGAGGAAACTCACCTTTCATTGTCTTTGATGACGCCAAGGTTGAAACTGCAGTAGAAGCAGCGATCCTTGCAAAATTCAGAAACAGTGGTCAAACGTGTGTGACTGCAAATAGAGTTTTTGTGCAGGACGGCATCTACGACAAATTTACACAAGCTCTGACCGAACGGATCAAGACGTTGAAAGTTGGAGTTGGCACAGAAGAGGGCGTTTTTGTCGGCCCAATGACGCACGAGCGAGCGGTCGACAAGGCCATGAGACACATTGAAGGTATGTCGACTTGATCTGCAAGTGAGCTTGCTGACAGAATTTTCACAGATGCACAGAAACATGGCGGGAAGGTCATTCTTGGAGGCAAACCCTACGACAATGGCGGAAAACTGAAAGGCTACTTCCTAGAGCCAACCATCATTTCCGGCATGTCACCAGAAGCATTGACTACCCGTGAGGAGACGTTTGCACCTGTAGTTGCTCTCTACCGATTTCGAACGGAGGCGGAGGTGATTGATCTAGCAAACGATTGTGATGTTGGTCTGGGTTCATTTATCATCACTGAGTCAATACCTCGAATGTGGCGAGTCGCCGAAGCGCTCGAAGTCGGTATGGTTGGGGTCAACTTGGGCTTACTAAGCGCTTGTGAGAGTCCGTTCGGGGGCGTGAAGATGAGTGGCTACGGCAGAGAGGGTGGTCGACAAGGCATCGATGAGTATCTGACCGTCAAGAGCATGTTAATCAATATTGCGACTTGAGCCGGATATCAGGATATGCAGGTACCGGGCATGCCTGGAGTACCGTGAAGACAAGGCACACGAATATCGGGATGACACTCACAAAGAAAACCCAAATGACGAAGGATCTACCTCGTCTTCGGTGGTGACACATACCACTATATTCATAGACAATATACCTGTTACGAGATTGTGCGTGCCGTGGAGAGTCTCTGCACACATCGAGGTTCCTTCCTGGCAACATAGCTTTTCAGACCCCGCCAGAGCAGAACGAACACAATAGTGGCAAGCATCGTGGACGAAAATGACGTGAACGGAGGATCTGAATTAACGGCCATGGCAGTGAACACCACGACTCGATCGTATTTCACGGTCGCAGATCAGAGTATACCTCGTATTTGTTGCACAGCCACGCATAGCTTTGTCAACAGTTGCTGCTTGTGCTGGAGTGAAGAAAGTCGTGCCACGCGTCATTGGCAGCTTCCACGTTCGTACGGGCTTGTGCCGCTTTGCAGGCTCCACTGATGATGATACGGAACACGCTAGACTGCGAAGGCGAGATATGGAAGTCACGAGCATGCTTATTGGCCACTTGCCGCGATCGCTCTTGCTTTTCCGGCAGCCTAGCGCTTTCTAGCGCGTATTCATTTTACTAGTATTTCCGTCCCTGCAAACAACTGCACCACCTTTCTAGTCGGTAGAAGTGATTATAATTCACCCGTACAAAAGGTCAGAGGAAGAGTTACATTGCGCTGTTATTGCAAGACTCTCATTTGTGTGAGAAGAATTGCACAACGCTAGGTTAAATCGAGTTCGAGAAGAACAGGACCTTACATCACCTCCCCCGATCGCGTGTCTTGGAAGTCTTGGGCACCTCACAGAACCACTCAGTCCTTACTACTAATCCTTGACATCTCCACCACGCCTTTGTCCAAGCCCACTTCAGGCTAGATTTGAACCACTGGGAGCGACAGTCCACGCCTCCAACGACGGTGCGGTTCAACTCCAAGAATCTGTACAGCCCTCTTCGTCCGCCTATTGACCAGTTTCCAGTTATCAGGTTTCCTCCTTCCACTGTTCCTCTCTCAACATTGACTTCAGAGGCTGAGCCCTGACCCGTTGTACACCTACCTCTTCGATTGTTTGTCTTCGAGGGATCTTTATTTGCAAACATTGGCCTGCTATCAATAGCGAGCCTTAACTTGCCACACCTTCCACTTTCACCATCCCACCTCAGACCTACGCCGATGGTCGAATCCGTTGACGAGCCTCCTTTACGTGGTTTTCACTCATGGGTTAGGAATCTTTCATCTCCTCGAAAGATATTCGAAAAAGACGAAGAGAACAACTCTTCCTCCAACAATAACAATAACATCCTCCCCCAACATGCTGTCCACACAGATTCAGTTCGTGGTCGAACTACACCCTCAGAGACCGGCGTCCACTGCTCGGATACCCAGCCCCAAGTCGCACATGTTGTGGATAAGAAAGGAGATGGAACGCAACCTGCCACCATGACAACAGGCGACGGCGAGAACAAACCGCCCAAAGCTCCAATCCACCAACGTTTCGTTCGAGATGTGAAACGTATCATCACAGCCAGTTGGATCAACTGGCTCCTAGTCTTCGTCCCTGTCGGCATCGTTCTGGGTGCCGTCGAAGATTGGGCAGGAGTACCTATCGTGAGCCCGAGCGTCATCTTCGCGCTCAACGCTGTGGCTATCATCCCCTTGGCGTCCCTACTGGCCTTTGCAACAGAGAGCGTGGCTCTTCGACTTGGAGATAGTTGGGGAGCCTTGTTGAATGTCACCTTTGGCAATGCTGTAGAGATTATTATCTTCATCCTTGGTCTGATTGCAAACGAGGTCCGCATTGTGCAAGCCGCTGCTCTTGGTTCCATCTTGTCCAACCTACTGCTCATTCTCGGAATGGCCTTTGTCCTCGGTGGACTACGTTATCGAGAGCAGGTCTATAACTCGACTGTCTCGCAAATGAGCGCTTGCCTACTCAGTTTGAGCGTCATCAGCTTGCTCCTGCCCACCGCCTTTCATGCCGCTTTCGCTGACGACAATCTGGCCAATCGTGTCGTGCTCAAGGTTTCCCGGGGCACCAGCGTGGTTCTCCTACTGGTCTATATCCTGTACCTAATCTTTCAGCTCAAGTCGCATGCCTTTATGTACGAAAGCACACCACAGCATGTCATCGACGAAGAGTCACATCCTGGAGTCCTCGCTCAAATGCTCGACTCTTCCAGCTCTTCAAGCGATGATTCATCGTCAACTGACTCAGACTCGACTGCCGGCTCTCACAAGACTGCCAACAGAATCAAGCGAGCTCTTCGCCGCAAGCGACGCAAGTCCAGTTCGAGCACTAAGGATGAGCCAATCGGTTCGTTTACGAGGAGTACAACAAACAGCGATACCTTGGTCAACTCTCCCATCAACAACGATGAAGCTGTGGCTAGTGGTGACGAGGCTGATAGTGAGACTCGACGGAGAGGTCGAAACGGTCACATGGTTCAGACTCGGGACTTCGAAAACGAATCTGTGCAGGAAAAGCGTCACAAGAAGAAGAAGAAGACCAGAAAAGCTCGCAAGATAGATCCGGAAAAGCAATCCGAGAGTATTGAGCTGAAGGAGCAATCTACAAAACCTGTTCCCAGCATTCAAGTTGGATTTGCCGACAAGGTGGAAGAGATTCCAGATAACTCAACCACCCGCCACCATGCTCGGAACTTGACCAATGCTATCAAGCCGGTCCTCAATTCAGCCAATTTTCCGCACCACGAGGCAACTACCCGTTGCTTGGCCCCTCCCGCTCTACGACCTCTTGACCGCACCATCAGCGGCAGTGTACGTCGAGCCTCTTCTATGCCAGATATTCAGCGTCAGCAAAGTTCATTTACTAGATCAGCTTCGCCTCGACCTGCTAGTAACGCTGGACACTCGGACGCTGATGTACAGATCGTCGAAACGGTTGACCCAGAGCAGACACATTTGTCGACTACCTCGGCAATCGTCTTACTCCTTTGCACGACTGCACTTGTTGCATTGTGTGCCGAGTTCCTTGTTGGTAGCATCGATTATCTGGTCTCTACCAGTGGTGTCAGCCAGGCTTTCATTGGTCTTATCATCCTTCCCATCGTCGGTAATGCTGCCGAGCACGTTACCGCTGTCACTGTGGCATTCAAGAACAAGATGGATTTGGCCATCAACATTGCTCTTGGCAGCAGTATCCAGATCGCGTTGTTCGTTACTCCACTGATGGTCATGCTTGGATGGGCGATTGGTGTTGAAATGAGCTTGTACTTCAGCCTCTTTGAGACTATGAGTCTCTTTGCTTCTGCTTTCATCGTCGGTTACTTGATGATTGACGGACGCAGTAACTGGCTTGAGGGAACACTGCTAATCGCAGCATATGTGATTATCGCTATCAGTGCATTCTTCATTCCAACATGTGGTTTATCTGACACTAACGGTTTGGTCGACAGTCCTGGCTCATGCTAGCCAGGGTGAGAAAGGTCCTAACTCGGATGCTTCAATTTGATGTCCAGTTAACAGTTGCACACAATGGATTAGCATTAACGGCACCGCTGCTCGAAGGAATCAACGAGTTATGATACCATGCAGGGTACAGGTAGTCTGCCCTGAACGAGCTACTACAACACTCTTTTACAGACAGGCTTCATGCTTGCACAACCAGACAGGAACAGGCAATGTCGAAAGGACATTGCTGTGAGTTCGTTGTTTGCAACAGCATAGGTAGAGCAAGAACGTACATAGTTGCCGAAATTGATACATTCGAGCTTGCCTTTCAGCAGAAATACAGCGTTTTGCTTACCGTCATATTGACTAAGCGTTTTCGTGATTGAGCATGTCTGTCGTCAGTATATGTGGCAGCCAACACCGTGTCTCTAAATTGTTTCGAGCTTTTTTATCATTGTAAAACCTTCCTCTTTATCAGTTCTCATATCGCACTTACTGCCTTTACGTGATCTCTAGTTCTGCACATTGACATGGTCCTCCCATGGAACTACCGCTTTTAGGGGCAGGTGCAATGCAAGGGTCTCACCTATCTGGTAGTCGTGCATCTAACCAGAGATCTGCTTGATCCTCCGGAAATTCAATACGCCCTTGCGCCTGCCACTACAATGCTTCCTTTCGAGGCTAGGGATTACAGCGACCCTTCTACAATCAAACGTACTTCTCAACTCGACCTAATCTCGTTCGAAGCCCCTGCCTCAACGTTGGGTCCTGCTGAACATGTCGTGCACAAGTATATCAATAAGACTTTCTTGTCTTCTTCATATCGGATTGAATCAGCTTCGACTTCGTCACTGAGTACTAGTAGCCGACTTGCTTCACCACTGCTGCACGTTCCTTGATAACAGCAGTATTAACCCGGCCTCAAGATCTCGCCCTTTGCTCTCTTTTGGATCAAGATCAGGAAGTCGTTCAATATGCCTTTTTTCACATCTGTCCTCACTTTCTTCCTACTTCTGATCGCAGTACCGTTCCAGATACTTGCAGCGCCACTTCCACATCATTCGAAAGCATTACATCTACGGCACCCAAAGTCAGCAGAAAATGTACGTTTGCATCTCATGCCTCTACTTCCACCAAGCTCTTCTCACATCCGCTTCTTAGCAAACAGCCCATGCACTGAAGCGGGTCATAGAGACATTACCCATCCTCAGCCTGATGGTAGTCGGATGCTATCTAATCCACTCCTTTCTCTGGCATCTCCACATGTATACAAAGATATCCTGACCTTTGAGCTCACAATATATATAGGTTCCTGCATCACTGATCGCGCCGAGCACATCCTCAACAGCAACTACGACCTCTTCCTCGGAGGAGACGACGAATGTCCTCTCTGGCAACAACCTCGAGAATATTGAGAACGTGATTGACAACACTGTTGGCTCATATAACGGAAACGGTAACTATTTTCCAATCGCGAGTGGTAACGAGATCGGTAACGTGAGTCTCATTCTTTTTCCTTACGTTAGGTACAGTCATTTGCTGGGTATCAATGAGCCTAATCTGGTCGTTAGATCGATCTCAGTCTGCTTAGCGGAGCGCGAAGGCAAGCGAAAAGGGCGATAAAGTTAGGAAGGAAGTGGGGGGCTTGAGAGGCAGGTCTTGATCGAAAACCAGAAGTCGAAATGGCTATCTAAGTACAACGTTGAACCGAGAAATGGTCAGAACAACCGGCTTCAGGGAATTTTGCTGCGGACTTGATGTCGCGCGGTGCCGCTCTTTACACTTCACTTCGTATCCATGAATATGGCTGGCAAATTTTGGAGCTGGATTCCTCCTGTTGTACAATACTTTTAGCTTCTCCTTTGTCACAAATTCTTACACCAATTAATTAGCCTTGAAGGCGACTCGAATGAAATATGAACCCTATACCAAATCTACTTTACTCCTATTTGGTCGACAAACAATCTAGATCTTACAACGATAGTGCAGCAAATCAGCCTGACAACGAAAACAGCAGTAAGGCTAAGATAGTCGCAAAGCATAAGTTTTGATTTCGAATGCAAGCAATTCACGTTAAACTGTGTATACCTTCAGAGCTCCGTGATATCATCACTCTGGTCTACCAGATCTTCTACTATTGCCCATCTCTTTCACCCTTCTCCTGTCGTCCTCAAACCGCCTCACCAGTTGCCCTGCCTCCTCTTTCCGTCTTTGCCTCGTTTGAAATCTATAGAAATCTTCCAGACCTTGCTCTTTCTTCTTCTTTTCCTCGACTTTCTGTTTGATTGCGTCGGCCTCGTCGGTCTTCACTACACCTCTCGTGCCTCTTGTCACGGTGATAAAGCCGTCTTCATCGGGCTCAGCTCTCTTCTTTGCACTCTCGCGATTTCGGGCTTCTTCGAGCTGGCCGTAGGTAGTCATGTACTGGTCGACTAGCCGGAGTAAATCTGCACGAGGAGGAAAGGTCAGACTGCGCTGAGCCTGGTAACGTGCGAGGCCGAGTGGTGGTTGTTTTGTGGCTTCAAGACCAGCAGACCAGACTAACGACTTGGACTTTCCGGATGCGACAGCACGAGAAAGTTTGGCGCAAGCTCGGAGAGTTAGATCGCGACTTGCACGGTCGAGAAAGACGGCGATGGCAGTCGAGCCAGAGACATGTAGTTGTGTGGGTGTAGTCGAAGGCACGGTCTTTGTAGATAGCTTATTAGCAATGTCGCTTGAACTCTCTTGTGCTGGCCTCTTGCGTTTGCCTAAAGTGCTTGCGACATCTTTCTGGCTGGGCCCGCTAGGAGTTGTTGCGATCAGAGCAGAGGTTGTGCTACTGCTGCTAGCAGCATCTTGGCTAGCGAAGTGAACGGTCTGTACATGTCCACCACCTAGCTGTGTAGTCAAGAGCTGCCGTATTTGTGCCTCCGTTGCGGTGACTGGAATGTTCACCAGCAAGAGTGCTCGTGGTGATAATTCATCGGGGATTTTGGGCTCATAGGCCTTGAGGTAGATGTAATGTTCTACATCTTTACCAAGGGCTTTACTTGGGATTACCACAGGTAGCGCTGTAAACTCTCCTACTTGCACGGGTGTTCTCGATTTTGGCATGGTGAAGATAAGAGTATAAGGTCTCGTTCGCAAAACTGGAAGATGCGGAGAAATTTCGAGGTTCGCGCATGGCTATCCGCCGGAGATTAGAAAAAACGCCGGACATAAGATTATGAACAGTGCCAGTAGACATGAAGCCTTCTTGAATCTGCATCAACAACATCACCCGTGATCAAACATCATCATGGCTAAGTCAGTGGTGGAGCAGCTTTGTACAGGAGCGTTGAGAGCTCATCGAAGCTCGTCCCTACATCGCGCCACTTCCCAGCAGCGATGGCTGTCTCAGACAGCAGCAAGCCGAGCTACACCTCTCCCTATCACTGCAACAGGACCGCCCCCTAGTCCTCCTCAGCCAGCACCCTCGCATTATGGCACAAAGGTCGATCAGATGCGCAGGAAAGCAGCTGTCATGCAAGAAGCCAAGGATATACGAGCTCAGCAGCAAGGGAAAGCCAACTCGCCACTAAGGAAGCGCTTCTGGAAAGATGTACACGTGAAAGAGGCAGAGAACGGCTATCATATTCATCTCGATACCCGACCAGTACGAACCCCAACGAAGCAGATCCTCGTGGTCCCAAAATCGAAGCCACACCTCGCACATGCGATCGCGATAGAGTGGGATATCTTGACTAGTGCTCAGCAAGCACTAAAAGGACACAACATCCCCATCACAAGCATTGTCAGCCGAGCGCAGGATCTAGCAGAAGCAGAAACAAGAGGGGACATGCAAATACGGCAAGAAATATTACGGACCATGATGCGCTATCTCGATACTGACACCCTTCTTTGTTGGGCACCATCCACCTCGCAGTCAGCGCTCGATATGCAAAAAGATCCTGAAGATACTGAAACAAGCCGCTCTCTTCGTGACATTCAGAAAGAAACATCAGAGCAGATCATCTCATATCTAAACACGACTGTCTGGCCAGGAGTCGATATCAAGCCTGTCCTAGAAGAGGGCAGTATCATGCCTACCCCACAATCTGAGGTGACAAAGAGCATCATCAGTGGCTGGATCAGCGGTCTCCCTGCTTTCGAGCTAGCAGGTCTAGAAAGAGCAGTCCTTGCTACAAAAAGTCTACTCGTTGGCACGCGTCTATTGATTGAGTGGAGCGAGGAGTTCAGGGATGTGCAGAGACAGACGCAGACACGCTTTGGAGTTGAAGAGGCTGCTTTAGCCAGTACTATTGAGGTCAGGTGGCAGACAGGAGTGTGGGGAGAGGTCGAAGATACCCACGACGTGGAAAATGAAGATCTGAGGAGGCAGCTGGGGAGTGCTTTCTTGGTTGTTAGCGGGCTCAGATAGATTTCCACTCTCCGTATTAAGGACTTATTACCAAGTGATCTTGTCTACATGCTGATACCTCCTTAGCATCTTGTGCCACATCTGAGAGATGTCGGTCAGACAACATTGTGCACTTGACCCTCCCTGCGCGTATAGCAACTGCAGGTGCAGCATAGCTTCCCAGCAACAAATTGCCGTTTCATCTACTCCATTAGCACGACTACACGGCACAAGCTCATCGTTGCTTCCAACGTCGTTGGGGAATCGGACAATTTTGGGCAAATACATAAACCCAGAAAAGAATTGACGCTGAGCTCTTGGCTTCTTCAGTAACGATTTTGGTTATGCTCTTGGGGCTGCGTTGTCTTGACAAGTTGTGACATCCATGCTGAGGTTCAAGTGCTCAGCTTCCAGGACGGGTTGGCTGTACAGCCGAATCCATAGCGATGCAGGGCAGGAATAAGTGTCTAGGCACGAACAGTCCTGAGCAGCCGCTGCGAAGATACTAGACCATCGGTTAGCTTGATCTACAAGACATCTGGATCACGTTCGAACAACATGTGGTTCATCAACGTCGATTCCAAGAAAGACAGGAGTACTTTGGTCGCAGCATCACATGGTATGCAGTCCTGTCCCATCGATGCAACCTAAAGAGATATCTTCTTAGGGGATTGTTGCTTCAATGGACGATGCTATGCAGAAGGAAGGATATGTGACAGTCGCATTTATTGCTCTGACTTCTGGGCTGAAGATCTGACTCATAGCCTTCTATGCTCTCGTGGCTCAACACTTCAAATAAAGATATATCACTAAAACCACCGAAACATCCCATCCCTGACTAAAGACAGCGAGTCATTGGGACTTGACCCAACCCAAGCAGCGTGTCGAGCATGGAAGAATGTCAAAGTCTGCCAAAAGAAGCCTTGTTAGACTTTCGACATCATACGCGGAAGATCGCTCGCCTTTTCAAAATCATCATCTTCTTCTCCTCTTTTCCACTGCCTCCTCCACCTCCTCCGCGTTGTCTTCCCGTCTCCTCTTAACCCCTCGATTGTGCTCCTTCCCATCTCCATCCGCTTCCTCCTCCTCCACATTCTCCTTTACATTATCTTTCACTTTCTCCTTTTCCATCTCTGCCCTCTTTTTCTTCCGCTCCTCTTGGTGTCTGAACATTGAGATCTCCCGAGCAAACCACAAAGCTCGCTGTGGTAGTGCAACCGGTGGCTCAATTCGCTTGAGTCTACCATGCTGGTAGATCTTCACACTGCCATCTTGTTGATCCCTGAGGACTTCGATAGTCCAGGCTTCGGATGGACTTAATTTTCTCGGTCCCGGTCTATCTGTTTGTGGTGCAGTGCATATCGGACTTCCTGCGTTGGCACTGGCCATGTCTTGGTTCTGGTCATGGGTTGGCGGAGGTGGCTTGCTTGCATTGCTGTCGACTGCTGGTTTGGTATGTGCTGGACTGTCCTCTGATGGGTCGCCAGCTACAATGGTTTGGTGATGAAGGATGGATGCCTTGACTTTCTCGTAGGCCATTCTCGATCGTGTGTGTACGGTGTTGACGAGTTCCGCGAGTATGGATCGAAGAAGAGTGGCAATGAAAAGTGTATGGAGAGAGTCGAGAACGTTAATGTTTGTGGAGAGGCGGGACATATTCATGATTTAGTGCACTCTGTCGTTTGGGTGATATTGAGCGGTAGTGATATCGTGCAGTGGTGATATCAAGTGGTGGTAATGTTGAGCAAACGGGACAGTGTAGTAACTCTAGTAGTGTGTTATTGGTGGTCGACGTGAAAGAGGCAAGTGGCGGCACTACTGCTTTCCAACCCTCCTCTCTGTTCTCCTTGTCATCCTCCTAGACTTCAACCTTGACCTGCTGCTTAAGCTCCTCCTCGTCATCCTCGTCATCCTCCTGTTTCCCATCGTCCTCGGCTTTCACCTTCTCGTCCTCAACTCCCTTGCCCTTTCCCTTCTGCCTTCCGCTCTCCCTGATCTCTCAGCGCCAAGATCTCATTCACATACCACCAAGCCTGTTGTGACAGTGGCGGTGGCCCCATTCGTGTGAGCACTCCGTCCTGGTACACGAAGAGCTTTAGAGCACCGTCTATCTTTCGTGCAATGATGACTTCATGTTCTGGACCGTCTTCTGATGGTGCGCCGGTTGTGACTATTCTGTGGTATGTTGAGGATGACATTTGTTTGATTCGGGCCATCTTTGGTTTGTGTGTGCGCGTAGTTGTTGAGGTCGAGGAATGGATACTTCTTGGATCGAGGTTGGAGTGGAATTTGTCGATCGGAGTGAACGTCGTGGACGGAAATAAATAATGAAGTTGATGCTTTTGAACTGGAACATATTCATGACACGGAACGCTGTTGTGTTGGTGGTATAGAGTAGTAGTGACATTGAGCAAACAGACTGATATAGTGACCTCCGCTAGTGTGATAATACTGTTCAGTGTAGAGCAGGCACACAGCGATGCTATGTGACCAACGACGACGTGATATGACCAGACACAGGACAGACACTGTTCACAGTTGCAGAAGGGTAGATTGTGAAAAGGAGAATTACTTTTCTGCTCTTCACCGACTTGTCAAGAATCGAGCCAAGGGCTCCAGTGGAAGTGCATCTTTTGTGAGCCGTAGACGAAGCTCATGCCATTGTTGTTGCCGTCAATCAGCAAAGTTAAAGCACCATTGCACCCTCACCACCGTCGCCGCCGCCATCAACATCTTCAATCTCGAATATAGACTCCTAACCACTGCATCAAGGTGACTGTTAACAAGGATGAGATGACATCCTTTTGGCAGATATGTCCTTTCGTGATTGCAGTTAAAGATGAAGCACTGTTGTTTTGTCATGGTGTAGTAATTAGCCAGTACGCTCTTCAGGAGGATTGTGATCATCACCACCACCATCGGTTTCGTTGCCAGGGCCCCATGGACTGACATCTACGCCGTCGAACAAAAGCTTCGTAAAAGAATCACTGGTCTCATCCAGCCCTTCGTACTGAAATTCCTCTGCTGCCGGATCATGCTCGGGAATTGGGTTTAAACGTAGACGTGCTGTTCTGGTCGCTGATGATTCGATATTCTGCTGTGCAGCTCGTTTTAGAGGAGTGGAGGAAGATGGGACTATTTGAGGTGGTGCTGGGAGTTGCCGCCCGGATTGTGCTTGCTGACCTGAAGCTATATTTGAGAAAGGGTCATAATTGCTGTAAGAGCCTGGATAATCGGGACCAATATTGAAGGTATGCGTTGGCTGAGGGTCATTCGATGTTGGTGCATACATGGTAGATTTTATCTCTGTACCGTAACCAGAGTTCCAGGGGGATTGTGAAGCTGAGTCGAACACACCCAACTGTTGTGCTCGGGAGTCATAATCTTGAGGGTTAGAATACACTGCTGGGAGATCGGGACTATGCTGGTTCTGTAGTAGAGGGAAATGAGTAGTTTGGCGTGTATGCTCGGTCTGTGGCTGCAAATTCGGCAACTGTCCAGGAGATATCATCTGTTGCATTGGGAGCTGCCGGGTTGTGGACTGCTGTTGTATTTGCATCGCTTGCTGTTGCATTTGCTGACGTTGGTTCTCCGACGCTTCATACCTGCTGCGACGCTCCGCTGCTACTCTCGTAAAGTAGCTAGCCTTGGCATAATGGTACACCCATGCAGCCTCGATGGGGTCGTAGCCTCGCCTTTGTAGAGACGTTTCTAAAAGTTCATCGTTAACAGTCGAGACCAAGGCCCTAGCCAACCTTCGCCTTTCCTCTCGAATTTCTGGAGAGAAAGAATGCCCCTGAAATGTGCGAGTGCTGCGTACGAAGTCGCCAGCTGGACCACCATGGGTAGCTGCTGGAACTCTCCTCATCTTGGTCTGAATTCCAGTGGGGACTGTGGCTCCTTGTCGTTCAACCCTACTAATGACGTTCCCTCCCTGTTGTGACGAGGTTGCTTGAGTGCCTTCTTGAGTTTGCTCGGCGCCGGCATCATCGTTCTTGCCAGCAGGTGCGGCATCTTGAAGCACAACGGCTGGCACTCCACGAACTGAAGCTGCATTCACCAAACTTGCCGAGGAAGGACCTGTGTCTATCAATGTTCGTCATCAGATTACTACCAGGGAATGCTGTGTAGCCCTACCTGTTCGTCTTCTCTTGGCCTGTTCCATCGCGGGTTGTAAACTTTGTCTACTTGCCATGATGGTTAAGTATGTAGGAGATGGGTATCAGAATGGATGAAAAGTCATTCTGGCAACAGATATATCCCTCCGTGATTGTACTTTGCTGCCACGCAAGCAATTATACTGGCAAGCACCGCCCAATCTACGCTCAATTGCATACCGATTTGCACCGTTCCACAAACAGGCGACTGCTAGCCTTCCCGGCGCTGTTGCCAATCAGCAAATGGAAGCACTGCTTGTTATAGCAAATCATACTCTTTACCCACCAGCCTGCTTACTACAACCATCACGACGCTGATCGTCAGCAGCTTCATCGGTTGTGTCCATGGCTCTAAGCATCGGATTTGCTATAGAGAAGCTCGCTCGTGCTAGCCTGTCTTCATGAGCTCCTTCAGCCGCGACATTGTCTTCTGATACAGGTTCCTGAGACCAAATCGACACTTTTCTCGTTGCTGGCATAAAGCTCTGGTATGTAGACTGGTTCCTTGAGCCCGAGCCAGACAATCCTAAAGGAGGTGGCATTAGTGTTTCGGGGTTAAGTTGGTTGAATTGTGTTTGCTGGGAAGCATGAGGATCACCCTTGGATCGCAAGTGTGGAAGAGCTGGAATATACTGGCTTCGTGATGCCACGTCCTGTCCAGTGTATAGAGCCTGTCGTTGCTGTACTTCAGGTTTTTGAGGCTGTCCAGGTGGTGTCAATCGCTGCAATGCCAATTGCTCTTGACGTTGTTGTTTGTATTGCAATTCCAGGATCTCGTTCATCCTGGCATAAGCCTTCTTGTTACCCTCAAGGACATGACCCTTCTTGACACCCTCGAGGAATTGCAGAATCATGCGATGGTATTCGATCTCCGCTTCGGCAACGTCATAGTCGCTCTTTCGTAGTGCAGCATCTAGAGTCGAACCATTGATGAAAAGCCTTTCTGTAAGCCTTGCCCGTCTGGAATCTTGCTCCTGTGCCGAAAGCTGGGTCGGTTAGTATCCAACACTATCAGGCTCCAAGGACGTAGCTGGCCGACCCAAATTTATCTCCCGGACTCCTTGCGCTTTGGCTCGGTCATCAATTGATGCTCTAGCTTCGTGCAGATGTTGACGAGTCGTGAACCTATCTGCTTGGGATAGTGGAGCACCACGAGTCGTGGCTTGGCCACCTCCTGTCTCGGTACTGTTGTGACTCGTGTTAAACACGTCGACTGCACTCATAGTCGCCAGCCTTATGTGAGCTGGAGGTTTTTTCTCGGATCTAGTCGAGGCAGAATCTGCGGCTGTTAGCACTCACTACTCATATTACTCCATATTAAAATTTCAGGTTTCACCTACCTGTTCCTCTTGTTTGAGTCGGGCCTTTCGAGGATTGTGAATTTCTTTTGCTTGCCATGCTGTTGACTATGTGGAAGATAGATATCTGTAAATAAAACATCACCTCCATGGTAAATATAGCCTATCATCATTAGTGTTTGCGACAGCAAGCGACTATACTGAGAGGCGCCGAGTTGTGCCATTTGTCAATTCATACAACCACAAAATCATCCAAGCTGGCAACTGTCATGGTTGCATGACAACACTTGCTCGAGATTCAATGCATGAGATTGAACTTGCTGTGCGTTGGTATTGGCTCGCTACAGACCAAGCAGTTAGAGTCCAGCTGTGGTGTTGGGAGCAGAAGCAAGGAACACGAGGATGTGGTCAAGAATCTAGAAGTATCAAGTCAGTCGGTGAAATGGAATATGAATATTCTGCAAGAGTGCTGTGGCTGCTCCATTCCCTAGAATTTTCATCCTTCTCAGCCACGTTGTGCGGCGTGCTACAACCTATTGCAATCTCTTCAGGTTAGAAGCTCCTGCATTGCTGGAAGTCGCAGGAGCTGACGGGGAATGGCGTCCTGACCGAGGCAGAGTGGTCGTGAAAGCCGAGCTCTCGGCTGTCACCTGCTGCACCCTGCGAGTACGCTCTTCTGCGTCTCTCCGAATCCGACGTGCTAGAGCTGTCCTGACGTGTTGCCGTAGGTTGCTCGATCGCCTTGGCCGTTTGTCAACTGTCTGAGAATCAGCGCTCAATTCCTGCACAGCGGAGGTAGTTTCTAACACAGACATTTCATGCTTGTCTTCGTTCTTTTCTAGCCTAGCTAGGCTTGGGCAGCGAACTGCTTTGCCTGGCGCGTTTGGGTTGTATTTGAGAGCTGGCAAGATGTAATCACTTCGATAGTAGGCCAGGTCTTCTTGTGCTGCATGCTCCGAGGTAGTGAGGGAATCGTCGACTGTAGTATGATCTTGGTTAGATACATCAAGCCGCACATCTTCAGTGGAAACCCGAGCCTGAGCTCCTGACTCGGACGAAATAAGCCTATCTATTCGTGCTTGAAGATACAATATCGCAGCGACTCGGATATCGTAGTCAGCTTGGTCGAGGAACAGAGGGATTAAGGGTTCATCGACGTGAGTAATTAGTTCCACCAGCTCTTGTGCAGCGTTGGCAGTGATAGCCGCCGTAGCAGCAAGTGGGAACAACATTCCAGGAGCTGGGACTGCTGGTGAAATCCGGCCACGCTGACCAACACTCGGACTCTGGACATTGTCTGGCTGCGATTCATGGCTGTGGCGGTTTGTTGATCCAAGTGCTGTGCGAATTTAGCCTGTGCTCCGAGATGGAATCCTTCTGATACAGGGTAGGGCTTACATATAATTTCAGTGGTTGTCTCCCTCTCAGAATCTTTGGCATTTTGCTTGAAATCCATCTTCTTTCACGATGTTAAAGGACTTTTCTGGAACTGAGAATATGCAAAGCTTTCATGATTGTACCCAAGGATGACCAGAACTTTAATTTGTGTCGACTTGCAAACAGCAAGAACTTAGTTTGACGAGCTTGAACGTTGAGCCTGCTATCACTCATTTAGATAGTGGTCGGTCGTATTTGTCTTATCACTTGGCATGCAAACACCGGTGGCTTTGCTCATCGAAGCTACCATGCTGTTTGGTCTATGTTGGGCGCCTTCTTAGTACAGCTGGACAATACTATTGCAAGGCAGATATGATATAGCGAGATTGGATGGAACCTTCAGACATTCACATCCCAAGCGTAGTATTCTACCTCTTCAGTGAGTGTCGATACTGAAATTAAAGTTCCAGCAGGTCGTGTGACTTCAGAGCTCCATTGTATTCTTCGAAGTCTACTCAGATCTGCAGATCATCGAAATTCTTTCTCTCAATGAAGGAGTGTGCCGTCGTCCAGTACCTATCAACGATAGTGCCATAGTTGTTAACAGCTCGCCTCTTCCTAAATATTCGTGTCTTTTTCCCTGTAAAAGCTCTCAGATTGCAAGTTGTCTCGTACCTCGCAATGACATCCGTCCAGAGTCCGTGGTTGCTTGTCGCTACACAGAGGCTCACTTGTGTCCGAGACAACGATCTAGATATCGCGATGTATGTTCATGCCAAGCAATTGTGGTGCGCTTTCCATCACTTGTCCTCTTCGGCGCCGCCACTCTTAAGGGACGCACGTCTGGCGACCGTACCAATGCCGAGAAGCCTAGTTCGCTGTTTAGCTTACAAGGATTATAGAATGGATTCGTGCGCAAATGGCAGCTCGGCAAGTTCTGGATCTGACATGCAAAGTGAGGCTGGGTCTTATTGGCTAGGTGGACCCGATCACGCTGGTGCGTTGCGGAACGGTTCGTCAATCTGTTCAGGCTCTTGCATATGAGGTAGGAATATGCTGTCAAGGCTTTTCTGGTCCGAATTTTGACCATGGTGGCCGGGTGTGTGCACCGAACCTGATGATAAGGCTGTTCGTGGTTTTTCTAGGTGGTTCCTCTGAGAAACAGGTACGACAGAGTGTTGCTGCGAGGTAGGTGGTGGTGAGGCCCGTGGTAGGAAGAGCTCAGGAGCGAACGAAAAGGTAAGAAAATTATCAGAACCTAGATTGAGCTGGCCCTGATTGGAAAGTCTAACCTGTTGGTGGCTAGAATATCTGGCAAAGTGCTGCTCCTCTGACGTGGACGTTTGTGTGGCTGGCCACTGTACGGGCCGATACCTGGCGTCGCTAGCAGCCGGTAAGAACGTCATCGTGTCACTAAATCCGCCATCTGAGCTGTGTATATTCGTGCTGATATTAACCCTAGCCGGATTACTGTGACCTGTCTGGATTAGTGGTCGATCGAGTTCGAGCTGCTGCGAATGATTTTCCAGATCTGTATCAAGCCGAGCCGCGTATTTGTGTTGATAACGTTGTACACCGTGGTCAGGCATCTGAGGCTGCAGCTCCTGGATAATCTCCTCCGCGTTCTGTGAGTGCATTGACGATGGTAGTGATTCAAAAAGCTCTCTGGCGACAGCTTGGTCGTTGGCCGCGATACCACGATGATTATATTGATCAGATATAGAAGGTATTGCTTTCAATTCCTGATCGCTGGTCTGTGAAATAGTAGCTGTCTCACTAAACACAGACTGTTCGATGTGACTAGTTTGGGATTCTAGCCTGGAAATAGTGCCTATGGAAGTGCTGGTAGATGTCAATTCTCGCAGTCTCGGTACACGAAGAGTCAGAAACCCTGTGTTGGCACTCAATTGTCGGGTCTGCTTTGCGGACTGTTTCTTGGTCCTTATCGGTGGCATTGATCAGGTTGAGTAATGGCCAAGCTTGACAGCGAAGTGCCAGACATTTTAGGCAGACACGACGTGAGAGGACACATTGAAGGACCATCGCTTGTTCAGTGCTGGTTTGTGCATCGCAATGATTGTGGGCAAAGCACTGCCCGTGTCGTATCAGCAAATTGGAAGTGATTCAGAATCAACAACCAAACAGTGAAGTACATGTCTTGAGCTTAGCTATCCGAGGAGCAGCTGGTCTGGTAGGATCGTGTAGGGGCATGATGGTCTCTGGGCAGCCATTGCCGCTGTCGTATACAATTTGGCATTCAGACAGAAAGCACCTTCACGTGAAATGCCACGCTATCGTTCAGTACCACGGTTTATGCAGCACTGGCGAATCAGTGACCTCGCAATAGGTATTTCACTCATCCTGCTGATGAAGGGTGGCCAAATACGTATCGGATGCTCGGACTCTTACACCAAGACATCATGGCCTTGTGTACGGAGTGTTTAGAGCTTCACTAGCTAGTATGTCGCTCTGATTCGAGACGAGAAAGTGATGAATGCTGCCACTTCTGAAGTGAACGTTTCTCGAGGAGGGCGCGACGCGTCGAAGGAACCAGTGGAACGTGTAGGCGTGCTTTGCCTAATGCTGCCGCTTTTACTGGTTGACATGGCTTTGAGCCGGCTAAACGCCATGCCCTCCAGCGTCATCGGCAACCACGACTAGATTAGTGCTACCTCCGAAATACTGCCAGTGCAGAGCTGTTTCAGCAGCAGGCACTACCGTAGCAGCTGATTTTCAGAGAGTCAAAAGGCTCGCCAGATCATCTGGACCGTTTATCACGTCCGGAGAGGCACCAGAAGGTCAAGTATACAGACATCTCTTCGCTGATGTGCACAGCGTGAGTGGGTGCAGTTGGGTGTGGAACCAATACAAATGTTCAAATTTATTCGGCGATACGCGAATTGTAGTTACCCGTAAGCAGAGAGCATCCTTTTTGAAGCCAATCAAACAATCACAATTTGATCGAGGAATCAACTCGTAACCAAACGGGTCTCAGCCAATGGCGATGATACCGAATCTTGCTGCTCTCCCTTTGTATCCTCCAACACTGTCTTCTGCAAAGCCTCGACAGGCATGTCAACAATCTCTGTCGGTGCTGACACAACTCGACCATTATTGGATCGGTGCTCATACAGAAACCGCCCTCTAATGTGAGAGACGTCCGGATTGCCTTCGTATTGTACGGACTGCAAAATAAGCTGTTCACCCAGCCATTGTAACGGGTATAGTACTTGTCTATCCTCAGATGTTAGCAAAGCAAATACCAAGAACCAGCCATCGCCTTACCTATCATCCAGTGCCTGAGTGATAGCTTGCTTGAGAAAAGGCGCCATTCTCACATTCAACCAATCGCGGAGATTGTCTGCAGCCTCTTCATTGGCTCCGACGTGGTTTAGAGTTGATCTCATAGATGATGGCTTTTTGGGCGCCAACTTGGATCTATTCTGAGGTTCTCGTCGTTTCGCTATCTGCTTCCTCACATTCTCCTCACTTCGAGAGGTAGTCAAATTCTCTGATGCTCTAAGACTCGGCTCGGTACTCTGCTTGACCGTCGCACGCCATCGTTCGCGTCGTCGGACATTGAGGTAGCTTCTGCTTGCAAAGCACAGAAGCACTTGGGCGGTACGGAAGTGGCGACGAATACCATGTATATACACCTCTTGAGAAGCAATTATCTTTTCGTTTGATGAATACAACCATTTGCTGAAAGTGATGATTGGGAAAGCCGGTAAACAGCTCAGCGAGCTCTCGAGCTCTTGCTACCCACGAACGGAGAACTTGATGATCTGCTGGATGTTGTGGTACTGTTGCCTCTCATGGTGTTGATCAGTGTCGGATGAGCGGCGATCCGCTAAGTGCGAGCAATGTAGTTGCCATGATTCGCCCTCTCACAGCCTCTTCAAAATGCTTGTTGACATTCGCAAACGTAGAAAGGCAGCAGTAAAAGCTGAAGCAAGTGCAAGAGATCCTGCGAAGATTATGGCAGGCCTATATGCAGTGAAGCCAGCGCTCTCACCACCATACGCGTCCAACATGTAGCCAGCGATTGGTGCTCCCATAAGATAGCCGCCGGTCCAAGAGGTCACGATGGCTCCCATTGCTACTCCGACTCGAACGCTGCCGAAGATGTTGGCCACTACCGTCGGCATAATGGCAAAGAATCCTCCATTGCCCATACCATTGATAATCACGAAAGCGATAAGTGGAGCAAGTGATGAGGACACTGGCCACAGGCACAGCATACTTAAAGCGCTGATCGTTAGTGTGATGATCAAAGAGTTGAGTGCTCCAAGCTTATCGCCACCAAAACCACATGCGGTTCGGCCGACTGCTGACGCGAAATTGAACCCTGCCACGAGCGCAGCCCCCGTGGTTGGGGAATAATTGAGTGATCGTGCGTAAAGCGGCAAGAAGAAGGGTGGAACACACAAAGGAAACGTAGCAATGGCGCCAGTGGTGAAGACAATCAAGAACTTCCAGTCTCGAAATAATGACCTGTATCATGTAAGCGCATGGTAATGTGCACGGCAGGCGAACGCACCAATCAATGAAAGCAGCCGATCGAACAGGTATCCGCTCTTTCAAGAAGAACGTTAGTGGTAGACCAGTAGCAAGCATTAGGAGGCCGAGCAGTCGAAAAGTCCACGCGGTACCGAAACGTTCAACAACCGCAGACATGGACAAGCTGATAATAGCTCCACCTATACCACCTCCAGCAAAGATGAGGCCATTTGCGAGACCACGACGCCGATAGAAATATTGAGCTGTGAGTACGGAGCAGCACATGTAGCAAGCACTTCAAAAGTGGATCAGCACACAATTAGGAGAGGAGAATGGTCGAAAAATACCTGACACCATATCCCATAAGCAGGCCAGCAGTAACGAATAGGCCTCCAATATTGCGCTCAGAAAAGCCACTAAGGATTTGACCAGATCCCATACATAGCAAGCCAATCATGGCAGTCTTGCGTGCACCAACAGCAACGAGGAGTCTGGAGTTGGGCAACGCAAATGCTGCGTTGCAAGCGATAGCCAAAGAACCGACAAAGGCCAGGGTAGATGCCGAAGCGACTCTCTTCTCTATCAGGGCTGCCTGCATTACTCCCCAGGAATATGATGTGCCGACTTGGAATTGTCAGCAACCGTGAAACGGACAAGGAAGGAGAGCATCGGCAATTGACTAACCGAACCAGAAGCACAACAAACTACAGGTGGCAACGACAGCCCAACCTTGACCTCCATCCGGCACAGAGGCATCTTGAAGCCTTGAAGCTTCGACAATGTTGTCGGGACCTGCCGGTGTAGTTGAGGCTTGCCAGTCACTATCGTGACGTTCACGTGAGCTCACTTCGGGAATTAGCTCGATGGACGAGGCGTATGTAGTGGTGGTAGCGCTCATTGCAGTTGATAGTGTTCAATTGTTCAGAAACAAGTGCGAGCAGAGACGACGATGAAGATGTCAATCGTGACCCAGATTTCGGAAATCTGAGTCACTCATTCGAATTCGTAAGCAAAGTTAGAGCACGAAGAGACAGATCGACTAATTAGGAAGTTGTCCCGATCGGATATTCTTGCCCAAATTCTGGGCCATGAGAAGGCTTGTGTATTCCATAGGTAGTGTTGTCTGATATGCAACACCTTTTCGTAGACCTCAAAGTCGCCCCGAGAGAAAGTCTTGGACGCTAGGCCTGGCTTTCTCTGGATATTCGGTGAACGAGGTTAAATCAGAGGCAGTGACCATACGATCTGGTAAATGTTTGTGCCAGTAACTGGGTGACAATTGTTCTGTGAATTCCAGCTTGTTTGAACATTCAGTCTTCCGACCTCGAGTCGGCAACCATACTATCTAGAATACGTCGTATTTGTGTCGTCCGACCTTACGAGGAGATCGACAACCAGATCCGACGGGCAAAGCAGGATTGTATGTGCAGGAGTATAGCATGCTCCTGCTCTCGTGATGTTCACCAAGAGAAACCCCACGACCGCGCGTAGTATTGACAGTTCGAATCATAGGAGGATGGCGTAAAGTTGAGAAGGCAAGTGTTCTGGACGAACCTTGCAGAGGCAAATGCAGACAAGGCTTGCTTGCCAAGGCAGGGCAGCATTGTCGCTTTGTATTGACTCCCGTAAATTGCTTGGCCTCTGAACATGCTCAGCTGTGAACTGTGCGGAATCCAATGTGTGAAGAGCCGTGTTTCGCCTGTTTCTGCTCAAAGGTTAACCATCTTGGCTAGATTTCGTTGATATCAAGTTCACCTCCGTGTCGAGACAGACAGAGTCTCTTCCGACCTTATTCATACATTCCCATCGCATCGGAAAAAATCTTACACAAGGTGTGATCTCGATTAGTAAGGCATTCTCCTTCCACCTCTTCCATATCCGCCTCCTCTGTGACCACCACTCGACTCGGGTATTCTCTCGCCTCTGCGCCACTCCCCAGTCGGGATGCTCGGTCCTCGTCCCACACCAAAACCACCGGCTCCTCTTCCCCTTCCGTTGGCATATCCACCTCTGCCTAAAGCGTTGCTTCTGGGTACCACACTTCCATCCGAGAGTGGCGGAAAGACAGCACAATCGATATAGTCGCCAATCACGAACTTCGAGTCTGCAAGGGTCTTCTCGCTGTCTTCACCTCCAAGCTCGTAGTCCTTGCCGTATGAATCACCATTGCCATTGGCTACATCAGGCGCAGATATGACGACGCTGCCCATTTCCTTACTTGTATATCTGCCTCGGCCTTCTTCACCTCCTAGCCTGCCACCACGCGTGGCAGGACTAGTATCTGGATAGATCAGCCGGAAGGATAGTCGCGTGCCTATTGCTGGATCTGGCACGATGGATGGCAGAGCTGTGGTCAGCAAGTGCGCAAGTTCTTTGAGAGTACAAGAGTACCAGGTGTAGATCTGCAAATGCTGTGGAAGTGGTGGGCGTGGATTCGATGGGGTAGGAAGTGGGAAATCCACCAAGTTGTGAAAAGCATTCGAGCGGTAGCAGAAATTGAGGAGGAAGGGCGTGGTCTTCTGCCGATCGATATCTTTTGAGGACGGAGGTTGAGGAGACGGCGAGAGAGACATGCTGTGATCTGATATCGCTGCTGACCTGTCGTCAGTAGGTCAGCAATAGACGCTTTCGCATAGATCAATGAGCAAAATAGCAAGAGAAATGAAGGACTCGTATTCAACACAACAATTGAGTTTTAGATACATGCGACATTAGCTGTACAATTAATCTTCAGCTGGGCATTGCAAGAAACAATCACTACCATCCATGGCAGGAGCGTTGCTTGCGAGCATTGGCGATGCGACCAGAGGAAAGAGCTCCGGCATTAATTCGGCCACAGTCTTGGCAAGGTATTTAGAGAGCTCTCCTCAGCACGACTTCTATACGTACATCTGGAGCCTCGTTGCCAGCATCCTTGAGGTCGACAAGAACTATATCAATGGTGAAAGAATCTGACTGGAGATTTTCTCTCTGATGCTGTACCTCGAGAAGTTCAATACGAGACTACATCTACTTGTTCAAACTAAAAGTCTCATTTGCTGCCAGCCAGAATATCCTGCTCGACCGCCTCACCAAAAGTCTTCGTGTTACCACGTCCACCCATATCACCCGTAATGACTGCATCACCACCCTTGGACAGCACGTTTTCTATTGACTTGAGCATAGCTGCCGAAGCCTCCTTGTACCCAAAGTGCTCCAGCATCATCTGACCAGCCCAGATCATGCCTACAGGATTGGCTATACCCTTGCCCATGATATCCGGCGCTGACCCGTGCACAGGCTCAAAGAGTGATGGGAATTTGCCTGTTGGGTTAATGTTGCCTGATGGTGCTATGCCGATTGTGCCTGTACAAGCTGGACCAAGATCAGACAGGATGTCGCCGAAAAGGTTGGATCCAACAACGACGTCGAAGTGGTTTGGCCGTTGTACAAAGTGAGCTGTCAGGATGTCGATGTGAAATTTGTCCACGTTCACGTCTTTGTATGACTGGCTCATTTCGGCTACTCGTTCATCCCAGTAGGGCATGGTGATCGCAATACCGTTCGATTTCGTGGCGGATGTGAGATGCTTCTTCGGCCTGCTCTGTGCGAGTTCAAAGGCATATTTCAATACTCGATCAACCCCAGTCCGTGTCATGACTGTCTCCTGTATGACAATCTCTCGATCCGTACCTGGGAACATCTTACCACCAACACTGGAGTATTCACCTTCGGTGTTCTCTCGCACGATCCAAAAATCAATATCTCCTGGCTTCCGGTTTGCGAGCGGACATCGAACGCCCGGCATTAGCCTGCACGGTCGCAGGTTGATGTATTGATCAAACTCCCTTCGAAACTGAAGCAGAGAGCCCCACAGAGAGACGTGATCAGGGACAACATCTGGTAATCCCACAGCGCCAAAGTACAGTGCGTCAAAGCCAGACAATTGCTCCTTCCAGTCGTCTGGCAGCATCTTGCCATGCTTCTTGTAGTATTCGCAAGACGCGAAATCAAACTCAGAAAATTCTAGTGAAAGGTTGTAGATCTTGGCTGCTGCTTGAAGACACCTGATACCCCATGGCATGACTTCTAGGCCAATGCCATCACCTGCAATAACTGCTATCTTGAGCGTCTTAGTAGACATATTGTTCGGCTCTGGCTCTTGTCAGGGGAAGCTGTTTCTATCCCAAGCGTTTGCGTGATTATTTCGAAGTCGATATCTCTGAGGACTAAGTTATTGCTAAAGCATGTAGCGCAGATACAGGACGTTGAACCTCAGGGACTCTATATATGCTCTGGCCTCGTCTCGAAAACGTTTTGCCGAACTGCCAAGGCTAATGCTTTCTCGCCGATGTAGGAATTTAAAGAAGCTGCAGTCCTTCACTTCATTGAGGTTAAGATGCAAAATCGCCCTAATGATTGCAACAACAGCATCTGGGAAACACAGGTCGTCGCCGAGATGGATATCAGAGGAAATATACAAAGCAGCGACATCATATGGTGGGACAACCGAGGACAGCAGCTCAAAGTCCTCTTTCTCCACTCGTGGAGACATTGGACGCGTGGGGTTCGCGCTATGAGCGAACCTTGTTTGTGATACACCGATTGAAATCTTTGCTTTGTTTTGATACTTCACCTTGACGGCTTTGATTTGAGCTCGACAATGTGTATGAAACTTGTTACGTTAAGAAAAAAAGGCAGGAAGCGCTTTCCCGCTTGCCACAATACTTTCCCATAGCTCTTGCCATCCATCGACCACAGCCTTGGGTAGAGGTCCTTTCTCACATGCACTAAGCGTTGCGTTGACCTGTTCTTTCGAGCTTGCACCAAGAATGATCCCATCGTCATCATTGAGAGGCGAGTGATTCATCAGCCATCTCAACGCCGCTTCCATCATGCTCACTGAGTTTTCGTCACAAATTGTGTGCATCTTTCTGAGTGCGGCAATCGTATGATCATTTAGATAAAGGTTTCCAAATACCGGCATCTCGTGGTATCTTGAACCAGGCTTGGGTTTGAGCACATCGTCAAGCTCTTTGACTAAGAGTCCGCCGGCTAACGGGCCCCAGGCGTAGAAGGCCATCCCCAGCTTACGCAGCGTCGGAAAAAGATCTTTCTCTGGGGAACGATGTACCGCATTATATGATCCTTGGTATATCGAGGGTGGTGGGAATCCTTCACGTCTGCAAATGTCATGAATTTCCTCAATCTGAGAAGGCGATAAGTTGCAAACTCCAAAGCGCTGGTAGCGGCCCTGTTGATACAACTTTCCGAAAGCTTGACATTGCTCCTGCAGAGGAGTTTCCTTGTCTGGGCCATGAATGTAGTAAATGTCGACCTGGTCTTGTTGTAGATTCTTGTGACTCTTTGCTGAATTAGAGAGAATGTTCGCTTCTGTGAGCGAGCCAGGAGCAAATCCAGGAGCCTTTGTAGAGACGAGAAAGTCCTTTTGAGCGTCGACTGAAGCTAACAATTCCTCAGATTTGCCATCGTTGTAGACCAGGGCTGTATCGAGCTCTTTTACCCCGTGCGACTTTACCACAGAAAGAAAGTCCTTGACTTGCTCGGGAGTCGACATATTTGAGCTGCCCTTGGCCACTGAGGAGCCCATCATGCCTACTATCACTTTTGGCGCCATCGTGGTGATTGTAGTAGAGAAGTGGCTTGTAGAGTACTTGTTGATGACTCGGGTATGCTTCGAGGCGATTAAGTTTCTGAGGTTAATCATCAATCAGGAGACCTGGAGCAGTGGTGATTCAAAAGGTCAAAGTCGTGCTCTCTTACTAATCGTCCTCACCCAGTTTTGAACCTGAACCAAGTCTATTCCAAGCGATGGCATGACCTTAAGTAGTCATGGTGCCCCTCAATATGTCCTCGTCATTAGCATGATAGTTACAGGCTGAAAACATTCCACACCATCCTCCCTCAGCAACCAAGATCGGGTAAAGCTGTGACTGTGACACGAACGGACAATGAATCTCTCCATTATACTTTATGGCTGGTGGAGCGCTACCTGATTTGTTTAAGCGTGACCGCTCGAAATCGGAGGAACTGAAATTCGTTCCGCTTCACCTGTCTAATATGGAGACACAAGAAATGTTTGTGTGCTTTGTACAATACGTCGAGCACTTTCCAAGTGGTGAAGCGGCTTGCTGACAAAGCTATTAGATCTTCATCGTTCTCTATCCATCAGAGAGAGCCTCAGCTCTTCCAAGCATCTGCATGGGCAAATGAGTACTCATGCTCACGATTCAGGCAGGCCTAACCAAGACTCTCAGTGGCTGTAACTACAAATTTCATGACTGTCATGGCCTGCGCAAATGGAAATCGTTCTTTCTTCACGAAGAGATCATTGTACTAGTAATCGCTGTACAATACTTATTCCAGGCTTGATGACCTTTCAGTTGCACTTCTCAACCAGCATTTATATGTCACGCAACGACACTTACTATGCGCCAAGTTGTGGCTGTTTCGATACGGTAGGTTCATCATGGAATCAGCATCCCACCAAGCAGACCACACCTTCGAACTCAGTGGAGACATGTTCGTGAACGCTTTCAATCAAGCCAAGTATCCATCTACAGGTTGGCCAGTTGACCACTTCATCATACCTGGTGATTCTGATATCGGCCTCGATACTTTAGCATCGAGCCCAGAAGAGACGGAGAACAAGCATCGTCAGAACTCAGGCGACCATCAACAACCTGAACACACACCACTCAAAGGCTCGAATAGCAGACTGAACCCAAGGTCATGCGTGACTTGTCGGCGGAGAAAAGTGCGCTGCAACAAGCAAGAGCCTACATGCACAAACTGTATGAAAGCTGATATAGATTGTATCTATCCGCCACCAGGAAGAGCACCTCGTAAGCCGCGTCGACCCCAAGACGCAGAACTCCTAAAACGGTTGCGACGGCTTGAGAGTGTTGTCGACAATCTTGGAGCACAAGTTGACGACGAAGGTCATGTTCACGAGCTTGAGCATCGACACAACGAGAAACACCGTCCATCGTCTGCTGAAGGGCTTGGCTCATTTACACACTCACCCAATCGCCGTACAAGTCTCGAACATGGTCTAGGAAGATTGATGCTCAAAGACGGACACAGTCGATATGTAACCAACGACTTCTTTTCCATGCTCCACAAAGAGATATCCGATATCAAATGTGGACTTGACTATCCGAGCTCTGATGAAGAAGCTGATCCTCCAGAACCAGGAGGCGCAGATGGTTCAAAACGATACCATCATCACCAAGGTTTCTTGTTTGGGTATTCGAGTTTAATGCATGATATGTTGGAACTGCGGCCAAGCCCAAGTCGGATATTCATCATTTGGGAGATATTCAAGGACAACGTGGACCCGGTCATGAAGCTATTACACGTCCCGACTGTGAATCATATGATCACAAAAGCTGCAGTTAACCCCGGTCAATTGTCAAAGGCTGCCGAAGCACTGTTTTACTCGATATGTTTTGCAGCAGTGGTGAGCATGAAAGATGACCAGTGTGACCAGTTACTGGGAGGCACAAAAGATACTCTGACCGACAAATACAGGTTCGCTGTCGAACAGGCTCTTGCGAGGGCTTCGTTCCTTAACAGCAGCAACTTGATGGTCTTGCAGGCTCTGGCCCTCTTTCTAACAGTGGTAAAGTTCAACGATACCAGCCGTAGCATCTGGTGTTTAGCCGCACTAGCATTACAGCAAGCGCAATCGCAAGGTCTACACAGAGATCCGACAAACTTCAAAATCCCACCATTCGAGACTGAGATGCGTCGCAGATTATGGTGGCACATTTACCTGCAAGATGCTCGTGCTGCGGAAGATTATGGCGCTGACCCCGTATCACAACAAATCTTCTACGATACAAGAATGCCTTTAAACGTGAACGACAATGACCTTGTTTGTGATATGACAGAACCGTGTGCGGAGCGAATTGGGGCGACTGACATGACTCTGTGTTTAGTTCGTTTTGAGCTAGCAAATATGCAGCGAAAATTGAGAATCATGACAAGTGCGGAGAGTGACGACCAGAAGAGGAACAGCATAAAGGAGAAAGAGAAACTGATTGACGCGGAACACCAGCGTATGCAGGAGACATATTTCCGACACTGTGACCCTAATGTACCGTAAGTGAGCGTTCATTTACTAGCAATGCTCTTACTGACTATTACAGCATCCTCTGGGTCGCATCGACCATTGGGAAACTCATTCTAGCCAAGATGTGGCTGTTCATACATCATCCGCGGCTATTTCAAGGCGATCCTTCGAAAAATGCCGACGATCTGAGAGAGCAGGTGTTTTGTACGTCGGTTGAGGTTATCGTGTTCGGCAGTTTGCTCGAGAAGGGCAAGCATACCTCGAAGTGGTCATGGCTGTTTCATACTTACAATCAGTGGCATGCGGTTGCGTATGTGCTGTCAGAGCTGTGCCACAAACCGCCAGGTCCAGAGTACGATAGAGCGTGGGCAGCGGTTGAGGCCGTGTACGACAAGCGCATGATGGAGTATCCTCGATCACAACGAGGAGTGCTGTGGCGACCTCTAAGGCTGATGTATGGTCGAGCTAAGACGCGGCGGACACAACTGGTTAACAGTACTAGTCCAGATAGTAATACTGACACAAACAGAACTGCGAGTGCTGATGATAACAATGTGGACGATTTTGCTCCGACTGATGGGAATGGGGCTGAAAACTGGCTAGATTCGAATCCCTACATGAACGCGCTCACAGAGAGTGGTGATGCTTTCGACTTCAATATCAACAATCAGTCATTCAGTCAGGGTGGCACGATGGGGTCTAATTTGTTTGGTCTTCCAGCAGGTCAAGCAAATCTACCTCCTAAGATCCCAATGGACACATTGCCTTTCAGCTGGAACTTAGGTGTGGCAGATTACTTTGACGACTTCCCAATGCAAATTCAGCAGACTGGATGGACGCCACAGACGCAGCAGGAGTGGCACTGATGGCATTCAGTGCATATCGACCTGATACAATCAGCCAAAAGGCTGCACGTCTCTGCTTTTATCAGAGACAGAAGGGCTCCGCGAACCGACCATGCGCTTTGAGTTGTCGAAGCCGGAACGGTTGATAGTGCATGTTTGGAGATGGCAGAAGAACCTTTTGTACTCCGGTACATCTGGGACGGACAGCAAAAGAACGAGGAGAGATTCTGGCTGAGGGCCACAATTTCAGGGACCAATAACGCTGCAGCCGTTACTCAAAAGGTCCATATCGGATATCGCTTATCTCTTAGCGCAAAACTAAAATGAGTCAAGCCGTCTACCCCTGATCCATTAAGGTACTCCTTGCAGTGGTACAGTGCGACCCTCATGGATCTAGCTATGTATACTGACGCTTCGGCGTATGCAGATAGCGGAAAGCTCTCTTCTCTCTATAATGAGCTAATATTCTGAAGTCGTTCCTTCCTGTCCTATCGTTCTGTCGCTCCTTTTCGAAACATTGTATTCTTGTCACTCCTTCTAGCACACTTACAAGCGCGCCAGCTTTATATACGTCCTATACTTTCCAATGGCAAGCCTGAGGCTCGGCAGCCGGGCTGTCGCTCTCGGGTTTGTGCTTTTGAACAGTAAGCTTAACAGCTCGAATGCGGACCCAATCTGCAGACATCAGAGTACGACACGAGCATGGGGCTGATATTTGTACTACAGGTCTCCTCCTTACCACATTTGCTGCTGGTAACTCGACTAATACCACCACAATTGCCTCGAGCTCCTACACGAACAGCGATGTCAAGATTGCGATTAACGTCCCGGAAGGCGACCAGAAGACGGATTTATACTTCAATTTCGAGGCACCTGCAGATCACAAATGGGTTGGGTTTGGTATTGGCATGACCATGGACGACTCCCTGATGTTTGTGGTCTATCGATCACAAGATAACCAGGGAGAACCCACAGTCTCTCCTCGAACGACCAACTATCATAATATGCCTGAATTCTACAACGAGACGACCGTCAATGTGCTCGAAGGATCAGAAGTGACGAATGACAAGTATGTCGTTCGCATGCATTGTAAGAGTTGCAGAAATTGGGGCGACGGCGGTCTGGACACATCTGGTAGGAGACAGAGGTTCTTCTACGCGCTGGGTCCGAGTGGGGACGATCTCAAATCCGACGACTCGAATGCGCGGATCGACTCGCACCCAGGTCACCCGTCGCAATTCATGCTGGATATGGTTGAAGCGACAGGCACGAATGGTGTTCCAGCATTTGAGATGAACGATGATACCAGTGACGATAGCGGCGATGACGACGATGATCGTAGAGGTCCCTTTGGCAGTGGTGACCTGTCAAGAGGTGTTGCTTTCCACGCCTTCGTCATGTCTTTCGCGTTCAGCATTGTCTTCCCGCTTGGTTACCTCTTCTTACGACTCCTCGAAAGAGTGTGGATGCACTACAGTATCCAAGCATTCGGGACTTTGCTGGTCTTTGCAGGCGTAGGTTCTGGCATTATGGTCTCAAAGAGAGAGAACTTGGTAAGCTAGCTATTCTAAGCTGTTTTAAATTGACATGTTAACACTGTCTGGCAGTCTCCCAACATGACGCACCCTCATCAGATCGTTGGTATCGTCGCCTTCGTCATCGTCCTCGCTGCTCTAGTGCTTGGAGGAATTGGCCATGTTCACTTTAAGAAGAACGGCACACCGAGCCCCTTAATGAAAGGTCACAGGATCGTTGGACCACTCTCAATCACACTTGGCACTGTCAACGCCTGCTTGGGTCTCGCTTGGGCTGGAAGAACAAGAGCTATCGTAGGCTACATCGTCTTCGACCTGATCGTTATTGCCATAATAGGTGCTCTCCTGTTCTGGAACAGAAAGCGCAATATGCGGAGAAATGCACGGAATACACCTGCGGCACAGAACTTCAGAGGCGCAAATTTGGCAGCATACTCGCATGTTCGCAGTGGAAGTGCGAATGAGAACCAATTTTCGGCTCCTCCACCATCGTACGATAGCCACAGAGGGAATGGACATTCGGAGCAGCACGTGCCTTTGAGAAGGTTTGAGCAGGAACAGCACGGGCCGACAGAGTATTACAGTGTGCAGCCAAACAAATAAAAGCTTGATTCGGGGTGGGTTATGGAGTCATTGGAATTGGAATAGGAATAGGAATACATAGATGGTTTGGGTCAACTCAATTGGCCTCGAGCACAGTGCTTGGGTCGTTGATCGGTGCCTTGTTCGCATACGAGCCAATTTCTGAAGCAAGAACTGTTGGACCTGAACATATCTGCCCACAGAACGGGGTATTGAATATTGACCACCATTTCTTTCCAGTCAACGACGGATGACGAGGATGACGCCATAGGATCATGCCAAGCCGCCAGCATCGCTTGGCACTGCTTAAGCAACAACTTACGACTGAACGGACCCTGCACTCATCTCTCCACACGCGGCTGCACATTTCAACAACATGAGGATGGCCTACTGACACGAGTCATGTGTTGCTCTTAACTGCTGCCTTTGAGAATGTAATGCTAGGCTCAGCAGATTGCAGATTGCTCAAAGATGTGAAACCAACATATACTTTTATGAGCTGAGAAGCACTTCCATTCAGATCCACCCAACCTCATGACACCACTACCACTTCCGCAACAGCCGACATTTGAATGAATTCTTCACGTTGCTTAGCACGAACCTAATTAAGTATTGCCTCAGCGTACTGTACTTCCGACTGCCGTCATGTCTCTTTGGGAAGAACTACCTCGATATATTCACACGTCATGAGCAGCAACGTCATGTCTTTGCTAAATGGTGAATCTATCAGAATTTACTGATAATGTTTAGGATTTCGTCAATTAAACTGATATTTCTCAACCTCAAGGGAAAGAAAGCCACCTTGAAATCGTCGTAAATTCAGCACACTTCAATATGGCTCCGGATACTCACAAAATCGACGCCCACAGTCCCCCCGAGACACACGAGCTGATCACTCAGGCTGCTATCGCGAAGGCCAAATTACCATGGATTGACCTGATTCTGAAAAGCTTCTTTGGAGGCGTTTTTATCGCTATTGGCGGTTTGTTCGACCTCATCGTCGTGGGCGGCTCTCCAGGTCTGCGACAGTCGAATCCCGCCTTAGCCACCATGATTTCGGCTTTCCTCTTTCCAACTGGCTTCGTGTTGGTCATCCTCACGAACATGGAGCTGGTCACTTCGAACTTCTACACTATGACTTTCGCAACTCTGCAGCGAAAGACGACGATGTATGACCTGGCTCGGAATTGGGTTGTCTCCTACATCTTCAATATCGCTGGCGCTTTGTTCTTTACAGGTGTTCTAGCATGGTGGAGCGACTCTCTATCGAGTGACGCACAATCAACGTATGCCGTTACCCAGGCTGAGGGCCGAGTCAATGTGAACTGGGGTTACAACTTGACGCGCGGCATCGGCTGTAACTGGCTCGTCGGTCTAGCAATGTACCTAGGTACTTCTGGACGAGACAACACATCTAAAATCTTCGGCATCTGGATTCCCATCTGGGCATTCGTTGCACTGGGCTACCAGCACTCCATCGCAAATTACTTCAACGGCCCAATCGGCATGTTCTATGGAACGAACTTCAGTGTTGGAAAGTTCATCTGGGCTTCGTGTATCCCTGTCACGCTTGGTAATATGATTGGCGGGGCAGTCTTCGTTGGCTTGTCTTTCTGGTTGCTGTATGGTAGGGGGCCGGCTCTGCCGAATGAGGCTGGTGCGCAATTAGGGGGCGACAAGAGAGAAGACGGGCATATGAATGGGTTCAAGAAACATCATGATGATATGAACGGTGATGGTATGCGACATAGATCCAGAGGCGATGATATGGCATAGAAGACGAGCACTTGAAAATAATTTGATGACCCAACGAGGAAGATTGCTTTAAGCTCGAGGCTATGGTTATCTACGCATATCATAGAACTGAGCTCCGAAGCTGTTCGGTCCTAGTATATTCTGAGCCGATATGATCTATTCCGAGCCCGAATCATGACAAACCCACCCTAGCAGATTCATAGTTCTAATTCCCAGGTTTTGTGAGCAGCTCGTACTACTACAGTATCAGGTGAATTCATTCCTCACTAGTGGCCAAATAGTCGAACTCCATCAGTCTCATCCACCCAATCAATCATATCGTCCGACTGATCATTCCCAATTCCCTTGATCTCAGCCATGATTTCAGCGTCGTTAATCACCACATCGTCCTCACTCTCTTTCGCATTTTCCAATCATATCTCCAAGCCTCCACCCAGCCTCACTCACATCCAACTGTCTAACAACCATAGCCGATGCCCAAAACCGATAGTAAGCACCGTCCCTCCTATCCGGATCATTGCGCGCAGTAAGTCGTCCTGGCTGTGGTGGATCCAGTCTCCGATGATAATTGAGCGACCGCCACGCTACCCCGTTACCGTGCATCGCATTCGCAACATGATCAGCGACGTTCTTCACACAACCCCGCCAAGATTCAGCCTCCCTGGCTTCCATGAAAAGTGCTTGTCGCCGAGTGTCTTTGACGTAGTCGCGAAGCGGGTAGGAGCCGCCGAAGTAGACGCGACCTGTGACGGCGCGGAGGCGGCGGTTTACGCGCGTTAGTTGGAAGAGGGAGAGGTCGAGTGTGCTGCCGTATAGTTCGGAGTTGACTATGGTGGCAAAAAATGACTTGTGGGCGTGTTGAGCGATTATGTCGAGGACTTCGTCGGGGAGGTCTTCGAAAGTTGGCATTTTTGTACAGTAGGAATGGAGGTAGCGTTCGTGATTCGGTGGTCCTTGAAAGGAGAGATTTTGTGCGTCATTGTGAAAAGAGGCGGCGTTGTGAAGATCGAAATTGGATATGTAGGGAATGAGAAAGTATCGGATGTCGCGATCGAAGTTGATCGCAAGCCAGAAGTGCTTAGCATTTCACTTGCAAGGCTGACAGGTGAACGGAGCAGTCGAACAGAGCATGAGCGCATACGCGAAAAATATGTGCACACTTCAATGCACCACAGCAAGCTCGTAGCGTGTCACTTTCGCAAACGTCAGGACATTTGGTGAGATCTGGCTCAGAAGGCAACAGGATTCATATTAAAAGCATCCGGTCTCCGAGCTTACTTCGACGACATACCAATCTCCTCGAAGTTTTCCAGTCCTTTACCTCTCCTTGCCTTCGATCCTAGCCACTTGCCAGGGTGCCAGTAGATAAACACATATACAGCCACGACAATTGGCAAGAATTCCAGACAGCCAAAGTACACTTCATGAGTACTGAGATTCTCCATCAATCCTTCCGCAGTTTCAGCAAGTCGGAATATAGTTCTCAGGTAGACCGCCAGAGTCGCAACAAATGTAGCAGCAGCAAAGACCTTGAAATCTCGGGTTGTGGCGTTGCGAGATCGGTAGACGAACCAGACAAAAACAACAATGAAGATAGCGAATGAGACGACTTGGAATGCCAGACCTGCAAGGAGGATATGGTTTGGTGTTGTTGGATCTCTGCCGTTGCTGTACGCTGATCCGATCATGGCAGCACCTGCAACTTGAACGATGGTTGCAATCACATCGGCGACGATAAAGATCCAGAGAATAACCTTTGGCCCTAATGGTGCGAACTGTCGGCCCACGCGATTGATAGCGATAGATATTAGAGTGTAAATTGCAGCCTGTTTGTGGTTGTCAGTGATTGCTATGGTAGATTGACACTCCCCTCGTAGTGAGATAGGGTCAAACTTACGCTAAACATGACCGGAGCAACGACGATGAAGAAGTACTGAATGACGAAGAAAATCACCGAGTAAGGATTCTTTTGGGACGATAGTGTACGACTGACATAGCCAACCAGTTCCATGAGAAGACCAATCACAACTGGGATGAAGTACCAGGTCCTATATCGAAACAGGAGGAATGAGTGCGCTATCAATGCAATGATGAACAGTGCCAGAGCCAGACCACAAACAATGATTGAAGGCGTATAGCCATAGATGATGATGCAAGCTGAGCCAGAATCGTTAGGTCGAGGGAAATTTGGGTCGACGTAGCCTCCTCTGGCAGCAGCAGCTGAACACTCTCGTCCTGACATGTTGGTCGGTAGTCGTCAGATGTGTTATCTATGCTCAGGTTGTTTCAAATAGTATCTTGTAGATGTTAAGGACGCAAACAGTCTGAAGCCGTGAATCTGACCTGCTCGGTAAACGCGTTCAAACGCGACGGGAGTCTGCTGATGTTGTATTGGATGCTGCAATGCTGGTAAAACTGAATGATCGACCTCACGAGGCGGGACCTGGCACTTTGTAATCACGGTTCCACGTGTCGGACGTCCAGGGAGTCAGAATAAGTCCGAACGAGAATGAGCATGGTAGAACATGTATCAACGGTTCATCGCGTCAACGGATGCTGAGATTTTGTCTTACATTAGAGTCTTGACGTGCGCCCAGCTCAGCCACGGCATCGAATACGAAAGTTCTTGAGTGGGCCCAATGGAATTGCATGAACTGCAAACGCGCTGCTCATGAGCATCTCCGTACTCGCATCGTTTCACCCTTTAAGCTGATGTCTGTGAAGTCTATGTTCGCACGTTTACAGGACCCGAGTTGGAACAATGATATCTGGGAAGAGATTATCAATGACCTTCCTGTCACCCTTGCGATGAAACCAATTTTAGATTGAATTGCTCCAGGAAAAAAAAAGACACTCCAGAATGTCGGCTTCCGGGGTAAGTTAGCGCCGATAGTGGAGCTTGAGCTTCCGTGGTTGCTCAAAGCTTGGCCCTGAAGAGGTTGGCAAGACTCCTTGCTGTGGTATTATTATCACGGACATCCGACATTCAAACGTCTCCTTTCTCCTGCATGCTTTGATTCTGATATCCATCAGCATATCGAACGCGACACTTCCCAGAGCTTGAGATGGGTGCCAACTCGACTATTTGATAACCATTGTTATGGAAGCATCGGGTCTTTGTGTGACTTATACCTTGATGAACCAAGGGTCCTCGATGAAGGGTCTGTACATCACTACTTTGCCGGCATACTCTGTTCGGTCGTGCCCGTTAACTGAGTCTCTATAACCGTTCTCAACAAATGGTCAACAGTGGCCCGAGTTGAGTTGTATGAAGACTCTTTGATGTTGTCCAGACTCATGTTATGATACCATCGTCTTTGTCAGTTGTCTGCTATGGCTCAAGCATCTATCACTTCTACAAGGATGATCGACATATCACAATTCGAGACCATCAGCAGCAATGCTCACCCAAACCCACTGACTTACTAATCTTGTTCTCTAGTCTTGTGCACGTATAGATAGACCTTCAAGCAACGATGGCAGGAAAGGAAGAGCTGAACAGTGCGACGTGCTGATTGTGGTGTGGTTGTGGCCGATCGCGGGATCAAGATGGTGCGTGATGGAGGCAACATCACCAGCCGAGGAAGTGAAGGGCACATTCCTGTGTACCACTAGTGTCTACTAATGCATTAAGACTCGGTAAATGGTTTGCTTCGTTCTCACGCTCGCAAAACGATCCCCTCGGAACGTTTAGGATTGTCGATCAACTATTGTACATGCATCTAAGGAGCAATGGCGTTGGATTGTCCTTTGGTTCGATCGCTACTTCCTCATCTGTTGATCAACCTCCTCCTCAGCCTTAGCAACAAACATACACTCAACCAATTTCCATTTCCATGGACAGTTACCGCGCTCCACGCTGCAACGACTTGTCTAGGCAGCTATATCCTGTCCCATCGACCTTCGGTTGACGCACAACCGCGAAACACACCACGACTCTCATACACAGCGATTCTACTTTTCTCTTTACTCTTCACCATCAACATTGCCGTCTCCAATCTCTCGCTCAAAGTCGCCTCGCTGGCCTTTCATCAGGTTGTACGATCTACCTCTCCTCTTTTCGTCCTCCTCATTCAGCGTCTCTGGTCCAACGTATGCTATAGTCATGATGTACACCTAGCAGTCTCCCTGATGTGCCTTGGCATTGTTCTGACCACGGTGGGCGATTTCTATATCACAAACATCGGCTTTCTGCTCACTGTGCTGGGAACAGCCCTTGCATCTGTCAAGACGATCGCAACGAACATACTGCTAACAGGATCAAACAAAGTGTCACCGACTGACCTGCTGAAGCACACATCTGCACCTGCAGCAATTGAAGCACTAAACTTTGCATACCTTACTGGAGAAGTCTCGCAGATCCGTCAATCCTCGTTCTCAAGTCATATTTTCGTGGTTGTCGGGATAAATGTTTTGCTTGCCTTCCTACAGAACACGTTTTCGTTTCGAGCAAATCGAGCTGCTGGACCGTTGACAATGACTGTGGTGGGGAATCTGAAACAGCTCGCCACGATTGTTGTGGGTGTATTCACTTTCAAAACACAAGTCAGCCTTACTGGAGCTGCTGGCATGAGCATGGCATTAGGTGGGAGTGGGTGGTACTCATTCTTGAGCATGCGAAACAAGGGTGAAGTCAGAAGGCAGAAGGAAGAAAAGAAACAGGAAGAGGAAGATGTGCCACTGGTGGAAAGTCAATCTCAAACGACCAACAACGAAAGCGGGAACTTGGTAGCTAAGTCACTGGTCTGACATGGCATCAGTCCGAGAGTATACACACTCCGGTCAAGCCTCTCGAATACGAGTGTGCTTGAAAAACACATTTGTTTGTTCAAAGGCGTGGACACTTCCTCCTCATTTCGGTGGACTGAGAATGAACCACTTCCCATCCCAACCAGCAAATACCTCCTTGACTAAAATCTCTGTCTCTTCCCACTTAACACCGAAACTGCCCGAATTGAACTGTGGTGAATAAATATCCAGCTGCCGACCTTGCTTCTTTGCACCCGCCCTCGCATCACTCATCTCCACCTCGTCACCACTCAGAACACCTTCATTCTTCGCATCCTCACCGCCCTTCCCATCCTTTTCTCTCATCCCCTCAAGCTGCCCTCTCAAATCCCCCAACGCCCCTCTCGTCTGCCTCAAAATCACCGCCTTCCCATCCTTCCCTGCCTTCCGCTCCGTCGCCCTCCCATACCCATAACTCGTAAACAAACACGCGACCCATACTTCCTTCCCGCCGTTTCTCTTCGTATCAGCATCCAGTGGCGGGATAAGTAGACACGTCCCGACGAGTTTTTCTCTCTCTGGCCAGGAGCGGGGATCAGCTCGGAAGGAGTCACAGTGAGTAGTGTAGATGGCGTTGGCGGCGGGGAGGAGATGGGCTATGGCTAGGGCAATGCCAGCGCCCCATTCGCCGAAGCAGTTTGTGCTGTGGAGGAGGATGGTGTCTGAGGGGAGGGTGGAGAGTATGGTTTGAGTGGGGAGGAGGGTGAATGTGGATGAGGGTTGTTGTGGTGTCGTAACATTTTTCCTCTGTTTCCTGGGTCGATCGAGATCTTGAGTCGTAGTGGGTAATAGGCGTTTGGTACTTTTAGTGCTGGGTTGTGACATTTTGGTGATTTCGACGTAATTGTTGGATGCTGAGAAAAGCTGTAGTATTGGAGCGATACAACGTGTTTCGGGACGTCAATTCCATGCAACACCGAAGAGCCAGTGGAATCGAGAGTAGTCGTCAGGAATTGGTCAATTGAAGTTGTCTACGAACCTCGAATTTGGACAAACGCAATTGATAGGTGTTAGCAAAGATGTTTCGGCCGAGGAGTGCAAGTCGTGGTTAATGGAAAGTGAAGAAACACTTCACACTGTATGCACTTTGCCGTAAATGGCGCGGGAACAGGTGTGCAAGTAACACGCCGCCGTTGCAGATGTTACTACTATGTATCACTGCTATTACCCATATCATCTGTAACGACTCTTCAACCTCGTATCTAGGCAGCACTGTAAGCCAAGAAATGTGGCGTTCTACTCCAGCCCATGCTTTGACCGACAATAATATAATACTATGCTGTGCTCTTCCAACCGTTGGAGGACGTATTCGCTCGATCGGCTTTCTTGTCATCACCACGATCCTGTTCAATACAGAGTTCGCTGTATTCAACAAGATCTTCCACGATATGCAGCTCCTCACTTCTTCCAGAAGGACATAAGGCTCTTTTTGCCCCTCATGATCCTACCAGCAGAAGAAAAAGTCCTTTGCGGCTTTTCGGTTTCTTTTTCGTCTTCACACTCGAACGGATTGGTAGCCGGGAGTATTGGTGTTTGGGATCGACTTTGTTCCATATCACCAAAGTTTTCTGCCATACTAGGCATGGTTGAACCTCGCTTCGTCCGGTTGCTCTGGCGACTCAGCACGCTTTGACTTCGTTTGTCTTCTGCCTGAAGTACCTCGATCTCGTCCTTCACAGTCGTTTTGTTCGAGCCCAACTCGTCTTCTTGGACAGGATGAAATTTTATGATGCCTCGGTTGACAGGTATCTGTAAAGCTTCTGCTAGGAAATCTTGTACTATCATGACGGTCCGCAGATTTTTGGTGGCTGCAATCTCTGAGGGCATGGCAGTGATCGCCACGAGGTAAGCTGGTTCTGTAGAGGCAGCCATCATGATATGGACATTCGGTCTCGCGACAACCATGATATTGTTGGTCGGTTTGTGGTAGATCTCGGAGAGCGTCATTAGGAAGTCGTTCAGAAAGCTTTGTTCTGTGTCCAGCTGTTCACAAAATTTAGCAGTGACCAGCCAGCTTTGACCAAGACGTACACAGCAGTTGTATTGAAATTCTACCACTATCAAAGAGTCCCTCGTGACACGCTCCTTCGCCGAGTAATATGGTTCCCTGATTGCAAACGCTTGATCAAAGAATTGACTGTTCTTCTTCGAAACCTGGCCGCTTCGCCATGATTTCTCGACTTCGTTGGAGCTGGAAAGACCAGAGTTGTGCGCTCCGGAGACGCTGGACCTGAGTATTTCTTGACTCTTGTACTCCTTTACGGCTGGTGAGGATTTACTGATTCCAAACAGCCGACCAGGAACAGGAGATTGACGACCTTCGACTGGACCTTCGGAAGCTCGGCTCGGATTTCGTCTTGGAGGAGTTGGAAAGGCATTCTCGAGCGGAGCAGGTTTGATTCGGCTCGCTGTTGAAGGTGTACCGTTAGCGAGCTTTGAAGGGGTGTCATTGCCGGGCTGCTCGATTGTGACATTCTGCTCGTCTGGAGGCATAGCCGATGGTGATCTGGCGGGACCGACCTCCTTGACTTTGTTGGCGACCTTTTTCCCAAATTTCTAAATTGGATGATAATCATGCACGGAACCTTCCATATGGTGGACCAGGAAGCGATGAAGAAGTAGAGGATAGACAGGTCACGACCAAAAACGCGGACAAAGGTGAGCAAGCGATTGAGCTCTCCAAAAACGTGAGCTGTACTGGGACGTACTGCCACCAAGAAAAAATGTGAGATTAGATATAGAGAAGCCGACGGGTTTATGCTGCTTGCCGTGGCAGGTCCATCCGTCGCATCTTACCTTCCTATTTCAATGGTTGACACTCGAATCTGACCGAGAAAGGATGATGCAGTCGCGATCTTGATACGGCAGACACATCAACATCGCCGTTGCTCGGTAGGAAATCGAATTCGACACATGTAGCGAACAATCTTCACTACTACTAAATTGTTCGATAAAGAGTCGCTGATAGCGCTGACTCTGCAGTACATAGTTGCCTTATGGTTTTGCTTTGTTTGATCCAGTCACCTGTGTTTCTACGCGATCTGTTAATGGTGAAGGTCATACATCGTCCAGCACGTTCAATCCTGAGATATGACGAAACATTGGCTTTGTTCGTGAAAGAAATCGTCCCCTATGGAAAGCAGCGAAGTTGAACAGTACTGGAGTAGCCGTACAGACAACATGCATGAGCTATCGCCTTTCGAAACGACTTGATCTCAAATGCTCTGCCTGACAATATTGCCGACAAGCTCAAAGTCCTGTGAACACGAACACATGGCTGAAGAAACTGCATCAATACTAGGCAGAGCAAGCGAGCACTTCACAAGCAGCGATTTGGTGGAATCCTCCTAATTGAGATCCAAGCTTCTGATTGGCAAGGAAAGGAGACTCACGACCACTGATTGACGTCAGCAACAAACGCCATACAAATTCATCGACATCATTTCTCTCGCAGAGGAAGGAGCTAGCGGAGCTCGCAACTCCTGCAAGCGTGAGGTCATTCACCATATAATACCAAGCTCGTAAATACTCTTACTCCCTTCTCTAGCACTCCAAATTCCAAACAAACTATGTCCCTCACACGATTCACCAGAGTTCCAGCTCTCAGACAAACAACCAGACAATTCTCCGTATTCACATCCAGTATGTACACGCCTCTGCAGGGAACACGCGAGCAAGCACAAGAACTGGTTCTTCCATCAAGGACGAATCACCACTTCTGAACCTGCCACCAGCTTCCTGCCACCAGCTTCCTGCTGCTCATCACCTACTCAATGATTTACTAACAACGTCGCAGGAATGGCCGACCAAGACAAGTCAAACCTCGACGCCAAGCAGCCAGGCACAGTCGGCCGTGAGTTCGAAGCTGATGGCAAGATTGGTCAAGTCGGAGAGAAGGTTGGAGGACCATTCTCCTCGCAGGGCTCAGTAGGCTCTCAATTCACAAAAGAGGGCGCTATCGGTGGCAAGGCACAAGAAGCCGCTGAGGACAAGAGCGTATTCCACAAGGATGGCGCTGTAGGCAAGGAGTTCCAGCCAGACGGCAAGATTGGTTCGATCGGTGAAGCTGTCGGTGGTCCATTCAGCAGCCAGGGAGCTATTGGCAAGCAGTTCACCGACAAGGGATCTGTTGGTGGCACGATCCAGGACCAGGTCAACAAGAAGTAAGCGTTTTGCTAGCACAATTGGAACACCGGAGTATGATCAATACATGTGACCCGTACAAGATCACATGGTGATGGCTTAGACCAGCGTCTTTCTACGGGATGCAGCTAGTTGCTCGAACATTGATTTCGGAGAAAAAATGACTGAAATGACATTTTCGACCACAGACACGGTACATTTTCTTAGTGCCATTTACTTCACTTCGTCTTACATACTATGATTGAATGACACGATGCTTGTTCTGTACAGTCAGCGCCATGAACGCTTTCAGTAGTGTTACCAGCACAAATGGATCATCTCCGCCACTTAGCCTTCTCACCTCCCCATCCAACCACCATCAATATCAACAATCGTCCCACTCACATATCGACTAGCATCACTCGCCAAAAACACAACCACGCCCTTGAAATCCTCAGGCTGACCCCATCGTCCAGCAGGTATCCTAGTCAGGATACTCTTCTGCCTCTCTGTATCCTGCATCAGCGCCGTATTCATGTCTGTGTCTATATACCCTGGTGCAATAGCATTCACATTAATCCCCTTACTCGCCCACTCGTTGCTGAGCGCTTTCGTGAGCTGGCCGATTCCACCTTTTGAAGCCGCGTAGGCAGGGACGGTGATTCCGCCTTGATAAGTGAGTAGGGAAGCCACGTTGATTATGCTGCCTCTTGATTTTCCGGCTGGTGGTTCTGGTCTCGAGAGGAGGTAGGCGCCAAAGTCTCTGCACATTGTGAAGACTGTTGTCAAGTTCACCTGCAGCACGGTGTTCCAGTCATCATCTGGGAATTGGTGTGCCGGATGTCGTTTCTGGATTCCCGCACATGTAAGCAGGATATCCATGCTGTGGCCTGCCGCGGCGAGGTCGGGTATTATCTTCGCGACTGAGGCTTGGTCTGCTAGGTCTGCGGTTGCGATTGTGCATTTTCGACCGAGGGAGAGGATCTGGTCGTGCGTCTTTTTGTTTGAGTCGTCGCGCTGGATGAGGATGATATCGGCGCCGGCTTCGGCTAGGGCGATGGCCATGGCTGCGCCGATGCCTCGTGTGCCACCTGTAATCACGGCTGTGCGGCCGGACAACGAGAACAGGTTGTCGAGGGCGGACATGGTGGGCTAGAGGGTGCTAGGCTCGTGAGGTTGACGGGTGTATGTATGTTGTTGTTCGGATGTTCGAGCTCAGCACTGTTCAAGGTGGCTCGAGTGCAGGTGCAATGCCTTCAAGAGCAGATCTTGAGCAATATCGATCTGAAGACATTTTGTTGTTTCGCTCATGAGGAGCTTCTACGCGTGCGTACCAAAGCAGAGGAAGCAGGTGCGCAACTCGCGGCGTGCCTGCCGTTTGGGGAATGTTTCGTACGTTCTTGTCTGTTCTGCAACTGCAGGTCGCCAAGTGCTTTCAACCCCCACGCCATCGGCGACTGATCGGCTATCGAGTCGGAGATGGACCAGTGCTCGCCGAAACGTGGTTCCGCGGTGTGATGTGCGTTTCGAAACACCTCCAAGTGTGTGTTGTTTCTTCGAGAGAAGTCACGCATTGTTGCACAAGGTGAAGACACCAGTTCGTAAGAGTGCAGTGTGACGGTCTTGCACAAGTCAGTTCCACAGCAAAAGTCTGGTTCCCCGAACCACGATGACCGTGTCAAGCTGATACAGAACACATCAACGGTCGTTCTCTGGTGTCATCACATGTACTTTCTCTGCTTCGACAACGGATCGAAGGTAGTGGATTGATGTGCGACGGCAACACCAACTTTACCAACTTCTCCTCCCTTGACGTCCACAATCTTGAGTTTGTAGTCCTGGAGATGCCTTGCTCTTTCGATACCCGACATTGTGCTTCCACCTGGTGGGACAGGGACATGAGGATTGTCTCTAGTCAGGGAGCTCACGTAGCCAAAGATATCTGGTGCCAGAGTCTTTTTGCGTAGCCAGAAAGAGTATGCTGCAGCAACGAGGAGAAGAAGGCATGAAAAATAGTCGACTGTAATCCATGGCCAGTAGATCTCGTAGCGCTGATCATATATGGCACCGTGGACAGTGATCGATTCCCAACCGGGGTATGACCCAGACAGAGTCTCAAAAGGTATGAACGCATTGAGTGCAACGTTCCAGTAAGTGTTAACAGCCTCGGTCAGCGCATGCGATACCCTGAACAGAGTATCTTCCCTATACTCCTCCATCGTTAGGTTGTACTCCTTAAGGTCCGTTTCAGTGACATTGGCGTATTCAATCAAAGACCCCTGACCAGACCAATACTGTTCGCTGTTCATGCCATAATATCTCTCATCAGGCACACCAAATGACCAGATGAGATTGCTCAAGAAGGACGAAGCAAAGGCTGGCTTGCTGATAGGAGTGTTGTAGAGGTCAGTCAAGTTGACATGCAGGTATCGAGCCTGCTTGACTAAACATCCTGTGTCCTGGCAACTAATCCTCATCTCTACTCGCGGCCTCGTCACATTGCATAAGACTCTCACAGAACCTGCTGGCTGGTTGTTGAAGAGGGGTGCAGAGTAGCCGTACTCAGGGATGCCGAAACCGTATGTAGAATTCCAACGTGCCCAGAACTCAAGCATGATCGGTTGAGCAATGAGTGTGGAGGAGTCATCTGCCAAAGCCGAGACGTTCAGGGCAAGCATCATGTTAGGCACAGTCCCTATGGGGAATCTTTCTATAGGAAACACATCGATGCTGCTGCAAGCGAGTTTCATATGATTTGCTTTAAAGGTGTAGTCGCCCACGATGCGAGTATCGGACCAATAAGTGTCCACCACAGTCTTACCTTCGTCAGTTCTGTAAGGCCGACCAGTATAATTGACAGGGAGTGGTCTTCCAGCTCGAGAAACATAATAGAAATCGGAAGGTTTCACTTTCACCCAATCAAAAGCTGTTGATTTCATCCAGGTCGATTTATCTAGGTCTGGTATGAGTGTTTGACCGGTGCCGTCGAGACCGTCAGATTTCCCTAGCTTAGCATTACGCCGACTCGACTCGTAGGCATCTGTCATGGCATTATTTAGGAACGGTAAAGCGTCGGAAAGCGTGCTGTTGACATCGTTGACAAGGTCGAACTGTGAACCAAGGTCGTCAGTGGGATAGATCGCAGCTAGATCGTGGTATGGCGCTGAGGGGGCATATGCATATTCTCGCTTGCTTGCCTGTATTTCATTAGCTATGTATCTGCATTGAGTCACATTAAGGTCCTACCTGGCTGCCAAGATAGTAGAAACTCCAGACAGCGACCAATGCGGCGCTGAATTTGGTAAACTTTCTCAACGAGAAGACCATTTTGATCGTGCTTGGCAGACTGATGGAGGCTTGAAGCTGTTCAATGTCTGTGATGTAGGCCCCTTCTTGGGCATGATACAAAGCCAGTCTTCGAGTCATAGTCGTCATGATAGTGACGAAAACGATGGTGAAAGCTGTAACAACCTAGATCTGTGATTGGTTCCTGCTCCTGCGATCCAGAGACTAGGGGACACCCACCTGCTCGTTGAATTCAATCAGGAAAGTGGTCAATAGCGATATTTGATCAAAGTAGTAACCAGTATTCTCCCTATCCCACGACCATGCCACGATGCACAACGTGGTTTTGGCAATGAGAAACAGCGGGATGAAACAGAGGAAAGCGTCGTAAGCGTTCATCATGAACTCATATTGATGATCTTCTTGGAGTCGTCCCGGTTCTGTGGGCCAGTCGTAAGGCTGGTACGCGAGTGTGTTGCTGTACAGGTCTTGACTCCCCTCGTTCTCGTCCTCGATGCTTCGCGCCGTCACTGGAGGGTCTTTACGGTCAAGCATTTCATATGTCTGGTTATTAGACAGCATCGCGACTGGCCCATATAGCATGATGTCTGCTCAGAAAGAGGTCCGATAAGACGTCACCACATGAGGAGAAGGTGGCCTAATACCAGTGGTAATGTATAGGGTATTTGTGCACATCTTGTTGACCCCTAATCTTACCAGTAGCTCGAGATACACGATAACAACGATATGCTTGCATTCCCGTTGCAGCTACTTCCAGTCGCCATGGTGGCTTGCCCAGCGGGCTCGTGTGCTTGGGAGAACAGCAAGCGGCATCCAGCTGAGCAGCTGTGAATCTCCACGCACGGTCATGAATGCGGTCCAGACACAAAAGAACGTGAGAAACCTCCGGAAAGCAGGCTGAGAGGACGGAAAGGAGGAGATCGTGGGAAATTGACTTTTGAGATACAGACATTAGTGCGTCGCGCCACGTGCGGCTTCAACCAATTGGGCATGTTCCTTTTACCGCGACGTTCTGATTTTGGAAGTTTCTCCTGCTTGGCAAGGACAGGGTGCAAGCTGAATGGGTCTCCTGCAAGACCAGCCTCAAATTCAAGGGTTCAGAGAGTCAGCAACCGCAACAGCCATGGCGGATACAAGTACTAAATCAATGTGAAGACTAACACTGGATGGGCCACGGACTGTACCGCGCCATAACTGATCTCAAGAAGCCTGCTACGGATATAGCTTAAACAAAAGACACAAACTACAAGACAGTGCTTCACACTGAGCATAGGAATCAATGCTAACACTAGCATCCCCAGGCCAGTCGTTCGGTCGTGACTTTTGTTTCACGTCAGGAGAATATCTTCCACCCAAGTTCCTACTCACTCATCTCGTTCAGGACATCTCGTAACCGACCACAAACCTTCTGGAACCCCTGGGACAATCGTGTTGGTGGTAATTAAATGTCGTTGAAACTCGTACCAATCTGTGCATTGATACGTGACTTCAAGTAGTACTGCCTGGACTACACCATTTTTTGATGTGCGAAGGTCGTGTAACCCTGACAAATAGAGCAGATCACATACTGAAAGCGCCATGATCGGTGTTGGTCTGCACTCCAATATCCTGACCGCGAACCTCGACGCGTAGCTGAATCTATCGGCCACAGATTGCAGCAATTAGGATACGGATAGCAGTTCGGCTCAGCACTTTGCCGAGTATACCAGACATAGTTTCTACCTGCAGGGTGACCGGTAGAGTGATCCTTGATCTGATCGCCCTCCAAACAGCAGTATGGGAACGATTGTACTCACGAGCGCATGTACTTCTGGGATAGGTGTAGCACGTCTTGCATCTGTGGCCGAGCAACGTTTTGGGTTTGCTTTAACCAGTCTAGACTGCGATATTGAAGCTGTGAGCACAGGCATGAGAACGCGATGCTGCATAGATTTGTTTACTGGTATTACTTGAGCGCTCAGCTTCTAAGCTCGGCTAGAAGTTCTAGTGTGCTCGTAGGGCAGACATGGACACGACGGATTGACGCGTTACTCCACTGTCGCGTAATGTGAGTTGGACTCAGGAACCATTACGCGACAGTGAAGTCCTTACCAAATACTTACTATCGTGGCCCCGGGTTGAGATCCGTCTACAAAGAGACAAAAAGCCTCACAAAATGTGCCGGTAGTTGGAATCTCATATAAAACGGCACCACTTAAGCTTGGAAGCAATAACCGCAATGCATCACACAATCGTACGACAGCAGTGCCTTCGGGCCATACAGTCTCAAAACATAGCACTGAAGTCACACGAGGTCGTCTCGATTCTTGAGCAGGATGATTGCAGGAGCTCATACCTTCCATAACGACGATCGGTGAAAGTCCGGACATGACATTGAAAATGCCAGGCCCTTAAAGACATGCCTTTTGTCCGTAAGCTGTGTGGTTGGTATGAAGAAGCGGCATTGGCAGCACTCCATCAGCTCTTTGGACAGAGACCACCAGTAGACTTCTAGCAGCTAACACGAACTGCAGTGATCAAGCTCATGTTGTGCCTCAGGTTGTGCACCGTTGTCTCGAGACTGCCGGACAATGCCATGTCACCTGTAGACCACGAACGACTCCTTGCGACAGGTAAGGCGTATTTTGCAGAATCTTTTGTGGAACATCAAGTCGTCCTCGTATCACCACAACATTGCATCTCCATCCGTTATAAGCAGCAATTCACTCTTTTGTGTCTTTAAGATCTCAGGCTTGCTTTAATTTACCAAGAGCGGACAGACAGGCGTCGCGAAGATAAACAGTGGGCAACGAACAAAGGATACAGTCAAGACCACTGCAGCTATGGACGAAGGTATGCAAACGAGCTTGATTGACCTGCTGCGGCAAAACATCAAGATTCATGGTCAAATTATCGCGAAACTCGAGTCATCTCAAGCTGCGGCCAAGATCGACACCGCTGTCGAAGCGGACAACAGTTCGACACGTGACGCCAGTCCTCCTGTTATCGTTAACGCGGTGACTGAAGCACCGTACGCGACACCATGACGATTGCGCAGAACTGTAATTGACTCATCTCTAGTTGCATGGAGGAAGACGAGGCGGTCTCACGGTGGAGCGAGGCATTGAAGTTCGAGAAGCAGAAAGTTGAGCAGGTCAAGACACAGCTGCAAAAACATCCTATACTCCAGATGCGTGCTTCTGTGTTGCCGGCTGATTACGAATCACAAGTAACGTACAAGGAGTTCCAGAGAGGTCTTCGCGACTCGAGACTCGATGAAGATGTTCTGTACCGCACTATAAATAGCTCTGCAAAGAGAGCGTGTGAAGAGACAGACTCTGTGTGGAAGCATCTTACTTTAACGGAGTGTGGCGAGGTAAACGATCCTACGGTAAGCTGCTTGTGCCAGTCTCGTCTGAGGGACAACAGATTGACGAAGTCTTCAGCTTTTCTGCTTCGAGCCGTATTATATTAGAAATTTGCGATTCAAGATTATAGTCATGTAAGCTCTCCTGTTTCATATGTCCATCAAAAACTCATCTAATACGCCTCCGCATCTGCAGTAGTATCTCTTCGAGCAGAGGTTGCTCGTCTTATCAACAAATACTGCTCCTGTCAACTCATCTCATAGGTGCCTGCGCGAAGCACCAGGACCAGTTCGGTTCAGACGTTAATTCTTGCTCCTGGCTGATGGAAATGGTCATCTCGTTCCTTGCATCATACATGATGCCTCAGCATATGCCGCTTCTTGACGCCTGCGACTTCGCTCTTCACTATGACCGTGGAACTTCGGCGAATCAGACCTCCCATCACGAGACCTACGCGCTAGCTGTCGTGAGCCTCCGCCATTTCTCGATGGCTGGCCACATGGATCAGGATGAACCATGTCACGATGTTTCTCTACATCAATGCGGTCGACAGCGGAGTACATTTTCAGCAGTGCTCGCCCAAAACGGGAAGGATGGGCTCAGACTGAAGATGGACGTGAAACACAGTTTTACTTCTTTTATGTTGAAGTTCTACCTGAGTAGGAGTGCGGCTTGTTACACTATTGTTGCGCTTTCCGATGGCTCTGATCTCTGGCTTGAACAGTCACCCTACATAGTCAGGGAGACATCCCAGTCGACGTGTCAACCAGTCCTAGCAGGAGTCAAGACCTTGTGCCACTATATACGCAACCATTGCTTAAGAGTCGTAGCAGATTGGAACGAGGTAGTTCAGGGGACCGAGATCGGGATGGACCTAAAGGTAAGTTAACCATAAAATCGATAAAGTGTTCGGTCACAAGGTAGCTGACCTTGTGATCTTATCAGATGGTCCAGATTGCAGACGACGATTACATGACTCAGATCATGTTCGATCATCCAGATATGCAGAGGTCAAGATATTACTTTAGAGTATTGCAGTTCCTACGAGTCTTGGACGAATCTGTTGTGGAGATGAGGCTATACCTGGAGAGTTGGGGAGACTCCCTGCAGCGATCGCTGCGGGATATCCTGGATCCACTCGATGGTTACTGCTCGAGCTCGGAGCTTGACAGCATATTCGAGCAATGGGAAGTGATGAAGAGCAAGTGGGAGGAGGACATGGACCAAGTCAGGCAGCGGATCACCAGAAAGCAAACAGAAGTGCAATTGTTACGCGATGTTGTAGGGCGTGCCAGCCTCGCTGGGCTCTTCTTGCTGACGCTTCCAGCTGTTCACCGCGACTTCGGTTCGTGAGGCCCTACAAGCTCGACACACCAATCAGAATATCATGATCTTCACGGTGGTCACAATCATATATCTACCACTCTCGCTCGTCACGGTAAGTACAAAATTGTTGCTGGAACACCTCTCAAATATCCACTTGCCCTACCCAACCAATCTATCGGCTCTGCATCGAAAGAACTATGGAAAGTCTTAGCTCCAGTTCCTAGCCTCACTGATTTTTTTTCTTTTAACAGGCCGTGTTCGGCATGCACAATCTCTCATCATCCCTTCATCTCTCTACCTCAATGACACCATACGCCATCGCTCTAGTCACAGTATCCATGAGCACATACTGTTTCGCCTTTCTCGGTCTGGACTGGTACCGGAATCACAAGACAGGCACTTCAAGATGTGCTATGCTCTATCGTAGCAATGAAGACAGATATCAACAACTTCGAGGTCGGGTTACTGCTAGGCGACAGAAGCGAGGGGATGAGGAAGCTGGAGAAGAACCATCTCCAACTACGACTTGGAAGCGGCCGATTGAGACATTGTTTCGATGGAGGAAGCGGCGGAGTGCGAACAAGCAGGATGAAACTCCAACGAGACGCGCAAATAGTGCCGATACTGTGGTGTAGAGCAGGAGGCCAGTCTGGAGAAGTAGTGAGATAATCCAGCGCGATCTGTCGCTGGAGCAGCTCAACAGGACTTGGGATAACGGACCGCGGAGATGTTGAGACCAGATCAGAGATCATGATGGGATCTTCTTGAGGAGTTTGAGTACGTTGCGAAGAGTACTCTGATGGGTGTGATTTTGCTGTAGACAGGGAGAGAGTTTTGTTTGGACTAATTCGTGATGTGAGGTGATAATACAGGTCGCCTAATGCTTTCTACCTATGCTCTTCTCAACCAGCCACAACATATGTCGGTGCATGCCACTGCTATTCTAGCACTCTGGTGAAGTGTGCAGTGTCTGCTCCCTATTCTCTAACCAGCCAGCCCTCTTTCATAACCATCGGCACAAGCTCAAACCGGCTACCCAGCTTATGCCCTTGAACAGCCAGATTCTTGACACTTTCATCCTGCAAATGCGCATCACAAGCCTCCTTGCTTGCATACACCTCCAACGCACAGATGAACCCGTCCTTTTCACCTGTCAGACTATCAGTAACCTGGCCCGTCTCAAGGTCCAGCGGCCTCGCATCAGCATAGAAGATTGTGTCCGGCTCGTTCTTAGTCGCGGAATCGACGATGGCGGCTCCATATGGTTCTAGCTCTCCGATGTGCTTGGGATTGGAGTCTGTGATGGTTGCGAAGAGGATATATGGATGTTCGACTCGATTGCGAAGGTCCGATTCCGTAGGTCTGGGAGCTGAAGAGGGAAGCCGATCGGGTCGAGATAGGAGGGCTGATTCGCTCCATGTGACGATGTAGGGTGGCCTGGTGGTGCTTTGAGAATTGCGCAATGCGTTACAGTTCAAAAAGGCGTCCGAGTTCATGTAGTGGTCATAGGCCGCTTTGTTGGCGTATCTGGAGGACTTGGGATTAGTCTCAGTAGTCAGGGTGACTTTAATATATGCACCTTCTTTTTGTCTGAGGTGTAGAGTCAGGGCCCATAGAGAAAACATCGGAAGTCGTTTTGAACATTGGCACGGGCATGTGGAGTAGTGTGAACACGGCGGAGCCTGAGACTCAGGAGCAACACCAAAAAAACATCATCCTCGGTATTGAATATGTTGTTCGCTAGCCTGTGATTGCATTGTTGAATTGCGATGCGGCATATAGAGCAGTTCGAGGGCTTCGCTACGGACTCGTCTCGAGACGGAGGTGCAGGAAGGACTTACTCCTGAAAGATATAGATGCTTGTGTCAGCTGAGTTTTCAGGGAGGCAGACAGCATATTTCAACGCTTCTGTTTGATTGTTCCTGGCACTCTCCACCACTACATGTATGTCTTCCAGCATCTGTCAGGTAAGACATGGTCAGTAAAGATATGGCAGGATCTTGGGATATGTGACGATGGATCTGGTTGTCAGAGCCACGTACTTCGGCTTTGGCGCTCATGCTAGAGGCTTTGGTATGCACTATAACCACGATCGGGCTCGACATCCTGTCTTGATTATACACCTATGAAACGCTGATATTTTCAGTATGTCCTTGGGCAATGGCAGTTGTCGAGGGTCATGTTAGGCCTGCAGCGACGCTAGCCTGAGTCTGTGAGGTGATATATTTATCGCTATTCCGTAGTCGTGCTCGTTCCGATGGCTCACAACGATCAAGCCATACGAAAAGATGGTTCACATGATCCGTGGACTTAGCGAAGTATCACACGTCTTCATACTTTAAATTCCCGAGTCAGTAGGTACGGGATAGAAAAGGAATTGAACCAGGTTGATGGATAGTAGCACGTGAGTAGACGCATTGCTACGGCTGAGCATAGCTTCACTCGGGATCTTGCAGGCAAGTAAGCGAAAGTCATCGTGCATGCATATGAGTTTCTTCCCTCGAAGCATCGAATAGTCGTCCTCTAGACCAGAAAGCTGGAACTATCATAGCTTCAGATTGAAGACATCCAGGCGCCGTGGTTTGCGTGTTCTTACTCAAGGTCAAAGCTTACCTGAATACTCTCCTCAATGATCCAGCTAGGTATCCAAGGAAAAGCGGTTCAACCATACGAAGGCTTCATGGCATACAGTGACTTCGTCTAAGCTATAAAGCACAAGCAACGATAAAGAACGAGAAGCCCTAAGGTGAGTGTGAACACAGCTTGAACACGCTCAGTGTCATTGTCACTATAGGGCCATCCTCATGTCACCATCCAGAACAGTGCAGAAAGCATTGCTCTATCAAGGAGACACGTATCGATTTAGGAGCACTATCAGATGACGCGGTCTACTGTTGTACTTCCGTGAGCAAGTCTCTCATAGAGCTCACAATATCTAGCTTTGCATAGGAATGAAACCACAAAGGACGAGCGAGAATAGATTCAATGCAGGGCATCTGTCGCTTGAACAAAGTCATGTGGTACTCGACCAAGTCCGCTCTCGAGCAGTTCAGCTCCATTGAGGACATGCAGGGAACCAGGTAGAGTTCAGGGAAAACACTTCCATTCCGCAACGCTAGAGACAACGAGGTTGTGTTGATATTGGCCATTTCTGACGTTGATGATTCATGCACTCGCGTAAGTTTATGCTCAGCTTATCCTAAGACCAGCAATAACAGGGCAAGAACATTATTCGACGCGTAACATCAGGAATTTTCCGAGACACTAAACTGCAACATGAAATCATGGAGCAGTTTACTTCTATCTTAACTTTCGAGATCCCGAGATCTCCACTCCGAAATTGTAAGCAGATCTTCAAAGGTTGGACCTTCGTACCTTTTCGAACGGTAGCGGCTAGCAAGCAGAGTCGGAAGACAAGGAAATTCGACTCTTCGACAGCCTGCTTTTCGCAGGATGTCCACCAGTCACGATCAAACGACTATACTGAGCATGAATACCGAGTTGACCGAGATGGTAGTTTCAAGGAGAAGCTGTTTAATAGTAATAGCTCGAGCTCGTCAATAAGACGCTCAATTTCGGTCAAATTGCCTGTTCACATCAGCAGTGCTCTGTTGGTGATGCATCTGCAGCCAAAAACCAGTGCGCCGGCCCTCTATGTTGCCGTGACAATTCTTGGCCTAGCCGGGGTTCATTCCGATTATCCGGAAAAGTCAACGGTGCTGGCCGTCTTCTGTGTCGCTACCTTGCAACTCAACACAAAAACAAGTAGTTGGAAGATATGATTGCGAAGCTGGTTCATGTGCTTTATGCGCCCTTTCAAGGTCGAGTATATTGCTGCTCAATGCTGTGGGAATAGACTTTTCACTCCGCAGCTGGTACAGTTCGAGTTCCTCCAGCCTGAGATTGGACAAATTCACACCAATCTCGCCCGGAGTTGGATAATTGGTAAAGTTCCGCTCTGTTTGTTTGCACATGGTCATTGCAGCAGGGACCGTGGCCTACGTCATACAATCGAGAAAGCTCGCAGTAATTCGGTTAATTAGCACTTAGCGAAACTTTTTCATTGGTGAATTGTTACATCAGAATCCTGGGAAAATTACGTGCACTGATTGGCGGTAAAGCGTTTCTAGGGGTCTATTCGCACTTGATCACCAGATCACCATGAAACACAATTCAAGAACTCAGAGACCCTGCTCCACGAGCAGAAAGAAGGGCTTTGAGAGACCAACGCCTTGTGAACTCGTCAACATACCAAGAATTCAGGCGTCTTGGATTAATATCAAATAGCTATTAAATCTAGAATGGCCCAATGCAAGGATTAACGAAAAGACGTCGTGGAAGCCAAGAATCACTTCATGTGGCGGGCTCATCAGCAGCTGAGGCAGGTGCGCCTGACCATTCCAGCCCGAGCACAAAGTCTAGGGTGGGGTGTGTTTGCATTGGGGCACCGTGAATATGGGTATCTGCTGCTTCTACCGATATGCCGTGCACCAGTATTTGAGAATCTGTAGCGAATCTCAAAGCACGAAATGTGTCCTGCAGATGCACCTGCATTGAACGGCTGGATCCAAGCAAGGCGAAGCGGTAAAGACTCTCGATACTCTAGCAGCTGCAGATGTCGCTTGATGCCTATGCAGAGCCACACGTGGAAAACTTCACGTCTGAGGAACAGAACGATTGTGGCCTTCTTCACTCACTCTCAAGAGCGAGGGAGCAGGTATTGGGGCAGGAGCAACGTCAGTCGTGCTTGTTGTGAGACACAAGTTAGCTTTTCTTATTGCTGTAATTTAGAGTCTATAAGATCTTCACACCATAACAATCAGGCAATGATGAGCTGTCTATCAATTTGCAAGCACGAATTGCTCGTCTCCGAACCATTTCCACTTTTCACTCCACTTTGTAATGGTCGAACAGCTTTTTGACTTCCACTGGATGGCCAGCTAGCTCGCCACTAGATCTGCTATTTGTTCTTCTGCTTGCATGGGGACATTACGGCATTGACCCTACTCGTATACTTGGACCTGCTACGAAGCTTATTCTCTTCTGTGTCGGCAGCGTCGACGCAGACCGAATTTAAATGTTTGAGGGTCTCGACTCTACATACTCCGTCTATTTGTGAGACGTTGCATGTCCAAGGCTACTCGGCGGAAGCCTATGTTTCCTTAGTTCAGTTGCACAAGGATATCGTCGTTGTCTTCGATATCGCTAGTACGGACTTCGACTTCAATCTGAATATGAAGAGGGCTGCTTAGGACTGCTGAGGTACATGCCACATTTCCGAACCTCGTTTGCGTCCGTTACACCACGCGAGACGAGTGCGCAAGCCAGTCATGTCGGCTCTCTCCTCACCAACCGCCATATCCTCATATCCGAACCCTTCAGACTACCCGACGCAACATACTAGGAGGTGCGGCGATCAAGAGTCGCCGCCTTTGTCCAGTGCCTCCTCAAGTGCTTCGTCCGCGTCCGAATCAGAGACCAATTTTGAATCAACTTTCAGACCAGTGTCCAGAAAGAGTCGCTTGGAAAGGCCAAGAATGTCTGAAAGACAAAGATCGTCCTCGATTATCATACCAAAAGGCAATGACACATACCAAAGAGAAAAGCCAATATACCCACCTGATGATGCACGAGCAATGAGCCCACGACGAAACAGCGCAGACCTGGAGCGTTTGGAGTTAGGCGTAAGAAGAAAGCTACAGGAGTATGTTGGCTCTGCCACCAATACAAGCTGCCATTCTAACATCTTTACAGTCAAGCACACACATTACAATCGTCGCTACAGGCATTAGCTTCTAGGATCGACGAAGTTCGACTCGACCACGACAGATTAGAGAACGAGAATCGCCTATTACAAGAATATATTGGCGGCCTGACCCGATCGATGTCGAAGGACAACAATCTGGGACGAAGTTCTAGCACAAGGAAGGGGAAGAAATGACCAGATCAATCCAAGATGCATATCCGTGAACACAACCTGAGGCAGGCTGTACGATTCCTGTCCACCCACACTACGACCTGCATCAATTCTCTATAACATCCACAGCATTGACCTCGACCGATACGAGCTGCCAGTTGGAGGTATGCCACCGTCGAGCTCATAGTTCAGATGACCTTATCACGCTTACGAATCTATCTCATGGAAGCATATACTAAGCATTACGTGCAACTAGACTTATCGGGTTAGCACTTTGGCTACTGTGCATTATTGATCAGGCCTCTATAACAGAGTGCTGACGAGGCGTTGATGGGCAGTCGTCGATTACCAACTATCATGCTGGAGGTTTAACGAACAATTGGTTGCTGACCCATCGGTCCAACAAACTTACGATCGTCATGAAGGGAGTCTATGCTATCGACTCTATCGCCGCGTCGAATAACAAGAGACGGGAGCAAGGACATGAACGTGCGATTACTCATATCGTTATTGATAGCGTTTCAGTTTTCGAGAGAGATATTCACTGAGTGCTACAGCACTTTGCAATGCATTTTGTTGCACAACCTACTCTATGTTCGTTCAGCGACCTTCTGAAACCACCGGACACCCTTGCCTTGTGTCGTGGTATGGCTCTCTACCGTGTGTGTACCTGGGTCGTGCCTGCCCAAGTGTTGTTCGGTTCCTCGTACGCGCCGTGGTCGCTGCCTATTCGTCTGGCAGATCTGGAAGCGCTAGCGCACAAATTCACCTTCTCAGAAACGGGCTACAGACAATGCATTCCAAGAAGCTGTGGTATGTCTGATGTTGAAAGCTGGTCGGACATGTCAAAGCTCAAGTCAGTCCATGATAAGTTGTGACACATGCATCGTCGACCTCATAAGGTCGATCGCAACCTTTTCGCCTCCATGTGAATCCAAACCTTGCCTCGCAACCTCCATCGGATTACAGCCATAATCGATGACGTTCTGGACCAGCTTGTCGATATCAAATGGGTTACCAGCAGCCTGATTGCCTGTACCCGAGATCGCCAGATCGAGAGACGGGACCCAAAACAAGCAACTATGCCAAAAGCCAGTGTGACCCCAAGCTTGTTGGCTGGCGAAAGAGTAATTTGCAACCCCACACCCGTAAAACCTGGATGGTTCCAAGGAGTACATGAGCTGCATGACTTTCTCATCCAGCAGTCGACCTTCAAATAGTGCTCGTCCGAAACGGTTCAAGTCCTTGGAATTGCTCGCTAAACCACCTGCTGCGTATAAATCAAAGGTCGGATTGTAGTGTGTCACATCAATGGTATTGTAATACTGCCCTGCACGTTGCAAAGAATCCTTGGGCTGTGGCTCCAGGAGTTCCCACCATGTGGACAGCATGCCAAGGTCGTCGAGTCCAGTCAACCTATGAACCGCAGCTGCGAGATCAGTCTCTGTCACAACCTCCAATATCAGGCCAAGCAAAGTATAGCCTGTGTCGCTATAGTGAAAGACTTCTCCAGGATATCCGACAGATGTTGAATTGGCTGTAGACCATTCGAACAAATTTCGTTGTGTCCATACATGCTGTGGGCTATTCAGAACTTCTTGCATCCATCGTGGATCAGAGGCGAAATCACCTAGCCCACTTGTATGATGCAGCAGCTGCCAAGTTGTGATCTGACTAGCATTAATGACACCTTGTGATTGCTCAAGCAGCTGAACGGCCCAATCAGGAAGGTACTGCACAGCAGGGGCATGCAGATCCAGCTGTCCCCGCTCCACGAGCTTCAAGATAGCCACGGCCGTGAAGGTCTTTGTGATACTTGCAATTCGCCAAGGGGTGTCGTCGAGAAGAGCTGGTTCGTCGGCAAACCTGTCGGCTTTAGATTGGACACTTGTTGTGCAGTCGAGCCCGCAGTACGGCGAGGATAGTGTCAGTTGTATGCCTGGCCAGGTCGTAGAATTAGCCAGTGCCGCCTCAAGCATTGATTCCACCCATTGTGGGCAGGTCTGGGAGCTGCTACCGTGTATGAGAAAGATAGCCAGCAGAACATGTATGCCAAACAGACGCAACATCATTGAAGGTGCTGCTCAGGAATTGTAGATCCGAGAACGTGAGGATGCCGGATTGAGTTTCGAAGCCTGCCAGGTACCAGGAAGTTGTGCTGAGTGATAAATGTGGTCCACTGATGATGCCTGAGGCACTTACACGCTCCTTGTCGTGCTCAGGGTTCCTGCGCATCATGACCCAGATTCGTGATTGCAGCTTCCACTCTTGTGAAGCGTCTTACAGCTCTTTCCGCAGAGGCACCATACCTGGTGTACGGTGGGCCAGACGGTAGATGACAGTGGAGTTTAGTGTGTATTGGCGCATATTGGCGTATATTATAGATAGGTCTAGGGCAATTGTAGGTATAGCTAGGACGGTGACTAGAAGACCTACTCTAAAATACTCTTGACCAGCGTGTCCGACACACCAATTTGAAGAGTAGCATAAAATTTGTTATCTAGTGGACATCCACCACCTGAAAAATAGCTATGAAGGTCATATTCTACCCACGACTCGCCGATTAGCTATGACCCCAGCAAAACTACAGCAAAGCTAAGCCCTCGCCCGAGCGCTAAGTGGATCGGACTGTACACCACACCTGGTGTACTTGCGGAAAGAGCTGTTATGTTTCCCGTCGAGATAGCGACATGTCCATCAGGCTGAAACTCGCCTGCTCCTTACTCGTGAGGACGTGAACATGCAAATAAGCAACATTGTCTGAGGCAAAATTCAGGTATGTAATCACAGCAATATCGTCCGAGAATGAATGCTCTGCACAAGTTCTGATTGAAGCCACAGCTGGTTGATAGACTTGGCTGTGGTGTCACAATCGATCGTTCCATTTGAGCAGCTTCGAGTGTTCCACCTTGAGGTCTTCTTAGCGGAAATGCTTTGCCAAGACCTTCTCCCATGGTGCCTCGACCCGCCTTTTCCCCACATTTCAGGTACAGGATCTCGGCTGGATTTGGCTACACTTGACTTCGTCGACCTGCCACTTGCTCAGAGCTCAGTACAGCAATGCTTGGTCAAACCTGCTTCAGGTTGAGTACAACGACACGATGCGTGGTTGAGCAGACTCAAAAGACGTACAGAATGTAAGCCGCTGTTTTTCCAAAAAGAGGACGGCTACTCCTTCTGACCAGGCTTCGTTTTGACGATGAATGATTAGTGTTTTGGCCCCAAAACAAGTCGGGAACTTCCTGCATGGAACAGCTTTGATAGGCTGGGTAAAGTACCGACTTGACCTTGTCTGGCCGAGAACGTGTTGGTCTCCATTTCAGCCTTCCTCGGAGCTTCATAGACTGAATTGTACGCCAAGCTTCAGCCCATCGTCCAGTACCTCTGTAACTCAGACTATGCTTTAGCGCGTTTTCCATGCCGTGTCCCTCATGCACGTTCTGCCTCGAGCGGGCAGTCACAATGGCTAATGAGTACGTATCCTGACGATGCCTCTGTTGGCCTGGGTAGCTGGGAGCCCTTGTCATGTAATGCGTGTCACTTTATACTCACCTCACCAACATCAATCAAGACAACAAGGAGTACCATTGTCAAGAAACTTCCTCGTTGTCTTGCCAAGCAAGCAGCTAAGGCAAGTGAAGGTTTCGGTCGCAAACTCCTTCGGTGCGAACTCGGAAACGAGGCTAGCTCGCGAGCTATCCTTGACCATCGGTGGCTCGAAGCTATGCTCCAGGGGCTGAAGCGACTGAAGAAGTACAACCCTTTCGGCAAGGCAGACGCGATGACCTACCGCCTATACCGCAAGCTGTTCGAGTTCCAATACACGATATATAGATACAAGCTATTGACGCTTCAGCTGCGCACTCAGCAGTACTGCGCTACCTTCACCCACGATGAGCGTTCTACTCCTCTTGTTAGGATGCCTTCCCATAAGCTTTGCTCAATCCCACCAACCTCCAGCCGAGTTGATGCTGCAGAATCCTTTCAAGCCATCAAATCCAGCTCTGCGGCGGAACTCGAGTATCGATATGGAGCAAAGCCCTGGCTCCCTTCGTCATTTGATTGACCGCCAGCAATGTAGCTCAGGCTATGGGTATTGCTCCAGTAATACCACTATACTCTCGAAAAACCTCTACTGATACATTACAGGCTACGGCTTCTGCTGTGCGGCTGGCAGGGGATGCTGCCCCGATGGGTGCGTGCCCAACCCTTCAAAATGCTGCCCCGATGGAGGATACTGTTTGTCTAATGAGCGCTGTTGTGGCGATGGATGCATACCCACGACAGGAGATTGCTGCAGTAATGGAAGGTACTGCCCATCTCCGTTTCAGTGCATCAAATTTGTCTCTGATGGGAGGATCGTCTGCTGTATTGATGAATCATGCTCGGTCTATCTCGCAGACGATGATACCACTGTGACTCGGACATCGACGCGATCGACCCCTATGACAAGCACGACGGCAATCAGAACAACAGCACAAGTGACTACTACCCGCTATGTCTACCAGACCTATCGCACCACTATTTACTGGTATGTATATCACTTATCCTCGAAATTAGGTCCCTTAGCTAACACAACAGGTACTATTGGTTCTACTACTACACAATCTATTACTCACCATCCACATACACCACACGAGTAAGGACCACCGTCACGCAAACCACAACCGTCTCCTATTCGGCGACTGCATCCGCCGAAGCTGCCCTTTACTTCGCATCCTTCTCAAGCAATTTACCCACTCCATCCTCCGCAGAGACGGACATTCCACCCACTCCGACACCTGGCGCCCTGCTCTTAGGAAGTTGCTCGTCGACTATCACACTTGGTGATGGCGAAGTAAGCAGCGAATGCGACACCACGACGGCTGAAGACGCGCAGACTTCAGTCGCAGGCGGCGATAGTGCTCGCAAATCGACGTCAGCGTTGGTAACGAGTACTCCTCGAGTCACGAGTTCAGCTGCAGAAAGTAGCGCACGAGTATCGACGTTGGTTGTTACTGCTGGCCTCTCGGCTGGCGGTCCACGTGGTACGAGCTTGCAGTTTGTGTCGTGTTGGTTTGTCATGATGTTGGCGGGTTGTGGTGTGTGGCTTGGCTTGCTCGCGTTGGTATTGTGAGAGGCGTTACTCGTGGAAACGTACCAAGCATGCATGACTTGCTTTGTACGTCGAATGTGGAAATGACTGCTATGAACAAGCTCGAGTGTTCCAGGACGAAGAACAGATCTAGTGCGATGCATCGAATATGTATATAGTATAGCATTGTGTTCATCTAATGAGATCGTATTGAACTAATCGAACAGTCTGGTAGCAGTAGCCAGCTGCGTAAATACGTATGTGACTTTATTCATGTCTCATAACAAGTGCTTCATGCACAAAGTGTTTCATGTAACGCTATCCATCTCAATATAACGGCGCACAAAGATCAATGAAAGTTCATCCCAACACTCCTCAACAAGCTCCTGATCCCACAGACCACAACATCCCTCTTCTTCCGGGGTAGAGCAGCTTGTCGTAATCTGAAAACGTCGGTCGCGACTTTATTCACAGCTCTCATCACGTCTCGGTCCGTCTCGTCCCACATCAATTCCTGCACACATTCGAATGGGTTGGGCATCTCCTCCATGGGAGTGTAGAAGATAGGAACGTCCATGACTTCGCTGAATCCACTTGAAGAAGATGCAGACGATGTAGTGTAGGTGGAGGCGGTGGCGGAGTAACAGGGCGAAGAAGTTTCCGAGCGCCAATCTGAATTACTGGCCATGGCCTCTAGTGGTGCCAGTGCGTCATCCCAGGTTCCGGAGCGGAGTGTGCAGGATGAGAAGTCGATATCGCGGATGTATTTGCGGTGGAGGGTGATTAGTCGGCTTGCTTGGCTGGCATCGAGGAGTGCGTTCTCCAGCTTGATCGACCTTAGTTTACGGAACTTGATAGGACGGCAGGCGGGAAGGGCGGATGTGATGCTGTCTAGTGACGAGGGACGCGACAGGCATGGTTCTGCGTCGAGCGAGAGTGGACATGGACCTGTTTCATTGAGCCAGGCGAAGGACAGGGTTTCAACGCTGCGCAAGGTCTGAAGATATGTATGCAGGATCTTGAGATGGTCGCTCGTTGTGTCATGTTCTTCTTCGGTTTCAGCAAAGTTCTGCATCGAAATGTCGAGATGCTTGATGCGGTGCCAGACACGAGTTGAACCTGGTGAAGTACCAATGCCCTGATGTGGGCGGAGGTAGAAGATGCCTGAAGGATACATGGGCTGCAGAGACAAGGTATCCAGGAATGGTGGATTGACTGCCTCAACTGCCAATCGTAATGAAATGAGTGCATAATCGATCGCATTACGCCGGTATCGTTGGTTGGCTGGCTGCTCAGGACATGAAATCGTTAAATGTCGTAAGAACGGCATTGCATTGAACACTCTAATAAAAGTCGTAATGTTCGTGGCTGCATGAAAAAGTGGTGGATATTGCCGTACAAGAAGATCATTCAACTCCCACGACCCATATTTGCACGAAGCCTCTGGATCTAATGAGGTTGATGAAGAAGGTCTCGAAGTATGGACATGCTGTGGCTCATACTGAAAACTGACCTCTTCGAGGCTTTCTGGATCAATCAGTGGTGGTAAAAATGTTGCTTCCGAATGTGGTAGATTGAAATGAAAATGCTTGATGTAGTGACCAATTCTGTCGAGTGCTATCATACGAGCTCGGTGTGCGAACGTGCCCACATCGAACGTGACCTTGACTGATTTAAAGAGTTTGACAGCGACCTCTTCGGCGACCTCACGCGACACCAGACGCAAATTGCACATGTCATCCTGCGTCACATGGTCGAGGAATGCTTCTCGAGTAAGATCTGTTTGCCAGAATCTGGCAAATGCTGTAGGCATGACGTTCACTTTGCATTGCTGTGCTGTGAGGTGTTCGGTACGGTGGGTATAGGACGGCAAGTAAGCGTGCGGCTGAACAAGGACTTTCCAGGTACAGAATTCAGGAACCAGTCAGAGTGGAGAGTTTGAACATACAAAAGAAAACGAGAGGATGCAAAGATGCTCACACCATCGAGATTCCGATCGCAATCGTCGTCAGCTTGATGAGGTGTGTATGAGATCGAAGATGGACAACGAAATTGTTGCCTAAAAGGTGAAGCACGAGAGCATGAGAGTGGAAATCGGGGATTTTCTAGAAGACGTATCCTGACAAAATGGAGGGGCTTGTGTTTTGATGTGGAACCCAGAAGAGAGGCTTACCAACGAGCAGATGCAGGGCAATGGGACTGAAAGGATTCGAGGTAGAGCAAAGTTGAGTTGCATCACTGTTGTGAGCTATATCGCGACTCTTCCACGAGCGTGAATAGCGTGATTGCCGTGGAAGGCGCGTGAGCTCGTATGCTTCGACTCACCAATTTCTCACACGCTATAAGATGGACATCTCTTTCAGATTGAGCTGGAACACTGTCTTCATCTTGAGCATGAGAACGAGTTCGAAAAGATAGTCACAACATATGCTTATTAGCAGAATACTTCAATGTTATGTTGGCGGTAGAGAGGGAATCGCTACCGCGTTTGTGCCACGACTGAAAGCCACGCGAAGTGGAGCTGCTGTCGAATTTCTGCCCAATTACGATGCCCAAGAAGCCAACACGACTTCACGTCCTGAATTGACGCGACCGAGGAGCCTGGTGCAAACTGTATTGTGCCGCACCAGATACTGTTACCACCACTTTCACAGCGGCTATTTTTCTAACAAGTATAGACGTGGCTCATCAGCTATGGAGGGCGAGAGACCAGCGACGACACTCCATGCATGCTCCGAATTCTGATCACTCAACATGCTCAAAAGTGATCGTGTAGATGGGAACACAACTGTTTCATTCCCGCCGAGCTCTTTGGCAGTAACCAGGTCCCAGCTCGACTGCCGATCAAGCTGGTCAACGCGTCGAGACTCTGAAAACGCGTACCGGTGTTGGTGCTATTGCTATTGCTTTGCTTGTCTGCATGTCGATCTCGAAAGGTTGCACAACATCTTTGGAGATCTGTCTAGACTGCTCCTGCGTTGTTTCCATCCCGCTGTGCCATGCAGATAAATGTCATTGAACGCAAAGCTCGTGGTGGGCTGTCCTGACAATTGTATCGTCTCTGTCCTGGAATAGACGTTCTCGACCAAGACTGAAGATTCGTCGAAAGATCAGTTTGAGAGCTAAACCAGTCTTCAGATGCGCGGTGTACGCCTGGCCTTGCATATTCTCAGCTGTGCCGAGAGCTGCAATCTTGTGCCTTCCAAACAACTTACCGTAAGTTCTTCAGCTTCACACGTGCTTCCTCTACAATAGCGAAATTGGGGGTTCAACCATAGCTCAAACATCCATCTTAATGCCTCAAGAGAATGATCCTCACCATTGTAGTCCATACTTTTCAAAGAAATTCGCATGTTCTATACGCAATTGAGATATTCTCTTGTATGCAGCAAGATGTTAGCAATCCTTAGAAACACAACCTGTCTTGGAGCAGCACTGCACTGGTAAGGTCCGGAGAAAGCTTACTGTAAATCTGTCAGCGTGACTAATGGCGTCAGCCATATCAGGGCAAGATGGCACCAAGAAACACTCTTTCTCGAGGTCTGCGATTGTATACGTATCACCGTGGAGCTCGACCAGGGGAAGGTCATAGCAGTCCAACGTGACTGGAAGCAATTCCCAGCCTAAAGGCAGGAAAGCACCGAAGCCTCTGACCAGAGGCGTTTGGCCACGGAGCAATTTAGAGACTTGTATTACGACCCATGGTACATCGACAGACTTCTCTTTGAAGCATCGTAAGACATGCAGGAATTGATTGTAGTGCCAAGGTTGTTCTGAGAGTTGACTGCGTTGTGTGACTGTAGCTCAGAAACGATCTGCGAACCGCACAGTCTCTTCACCAGAGGCACTTCACCAAAGTCTTCCCTGACTCCTTTTCTCGACAGTTCATACGTAAAACGTGTCGCGACAGCCACCGCCTCTTCACCTGCAAACACGGCTCGCTCGATGTGGATGTGATTGACTACGTTCTTGTCACCGAGCTGGACTTGTGCACGGCCTCCAACCCTCATATCACTGTAGTTTCGGGCTAACCCAGGCATAAGCTGGACTCATGGGACGATCACGTGTAGACTTCGATCAAGTTGTTAGTCCTTCTAGGCGACATGCTATGGTCATCAAGATATCGTTACTACCGCATTGTCAGTACCCTGAAAGCCGCACTTCAGCTTAACAATTTGAGGCTGAGAAGCAGTAGTGCATTGCTACCATTGGTCGAAGCCGCAGCAGGTACCCTTTGGGGGGACATGCTCTGGACTCTGAAACTTATCCTTGATACATCTGGTTCGCCTGGTCGTGCAGTATCACGTGTGAAGATTGACCAACCACGCACAGGCAAAGACTGTAAAATCAATGAAAGTACTGTATCACTCGAACGACGAAATATTGCAGTTGAGGTCTGCCATACACGGTTGTGGAGCACAATTGTTGCTTTGATCTGCCTCTTGTGGCCAGTCATCGACGGCTACTTGACCAAAAAAAGAACTTGAAGCACAATGAAATGAATTAAATTGCAGTTCGCCGTCCATCCTCAGTTTTGAACTCAATCGTTAACCATTGTCGTCGCCACTGCGATGTATTCTACTATGTTCAGTCGCATGAGAGCTTCCATCTCCCAATTCAACGTGTCTTGAGGGAACAGAGATTTTGGTCCGATGGTCGTTGCAAGTCTCGGTGTGTGTCGTTGCTATGGACAAAGTGAATCAAAACATGCAAGATAGGCCTAGCATGTACCAATGAACGACTTTCAGATTCTTCGAGCTGATCTTGCTAGGCGCCATGTGGTCGACTTTCAGGCTCTCCTACCTCCTCCTCAATGTCCCCCATCTGGAAGAACATGTCGTCGTTTCTTTCATCATCTGGACCAGCAATTTCGACCTCCAGATCACTGACGCTATCAGAATGATTGCGGCCTCGACCTGCAAAGACGACCCAATCATGGTTGTCATGGAAGCCATGCACGTCCTCGTTATCGGACTCTGGTGGACTTACTGGTGGACTTGCTGGTGGACTTGGTGGATGCTCTGGGCTGGACGTACTGTTGTTATCTGTCCTTCTGCCATTGTCCAATGCAGCTCTCAGTGCCTCATTTTCAGCTCTTAAGCGCTCGTTCTGCCTCTCAATCCTCTCAACAGCGCTTAAGTCGTCGAAGATCTCACCTTCCTCTAATTCCACCTCTTCTTCGTCGTAATTTGAATACTTCACTCGAAGCGGCTTCTGGTAAGTATGGCTCACGATTCGCTTTCTCTTCCTCTCTATCTCGTACGGAGATTCGAACACTTCTTCAGGTAAGCCAGAGTACTCCTTCCGTTCCTCCATTGTCGATTGTGCAGAGTCATATTCTGCCCACTGCTCCTCCTTTCCATAGTCTGCATTCCACATCTGAACTAGTTGCGATCGTTGTAGGTACCCATTGGCATCGTCGGGGTCGGAACCTTTGTCGCCCGGTCTTCGTCTACGTTTGAGTTCTCGGAGCTCCTCGTCGCTAAAGGCTTCTCGTCGCACTCCGGGTACTGCTGCCGAAGTTTGTAGAAGGACTCCGGAATACGGTTTTGTGCGAGAGCGTAAGCGATGATCTTCAGGAAGCTCGCTGAGGAGGATGATTCGTTGTTTAGCGAGGTAGTCTTCGGGGCTTACACGATGGCGACGATAGAAAGGCCGATATGGGCGCCGCACGCCTCGAACCCATTCGTCAAGTGTGGGCATTATGAGAATGCTAGATGAGATCAGTAATGATCGGAGAATAATAAGGGTGAAAGATCAGAGAAAGTTGGACTAGGCTCTATGCAGTAGAAGCAACAGGGACTAGACGGTGGTCTACAAGTGAAGGCAGGTACGATCTTGTTAGTGCCTGCTGGTTGAGGAAATCAAAACATAACATGTGAAAGCGCTTGTTGAAGAAGTGCAAGCCGTGATATCTATTCTTTCCCGACCGAAGTGACAACAGCAAAGAACAAACATCATTCTCTCCTTATTGGTATATTCAGCGCACTTGTGAACAGGACGCCTGTCTACTCACCGTCATCGAAGCCAGTAGAGTATGAATATGGGTCGTAATGGTATCATGGATGGATTGATTGATTGATTGATCAGTTTTCCAGTATCCCTCCTGGCTCTACTGAATGTATTCTTCCGACCGTGCCACACATGCCAGAATATCGGAGAACAGATCATCATGCTCTTACTCCTTGTAATTGAACCATGGTCTCGTTCAAGCAGCCACTGCAACTGCAATCTCATTTTGCTAGGCTGTTGGTCTGAACTTGTACGAATCTTCCACGTACTTTCAGCTTCCTCATCAAATATAGCGTGTCTATGAAGAGGTAATCAATCGTCTTCTCTCAGCACCTCGCTGTCTCGAGTTGAGCTTCTTCGATACCTGAGTCTCCTCTGCCTTGCTGACTGCCTCCTCACCCTCGGTCAAGATCAACTCGATGTGGCATGGGTTGCTCATGTAGGGGTTAATTCGACCGTGAGCTCGGTATGTTCGTCGTCGCTGCTTTGGTGCTTGGTTGACCTGGATGTGCTTGACGATCAAGCTTTCTGTGTTCAGACCTTTGGCGTCGGCGTTGGCTTCGGCATTCTTCAGGAGACCGATCAGGAACTCGGCGGACTTGACTGGATGTCTGGCTTTGGAAACGCCAAAGGCCTTGCCTGTAAATCACTTCGTCAGTATTTTGCGGGCAATGATGCTCGTGCTCTTCTGCGACTCTCGCTCTGTTCATGTGCCTGAGCCTCCGAATTGTTGTTCATGCGTACCTTGTGCAGTTCGTCCAGTGCTTCCAGCATATCTTCTCATTGGGATAGCCTCCTTCAATTCCTGTACATTCTCAAGGTACTTCAGAGCGCGATCCAACTTCCAGCCGTTGATTGCCTGTGCAGTTTCTCGGGTGTTCTTGAATGAGACTCGAAGGTATGAGCCACGGCTCTTTGCCGATTTGGCAGATGGAATTCTGTCCTGGGGACCGTATCGGACCTAAGAATGGTAAGCATGAGGTTGTAAGACGGGTTCATTGTATCTACCATTTTGTCGAGTTCGGGGTTGTCGTAAAAAGAGGTCTACAAGTGCAATGACAAACTTGATTGTTGCGCCTTCGTTTCTCTGTCGCACGTTGCCAAGACTATAATCTTGGCGCAAGACATCAAGGCACAAACTATCGAGATCCGAAGTATCGCAAAGAATAGCTGGCTATACAGCGGCCCTAGCAATAATTCTCGGCAAAAATGCTCGATGCCTCTTGGCAGAATCTTATCTCCCTTCTGCGTTCTGCGTTTGTGTTCGACTAGGATTTGGACCGTCGTTTCACGACTGTACTTGCGATTTAATGCGCGCCCTCTTCGTGCTCTCTTCACACAGAAAGCGAGGTTAGTGGAGGTTACCTTGCAGCAATGCCGGCTATTTCACGTCAATGCCCGACCTCGCCGACGTGGGACGAGGACGGTGTCGATGTTATCCCAGGATACGATGTTGGTCAAGATTCACAAGTGCTAACCTGTGCCTTTGGACTACTCCTCGTCTACAATCCGAAGCCAACTATCGCGTGCTCATGAACAGTCACGGCTACCCTGATCCTGGTAGCAGCTTTCTCTTGAAGCTGTAAAAAAGATACGAAAGACAGAGTCAGTCTGCACAGACGGCCTCGATGAGTACATAACAGCAGCACTCCCCGAAGTCGAAGTTGTTATAAAGAATTTGTGTGCTGGCGAGTTTCTAAGGCAAATTTCTAAGGCGACATGATTCGCACTAAAGTCTGCTTCCTGGTTACGACCATATTCTGCCGATCTTATAAGTGCTAGTCATACCACCTGAATCCTTCGACTTCGCTTCTCGACCCTTACATACAATGCAGGCGTACTCATCTCTTTCAACGTTTTCGGACTGTCTGAGTGTCTGAGTGTCTAAGTGTCTGAGTGTCTATCCAGATCTGTCCCTCCGTCATTAGTCGACACTTTTTGCTTCTATTTCAGCGGTTCCGAGCTGATCCTTGTATTGGGGCACACTTACTCGGTATGAGTGGCGATAGCCTGTTAAAGGCGCGTCGTTAACGGATGTAAGCTGTGTCCGAATCGCTGCACCTTCATAGAAAAGCTGATTCTTCAGATCGACGGTCTATACGCCTGTTCTCTACACTATGAGCTTGTGACGTGTTATGGTGTCCTACAAGAGCTGAACGGTATAAGTGTAGACGTACTAGACACTGTATACTCGATTTTATAGTGTCCTTTTAGCAAATCATACCTGGACACACTACGTCGGGAAATTAGCCTGGAGTTTACGATCACTGCAGTCTCGAGCAAGCAGCGCATATCGACGGTTACCAGACATTTGTGCCGCACAGAGTCTCTTAGTATACTCGAGAAATGAGGCCAAGTACTTGTAGAAGAGATAAAGACCACCTACTGGTGTCCTTGTGGCCAGTAAAATTGCTTATATGGCGAGCTTAGAATGCCGTACAAAGCACAGGGCGCGTTTGCTGAAAACACCTTCCAGTTTTAGAGTAGCGTTCTTTCCCCACGATCAGTATAGGAATACATAAAAGATGACGCCCTCACTCGCTCGTTTCTAAGCTGGATTTATCACAGTTGAAGACAGAGGACTGATCCCGGGTACTAAGATGTCTATGATGGGTGAAGCAAGTATGGACGTCAACGCTGTGCGAGAGGCTTTCCCGGCACTTAAGCAGAAACAAGTCTTCATGGACAATGCAGGAGGAGCGCAAGTCTTGAAAAGCGTCATTGACTCGATGATGCTTTATTTGACCACGAACAACGTGCAACTAGGAGCCAGTTATCCAGTCGCAAAGATATCGACTAACCTCTTCAATGCTGGACATGCCTCCGGAGCGCACTACATTAATGCCAAGCCCGAAGAAGTAGTCCTCGGGCCATCGACAACTCAAATGTTTCGAAATCTGTCGGTGGCTCTAAAGACGGAGCCTGGTGACGAATTTGTGCTGTCGAAGCTGGATCACGAGGCCAATGTAGCAGCGTGGAAGCAGTTGGCTGAATGGAAGGGATTGACAATCAAGTGGTGGGTGCCAAGCCAAGATACCAATTCGAATCCGAAACTGGTATCGGAAGATCTGAAGAAGCTGCTTTCGGATAAGACGCGGCTGGTTGCTTGTACGCACACATCGAATATCTTGGGATCAATCACTGACGTTGCGCCACTGGCCGAGCTTATCCATTCGACCAGTCCAAGGGCGCTGTTCTGTGTTGATGCTGTGGCTTACGCACCACATGCAGCGATTGACGTGAAACAACTTGGAGTGGACTTCTACTCCTTCTCGTGGTACAAAGTATATGGCCCTCATGTGTCGATGCTCTATGTCAGTGAGAAGGCACAGAAGGAAATAGTCAGCTTAGGGCATTACTTCAAGCCCGGAAACACGCTGGAGGAGAAATTGGGCCTTGCAGCGGCTAATTATGAATGTGTGCAAGCAGTACCAGAAATCATATCCTACCTACAGAAGGTAGGATGGGACGCGGTAGCCAGGCAGGAGGAGGAAATACAAGAGGTGCTTCTCGACTTCTTGCGATCGAAACCAGATATCATCAAAATTTACGGCGACCCGTCATCAGATCGCAGGCTTCGAGTCCCAGTTATCAGCTGGCGAATTAAGGGGCGTAGCTCTCTGGCGGTTATAGATGCTATCGAGGCAAAATCGAATTATGGCTGTCGAAGTGGCCACTTCTACAGTAAGAGGCTTTGTGAGGAGGTGTTGGGTATCAAGGATGGTGATGATGGAGTAATCAGGTGTTCTTTGTTGCATTACAACACCAAGGAGGAAGTGCAAGGACTGGTCGATGTGTTAAAAGATATCATTGAGAAAGGCGAAGGGCGAGTACCAGACGACGAATATCGAAAATTGACTGCGGATTGGTAGAAGCAGATACTGTGCTGCTCACTGTGATTGTTGCTCGAGGTGGAACATCGAGGATGAGAGTAGCAGGAGTGTTTGAAACGAAATGCAAGTTGTGGTCATGCTTTGTCCATGGGCACAACCTTTGCCGAAGCATGCTTGTCAGTTCACCAATAGAACAGGCAAGTTGCTACCAATTGATTGGACCGAGATGTTACACACTTATAGCCGCTCAATGAGCGTCGTGATTGGCGGCCGATGAGCGACTCACTCCATATCGACACTAAGCCTAAAGCATTCAAACATCAACATGGCAACTGCGACACAGGGAAGTGCTTGCCTTGACTACTCTACGCTCCACAAAAAGATGCGAGACAACAATGACTTTTGGATATCATAGTATAGTCTCTTGAGTCGAACAGTTTCGCATCCACAATGGCCATTACCTAGGTCGATGTCAGGAACAAATACCTTCAAGATGGAAAATGTAAACCCTAACATTACCATGTGGCTGATCGTAATACTAACGTCCTTGCAGCAGACGTCCATGCTCCCACAACCTGCAGCGCGGCCAACTAGCAGCATGAGGTTTCTGACCGATCTTTCTGAGTCTGAGAGCAATGTTCGAAGTACCATGTTACCTCCTTCCTCTGCCACCACAGCTGGCCTCAAGCGACAGAGTTCAAATTGTGGGTTACGCTCCATATCGCTTCAAGTGCTCGGCTTACGCCTCTCAGTACCTGAACCCTCCCAGAAGCGAAAGACCCTGGCTGAGCGTGCTGCTGAACCATTACGACCAAGTCCAATCATGTCAACCCTGTCACGACCTCCAAGCACGGCAAGCCAGTATGCGCCATCCTCCGCAATCCATTATCGATCTTCTTCGACCGCTTCAACTTTATCAAGAACAAACTCAGCTTCATCCAGGAACACCTCGAACTCATCGTGTACTGGCAGCTTGACTTCAGGCATAAGACCACCAACCATCAACTCCGGCATGAGCACTGCGCGCCCGAAATCGTCCTACGCGAAGGATAAGCCACTCGGAGTTGGCTCGAGGTCTCTGGCAAACCTGAATGCGTCGCACGAGGCGTATACCAAAAGTAAGGAGACCCCTCCCTTTCGTCCCCAAGGCCCAAGGAATACCAACTCTACGACAAGTGAGGCGAGTCGAGTGTGCACAAAATGGAATAGTATGTCGACTTTAAGACGTGCAAATCCCCAGACGATGCGCTCGAGTGCCGCTAGCATCCGTGACCGCTACCGTGATATCAGCTTGAGCACTGGGCTCGACCAGTTGCATCTTGACGACGACCAGAAAGACTTAATGCTACCGCCCGAGACGCCCACCAGGTCTCAGAGCCCTAGCAAAATTCCCAGAGCGTCTCCTGTACCTACTGCCCCCGTGACTCCTACTCCCAATCCAACTGGAACCCCTCAGCTGCGCCACAAATCTACCATGAAGGCAAACAAATTTCTAACATCCACTTCCAATATAGAGAACTTTGACCCCGATGTACCCTACCAAGACTGGAAGCGAATGTTTGACGATTCGAGACAGATGTTCGAGGATGCTGTTAACAAGATGAGCAATGCCAAAGAAGAGACGAACGTATACAAGGAACAGTTAAGTCAAGTCGAGCAGGAACGGTCGTCCCAAAACGAAAGCATAATATCACTCAAGACTGAAAACAAAACCCTGGACTTCAGGATAGCGACGCTGGAGAAGACAATACGAGAGTTGAAAGAAGTCCATGAGCAGAGACTGGAAGATATACGCAATGATCAGCAGCGCACCATTAAAGTTGTACGCCAAGAACAACAAGAAGAGATCGAGCGGCTGAAGAGTGAACACAGAGAGGAGATTCGAAGCGTGAAGCAGCGACATAGCGAAGAGCTCGAGCAGGAAAGAAGTCTAAGAACAAGAGCTCTGAGTCAGGCTTCCATGCAGGGAACACTTGAGAAGGAACGTCACGAGATGGAGTTGAGTCGAAAAGACCAGGAAGTCAGTGCCATGAAGTTCGAGGTCGAAAGACTCGAAACGACTTTGCAACGAGAGCAATCGACAAATAGTGATCTACAACAATCGATACAGAATGCCAATAATAACGCTTCGGATTTGGATGTTGCCCGACGAGGGCTACTGGCAAAAATTGCATATCTTGAGTCAGATGGAAAAGCTCAATCCGAGGCCTACGCTGCTATGGAGAAGCGTATGAACGAGGCCATAGCTCAGTCTTGGGACGCGGAGAACAAATTGAGACAGGAAGAGACCACCCGGCGAAAACTGCATAATCAAATACAGGAGCTCAAAGGAAATATTCGTGTCTTCTGCCGAGTCCGACCAACTCTGGATGTAGAGGATGAACTCGCAAATGTCAAATACCCTGACGAGGATCAAGATAGAACCGAGATTGAGGTTCGTGGTGTGGAGGAAAAGAACAGTTTGGGAAAAGACGTCACGAAAACTCACCCTTTCTCATTTGATCGTGTCTTCCACCAAAGAAACAGCAACGACGATGTCTTCGATGAGATAGAGCTTCTAATTCAAAGTGCTCTTGATGGCTTCAACGTCTGCATCTTCGCATATGGGCAGACCGGTTCAGGCAAAACTTACACAATGTCATCCGATGACGGCATGATACCCAGATCTCTCCGCTTCATCTACGAGACGTGTAAGAGCTTAGAGGGCCGTGGCTGGGAATACACGATTGAAGGATCTTTTGTGGAGGTTTATAACGAAGAGATCAGAGACTTGCTTGGTGACGAGAGCCACAAGAAGTACGAAGTCCACCATGACCATCAGAAACACGAAACCACAATCACCAACGCGACAACACTCACGCTTGACAACAAGGAGCAGGTCGAGTCAATACTGTCGCAAGCCATGAGTCGACGAAGTGTGGCAGCAACAAAGTCAAACGAACACAGCAGTCGTAGTCATTCGGTCTTCATCCTCAAACTGTACGGCAGGAACGATATCACTGGAGAGGAAAGCAAGGGCACCCTCAATTTGGTCGACCTGGCCGGTTCTGAACGCATCAAGAACGCAGAGACATCGGGTCAGCGTTTGAAGGAGACACAATCTATCAACAAATCGCTCTCCTGCCTTGGCGATGTCATCGGTGCTCTTGGCCAAGGGCCGTCTACACCCGATACTCGATCGAGTCTGTCGAACGGCAAAGATGCCACGGCGCACATTCCATATCGCAACAGCAAATTGACATATCTCCTACAGATGAGTCTTGGTGGTAATTGCAAAACACTGATGTTTGTCATGGTCGCACCAGAGAAGAAATGTCTTGGTGAAACAATCACGAGCTTGAAGTTTGCGGAGAAGGTTAGTAGGACACGGGTTGGTGTCGCGAAGAAGGTTAAATGACCATGCTAGCCTTTCCACGTCGGAGCTGTCTTGTTGCGGTTCTCTGTTCGTGTCTGGGGGACCCTTTGCTTTTTGTCACGATATCTACAATAGCGAGCGCCTGAATTTATCCATCAACATGAAGTCAGTCTTTGAATGGGGTAGGAGTACTGAGCACACATGACCTGCCTCCAAGGATGAACACGTACTCTGCAGCTCGTTAGGCCACCAACAAGGATCTCTGTCCTACCTCGATCGCGTTTCATGCTCTGATTTTGTCCCATCTATAATCTTGTGGCTTGCTTGCGTGCTTCGGCTAGGACTAAGTACTAAACGAGACGAGTCTGTCGTGTGTCGAGCTTGGGCAGCAGCAGGACACTGGGTCTGCAACTATCGAATTGAAGACATTCCCCCTATTGAAGGTGTGCAGAACTGGCAGCAATGCATTGCCAGTTTTTTATTATGCTTGGTTGTTTTGCAGCGAAGGAGCTGCTCGAGTCCGCTCCTGCTGTGGTGGACGTTACAGCCACTGACGGCCCGTTGCGTGTGAGCAGGTCCTAAGCGAAACTCCCCGCTCGAACACCTCTTTCAATCCGCCCGAGCTCCTAGCTCCCCTCTCCGAAATTACCTCAAAAGAACAATGTTGGCAAGCTCGCCGGCCAACTTCTCGTGACCTGTCAAACTCTGTGCGACACTTCCTTTTTGCGGCTTGCAGCTAAAAGCTTTTGAGTACTGGCTGTATGTCATGCCAGCAGCGACAAACAAGACTGATGACCCATGTGAAGAATGTCGAAGTTAGTCTCATTCATGCCTCATCATTGTGGCTGACATTGTTCTTGCACGGCCCATTGACAATGGTGCAGATCGTCATTTGAAGTGTACGTCAACCTCGTCCTTCTCTTTTACAATCATGCTCGGCTTCCAGCAAGTTGCTATACTTTGTGCCTAAGACCCCAAGATGTACCCTAGAGGGGAAAGCCGACATGTCGACAACGGCAACCGCCATTCTGATAGGCACAAGCGAGAACGTTGCACTACCGAGCAGATCACATCTAACAATGGGATATGGCTAACATGATACAAGGCGACAACTGTCGTCCGGCATGCTCACAATGTCTTCGAACTGGACATGCATGTTATCGCACAAAAGGCCAGCCCAAATTCCGAGATGGCTCGAGTATGCAATATGAGAAGCGTTTTTCGAAGGACCAGGCATGGGTGAGCTTTTCTAAGAATGGTAGGTTGCGCCTCATTAGGCAACCCTGAGCTCCCCAATCACCTTCAATTTCTAGTACCTAGGAGGGGGACAATATGAATGCCTATATGGTTGATGTTCGAGGCATTGCGCTTTACAAGCTATATTAGCTTCGTTTCGTCTGGCTCAGAATGGCCATGCGTACACTCCACCTGTATCGTTGCTGACGTCTTGGACTTCCAGCAAAGATACAGTTTGTCGACCAGACAGCAGAACTAGAGAACTTCTATGCCACAGACTCGCCGGAGCCTGCACCAGCAAGCTCGACCCCAGCGTTACCAACCCTTCCGCGACGACATGGCAGTACTGGAATCCCTACGAGAACGACCACACCTCCGACTCGACCAGATATCACCGCACCCTCACCTGGTCAACACAATGCAGCAAGGTCGGAAGTTACCTCAAGGACTCCGACAGACCTCAGCCCGGTCTCATTCGACAACATACTCTCCTTTCCAGCTCCAAAGCGACGCAAAACAAACGAGTCTGGCACACCTACAGACAGTCGCCACACAGTACATCTTCCGCCTGCACAACCTTCACCTGCGTCACTGGATATACAACAACCCTTTCCTTTCCACAATTCGCCGTCGAGTGTGCCTTTCCAATCTCAGCAACTCACCAACAATTACGTATCGCCAAGAGAAGTAAACGAAACAAGAAGGATCGAGCAAGAATATGCCCGGATATCTGACAACCAAGCCGCTCAAATTCCAGATGAACCATTTCTAAGTGTATCCAACTGGAAGAAGCATTTCCGATGGCCGAATCAGTATACGACACAGCAGTGTAGGTGCTTGTTCAGGTACTACATAGATATTCTAGGCCATTGGGTAAGGACCTTCATCCTCTGGTTTCTCCCTTACTGACGCCATCAGTTCGACGTCGGCGACCCTACCAGGCGTTTCACAACGGTCGTCCCACAAAGGGCAAAGAGATCGCCACCTCTATTGAACGCGATCTTCTCTGCCGCAGCCTTGCACCTACGACATTCTTCCAGACTCAGACGTCCTGGGAAAACGATCGAATATGCTGGCTACGAATTGCGCGACCTCAACGAAGTCTCAACCATCAAGTACTACCTAGCAACCAATGCTTACCTTCGCGTACTATGTACCAATGAAGCCCACACCCGAGACGAAGACCTCCTTGCGGCCACGGTCATCATTCGTTTCTACGAGGAGCTTGCTGCGCTGATCAGCGGCGAACCTCGCGACCAGCTTACCCGACCCTTCCAGCTCTTTGTCGCCGCACAAGCCCGGCCAGATAACTTTCACTTTCCACCCGAGCAGTATAATTTTCAAATTCCTGGCGTGTTTGCCTCCATCCGTACAATTATCGAACCATACCTAGAAACATACCAGCACGGCTCCTTTCGCATCGCGCTTCGGCAAGAATGTCAACGGGCCTTGCTTTCTAGAGGAAAGGTACACTTGCCTCTCGAAGCCTGGAATTTTCTAGAAGGATTTGACGAGACGGAAGATAGTGTCTGGACGGATCGTCATCTCTACCACTACGCACGCGTTCTACAGTACTGCTTCTCGCATGACGAGCCTGAATCTCAAAAGCTGAGCCAATACGAGGCACTCAAAGGCTTTGAGACGAAATGGGAGGAAACCCGCCCACTGTCTTTTTCGCCCTACGACCAGGCTCAGCCAGATCGCGATAACGGGGAGATCTTTCCTAAATACTGGTACGTTAATGAAGTTCATGCTGTTGGGGTCATGTACCTCCATCTATCGCGTCTTTTGCTCACTGTGTACGATCCGTACATCCACAGAATCGGACCTGGTTCGGCAGCTGCACAACGACGTGTCAGTGCTGAGGTCAGAGAGGTGGTTATTCAGATATGTGGTGTTGCGATGAGTAGTCTCAACACACAGCCAGTATTGGTGCAAGCTCTGAACACGATCAGTATGTTTGGTGAGCACTTTACGGACAGACAGGAACAAGAAGCGTTGCTAGAGGTGTTGCAAGAGCTGGAGAACAGACATGGGTGGCCAGTACACAGAGACGCTGAGGCACTAAAAAGGGAATGGGGGTGGACATTGGACAAGGACGGCTAAAGGTAATATGATTGGGGTTGCCCTGAATGTTGGACTGCTGGGTTTATTGATATGGTGGTATAATTCGAAAAGTTCACGTACAGTATTAGTATTGACAAGCGAGGAGAAATCGGCCGTTGTGAGGGCCACTAAAAGGCAAAGTCGGTACTACAGACTGGGCATGAGTATCTCAGCTGGACAGTCCAATGGCAATACACGTCCCAGCACTTGCTTGTTAGATGATATTCTCAATATGGTTACCAGACTCGTACGGTGTGGTGTTTGAGGTAACCTGGTAGGCAATATCGCTGGCTAAGCACGTGAGATTCGGCCGTATACCGTCCAGTACTACTAGTAAGCAGGGAGGTACAAGGTAGGAGCGAGAAATGTTTACTAAACATACCGCGAGTGTCTCCCGGCAGCTCTACTTGGCCCGACAAAGCTTTGTAAGCTGTGGAGATTTGAAGCTTGGTTCCTTCAACATGCGGCCTGCGGAGATGCTCTCTTCGGTGATGTAAACATTTCTTTCTGGATTCATTGCAATGCAAAAAGCTGCCCCTCAGTGTTCTGCGAGTGTGTAGCACGTCTGAGGGCAGTTGCAGCTGGAGATCGTAGTTTCCCATCACCTGAGATGACGTGCTTACAAAGAACATGTACAAATACACTGCTTCGACAATCCTTGTATACTAAGTCTTCACTTTCTTGTTCTGTATTACCAGCACTTGTTAGACGACCATTTCCTTCACGAACACAAGACCGTACAAGTCAACCTCAATTTCGAAGACACCTCACTCTGACAGACACATCCGCTACCATGGCAGCTGCACGCCCAACCAGGGAGCAATTGTACATCTCTGAGACGCCGGACGAGGTCAAGAATGCTAAGGGCTTGCATTTGATCACAATGTCCACTCCTAATGGACAAGCTGTACAAATCATGCTCGAGGAACTCCATGACGCTTATGGCACTGAACATACCACCACCTTGATTAGCATCATGACCAATGAGCAAAAGAAAGAGTGGTTCCTCCGTTTGGATCCCAATGGACGGATTCCAGTATTGATAGACAACACGCAAGATCCTCCTTTCCCTGTACACGAGACGAGTGCAGAGATGTTCTACCTGTTGAAGTTTGCAGACAAGGAGGACAGGTTTGGATTCAAGGACGAGTTGGAGAGAAACCAGGCTATTCAGTGGACATTCTTCTGGTATGGAATACGTCCAGTAGAACAAGTTGGACAATGAAGAGCTAACAGAACCCAGGCACGGCAGTGGTGCTCCATATCAGGGTCAGGTGAATCACTTCAACAAGTTTGCACCAGAGAAGATTGAATGTGAGTTGAAGATACGCCTGCTTTTTCGTCTTTGTACTAACTCGAATCAGATGCTATTAACCGTTTCAAGAACGAGACTCTGCGTGTCTACGGTGTGCTCGAGATTCTGCTCTCGGGCAAATACACTGGTGAACCACGAGACTACCTCGCTGGATTCGGCAAGGGCAAGTACAGTATCGCAGACATGAAGACATGGCCATGGGTCAAGGCCTGGGACTTCTCTGGCTTCACCAAGGAGGATATGCAACCATTCCCACATTTGATGAAGTGGATTGATAGAATTGGCGAGAGAGACGCTGTAAAGAGGGCGATCGGAGAGAAATATCAGATGGAGAAGTAGGTTAACGCCTACTCTGTGAACAGAAAGAGTGTGGGCTGATACTGAAAGGCCGAGCAAACTGTAGGAATGAAGTGAGATATGTGTTCAACACTGCGAGCAAAGATTCCCACAATCATGGTTCCTGGCTCAAACCGATCCGTCCAACACCTCATTGCCATATAACAGTTTGAATCTATCAGTGGCACAACGATTTTGATCTGTTCATAGAAGCCATAGTGGCAGAACAACAAGTGTATAAGTAGCTATTGTCAGACTTGCTGTTCGGTCCTCAAGGTATCAATTATGTGAGGCAGTAGGACGAGATGTTCATACCTTCCAACTCATTCATTGTGGTATTGTGGTAATTCGTTGTTGGATTATGTTCGAAATATCTTTAGATCTGTTGCAATTTATTCAAATTTATTCGAATTCACTGAGATGACGTATAATTGCGTCTCTTCGCCGCAACCCCATCTTGTGAGCCTGGATATTAAGGCACCAGGAATTTTCTGAGAATGAATGCCGCTGACCAGAGAAACAATTTGATGTTCAGCATTTTCTCACACTGCGTATTGATCTTGGACATAGCACACTCAGCAGCTGATCTCCCTCCCTCGCTCGCAATCATGGACTTCAAATCCCTCATGTCCGCACAAATAGCCAAATCCAAACCTCCGGCCTCTTCATCATCATCATTCATAAAAGACAGCAGCAGTGCTACAACAGCATCCGCACCCTCCTCAAAATACCAGCGTCGCGCCGACGCCGAACGCGAACGCCAAGCCGCCTACAAAGCCGAACAAGACCGCCTTGAACGCGAACGCCTCGAGCGCGCGGCCAAGAAGCGCAAGCTCGAGGAAGAAGAGGCTGAACGGTACGCTGTGCGCGAGGAGAAGAAAAGGAGACTTGCGGAGGAGAGTCGGTTGCGCAGAGAGGAGGAAGAGAATGAGGAGGAAAGGGCGAGGAGGAAGAGGTTAGGGTTGCCGGAACTACGGATTGACGGTGACGAAGTAGAAAGGGAAGAGGAGGTTGAGATTGAGGATGAAGAGTTGAAGGGGAAGTTGAGGGAGTTTGGGGTGAGGGAGGAGGTGGAAGAGGGAGAGACGCATGAGGCGAGACTGGCGAGGTATTACAGAGTGAAGAGGAGGAGGGCGAGGGAGAAGAAATGGTTTTCTGGGCCGATTCCAACTACGATTGAGCCTTTGCCTGCGGACGAGTTGATATTGCCTGAGAAGGCGCCGAGTGTGGAGGATAGCGAGGCTTATATCAAGGTGCATAGGCAGATATCGAGTTATCTCAACTTTGTCCTGACGGAATGGGGTGCTGCGCTTCGAGGACGGAATGAAGAGGATGCTCAGAGCAGTGCAGGAGTTACGGCAAGCAATAATTACAAGATCGCATTGGAAGATCTGAAGCCTTTGATGAGAAGACTTGAAGCTGGATATCATTCTCCGCCGACTACCATACCCTCCAACGGCGCAGGCAGACCAATAGCATCTTTGAGGAAGGATAACAAAGAAACGCCATCGAATGTCTATCAACCACTCCCTCACAAGGCCCTCCTCGTCCCTCTCATCGAAATCCTGCACCTTACACAAAAACGCCACTACAGAGACGCAGTCGATTCCTACCTTCGCCTCAGTATTGGCAAAGCAGCCTGGCCCATTGGCGTGACCATGGTAGGCATTCATGAACGTTCAGCACGTGAGAAATTGCATGAGGACGGGAAAGGAAAAGATGATGTGGCGCAGATCATGAGTGATGAGACGACAAGGAAGTGGCTGCAGAGTCTGAAGAGGCTGGTGAGCTTCTCACAGACGAGGTGGCAGGTTTGGGATTTGGGCCAGTTGATGGGATAAAGAGGAACACATCCCTTTGTTGCCAGTCTTGTTCTCAATGCGACCACGATCAACAGATGTATGAAGTGCTCGATGTGATAGGGTTTGATGTAAGAATGTCAATTTCATCCTCCGGGCATCTGGCAGGGATGCCAAATTGGTGTCAGAGACACATGCCACACGGACTTGCACAATCGATATACACAAGATCGGACAGACTTTTGACACCGACGACCCGATGTCAAGAGCGTCAAACGTAATGATGGAATATCTACATTGTTGTCGGTGATGTTTCTCAGCTCTTTGAATACATTGTTTTGTTGTTGTACAGGGAAGGCGCCGGTCAGTACGGGAACCTTTTCCATAAGCTTACTGGGCAGTTGCGATCCTGTCGTTACACGCAATTTGCTTCTTCTCCCAGCCTTGCTCCCTGCAGTCTACCTTCAACAAGATCCGTTACTGTACATGCATTTGCTAGCGTATAGCAACGGACTTGCGAAAACCGGCTTTGAGCTCCAATCGATAATGGTTTCCCAGCCTCCTACGTCCTGGCGTGGTAAACATAACGGCTGAGTAGTGTGAGAATGACATTCCGAAACCTTCTCGGGCTGACCTAAATACAGAAGACAAAAACAAGACTACTGCATAGCACATTGATCGGCGCAGGACCGCATGTCCGTGAAAACGCTTTCATGCTCGTCGAGCTGTCGCTGGAAGCAGGGTACTCACGGATAATGACGTGGTTGATATTCACGCCCAGCATAATCTCCGCTCGAATAGTCTACCTATTCGGGCTTGGCTCTCCTAGCTCGGCCTTGAAAGCTTCCCCAGATTTCAGGTCCACCAATTACAGTCTCACAATGTCTCAGATTAGCACTGCATAATGGAGTTGATCACATCCCCAGCCATTCACAAGCAGAAGTCGAGCCACGAGAGATCGCTGGTTCAGACTTGGAATCAGGAACATGCTCACACGATGTTCATTTGCCAAGCAGCTTTGGCGGAGCTCCTAGCTTGAGCTGTCATATATATGCTCAACGAAATTGTCCAGACCAGACTATACATGCAGCTCAGTGCCTGATCTTCTCTCATCCAGTGATTTTCTCAAGCACATCTCTCCAACATGCAGCTCACTAACTTCCTCAGCGCCGCGGCGCTTGCTGCCACCACATTCGCTCAGCAATATCCTATCCAGCCTGTCTACCAGTTTGCGAACTCTTTCTCCGGATTAGGATATGTCAACATCGAAAATGTTGCTGTTCGATCGACCAACAACCAGTTGCTGCTCAACTTCGCAACTGGCGCCATCATGGCACAGATAAACCCTGATGCTGCCAACCCGCAGCCAGAGGTTCTTGTCAACATCTCCAGCTTATACCAGGGTGCCCCAGGCTCCTTAACCGGTATTGCTGAAGTCAGCAAGGACGTCTACATTGTAGGAGCAGGAAGATTCCAGTTCGGCCCACAAGTCCCAGGTGGTGTCGCTGGTGTTCCAGGCTCGTTCCAAATCTGGTCAGTTGACCTTAATGGCCCACGTGCAGTAGCAAACCAGGTTGTTGCTATCCCAGAAGCCAACCTTCTCAACGGTGTCGCTGCTGTACCAACCGCCCCGGGTGTTGTCCTCGTTGCTGATTCCGCACTGGGCTCCATCTTCCGCGTTGACACTCACGCCAAGACATACGAGCGGATTCTCTCGCTAGACGTTTTCCTTCCAGGAGGAGGCAACAACTTTGGTATCAATGGTATTCATCTCCAGGGTGGTAACTTGTACTTCACAAACTCCGCTCAGGGCATCTTCGGCCGTGTACCTTTCGGCCCACGAGGATACCCAGGTGGCCCAGCTGTTCGAATTGCCAGCGCACCAAACGGCACCTACTTTGACGACTTCGCACTCACCAAGAACGGTGATGCTTACATCGCAACTCAAGAGAACGCAATTTCCTACGTTGCTGCCGGCTCGTCGCAAGCACAGATTATTGCCGGCGGTGGAAACTCTACTACCCTCGCTGGACCTACCAGCTGTGTGTTGAGAAATGGTGAACTGTTCGTTGTCACCGCTGGTGTTGGTGGTGGTCCAATGGGACCAGTCAGTGGGGGAGTCTTCAAAATCGCTGTTGGTGCCGCGAAGAAGATGGCCAAGAGATGGTTTGCATAGAAAGAAAAGTTGACTATTTAATGTCGTAACGATAATATCATGCCCATTTCTCGAGAATGTTGTTCTTTGCTCTTCTCTCGCCTTGCGTGTACGCAGCAAATTGGGATAGTTTTCCGGATGGTGTTCCACCATGCTACTGATACTTTTTCGTCTTCAATTCTTGCATAAACTCGACCTGTGCGACAATTTGGCTTTGAGCGCTTCAGGCACAGACCTAGCGACATATTAACGCCTGAACACGATTTCTAGGCGTGCCTAGAACTTAAGAGGTTGATGAAGCCTGCTCCAAAAGTTCTTGGCGCCAGACAGGCTCGCTGGTTGCTTCTTCACTTTCACCTCCAACATGCCAGGTGTCAGATAGCTCATCTCAGCTTGCGATGCTATTTGATTGGGAAATGCGAACTTTTCAATAACCCATTGCTTTAGCAAACACATACGAACGAAATGGCAACGAAGTCGATGCAAGAGGTGTTGATTCAAGCACACAGGCAAGATACCAATATAAACATAAAATGTTGAGGGTGACCTTGTGCAGAACTGCCCATCTACTCAGCCTGTTCAGCCGTGTGAAGCCCACAGCTGATATGACACAGAACATTCAGAAGTCATCGAGCAATAGTTGTTTTGCGGATCAGAACGTGCCATCTGGCAGGAAATAGCAATGCTTGTTCAAACTGACAAAACCAAGGAACAACAGAGAGCTCAGTTCATTTCTTTTCAGCCTTGAAGAACGATTCTCTACCACTCTTCTCGACACAGCATCGCGTCCTCATCAATATGGCTGGTTCAGTATATGTATATCAGCCAGGTCTGGTCTCAGTGTTTTGTCGTCTCTCGGGCTTGCGTCGAGAAAATGTTGTCTTCGCTCACAGCCACACCCGTTGTTCCTATGCTTGGCGATATGGCTAGTGCTGCGAAGCAACATTACCGGAAGTGGAACGAGGTGAAGTGAAGTGAAGCTCAGGCGAGACGAGTGACTGGACAAAACACCCAAGGCTTGAAGTTCACTTTTCAAACCATGTCACCTACGATGCGGGTCAGTGCTAGTCTGGCGCTGGTACTTAAGTCGTACAGTGCTCGACGATTTCTGTCTCTGTTCAATTTCTAACTCGACATTTTTGCAGATAACGCTGTCCTCCAATTTATCTTTTTCAAAATCCACTCTTTCTTTTTTCTCGAAGTCAACAGAGATTTTACCTCAAAAAAGTCAGCGCCCAAAACAATGGAACACAGATACAACGTTGGTGTCTCCGTCGAGAGCACTCAACCTTCGAGTCGTCGGTTCGCCGATGAGCAGTATCGAGACCTAGAAGTAGCGACTCCTCGAAGCGAGCGCAATGCTCAACCATCCGTGTCTTCGACCGCGAAAGGAGATGAATATGACGTGTGATCCACTCGAGAATTTTGGTCGGAGTCGATGCTCGGGTATGACTACGAGCTTCATGAGCGAGACGAAGGTGAAGATGAACAGGACAATTTCAACACTTACGATACTCACGGACCGGTTCTGAGTCGACCATCAGTTGCGCAGAGCGCCTTACTAATATCACTGGTCTCTGCTTGGCCAGAGCTAGCACAATATGCCGCGACGAGAGGCGCTACCACTGCGACGGGTCTCGAGTTTGAAATCGATGCCACAAGCGACCAATCACTCTTCAGCAGCAAGCAAATTTCGTTGGACATTGACTGGGACGATGTTGAGCTCGAGCTCGATGCCACCAAGATCGGCGATGAAATTGTCCTGATGCCAATGGCCGACCTCAAGCCCGATGGCAAAGAATTCTACACCTGGAACGACTTCGACATCGAGACTCTAAAGCAGCGTTTCAAGGAGGAGACAGGTATCACAATCGATACCAAGGACAACATCTTCGTCGTTGTCAACGAACTTGGTCAGGAGTTGATGCGTTTTCGTCGGAACGGTGGCTATCGAGTTGCGCTCAAACGCTTCGTCACTGAATATTCTTACAACACCAATATGATCCGTCTGCAAGTTGAACCTCAGCAATTGCCACAAAACTTGTCAAGTACCACGCGCCAATCGATCTACGGGGAGCAGGAAGATATTGCCAAAGCAGCGAGTCGCAAGAGAAAGGATCAGTAAGTTGAGGGCTCAGTCGATCCAGCTCGACAGATCAAAGCAAGGAGAATGGAAGTACAAGAGCAAAATCCCGCTGTAGATTAAGATGAAAATTTACCAGCCTTGCTCGGCAGAGACCTCAATGACATCCTGGACTGTGTGTACAAGAAAAAGCCACGATCGCAAGCATCAAGGAATGAGCGATCAGCAAACAATCGCTTCGGCTTGGCAGCAGAAGGGCTGAGTCCAGAACAGAAAGCGTTGCCCACATTGAAGTTGCTTAGAGAGCAGTTAGCGGAACGCTCTAGATTTCGTAAGAAGTTCATGTACACGATAAATGAGGAATGGTGAAGGCAGAGTGGGAGTATAGGCGAAGGAGAAGTGGAGGTCATAAAGAGAAGAGGTGTGTGACACTGGAAGGCAACCGGCTGTAGGAAGATCAGGATCGGGCGACCGCGAAACAAGTAGCGACTGGAAAGGCACATCTTCGAGTGACAGCAGCCGTTCATGCTTGACGCTCGGTCGGCGAGCTGAATCAGAAAGCTGATCATATCTCGCACGTCATCTTCGTACTGGGCCTCGTCGAGCGCGTCAATAAACAAGCACAAGTCGAATGGCTCATCGCATTCAACACTGTCAAACAGAAACCTTTGAAGTCCTTCTACAGTCCAGTTTTCCCCTGATAGTCCTGGATTCTTCAAGGCAAAACGTTCCATGAACAGAGGCCGGAGGAGGTCGCCAGAAGACAGTAGATGATGTACAATGGTACGGTACAGACTAGGAGCGGACTTCTCGAGGGCCGACAATGCGCGGGCGTTGAAGAAGTACGTGACGACAGCTCGTCGAGCACGGTTCTTACATTCCCTCCTGCGAGCTCGCTCGAGCGCGGCTTTCATAAGAGTCGACTTTCCACAATCAGGCTTGCCCTTGATCCAGAAGAGATTACTGTGCTCGTTGGAGACCTCATCATTGTACCAATTTTGGAAGCCGGGGTGTTGAAACAACCACTCGCATGTCGATAGCAATGCTTTCCTGGACATTGTTGACACGAAATTCGATACGGTCGAACAGGAGCGAGTCCAAAAGGTTATTGTACTTGGATCCATAGTCATCTTCCGTAAGCTCTTCGTGTGCGTATCGATGTCCTACTTGTACATTGGCCGATCCACTAATGTTGACGACGTCGTTGCGAGAATCACGGGTGTGGAAAATCATGTTGTCCTCTGTAGTGGTCTTTAATTTTACTCCTCTTACCGATCTCTGCGTCGCGTCATCTGCGGCAGCATATGCCACGTGCTATTGACCTTCTCGCACGCCGATCAGGATATATCGGGATGTAGAACTGGGTCTTGTCTCTCGCTTGCGAGGTGTTATATGTATAAGGGGGTTAAAATTTACGAAGGGTATATATACTAATTAGCTAAATTTCTATTACTATTATATAGTAATAATCTTTATAATTAATTAGATAAAATATTAATATTATATAAAAAACGGACTTAACTAGTAAAAAGCTTCGTTAATATAGTAACTACTAGAAGAGGTTTAATTATATATTAGTTAATAAAAAACTTAAAAATTATAAACTATAGATCTTAAATTTTATACTTTACGAAAACCTTATATTATATTATACTATATTATTATTACGTAAGTTCCTAGTCTAAGGGTAAGTTAGACTAATTATAAGAGTAGTTAGTATATTAGCTAGTTAGTAATAAGAAGTATAAATAAGATATAAGGTTCTATACTGGGAGGTATAGGTAGAATTAGTAAGAGAGATTGATTATAAAGTAACTATAAAATATTAGTTATTACTAACTTATAATTATATATATACTATATAAGTTTCGTTAATCTTATACTCTCTTAATCTTATACTAAGACAGAAGAGTATAAGATTATAAGATTATAGAATTAGGCTAACCAGGTTTTATATAAGGCTTCGGCTATCTTTCCTGTTTTATATTAGGTATAGCGTAGTGTACTATTCTGATTCTATTCTGACCCGTTCTGATTTAGGATGGTGGTTGATTCTGGTTTAGGACCTCTAGGTATAGGTCTTAGCCTAAGCTATGGCTAATACCTTAGTGTGTACCGTAGTATACGCCATATTATATGCTGTAGCATATACTAGAGCTAGCGATAGGTCGTATAACAGGTCGTAACAGGTTTATAATAGCTTTCTTAGCTTCTTTAATCTTATTAGATCCTTTAAAGACGCTTATAATATAATTCTAAAATTTCTTATAGCTAGAGAATATATATTACGACCATGCATATATTAGTTAGAACAGACTATGTGTTACTAGGGTGTACTATAAATAGCTAGTACGCGGTGCGTAGGTATATTACCTATATACCGCCGACGCTACTGTACTTAGAATCCTTCTAAGTACTAAATCGTATAGATTAGATATATAATATTACTTAAGAC